GTCATCTGCCAACTGAGCAGCCGTTGCTATTGCTGCCGTTGGCGCAAAGATACAAGAGGCTCCATTATCATCACTCGCGCTACCCGCAGATCTTGAATTGCTAATGGGCACAATGTACTCGGAGAGAATCGAGCGCGCCTCGCGCATAGTACGACTAGTCCACGCCTCGTCGAGACCACGGTCCGCATAATAAGCGGTTTTAAGGCGGGGGTCGAAAAGCGGCGCCAGGCGGTAAATTGGCGACGACTGGAACGGATGGCACTGAGCCAGGTAATCACGAAGAGACTCGCCCGTCCGGCGCACCAAGTTATCGAGCGAGACGGTCTGCAAAAAGCCCTGCAGGTTGTCAATTAGGGTATCGTACACGGGCACAACATCCACAATACTGGGAAACTCTGTCGGAAGGCGCGCGAGCGTCGTAATCGCGAGGTCAAGGATGCGTAGAAGAACATGGGTTTGCGAAAGTGAAAGCCATTCCTCTGGAAGTATTGTGTCGTTGGACTCTGTGGCAGCGGGCGTCGCACTGCTCAGTATATTGGAGAGCTCGGAGTAGATAGAAAGCGCACTGTCTAGGAGCGCCATCGTAGATTCCCAAGTCCGAGTGTAGTCAAAGTCGAGCGTGTTCAGGGCAATGCTGCGTGTGCGACACAGCTCGACAAGTTGCTGCGCGCCCAGTGCCCCCGGCTGACTTAAAGTCTGAACTGCCAGGCGCAGCTTGCCAATAGGCGTGTTGGGAGCAGAGTCATTCGCCGACACTGCGGCGTCCGAGCCGTAGAGCATCGCCAAAAGCTTGTCCTTGGCGTCCAACAGCGAGCTGACAATGCAAGTGGACTGGTTGCGGTCAAGATCGAATGTGACCCCACGCGCATGGCAGATGGTCTCGACCTGGTTAAGAAACTCGACAAACTCGCGTGTGTAATTGGTCGTCACAGTGCCCAGTCTGGCAAACAAGTTGTACTGCGTTAGGGTGCTCTCAAACATGAAGATAATGTCGCTGCTTGTGGCTGGCCCGTCGACGCAGTGGCAGTCGAGCAGCTCGCTGTGCCGCACAAAACCCTCGTCGGTCCAATGGGCGTACACAGCAAGGTGATAGAGCGTGCCGGCCAACTTGCCGGTGCCAATGGATATTGAGATGCGACCGCTCACCGCATCGAGTTTTTGACGCAGATCCCGGGCCTTGACATCCTTTTGACGTTGCAGCTCGCCCATGAGCACGCTGGGCGAGGGTGGGGTAGAGCCATGGGATAAGTTAGCCATAAGCTGCTGCATGCCTGGCGACAGCATTTTCTCGACCGAAACCAAGTCGCGCACCATAAAGTCGACATAGGCATCGAGTGTCTTTTGCACCCTGGTAACAGTGGGCGAGCTGTCGCCAGCAGATGACGCCTCTGTGTTGGCCCGGATGGCGTCCCCAACGGCGATAACAAACTGATTGATGCTCTCTGGATTCACAGCCGCGCCCTGAGCACCGGCGCTGTAGTAAGCATTGTGGGCTGGGCTGTACGCATATCCGCCTCCGCTGCTGCTTCCCGCATTGAGCTGGTCGCCAGCGGTCTGGTGGCCGCCCTCGGCTATAGAAGTCAATGCTGTGCCTCCTCCGGATCTAAAGGGTGCGTTGGAATGGCGCAAGTGACGCGTCGGTTGATGGTCTGCGTCGCCATTGCTGGTGGCGATTCTGCCGCTGCTCGCAGTGTTGAGATTCTCGAGCAAGCCAAGCAAAAGCGAGGACTGCGCCTGGTGGCTAGCCCGATCATTAGAGGCACCCTGCGTGTTGCGGCCGACGAGTGTCAGCAGCAGCTTCAGGGCCTGGTTCAGATTTTCAGTGCTAGCGCCCGATGAATCGGGGCTCAATGCGGAGCCCTCAGCCAAGTCCCCCAAGCGCGCAGCCCTTGTGGCATTGTTGGTCTCGCCGTAAACATTGTCGTCATACTGGCGAGCAGCTGATGAGCGCTCAGAGCCATGCTGTTGAGCATAGAATGACTGCTGCTGCTGATTCTGTTGCTGAATTTGCTGGCGAAGTTGTTGCGTCTGCAACTGCTGATGAAGTTGCTGATCCTGCTGATAATGGCTCTGGATCTGCTGTGACGCTGGCGGCGGCAGCATCTGCTGGTACTGCGGCACGCCTGCGCGCGCGGAAAGTGTCGGCTGCAAGGGTGTCATCATATGATCCTGGATAGGGGATGACATGGACGCCTGACGCTTGCGCGAGCGACTATCGCTTGACAGAATGGATGGTTCACTGCGTTGCTGCTGTTGTTGGGGGGTGGTCTGTAAGCCGTGTGTGGCCAGAGGCGCGGCGTGGGCGGCTTTCTCGGGATGCGAGCGCTTAATATGACGCCACATATTGCCTGTGCTTCCGCTGCTGCACGAGTAGTAATTGCGGCAGTAGACGCAGCGGCCACGTCGGTTGGTGGCATAGTCGGCGTCTCGTGTAAAGTGCACCCAGATGCTCGTGCGCGACCTCGATGCCGAGGGTGTAGCTGCGATTGCTGGCGACGACGCGTGCCGTGCGCTGATGCTCTCGACCGAGCCCTCCTTTACAAAGCAGTTTTCGCTGGCGATATCGTCGTCGTTTGTCGAGCCCTCTATGCCTCCAAGTTGCGTGATTGCTGGGGGTAATTCGGACGCGTGGTGGGCAGAGGAGACTGCAGTGGATCCGACATCGGCCTGGGGTTTGGCAGACAGTGGGGGCAATGTTGTGGTAGCAGAAATTCCGTTGTGCGGTACAGACTCAGTGGCCAATGCCTCGGCAGATTCTGGCGGCGGCGTGGGGCTAAAATCCATGCGGCGAGTGTTGGGCGCGTAGTCCTTGGAGCCGAAGCCGTAGAGTTTTTCGCCCTGCAGAATGCGCGATGCCTCGGCCTCGGCCGCGGCGTCATCGAGTTGCATTTTGGACTCGTCCTCGGAGGACAAATCAACGTCAATGTCTGATAGGGGGCTCATTTCATGGGTTGTCATGGAAATACAAGCGCGGGAAAACGGGATATTTAATAAAAAACGAAAGAGCGATGGTCAAAGTGTGTGGAGACACGAGCTGATCGTACTGTATGTTTTTTCCTAGTGTGGTGCGCGGAACAAAACAATAAATTGCGTGCGGTACGTGCGAGGGTTGCTGCTTCTACGATCTAATTAGTCTACTATTTTTTTACAGCCGATGAGGTGAGGCGAAGTGAGAGGATGAAAACATTAGTTAGAATGAAAAGTTAAATGAAAATTGTTCAAATAGAAGCATTTCTGGTTTTAGCCAGGATAAAATAAAACCAATTTTAAACAAGTGACGTCCCCTATTTTAATTGCCGCTCGGCATTGATTATTGGGTAGATTCAATGGAGCTAACTGTAATTAAAATAAAACAAAAGATGCTATGCGTGTATGTCTCCAGTTTTAAAACCCAAGCGCTACTTTGCATACGGGAGTACACTTTTTTTATTTTTGGTGCAGCCCCTAGCGGCTCTTTATAATTTTTTCTCACACGCGTGTGGTTGCGATTATCAATGAGGAGAGAAAACAAAATGCGGAGAGTAAAGAAGAGAAAAATGACAGCATGTGCGGGATTCTTCATATTTTCTCATTTTGTTTCTGCGAAGCAATCATATCAGTATCAGCTAGCGGTAAGCAACAGATTGGTTGACAAGCACACCAAAGGGATATTCACACATCGGGTAAAATAAAAAGAACCATTCTGATGCCAGGGAAGCAGAGCAAAAATAAAATTGAAATAAATAGCCAGCAGGGTGGCTGTACTTACGTGTGTTCCTCGAAGAGCAGGGGCTGTTGACGCAAAAAACGAGAGGAATAGAGAGTTGGGAAAGTGAAAAGGGGGCTATAAATAAGGTGAAAAGCGCGTCAAATATAACGTAATAAATGGAGTGTGCCAAGGTAGACTATTACAACTCTGCGATACCAAGGCAAAAAAATTAGGAGAAAAATATAGAGAGCGAAAGCAAAAAAATATTATATAATTATTATTGTTATTGTAGTCCTAAAGTACATTAAATAAACGCGCATAAAATTAACGAAAGGGGAAAGAGAGAAAAATAAAGAGAGCAAAAAATAAAAACGAATATACGCGTGTGCGGGGTGGAGGAGAAGAAGAAAGAAAGGATTGGGAGGGAGAGGGCAAGGTTCGGGTTCGGGTTTTTTTTATTGTTCCTCTTTTTTTCGCCCTTGATTTTTTTGTGGATTCACTCGAGAGAAAAAGGCTCCTTTGGGTTTTTTCTGTCGTTCCTTCCTCCTATCATGTCACAGTGCGTGCTCGGCCTACCCGTGAATTATCACTCATTTTCTTTTCCCAAACTCAGAAATAAGCTGCGTTTGGCACCCCCTCCTCCCCCTCCTTTCATGACCGGCTCCTTGCAAAAGTGGGGATGTGGAGGTGCCATCCATCATCCATCATCCATCGCAAATGCTTTGCTTTGCTTTCGCATGTGCATGATTTTATTTGTTTCATGCTGCATTGCGCGTCTTTTCTTTTGGCTGGTGAAAGGAAAGAAAAGTAGCAAGAAAAAAAGCAATTCTTGCCAACCGGTTCTGAACATTGCATCAGCAGCCGCAAGGAATGACCCGCTGCTATTTTGCGCTGCATTCTTTGGGGATGGAGCAGAGAGCGGACAAAGCAAGCCAGGTTGCCCACCAATCAGCTGACCCGGCAGTACACGGTCAATCTGCAATTCATCTACTGCCGAGTTGGACGATGCGGAGCGCAGGACGCAGGACGCAGGACGCAACCAGTCAGAACGACCCAGGCTCGTCCAAGGCCAAATAAGGCGTGTATTGGATGCACCGCGTGGAGGCTAACGGCATTACATTATATTCCTCTCGGCCACTGAACAAAAAATAAATGCAAAGCCAGACCAAGATGCTGTGACAGTGACACCCAATGCTGACTTTAATGGACGCAGTAGCGGAAAATGCAATAAAAAGAAGAGAAATGCAGTAGCGGGGGAATATATTACGTGCATGCATACAAGCACTACTATCTTTTTAATAGGTTTGTGGGCTCAGACGTTGGCGTCGGCGTCGGCGTCGGCATCCACGTAGTCGTCGGCTACCAGCGGCAGAAACAGGCAGCCCTCCTCGGCAGCCAAGTACTCGAGCATGACGGAGAGCTGGGCGCGCAGCTCCAATGTCTCGGCGGCCGACGAAGGCCCGCAGGCTCGCATCTCCGCGTCAATGGCCGAATTGGCCTCCGTCGACCGGTGCGACAGCGGAATGCGGGCCATAGCCTGCGGCCCCATAACCTCTGCAATCTGCCATGCGGCCTGGAGCATGACGTGCTGTGGCCTCCGCGCGTGCGTGATCCGCCGCCCCAGCTGCTTGCGCACAGCCGCCCCGCCAGCCTCAACGCCATGTGCTGCTACTGGATGCACACGGGCGGCAGCTGGCGGGGCTGCGTTTTCGGGATTGGTTTTGCGACGCGTGTAGCCAATCAGAGCGCCGTCACTGCCGTACACTGGCTGCTCGCTCTGCGCCAGCCGCTCCCTTGCTCGCGCAGCGCCTGCTGCCGATGCCTCTCGGCCATGACGCGCTCGTCCTCGGCCTGACCGTGGTAAACACGTGCTTGACGTGCGAATGATTGGCCGAAGCACCACCGCTGCTGTTGCCGCCGCCGCCGACAATACCGCTGCTGCTGCTCTGGCCCAAGTCCATCGTGGTCAGGTCCAGCATTTCGAGCTCGGCCGCCAGCTGCTGCGTGTCCAGAGCCAGCGGGTGGTCGTAGCCACGGCACCACGCGTGCACATCGCCGCGGCAGATCTCCTGCCGGAACCGCGACAGCAACGCGCGCTGCGCCTCGTTAGTGCGCCGGGCGAGCCACGTCGCAAAGTTGCCGCACTTGAGAAACTGGGTTAAAGATTCAGCCACTCGTCGCTGATCTTTTTTGAGGCTGCCTTCTTGTTTTTCCACGGCAGAAACGAGGTCGACTGCGCCAAGCCAGCAGCAGAACCAGCCGAGCCAGAGCCGCCAGCAGAAGGTGCTGTCAGCGGGGCACCGTTCTGGTCTCCGCTTCCATTGGTGCTGTTTGTCGAAAACACTGAGACAAAGACGTCTGCGGCTGTCGCTGTGTTATGGCGGCTGTTGAGCTGTGGCGATATGCCGAAGGACGCCAGCGACGCCATAAAGTCGTCCGTGCGCCAAGGCCGCAGATTTCCAGGTGGCACAAACCAGGACAGCTCCGATGACGACGACGACGACGCGCTCGCACCACTGCCATGGATGCCGACCCAGTCGATCCGCGGCCGCGCGCATGCGCCCAGGAGGGTGCGGCCCGCTGCCTGTCGCGACTATGCTGCTGCTGCTGCGTGACAATGGCGGTCGATGACTGCACCTGTGGAATGAGCGTGGAGAAATAGCGGTTGAGCGGGGCCAGAAACTGCACCGTCAGATCCATAAAGTAGCGCCGCAGCATGTTGTTGACCATCCATGGCGGCTGCTTCCCGTCTTGAGCGCATTGAGCAGCTGCTCGGTGAACACACGGTCCTTGCTGATCGCACACTTGTGCTTGGACTGCAGCCCTGCTTGATCCCCTTGCTGCCCACCGCGCCGTTGCCGGCTGCGCCGCTTGAGCCGCCGCCCGTGGCCGCATTACTGCCGCCAATGCCACTGCGCCATTGCTGTTCTCGTTGAACGCGCGCGCCTTGCGCGCCGACGCTCCATGCATCTGCGACATGCGGCCAGAGGTGCCCAAAAATAGCTTGTGCGGCCAGTGGCTCAGCGCCTCGCTGAAAAATGGATTGGACACGCCGACGACCGTGTTCGGCGGCACGTGCGTCTTGGATACGACAGCGCGGAAGTCCGGGTCCTGGATGGTAAAATATGGGCGGTAGTCGCCGCAGTAAGTAATCGGAAATATGATGTCGACCAGGCTGACGACGGCCTCGGAGCACCGCGACGGCGTGTCGGCCAGCACACCAGCGACTCGCCCAGGATCATCAGCTCCCAACACGCCCACAGGTCGTCGAGGGCGTCGCGGAAGCTGCGGAACAGCCCATCAAACGTCACGCCCGCCAAGATATGCTCGCCAGGGTCGAAGCGCTCAAGTGGGAACTTGCTGGTCTCCAGCAGCTGGCTGGCATCGCGCGCCGGTAGCTCGACCGTCAGCGCCGTGCCTAGAAAGGGCAGCTCGTAGGCGCCGTCTGCACGGGGAGCCGGCCACGACGAGACATTCTGCGCCGCGGCCTCGAGGATCGCCGTGCCCAGGTCAAAGTACAGCGGCCCCAGCATGTGTGCCATGCGCGAGAAAAACCGTGGTATGGCAAGTGCGAGATCACGACGACCGACCGCTGGAACCCGCCGCGCCGCATCAACGGGTCACGCTTCTGCCGGAAAAACACGTGCCCGTACAGAAAGATGCGGTCCTTCGGCAGTCTGAGCCGCACAGGGTTGACGCGGAAGTGGAACGTGTACACTGAGTCGTATAGCTCGTGGATCGTCGAGTCGGGCATCGAGGAGAAGCAGATGGCCGCGCGCTCGCTCTCGCTGAATTGCACGTGCGGGTACAGCAGGTTGAGCGTCGGGCCCTGGTCGACATCGAACTGCACCGTGCCAAAGCATACGAGCCATTGCGCCAGTTCTCGCGCGTGCGCCGGTCGACGCGCGCCTCCAGGCTGGCACTGCGCGCGACAATGATGGCCTTGTGGTCACTTGTCATGCTCAGAGTGCGGCCGTCAGGCTCTGGCGTCAGCGCGTTTACCACAGGCAGGATGCCGTTTCTGGCTGGCAATATGCCGTGTCATCGGGTTTGGCAGATCTACTACGAGCAGCCGCCGCGCCTAAGAGGTGGCCATGGGAGGACACCTGATGGATGGGATTATGCTTCAGCCGTGGCTGCATCGCCAGGTTTCGCTGCTGCTGCTGCCGCGCACGCCCTCGCGGCCTGCCAATCCGCTGCTGGGAGCCCGTTCTAGCTGACTGTGCAGCCGGCTGTCAACAAGCAGCCGGTTGAATGCGCGTGACCTCCGCTCGTCGGCCTCACGAACCGAAATTCCTGTGGTGCATGCCTCAGCCATGGCCTTGACTGCCCTCCGAGCGCGCTCCTCAACCAGTGAGCTGACCGCGCCCTTGCTCTTATCAAAAGCCTTGGTTGTGGTTGTCGCCGACCGCCGCAGGGGTGTCGGCGCCATTGCCGGTAACGGGACATTGCTTAATAAGTCCATGCTGTCCGAGCTTCCACCATTGCTGCTGGATTTGCCGGAAGGGACGCCGGAGCTGGTTAGGCTGCGGTAGCGGTGCTGCTGTGACTTTTGCGACCCTGATGGGCTTTTGGGCACTGCTTCAGTGAATGAGGAGGATATGCTATCTGTTTCCAATGCCCTGCTTTCGTTTGCCGTTGTGTGGATGCCCAAGCTGAGCTTTGCGCTGGCTGAATTGTTACTCTTGCACTCGTGGAACTCGTCTTCACTCAGTATACTTGATGAGACGGATTGTGATCTGCCGCGGCTTCTTTCGTTGGTTGCGCGTGCATCGACACTGCCTGCTGGAAGAATGTCGGCGCCGGATGTGTTGAGCATTTGCGATATAAATGTAAATAAATGAAAAAGAAAATTTGAAAGTGAAGTGAAGTAAAATAAACAGGCAAGTGAAAAGGCAAGAAAAAAGGACAAAATACAAAAACAAAATAGGTGTATGGTCACAGCGCTACAATGGTGCTTCTGTGATGCCGGTGTTATTATTGTTTTTATCAATGCTGTATTGTTACGGCAGTGACGTATAAAATATAGCTTGAATTAGGGTGGTGCTGATAAGTCAAGAGTAGAAAATATTAACAAGTACGGGAATTTAAAAAAAAAAAAGGAACGCAATTCAAACGGCAAAAAAAGAGAAAAAGAAAAGTGAAACCAACACTTTATAATTCATCAATGGAGAAGAACAATCGAGCTGATAGATGAATGCGCGGGAGAAAAAAGGCAGTGATGAATGCTGACGCTGCTGTTGCTGCTAAAATAAAAAAGCCAAACAGAAGCAAGTAAGGCAGGCGCTGCTCTCTAGCATTGCTTTTCATCGCTGGTTTGCGCGAGATCGCCGGCGCTGCAACAGCATGAATCCAAGCTCGTCCTCTTCAACTTTTCCAAAAATAGAACTGCCGAGGGCAGACTTGGACGCAGTCTCTGGTGCAGATGCCGGTATGGATACGGATTCCGTAGGGGCAGGCTTTGTAGCCCTATCCGCGCGATCCTTTGCAGCAAGAGCAGCCCTGCCTTTTCCGCCTGCCGCCGCTCCAAATCGTCGCCCAGCACCCTCAGTTGTCGCAAAGCACGCTCCCTGCTGTTGCCATACACGCAATCGTCAATCCCACAGCCGCCCGCCTTGACAATCGAAGACTCGTCCTGTACGCATGCTGGAGCCGCATGCGAAGCGACCGGGCCATTGGCGCCAGGTATGGCGTCGACCACGCACACTCCGGTGTTCTGCAATCGAGACCAGTCGCGCTGCCAGACGCTGCACTCGCTGTGGTGCGCCCAAATAGCATCGAATCGCAATGAAACAAGGTCGACGATCGTCCTGGCCACGCGGGGACACCGGAGATCCATGCCGATATCCGCGCAAGATCGTGGAACAGCACGGGCGAGCTGCCAGCCACAGCCAGGGGCATGACGAGGGTATCAGGATCCGCGCCGCGAACTGTGAGTCTGGCCCTCGGTACCCACCAGACAAGTGCAGTGTCGACTCCATCAGGCTGTTGAATCGCGCGGCAATGAGGCCCCGCCTACTGGGCCCGCCCTCCAATGGCATCGCCGATGGGTTCGGAAGAGCGATTGTCTCGCAGAGCCGTCGCAAATCCGATTTTGCCACCGGGTGAGCTCCGTGCGTGCCCTGGCTGCATGCCAGCTGTCGTCCGCGTGTCAGAACCCAGCGCACAGAGCTTCAACTGACGCAGGGCCAGCAGTGTCAGCCCGGACCGGTACATGGTGCACATTCTCAGAGTCTCCTGCCCAAGTCCGCCCTGTTTCATCGTCCTGTAGCGCAGTCGGCGGACGAGCGGCCGGGCTGTGCCATGAGCTGGTAATGCAGCCAGCAGACTGACGCACTGCCACAGTCCCCCAGAAACAGCCATATCGATGCCGCCCATAGCTGCATCCGGGGCCATACAACCGAGCCTGGTATAGATCAAGAGCATATTGCCCTCACGGCCTCCACCGCCTGCCGCACATACCACGAGTTCTCCAAAGCTGGCAGGCCACGCCCGAACCTGGGGAGAGTTGCAGCGAGATGAACTGCAGCGCTTGATCGAGTGCCTCGCCAGGACAAGCGTGCTCTGCGCCAGGTCGCCCATGCGTGCAACCCACTTGGCGTACCTCGACGGAACTGCTGCATCCATCTGCGCAGAAAAAGACCCGTCGCCGGCGCGCTCTCCGCTATCATCTTCATCGCTCGCATTCACAGTGCATCCAGTCGGCACAAACTGGTACCACAGGGATTTGGTCGCCAACAAGTGCACATCTGTGGTCTCGCCTGCCAGCCTCCTGCGCTCTGCAACCAACAATTTGAGCATATTTTTTACAAACCGCATTCCAGTGCCAATATCGATGGCCCGCAGGTGCAGCGGCGCCATATTTTCTGGCATTACAAGGGCGGACACCGACTTGAAGCGGCCCAGGCGCATATAATTAACCATTCCTGCTGCGCAACAGCGCCGACTTGCCACAGCGCCTCGGCGAGCGTGTCGGCATACGCTGGGGTGCGCAGATAGCACATGGCAACAACATGGTGCCACAGCACAAAGCGGGTGAGAAAGGGCGGAATTGCGCTGTATATTTCGTCGATATATCGAGGTCGTCGCTGTCCTCGGAGCACGCTATGGCTTCGCCAAGCCGAAACGCAGCCTGCACTTTAAGCGGCAGCACGCGGGCAGTCCAGCTAACGCCACTGCTGATCTGGGGGCGGCACAGCCAGAGCGTCTCCCCCAGCTGCACCAGGTGAGTCAGCAGCCCCCTTGCCTTGAATGTGTTCATCGGCTGCTTGGACCTTTGGGGAATGAGGTTCTCCAGCCGTGATGCAAAAGACTTTGTCTGCGTCTCGGCGAGTAGCGTCTTTGCCGCCGCCGAAATGTCGCTGTTGATTGGCGACCTGGCTCTGGCCGCTTGCGCGGCGTCGTCAGCCATAGCGCCGGATCCTTTCCAATGGTACTGCCGCTGGTACCCGCCGCGTCACTGTCCGAGAGCGACCCCAGACTGGAGGATCTCACAAACTGGCCGGCTCTCGTCTTACTCCCGCCAATATTGCCTCTGCGCTTAGCCCCAGTGGAGCTCGTAAAGTCTATAGATGCGTCGGAACCGTCACTGCCGTTTCCGTCCGATGAGCGATACCCGCTTCGCCGTCTATACGTGTAACGCGGTTGTCGGTGAGCCTTTGGCAGCAGGTGTCTAAATGGGTGTGCCGGGGCATGTCCGCTGCGCTATTCGCCCTCTGAAGCGTTGGGCGATTTAGGCCGCTTCCGTTGAAAATATGGCTGTTGTCGGTGGCTGACGAGCCGCTGTTGGTTTTGTAGACTGAGGGCCGGAGGGCGACCTCCTCTTCTATATCGCTGAGCTTGCCCAGAATCTTTCGCAGGATGCGGCGCACGCGCCCGGGTTCGAGGTCAAGGGATATATGTTCTGGGAGCATTTCATTCTACAGCCTGGAAATATTAAAAATAAATATAAAATTTGAACGGTGGAGCAAAACACACGGTTGAAACCTTGCAGTTCTTTTACACCACAACCAAGAAGCAAACTTTGGAGCGGGGCAATAAATCAAGTGATTAGCATCAACAAATCGAACGCGAAATCAGCACGCGGTTCGCGTTTGCGCCAAAATAAAACAAACTGCGCATTTGCTTGATTTGTTTTATCAAGAATATGGAAAGAAAAGTACACCACTGTGCGAGCATGCAAATATATCATGCACTGGTGAAATAGTCCTTCCCCTTTCCCCCAAAAACAATTGTTACTCGTTTTTTCACTTCATTTCATTTCACCATTTTTCCATTCCCGCTCGTTTTTTTTAACAATTAAGAATGCCGCCTTCAACGACAGCGGCACTCCGAAAGTGCCAAAACACAAACTTCGATCTTCAGCTTTTTTAGTACGCCCAAGAAGAATAAGAAACCTGTCGCGGCAAAGGACTCCCAGGACGAGTTGCTCGAGGTGGCTGCCGACATGATGGTCGACGATCTCATGGCTGAGGTCGAGCTCGCCGAGCAGCAGCAGCAGAAGCAGAAGCAGCAGAAGAATAAGAAAGCAAAGACGCAATCAACGCAGTCCCAGTTGCCGCCGCCAACATCGCAGACAGCTCCGGTCGGGCGCAAGCGCAAGTCGGCACTGATCCAATACGACGAGGACGAGGACGACGCCATGGAGTCTGACGCGACAGAAAAGGACGATGACGATGCAGACGACGACTACAAGCCGGACCACAGTGTGCCCGGTGCGGTCACTGGGCGCCGAGGCACAGCTGGGCGCGGGCGCGCCATTGTCGACGACAGCGACGACGACGACGACATGATGGATGCAGCCGCCACATCGTCCGAATCAGAGGCGGCGGCCTCGCCAGCAGCGAAGTTGCCCCGGACAAAATCGCATCTGATGCAGCCAATCAAGACGCCGGACCTCAAGAGAATGCGCTTCGGTGGCTCCATGGCGTCCACAAGTTCGGAGGGCATGCCACTGATGGGGGCGCTCAACAGCGTGCCCAATCCGCCAGACACGCCTAGTCTCGCACGCACCACAACGTCGTTGTCAGCACTGTCTGTGGGTTCGTCCAGGTTAGCCACGCCCCTGGCGCAGCGCGCGCAGCTGCAGGCGCCGCCGCTCACTGCTGACGAGAGCAAGCGCCTGCGCGTCTCCAACTTTGCCAAAAAGAATGACGAGCGGTACGCCTGGCTTGAGGACGTGCGCGACGCTCAGGGTGTGCGGCCCGGGGAGGTTGGCTACGACAAGCGCACGCTGCTGATCCCGGCCAGCTCATGGAAGCAGTTTTCGCCGTTCGAGCGCCAGTACTGGGAGATCAAGAGCCAGCACTGGGACACCGTGGTGTTTTTCAAAAAGGGAAAGTTCTACGAGCTCTACGAGAACGACGCGACTATCGGACACCAGGAGTTTGATCTAAAGATGACCGACCGCGTCAACATGCGCATGGCCGGTGTGCCCGAGTCGTCGTTCGACCACTGGGTGTCCCAGTTCCTTGCCAAAGGGTACAAGATCGCGCGTGTCGACCAGATGGAGAGCAAGCTGGCCAAGGACATGCGCGAGCGCGGGTCCAGCAAGAAGGGAGACAGTCTTGTTTCGCGCGAGCTGACCGGCGTCCTGACCGTGGGCACGCTGGTCGACCCGTCGCTGCTGACGCAGGATCTGTCCACCTTTTGCCTGGCGCTTGTCGAGGCCACGCACGAGGTGGCCAACAGTGGCGAGGCCTCTGCGTACGTCACGTCCTTTGGCATTGCCTTTGTGGACACATCGACTGCGCAGTTCCACATGTGCACGATTGCTGATGACGATGACGACCGCAGTGCGCTCGAGACCTTGTTGGTGCAGCTCAACCCGCGCGAGGTCATCTACGTGCGCGGTGGTGCCGGCCCAGGACACCGCGCGGCAGCCGCGCTGTCAGCCGCAGCGTTGACCAAGGGCGCGAGCAACACGGGGAGCGGCCTAGGCGACCTGCTGCTGACGAGCCCCGACGCGTGGGACGGGATGGCAGGGATTTCGCAGCCGACCTGGCGCACGCTGAAGAACACCTGCGGGCCGAACACCGACTGGATCGCCATGGCGCCGCGCCGCGAGTTCTGGGACGTGCCGACCACGAAGCACGAAATCGACCAGGCCGGCTACTTCGCCAGCAGCGAAGAGCCCAAAAAGTGGCCTGAGGCGCTGCAGCGCGCCGCCGACAAGGACCCACTCGCATTGACGGCGGTCGGCGGCCTGTTGTCATACCTGCGCACGCTCATGCTCGATAAAGACCTGGCCTCGCTGGGCAACTTCTCATTCTATTCGCCCATGCAGAACAGCACGGCGCTGGTGCTCGACGGGCCGACCATTTCGAACCTCGACATTTTTCCATCTCGTCGGATAACGGCAACACGGCGGCGATTGGCGGCGCCAGTAGGCCAACGAGCATTGATGGAACCCTGTTTGCGCTGCTCAACCATGTGCGCACCCCGTTTGGCCGCCGCCTGCTCAGCCGCTGGACCTGTCACCCGCTGCGGCACTCAGCCGCCATCAACGCCCGCCTCGACGTTGTTGACTTTTTCCTGTCTAACGGCGAGCTGAGCGACTCGATTGTGGATGTCCTGGCGGGCCTGATCGACCTTGAACGCGGTCTGAGTCGGATCCACTCTGGACGCTGCAAGGTGCCTGATTTTATGCCGTGCTCAGCGGTCTCACTTCTGTGTCGCTCATGATGGAGCGGCTGCGCAAGGAGCACGGCTGCGACAACAGTGCGCTGCCAGCACGCATCAAAACGCTTTTGCGGTGTTCCCACCGCTGGACGAGCTGCTGGCAGAGTTCACCTCCTCGTTTGACGCCAATGTGGCGTCCGCCGAGGGCCGACTGCTGCCATTCCCTGGCGGCGACCAGCCATGCGACGAGATTATGGCCAAGATCGGGGAGCATGACGAGTGGCTTGCGCAACACCTCAAGGAGATCCGCAAGCGCTTCGGGTGCGCGAGCATTGTGTACAAGAACATGGGCAAGGAGCACTACCAGCTGGAGATGCCGACCACCGTCAAGGTGCCGGACAATTTTTCCGCCTGTCCGCGACAAAGGCAGTCAACCGGTACTGGTCTCCCGAGCTGCGCACGAAGGTGCAGGAGCGTGCCGAGGCCATGGAGACCAAGTCGATGGTCTTGGACAGCTACCAGTCACGGCTGTACGCCCGCTTTGATCGCCATTATGCGCTGCTGATGAAGGCCGTGTCGGTGGTTGCCGAGCTGGACTGTCTGCTGGCGCTGTCGACCGCGTCCAGCTGCCTGGGCACTCCCGCTTGCCGGCCGATCATTCTTGAAAGCAACGGCAATGCTGGCGGCTATATCGAGTTCAGGCAGCTGCGGCATCCCTGGTTGCGCTCTCCTCCGCCGGGGCGTCAGACTTTGTTGCCAATGACATTGTGCTTGGCCGCAAGCACGGCGCGGGGACCGAAGCTAATGATGGCGATTCGGCGTCGATGATTTTGCTGACAGGGCCGAACATGGGCGGCAAGTCGACGCTGCTGCGGCAGCTGTGTCTGGGTGTCATTTTGGCGCAACTCGGCTGCTACGTGCCGGCGCAGTCGGCAGCCATTCTCCCCGTCGATCGCCTGTTTACGCGCATCGGTGCGCGCGACAACATGCTGGCCGGGCGCTCCACCTTCATGGTTGAGATGGCCGAGACATCGACGATTCTGCGCTACGCGTCGCCCCGGTCGCTCGTCGTCCTCGATGAGCTGGGCCGTGGCACAAGCACACACGACGGCGAGGCTGTGGCCTACGGCGTCCTCCACAGTCTGTGCTCGCGCCTGGGCTGTCTGGGCTTCTTCTCGACGCACTACGGCCTGCTTGCAGACTCGCTTCTCAAGCCTGCGGCTAACGGCGGTTCTGGAAGCACGGTCGAGCCGCATTTGCGACCCATGTTTATGGCGTGCGCGGTCAATGAGGAGGAGCATCGCGTCACCTTTTTGTACCGCCTGCAGCGCGGCATTGCGTCAAAGTCGCACGGGATGAACGTAGCCGCGATGGCTGGCGTGCCCGTGTCCATTGTGCGCAACGCCAACGCCATCGCCGAGAAATTCGAGAGGGAACTGAAGCAGAGGCAGGCGCTAAAGTCGGGATCCAGTGTTGACGACGGCGAGGCGGCGGTGCCCCTGACAATGCAGAGCGATTTTGCCAACCTCTTGCGCATGGCGGCTCTCCAATCAAAGTCCAAGAATACTAGTCTCGGAGACAATGATGATGGCGAGCAGGTCCCAGTCGGTGGCCCGAATTGCGCAAAGAAGGCCAACGAGAACCAGTACTGGAGCTGCATTGTCGACCATTTGCGCCGGACAATGCGGGCGAATGCACTGCACAATTGAGTGCGCGCATTGGGACGAGTTTTTTATAACGACATAATGCCTTCCTCGCCCATTATTTTCTTCCTCTCAAACTTTCCAATAATAACAATATGTGTACTCTAAAAGACAAGCAAACAGGCAAACAAGCATGCACGAATTCCAGACGACTAATTCTGGGTTCAAGCGCTGTTCTGTGCATTGAAATATTCAAATGGCATTGTTGCTGCACCAACCAGCCAGTACAATTCAACTGGAGTCAATAATAGTTCTCTTTTTTAACCCGCTTATTCCAATGCTCATTTAACAACTTAATCCAAGCATTCAAATTGAAAATACGCCGCATTTAGTTGTGCCAGACCATGCAAATGCAAGCGCGTATTGTCCCTGGTCTTCATTTACGCTATGCGCATAATTGTCTCCTAATTATGCGCCCACAGCTGTGACACTTTACAATATACCATTCGATTTTACTAAACAAATGCATGTTTGTACGTATGATAAACAAATATTTTAAGCGGCACAACCGGTTTTTTGTATGGCACACGGTCCTCACCAGATTTGCGGCATTGCATGCGGCTGATATTTGCCACATGATAGCAGCTCTTTGTTTCTACTGCGCATGGCTTACGGCTATTTGGGTGTCTATTGTCCATGTGGACACCTGTTGTGGGCGGATGAGCAAGCCTGGGAGAATGGCGTCGGTGGTTTTGTTTGTTCTTACTTTGGCACCCAAAACGACAATTTCCATACCTGCCCTATTTTATTTGCCATTGCCATTGGCTTTGTCGCTTGCTTTTCTGTTTGTTTTTATACTTAAAACAGCAATATATAGCTTGAATGGCTTGAAACAAAAACAAGAAGCAGTGCGCATTTTTATATCCCGCTGCTGTCGGCTTGTTATTTCTATTTTGGCAAGCTCGTCTTAAGTGTCTGCTTCCTTTTTTTCTTCTTCCTTTTTTTCCTCAAGGCTATTTCTACTTCTATTCTGCTCTGAGTTTTTAAATTAGCTTGAATTATTTTCTTTTTTTCTTTTTTCTTTTTTTGTTTGTTTGTTTGTTTGTTTTATATTCATTACTGCGCTTACTGCAATTTTCTTTGCTTTTCTTTACTGCTCTACTCGACTCTCAGTTGTTTGAAACAAACTGACCCTATTTTCTCTTTCTTTTTTCTCTCTCACACTCTCTTTTACATTTTCCTGTTTATCTCCAGCTCCTTGCCTTTCTTTTCACGTCCCTACCAGCTCCTCCTCCTCCCCCAACCAGCTTCTTCACGGTCCCTGCAATATGCAGTTTCTGCACCTGTAAATTTATTTTGTTTTGTCTTGCTTTACTATTTGCATGAACAGGCTTTCATTGCTTAATTTTTCATCACTCATTAATTAAAAACAGGATATTTCAATCCCAACCAGTCGCTTCTTGAATTGGGCTTGCCCAACATCACCCTTACTGCCTTTGACAATATTATATTCTTTAGGCAAGTAGGCTTTGGCACGTCTTTTCAGCAGACAAGTAACCTCGTCGATTTTTGCGGATATCTTTTTTTCTTGTTTACGTTTTCTATTTCTCTCCCCCCTTTCAAAATTCAGCACTCGTCTTTTTTTAACCTTTTAGTTCTTCACATCCAATTTTCGATTTTTATATTTTCCTCTTCCCAAGCACAATAGCGATTCATTATCTTTACTAATTTTTTGACTCGCTCTTAGTGGCAACAACTCTTGGTGCATTTTGCAAATAAACTACTCCCACACAACCCACACACAATCCCTTCTTTATAATATTTCTTTCTCCTCATTCAATTAATCGACTGCTTTTTTGTTCTGGCTTCAGTTCATCAACAGAAAATAATTGATTTATAAAGCTCTGTTTGGTGGTAATTGTAACTGCACAATTTATACTCTAAACAGCAGCATTATCAGAAACTCGATCGCAAACATTATTTATTCACTCATTTTCTCTTAATTTTCTGATTATTATTTTTTCTTTCTATATCCCGCTCAGCGTCATATAATGGAGAACTGGCTGCTGGCAGTTATTTGCACTTCTCTCTTGTTGGCTGGAATTGTCCTTGGGGGCGTTGGCGTTTTTCTCTATGGATGCTACAACAAGCGGCATAACAAACAAAATACTCCAAGAGGCCGTCTGCGCTCGACATTGTCACTGAAGAATTTGACTCGCAAACGACCGCGGACGAGAAGCAGACGATGCACAAAGGCTCTAGCAACGACCCGGCCATCAGCATCACCCTAAAATTCCCAGATCCAACCCTGAACTTTCCCTTGGCGCATGATTCTGCGTCGCTTTGTAGCAGCCAAAGAAGCCTCTTTGTCCCCTCAGTGTCGCGGACTGCAAAGTCTGTGTTTTCCATGCGCCTAGATGCGGAATCTGAATTGCGTTTACAGAAGACTGACAGAATCGTTATAAAGGAAGTGTCGATCCCCGACTGCAGTGTCGATCGCCGCCTATATTCAGCGCGGGCGAAAAATAAGGAGAGTACTTTGTCCGAGGGCAATCACATGCAGGCACCGATGGCCGGTCTAAGCCACGTTCACCAATTCAGTCCCAGTCCAGTCGCGTCCGAATTCGTTGCTGCGGGGTCTGGGCCTGAGTGCGACTGGCTGTGCAGATATGGACGATGGCGTAGAGGACTCGCCCAACACACTGGATACGACAAACTGCTGCACAAGAGGCCCATGAACACGACCATATCCTCTACGAACACGACCATATCCTCTGTGGATCCCTGGTCTTCACCCCTGGACATGGAGTCGACCATGACACAGGTGGATAATGCCGCTGATGCCAACTACAACGATATGGGGCTCATTGAGGATGAATTCGCCGAGTGCGATGAAGTCCACCGTCTTGGTGACCAAGCGAACATCCCGAGGCTTTCTCCGGCGGGAAGCAACTTTGAGATGATCAGTTCGATGGACACGCCAATATCGCCGCGCACTCTCGCAAGCCCCTGCGGGAGTTCGGACTTTGAAATGATCCCGCAGTCGCCATCCATTTCCTGGCTTTACGATGGAGCACCCTCGGACACATTGTCGCAGCACCATCTCTCTTTATTGATCAACCCTCGGACTACAAGCATGATTAAGTCGGTGAGCTCGCCGGGATGTCTCATAACGAGCGGTCCGTCATTGTTTTCTCCGCCACCGGTGCACTTTCACCAAAAGTTTTTCGAGTCGCGCCGTATCAACATGTCGCCCTTCAGGAGCTCGAGCGATCCGCCAGCTGCGGCTAAGGATAATTGTCTACACGCGTAACACGTAGCACAATGCCCGTGGCCGATGCTGGTTCGGTATTAATTTTTATCTTTGTGTATATTTCTAACCTTATGATATTTAATGTAAAATTTTAACGATTCAAGCTTTTATTTGAAAAAAATATAAATTTGTAAGTTATATTTGTATTAATGCAAATATTCAGATCTTTTGTAGATGGTGCATGCTAACTCTACTCAACTCTTGTCAAGTTTGGCCAAAACTAAAAAAAAAACTAAAAGAGTGTCAAAACGCTTGTTTTGGCTGTAATCACTGTAGATTCATCCAGTCGTTGCCAAAATTATTGAAGAAATCGCAATGCACAATTCTCTCAGCCTCATTTACCTCCTCACCATGGCCGCCACCGCCACTGCCACCACCAAACCGATGCCCCTTACCAGAGTTGCGCATACGCACATCGTCAGTAAAATCGGCAAACCCGCCAAAGTCCTGCTCCATATCGTAATCACGATCATAGTCGACATACGAGGCATGGATATTGCTGCTACCGCTGCCGCCAATAATAGCTGGAGACTCGGGTCCGGCGCTGTCATTAACGCGGTAACCCCCATATGGGGACGCAACTGGTGCCCCTGGCCCGCCGCTGTTTGTGCACTGGGGTGTGTTGTTGGTGGAATGCGGTGGTGTGAAGGTCGCCGGGATACTTGCGCGCTGTGGTTGGCTCTGCTGTGACCCGGTGTCCTCGGGCGTGTCCAGGTCCATGTTTGAAGAGCTCATTTCGGGTGATTAATAGTTGATTGAATTGAATTGAATTGAATGAATGCAAGGCTGAATGGAGTAAAGTACAAAAACAAAAATTCGAATTAGAAAAGAAAGAAAAATTAAAAGAGAAAAGGGGTAGGGAAACGTCTAAAGCTTTTCCTTTGCCAAATCGCGCTTTGTATGCTGCGGGGGTTTCCCCTTCGTTAGCAGAAAAAATTTGTGCGAATAGAAATATGTAAATGAAATGAAAATGAAGAGAAGGAAAAAAATGAGAAGGAAATGTACTGGAATGTGCTGCTGCTTTTTGCTGCTGGTTTGTGTATATATAAAGACATAGCCCCCCTTTTAAAAGGTGGTTAGGTGGGCCTCATCGATCAACATGCTCGAGGGGCGGGGATTGTTGCTGTCGAAGCTGAGACTGGACCTAAAGCTGAAGCTGCCACTCATCAAAGGCGGAGTGGGCATTGCTGTCGGCTGCAACTCTGCCGCAACAACGGTGGCAGCGGCAGGGCTGGTCGCCGTCATTGTGCTCCTCGCGCTGAGCCGGCCATCACGGTACAACGGAGACATCAGTGCGAGCAGCTTCTCGCACTCCTCCCTGATGGAAGTCGCCTCGTCAGCAATGCGCTGGAGGCTGGCTGGCGCGGCGCCAACCACTGATTGCCGCCGGCATCTGCGCTGCTTCGACAGTGAGAACCTCATCATCGCCCGCGGGCTGGTTGGTGAGAACCCGCCGGCCACACTGCATCCGTCGTAGCTCGTGCGTGGAGACGATTTCCCCACTGACCCTGCATGTCTGCAGCCCCGGGGTCCTCGCTGGGCATGTCGTTACTGAAGCTATGCCGCCTATCATGCTCGTCATCTGACTGATCGATGCCCTTGCGGGCCTTGTCCCAGGCGTCCTGCACGTAGAGCGAGTATTGCTCCCAGTCGCTGAATGCCAGCATGATGGCACGCTTCTTGCTCAGCGTCAGCCTGCTTTCGACATTGTTCATGGGCACATTGTCGTTGTCCATGATGGTTAGCAGCGCCTCGGCCTGGCGCCAGAGCTCCCACAGCCGCTCCTCTTCGACAGAGGGCTCGATCGACCCACACGGCTCGCGAATGGCACTGACAAAAGCTGACGTCCCAATGCGAATGCCGCGATCGGGCAGCTCAAACACCAAACACCTCAGAATAAGCGGACGCAGCTTTGCCAGGGCGTGCTGAGGTTGCTGATCTGCAAGAGGTACTTCTCCTGCTGCAAGACCTTATGCTGGGCATCGAGCACGCTGCGGTCAATAGCGCGGTCCTTGAGCCGACTGCCAGCGGTAAGGCGGTAGGGCGACCGCCGAGACATGGGCCGATCGGATGAGCGGCGCCATGATGTCGGGGAGCTAAAGTCTGAGTTCCAATCGCTGCTGTCATCGGGCAGCACATGCACAGCGACCTCCGAGTTGGTGTTTGCCAGCACCTCGTCGTCGGACACAGTGTGCTGGTCGACGTCGGATTCCTGATTATTGTAGAGCACCTGTTTGATGTTTATCGACGATATGGACTTGCGCGGCGACCGCGACATCTGGGACAGCCTCGATCCAGGGAGTGCGGCCAGTTTGAATGGCTTTATTGAGCTTGGCGTGGATTCTGCTATCCGGGAAACATTGGCCATATCCGTGCTTGCGCCAGAACCCGTGTTCGCAGCATCGGTGATGTCATCTTCGAAAGTCGCGCGAGCACGAGGACGAGGGCAATCACGATCACGATCACCGGCGATCACCGACATCGCAAGCAGCCATGGATTCGGAGATTTCTTCAACCAACCCATCGACAGCCGGAATTACAACCTTTAAAGCCGATGTCGATCTCAACGGCACTATTGTTCCCTTGTACGCCTTTTGCGACCGTGGATTGGTCTGTGAGACATGCAGTCTGGTTGAGCTACCGGATGCCGTCGCCAATGCGGGGGTTGATATGGAGCTCGGCGGCAATTGTGGACGCGGGTTCCGCGCATACACGTTCTGATCTGACCTCGCGGCTACTAGCGGAGGCGGGCCAGCAATGGCCAATTCGCTGCGTGTACGCTGGGCGCTGAGCGTGGTTATTGCCCGATTAATCCTCTTTGAGCGCATGTATCCGCCAAAGTCCATTGTACTGCTGGTGCTGTCGCTCATCTCAGTGCCTGCACTGGCGCTGGCGCGCAATCCAGAGGCCTCCATATGCGACACGCTTGAGCTTGTGCGGTGGTGGTCCTGCTGCTTTCTCCTAAACAAACGAAGCACCGACCGGTGGACCGGCACGCACCCCTTGGGGTCGGCCTCGGCAAAAGACGCGTGGCGCAAGCCCTCGAAGGTTGAAGCGTCTGTTGAGTGTGCGGCCTGTTGTGCGTAATGGGGCCTTTGGATTGTCGGCGAGCTGGACGATGGGCCGACTGTGGCAGCGCTATGACTTGCCTTTACTGCTCCACTATCTATGGTCACCGAGAGTGCCGACCGCTGATGCTGCCTGGACGGTTCTGTAAAGTGCGCCCTCTGGTCATGCATGGTCGACACTGGCAAGCTAAAGGTGCGATACTAGAGGTATAAAAATGCCTGCACGATCAAAATTTGCGATAGCAAGGTGCGGAGAGCGAAAAAATATGTTTTATACAGGTTGATAAGATATAAAAGGAATGTGAATGAGAATGAGACAAAGAATAAAAGGGAAAATGAATAGTGCAAGTACGAAAAAACCCCGAGAGGGCGGGAAGCGGCGGTGGCGGCTGTGATGGTGATAATGATGATAATGGTGCGAGGGACAAAAGAAACAAACGAGAAAGGTTGAGCAAGAGAAAAAGAAAGACGAAACGAAAACGAAAAGAAAGTAATACGCTTCGTCACCGCCCTTTTTGAATTTAAATAAAATTGAATTTGGATAAATGAAAGCAACAACGAACAGCCTCAGCAGGCAGAGGAGAATAAGAAGAGCCAAACAATATAATGGAACCCAGAAACACAAAGGCGCGTAAAAAAAACAACAAGCTGTCCGTCTGTATGTGGAAACGGGAAACTGCCAAAAGTGGGGGTAAATAAGCAGAAAGGAATGGCGTTTGCGCGTTTACTCGGAGTTTGGTTTGAGATTTAATTACATGCACAAGCCCTCTCTTTATTATGCAAGCTTGGGGTTGATTTTTTTAATAAGCACATAAACAAACAGAATTCAACAAAAAAGGTAACAGCCTGGACAGGACGTAGCTGCTCCCTCCCCCCTTTTATATGCCACAATTTAATTCGTGCATTTGCGCGCATGCCATTTCATTTGCACTGAGAACGCCATATCAGACCGGCCGTACCAGACCGTACCAGATTGGACCAGGCTGGACCACCCAAGACTGGCAATGTCAATGCTATTATACTTTGATTTCCCAACGCATTTTTCGGCGGCAAATGACAACAGCCAGAATCGCTCCGAGTGTATTTTTATCCAACACGACTGTTATTGTCTTTTTGCATAGCCAAAACGAACTGTTTGTCAGTTGCACTTAGTGTACATGCAATGATCAACATTAAACTCACAAAGGCCCGATCCTAAAAATGGCGAGCACATAAAATTTTCACAACAATAACATGCGTTGTTTTGCACAGAAAGAAAAGTATGCTGATTTTTATGCAGCCAGCACAAAACACTGGATTCCCAGTACCTGGCATAGCCACCAAAAAAATAATGGCGAAGAAAAATATGTTTTTCCATGCAAAATAACATTTTGACAATTGTTATGTACGCGGCACTAATGACAAGATTACTACTTGTTTTTCCGTTTCATTTGTAGATCGGAAAAACATTGTCTTAAAACGAGCAATTGTGTGCGCGGATTGACTTGAATTTTATTGTTTTTTTACGTTTTTCAATTGCAAGCTGCAGTATTGGCATATCATTGTCCTGCGTTGAACAAAATATTTTTCTAAAGATTTTGAGTGCAAAGTAGAAATATGCTTGTTTTTTCATTGTTCGTCTTGAAAAGTTCGTTCGTTTTTTACTTTTTAGAATAACAGTACTCTGAACAAACAAATTAAAGAGTTACAGAGTGCATGACCCAACATACTTTTTGCGATTTCAATTGCATTAATGAATTTGATAAGCCACTGATTTATTTGTTGGCCAAATTCCCAACATATGCCGAAAAATTAATTAACGACCTACTTTGGCAATATTATATCCACATATACTAACTCTACAACTATTAATTTGAGATTAGAAAATTAAATACGCGACATTAAATTACATACACTATAAGAAAGAATGAGGCTACAAATATACTTGACATCCTTCTCCCAGATAAAGTATTTAGAAACTAGTGGCAATAGACCACTATGGTTGACGATATTATCCAGTTCGCTGCTTCTTGCAAAGAGAAGCAGAGACAGATGAATTCTTGCGCACACGCTTGGCCTTGGGCTTGGACTTGAGCAAAGTCTCGGGTGTCGCTGTACACTCGGATTCGGCCACTCTGACGATGCCTTTTTGCGCGAGAAACGGGGAGGATGCTGGCCTTTAAGCGGGGCATTAAGGATGATGCGAAAGTTTAACACCCAGCCATGTCACGATTCCACTTTCGTCTGCCTGATGGCACTTTTCGCCATTCTTGGTCTTGGCTCCGTCAGGCCTGAAGCTTTGCAAGCAGTTTTCCATTTGCACTGGAGCAAGCCATGTTATAAATTTTGGCGAGGTTTTTTTACCGCCGGAATTGTATTAACACCTGTTGCGACCACCTGCTCCTGGTGACTATGCTACTGCTGCTGTTGTTGTCAGCATTTCCAGAGCCTTTCTGAGACTGTGAAATACTCTTGGCCTTGATCCTTTAACCCGTGTGTTTGCGGTGAGTGATAATACGATTATTTCTACGCCATCCGTACAAATGGCCCTTCCGAACTTGACTAAAAGCTCCCTCATAGGCAGAATCTTGGGGACCTTGATATCCAGACAAAGACTATCCTTGTGCAGTGCTTTGAGTTGGCTGTTGTGACATAGTGCACCATGCAAGGATGGTCTTGTCAATTGTAGTAAACCCTGGACAATAGTGTCCTCATCAAGAAGAGGAAAACTGTCTTCATTGCCTTGTTGAGACTTAAAGACCGGAAAATCCCAACAAAAGCCCCAGTGTGGTTCATTGTATTGGCCACAGAGTCATACTGGAGCCCCTTTGTCGCCAAAACTGTAGTACTCAGGGTAGGTGCCAAAGAAGCTCTCAATTAGGTGTTTCATCCCGTCGCAAAACACAGGATCTGACATTTGTTTGGTGTTGATCTGCTTCCTGGCTCTGCTGAAATTCTGATATCCTTACTAATCCGCTGTTGTATTTCTTTTTTGGTGTGGCCATTCTCCTTCGTAAGTTCCTTATATTGCCATTCAGTCCTTTTCTTTACATCAAGTGCTATGTAAACCATATATTTTAACTGCTTGTTAAGGCACTAAGACGCATGAGATTTATACGCCACCAGAATTGCCAGTCCCTCATAATTAGCAACATTGGCCGCACCAGTGAGATGTAAGCACTCAAACCTGGTCTCCTCAACGAACGTGTGCCTGTGCCTGTTGAAGAGTTTGTCATTTGCGTTGTTCATGTTTCTGCATGGTTTGTTTTTATCTCCAAGACAAAGGGCGATGAAACACTCCTTAAAGAAACTTTGATTTAAATGGTCGACGGTATTAAACCCTTATTATCCAGCTCTTGTAAAAAGATATACTGCGCGAGCTCATATGTGGCTGTTGTAACACGGTGGACGATAACGACATGTTTGCGCAGGACTGTCAGAAAATAGGGACAGAGCATTTTGCAGAGGCCGAGAAGCGCCTCTATGCTAATGGGCATACAAAATATAGATATAAATATAAAAAGTCGAATGGGAAGACTATATTCCAAAGAGCATATAAATATATTTTACTAAGCTAAAACTGACTAAAGAAGTCTCACCGAATTTATTGCGTTTGGGAGGGATTATTATATCCAATGCGTACAAAACAATAATAAGCACCAGCACTGTCATTGGCATTGACATTAGCATCAGTACTGGCTTAAGTGTTTAAAAGCCCAAAAGCCAGCGCCCTGATTCCCTGCTATTTCCAGCCCAAAATGATGCTGAAAAATAGGTGTTGGTACAGAGCGTGCCGAATACCAGCCATTTTATAGACTTTTTTATAGTATTTTCCAATAAATAAAAACTATAAAATCCCAATAAAAATATTTGAACCCCGAAATTTTGTATGGAATCGCTCTACAGAATCGTTCTATGGAATTGTTCAATGGAAAATACATTTTTAATTCAGGTATTGGTGAGACTTCTTTTTTAGGGAAATGATAAATAATTTGTTTTACGCCTAAAAAGAAGTTTTTTAGGCAGGCAAAAAAATGGAGAAATGAAGTATTTCTTACCCCACATTTTTCATCGCATATGACACAGTTTGCTTCCACGTTATTCCATGCAGGGAGCGCGTATGATACTTTGTGATCATAATAATAAATCAGGTGACCTTTTAATTCTTTTTTTGGGATTTCAACCTTGCACTTTGCAATTTATACTTTGTACTTTGTACTTTGCAATGTAAAACAATGGGCACTGGTCAATTTTGCGTTGTGTGGTCGACTGCAAATGCTATAAAATAAATGGCAAAATAATTTAGCACACTTTATGTCTCTTCCTTCTCTTCAACTTTATTATTATTTCCATTTCAAACCTTATAGTTTAGCATTTACAACTACAACTACAACCACAATAATGGTATGTGAGAATAAAAAGAGAAGTTCTACAGGGAACAATCGCGTACGGTGCATGTGTTGCCATGTTTCGGAAGACACCGGGGAAATAGCTAGATGTACGAGTCGTTCAATTTAGAAGCTTATAAAAGTGATGGGGACCAACCTTTGTTTGGTGATGGTAGCGATACAGAAATCTCATTGCAATGCATAAAGCAAATCAATACTGGCACGAAGCCTGGTTCTTCTCAATATAATAGTAATGATTTGAAAGTGAAGTTTGAGTCGGAGAGTAAGTTGGAGCTAGAGGCAAAAACTGCACCAGAGGCTGTACCAAATGCTATACCAAATTCCGCGCCAGAGACCGCGCCAGAGGCTGCAATAACAGCTCAAAACACCCTTGAGACATTGTCTGAGCCAAACGCTGAGCTTGTGCCAAAGACTGAACTCAAGTCAGAGCCGAGTAAACAGTAGGTTTACTTGTGCATGGCGTCAATTTATTTTTTATTGTTGGAACTGGGTCTACTGTTTTTTAACATTGTAAAATATACACCAAAATTTTCAATAAATCCTTGTAATTTAAAGTACTTGCACAATAAATGTTAATTCTGCATTGAATGACTTGTATCAACTAAACACATCAAAATTGTCTGCGTAAAAATACCTTTTAATCAAAAAAATACCGCTCATCCTTACGCGCGCACAAAATCAAAGCTCATTTCGGTAATCGACACATCCGTGGCGGCGTTCTCGTCATAATCATACCACTCCTTCTCTGTCAGATCAATATCAAACACCGTGGTCGACTCTAGGCCCTTGGCAACCCACCCGTCGCGGGGTTCAAACTCCACGGGCTCCAGATTGCGGCACTCAATAATCAGCACACGCTTCATCGAGCCGTTGTCTTCCTCCGTGTAGGGGAATGGCCCGTCAACAATGGACGCCGAGCCTTCGCGCTTGCAGAATTTGCACCGCATCACCAGGTTGGCTCCGCCGCGGCTGCCCGAGATCTGGTTGTTGTCACCAGAGGCAATGGTGACGGTGTTTTCGCTGACTTCGTGGCAGCTCGTGCACTTGATCTTAAAGTTCCAGCTATACTCAGAGTCCGCCGGACGCAGGTCGGTAACGTTGTTGAGATCAGCTTTGATGCAAAGAGCGAGTTTGACCATGGTTGAGATAAAGTGTATTTGTATGAGTTTAATATCGTTTATTTGAATTTCAGCTGGCGCATATTTCTGGCATATTACCCCACATGTGCATTGCTTTCATTTACGGGCACAACCCACGTGAGAAAATATTATACTCGAGAGAAAATATTACGCCAAGTTGGCCTGCTTGACGCACTCGCCAAGGATAGCAGCACCCTTCTTGATGTCAGCGATGGAAATATTAAGTGGCGGGACGAGGCGGACAGAGTTCCCTCCAGCGGCGACCAGCATCAAGCCGTTATCGCGCGCAATGTCAACGATCTTTGACGGATCGCTGCGGAACTGCACGCCGCGGAGAAGACCAATACCACGCATCTCAACGACAACATTGCCAATGAATGGCGCCAGTACCTTGGTCAGTTCCTGCTCGAGCACCTCTCCAGCAGTCGAAATGTGCTTCAGGAACTCGGGTCGTTGATGTGATCGAGCACCACGCAGCCGACACGGCACGCCAGCGGGTTTCCACCAAAGGTCGTGCCGTGGTCGCCGACCTTCATAATGTTCGCAACCTTGTTGCTGGCCAAAATGGCGCCGATAGGATACCGTTGGCCAGCGGCTTAGCCATGGTGACAATGTCGGGGCTGCAGTCCTCAGGGTACAACTGGTGCGCCCACATCTTGCCCGAGCGCCCGAGCCCGCACTGGATCTCGTCAAAAATCAAAAGCGCGCCAACCTGGTCGCAGCGGCGACGCAGAGCGCGCAAAAAGTCCACCTGCGCCGGATGGATTCCGCCCTCGCCCTGGATGGGCTCGACAATGACACCGCACGTGCGCTCGTCAATAAAAGCACCGAGCTCACGCGTCTCGTTAAACTTGACGGTCTGTACGCCCGGGATCAGCGGCGTGAAGGGCTTCTGGTACTTTGGGTTAGCCGTCACACTCAGAGCGCCCATCGAGCGACCGTGGAACCGCCGGTGAACGAAACGATGCCGCACTTGAGGTTGGGATCGCCGCGCAGCGCCTCCGACGCGGTCTTTCCTAGAATGCCCTGCTCGGCCACCAGCTTGCCGTACTTACGCGCAAACTTGAGCGCGCCCTCGTTGGCCTCGGTTCCTGAGTTGGAGAAGAACACGCGCGCGGTGGCGTCCGAGCCGCTGTCGTCCTTGGCGTAGATGCCCTGCGTGCCCTGCGGATATGACTCGAGAGTCGCGCTGACAATTTTCTGGGCCAGCTTGGGCGCCCACTCGTTGTGGTAGAGGTTTGAGCAGTGCACCAGCTTGGTCGACTGGTCGGCCACGGCGGCAGCAACGGCCGGGTGGCTGTGGCCGAGTCCCACGACAGCAATTCCAGCAGTGAAGTCAAGGTACTCCTTGCCGTCAGTGTCGTACAGATAGCTACCCTTGCCGTGCGAGAGCACGAGTGCTGGGCGCGAGTATGTGTTGACTATGAACTTTTCCGTGTTCTCAATGACCTGCTTGCAGGCGGCGCCCTGGTTCATCTGGAAGCTGGTGGCGCGGTATCCGCGTACCGAGACTTTATCGTTTGCCGGGCGCCGATATGCATGCCCGAAGTCAGCAGCATCTGCGCGGCCTTGGATTTGAGCATCAGCGAGTTCATGGTGCGAAGAAAATAATGTAAAAAGGTATGTGTTAAAACGTGGAGTGTTTGCTTCGCTAAAGATAAAAAGAAAAGAAAGCTTGGGATCAAATATTGGTTGGCCGGTATCCACCCCCGTTATTTTATATCTACAGGCAATTTCGATCGCCTTCTTTGTTTTGCGGGCGGGCTTACTTTTGAAGAGTCACATTTTTATGATACCCCAGGCTTGCCTGCTTGAAAACGCGACCCAAAGCAATAAAACAATTTTAAATGAGGCGTGTCACCAGCCGCAGCCATTAAAGCAGAAATCGAGCTAGAACTCTCTCACGCTTGCCATTATGTCTCCCTCAAATCTCGAGCTGTATCTGCTGCCATTTATTTATTTTTGTCTTTAACTTTGAAATTTTGTTTTTTTGTCCGTCTCGTGCTCGAGTTTTGAATATAGTAGTGACACATTTTTCAGAACCACAGTTTGAACAAGCGGCCAGGGCCAGTTTAATCGGCCAACCAAGCCTTGCGCTGCTTTGCGTTTTTGCCAGATATTTGAAAGGGTGCAAATCAAGATTGTGAAATACGCCTACAGTATTATATGATTAAGGAAAATCAAATCAGTTGAAACAAAGGAGAAAAAAAAGTTTGGCACAGCAGCTTTTTTTTCCTTTTTCTCGAAAAAAAAAAAGTGAACGAGTTTGCAACAAAACAGCGCTTGTAATTTTTTACATGCACGGCAGGCACAGTTTTGTCTCCCTTTCCTTTCTTGCTCTCGTCGTTCCTTTGTTCCAAGACTTTGCACATTTCTATTCCTATTATTTTGTTTATACATTAATTTGTCAAGGGAAAAAATCGGAGGCCCGTATCGTCAGCATAACACTTAGTATATAGAGAGTATTTAAAAATGGTCCCCAAAAAGCACAAAAGCAAGCGTCTGTCCATCAAGCAACAGAAGAAGATCCACACGCGGTCGAAGGAGAAGCACCGCAAAGACAAGCGCGATGCCAAGCGCAACCCCCACAAGAGAGTCAACAAGGATCCGGGAATCCCCAACCTGCTGCCCTTCAAGGACAAGGTGCTGAAGGAGATTGAGGGCCACCGCGAGGCCGTCAAGGAGGAGAAGCTGCGCCAGAAGGATGCGCGGTCTCAGCAGCACAACAACAACCGCCAGCTGGACGTCATCCCAAAGACGCTCGCCGAGCTGGCCAGCGACGCGATGAGGCGGGAGGCTGCCTTTGCTGAGGAGCACGACATCTCGGATGAGGAAATGGGCGGGCACGAGATCAGCGAGGGCGCCGTCACGGGCCGTCGCGACAACTCGAAGCGCGCGTACTATCGCGAGTTCCAGAAGGTTGTGCAGCACGCCGATGTTATTCTCGAGGTCCTGGATGCCCGTGATCCTCTGGGCACACGTGCCCCACAGATCGAGCGCATGATCCAGGATGCCGGCGCCAACAAGCGCATCATTCTGATCCTCAACAAGATCGATTTGGTCCCGCGCAGCGTTGTCGAGAAGTGGCTGACTTACCTGAGGCACGAGTTCCCGACGTTGGCGTTCAAGGCGTCCACGCAGGAGCAGCGCCGGAACCTCGGTCAGGCCGTGTCCAACACCAAGAAGGCCCTCACGCTCAGCACCTCCGAGTGCGTGGGTGCGAGTCGCTGATTCAGCTGCTCAAGAACTACTCGCGCAACCAGAAAATCAAGACCTCCATCACCGTCGGTATTATTGGCTTCCCCAACGTCGGCAAGTCGTCCTTGATCAACTCGCTCAAGCGCTCCCGTGTCTGCGGTGTTGGCTCCACACCGGGCTTTACAAAGTTTGTGCAGGAGATTCAGCTCGACTCTAAGCTCAAGCTGATGGACTGCCCCGGAATTGTCTTCAACAGCCCCGTCAAGTCCTCGCAAAAGATGGACAAGACCGCCATTGCCGAGATGATGCTGCGCAACTGCATCAAGGTTGAGCTGTTGGACGATCCCATTGCTCCGGTCGATCTCATTGTCCAGCGCTGCAAGCCGCAGGCGCTGCAGGCCATGTACAACGTGCCGGCCTTTTTGGACACCCGCGACTTCCTCGTGCGCCTCGCCCGCCAGCGCGGTATGCTGATGCGCCAGGGTATTGCCGATCTGCCTGCCGCCGCCCGATTATCCTCAATGACTGGAACAAGGGCAAGATCCCTTACTATACTCTGCCCCCGGGTATGTCGCAGGACACTGCATCGGGCAAGACTGCCGCTGGTGACGCCGCTGCTGCGCACGGTGCCGGCCGCGCCGTCATTGTCAACCAGTGGGCCAAGGAGTTCGACATCGACGGTCTTCTCGGAGACATGGACTCGAAGGTCCTGGCCGAGGCCAGCACCAATGTCGCTGCTGAGCGCCGCTCCGTCGTCATGGAGGGCCGCGCGGTGTTTGATAACGCCGAGATGATGAACATGGATGATGACAGCGACGAAGATTCAGAGTCTGACTACGAGTCCGTTGACAGCGACGCCATGGAGGAGGATGACTCGGACATGGAGGATGACGAGGAGAAGACAGGTGAGAAGGCTGCAAAGAAGGACACCACCTACATTGTCGATCTCCCTGAGGCTCGCAAGGCCAAGGCCGCTGTGCGTGGCGACAAGGTCGCTGCTCCTGAGACCACCTCCAGCATGGGCAGCATCAATGCCGAGAACCGCAAGCAAAAGAAGAAGCAGGCCAAGAAGGCCAGAGCCCAGGCCAGTACCGAGGACGACGAGATGGTTGCCGACGAGTCCGATGGAGACAACTACAACTTTGGCACGTACTTTAAGCAGCCCGTCGAGGAGGCTGCTGACTCTGATTCTGACGAGGATCTCTGATTGTTTTCTTTTTTCAAATCTTTCCTATTTATTTCCCCAATCACAAAAAATGACATTTTATTACACGCAAAGCAAACACGGGTAAGTAAACTGTTTGATATATAACTGCATTCCAATTATTGCTGGTAACCTGGTGCACATCACTGCATTGTTGATTTGTGTTTCTAATAAGAAGCGTCCCAGATTTGCGGAGGGCGGGACGGCGGGGGATAGTCTCTGCAAGAGCTAGTTGCGCAATTCACAATCTTACTGGCAGAATGCATTCTTTGAAGTTCGTGCTGCTGGTAGTTCTTATTTTATTTTTAAAATGAGGGCTCGTATTTAGAGATATCTCTTGTTTCAAGTTGCAACGATTAATAAATGTCTAATATTTTTGTAAAGTGAATTGAAATCAAAACTTTATACTATTTATATAAATAATGTCAACTAGCAAACCTGCCTGTCAATCTGTTAATTTTGTTGCGAGTGAATGCAGGAGAGTAAAAGTAACCATATCGTTTGTTTTTTATATTTCTAGTGGGTAACAAAAGCAGGGGTTGGCATTATTCAATCCTCCTCCCTCCAATAAATAGCAGATGTTTAAAAGAGGAGTGGGGTGTGCACAAATTGGACAATAGCAGAATACGCTTCGCAAGCACAATAAATAGTTGAATACATAATGTCATTATCTGTTTCACGTATCATGTACATGACTTCATGTACGCCTTACATATTTCTTTAAATGACAGATTATCGAAGCCACTGACTAGATTTATAGAGAAAAAATTTGCTGACACGAAAATACCAGAATGCAAGCTGACATATATGCATGGAGAGACATAACTGAACCAAGCCTATATTCTTCTGTGCGAATAAATATTTGTGTGATTTGAATAGATTTAAAATGCATCGTGCAAATGTGTTTTGGTTGAGATATTCTCTTGGAACTATTAATTCATATTATCTGTATTTTTCGGACAGTTAAAACTGTTTTTTTATAATATTTTGATATATTGATATTATAGGATTGACAAAATTTCAATACATAGGGAGCAGCCACAATTAATACACAACTATTGAATTTGTTGTTATGAGACAAACAATATGTTACAAATGAGAGCTAACCCATACCGTTTATGACCTTGTCTGAAAATGCAATATTCATCTGCGTATCTTTTAAGGGCAACATAACCCCCCTATTTTTGCATTAATATATTGGTGGCGCGCCAATGTGCCCAATTATTAAAAAACAAACCTATACTAAAAGTACATGTCTAATTAACCAACATTTAATGTATTAGACATTAATTGCACTCAGCTATCTTGGTTTCTATATTTAACAAAGCGCCAAATCTGCTGTAGTGTGCTAAATCATGATTTGGCGAGTTGCGGCTCTCATATATGGGTTTATCGAACCGCGGTTCCCCTTTCGCGTTCTTTTTTTGCGCTTTTGGCGATCAGCTCACGTTTCGCGCATTTCGTTTTGTTTCGTTTTTTTTCTTGCTGCGTCCTTTTAATTATAATTTTTTATTCTTTTATATACTTCAAAATCACTTTAAATCACGAGCATGCTGGACATCACCACCGAATTTGCTGCTGTGGTGGATTCCCAGGATGAGTACACGCACAACGGGGGCGGTAGCCACAAAAGCAACACATCTCAGGCTCGACTATTCAGCCAGCTAGCCAAGCAACGGTATGTGAAGTGTGAATTCAACCGAAATTATCGGTGAAACAATAATGATAAGGTTCTTGAGTTTTATTTCTCATTGCTAACTGCTTTTATTGCTTATTTGTTATCCCTCAAGTAGGCACGAGGAAATTGCCAGCGACGCATTTACAGTTGACGATTCTTACAAAAAGAACGAGGCTGGCTACTGGAAGTCCGAGAGTAACACGTGGGACCTTTTGGAACGGCTGTACGCCTTGAGAGCGCAGGTGCCTGCCGATGAAGATTCCGAGGACTCAGTCATGCGCGAGGACAACGATAGCGACGAGCACAGTGTCCCAGAAAAGCACTCGTCGATCACAGCGACCGCTTTTTCCAGCGTTCAGGAGCTCATGGTGGCCAATAGTCAGCTCTCAGAGTACGTCGAGGTGCGCCGGTGGCTTGAGGAGAACGCACCCCCGTTCCAGCCCGTGGAGACGCGCAAGGGTTATCTGTTTTACACGCGCCGAAATATCAAGGAGCGCGAGCGGCTGGCCGGGAGTTCCGAGAAGGCAGCAGCCATAGTGGGGCGCATTGTCACCGAGGCAGACCCCGACTCCACATCTCGGCAGAGGAAGGAGCTGGCCTTTGAGGATGCCGAATACGAGTGCGGATTGCTGCGCACGCTTTTCGAGTACGTGAGGCGCGGGCGCGCTGATAACGCCATGGACCTGTGCATTGAGAGCGACGAGCCCTGGCGCGCGGCCAGTCTGAAGGGCGGTCTTTTTTGGCGTGACCCCAAACTGGAGGCTGACAGTGAGATTCCCGTTGACGGCAGCGACGCCACAGACATTGACGTGCGCCCGCCCCACCCAGCGGGCAACATTAACCGCACTCTTTGGAAGCAGGCGTGTGCGGCATTGGCGCAGGACGATAACAATGAGCTGTATGAGCGCGCTCTTTACGCCGCTCTGAGCGGGCGTCTGGACGAGGTGCTTTTGGTCAGTGGGAGCTGGGAGGATCATGTGTGGGCTTACGTCAACACGATGGTCGAGTCGCAGATCGACCAGGGCATCAAAGACGCCAGCGTACTGTACACGCCCGCGCAAAACACGTCTTTGGGCCATGTGCAAAGCAAGCACCCGTCCGTTCGCGATATCAAGCAGGTGTTTGACTCGCTGGCCACACACGAGTCTGCATCTTTGCGCAGTGAGGCTGGCGAGCCATTCCACGCGCTGCAGATGGCCATAATCACCAACACATTCCAGGACTACGTGATCGAATTTGCGCGCAAGCTCAGCGCCCAGGAGCTGAGCGACGACGAGAGCGATCTGCTTAGGGTTGTCGTTCACTCGGCACTGTATCTGCGCAGCCTCGGCTTTGACATGCCTTCCGACGCAGTTGATGTTTTGCTCGGGGAGTATATCGGTCACCTGACTACAGACCGCCGCGAGCTGGTTGCCTCATATGTCTCGCACTTGCCCGCCAGAAAGCAAACTGAGGCCTACGCCAGTTCCTACAGACTGTTTCTGATGCTATTCCTGTGCGCATGAACCTACTGAGGATCGGCGAGAAGCAAGGACTTGATGCCGATGCCATTGCCAAGCGCACATCCGAGCTCGTTCTGCTCAAGTATGCTTCTACCGCTAGCAGCACAATGTCGGGAGAAACTGAGTTTGCGCTTGCTGAGCCCGCCGAGCCCATCACCGACGAGGAGCTCGACCAAGTGCGGGCCATTGAGTGGATCACCAGCAGCCCACAGCTGTATGAACACGCACTGGTGGAGACATCCAGGCTTGTCCGGCAGTTCTTGCTCGCTGGGCGCACCAACGCTGCGACTCAGCTGCTCAACTCGCTGCCCGATGACTTTGTGCAGCAGGACTGGCTGAAGGGTGTGCGTGACCCTGCTTCTCCGGCGACCGGCGGCAGCGAGAATAGCGATGCTGTCTCTATGTCGTCTGATCTGTTTGCGGATCTCAGCGGGAACCACCGGGGCCAGAGCGCTGGGATTGCGTCGCATGTGCACGAGTACATCCACCTGCTTAGCCTGTGCGACGCGTACGCGCACTACTCTACCTGGGCCGAGACGCTGTGCAAGCAGCCCGTGGATACAGGGCGGCTGGGTTCCCGGGTGCAGACGCAGTGGCTGGAGTGGAAGGACACAATAGTGGCGTCCACCGAGCGGGCCATCCACATGTTCCGCACTCAACTTCTGGAGGTAGACTGGCTGAGCACCCAAACGCTGTGCATTGATGTTGACTCTCTGGAGATCATCAGCGACGAATTAGCGCAGAGGCTGAATGACCTGGCTCGTTTGCGCGAGATATACATCCCCGAGACGGTGTTCCGACTGCATTCGATTTTGTTTGACACGCGCGATGCGGTGCCGCAGAACCTTAAGCACAGTCTTGATTTGGCTCAGCTGGTTGCCGACGAGAGCCTGGGCATTTACCGGCAACTGGCAAAGGCGTCTCCTGCACACCCTCGCGGCCGCTTGGCTGCGTTCATGGGGCTGATGCGGCGGTCTGCATTCGAGACCCTGTGCATTCAGCAAGAGATGCAAGCTGACAAGCCACCATTGCTGGCTGGCCCGTCATCATCCATTTCTGGTGGTCTTGTTTGAGTGGGGCAGCTGTTTTATTTTTTGGTATGAAAGGCATCGCGCATTCAATATTCAACATTAAATATTTAAATATCATTTTTTTGTGTGGAAATATCGAGTGTGAATGAAAAATAAACTTGATCCCAACCGCTCCTGTTTACTGCTTCTTGAGGTCATCGACCGACGCAAACAAGCCAGCACGGTACTCGTCACGCTGGTTGCGGCTCATGCCGTGCATCTTTCCCTCGAAACCACCCGAGTAGTCGTAGGTGCCCATGGCCGTGGCAAAGAACGCACATCCACCGAGCGCAGAGGGGATCGAGCGCTTCCGCACGCCAGCAACGAGACCAGCAGCCAGCCAGCCACCGCTGAGTTCACGTAGTCATCCTTACCGCGGATCTGTACGACTGCCGCATCAACACCCGCAAAAATACCGCCCATAGCAGCTACACAAAAATTTTAAAAAATGAAGGATAAATAAAAAAATTGAAAGTATTTTTAAAACGTATTTAGTTTTATATTTTTGGTCTGCATCCCTCTGTCGCATGAATTATTTGCGCCCACTGCTTTCATATCAAATTGTTCTTACCCATGAAGCCAATGGTGCTGCCGTTCTTAGTCAACACGTCCAGAGCGGATCCACCCTTGCCTGGGCCGTAGGCTGTCTGGAATGCACTGACAAATACACCGAATGCGGCTCCGCCGAGAGTGTACTTGGCCGTCTCCTTCTTCCAGTCCTTGGGCTCATTGTGTGTATGGTCAGCCATTCTCTATGCTTGTTGATTTGAAAATAAGAGGGGAAAAATTGTACAAGTGTAGAATGTAAAAAAATGGGTGGATTGAAGAAGAAAAATGTTTGAATTTATAGCAAAGCGAAAGTTGACTGTGCCTATTGAATTGTGATTGGGTTTTATCTCGAAAATAATTACATCAAGCCGGCTTGCTACGGTTGTGATTAAAATGTGGTAATTTAATCGTGATTTTTATTCTGTAATGGCTAAAATACCAAAGACACTGCAACAAATCCCCAAACCTGGGTGGTAACCTTGGAGATTGTGTTTACGCATTTACCCTTTCATTTCGTTAAAAGGTAAGTGCGTTAATACCTTTTCCAGAGGTAGGTGATCAAGTGCGATCATTTGGCAGGACTCAGCAGCAACAGCAGCCAGGTGCAAAGTCAAGGAGGCACCCTCTGCTGCGGCTACGCATCTTCGCAGGCAGCACACGGATTGATTTACTCACATGCCATTCCGGTTATAACCGTCAGTTGTTTAACACCACAGGATAGGGCTTTGTCAAAGGGCAAGTGGATCAATGGATCTATGGATCTATTTTCTCAGGCGATGTGTGGACGTTTTTGTCCAGCGCATCAAATTATAGTTGCTTTGCTTATAAAAGGCATCTTTTTTGTACTCGTATTTCTGTCACTATGCATGTGCATTTGTAAACATTTCTTTCCTGTTGTCTTTTTTTCCCACAGTTTTTCAATCGGCCAATCCATCTGCAATTCAATACACTATCACTTTATAACCACATTTCTCGAGAATGGCGACTCAAAGCGCAGCGTCCCCAGAGGCAACGCCAGAATTGACACTGACAACCGTGACCAAGCAGAGCAAAACGAAGCAGCAGCAGCGCACCACAAACAAGCCAGCCAGGCTTTCCAAAGATGCACAGTTGAGGAAACTAAAAGTGATCAAAGAGAGCGTGCGCACAAAGGCGCAGTACGAGAGCCTCACTTTGCGGTGGCAGGAAAAGCTGCTTGACCCGACATCCGAGGCGCAACTCAAGCAGGCCTCCCGCTACCTCACACCTGAAGACTTTGAAAGCGTTATTGAGGAGCGCACATCGGACAACTTGTGTGGCTACCCACTGTGCGGCAATAAGCCCAGAAAGTCTGTGCAGCGGTATCACATTTCGCTGGCCAAACGCAAGGTGTATGACCAGGAGGAGCTGCGCAGCTACTGTGGTGATAGGTGCATGGTGGGGTCTCGGTTCTACAAGCAGCAGCTATCAGAGGAGCCCATTTACATGCGCGATCGGAACAGCAAGATCGATATTGAGATTATGCCGCTGAACCTCGAGGAGCTCGTTCCAAAGGCCGCCGTGCAAGGATTGTCAAGGGCGCTGGTGCGGCCAATGTCGACAAGTCGTTGATAGACTGGTATCGCGAATCGCTGTTGGCCAAGATGCGCATAACTAAGGCCGTTGCCGATGCCAACCCGCTTCAAATTATCGAGCATGAGTCTGGCCCCGCGATCTTTGACATCGACGAGCGTTTGGGCAAGATGCAGTTTGCGGATATCGACGGTTTTGCGCCTGAGGCCGATTCTGTGCGAATCAAAAAGGACATTGAACGTGTCCGCAGACTAGAGAAAGAAGCTGTGGCAGCAGCAAAATTGAAGGCAGAAGCCCGTGCCGCCCGTGCCGAAAAAACTGACGGCAAGGGTGACAACAGCGAGGTGCTGGTAATTGTGCCAAAGGGTAGAGATGTCGATCCGCAAAAAATCCTTCAGCCTTTTGATTCGGCCAGCGAGGATGATTACGATGACGACGAAGTTGAAGACGAAGATGACCACAACGATAATTTTGGTGGGTTGGACTTTAAAGTTGCCACGGTTGCTCCTTCCAAAGATAACGGTCATTTCTCAAGCGTGTTTGGCAATGGCAATGGCAAAGGCGCGCCTCCGCTGTCGCTGTTTGGGCGCATGTGGACGCTGGTCGACTGCATATCAACAGAAATGACACAAAAATATTTGCACGACCTAAGCTCGCATACGCAGACGGCGAGCCGCAGCGGATTAATGCGACCGAGTACTTCATTTCGCCGGGCGACCAGTCCATGTCCATGCGGCATAATATATTGCTGAATGGAATAATGTCGCAGCTGGACATTATTGGCAGCAAGGTAGGGATTAAGCGTTTTCCACGGAACGAAGTTAGGGTGCTTGTGTCGACACTCGAGCTGGGCAGCAGCATGGCAGTGTTCAAGAAGCCTGAGGCCCAGCTGTTGTGCATTGCTTTTATTTTTGCGCTGGCAAGATCTATGGATGATCTGGGCGACCTGGTGCTGCCAGGTGGAAGTGGCGACGTGGCAGCATTGCGGGCGCTTGACGAGATGCTCGAGGACCTTGGCACGGACGCCAGCTCGCTACGCATGATCTCGCGGCGGTTTTGCGAGCCCTACTAAATGATTGAGCCGGGGCTGTTTTTATTATTCTGCCATTAAATAATCCGATGTATTAAATTGTTGATCCGATGGTCGACCTAACTGTCATAAGATGACCCAGCAAATCAAAATACATCAAGTGCCAGGTATTTTGTGACTACACTCGCAGGGACATGTTTTGAGCCGCCAAGTAGACTTTTGATTGAAAATAACTATAAGACATCAGCTTATACAATTCAAGCCAAACCTCACTGCAGTTGCAAGTTGCTACCCCAGAATGCGCGCAAACAAAGTTTAGCATACATGAAGGGAGTGAGTGAAATGAACGTTTAATGAGTATATTTAAACGCTAATTACAATGATAATTTTAACATATCTATATGCAAGCACAATACAAATGGCAGTCAGATGTGTGTGTTTTGTAGTGAAAGTCAAAATTTACAAGGTTAATAAATATTTATTCAAATTAAACTAAAAAATTTCCCATTGAGCATTGTCTTCTTGCTATTTTATAGGCAGCCTAAACTGACTAATACTAGCTCAGCATTGATTTCATTTGACTCCCAAGGAACTAACTCGACCAAGCTTATATGATGAGAATCACCACATGTCTAATTATATATTAACATATGGTATAGTAGATCAGACAAAGCAATTTCAATATTGTATTCATTATATGTTACACTTTCAACATTTTTAATGAAATATTGTGTTTTATTCTATATCACATGCCAGCTACACTAATATTGTAAAGCATAAAATTAATTTTAAACATTTATTTAAATATAGTGGTTTAATTTAATTTATTGCAACTAATTAGTGCAAAAATACAAGCTGTGAAGTTCAACTGCTTCAAACTACACATACGCCACCTCGCACTCAATCTTTGGGTCCTTCATAGCACCATCGACAAACGAAATATTGTTGAGCAAAGACAGATCCTCATCATCATGCTTTTCTTGGGCATATGCCGACGGACATCCTCGAAGGCACATTCACGCGTGCTAAACTCGCGCACAACCCTATTCGACCCAAATCATGGTGGACCCTGGTATCGTATATCCTGAAAATCACGCCATCGACGCGCATAAAGAACCTCTGCAGCACAAAAAACCCCGAAGGCATGACCCGCACCTTATAGGAGAGCTGTGATATGCCATTATCGCCCAAATCGTCTTCATACAGGACGTTCTCATCGTAAAAGTGAATTTCCTCCCTCACCATCAACTTGGCATAGTCAATGCCTGTTTTGGATGGTTCAAAGGCCAGACCACCAGTTGATGTTCCTCTGTATTTTGTCGAAAGAGTCCAGTCAAAGGGCTTGATTACATCAGTGATGTCGCTGCGGTTGCGCTTGCTGGATTCGGACCAGCCCTGGGCAATACTCACCTGCACAGATTTGGCCGACTGCGGGCTGGTGTCGACCATCTTGAGCGCATCCAGAGCTTGTAGCTCCAGGGTGTGGCCGCTGGTGAGGTGGTGTATGCGCAGGTAATTATTGCCGAATATCATCTCGGGCACGTTAAAGCCTAGTTCCTTTTCGTACTCCTCGATCGATGTGTTGTTGAGGATGGGCATGTGGCAGCTGGTTATCTCCCAGCCGTTTAGCCGCACGCCACCGATGTGTTCAGACTCTATCTTTTCGACGACGGCTGACATTTTTTAGAGTACAAAAAAAAGAAAGAGGATTGTGGATTGTGGATTATAAAAAGGTGGTAATTTAGAAAATTATGGAAATTTAAGTTTTTTTTTAAAGAATAAAAGAGAAAGCAATAAAATTCGATTTATTTACGTTTGCTAGCGTGACGTGTTGAAGATTGAGTGGTCTCACAGACTGGAAAAAAACCTCCCTTGATTGTTTATTTTTTTTTAAAGCGGCGACCAACTACAAATTCATTTTTTTGCTTTCGGTCCTTGTCGGTTCTTATTTTTCACTATTAGTTTTTTTTTATCTCTTTGGGTTTCTTCTTTTTCTTCTTCTTCCTCTCAATTCACTATTTTCTTAATCAAATCCGCTCTAGGTTTCTCGTTGGACACTATCGGTGCTACAACAACCATACCAGAACCACAAAACTCCTTTTGCAATCTTGCATTACCACAGTTCATAAAAGAGAGAACGAACCAAAAATAAATAATAAGGCAAATGAGCCTATTTTCCGCTCTCAGAGCATCCCTGCGCCTCGCAGCGCCCTCTCTCCTCCTCCTTGTCATCACCCTCCTTCTCACAATACCCAGCCCAACCCATGCGCAATCCTTCAGCCAATTGAAAAAACACGCGTCCAAGGATGCCGACGGACTAGCACAACTTGACCTCAAACTCTTCATGAAACACGTCGTAGCCGAAACCAAAGACTACTCCGTCATCGTTCAGCTAACAGCGCTGGCTCCGAAGTACAAATGCGGACCATGCAAGGCCATAGACACCACTCTGCGTTCGGTGTCGCGTGGATGGAAAAAACAACAAAACAAGGGCGGAAAGGATGGGCATCAGATTATTTTTGCTTCGTTGGATGTGGAAGATGGAGAGGAGCTTTTTAGGAAAATGGGGATTGACAATATTCCCAGGTTTATGATCTTCCCGGCAAGCCAGGGTCCGGACAAGTTCGATAATGCGAGCCCGAGGGAGATGAAACTGAATACGAAGACAGCCAGCCGGAGGGTATGGCGCAGAAACTCGGCGAGCTCTTCGATGTCGAATTCAAGCCCGATATTCCCGCGGACTATCTAAAGTACCTGACCAACGGAGCCGTTCTTATTGCCGCCGCGTACGCTGTCTTTCTGGTGTACATGAATATTGATCTGAAGCGGCTTGGGCGCAATATCTGGGCTATCGTTACGATTCTCTTTGTTCTGTTGATGAGCTCCGGGTTTATGTGGTCGAGGATCAATACGCCGCCGTATGTGGGCCAGACGCGCTCTGGAGACGTTGTCCTGTTTGCTCCGACGAATAACCAGCAGTATGGTGTGGAGACCCAGATTGTTGCCGCTACGTATGCGGTTTGCGCGCTGTGTATTGTTGCGCTGGTCAGGCATGTGCCGAGAATACCGAATGTGGATCAGCGCAACTTCGTCACTTTCATGTTTGTTATTGCACTGATCATGTCGTTCAGCTACTTGAATAGTGTGTTCCGCATGAAAATGCCCGGGTACCCATACAAGATGTTGCTTCCATGAGTTTGTTTTCCCTTTCTAAATAAAACTTGTATCCATAAAAAAATCGAATTTTATACATGTGCCAAATGTGTACAAACATACAAACACAAACACATGTGTAATGTTGTATATGTGTGTGTGTGTGTGTCTTTTATATCCTTTTATTCGTATATTACGATTTTCGGAAAAGAAAGAAAAATCAAGTGTGCGTAATGAAGAAGCAATAAAAATTTTGAACAACAACAAAGAAAAAAAAGGAGAGAAACTACACAGTGCGAAAAAAGAAAAGAAAAAGTGAAAAAGAAACATAAAATTTTTATTAGTCTACACCAACTGGTTGTTTGTAACCACTATGACCCGAGGAGGACTTTCATTTGCTTGAAGCAGTAAAAACATCTGCAGTGGTGTTCGAGGGCACGCCAAGCATACTGCTGCCATCATGGGCAGAAGCAGAAGCAGCAACAGCCATTGCTGTAGAAACTAGCGAAGGGAAGGAGGAGGACACTGAAGTGGGCATGAACATGGCACCATGCTTATTTGTTTGGTTGCGTGCTTCGTATGGCGAGAACGCAGATGGGGTGATCGGAGACATCAGTGCGCTGTTGTTGCTGTCGCACATGGCCACGTGCTGCTGCTGCTGCTGCTGCTGCTGCTGAGAATGACTTGGGATGGGGGGACTTCCAGATGGCAAAGTCTCAGAGGGACTCAAAGGCAAAGCCTTGGATAACTGCAAGTGGCCGCTGCTGTTTGACTGCGGCTGGTGCTGATTCTGCTGAGCAGCACCTTGGCGCTGAGCGCTGCTGTTGCCTGCCAAATTGGGATTCTGGTGCGCAAGCAAAAGGAGCGTATGGTAAAAAGAGCTTGAAGCGTCAATGCCAAACGGCATGTCAGCGGGGCTCATTCCAGGATGCGTCGCCGGGGCAGCAGTGGCAGTGCTGAGCCCACTGCCCATACCAGACAGCCCAAAGGGGTGTTGAGCATGCTCGGGTACGAATGGCCGTTGCCGCCGCCGCCGCCATTGGGATTTAACGCAAGCAAGCCGCTGAAGAGCATGGACATGTCGGGCTGCGGTATTGCAGAGTGCATAGAGGGATGGCTCTGGGAGTTGCCGCAACCGCTGTAGGGCATGGCTGACCAGCCCATTCCGCCGTAGGGCATCGGCGGCTGCGACGAAAAGCCCACTGAAGACATGCCGGAGCCCAATGCGCCAAGCCCATTTCCGGGGACAGTGGGAATCATAAAGTTGGGCAGATTCGCTGGATCCAACAGGCTGAACTGCTCGTCGGCGGTCCGTTTCAAAAAGTCATCGTGCTTTACTGGTAGCTTGTTGGTTCCATCGAAGGCTTCCTGGTGAACCCGCGCGGTATGGTACCGGTCAGAGTCGCCATTCCCAGCCCTCTTCTGCTTTCTTTGCTGCTGGCTGGGCACCAGCTGAATTGGCCGCGAGGATGGTACGTGGTTGTAGGCGGCCCGCTGGAGCATGTCATTTGAAGAGACATTAGCCAGTGGCGGCGGAATCTGAGATGGGTAGGCAGCAGTAGACATTTGCAACGACGCAGCGCACTCGCTCAAAGCGGCAGTAGCGGGAATTGACGACGGAATAGTAGCAGAGCGGTTAACAGTGGAAACGGCGGGGAGCATGGCTCCAGCAGACGCAGTGGCGGCAACGGCTGCGGCGTAGGCCGAGGTTTCCGAGTGGAAGAAGTGAGCAGGGATGTCCGAATGCCGGCGCAGCGCCAGAGTGGGCGCCATCATTTCTCTGACCGAGCTGCCTAAGCTGCTGCAGGGGGCAGAGGCGAGCGGCGGCTGCGTTGAAGCGGCATGCTGATGCGAGTGATCAGCACTGCATGCCCGCGTGAGCTTGCTCGAGGCAGAAAGCATATCATCAACAGGCGACTGCACACAAGGGTCCTCGGCGCTGGCATCTTTGTCTGCGCACAGCTCCGGAGACCCGTTCGATGAGCAGGCCCGCATGAGCATGTTCTTCTGCTTTGCACGGCGGTTCTGGAACCAGATCTGCACCTCGCGCGCGGTCATGCCGAGTGTGGACGCCAGGGATTTGCGAAGCTCCGAAGACGGCTTGGGCGTGCTCTTGAAGGTGCCCTCGAGTAGAGTGAGCTGCTCCTTGGTTGTGCGGCGACGGTGTTTGACATGGTATGGATTGTAAAAGTTGGGCTTCAGGTCGGCCTGCGGCTTTGAGGCCTGGTGCTGCATGGAATGCACACCCATGGCTGGAGATGACATCATCTGCGAATTCATTGATGATGCGACGGATGCCTGTGTAAAGTGAGCGTGCATGGGGCTCGACTCAAACTGCCTTTGGCTGCTGTGCTCCATTGGCCGGTGTGCGTTTTATGTGTGCTGTTAGCAGGGGCGGAAAAAGAAATTGGGTCCAAGAACCGAGAGATGCAGTTGTAGAAAAAAGTAACAAAAAAGTGGATAACCAGGGTTTATGACAAATGGAAAAAGCTGAGCTATAAAAATAAGGTTATCCAAAAAGCAGATGGGTTTAAAAAATTGAAGTGTAAAGGAAATGAAAAGGTAGGAAGAAAAAGAGAAGAGAGATGGGTAAAACTACGCTGCAGGCAAAGGAGTATTATTTATTTGGCTTTATGTGCCGAAATGGTGCCACGAGACGAGACTTTTGAAAAGTATAAAAAATAGAAGAAATAAGGGAAAAGAAAAGCACACAAAAAATACCAGATGTGCTGAAATCAAAATCACGACACAGCGGTTGACTTTAGGTGGACTGTCAAAGCCTCTGAAATATTTAAGGGTATAAGGAAAAAAGTGCACACTTGTAAACCAACAATTGGGTAAGATAATAAATGCAACCAGTGGGTTAAAGTCGGAATAACTATGTTGTAAACTAAACTATTAAAAATAATAGAAAATAATTTTTGAGGGCCGAAGAATTAGGACCACACTCGCACAAAAGGGGGGGGAGGTGGGAGTGAGCAATTAAGACTAGAGCGAAATGTATCGGGATAATTAAAAACAATAGGGTGACTAGCAAAAATAAAAAAGTAAAGCAAATGAAGGATAAATTTTTTGTTTCTTTTTTGCTATAGAATAATAAGGTCGGTGTTTAAATAAAAAAAGAGGTTTGAGAAGGTAAAAGCGTGTCTGCCAATCAGAGTAGAAAAAGAAACTGGCGAAAAGGATATACGAATAAAAGAAAAGAAATTAAAATGAGCAACCGTAAATATAAAAAAGTTTTTTTAGCAACTCTGTTGCGTGTGGGGAGGGGAGGGGATCTGGTTTGATATATATATAGTCTTTTGAATTCCCGCCATCTTGTTCAGGCTTGCCCACTTTTTTTTGGTTTTCTTGCTTGTGGCCCTTGGGTTTGAAGAAAAAAAGACAAAGCATGCAGGCACATAAAAAAATTTGTTGCCCAAGCCGCAGAATAAGAGCATAAGCTACCCCTCCCCCTCCCCTTCTTTTTTCTTTCTCTGCTGAGTCCACAGCCAACCAGCGTTTTTGTGCATACTTGTGCCCTTCTTTTTCAGCCTGTCTCTCAGTACTGCGCGAGCCATTGTACTTTTTTTTTTTTTTGCTCAACTTGCTGAAAAAGGACCACTCCTCCCCCCCAAATAGCTAGAGTACTTCATACTCCTTTTCTTCACTTCTTTTTTTCAGTTGTCCATCGCAGCCTAAAACAAATATTTGCTTTGCTTCTATCCCAAAGCAACAAAGGCAGAAGAAAAAGTGCTCTCTTTTTTTAAGAATTTGGGAAGAGGGGGGGGTGCAATGGGAGGGGACCAAACCACCTGGATCTTTACCTACGTTGGTGCCCATGACTTTGGCGCACTTGCTGTCAACGCATTTTCCTTGTCCTTTCTTGTGCGTAAGCGAATCTGCATAGCGCGAAGGACAGCAATAAAAATGGCTGAGAAGAGGGGGTGCAATGCCAGTTTTTTCTCTCCGTTTTTTCTGTTGCTCCATTGTCCTTAATTCTTTTTTCTTTCTTTTTTTGCCTGCTCGAGCAAACAATCCATATCGTCAGTTTGGCCCAATCAGCAGATTGGAGGTGGGGGGAGGGGAGGGGAGAGGGGGGAGAGCAACGCCCGCCAGCCGTGGAGAGAAAAAGAGGGGGGGTATCATGCATACCCTCCCCTCCCCCCTCCCCCCCCTACCTTTCATCTCCCATCTGCCATCCCATCTTCCGACCTTACTCTGCATATGCAACTTTTTTGTGATCGCTCATTCATTTTCTCTGTGTATCTGACGAATCTGAGTAGCTAAAAATGAAATAAAAACTCTGGTTTAAAAAGAGAAAAACGACAAAAATTAACAAATGCAGGCAGTGCAGGTGGGTGGAAGCGAGCAGTGCAATGCAGCTGAGCGGCCAAAATGAAATAAAAATGAGTGAAGCGCAAAGTTACGCACCCGATATTTGGACACGTCTTTTTCTTCTTTTTTCCTTGCTTGACTCGTTGGCTGAAAGCAAAAAAATGGACAAAACCGGAATTTCTCGTTTTATTTGGCCTTACACAAATATGCATCTTTTATTTTTGCGCTGGCAGAATAATATCTGTAATTCGCCACGCATGTCCGTATTGCAAGCAAGTGAGCAAGCAAATGAGAGTGTAAATTTTTTTGAAAAGACAACGCACTATTTATGTTATCTCCGATTTGTAACAATAATAATATTTGGGGGGGGGGGGCGTGTGTTCGCTGATATCGTCATATGTGCATTGTAATATACAGGCGCGACCCATGGATGTGAAAGAAAAAAGACATGTGCCCAGCTGCTTGTATATTTGTGCCGAAAAAAGCAAATGATGCCAAAATAGGATCATTGCATTAGTTCGAAGTAGTATCGAAGAAAATGTGTATTTCAGCCCAGCATCACCAAAAAGTTAATTTCACATTTTATCCACAAATTCTTTTCTTTTCATTTCATTTTTGCATATACCCAATTGAACACAGCCAACTGAAAAAGGCATTTGCATTATTAGCATTGTAAATGTGTAAGTTCGTGGCAAATTAAGATGATGAATCCAATACTCAACGCCATGTATACTCTGCATCCGCCCGCCAGCAACAGCAACATTCCCCCTTACCCTTTTCATTTTTGTTCTCACACACCAATCCACAAAGAAAAACCCTTTGTTGATGCAAGTCCGGTTCATTTTTCTTTGGTTTTCTTTATATTCCACATATGCATGGACATGTTGATTTGCTCAAATAAATGAGCAAGTCTAAAAATTTAAAAATGTCCCTGATTTTGCGAGCAAAGGCCCCCACCAAACTTTTCTCTCTTTTTTTTGTAAATGCCAATTGAACATGCTGGTCCCACTTGCAGCATAAAACATAAAGACTTTTTTGTTGTTGCCATGGTTGCCTTAATTGGATAGGGTATATGTGTACACTGAAACTAATGCTTTATTTCTGAACATACATGCAACCACTTTCTTTTATTGGAGCCTTCTAAAGAGAACAGGTTGTCCATAAAACCAACTTTTGAGTACAAAAACATCTAAAACATTATACATAATAACCACCTTGTTCTCGTATACAATATTTTTATTTTCTTATTGCCAAAATAATTGAAAACAAAAAATCGTCCAACAATTAGTCCATGCATATCCATTTTTGTGCGAGAATGAATAAACAATGTCTTGTTTTTTTTTAAGAAAACAATGTCTATATCCAAAAGAAGAACAAAAAACTGCGACATTTAGAGTCCCTTCTTTTTTATTTTCCACAGGATTTACATCTCTGTATTATTGTTGTCAAACAAGAAAAAAAGCCACGTTTTTTCCCCTTTGGGCTCTACTCGATCCCAAATAATGTTTTATTTTAAGGTGTCATTTTTGACTATTGTATTGAAAATCCTCCGTTTAATTTATCTCCAATAATCTGTCCTTGTCGCAACATGAATACATTATTTTATGTACAGCCAAGCCAAGAAAAAAACAGGATTTCAAACAAAATTATATTTTATTAACCAGTGTTAATCTGGTACCGTTCAAAACAATTATTTTATTGCGTGCATTATTATTTTCCACTCGTTTTCTGAAATGGCACTACTCCACTTCACTTTTTTTATGTACCTAGTCTAAAAAGGCAAAATTTGACATGCCACAGTATACACTAATTCGTTATTTCTAAATATATCAATAAAAATTTATCACCCTCCCCCCCCCCCAAAAAAAAAAGTCAAACATTGGTCATTTAAATGGGTTGATATGTCAAAAAAATGAATAAAACTTATATTGCCATCGCGATCCATTATTACTAGGTCCACCATCACCACTACCACTACCTGTCTCCCTCCCCAACAAAAAAACAACGAAAATTGACAAATTGACCGCAAGTAATACCCCGTGCTCTTGCCACAATCAACATTTTTTAAAACCGAACTCATAGCGAATTCAGATACTGCCGGCTCTCATCGCTAAACAGCGTATCAGAGCTTTCCATCGCTTGCTTGAGAACCGGAGACAGAACTGGGAGGAACTGCTCAATCTACATAATACAAAGAACAAGATATACACAACCAAATTTTTGTGTTTCCGAATGATTAATTGGTGACATTTTAATAAAAATGCCGATTATTTTTTCTTTCCAAAATAGATTCTTTGTTGTTCTATTTTGCAAAAAAAATCAACAAAATAATAACAAACGAAAATAATTAAATTGTCGTTTTTATATAAAAAAAACACCCGGTATCTATATTCACACATAAAATTACATGCATGAATATATATACACATATCCTAATACTTCAATTTTACTTTCCAAAAGCTTGGAAGCGTGTGAGTAAAACAAAGAAAATCAAAAAGACAAAAATAAATAAACAAATCGAGCGCTTTTTTATATGTAAAAGGCTAACCCAAGAGATGCCAATCGCATTCATCTATTTTGTGTGCGCTAAATATAATGAAGACGATCCAGGGCTAATAAATATCCATGCAAGAGAGCAGGAAAGCGGGGAAACCATTTGGATTTGCCAGTTTCAACTCTAACAAAAGTGAAAATAAAAACATAAAATAAAGAAGAAATGGCAAGAACAAGATAATAATAATAAAGTAAAGGATACCCAACAAAAACAATAATACAAATTGCACAAAAGGACAGCACAAAAAATTACAACATAATGAACTAGAGATTGTCCATTACAGACAACAAATTGACTGCAAAAGGATTGGTTTTTTCTTTCGTTCTTACCTTCTCGCGCTTGTTCTTCAGCAAATGGCAGATGGCATCATACACAGGCAGGTCCTCCATGTGGTCGCTGCGGATAGGCAGGGCTGAAATCCATACTGGTAGCACATCGACCAATGGAATGGCATCAGCATTCTCGAGGATCAGCCGGGCTACACATCCAGCCGCATTGTCTCTGATGTTGTTCGAGTTCTCTTTGGCCCGGATCAGAGGATACAATGCTTTGAGAATGCCTCCAAAGTACGGCGTGGCGTCGATGGTCGCCGACTCAATCAGCACGCCGATACCATACGCACCGTTACTGATCACCTCGGGGTGCTCGTCGTGCAGGCCGGCCATAAAAATCGGGAACAGAGCCTACTTTTGATCGCAGTGAAATTAAACATTTTTGCATCAAATTTAGTCACATTGTCACAATAAAGGATCATTTTAAGAATAAAAAAGGATCATGTTGAGGTGGAAATATATGCTGCAAACAAACACGCAAATAATGTTATTCGTGCACTAATGATTGTCGCATTCGCTGAGATGTGAATCTCGGGTCATTATTGTAAAATCATCCTAGAGTATCATATATAATGCGCAATACATAAATTGATATCCTAACCGGGGAAGTAATTAGGACTATAGGAGGCAGTGAATGGAACTGTAGTTCATGCAGACTCTGTAAACTAGAACTTTGCAATGTAGATCAAAACAATAGGCAAGAAAACAAAGGTCTTGGTGATATTTATATTTTTGCTATTATGGAAAATCCATATCGGTGGTTGAATAGCAAACTTTTTGCCACCGAAAATAGTTGTGCATTAATAAAAAAGGCAAATCAGCTAATAAGCGAGTGTTCATTTTTCACTTTTTTAAATTCGCAACAAATGAAAAACAATAACATGAGCCAAATAAGGAACATTTTTTATAAAAATCGGAATGTCCTTTATAACGCACAGAAACATACGCGGTATGTGCATGCAGCCGGTTGTGCATGAACATTGTGTCAAGGCAGAATATGTGGGAACAAAAAAATAACGCAGGCTGAAAAGTACAAAAAAAGACTGGTTTATGAAAAAAAACTTTGTCATACGCAGCCATGCCCAATCAGACAAGCCATGTCCAGGCCAGGCCAACAGGCAAAAAAATAAATAATAATATAGTGTGGGCAAAAAGATTGACATGAATGCAAGATAGCAGAACCTGTTGTGCATACGATTACAGGCATCTATGCAACAGAACGCCAATATGTAAGTATCAAAAAAGGACTTGCAAAAAAATGGTCATACATGGAAAAAAAAACATTTAGCGTGAAAAAAATTCTCGAAAGTGATAACCAGCATAAAAAATTACAACCCGGAAAGAAACAAAAAAGGGCAACTAAATCCGATTGTCAGACATGTAAAAAATAACAGGACAAAAATAAGTGTCAATAAAAAACAAGTGGCAGAATGAAATAAACTTACCTCGGCATATTTGGTAATGCTGGGACCCATGTTCTTTGTAATTTCAGCAAGGCAGCCCACAGCCATTGCGCGCTCGCTTACGGCAAAAGACTGCTTGGTGTAGTTGACAATGTGCGGCAGGAAAGTATCCATGAGGGGCTCGAATGCGTCACCAAAGACATCGGCGAATTCAGCCACACAGTCGGCGGCAGCGCTGATGAGCAACGAGTCGTGCTCGGCCAGCTCGTCGTCGTCGTCGTCAGCATCCTCGTCGTCATCGTAGTCGATTGTCTGGCAGAGCGCCTTTTTCTCAAAGATCTCTAGCAGGCGCACGGAAATCTCTTGAGCATCTATAAATAAATGAATACGTTGGGACATGTTAGTATTACAAATAAGTCCCCTGTCTTTTGCAGCCTTCCAAATGAAAAATGCATTGGGGAGAGTGACAATCCCAATCGCCAAATATCCGGTGGTCATTTGAGCGGCCATGCACGCACAAAACCAGAAAAATAAAAAATCGCGGCAAAAAATGCACATGCAAAGAGTAGAGTCATGTCACCTCTATATTTTGAGAGGCAAAATAAAAAATATTTAAGCACGAAAAATGTTAAATTTTACGTGGCATCTTTGGCATACGCTTGACACCTGTTTTGACACCCCCATCAATTCAGACAAGTAAAACGGGCAAAAAGGGGGAGACAGAACAGCAGGGTGAACGGACATCGGAAGCAATTATTGACGTTAGTATAAACGGCCAAATGCAGGCCACAAATGCATGTATCCTGCGTCACTGTCCCTCCCTTTTTTAATCTTTCACATAAAAAAGTTTTTTGTACTTACAGTCAATAGTCACCGCAGGCCCAACGTCCTTCATGATAGAGCGTAGCTCAGTGCAAAGCTGGGCAACCACCATCTTGTCGTCCTCATCCTCCCACATCTTGAGCACCTCGGGAGAACCAGCTTGATCATAGCGGCCGTGTTGTCGTCAATGGAACCTTCTACATTTTGAAATACATTCCAAACGATATGTGCATATGCAGCAATAGAGCAAATAAAAATTGGATGTTTGGGTATTTAGTTAGGCAAATATGACATACATCAAATATTTGGGCAAATGAAATTACAGTCATGCAATGTGTGTGAGTACAACAAAGCCACACATAGCAAACTTTTTTAAAAGAGTAATGAGAAAAAACATGACAAGGGAGCAAAATGTACATATCGCATTATTGGCAAGTAACATGTGAAATAATATAAACTAAATAGTAAAATAATGGCTATGCCAACCATCTATTTGGCCCGGGTGCAGTCAGGTGGGCTGTGCGTTAACGCACATGCGAGAAGCAGCATGAAAGAGAGAGAAGGAAAAAAAGAAAGCCAGAAAAGAGGGGCATGGATAATCGAGCGCTGCACCAACAGTAGATATGCCACACTCAAAAATAAAATAACAGTAGGTGTGACCAACCAAACAAAGAAATTCATTTTTTAGTTGAAAACAATTGAGAATATAAAAAATTCTGACTGCAAGAATTTGGACAATTAACAATAGAGCAAATAAAAAAGTAAAGTAATTTCTTCTCAATATTATATCGTGCTGACGCCGGCATGCTGGAGGCCTCGAACAAGAGAATGTTGAATCTGGATAGAGAGAAATATAAGGACAATAAAGAAAATGGTGGAGAATATTCTTCATTGTCTCAAGTTATCCATTCACAATTCACTCGATAATACAACAATAGAACGGCAGATGAATAGACAGCGACAGAAAAAAAACAAAAAAGGGCCATCGTAGATAGCCTGTGATTGTTTGCAGATGCAATCAGAATTCAGCAGTCGAAATGTGCGATCAGACAATGAATTTGGCTTAAGAATACGGCGTGAAAAAAGGCAAGTGCATATGCATCCCAGAATAAACAAAAAAAAGAAGCACCCCACAAGATAAAAATCACTGGCCACAATTATCCATTTCCAGCAGATGCAACTGGCATATAACACAAGAACACGACCACAATAAAACAAAAACACAATATGTACTTACCAAGGGGGCGCCAGCCTTCCATTGCTGGGGGCTTGCAATAACGTTGAACGTGCGGATGAACGTAAACAGGGAAACAATTGCTGACTTGCGCGCAGTATCCGAGAAATGGTCAAGCAGGGTGATCAGCTCCTTGGCAATATCCTCGACGTATGGCAGGAATCCAGTGGTCGTGCTGGCAAACAGCTCGCCAGCAGCATCCGCAGCGACCTCCTTCTCGTCAGCAATAGCGGTGCTCATGCCAAGGGGCGACATGTCGTCGTCATCGTCCATGTCGGGATCCTCCTCAGTACCAAATCCGAAAGCAGTCGACTCCTCCATGCGCAGGGTCTGCAGCAGCATCGGGGCAATGAAGGAAACGTACTGGGTAAACTCACCCTCAAACACACGGCTCATAACAGCAAAGTAGCAGTAGCCGCACTCGCGCAGGTTTGACGAGTCGAGCTCCATGCCCTGCAGGGCAAGCCTCATGGTCTCCTCCAGGTACGGTCTGAAGGCGTCCTTGCCGGCGGTCTCGGCAATAGCGCCAGCAGTGTCAGTGGCAATGCCGCGTAGAGCCATGCGTCGTCGTCACCGGCCAGGGACATTGCGTGGGTGACGCGCAGAATGACTTCGTTGAAGTACGGGGCAAATGCATCACCCGAAGAGTGCGCCGCGCTGCCAATGGCTGCCAGCGCAAGAGGCTTGACCTCGGCAGAGCCAACATCGAGGAGATGCACCAGGCGCCGCATCAGGTGAGGAGGTAGCGAGAATGGGCTCGCCCAACCCTCGAGGATGCTGTCCAGCGCATTGATCGCGTACTTGACGATCATCATGTCGGACTCGTTCATCAGGTTAAAGATTAGGGGCATGAGCTTCTCATGGTGGTCAGCAACTTCGTCGCCCAGTTCGTCTACATTTAAAATAAAAAGAATCGATTTATTAATAAAGTGAATGGTTGATGCTCCAATGAGCTTTTTTAAGCTACTTGAAATTGTGAATTAGAGAATATATATAGCAGTTATGATTGTCCCGCTACCAAGCAACGTAAACTATTGTGGGGCAGTAGAGCGCCGCAGTGGACGCACAAAAGGTCAATTAACGTAGCTCGGCAGTAGGCATCACACAATATAACTTTAAATTTCACAAAAAATTAAAGAAACCGCGGTCCAACAGTAAGCACAGGCTATTGCAGTAGTCCACGTCAAGCAAAACATTGAATAATTACATCATTGTAAAACTTACCAGCAATGCATCCAAGGGCCATGCACGAGGCACGGCGCACGCGCGCATCGGGATCGCTCAGCCCAGCACAAACAAGCGCAACAATGTCGCCTGTTCCCAAGCGAGTGTAGTCGACGCATCCCTCGATGACAATCTAAATCAAGGTATTAAAATATTAAATAATATTAGTATCTTGATTTTAATTCAGGCCGCGTTGCAACAAGATCGCGCATCAGCTGAAAAAATTGAGGGTTGAGACGAGTAAACTCGCATCTTTTAATTTTCTGTTTGTTATTTTGTACATGTGTTAAAGTTTGAATGCACGCGCATCCAAATAAAAAGCAAATAAAAAATATGTATGGCGTAATGTGCACGCGTGAGTATTTTTTAAAAATAAAAACAGCCGGTCAAAATAAAAGAAAACATGTGCCTGAATTATCTTGTGCATGGCAGAATTGTAGTTTTTTTCTGGGGAGGGCAAAAAAAAAATTTAAAAAATGTTGGTGTCATCCAAGCGGCATTGATAGCCATATTCAACATTGCAAAAGGCAGAAATGTGCAACACATGCACAGCGTGCAGAAAAAACCCAACAACGTAAACAAACCAAGTAAACAAAACACATTTATAATTGCCACACCAACATATCACACAGTACGTATGGCTGCGGAATATATATATATATATGGACCGGATTATCCACACGCATATTTTCACAATTGCAAATGGGACACCAGTTCGCTCAGACTAAGAGAAATCAATGCATTCCCTTTTTAAAGCAAAAAACAATGACTAGCCTTGCGTCAAACACGCTGGCACGGATACAAATTACAATATTGATAGTGTTTCATGTGGCGACTGCCAGGTACTTACGGCTAAGCTGAGCATAGCGCCTTGCGGAACATCGGGTCGGCATTTTGCATGTACTGGACCACATGGGCGATGACCACGGGGAACACATGCTGGGGCGGAAGGTTTGTCGACAGGGCGTTGAGCACGCGCAGAGCGACCTACAAGTAAACATGCAAATCAAAATCAAAAATGACATATGCCAAAAAACATAATGAGCAGTTTGGGTTAGTGATTAATTGCGAAAAGTTAAACTTGTCAACAAACAATGTACATGGACACACAATTCAAAGTACGGAACATGCAACCAGTCGTGAACAGCGGGGGGTATATAATAGAATGGAAATTATCTGTCTATCCAATTGTATTTTAACATCAAAAGCAGTTACTTTTGTAAAACTTTGTAAATCCTGCCGGAGCTATTGTCCGGAAGCGAGACAATTGAGGTCAGGTGTAAAGTTCCAGAGCAAAAATGTAAAGTGTTGTGACATGTATGCACGCAGACATATTTGGTGGTGCTCATTGTAAAATAAAACAAGAAGTGCGCGAATAAATGTATTTGCTGACATAATGTCTTTCAGCCGGCTTAGCAAAATATATTTTTCCTCATGTGGAAAAGAAATCAACCGAAACAACAATCGACAACGTCATGGAAGACATGGCTACCAAATAACTACAATTACTTGTGCCAATATCATATGATACAAGCGCTTGTTTGTTTTGCTAGGTAAAGTGTGCACAAGCATTGTCAACAGCTGTAATAATCATTTTATGACCAAATGTTATTTGCAGCGTGACAAGACACGGGATAGGACGTACAAACAGTGGGAATAGAAAGCTAGCAAAAACAACCAAAAGCGAACTGCTTTTTCTCGGTAAACAGTATGATAAAAATATGACGCGAATATTCAGTACAAAAACAAAACAAATGGGCAAACTTACCCTCGAAGGGGAGTCCTCGTCAATGTCCTCGGGGTCCTCCTGGGCGGTGATGGGCATCATCTTGTCGATGAGGAGCTTGACAATCTTGAGCTTCTGCAGACGCCCACGCTTGCTACAACACATTAAATATAAAAAATTGAGTACACAGCGCAGATCAAACATATTAAACAGGCATTTGTCGCAGCGTAGTGTCCGACTTACTATGTGGCGGTCCAAACCAAAAAGTTCAAGGCCATGATGCGCAGATTATCATCAAACTCCTCGTTGGAGCCCACGTTAATGCTGAACTCGATCAGCTCAGAAAATGGCGGTTCAGCAGCGGCGTCTCGAGAATCAGCAGCGAGTTAAAAACCTCGAAGCAGCGGCTCGCCGAGTCCTCCTCGCCAACCTCTAGGCACTTCTGCAGCACCTGCACCATGGCAGGCACCTGCGCCTGGAACGCATTAATGGCGGAGCGATCCTCAGGCTCAATAAACTCAGCGGCCTTCCCCAGGGCCTCCAGCGTCGTGACCCGGACCACCAGGCTCTCGGGATCCTTGATGAGAGTCGAGAAGAGATTAAACAAATGCTGCATATGCTCGCTCAGCGTGTCCGCGATGGTCTCGAAAAGCGAGTCCAGCACGTAGATACCGATCTCACGGTGCGCGGCTGTGGGGCTCTGGCAGCATTTGTAGAGGAACTGGATGAGGTCGCCCCATCTCTGGTTGGGGATGTCCAGCTCGGCGATCGAGGAGATTACACGCGCGAGCGAATGGCGCACCAGGTTGTTCGTTTCGGCAATGATCATTTGCAGGATTGCGTCGCGCATCTGCTGCTGTGTGTCGGCGTCGAAGGTGCTCCAGTATACGGGAATGCGTTTGCGCATTTCTACCGCGGCAAGCTGGCGGATATGCGGCTGTTCGTGATCCTTTGCGATCGTCAGAAGGGCCGGGACGCAAGCGGATTCGGTGTAGAACTGCTGGCTCAGCGTGGAGGTCACCTATGTAGTTTAAATAGAGAGTTTGGAATAAGTATGACTGCAGTGTTAGTGCGTGGTGTGCTGTGATTTCGAGTATATCAAAGCCGGGTATCGATAGATGCAAGAATGTATAATGTCGACTACCGTCTTGATGGTCTCGGTGTCCAGGCGGAGGCAGCTTCTGCAGGAGATCCTGAAGACCGGCGATAAACTGAGGCTATAAAAGGGAATGCAATGGAATTAAGGTTAGTAAGGTGGGAATTCGAATGCGAATGCGAAAGCGTGTCGAGCACCAGGAGCATGAATTCAGAGCGCTCTGTTGTCTATTCCTTAGTAGCACGCCCACTACTTACATCCATAGTTTCAATGCAACTTGTACTTGATGTTTGTGTCAAGTTTGGCTGTTGTAAATAGACACGTGTTTCTACGAGCTGATGTTCGTTCTCTTGTTTGCAGCCAGCGGGTGGTTGTGTGCAAGTAAAGAGAAGGATAAGGGTAGCTGAATTGTGACTAGTATAACAACAAATATAAAGGTCGAAAAAGAGTTTACGAGCAGGTCAAAGAGAACAGCTCGAAAGATTATTGGTGTTTCCAGGCAAAAAAATGCAAAATATTTTTTTACACATATTTTTGCTTTTGTATAAACTCAACGATGAGGATGCAAGCAACCAGCCCCAATGCTGCTGATCCCAAAAATATAAAAAAAATTGTAGTTTCTGGCCATGGTTTGGCTTGATTTAATTTTGAATCTTCGCGATAAGCTACGTAAAGGGACAAGGGATCGTGAATTTTGCCTCTCCCAACCAAAAAAAATATATATAATGGTGAGCGTTGATCGGTGAGCCTGGTTCTCGCTCTGGACCGATTTTTTAATTGGTATCCTTATTTCTTTGAGATTTTGGAGTGCAAAACTCATTCATATTTGTCTGGTCAAACACTTGTATAGCTTGGTTAGTATTAAAAATAAACTGAGAGAAAGTTAACATTAAAAATGGGAAAATCACGCGCTGGAGTGACATGTCATTTATCCTTTCTGGATCTATCAATACAACATACTCGTTACTCATTTTAAGCTGCGCCTCTGGTGTGTTACAAGTTAGTTTAGAAAATGTAACTGTAAAAGAAGTGCACTCAAAATAGTTAGCAGCACTAGTTCGACTATTTGAACAATTCACTTTCAAAGTTTAAAAGTGCATATGCAAAGCACTCGACTAGTGTTGTAAATAGTTGGCCACACTTTTATAGCTAAACTTTTGTTTTGCAGCTCACTCAAAAATCCAGTATTCACAATCAATTCATTGATTTATGACTCTAGAAAAATGATAAAACGCCCTGCTAGACTAGCAATTGATCTATATGCCGCGCCCAAGCCCAAGCCGTCCTCAAGCGCAACAAGAATGGATAGTTTTTGTCCTTTTCCTCACACTAAGGCAAGCTATTACTGCCTGACGGCTCGATCCTCATTGGGTAAAATCAATGACAGCAATGGGGAACTAGGCCTTTGTCCAAAACTCCCCCAATAATAATTACGGTGTTCGCTTTATTATCTTGTCGATTCTTGGCTCTGTAACATTCCATTTTTCTTTTCTTTCTGCAAGTAAGGCTTGGTTTACATTATTTAAAATTCAACACTCTTGCTTTTATCTCCAATCTATCTGCTTTTCTAGAAAGTGTAGATTGAATTAAAAAAGGATAGTACATTCACTTCTTTCACTCCTTTCACACACCACGCAAAACGATGTCGAAGTTGTAGTGGATAAGTCGGCAACCATGCTGGAGAAGCTGAATCTCAATGAGCGCAGCTGGAAGTTCTACGCCGCCGCCTCTATCCCGCCAATCGTCGCAGCGGGCCTGGCCCTGTGGTACTACTCGTCGCGCGCTGACGAACCCTCCAAGAAGGACGACAAGAAAAAGCGGCAACGCAAGGCCAAGAAGGCCAAGAAGGCCGCAAGGGCCGCCAGCGACTCTGAAGACGCAGCTGGCGACGACGAGTCGACGGAAAAGCTGACTGAGAAGCCTGCGCCACCGCCGTGGTCGAGGGCGGCGAAGAGAGCCCTGAGAACATGACCGATGAGCAGCTCGCCATGCTGGACGCTGGCGAGCTGAAGAAGATCGCGCAGTCGCTCAAGTCCCGCGGCAACAAGTTCTTCCAGGCCAAGCGCTACGCCAAGGCTATTGAGTTCTACACGCAGGCCCTGCGGTTCGACGAGGACCCAGTCTTCTTCTCCAACCGTGCGGCATGCTACGCGGCTGACAATCAGCACGCCAAGGTCATCGAGGACTGCACCAGCGCGCTGAAGCATGAGCCTCGTTACGTCAAGGCCCTGATGCGGCGCGCGCAGGCGTATGAGAACACGGAGATGTTCCGCGACGCCCTGTATGATTTCACGACGGCGTGCATCATGGAGGACTTTAACAACAATGTGGCTGCTGGCTCGGCGGAGCGCGTGCTAAGAAGCTGGCTGAGGCCGAGGCGCGCGAGCGCGTGGAGAAGCGCAAGCCGCGGTTGCCCTCGAACTCATTCATCGGTGGCTACCTGAACTCGTTCAAGAGCAACGGTGACGAGGCTGTGGTTGCGAGACGAGCAGATCACTGAGGCCGATGCGCTGTACAACCAGGCGCTCAGCCTCATTGCGCTGCAACAGTACTCGCAGGCTATCGAGTCTATCGAGAAGGCTGTCGAGGCTACCAACAATGGCAGCAATGCGGCACAGAGCGCTGCCGACATCTACAGCGTGCGCGGTATGTTCAACTTCTTGCAGAGCAACCTGGATCAGGCGGCCGCCGACCTGGACAAGGCGTTGGAGATTGACCCCTTGCATGTGCGCAGCTATATGCGCAAGGCTAACCTGTTTACCGAGAAGAAGGACCTGGACACGGTGTCGCAGCTGCTTGAGAAGGCGCAGTCTGTGGACCCCGAGAACGCCGAGGTGTACTTCCAGAAGGGCCAGGTGCGGTTCCTCAAGCAAGAGTTTGCTGAGGCTGCCAAGGACTATGAGCGCGCCGCCGAGCTGGACCCCGACTTTGTCTACCCGCGCATCCAGCTGGGTGTCGTGCAGTTCAAGATCGGCAAAATGGAGGATGCCATGGAGACCTTCAGCACGGCCATGCAGCGGTTCCCGATGCGCAGTGACCTGTACAACTACTACGGCGAGGTGCTTGCCGAGCAGGGCGGCACCGAGAGCGCCATCGCTGCGTTCGAGCGCGCGGTCGAGTTGGACAAAAAGAACCCGCTGCCGTACGTGAACCAGGCCATTGCTATGTTCCAGTCGACCGGCGACACGCCCAAGGCGCTGGATCTGATCAAGTGTGCGCTTTCGGTTGACCCCGAGTGCGAGCTGGCCGTGGCTGCGCTGTCGCAGATCTACCTGCAACTGGGCATGTTCGAGGAAAGCCTGAGCATGCTGCGCCGGCGGTCGATCTGGCAAAGTCTGAGGAGGAGATGGTGTCAGCGATCACCTTCCGCGAGACCACCGCTGCACAGTACCGCTTTATGCAGGAGCACCCGGAGCTGCTCAACAAGATGATGATGAATGCAATGCAGTGAATGATGAGGATTGCGGATGTGGTGTGCAGCAGACTGTTTATTTTTTCTACGTGTTGAATTTTACAACTTTATTTTTTTTATGGTGCGGAACGTTTTTCGGTTTCATTTGGAAAGTTGGAGACCGTGATCATTATAACGCTGCTAGCGCTAAATAGGCCGGCTTTTTAAAATTAAATGGGCGCTTTGATTTTAGGAGCAGTACAAATACTTGAGGGCAAAAACCTCATCGTCACTCTTTTTTATTGCTCCTAAACTTTCCATTTCCATTTTTTTATTCATTTACAAAATTTATATTATATTAATTCGCAGCAATGGAAAGCCTCAGACAAAAGCAAATCAGCGCGCTCCTTCGGATGCTCCATCTGAATGACGATGCCCAAGCGTCAGGCGCCGGCGAGAGCGACTCTGGCGGAGCATCGCCAATCTGGAAGGTGCTGGTATTCGACAATTTCTGCCGCGACATCGTCTCCACGGTGCTGCGTGTCAATGACCTGCGGGACAATGGCATAACCGTTCATATGCTGCTCTCCTCGCAGCGCTCACCAATCCCTGATGTCCCCGCCATATACTTTCTCCAGCCGCTTGCCGAGAACATCCAGCGCATCACAGATGACATTGCAAAGGACCTGTACGAACTATACTACGTGAATTTCGCCTCGCAGCTGCCGCGCACACTGCTCGAGGAGCTCGCCGTGCAGACGACAGCGAGGGGCACGGCGCACCAATTGCGCAGGTCTACGACCAGTACTTGAACTTTCTGTGTCCCGAGGAAAACATGTTTTCGTTGCATTTCCCAAACACCTTCGAGGCCATACACAACCCATCGATGATGGATACCGCGATGAACGCGCTTATTGACCGCATAGTCAACGGTCTCTTCTCGGCCCTTCTGACGCTCAAGACAGTGCCCACCATATGTGCGCCTAAGGGAAACGCTGCGGCAATGGTGGCTGCGCGCCTGGACGCCAAGCTCAGAGACCATATCCTGAGCAGCCGCAACAACCTGTTCACCGAGGGCACTGCCGGCTCCGAGGACATTGTGGCGCAGAGCAGGCGGCCCGTCCTGGTCCTTCTCGACCGCGACATCGACCTGGGCAGCATGCTGATGCACTCGTGGACCTACCAGGGCTTGATCCACGATATCTACGATATCAAGCTGAATCAAATATCTGTCACGCAAACGGACGATAAGGGCACATCGCGGAAGCGGTCCTACGACTTGAACGTTAGCGATACGTTCTGGGCCGCCAACGCCGCCCTGCCGTTCCCTGAGGTGGCCATTGGCATCGACGAGGCGTCGAGCGCATTCAAGCGCGAAGCGGACGAGATCACGCGCATGAGCGGAGTCAGCTCGCTGGACGAGGTCGGTGGTCTGGACATGGGCGCCAGCACAAAGCAATTGCAGCGCGCAATCACATCATTGCCCGAGCTGACTGCCAGGAAGGCCAACATCGACATGCACATGAACATTGCCACGTCCTTGCTCGACAAGATTAAGGACAGGCAGCTGGACGTTTTGTTCCAGATGGAGGAGCAGATCGGGCGGCAAAGCAAGGCGTCTATCCTGGAGGCCCTCAATGACGCAGAGAAGAGCGCGGGCGATAAGCTGCGCCTGTATGTCCTGTACATGCTGGCCAATGAGTCCGGGCTGAAGCAGGCGGATAAGGACGAGTGCGAGGCGGCTTTGAGGGCTGCAGGCTGCGACATGGCGCCGCTGGAGTACATTAACAAGCTGCGCAGCCTCAACAAGATGAACTCGTCCATCGCGTCGCCCACTGGTGGAGCAGCCAATGGTTCCGGGACTAGCGACTTGCTGGGCAAATTCTCGTCTATCAGCAATCGCCTGGCCGGGTTCACGGATAGCACCAGTTTGGGCGGCATTTTTTCTGGCGTGCGGAACCTCTTGCCATCGCGCAAGCAGCTGCCCATCACGCGCATTGTCGAGCTGGCCATGAACGGCAAGCCGGGAGCTGGAGGCGGGGGAGGCAGCGGGTTGGGCATCGGGCTGCGGTCCGCCGCCGCCGCCGGCATGGGCTCTGTGGGCAGCGTCGTCAGCGGCTCTGTTGGCGGCCAGGGAGGCGCAGCCAAGATTGTCGAGGACTTTATCCATTTCGACCCGAAGCAGGCGCGCCGCGGCAACCTTGCCGGGTCAAGCGCCATCGCCGGAGACACCGCGGGCGTGGGCGCGTCGCAGGAGGCCATTGTGTTTGTCATTGGCGGCGGCAACTACATCGAGTACCAGAACCTGATGGAGTTTGCGCAGCACTCGACGCCGCGCAAGCACATTGTATATGGATCGACCGACATTGTCAACGCTGATGGCTTTTTGCAGCAGCTGTCCCGGCTAAACCAGAGTTAAATGCCAAATAAATTTTTTTGATAAAAAATCTCAACTCGAAAAATATTTCTATAGAAACCATGCTCAAAGCTTGGACACAATGTCGTCGACGGTAGCAAGGCCATTTCCGCGGCGAGGGCTGCCTCGATCTCAGTGCGAGCGGCGACCAGGACGTCGAGGTCGATCTTGGCGGCAATGATCTTGTCAAGCTTCTCGGTGGCCGTAGTGATCTCGGCGACAGTGGCAGCGGGGCCGGCGGCAAATAGTTGGCGTTCTTGAACAGAACCTTGATGGCACGCTGCTCCTTCTTCAGCTGCTTGTGGTTCTGCTGACGCAGCTTCTTGAGCTCCTCCTCCTTCTCGGCCTGCGACTCAGCAAGCTTTTTGGCCTCCTCAGCAGCCAGCTTCTTGGCCTCAGCGGCCTTGCGCTCCTCCTCCTCGCGGGCGTTGCGCTTGGCATTGCGCTTGTTCTTGTCCTCCTCCTTGAACATGATCATGCGAGGATCAATCTTGATGGCCTGATCGACGATGGTGCGCAGGCGCTGGATGTCCTCCTTCTTGCGGTTGGCGCGCTCCTTCTTGTTCTTACCCTCGATCCACCGCTTGTTGTCGCGATTGTTGCCGCCGTCGACGTCCTCCTTGTCGAGGTACTCGAACGAGCGCCACGAGTCAAAGGCGTACCAGAACTCGTAGAAGGACTCGACAATCTCGCGAGGAGTCGACTCATCACCGAGCTGGGGCACGGGCTGCACGTTGGAGAAGCGCGACTCGCGCTCGAACACGGGTCCGTAAGTAGCAAAGAAGTTGCCCTTGTCCTTGGCCGACGGCACAGCATCAGACACGCTGGGGTCGACGGAGTCCCACTGGCGGCGCTTGGTGACGTCAGTCAGGATCTCGAATGCCTTCTGGATGCACTTGAAGAAGCGGTCATCGTTGAGGTGGCCCTGGGCAGCCTTCTTGTCAGGGTGGTGACGCAGAACCTTCTTGCGGTGCGCCTTAATAATGTCATCAAGGGTCGCGCGGTAACGCAGCTTGGACAGGCCAACGACAGCGTAGTGGTCCTGGTCCTTCCACTCCTTGGGGTCAAGGTCCAAGAGGTCCTCGCTCTCCTCCTCGTCCTCACCCTCATCGAGATCAATATCCTTGACGGCAGCAGCGGCGGCGGTGGCAGCCTCATCAGCGTGGGAGTGCAGGTGGTCAACAAATGTGTTGTCGCTGCGGATGTAGTGCTGCAGGTAGACACCGGCAGTGCTGACGTTGCGCTTGATGGGCGCGGAGAAGCCGCCGTGGACCTTGGTCTGGGCAGCCTCGGGCGCGGGCGAAAGGGTGATAATGTCGCTGACGGTGTGTTCGCAAGAGCCGCACATTTTTATATATAAAATAACAAATTAACAATTGAAAATTGAATAAGAAAAGAACAAAGTAAAATAGTGCCTAGTTGTTTTTTTTACAAACTGCCTTATAGCACTGGCATGTTTTGTTGGGAAGTAAAACAACGGAACAAGTTCAACAGTCATGGTGCTCAAGTGGAGGCCAATAAAATTTTTTTGTTGGTTGCTTAATTAAATAAATTTAGAAAATCTCGATCACCACAGCTGATCGGTCTGCGGGAATGCGCGGCGCGCACGGGCAGCCCAGTACCCACCGGAGTACTGCCACGAGCGGCCCTCATTGCTATGCGGGTCATCGCGCAGCTCAAACCACTGTGGAGCCCAATCCACCTCATTCTCATCGCGGCGGCGCTTTCTTGCGCGCTGCGCCTCCTCGAGCTCAGTCTTCAGGGCCTCGGCCTCGTCCACACGGCCCTCCTCGTAGGCGCGCTGGTCGGGCCGCAGCCTTGTATCCGTAGGCGGGAGCACAGGCCGCAGGGCGTCAGGCAATTCGTTGAGCTTCATGGTGTAGAAACTAAAGCCGTAGTAACGATCTGCGTCTGGCGGCAGCGCGGCCACTTCCCACAGGGTGTCGGGGTGCTGGCCGGGCGACCGCTCATGGCGCAGGTGTGAGGACCAGCACCCGCGGAGAACCCGCTCGCACGTGTTGCTGCCGCCGCGGTACAGACGGCACTCGACCTCATCGGTGGAAGACGAGAACATGCCGCCCTCCTTCAAGACAATCACGCAGCGGTCGCCAGTGACGTGGTTGGTTACGACCATCTCGCCGGTGAACTCGACCGAGCGCGCGCCAGCCAGAAGGCCGCGCACCAGCGCCGACGGCTTCGACCAGGTAAAGTGGTCGCCGTGCGCGAGCAGCTCGACGTGCACGCTGGACGTCTGCACGATCTCCATGGACTTGCCCCAGAACTTGCTCTTGCCCGATGAATCCTGCCAGAAGCGGAAGGCAGGCGCGTCGGCATAGCAAGCCATGATAGGCGGGTGGTGCGAGACCTTCTCGGCCACAAAGCGGAAATTCAGCGCTGGGTCGACCATCTCGTAGGTCTCACCCAGCAGCGGGTTAAAGGGCTTGCGCTCGGCGCGCGGCTTCTTGGTCGACAGCGTGCTGATGGCAAATGTCGCGACGTACATCAGCCGATCGAGGCTGTCAGTCTTGTCGGAGGCCTGCAGAAGAAGCCGCTGGTACACGAGCTCCTCGCAGAGTGCCTGCAGAGCATTGATGGGCTCGTTTATGACCAATGGCATGGCAATGCTCGACAGGTCCTTTCCGACGTTCTTGCGCAGGATCGAGATGAGGCTGATGGTGGCTGGCACCTTTTCAACTGGCAGGCGCGTGCGCGGCTCGTAGCCGACCAGCTGCATGCGCGTGCTGTCAATGGTCGCTGTCGGCTGCGGATCCGTGTTGGCATCACTAGCTTCCTCCTCCACCTCGGCTTCGGCCTCAGCACGCTTTTTATCGCTCTCGTTTTCGGTTATGCTCACCTGCAGGCTGTTGCGTACCATGGCCTCGATAAAGTCAGGATCGCGGATCAGGTCCTTACGCAGGCGACTCGAGCGACTCGAGGTGTCCGAGCCACGCGTGAATGAGCGGTCGTCGTCATCGCTGCTGCTGCTGTTGATGTTGTTTTCAACGGCAGCCTCGGCGGGCTTACCCACATTGTCCTCACAGCTTTCGGTCAGCTCGAGCACCTCGTTCGTGTCGTAGAACACATCGGGTTCGGACACCCACGAGGCGCACGACGCAGACATTGACTCCGAATACGCCTCTCCACCGGTTGCCAAGCAGTGCAGCGCGCGCTCGCTGTCAATGGCAGCCTGCAGAATGCCTAGTTCCTGGTCGCCGAGCATGCCGCGCAGCTGCTGCACTGCGTTCTCAAACTCGGAGTGCAGGTACGCGGCAGTTTTGGCGCCAGCGTCTGTGCGGGCGCGTGGCAACAGCTGGTCCTGCTGCAGCGTGGTGCCGAGGCTGTTGCTGGCCAGGGCGCCCTCCTTGGCGTGCTTGAGTGCGGCCACCCACGCCTCGTACTCCTCCTGGGTCTGTGCGCGCAGCTGCAGGAATCCCTCGTCAGCGTCTACTGTGATGCTGCGGTCGTCCTTGGATGCCGACACCACGGCGCCAGTGACGTCGACCTTGGCCCGGGGCACGCCGCCCTCAGCCGTCGAGTACACCAGCCACGCACCCTGCACGGCAAACCACCGGCGCGCCCAGCCCTGCATGCGCTTCCTCTTCTTCTTCAGCAGCCAGCCCGAGAAATCAACCTTCGTCTCCTCCTTCGCCTCCTCCTCCTTGACTGCCACGCAGAAGGACAAGCGCTTGGACGTGTTTTTCGAAAACGAGTTGTCAAAGTACAGCACGTAGGCGCCAGGCTCGGTCGCATGCCATGATCCCTTGATTGTTGATTTGGACGACTCGTAGTGCTTCAGCGCCATCAGCTCCACTGCGCCGCGGTCCTGCAGCTTGAAGTGGCTCAGGCCGCGCTGCCGCCCGATTGACATTGCCCCGCCTGTGGTCTCTGACACCGAGCCTGCCAATGACGCACCCTCGTCGCCGGAGCTGTTGGCTTTGCGCCGGAATAGCCCAAAATCGATGTTCTTGCGCTTGGTCGTGAACCACCACTGCAGCGTGCATGGCACCTGCGTTATGTTTACTGTGTGCAGGTACGAGTCCCGCGGCAATATTTCTACTTCTTCCATTTGTGTTTGTGTGTTTGTATATGCGATGTGTGCGAGCGTGTTTCTGAAAGGTCCAAAAATATGTAAATATAAAATATGAAATGTGCGTCCAAGCTAATAAAATTAAAAATAAGTGGTGGGTGAGAAAAGGAGCTCTTGCTAAGGAAAATGGCGGATAATGGCGGATGGGCGAAAGGTGAAAAATAAAGGAGAGACAGTGGGCCTTTGCAAAAAACCACATAAGCACAAAATCAAAGACTTTATATTTCCACTTTGCAAAAAAGGGATGTAAATAAGGCACAGGGGCGTCATGTTTTCTCTTCTTTTGAGGCTGTCGTTTTGTGTGACGGCCGAGGCCACTCTGCAATAATCGATTTAGTTCCTATGAGTGCCGGATTAAATACGCTAATCTATCTACAGCGTGGCTCAGTCACAGGATAAGCTATGATAAGTGCACTTTCTTGCTTCCGAATTTTCCGTGTTCTCTCCACGAATAAACTGGTAAGCGCCAAGAAACCTTGCCGTAATCTTAAAATCTGTGAGGCACCTATGGCCTCTGCTTTTTTTTATAACTTTAAAATCTCCCCCATCCTCTTGCTGTTGTTGCTTCTCGCCTTCTTCTCTCCTAATCACATCGTTCTTTTTGTTTTTGTTTTCTCTCCACTTTCAACTCTTTAAATTCAACTCTTTTTTATTTATTCTACCTGCATTTAAAATGGCTCGCTCCACTGGTCGTTCTGGACGCTCGTCCTTCGGTTCCTCAACCCCTCGCAGAGAGGCACACACGATGGCTGCGCCCGTGCGCCACGCTCCCCCTGCACCTATGCCCGCTGCTGTTGCTCAGCCTCGCCAGCCCGGTATGTTTGCCCAGATGGCTGCCACTGCTGGTGGTGTTGCTGTCGGATCCGCCGTCGGCCACACAATGGTAAGAATTGAAAGAATATTTTGTTCTATGGTGTTCCATCTATGATAGCTGGATGACTAATTGGGTTTATTTTATTTTATTTACTTCTGCTTACCTTTTGATTTTAACTGTAGGCCAACGCTGTCGGTGGTCTCTTTGGTGGTAGCAGCGATGCTGCCGCTGCCCAGCCTGCTGCGGCTCCCGTCCAGCAGTCCGCCTATGATCAGCAGCAACAGAGCCAGTTTGCTCGCAGCTGCGACGCCGACGCCAAGGCATTCACTCGCTGCCTCGAGAGCACCGGCAACGACATGTCGTCGTGCCAGTACTACCTGGACATGCTCAAGCAGTGCCAGGCGTTCTCCAGCTCCCAGACCTTCTAAAACACGAAAGGCTGTGACTAGACTGTAGAGCAGGATCATCATACATTTTATTTTTTCGTTTGAAATATCACTTTAGTTGGACCAAAAAAAACTATTGATCGGTTAGAAATTGCATGAAACAGCCTTACTTTTTGCTCAGCGAGGCAAAGGGCCGGGGGAAATCGGGGTCCATAAACTGGTTGACCTGCTCGGTAGTGACAGCCTTCTCGCACGCCTGGAAGTCACTGACAAACTCCTGCAGCACCTTGATGCACCTGGCCTTCATCTCTCCCGACGCGATCTCGCCCTTCGTGTACCCCTCAGCGAGCAGCTCAATCTCCTGGTCGTCCTCAACAAAGTACCGCAGGTACTGGAATGGCACATCAACCTCGACATTGCCGCCCAGCCTGCGGTGCTCCTCCAGCGACGTCTGGCCTCCGGAAAAGGCATACCTGTTGATCTTGTTCTTGATCTGCGCCTGCGTGTCGCTCATGAAAATAGCCGACGAATCAATGGACGAGCTCATCTTAGACGTGGCGCCCTGCAGCGCAGGCAGGAAGCGCGTGTGGATGAGTGCGGGCTTCTTGTGCTTGAGCTTCTGTGCGATATCACGGGTAACGCGGAAGTACGGGTCCTGGTCGATTCCGCAGGGGATCAGGCAGGGGATATCCTTGCGCGCGCCAAAGATGCTCGGGAACGTCGAGCACAGCGCAGGCGCAGCCTGCACGCTGGGGAACTGGATGCGGCCGATATTTGTGCTGCCGTCGAAGCCAAACACTGCCTTGGCCGTGTTGTAGTTGATGCTGCGCGAGATCTCGAGCACATTGCGGTAGAATGCGCCGCCCATGTAGTCGAGGTTGGAAAAGATAAAGGTCTTTTCAGGCTGGAACCCGATGGCTGCGATCTCCCGCACAGTGTTGATCGCGTACTCGTGGGTCTGCGCCAGCGTCAGCCCGTCCTTGAACAGGAACTTCTCATCGTCCGTCAGCTGCACCACAAGGGGCACATCGAAGACGTCCTGCAGCCACTTGCAGAAGATGAAGGCATCATATGGCCACATGCATGTGGCCGCGGCTCGGCCCGCGTCCTGTGTACAGGTAGAAGGGCTTGCCGGTCTCGTGGCGGTCGAGGATCCCCTCGAGGTCGCGGTGCGAGAAGAAGATTCCGCGGCGCAGGTACAGGTGGGGGGCGTGGCCGGTGACCTTTGTGAAGCGCTCGAGCAGCTCGGCTGTGATCATCCGGGTGCCGAACGACGCCGTCAGCTTCTCGTAGTCGATGGCCTGCTGCACGCCGTCGACGATCGCGCCCTCGACCTTCCAGGGGGTGATGTCCTGTTCGACTTGCGAGCCGGACACTTTGAGCGCCTGCACTTGGACTACCGGAACTGCCGTGTTGTCGCTCATGATTTGTGGATTTTTTTTAGATTTAAATTGGGAGTGATTCGAAAAGTAAAAATATTTGCTTTTCCAATTAATGAAAGGGGAGTTCGCTGTCCAGCGTTCAAAGCGCTGTCTTGTTTTTTTGAGTGTGTTTATGTGAATCATTTTTCTATGTGCCAGAATATTGAAGAAAATAATGAGACCAAATATTTTAAAATTCAAATATCATGCAAATCAACATCTTTTCCATTCAGGCTGCATAACAGCCCAGCACGTGCTTAGAAACTGGAGCCAATAAATAGTCCACTATGTTGACGATATTATTCAGTTGCTGCTTCTTGCAAAGAGAAGCTTGGGCTTGGGCTTTGGCTTGGGCAAAGGGTCGGGCAAGATCTCGGGCGTCGCTATAGACTCGGGCTCGGCGACTCGAACGGTGCCTTTTTGCGCAAAAAAATGGGGGCCTGTCGCCTGTAAGCAGGGCGTTGAGGATGATGTGAAAGTTCAGCATCGCGGCCATGTTGCAATTATTGCACTTCCGTCTGCCTGATGGCACTTTATTTGCCATCCTTAATCTGCTGCCAAAAATACTTATGAATGGTTCACATATGTGCTACCTTTTTCCTACCTCTGGCGAAAGGTGTTTTTATGCACTGTTAACGCACTTACCTCATTAGCGAAATGTAAAGGTAAGTGCGTAAACACAATCCCCGTTGTAACTAAAAACTCCCAACCTGAGGGGCAACCTTGATTTGATTTTGGTCAATCACACAAAGTGCCAAACACTCCATCACACCAAAAAAAGCCTGCCGTGTTTGCTTGGCGAAATGCCTTGGCTCTCATGCTGGCACGTAAGTGTGTTTATACTGGTATACACTCGCATCCACTGATCAGATATAAATGTGGATTAACTGATCACAAGAGGTTAACGGCGAGTTTGGCCAGGAGTAGCATTTCTGGCGTGGCACGCTGACAGGCCTAGCAAGCGGTTATTTCTTGAATACATCAGATATAATTATATATACGCACTCGCGTCTCTGGCTGTGACAATACTTTTGTCTTCTTTTTTTTGTTAAAGATTTCAACGCGATTCAATTTAAACATATTTTCTGTACCTCTTTGTTTTCTGCTGCTTCTCAATCAACAACCTTAAAAAATTCTCATTTCGCTTGTAACATACCCTTTTACTCAATTACTGCACCAGAAGACGCGTTTAATAGAGGAATACCAAATACTTTTTTGCACTGCAAAAATAAAATAAACATGGCCGCACCGACGCCCACGGGAAGACACTCAAATGGCAACAGCAACAGCGCAAGTGGAGGTGGAGGCGGAGGCAATAATAACAAAAAGTACATAACCAAGCCCAAGCTTAAACTCCTTACAACCTGCTACATCTTTACTGATAGTTAATACTCGGTATATATTAAATGTGTACCACAGAATCGAGGGCCCACCTTCAGTCGCACTTTACTAACCAACAAAATAACAAACTACCTCTTTCACATTTCCACTTGCTATTTTTCTTTTCTTTTCCTGGGTCGATTCGATTAAAAGCGAACAATTAGGCAGGTAGGGAAGGAGTTTATATGCAAGGTACGGTACCACAACCCACTTCCCGAAGTGCCATTTCCACCAAAACTCCTGCCGATTCCGCCGACCTACGTCGACCCCAACGCGGGCTCATACAGCCAGGCGCGCCTGCACCACTACGTAGAATACCGCCACACGACGCTCGAAGAGGCCACCCCTTACCCAATGTACGTTGATGCGACTACGGCATGCCTATCGACCCATGCCTCCTGGGCACCTTTGATGAGGACAAGGGTGTCAATGAACAGCAGCAGCCGCTGGATAAGGAGGACGAGTTCTACTGAATCTGCCCTCGACGCTCAACGCCATGGCTGTGGCTGACTCGGTGGATACTTCCGCTACACAGATACCCGCCGCACAGGGAGCCGCCAAACCGGCGGCAACAGCGGCAGCCTCGGTCCCAGGCTTGTCGCGTACCGCTAGTGGCGCGACCAAACGCACCTTTGATCACTCAGTGGAGGGCCAACTACGGGCCATTGAAGAGTCCTTCCAGTACTTTGCCAAGTACGACGACCAGCCCGACGGCCAAGAAGCGCTCCTACGTAACCTGCGACACCCGACAAACCCCAACGTGCACGCGGTCGAAGCCCTGCCCCTGTACCCGGACTCGTCACTGTGGCCCAACCTCTACACCGTGTTCACCCTGGATACCTGTCCAGAGCCCGAGTTCATGCAGGATTTCTCACGGATGTCAGCCGAAGAGCGCCAGCAGTTGGGCGATCTGGCCAGGGAATCGCTTTTGTTCCGCCCGCGTATGCGCCAGAACCACCTGGGCGAGGACGAGCAGTGGATCGAGAGCTTCTTGCCCGAAGACGAGCGACCGTGCGCAACGTCCGCCAGCGCATCGAGCTGGCTACACCGTGGCCGCCGAGGATGACGGCGTGGAGTATAGGTTTGAGAAGTCGCGCGAATATGATATGCCCGTGCGCCCCACTGCCTTGCGCCAAGAGCTGTACATGCTCACGTTTGACAGAGAGGGCGACGAGCCGCAGGCCCGGTATGTGCCCATTAAGGCCCGCGTTATGCTCAAGCGTCGCCGTGTGCCCTTGGCTGTTCGCCAGATGGAGGAGCAGGAGGACCCCCTGCGTATCACGAGCTTGGATCTGCAGCTGCGCGATTTCTCGGAGGACGAAATCCAGGAGCGCGCTGTTGCTATGAACAAGTTGCACGAGGTTATTCGGGAGGAGATCGTCCATACGTCGGGTGTCGCCCGCAATGAGGATACCGATGAGAATGTTGATATTGGCGGCGATCACGTGTTCGACAGCGACGATGATAACAACAGGCGGAGTGCTCGCAACTCACGCGGCCGCCGTAACCACCACGCTCGCGCCCATTCGTACTCTTCGGCCTCGTCGCAATAAACTTGATTATATCCATTTTATATGTTAAAGTATTTTATTGAATATTATTGAATACAACACACGCTTCAACTCGTTAACTGAAAAAATGGACGTTCTGTAAAAGAAACTAGGATATATTTGTAGATATGACATCTCAAAACATCAACAGCACTCTACTTGTTCAATCTGGCCGCCCGCAGACTGTTCACAATCACCTTGAGGTGCTCATCCACGTTGTCCCTGGAAATGACACCGATCCGCCGGAGTTCTGCGAGCATTACCCTGAGCTGTGGCGACAACATCCTTCCTCCCGCCGAGCCCGCACTAGCTGCCGTTGCGGGCATGTCTGCTCTTGACAGAATATCGCTCAGAAGCTGAGGCACATTGACGCTTCTGATCAAATAAATTACGTTGTCCTTCATCGCATCCAGTTCATCGGTCTCCCTCGTCGGATTTTGCTTGGTTGAAGTGACCGAGGGGACAGAAGAAATGGTAGCAGCCGGTGTCGCTGGGCTTTTTGCAGCTGAGCTACTTGTTGCCGGGCCATTTGAGACTGATATCCTTGTCGTCGGACCATTAATCGCCAAAACATTTGGCGTCGGGCTATTTACCACCCTGCTCCCAGTCACAGGCTGTGCCGCAAGACCGTTAGGCGAGCTGGATTGGTCAAAAAAGAATTAGCTGTTGGCATCCCAGCGATATGTTTTGGCAGCAGCAGTCTGGCCCTGTTAGCGGGTGGCATGGGCGCGTTAGAATCTGGTGCAGCGCCGCGATCAACACATTGCCTGTATGAGCCTGGTTGGGCTCAGGGGGTGTATGCGTTGGTGACGGATGTACTTGGTGCGACATCGCACCCGTCGCGCTGTTGATGGTCTGTGGTGGCGGCCTAGGCGTATTCCAGAGCCAGCGTGCCCATTGACCGAGCCTCGCACTACGGCAGCACTATTAACAATAGGCAATGGGGGCACATTGTCATCGCTTGTGGTATTTAAGTTATTAGAGACGAGCGCAGACAGGCTGCTGATCGCCGACAACGCCTGCTGAGTCTGCTGCGCCAGCTGAATCTGCCGTATCTGCTGCGCTTGCTGAGGTGAGTTAGTTGACATGTTTTTGAGCATATTGTGAACAGTGTTCAGCAGCTCGTTCTGATTCCGCAGCATCTCGTGGGTCTCCTTGATCATGACTACTTGCTCCTCGGGCAGCCTTATCGGGCCGTCAATCACCTTTTGCAGCATCTCTACTGCAGATGAGGTTGGCGGGAATGGCCTGCATCCGGCGGACAAGGGGAGATCTAATGGACTGGGGCCTACGCGTGGCGAGTTAGCGCTGTACACAAACGGTCTAACGCGAATGATCGCCCGCTTTCCTTGCGTCGCAGATTTCTTGGGATTGACATTCCTGTCCGTCTGGTTTGGCGGTGCGCTCCGTGACAGGGTAGGGACAGGCAGGGTAGTGGGCACAGACGATGCGCCCAAGTTGTCCTGAGGCGCAGAATTTACAGAAGGTAGGGTGCCGTCTTCTGAGCAGTTGAATCATTGGCAGGTGTTGAGTTGCTTCTGCAGCTGCCAACAGCCCAATGGTGCTCGCCAGCAAGTTATCGGCGCTGCCGTTCGCTGTAATCGCTGTCGATGCTGGTGCCGGTGCCGGTGCCGAATTGGATACCGAAATAGGTGCTGATGGCGTGCCGGCTGCCTGTACGCCACCGATGCGACCGCTCTCCAAAAGGGTATCCTCCTGGTTGTCAATGACCATCTTGCCGGCGTCCATATTGCCAAGTTTCTCAGGGCTGTTCGAGCGGGAGACACTATCAAACCGCAATTCATCATCGCTGTCGTCACTGGAGTAATCATTGTTGCCGCCATCGCCACTATTGTCGTCGTCTCCATTGTTAATGCCATCCCCACTCTGCCGTTACTCCATTCGGGGCCAAGCTCGCTCTTTACCCTATCAAGAGTCCGGCGATGATATGCCAGCCTAGCCATCTCATGTCCACGGCCATGCAGAAGCATAGTCACCCTTGCAGAGCGTCTACTTGGGCGAATCGCTTGAGATGGGAGTTTGGGATTGAGACCTACTACATTGCGCCTTGATCTCTTACTGAGTAATTCTGCAGTCCTTGCAGTGTCGTCATTGTTTTTACCCTCGGACTGATCGGCAGACAAACGGCTGGAGCGGCGCAATGGCAAATGGCGCTTAGACGACGCAGTCCCCCCCTTTGCAGAAGAGCCGCCTACCTTTTCTGCTGGCGTCTGCAGCGGTGCCTCGCTCACACTGACCGTGGCCTCCCGTGTGGGACCCAAAGACGCGGACTTTTCTGTCTCGGCCACCTCGTTCTTGCCATTGCGTGACGCAATGAACGACAACGCGGACTGCCTGCGCGTGGCTATCTTGGCCGCTGGTTCGTCCTCATCCTCAGAATCACGCTTGCGCTTGACAGCATTGGCGCTACTGGAAGCGTGCCGAGGGCACAGAAAGTCCGTGTATTTGATATTGTAGACTGTCGGCACTTTCAAGAACTCATACCGCATGCCGCACATCGGATGGTACGTGTTGATACACGCTTTGTCGCCCTTGCCGTGCGTGCACAAGACCTGGTAGCCATATGGAGATCCGCAAAAGTAGCACCTCTTGCCCTTGAGCGAAATGAGCTTCGGGACTATCGTCGTGAATGGAATGTGGCTTGTGTCGATGGTAGGAATCCACGCTGCGCACTGAACGTGCACGTGCATGGATGTCGGCTCAGACGCGCCATCTTTGACAACCAGGGTACGCGCGGTCTTTTCGCTTTTGTAGTGGCAGCAGTACAGGTTTTTACCGTAGGTGGATATATTCCCGGTTGAGCACCAGTCGCAGTACCAGGGCTCGTCCCCGGGCGGAATCTCCTTGATACCGTAGCACTGCTGGTGGAATCCCAATTCGCACTTGCCTTCACAAAAAACAATCTGGTTGTCGTTTGTAAAGTTGCCCTTCTGGCAAATCGCGCAAAACTCCTAAAAAATGTTAAAAATGCAACATATTCATTGCAATGTGTCATGCCAAATTAGCTGGCCGTGCTTTGATCTAGTTGTGCGCTCGTATCAATCATCTTGATATATAGCCGAAATCTAAATACACATTTCTCAGCATTTGTGTCTGCTATTATCAGCATCGGAACGTTTATTCATGATGGTTCGCAGTGCACGCATAATCTTAGAGCACCAGCGGATACAGAGTGATGCCCTCCTGGCTAATCGCCTAGATATAGCACTTCGTGAATTAACGGGTGTGTTACTTACATCTTCGTCGTCATCGTCATCATCATCGTCATCTTCTTTATCGTCGCCAGCACATCTAGTTCATTTGCCGGGGTGTTCTCTTTATCGGATGGTTCTGAAGGTACCGCATTTTCCTCTGACTGGCCCTGTCTGCTATCGCCATTGCCACTGCTTGCGCCCCCGCTGCCGCCGCCCGCGCTCTTACCACCACTACCGCCACCACCCGGGTATTTTGCGCTTGGCGCTGCGGCGCCTGCTGGAGACGCTGATCTGCTGCGGTTGTGCTTGCGGCTGATTCTGTGAAAGTGCCCCTGACGGCTGCTGCGACGACTGTCTCAACGTAGTTTTCTGCTGATTCTGCATTTGCGATTGCGGTTGCAGCTGCGCAACCTGGGACCCAGATTTCGGCGGGAGCTGAAATGAGGGTGGGGCCGAAGCTGAGGCTGGATCTGCCCTTGCACATGTGGTGTTCCGGTGGTCGGGTTCGGGGCAAATTTTGGGCTGGAGGCTGCGGACGAGGCAGGTTTTGGGCTTGCGGCACTTGGCCGAGTGGGAATCTGGGCGTCCTGAATTGGGGGCCTGGTTTTCGACTGAAGTGGGGGCCTGGTCTGCGACTGAAGTGGTGGTCTGGTTTGCGCCTGAAGTGGTGGTCTAGGCGGACCCTTAAGTGGTGGTCTGGCCTGAGATGACAACGGAGGACGAGGCAGCGCCTGAAGAGGAGGCCAGGGAGAAGACAGGGATGAGACTGGAAGGAGGAGACAGAGGATGGGGCCTGCGAGGAAGAGACGGAGGATGAGGCCTTGGAAGAGACATACTCGGAGACACTGGTGACTGAGGTTGGCTTGGCGGCCTGCCATTGGACTTGGTCCAAGCAGTAACCGGAGGCAGGGGTGGGGGTGACGGATAATATTCCCGTGGCGACTGAGTCGGTGTAGAGCGCGAGCTCTGGCCCACACTCTGGCTCTGGGTCTGGCTTTGGCGTGTCAAAGTGGCCCTAAACGGGTTTGACTGGCTGGGCCTGTTAAATCCCTGCTGGCTCGTCGTCCTGGAGACATCTGCCGAAACGTTTTGCGCTGGAAGCTTACCGGTCTGTTGCACGGGTGTGATGGTGGCTCGGCACGTTAGGCCTGGTGGTGTTTTATCCATGAGGATCTGAAAACAAGGGCTGCGCTTTTGTGTATTAAAGTTCGAACGGCTTGAATTCGATTATTTTAAAAAAATTTTAATAGCAATAGTTGATTTTTATGTGCACCAAAACAAAAGGTCTGGAAAATGGCGTGGAGTTGAAGAGAGTGCGACAATAATCAGAAAGTGCAAGTGATAATTAGTTTTTTATCAGCCAGTCGCCTCCAATATGAATGAGATTCTGAATTTCAAAGAATAAAATAATATAAAACAATGTACAAAATGTAAAAATTAAAAAAACTTTAAAGAAAAAAGATGGAAAGTGGCTATGAAAGACAAAAAATGAAAAACAAAAGAGGAAAAGAGGAAAATGTGCGGGAAAGGTATTAATATAAAAGCGGCCTATGAATCAAGCCTTAAAAATTGAGCTTGCGTGAAATTTCTTATAAATTTTCTCTTGCAAACACTACGAACAATGGATAAAAAATATATTTCAGTGGCCGCTGGCTTCCCAGTTTCCATTTATTTATCGCCCTTCGATGGCCGGTTTGCTGCAGTTGTTTAATTTATCTGTTTAGTTGAGTTTTTAAAAGCTGCTATTTTATTGAAACAAAACACTACACCATACTTTGGTACATATCTAGCTTTAAAGCATTTGCGATAAAAGTATACAGCGCAAACGACAATATGGATGTTGATTTGGTGTCATCTCCAGGAGTTGCACTATCCATCGACTAAAACACAAACAAAATTCGGGCCCGCGAGCCTTTGAACGTAGCAATACATATTAGAACATATTAAACCCCCAAACTGGCATTTGCTGTGATTCAAATGAGCTGCTACCTTACGGTCAATACGTGTTCCAAAGCGAAAATGTTGGAAAATAATCAAGGCAGTGATTTTAAGTAGGGTTAATTAAAACTGAAAGGATTATTTAATCACGTTTGTTTTTTATGCATTTCAAGTGCCAATTATTATGCGTTCAGCGCCTGCACTTTAAACAAATAAGGCTGAACATTGCAAGTCGATAGAATAGTGCTTTCAGTGAAAATAGGTTTATTTGTGAATAGGAAATTAAGCAGAACCAGGGTAACATTGGCAAATATTAGCTAGTACTAATCGTTTTCCATAACGAGACAACATATATAATCTGCTTCTGTATATAAAAAGTCAGCTGTGAGACCTTTTGTTTAGCGTGCCGTTTGCTGGCTCCAATTAGCGGATAAATTTCTAAGAGAAGCTGTTTTAATTTTGACATACGTTGCATTGTGCAATTACGCTAGCTTTTATTGTTGATTTGTTTTCGGGATAACTTTGCGTATTGTGTCCTGTCAAGCAAAAAATTTTAAACAGGCAGCCAAGCCCAGAGTACCAATCTTTCACACTCTCAGCCCAGTTCATATAAAACACAAAGCACTCAGTATGAAAGGCAAAAAATAAACAAGGCATAAAGTATACTACACTTTATAAAATGTGCTCTCTATTCTGCTCAAAAGCAAGCTGAACACTCAAACTGCCTGCCAAGAAAGAAAAGAAAATAAATTTCCGATAGCACCCAAGCCCAAGTATCAATATATTTTTATAAGCAGTGCTGATACTGGCAATGCAAATTTAAACGGTTGCTTGGTCAGAACAAGAAGAGTGAGTGTGGCTCTGAGGGAAATAAGCAGCAGCTGAATGTCGAAATCAAGACAATCAAGAAAAATCAATTATAATTAGCGAGTGCTTTGTTTTACGCGCGTTCAACGCGCAAAAATAAAAAATATTGTAGTATTAAGCGCACAGCACATGTTTTCTATTGAATAGTTTCTATTTTGTTTGCAAACAGTAGCAATTTTGATCGTATAGTTTCAATTTTTCAAAATATACCTTGCACATTTGCAGTTGTTTAGTTTGCTTCGCAGCTATACGCGGCTGTGTTTTTTCAAATACAAACATGATCAATCTTGGCATTTGACAATATTAATTCATGAATAACAGGCGCTGTGCACAATATAAAAATGTTTCTAGTTGTGTATTACAACAAACAGTTATGTTTACAGGGGTTTAAACTCGCATGTTTGTTTGACAACACAAGCCACTGAGCTGATTGACATTTGTGATTTTATTGATTCATTTTGATTGAGACCTGTCTATTGATGCCTTAACAAAAAATTAAGCATTGCTACCTGAGCCACATATAAACCTGCGACGCGACCTGTGCGTTTGCATATCTTTTTAACAGACAGGTAACGGGGCTATTGTGCTGAGTCTGCGTTTGTTTGACTTTTTGTCACTCGTAAGTAGCCCCCGACTAATCAGGAGGGCTCATTTTGCGGTGATCAAATTTACTTGTCAATTCGAGCCGAGCCAGGCCGGATTAATTCAGATATTACATCTGTCAGCTCGGCTGGTCACGCCTGCGCAATAAAATGGCTGTTCCTCTGTGTTTGGCCTAATTTTCTTTGCCTGCCTTTTATTTGCATGGCCAAAACAATATTTTGAGCAGGTCGATCCTTTTATTTTACAAAGCCAGAATATAAATAGGAGTTTTTTTACTTTTGACAGCTAAATATTTAATGAAAACATTGCGTGTGGACCACTATTGAAAATGTATTTTGGAACATCCGCATCGTCCTTAATACCCTGCTTACAGGCGAGCGTCCTCCCATTTCTTGCGCAAAAATGCACCGGCAGAGTCGGCTGGACCCCCGTCTACAACGACACCCAAGACTTTGATCAAGCCAAAGCCCAAGCGTGTGCGCAAGAATCTATCTATTCTTGGTTCTTCTCTTAAAAGAAGCAGCGAACTGGATAATATCGTCAACCACAGTGGCCTATTGCCACTAGTTTCTAAACACTTGTTAGATTGCTAGTCAATCTGGGGGGAGGATGTCGAGCAGGATACTTGTAGCCTCATTCTTTTCTTATAGTATCAAGGAAGCCACACGCAACCAGTTTTCAAAGTACAAAAAAATGAACGCAAGTATAAGAAGCAGATGCAGATGCAGATGCAGGTGTAGGTGCAATTCCAGCAAACAACCGCTTCCTTCTCTTTTTTGTTTGTTCTGTTTTGTGATCTATTTGTACTTTGTCGGATCCCCATTTTCATACACATTCAATACTATTATTTTCCATATCAAAAACCCAAAAACTTAAAAAAAATCATCTGCAACCAAGAGGAACTGAAAAAAGCCCGACACACAAACACCCATCGCAAAAATCCGAAACGGTCTTTTCTTTTCTCTTTTTTTAACGCCAACCTAACACGCAATTGATTTTCTTTTCCTCCTTTTTCTATTTCCTATTTTTCATCCTTCGCCTCATCGATTTTTTTAGTCTTTTACGATTAGTATATCACAGTTTAGCAGTAACGCGCACACTTACGTACACACCCAAACACAAAAAACGCAACTACAACCCGAACCACGGACCGGCACATATTTTAAACCGTGGACCACGTCAGCGACATTAACGAAACCACTTCTATTGGGGATAGCCAGCTGCTGTTTGACAGCGACCAGTCAGAAGAGCATTCGCAACCTTGGTAAGTTTCTTTTTCTTCAGCAGTCAACAACCCAACAACACACCCTCCCTTTTTAACGACCCCTCCATCACGCTTCACTCTGGCTGTGACGGATGCGGTCAGCAACACGGTGATTGCAGCGCAGTTGCTTTTATAAGTGGCCGAAAGGCGGCTTGCAAAGCTGACCCGCTTGTGGATTCACGGCGTCGAGCATCAGCAGAAGAAGAGAGAAGATGCAACCCAGCGGTTGCACATGCCCCTTTTGTTTTATATCGCATAGCGAATTGCTTAATGTACTTGCGTATGTGCTTGTACGGGCAGTGCGCGAAGCATGTTGGCACTGCTTATATACTGCTCTTTTTGCGGGCATAATACCCTGCCTGTCCCCAGTGTTTACATCTTAAATATTATCCGGTGCTAGTGCGGCAACGTCGTAACCAATACTACGATTTATGAGAAACGCTTCCCGTTTCCCGTTTTATTTCGCACCCCCTTTTGTCATTTGTTTATTTTGCCACGTTCTCTGCCTATGGTGCGAACAATAGCATCACAAACAACACTCGCACAGTGCACCAGACTGCTGCTGGCGCGTCCCCGTATTTTTATCCTCACCATTCCCCAAGCGACAACGCAGAGACACACTATCCATGTTTTCCCCTTCTTCGCTCACCTCTCTTTGTTCACACTTTCAGATTTTTCTTATTGTGTCGCTGTAACAATCTGTTATCATCTGCTGCCGAATAATCTAGTGTCCTGCACGACTGACCTTGTGCCTGTATCAGCTTTCCTTTGTTGTAATTTCTGAGGCGCGATATCGGTCAGGGCGACAGCCACGCATCGCAGAAACTAGTTTCGCTTTCGGAGTATCCTTTGCTCCAACATATTTTGTCAAAAGGCGTTGCGGCACAGCTGGACCCTTCCACCTTTACTTCATATCATTATTGCATTTACAACAACCATGTCATCTCGTACGAAACTCCCGACAAACGCACGTCCAGGCACGTCACCCTACTTGGGCTCAGCAGTACCAATACTAATAAATTTCCACACATCCCTCCTACGCGAACCGCGCGCTCCATATCTAACACTAGCAGCCCGTCCGTCAAAGGCGCCGCACCTTGCTTTCATACCACTCGGCCGCAGTTTATATCTAGCCACATCGAGCGGTGCGAGGCGTGTCGACTAAAGTACGCCCGCCAAGCAGAGGTTACAACCAGACCGTATTCGCCTCTAGGTATGCGCCATACGTCAGGAGCCCTCATCCGCTCAGGGTCGCGCCAGTCACTTGGCGGCTCTAACCGGCCCTCCAGCGCTGCATCGACAGTCTCGCCTCCCAGCCCTGTAGTATCGGCAGCGGACGCGCTTCCGGGTGCCTCGCTGCGACCCTCGTCGAGAGCATCGGTTGCCTCGACCAAGGGCTCCGAGTCGGGGCGTCCTGCCAGCGCCCTACGGCCTAAGCACAGTCGCAGCTCGTCGGCAGGATCGCCGCTTGTAGACGGTAAATCCAACACCCAGCGGGCAGTGGCCCAGGCCAGCGAGCTGGACATTCCCAGCAACCCCAGCGGCGCTGTCAGTGCTGTGCCACCAGCACGCGGCGACAATGTTATGCCCACCATACCCACAATGCCGACGATGTATCCTGATGACGACTTGCCCTTGTCTCCGACCGGAGCCCTGGCTATCCGCTCGCGCACCCGCTCTGTTCGGACATCGGGCAAATTGAACTCCCATCCCCGTGAGGGCCTCAATTCCAATGGCGGAGCAGCTGCGCGTGAGTCGCGTCGTGGGTCTTCGCAAACGAGCCACATCCACCGGCACGCTGGAAATGAGTCTCCAACGCTGTCGATAAGGACCGCCTCCAGAAAGGGTGGCATGATGGCTGCACACCCAAACCACATTGACGAGAACGAACAGGTCGTTATTATCGACGAGCATGTGCTTTTGGATGCCGTGACTAGCACCATGCGCGTTGATGAGGCGAATATGATGGGGCAGAGGGACACAGAGATGAACCGCCTCAAGGGTCAGAACCGCCTGCTGCGGCGCCTGGGCTCGCAGCCTGATCCTGAGCAGGGAGACAGCCCGAAGCAGCCGGGTTTTGAAAATATATTTGGGGCAACTTCGCCAAAGGTTAGACAGAAGGCTTTGGAGCGCATGATCGAGATGGACAAGGCAGCGTTGGACAAGTTTGACGAGTTCAACAGGGCTTACGATGAGTGTGCACCCTCTTTGAGGACCAACCGCGTGCAGTTTGCAGGTGAGCGGCCGTTAAGCCCGCCGCCAGCAGCGCGGCAGTGGGCAGGCGGAGTGTCGACGCCGATGCGCTTGCAGGCTGACGGCGGCGACCATGAGCCTCGGTTGCCCAATTTCAGCTCGGCAGACGCGCGACGCCTAGGCGAAGAGCTCATGAGCACGCCAGGTAGGCGCAAGCCGCAGCGCACGATGCGCACCAACAGCATGCGGCGACCAGCTAGACCACGCGTCAACAAGCCGATTTTTTCTGGAGGCAGCGACGAGAGCGATGATACACCCGACAGCGAGGATTTCGATGATGATGACGACGACCACCGCGACCTGCGCATGTGTTTGATGACCGCTTCCAAATTTGGCACATTCCTCGTGCAGTATATCACGCGGCAATGCCTCGACTACAACACGCTGTGCGAGGAGAACAAGGTCATTATGAAGCGCTTCGAGGATCTCGAAAAACTCACTGTGGGGCTTGACAGGTCGAACAGGAAGGCTGAGGAGGCGCGCGACGAGCAAGCTGCAAAGCTGTATGAGATGAGCACGGAGAACCAGACGCTCAAGGAGACGATCTCGGCCGAGGAGCGCAATACGCGGAGACTGGTCTACGAGAACGAGAAGCTCAAGAAGGACCTGGTGGCGTCCAACGAGCGCATTATGAAGCTTGATGCCGAGGCTGAGCGACTCAACTTGGACATGGCCAAGGCGCGCCAGCGCTACGACCAGGACATCTCCGACCTGCGCCGCAATACCAAAAAGCTAGTTGAGGACAAGACCATGTTGGCCGATAAGAACAACGACCTGCGCACCGAGCTCATGGGCAAGCTGAAGCGTGTCGGACTCAAGGCAGATGTCGACGAGTACTTGGCCGGGCGCTCTCAGGAAAATGCCGACGCTGCCGCCGCCGCCTCCGGGCCTGCCGACGAGCTCACTTCTGAATTCGGCCCCGCAAGTGGCCAGATCAATGCCGTCAAGGCTACCGACGACAACAAAAAGCTGAAGGAGGCGATGCAGTTCTTCCACAGAAAGCTCGACAAGGCCAAGCGCAAACTCTATTCAGAGAAGGTCGCCCGTACTGAAACCGAGCGCATTCTGCGCATCCAACAGGAGGAGACCCACCGCTACCAGCAGATGTACGGCGTCCTTCCGGATGATGCTTCGGCAGAGGGTATGGAGACGATGGGGGACTTTATGCCCACATCGGCAGGTGGCGACAACAACTCGCTGCGCATCCGGACGAGGGCGAGGACGATGTCGATAGTCACAACCGATCTGGGCAACGCCGCCAACGATTCAGACATCAACAGCGACGACGGCCTGTTTGTCATGTCTGGCGATGCTATGTCTCCGGTTGGCAACACAGCCGACTTGATAACCAGCCCCGACATGCTGGCCAGCCCGGGCAGCACCGCCTGTCGCGCGTGGGCTCGCAGTCCAGCATCTCCAGCAATGGTGAGGACGCAGATGAGCTCGCCATCCGCCGCTTTGAGCAGCGCAAGCAGCAGCAGCAGCGCGTCGCCGCTGCACAGGTTACACCGCGCGGCCGGAGAGCGGCTGGAGCCAAGGCGCCGCCACCCATTTCTACTCGGCGCACCAAGAACAGCCTGCTGTCTCTTGACATCAACAACGCGGGCGAGTCTCTGGGAGACATCCTGGGCGCGAGCGGCCAGTGGGGCGACCCATTGTCATCGCGAGGCAAGTCCAGCATGCGCGGGCCACTATCTGCGCGGTCGATCGAGGCGCCTGGCTCTTTTACAGCAGACCTCTCTGGCAGATTTGACGATACCGCCTCGATCCGGTCGATCGACTCTGGCACCACGACCAAGCACCAGCGCACTCGTAGCACTCGCAGCATCCGCGCAATGCCGTCGCCATTTGGCGATGCTCTTGCCGGAATCCACGGTTTTGGAATCAGCTACGACGCATCGGTGTCGCTGGCCGAGCAGCTGGCGCTGGTGACCCCCAAGATGAAGTCCCGTACGGCTACCGTTGTCTTTGATCGGCCGGCAATGGTGGACGTATCCACTAGCACTGATGCCTTGCCCGAGTTTGTCGGCGTTGGAGTCCAGGCGTCGCTTTCACCTCCGTCAGCCGATGCGGCAGTGGCGACGGCTAGTGCTGAGCCCAATGTCACGGTGTCCATGGGCGTCCAGGCAGTTGCATCGCTTTCTGATGGCCAGTGCTCGACCGATCACAGCATTGGTACGCAGAGCAACGGCATGTATGCATCGCCGATGCTATCATCGGCCGGCGTGGGCACTGACATTTCGTCGTTTGTAGTGGGCCACCGGGGCGTTGACAGCGTGCCACTGGTCAGCAACAGCGGAGTGCAGGTGGCGGCGGATACCACGAGTGCTCACACGGAGACAGACCCGCGTGTGGGTGTGACTGACGCGTCGACATCGCTTGACACTACGTACCGTAGTCAAGGTTGCCATGCACAGGCCGAACTGGCTAGCCAGGGTATGGTTACAGACCGGATGCTCGGCATGCGGCACCAGGGAATTTCAGCAACAGCAGGTACGAGCAGTGTCGGCGTGTCGGCTGGAGCTGGATTGGTGCGGGATTTGGCTGTGGCTACTGTTGGGCCGGCACTCGTCGAGCGCGGCTCGGCCACGGTGGGCCCGAGCACCACAGACTGCAGCGCTGTGACTTTGTCGTTGGATACTTGCGACACGCAGGTGTGCACCGATGACAGCTTGCTTGTCAGCTGGCTTGCGCCACTGATCCCGGCTGGCGTCGGCATGGCAGCAGTGCTGGCTGCACTGCATGGTCGCGGGGAGTCTATATACGAGCAGTTCAGGGCGCAAGTTGCCGATACCGCGCGCTCGGAGGCGTTTGTAGAGCATGAGCGCCTGGCTGCGCTGGCTGCTGAGCAAGCCGCTGAGAAAGCGACTGCGCAGGTCAAGTTTTCTCTGACAAGTGCGTGTCGTCCGAAAGCAGCACTGGCGAGCAGGCGGTCCAGGTTGAGCCCAAACAGGCGTTTAAATATGTGCAGGCCGGATCGCTGTCTGTGGCCAGCGTCGGTATCGATGCTTGTTTGGGCCTGGCGCTGGTTGATGTGGGCGTCGGCACTGAAACGCATCCAGTCTCTCGCTGGGTCGAGCCCTTTGACCCGGTGGCCAAGGAGACTAGGGGCGTTGCAGCGATTGCGTTCGTGTCTGAGCGCGCCACATCGCACGAGGTTGTGTATGCCAGCGCCTCTGTTGGCCCGTCCTGCACATTTGGCCATGCGGTTGTTGACGCTACAGTTGATCTTAGCGACCGTGCTACAGCGATGGACGTCACTTGGAGCGACGCTGCAGCGGGGCCAATGCCTGAATACGGCGAGCAGGCGGTCGACGCCAGCTCTGGCAGGGCGGTCTCTGCGGGCGTTAGCACAGCCGTCGAGGTGACTGAGAGGGCGATAAGCAATGCCCCTGATAGCAGCTCGCGCTATACTGAGACCGAGGTTGCGGTTGGCCGCGGCGTGGGCACTGAGCCTGTTGTCGCAGTTGGCCGCGGCGTGGGCACTGAGCCTGTTGTCGTCGATATATTTGACAAGTCCGAGGGTCCAGCTCAGTACACATCTCACCGGAGCACTGGATCATTCACCGGGGCAGTCAGCCGTGGAGTGGGGACCGAGCCTTCTGCTGTCGACGTGTCTGACAAGTCTGAGGGCCCAGTTCGGGAAACGGCTCACCGGAGCACCAGCCCGGAGCTCGATGTCGCTGATGGTGTATCCACCGCTGCTGCTATCGCCGCCGGTGCCGCTGCTGTTGCCCTTGTCTCCACTCTTGGCAATGGTGCCGCTGTTTTCAAGGTGGCCACTCCCATGCTGGAGTGCAGGCCGCACCTACCAGCGCCGATGCCAGCGTGGCTACCAGCACAGCACTGGGCATATCTTCGGGTGTCGCAGTTTGCAGCATCCACTCTGTCGCAGAAGTGGGAACGATTACAGAGACGATGATCCTAGAAGCAGAGCCAGGTTCTGAAACAGAAGCCGCATCGCGGACGGTTCTAGAGACAGAAATCATGCCCGAGGTGCAGGCACAGGCCGAGGCTGCCTTTGCGCCGGCTGTGGCTGCTACTCCTCCAGCGACCAGGCCGCCGATTCCGGCCTTCCCGCCTCCACTCGCGCCTGGATTTTCGCGGCGCTCAGTGGAGAAAGCCAACTCAGCCACCGACATCAATCTCCAGTTTTTGCGCAAGCTCGATATTGCTGATGTGCCGATGCATGCCGGGCCGAAGGTCGCCGAACGAGAGTCCGATGGCGAGGACTACGGCTATATCATGGTTTCACCCCGCACCAATGTGCAATATTCGGCCACGCCAGATCTTTTGACTTCACAAAAGAGCAAGTTCGGCACGTCGTCGTCGTCGATCCGCAGTAAGTTCAACCCGCTAGCTAGATTTGGCCGCACCGCGCCGTCACAGGACAGTGCGAGCCTGGCTCCTAGTGCTCGAGAGCTTGGCTGCGACCAGGGCGATGAAGAGGCAGATGTCACCGACAAGAACGAGCAACTTTCTGGCGCGTCTAGCGGTGAAGAGGAGGACGTAGAGGAGGACGAGGAGAGCGAGGACGAGGGCTTCTCGGCGCTGAAGGCGCACACCTTTGGCAACTCTCGGGCACCATCTGTCTTGGGCGCGCTGCCGGCGGCAGTCAAGCGCCACACGATGAACATTGGCGTTGATGCCGCTGAGTCCCAGATGCGGTCGCATATTGTGCGGCAGCCAGAGCCACTGATTGTGCAGTCGATTGCGCGCACCATGGTCGGCACGTTCTTGTGGAAGTACACCACAACGCACTTCCCGCACGGAAACAACGGCCGCGAGCGCCGCCACATGCGCTACTTCTGGATTCACCCGTATGCCAAGATGCTGAACTGGAGTAAGCAGCCTCCCTCAGGCGGCACCAGCATGTCGCGCAACAATCGCGAGAGCGGCAGCCGCAGCGCGTACATGCGGTCCATTCGCATCATCGAGGAGAATGGCCAGCACCAGGGCTTTGACGATGCGGGCACCAGCTCGGAGCCGTCTTACTGCATTGTCATCAGGACAGACCATCGCGAGATCAAGATCAAGGCCACCACGCAGGCAGACCACGACCTGTGGTACTTGGCCATGTCGTACCTTCAGTCGCGCCGCATCATCACGGCAACACGTATCCGGCGGTGTCGGCCGCAAACACCAGACTGTCTGGGCACCCGACTGACTACACCAGCGACCAAAGCATGCGGAGCCGGGCCACGTCAGATGCCAGCATTGAAAATACCCAGCGGATCATCCTTAACGCCGACCGCCGCCACCGCACTGACGAGCGCAGCCGCAGCACCAGCAGACCCCGCCGGCCGATTGCCGGCCATCTGCTCGGTGGCACTGGCCAGCTGCCCACCCCCTCTCAGCTCCTCCAGCACCCAAGCGTTTCGCACAGCCTGGCCAGCCATGGCGGCACCTACTCGCAGGCAAACAACGCAAGCCATGCGACCCAAGCCAGCTACATCAGCGCCGGCGGCAGGACCGTGCCTCCTCCCATGGCGGGGCTTATGCGGCCCCAGCACCGCAACAGCGCGTTCGATGTTATGCCCAACCGCGTGCAGTCACTGCAATCGACGCCTCAGTCGCTGCGGCCTGTGAGCGTAGCGCCCGGCGCCATGCCCGTGATGAGCGACAGCGGGCATGGCCATGGCCACGGCAAGCGACTGTCCATGGGGATGTTCAGGCGGGCGGCCGGCGGCAGCAACACGTCCTTGTTCAGGCAAGGGTCGTACATGAGCGAGGACTCTTCTGCCATCGTGTCGCCGCCGCTGCAGCCCATCAATGCTGCCGCTAGCTTTGGCGACGGAGCGCAGCAGCATCCGCAATCGATCGCTGCGGCCATAAGAACCGCAAGCACTCGTCGTCGATGGCTACAAACTCGGCGGTTTCAGCAGTGTCGTCGGGCAGCAGCAACTCTGTCCGCAAGATGTTCAGTGGGTCTTTCCTGCGCGCCTTGCGCAGCCGTGAGTCGGTCAACGATCCCAACATCTGAGCGATGCCATTTATTTTGCTAACGCTCAAACATGTTTTATTAACATTCACCTTCACGCCTTCCATTCCACCACTCCGCCATTCTACCACTTCTTTCACCCAGCACTATTCTGGTTTTATATTGAATACACGCTTTCCTGTTTTTTGCTTCTTTCTCCGTTTGCTTGAGCGACGAACCTGCTTTCAACCAGATTTTATTTATTTTTGGAAATCCAACTGCAAACCAAAGCCGAAGATGAGCGGCGCGCATTGTCTGTTGTCTGTTGCCCACTGGACAGCAAATGGCCGCGCTCGCTCAATCGGGGATCATTGCCACAACCAGTGCTTGAGCTGTGCAAAGGCCAAGTGGGCTGAACCGTTGTCAGTCCGCCGTGTTTTGGGTTTTCTTGAATTTTCTTGAGTAATTTTCTATGGCCACAGAACCTGGTCCGAATCTACATGGACAAAAGCCACATTGTTTGATTTTTTATCTGCAGCGTAGCCAGGCTGCATAGAGGGCGCGGGTGACAAGTGAGCGTGCGATTATGAACGTGGGATTTCTCGGAAGCCTCGTTATAGCTAACGCTGGATCGAAATGACGTGTCCCTTTCCGCTTAAGGCAGGAAGCCTGCAGCAGGCAAGCAAAGCATCACAAGCTAGAGTTGCACACTGGTGAATGCAGCGATAAAATGAATGAAAGACTGTATGCCCCGCGTGAGATTCAATCCGAGATAAACCCCCCTCCCCTCCTTCGCTCCCGCTTCATCTGAGGGCCGTGCCAGAATGAAAAGAAGAAGGAAAAAAACGTAGATGCAGAAAAACGCGACCACACACTCGGGCGAAAGATAATCGAAGGAAGGAATAAAATAGCGCCGCGCATAGGATATTTTTCCTATTTTTTTTTGCAGTGACAACCAAAAACAAAAGTAGCGCAGAGGCAGCCAAGCAGGGAACAGAAATTAAGACTCGAGGTTTTCTGCTTATAAGCGGGGAATCCCTCGCATTACTTCTCCACGCTCCTCTTCTTTCTTTCGCTCTCTCTCTCTTTACTTTCTAGTAGTATTTCTCTTCTCGCTCCTGCTCCTGCTCCGCTCCTGCTCCACTCAACCAACAACCACCAACCATTTATCCTTTCATTTTTAAAATAAAAACATGGTCTCTGTCGCTATTCTCGGTGCCGCTGGTGGTATTGGCCAGCCCCTGTCGCTGCTGATGAAGCTCAACACCAGCATCACCAAGCTGAACCTCTATGATATGTCAACGTTCCGGGAGTCGCCGCCGATATTTCTCACATCGCTACCAATGCCGAGGTCAAGGCCTTCCTTGGCCCCACCCAGCTCGCCGACGCCGTCACCAATGTTGATCTCGCCATCATCCCGGCCGGCGTGCCCCGCAAGCCCGGCATGACCCGCGACGACCTGTTCAAGATCAACGCCGGTATCGTCAAGAGCCTGGTCGAGGCCATTGCCGAGAACAGCCCCAAGGCCATCATTGCCATCATTTCCAACCCGGTCAACTCGACCGTGCCTATTGCCGCCGAGGTTCTCAAGGCCAAGGGCGTCTACGATCCCAAGCGTCTTTTCGGTGTGACCACCCTCGATGTCGTCCGTGCCTCGCGGTTCGTGCGCGATATTCGCCCGGAGCTGGACGCCACCACCCTGCGCGTTCCCGTTGTTGGCGGACACTCGGGCAACACCATTGTGCCTCTGCTGTCCATTGCCAGCTCGCCAATTAAGCTGAGCACTGAGGAGCGCGACGCTCTGACCCACCGGATTCAGTTCGGCGGCGATGAGGTTGTCAAGGCTAAGGATGGCGCTGGATCGGCCACTCTGTCGATGGCCTATGCTGGCGCGCGCTTTGCCGACTCTATTATTCGCGCTTTGGGCGGCGAGTCTGTTGTCGAGCCCACTTTTATCCCACTGGCTGCCGACCCTGAGGGTGCCAACCAGATCCGCGAGCTGGGTGCCGGCGATCTTGAGTTCTTTGCTGTCACTGTCGAGTTGGGCAAGGAGGGTGTCAAGAGCATTGTTCAACTGCCCACTAGCAACCTCACTGGGTTTGAGCTCAAGGCCATTGCTGTCGCTGCCGAGGCCCTGACCACCAACATCTCGACAGGCGTTAACTTTGTTAAGAATGCCTAAATTTTTTCAATCCATATTTTTTATTCATTATCTTTTCATTTCTATTTTTTTTCTTTATTATATACATCTTTTTGATATTTCATTTTGGCAGGCAAAGGTAGAAGGTTTGTTTTTGTTTTTTGTTTTTGCCATATTGCTTAGAATAGCAGTAAATTGTGCATTTCCAACGCTCAACCGCGCTGTTCTCACGCTCTTCAAAGATAAAATATGCGATATTATTTTGTGCTTGCTGTTAGTTCTGATTCGTCTGTATTTCACACACGCACGTACGCACAGACAAATAATTGCACATTCCCTTTTCTTGGATCTGCTATCTGTATATTTATCTATAACAAAAAATACACACACACACACACACAGCTTGGGCAAATTGCCGCAAACAGCAAACGCTCAAAGAGGAGGTGGCAAATTGAATTGCAGATAAACCCTCCCTATGTCTAAATTTACTTCGTTTGCTCGTCACAGGCAGAACGGAAAATAATCCAAATCCGGAATGGCCCGCTTTCCTTGGTGTTCACGATAACAGCCTCAGACAGATGTCAAAGCGGGCCTGTGCTCATACGAAGTTTCCGATACCAAGCGAGAGCACCGGGTAAAAATAGAAAAAAAAAAAAAGTTTCCGAAAAACGACATGAACATTAAACATGGGTGCAAATAAGAGAATTTATAAAATGAAAAAGCTGAACTACGGGTTGGTCATTTAATATAGAAAGGAATAGAAGAATCGGACGCAGGCACAACGGACTGCTGATAGCAGGGTATTTTATTTTAATAAAAATTAGCAGCAGCCGCCAGCGTTCTTTGTATGGTCGTCGACAGATGGCATGATGATTTGTGCACCAGAGCCGGGGTGCACGTTGTCCTGCGACGACTCGATGGCCTTGTTCGACACGATGCGGTAGATCTCGGTCAGGATTTGCTTGAACGACTGCTCGACGTTGCTCGAGTCCAGCGCCGATGTCTCGATAAAGAACAGCCCATTCTCGGCTACACATTGCAAAGCAAAAAAAAAAATAGGTGAGTTAGTGACGTGTGGTGAAGGGCGCGTTACGTGAAGAAGCCAATTCCGACAGCAGGAGGAAGAGGCAAAGTGTGGAAAAAGGAACAGCAGCTCTGGACAGTGTGTGATGATGCATCCACAGCATAATAACAGATGAAAATACTAAACACCACTGCAAACCTACCAGCAAACTGCTTGGCCTCATCGGTGGGCACAGCGCGCAAGTGTCTCAGATCGGACTTATTGCCCACGAGCATGATGACAATGTTGCTGTCGGCGTGGTCGCGCAGCTCCTTCAACCATATTGTGACGTTCTCGTATGTCGGGTGCTTGGCGATGTCGTAGACCAGCAGAGCACCAACCGCACCGCGGTAGTATCTACACATAAAAACCACAAAACCAAAAATCATTTAGCGCCTGCTTTTGGCTCCAACAAAGAAAAGCAAGCAAACATACAAAGCACGGCCTAGACACGGCTGCTTGGGATGCGCAAGCTCATTGTTGGCACATGGGCACTTACGCGCTGGTGATCGCACGGTATCTCTCTTGGCCAGCTACAAGAACAATGGAAAGAAACAGAGGCATTGCCAAGCGGCAGCGCACCCTCGCACACACTTTTGTAGTTAGTATACGCGTAGTTACAGGGGGCGATGGAAGAATGGGGGCGCAGCGCTGGACTCTGCGCGTATAAAATATGTACTCGCTTGCATACATGGCATGCGTGAGCACGTGCAACTTTATACTCTATTTTCTATTTTTGGCTCGGAGTATTTTCGTTATTGCACCCGAGCTCGTACCTGTATCCCAAATCTGCGCCTTGATAGTCTTTGTGTCGACCTGAATGCTTCGAGTGGCGAATTCAACGCCAATGGTGGACTTTGACTCGAGATTGAACTCGTTGCGGGTGAAGCGCGAAAGAAGGTTGGATTTGCCGACGCCCGAATCGCCAATAAGGACAATCTTGAACAAAAAGTCGTACTCGTCGTTGCCAGACATGATTGCGTTTGGAGATGTAATTAAAAGTGTGTGTTAAAATAAAAGCGTTACAATATTTAATAAAAAGGAAAAGGAAAAAGGCTAAATTCAATTCAATTGAAGAGATGGGGCTTTAAAGTTTGGTTTTGAAACCTGCAAGCAGCACCATCCATTGGCACGCGATCTCCGAAAAAGAAGCTCGTTGTACGAAAGGGCGAAAAGCGCCAAAGGGCCGAAACTTGGCGCACCGCCAAAGGTAGATTTTAAAACCTATAGCAATTTCACGTGATTTTAACAGCTGCAAGTTACAATTGGCTGCAAAATGTAAGAGGTTTACTCGACAAAAGTCATAAGAACATGTCACAGGGGGACATATTTTCCCTCTTTTTCGTGCATCCCCATTAATACAATTCGTTTTGCGCTCTTTCTTCCAGCATAGGCCTTTACCATGTTTGATACAAAAAGAAGCATACAAACGCACGATTTGGCCTGATTAATTAGTTCAGATATAAAAGAAAGATGACAAGCGGTTATAAGTTTTAACAGCTGAATGTTTGAGCTTTATTAAAGTTATCGGATCGAAGAAATAAAGATGAAAAAAAATTGGTTTGAAAAATTGCAATTCTGCAGTATTGTTCGCCTGACTGCTCGCTTGTGTTTGTTGTTGGTTGTTTCTTTTCTTTTCTTTGCCTACGAGCAGCCGATATTTGGTAGTATTAAAAAATAAACTGAGAGAAAGTTAACATTAAAATGGAAAATCACGCGCTGGAGTGACATGTCATTTATCCTTTCGGAATCTACCAATACAACATACTCGTTACTCATTTTAAGCTGCGCCTCTGCTGTGTTACAAGTTAGTTTAGAAATGTAACTGTAAAAAAGTGCACTCAAGAATAGTTAGCACACTAGTTAACTATTTGAATAATGTACTTTTCAAAGCTTAAAATGAAAATGCAAAGCATTCGGCTAGTGTTTAAATAGTTGGCTCAATTTTATTACCTAGTTTTTTGAGCGAGCTGCAAAACAAAAATTCAGTATTCACAACACATTATTGATTCATGACTCCAGAATTATCATAAACAAGGTACGGTATTTTACAAAATTTGGAGCCAGTGCTCAAGGGCAATACCAAGGCCGCCGTCGACTCCAACATCAAGGTTGGGTGTTGAAACTGCGACATTGCTTCGTGTGCAATTTCATTATGATATTCCTGTATCGTCGCAAATTTGGTGACACCAACCCAGCTTTCAAACACCCTGTTCGACTGCCAAAGAATCTGAATGCCACGCACAAGCGAAACAAGCTGGATAATTTTTTTTTTCATTTTCCTCACATCAGGGCAAGCTATTGCTGCCTGATGGCTCGATCCTCATTGGGTAAAACCAATGACAGCAGATGGGAAACTAGGACCTTCGTGCAAAACCCCCCAATAATAATTTTGTTATTATTTTCTCGACTTGGGACCCTGCCATTCAGGAGCAGCGGCGTTTTCAGTCGCCGCAGGTTACTTGCCAAAAAGCAACATGGTCATGGGTGTTGAGACGCGAGTCTCAGCTGCTGGATAGTGATAGTGCTTATCGAAATGCGCACTTGCATTTCATTCCGAAATGGTGGGAGGCGCCAAAAAGAAAAAGAAAAAACAAATGGGGGGGGAGCTGAGGCGCAGATAAAGCCTGCTTGAGATACGCAGGCACTCAGTCTCATGCATGGTTGTGAGCGTATCCTCTTCTTCACAAGGCCCTCTTCAAATTCAATTCAATTCATTCAATTCATTTTTATTTTTCTCACATAATTTCTATATTTCATTTCTTCATTTTGCTCTGAATTTTAGCCACCTTGTATTTTGTTTTCCAGTTTAGAAGCCGCCAGACTCATTGCAAGACCCAATATCCGGACCTGTTACCTACTACTGCCACTACTTTTTAATACGCCCAAAGCACACCTCCCTCCCCCTTTTTCTTTCCCTCTCTCAAAACAAACAAACAACTCCTCCCCTTCTCACATTCTATACTTTGCCAACTCTGTCCCCCATGAACAGTCCGACTGCCCAGCAGTTCTCTAACACTGCGGCAGGGCAGCACGACGAGTCTGAGTCTCAGTCACAGCCCCGCCTCCGCTTCAGCCGGAAGAGTCTCAGTCCACACGGGTCACGCTGAAGCAGGTCAACCAATGGAGCGAGAGCCGCGTGTGCAAATGGGTTCGCGAGCAAGGCTTTACCAAATACGAGGCGTCATTCCGCGAAAACATGATTAACGGCGAGGCTCTGGTCGAGCTGGACTACAACCTACTAAAGGACCTATCAGTGCGAACGGTTGGCGAGCGTGTGCGGCTCAACTTGGCCATCAAGCGACTGCGCCAGCAGTGTCTGCAAGTGGAGGCAGACAACGAGGCGACAGCGCGTAGCAAGCAGAGAATGGCTGCAGAGGGGTACGCGAGCCCAAACAGCCTTACTCCACACAGCGGGATCGACATAAGCCCTGTGTCAGTGTCGGCCTTGCGGAACAGCCATTCTGCAGCGGCTAGTGCAGCCGGCACTGTCAATGCTAACGGCGCTTTAATGAATTGCGGGGCCAAGGACTTACCTCAGCCGCTGCGCATCGCTCACTCGTCTGCGGCAATCGGCGGCCCGGCAAGCAACGAGAATGGCGCAAACCACAATAACGGCAGCAGCATAATTCAGCGGGCAAACACTGACACGCGGTCCTTCAGCACGCGCGAACACATAAATAACCAGCACCACCCGTCGCAAACCATTGGTGGCGTAGCATTGCGCAGGCCAAAGACGCCGCACGACAAGGCCTCAAAGTTGGTCCAGCCACTGACTATGTCGCCGCTTGTATCGATGAATATGCTCAAACAGGGATCAAAGACAGGTTCTGCAAAGGAGAACGGGCATCCATCGCAATCCTCAAAGTTGTCTCTCAAGACCAATCCTGGTGCTCTAAGCGGTATGCTGGGTGTCGAGCCCATGTCGGCGCCCCTGCCGCGCATGCGCATGATATCAAATACATTCCGGCAGCTATCAACGTCGGCGTCTCCACCGCCAAGCACGCCGTGCAGGCGCTCAGGGACGCTGTTGAGTCAAAATTATCTTCGAAGTACGGGTCAGGCGAGGACGCCGATCGCCTGGGCCTGCAGTTCCAGGAGTTCTTTGGCACTGAGATCAATGTGGCAAACCTGGCCGACTCGCTGACTGTCAAGACCTGGCAGGTGACCATTTCGGGACCTGATAACCAGGTGCGCCAGGTGACGATCAGCATGGGGAGCTTGGCCGCCACTATCCTTGACAAAGTGCGGGGTGAATTCGACCTAAACAACGACTCGGACGGAGAGCAGTACTCGCTGTTCAGCATGACCAGCGAAGGAGGCGGTGCTAGGTGCCTGAGCAACGATGAGCTGACCAAGCTGTTCGCTGACCCAGAGGGCTCGCCGCCACAAAAATTTTTCCTGCGCAAGCGGCACCAGCTCTCGCGTCCACTCATGAACTCCAATCGCTCTGAGCATTTGCAACGCGCCATCGAGCGGCTAGGCAACACCCTCCCCGCCTCACAGCAGCAGCAGCAGACCCAACGCGCAGCGTCAAAGTGGGACAACACAACGGAAAAGCTGACCAAGATTCTCGGCGAGCGCCCGCCATCAGAGCTCGTATCGATGAATGTCGAAAAGTACTTTCCGGGCAATGAGGCACGGGCGCGGCACTCGATCATGCGTCGGAAGCGGCACGAGTCGCAGGAGTCGGTCGGCTTCGAGGACGTCGATTTCAGCAAACGGCGGTCGAAGCGGGTATCCAACAGTCAGCTGCGCAGCAGCACGATGAGCTCGACGAGCTCACGTATTATGCGGGACAGGTTAAAGTCACTGACCATTGGCAGTGACAAGTCGTGGTCGCAGTTTTCGTCGAGCCTTGAGCCGATGAGGAGTCACAAGCGTCGCCAATCATTCCAGGGAGCAAGCGGCGTCGGCATTGGCTGAAGCGATAGCGAGGGGCGCTGATTCTAGTATCTTGCAGGAGCCCTCAGAGCAAGAGCGGTCGCAGCTGCTGCAATACTCACCGCTGCCGGCTTTGCCAGAATCGCTGCCTTCCTCGCCCATAGCCGAATCTGACCCTGCCGACGCGTCCGATGTGTTGTTTGCAACATCAGATACCCAGGCGGATGATGCTGTCCTCCAGATGCGCCCACTGCTCCAACAGTGGCAGCAACAGCAGCAGCAACAGCCACACCGCAGCCTATTGCTACTTCTAAGCAGAGCAAGCGGAAGAGCATGCTCTACATCGAAAACAGGCCCATTCTTATCCGCAGCCGCTCGTGTGAGAGCCTGCAGTACTCGGACGAAGGCACCACCGGGACGCTGTCCGACCTATCGTCGTCTTCGCAGATGTCGGACTCGGTCGATAGCGACGACAGCAGCTTCTACGAGAGCCTCGCGGACAGCGACATCGACGGCGACGAGAACCTGGCCGACGATGATAGCGACGCGCGCACCAGCAACCCGGCCACAGGCAGGCTGTCAGAAGAAGAGGAGGGGAAGGACGGTGATGCTGTTGAGGGTGACGTCTTGCAAGGCACGTTCGGGAATGCGGTCGGAAGGCAGGCGGCCGGGATTGTCGCCGAGGATGCCAACGGCAGCGAGCATCGCCACAGCGTGGCTAGATCGACAAGCACTGCGTCGCGCACCGCGCGGGCGCACCTCAAGAAGAAGACCTGGATCAAGGGCGCACCCATTGCTAGCGGGTCGTTTGGAAGCGTTTATTTTGGGATGAACACGCGCACGGGTGTCATCATGGCGGTCAAGGAGGTCGAGCTGCCCAAGCCAGGGACGGTATCGATGAACCGCAACCAGAAGATGGCCGACGCCTTGCGGCACGAGCTTGATCTGCTCAAGGGGCTTGACCACAAGAATGTGGTCAAGTATCTCGGCACTGACATGGATGACCGGAACCTGTTTATATTTTTGGAGTATGTTTCCGGAGGCTCGGTGTCGAGCGCACTGGCTAGCTTCGGCATGTTCCCCGAGTCGCTCGTGCGCACATACACCGGGCAGATCCTCGAAGGGCTCGTCTATCTGCATGACCAGGGCATTATCCACCGCGACATCAAGGGCGGTAACGTGCTGATTGACCAGGATGGCAGCGTGAAGATATCAGACTTTGGAATATCCAAGCGCGTCGACGAGGTCGTGGCCTCCAGCAAGAAAGACCGACGCGCATCTCTGCAGGGGTCAGTCTTCTGGATGGCGCCCGAGGTCGTCAAGGACACCAAGTACACGATTAAGGGCGATGTGTGGAGCCTGGGCTGCCTGGTGATTGAGATGATCACGGGTGCACACCCGTTCCCGGAGCTCGATCAGATGCAGGCACTGTTCTCGATAGGGCAGCGCGGGCGGCCAAAGATTCCCGATGGCATGTCTGTTGCTGGCCAGCAGTTTTTGGACGAGGCTTTGCAGGTTGACCTCGAGAAACGGCCCACTGCCAAGGATCTGGTGCCACACCCGTTTGTGTATGACACTGAGCCGCCGTCGCCGTGATCTTGATGGGATACTCCGAGACTCTGAGAAACCAAGGTGATACGCGCTTCCTTTTGGTAGAAGCCCATTTCAAACTTTTTAGCACCTTGCATGGCCACAATCAATAGACAAAAAATTCAAGTGTAGATCCGAGTCGTAGGTACAACGTTGAGCTCTAGTCAATTTGTGCGTTTTAGAACGCAAGTACAAACTCTTTGTTTCCAGCGCTTCCCAGTGTTTACCTGTCCCAACCGGCAAAATCAGCGCAAGTCACAGATGCCGCCTGCCGGCGATTAAAACGCAGCGCGGGATCCACTGAACTTTAAAACAAGGGGCAAAAGTAAACAACATTCGGATTCTGGGCGTTAAACGCAGCATAACAGGATGGACAATCCTGTCCTCATGAGGTTGGAAAGTGTTTCTTTCCAGTTTTTCACCTTTTGAAACACAAAGTCCAAAAAAAGAAGGAAAAACAGGAGCATTTCTGTGCATCGAAATACATCTGCGATGTCCAAAGCAGGTTTGGTGTTTGTCAGTCCTGTCGCACACTTAATTGCAAGCGTGAGAGTACAGCAGTTTGCATTTATATTTGTATTTGTATTTGTGTTCAGTGACTTGCTCATTTTTTGGGTATGGATAATCACAACAATTTTGTACATTACATGGGTATGGCCGAAATCATTTTACAGAGCTTGGCTTCTGAAAATGAAAAAGTCAGCAGAAAATCCATTAAATGGATGCCGACGGCAGGGAGCCTGGCACTAAAAGCCGCAAAACCCGACTGACACTGGATCATTCACCATACACATTGGCTGTTTGTCCGCCTTTTCTAGTAACGACAATGAAGTTTCTGCCGTTTGTCTGCAGGCCCAACGATCGAGTCAGGTTTAAAAAAGAGGGCATGATGAGGAGAAGAGGGAGGACAGCAGGACGGCAGGACCCATGTCCCCGGTGAGATGAGAGCGAGCAGTAGCAGCCCTGCCCGACCTAACGGATGATTCGGCGAATCTGGTTGGTGCGCAGCTGGCACAGCCAGAAGCAATGCAAGGAACAACAAAAAAGAACACTAAAAAACCAATAAGGTTTGGACTACTAAACCCGTTCAACCACACAAAGGGCGGAAGTGGATAGCCGGCGGTTCCGCTAATAGCGCAAATTTTTCCAGTCAGAAGCACCTTTGGGCCTTGCGTCTTTTTGCTGCTGCTCCTTGCTGCCTTGTTTTTTATATTGCGCATTTTTGTGTGGAAGAAAAAAAAGCACACTTTCGGCAATTATTTGATTTTGCTTCAGGTTGCTTGGTCTTCCTCCTTCTTACCTCTCTCTTTTTCTCGTCTTTTTTTACTACATTAATTTTTTGTTCTTATAATCTAGACAATTTCACTTTATATTTTTATTTGTTGTTTTGTCATCATTCGACATTACACATTACAGGCCCCTTTCCCTTTCGAATCAGCTTAAGACGCACTTTGGGTCCTTGTTGGCATATTCGTAACTCTTTTTGTACTCCCTCCCTCTATCTTAATATTCTTGTTTCTTTTTTTCTAATCCGAAAGCCGCATTTCCTGCACTCTCTAGGAAAACAGCTATTTTTTTTTCTTTTTCACTCTCGCTCACTCTTCTAGTTAAAAAAGATGATTCTGTACAAACTCGTCGTTCTTGGTGATGGTGGTGTCGGAAAGGTAAGATATTTTTAGCACTGAATTTGCGACAATAACCTCTTTTTCAAATAGTAAACGGTAGAAGACGCATGCGCGCTCGCACTGTGTCTTGTTCTTTCCCTATGTATGTGCTACGTCGAACATGTTGGCATTGTATTCCTCTGCTCTAGTTTTGTTTGACAGGCTAGCTAGCAAGAGGAGGGAGGCTTGTGCATCTGGGTATCCGCCATTCGTAGCCCATTATATATGAATGATTTATATCCATCTGCACACCCAATACTGGTGGTGTCTGGAAACGCGAATAGAACCCTTATTTCTATTTCCTTCAAGCAGCCAGCTATATATTTGCTGCTACTGCTTGGCAGATAGCCGCCGTCCTCATCGCGTCTCATTAGTTGCGCAACCTTGCTTTCTCTCTTTTTCTTTCCTTCTTGTACGAAGTGAGGGCAAAAACAGGGTGTGTGTGGGGATTGAACATTGCCCTGCCCCTTTTGCTGCTCTCTTTCTCTCTCCCTCTCTATTTCCCGCGGGCTTCTGGATTGAAACCAAAGTAGTGCTCCGGATTGTTTGCTGCATATGCGCATTTATTTTCCCCATTTATTTTTTTACTGTGTAAATGCTATTCCAAATCACTGGCCACAGTCCACAGTCCAACTTTTCGTTATTCGCGCTTTAATTTTTCTTTTTTCAAGTGGCAATTCTCTTCCCTGCCCAATTTTGCAAACCTGGATTTTTGTACTGTTATTTTTGGGAAGAGGAGGAGGGGGAAGAGGTGCCATTGCAGGACCGCACTTTGGCATATAATCGACGAGACACTTGGCTTTTGTTCATCTTTTTTTCTTACTTTTGCAGATACACACGGAAAGCTGGCGGATTCTTGCTTGGCTGACTGCTGCGATCCGAAAAGTGCAAACACCATCATTTGTCATGGATCAGACTTCTCAATTTCCCTTTTTTCTTTGCTGTCCAAATGGTGCTCTGAGATAGATTGCATATCTGATAACAATAACAACTAATATTTTCCAACTATAAACTTATAAGCTATCAATGTAGACCGCCCTCACTATCCAGCTGTGCTTGAACCACTTCGTGGAGACCTACGACCCGACAATTGAAGACTCCTACCGCAAGCAGGTTGTCATCGACGACCAGCCCTGTGTTTTGGAGGTGCTCGACACAGCCGGCCAGGAAGAGTACACGGCGCTGCGTGACCAGTGGATTCGGTAAAGTATCAACACTTGCATCCAAATGTTTAGTTCCATACACCCTTTTATATTTTTCGCATATTTTCTCTGTTTTTGGAACACTTTTGAAATGGCTTGTTTTCTCAATTTTGTATCCCTCTTTTTGGCATATTTGGCGTATATTGTGTCCCCTTTGTTATTGTTGTTGTGATGTTCTTTCTTTTGCGTAATAGCAAAGCAGAAGAGAATATGCAAACAGGAAATGTATATAATTAAATGTAGATGATTAACACATTATTGCCACACGCTTTTTTATGAACAACGTCTATACACGGCGGAGCGTAGATTTGCGTGTGTATCACTTTGTGACATTGTTTTTCTGTTTGTTTCGAGTGTCCAAGCGTACTACTCCCCCTGGCAGCCAATATTTCGAGCACGTGTGAAGGGGTGTCGTGGCAAAAAACTCATTTTGTGGCTCGAATCATTTCTGCATTTTTCAATCACAAAAAAGGCAATGTCGCCCAAACAGCACAATTTTGCAAATTCGCCTGCAACGGCCAGCGTCCAATACTAGCCAGCCCTACTAATTTCTTGCATTGTTTTCATTTTAATGTAGAGATGGCGAGGGCTTCCTGCTTGTGTACTCGATCACATCGCGGTCCACATTCGAGCGTGTCGAGCGATTCAGAGACCAGATCATCCGCGTGAAGGACCAGGACAACGTGCCCATGATGCTTGTCGGCAACAAGTGCGATAAGGCTCAGGAGCGCGAGGTCTCTTTCCAGGAGGGCCAGGCGATGGCACGTCGTCTTGGATGCGACTTTGTCGAGTCTTCGGCCAAGACATGCATTAACGTTGAGAAGGCCTTCTACACGACCGTGCGGATGATCCGGCAATTGCGCGAGAAGCGGTCAGGCGGGCGCAACCAGGCCGCGGGCAACAGCAGCATAGCGCGAGAGAAGAGAAGAAATAGATGCTTGGTTCTCTAAGGATCAGGTTGAACGCCAGTGCTTCCGAACTCCCTCACCTCCCCCCTCACCTTCCCTTTTTCTTCCTCTCTCTATCTCGTTCTTTTTATTTCTGGTGGCAGCACCGTCGCATTTCTCCCCTATATCGACGATGGGTGGTGGCAGGGGGTGGGAGGGGAGGACAGCCCGGGAAAGCGACGAATATGGAGTGAGGAAAGGGGTTTTATATCTGACTATACCCGCTCATATCCCCTATTTCTGACTTATTTTTGCTGCTACACGTATCTCTTTTACTGTCCTTTTTTAATTTCACCACTTCATTTTTTGTTTTGTTTTTGATAAAAAAACGCCTTCATCCGCTATTTCCAGCCCCCAAAAAAGAAGCTTCAACTGGTTTTCCTCCAAATACTTTATCGGTTTTCTTTATATTTGTCTACATCAAACCTATTCTCAAAAAGTGTCAAGAAAATATTGGCATTGAAATACAATTGTTCAAGTTAACAAAATAAAAAAACTAGTTCACAATCTGGACGATTGATTGTCGAATAAAGGATTTTGAATCAAGTTATTTTATAAGTTAAAAAGCAGAAACATTGACAAATTGAAGCAAATAATATTACGTGTGCATGTGGTGGCATTGCTGTTTGCTCGCCTTGCTTTCGATTTTCTGTTAATCAAAATACATATCAATTTGGCATGTCGGTTTTGCGTCGATCCGTCGAGATAGATGTTGTGCATTCTGGTGTTTGTTTTCTACAAAGAACCCTGCGAATATTGCAAACAAAATGTAAACAAAAGAGACACCGATTGAAGGACAATAAAACAGCAAACTAAAAGCTTTCATGAAACAGACTACGGGAAGAATCGAATGCCATCGTAGCAATTGGACTGGTCTGGTCCGGTCTTGGTTCGATTGGTCAGGTCAAGAATGGTCCGGCCACTCCAGAAAAACGTCTGCGAGCATTGGAATTTCACAACATAGCACATCACAGCATAGCACAGCTAAACACAAAATACAAAACAAAGCAACAATATGCTGCTGGTGTGGTGCCATCATGCTCATCTTCTGATGGCAGCTCTCGCGCGCAAATTACAATATTAAGGGAAAATAGGAAACAGCAACACGACTATGCCAGATTTTATCACAGGCAGTATCACACAAGACAAGGTGTGCGTATTATTATTTATTTATTTTTGTTATTGGACTTTGGTTTATTTTCCCTGATAGTGGTATATATTTTACTTGTCGGTTCCGAGTATCACGATGTATCACGATTACTGCCATGCCTAAGAAGCATCTCACTTTCCCTCCTATTTTATTTTTCCACCCTTTTTCCATTTTTATATTTTCCAGTTCAATTGCTGTTCTGTGCTCAGCCTGACTTTACAATCTTTCAAGCTCCATTTTTTTATTTTTATTCTTATATCACACTCTTATACGCCACATAAATTGTGACGTCTCTGCTGCCACTCACTTTACTGGACAGCAAAAAGTACAACTGGGCTTCTCATCAGCACATTATACGAGAGCGAGACTTTCGCCGACCTTGCCAAATTCGAATTCACAGCTGAAATGCCATTTGGAGCAGCAGATGCAGAGTCAATTGCGCGGGCGCTCAAAATTTTGGAGCCTTACACCAAGGGTGCCAAGGCGTGGTTCGAAGACGGCGACGAGGCATGGGTGAAGGGCACTCTGATCCAGCGGGCTGATGACGAATCCGTGGGCATAGCGCGCCTGATCTTTGTTAGGGACGACTTGGTGACATCGACGACTGCCCATCTTGTGGCCCAGGCTGGCTCACACACGCTTACCACGTCGTCAATGGGCCTCAGTGAGAGCGGCAACATGCGGAGGCGGAACTCCATCAAGGCCGCACCCTTGGAGGATCTGTTGCGGATGGTGACTCGGGCGTCGAGGCTGACCGGTGGGCGGATCAGCTCGATGCAGCGCATGGAGAACAACTACGTAATTGATATTGCGTTCAGCGAACTGTGGAGCCAGGTGCCGACGGGGAGCTGCTTCCGCCCCTTTGCAATCCCCGATTCTCGACTGCACGCCGGATCTCACCACGCTCAGCTATCTGCACGAGCCAGCAGTGCTGTACAACCTGAAGCGGCGCTACGAGCAGCACCTGATATACACGTACTCGGGCGTCGTCCTGGTGGCAATGAATCCCTTCCACTCTGTGTCCCTGTACACGCCCGAGTACATGGCGCAGTACGCGCGCAGCAAGCAGGTGTCTGGGCACAGCGGGGAGCCCCATCTGTTTGCCATTGCGGAGGACGCCTACCGTGGCATGGTCAACGACCGGCGCAACCAGACAATTATTGTTTACGGCGAGTCCGGGTCGGGAAAGACGACCAGTGCCAAGTATATCATGCGTTATTTTGCGCAGGCGCATCACGCAGACACAAACGACAAGCAGATGTCGACGGTTGAGAGCCAGATTCTTGCAACCAATCCGGTGTTTGAGTCCTTTGGTAACGCCAAAACCACGCGCAACGACAACTCGTCGAGATTCGGCAAGTTTTTGGACATCAAGTTTGAGCGCAAGCAGCAGAAGATTGTCGGTGGACGCATACGCACGTTTTTGCTCGAGCGCTCGCGCGTGGCGTACCAGCCGCCGACTGAGCGCAACTACACATATTTTACCAACTGCTAGCCGGCGCGTCGCCGAAGCAGCGGAGGAGTTTCATATCGGGGGCGAGCACGCCTCCTGGCAGGCCTTCCACTACACGCGGCAGGGCGGCGAGGGCAGCGGTGTGATTGCCGGCGTGAACGATGCCGATGACTTTGGCGAAACCGACGCGTCTCTGGAGATGGTCGGTATAGACGCAAGCAGCGCAGCGACATTTGGCGAACGCTCGCTGGCATCTTGCATCTGGGCAACGTGGGTTTGCTGGCAGTGAGTCCATGGGATCGTACGTGGATACAGTGAGCGAAAATCGTTTGCTATGGCAGCCGATTGATGGGTGTGAGCGAGGCCAAGCTCAGGCAGTGGCTGACGAAGCGACAGATTGTCACTCGACACGACAATATTCTAGCCAAGGTCAACAAGGCGCAGGCGCTGGTAATCCGCGACTCGATTGCAAAGTTTGTATATTCGCGACTATTCGATTGGATCTTGGGGCCGATCAACAAGTCAATTCTGCCGACTGAGGTTGACGAGCGACTGACACTGTTTGTCGGCGTTCTGGATATCTACGGCTTCGAGCACTTTGTGCACAACTCGTTTGAGCAGTTCTGCATCAACTACGCCAATGAGAAGCTGCAGCAGAACTTTAACCACCACGTGTTCAAGCTTGAGCAGGAGGAGTACAAGCGCGAGCAGCTGAAGAACTGGACGTTCATCGGGTTCCAGGACAACCAGCCGTGCATTGATCTGATCGAGGGGCGCATGGGAATCTTGGCGCTGCTGGACGAGGAGAGCCGGCTCGAGCAGGGCTCGGACCGCACGTTTACCGAAAAGCTCTACCGCCAATTTGATTTGGCAGCACCGAACGGAGGCAGCGCAATTCCATCACCGACGGCAGCGACAGCAGCATCGTGCGAGATTGCCAACTACTTCCGCAAGCCACGGTTCTCAAATACAGCGTTCACGGTCAAGCACTATGCGCACGACGTGACATATGAGGGCGACGGTTTCTTGGAAAAGAACAAAGACACCGTTCCAGATGAAATTTTGGACCTGCTCTGCTCGAGCTCCTTTGAGCTGGTGGCCAGCCTGGCAGCCGGCACGTCTACAAACGCAAACGCGACAGCGGTTCCTAGCGCAGCATCGGCACTGAGCGGAGCCAGTCCGCGACCCATGGCGGGAGTGGTGGCAGCAGGCATTGCAAACTTGGAGTCTGGGCGCAACTCCCCTGTCGTAAGGCCAGCCAGCCCGGCACTGGGGCCATCGGCCCGCGGGCGCAATGGCAACGGACTCCAGCGGCGCCAGGCGCCCACGCTCGCCGGCGTCTTCAAGCGGTCGCTGACGGGGCTGATGGTGACTCTGGCCGAGACCGAGATGCACTATATCCGGTGTATCAAGCCAAACGAGGCCAAAAAGGCATGGGAGTTTCAGGCACCCATGGTCCTGTCGCAGCTGCGCTCATGCGGAGTCATCGAGACATTCGCATCAGCAAGGCCGGGTACCCGTCGCGCGTGCCCATCCGCACGTTCAACGAGCGCTACACCGTGCTTTTGGATTACTGCCTGGGTCTCTCGCCGTGCTGGGCGGCCCAAAATCCGGAGACGTGCCCGATGCGCGCGAACAGGCGCTGTGCAAGCGTATTTTGACCACCTGTATGATGACGAGGCGCATTCCAGATCGGTCTGACCAAGGTGTTTTTCCGCGCCGGGCAATGGGCAATCATGGAGAAGAAGCGCTCGGCGCTGTTTGAAAAGTCCGCCATGGTCATCCAGCGCTTCTGCCGTGGCGCCCTCATTCGCCGCAGCTACCGCGAGATGAACGCTGCTGCAACGAAGATCCAGCGCTGGTACCGCAAGCACCTGTTTACCACGCAGGTTGAGAACTTCCGCCGGCGCCACGCTGTGCGTGTCATTGAGCGACGCTGGATCGAGCTCTGCCAGCACAGGAAATTCGTGAAGAAGGCCCAAAATGCCCAGCGCATTCAGGCGCTGTGCCGCGGTTTTCTGACGCGCAAGCGCTTCAACCGCATGATTGAGATGCACCATATGGAGGAGACAGCCAGGCTGCGCGATGAAGCTGAACGCGCGCGCCAGGCGGTCGACAAGGAGCGGATGCGTGCAGAGCAGGCGAGACGCGGTGCTGATAATGAGAAGATCCGTGCTTCCACCCAAGCAGCCCGCTCCAAGGCGCAAATGGCAGCGGCCGAGCAGATGTATGTACACCGTGGAGCCAGTTGCAACAGCGTCGTCACGCACGGGCTGCTCGCCGGAATCAACCTCGACGACGAGCCGAGGAGCCAGCCTCCCACGACGAATACATGCACATGTCCCTGTCGGCTTGCGCAGCAATTCGGATTTCACGAAGGAGCCATTTACTCGTCTGACTATTGATACGCAGCAACTTCCGCGGAATCTACCATCCCACCAACCAGTCCCACGGCGCTGGGATCCTACGCCGACATGCGTCGCATCAGCACGCAATCCAACGAGGCCACGCGGAGACGCACAGCGGAGGCACGAGCCAGCTTGATTGCCGCGGCTACGGCCGGACGGAACGCCGAGGCGGAGCTTGTGCGCCAGCAGCCGAGTAATGGGAGCAACTACAGCATGTACAGCTCGACCGCTTGCTCCCCATCATACAACGGTGCTCAGCAGCGGAATGCGTTTGGCTTCCAGGACGGTGCCAATATATCCCAGCAGCTGCAGCAGATTCCCGAGGGCATGTCTCCCCATGTTAGCAAGCATAGGCACCAGGACTCGCTGACGGTCGGCGACGATATCTTTTCCATTATCAACGAGATGAGCCCTGTTTCAGACAGCCGCTATGGCGAGGTGGCCTCGCGTCTGCAGGGCCAAAGGGAGCTGACAAAGCCGACTCACCCACCGTCGCGCTATCCAGCTAGCATTTCGCCGCCACCAACTGTCGACTACTCGGTGCCGCCCAACAGCAACGGCAGCGAGAACAACAAGCACGCCAATGTCCAAGGGTACCGCAGGTCGGTCATAGTATCCAATGACTCGCAGAACCTTATCCAGCAGCAGCAACAGCGTGATGTTAGTAGTTATCCTGACGGCATGCCAGTGACCCCGAGGAGCCGTGCAGCGAGCAGGCTGGCGGAGCAGTCCCAGAATCGCCGCTCCTGGCTGATGGATGCCCTCAAGTCGTCGCATAACAGCCCGACCGCCTTTGTCGCTGCCGCCGCCATTGCCACCGTAGTTGTTGTTGACCATGGAGACATGACACTGCCGGCCAGTTCGACGCACGAGTCGCCTGCGTCGGCTGCCGAGGAGGCAACGCCAGGCAGTTTCCGCCGGAAAAACATCCCAGTGATCCGCGAGTTATCCAGCCAGCGCAACTCCCAAATACTCACTCCACAGCAGCAGGAACAGCAGGAAGTAGCGTTGACAGCAGCCTTGGGTCTGCTGAAAAAGCGCGAATCGCAAGAGAGTTTGAAAAAGGCCACTACGCTGGTGTCGGGGATATAGGCGGTCGCCATACGGCGGCAAGAGCGAGAGCGTGGGCGTCTAAAACAAAGGACCGCATGTTTAGCGCGTTCTCCGGCAGTGAGCGCAGTCTGAAGGGGTCGCATAGCTCGACAAAGTCTATTGCGTCGATTAAGGGTCGGCTGAAAGCAACCGGTCGTTCGACGATAGCGATTACGTTGATCCCTTGGAGCCGCCCACGAGGCTGCGGTACCACCATCAGACCCAGTCGGCGACCAACGTTATAGTTACGCCGAGCAACAATCTGTCGATGCTCTACCAGATGGCCAATCAGTCTGGTAGACCACCTACTGCAGGCAGTTTGAAACACTGATTTGTTTTGTTCTTCATATTCAGCTCTTTAATTAAATAATTAATATATATTTACATTACATCACCTATCAATATAATAAAAAAGATACAAAATTATAGTTATATCAACACCCGGATTGCGCCATTTTGCATTCCGACGATCAACATAGGAGCGGGCGATGACACCACGGCGAGCGATGTCACAGGTCCGCTGGATCTTCCATTATTGGCAGCCACCAGGGCATCCCCGACAGCGGCCGATGCAGCCGACGCGGAAGCAGCCCGGGAGGACATCCTCGGACTCGATGGGGACCTCGGGGGAACAGCAGAATTCTCGCAATAATACACAGTATCGTTCAGCCGGTACGATGAATATGGAGGCGCATTAGAGTCCACTAGTTATTGATAATGTAAGACTTGTCCAAATGCTCCAAATCCCAGTACCGCAACATAGAGTCGTTACCGGCAGAGACAAAGTACATTTGCTGTATGCCAGCCAGGGCATTGACTCTCAGCCGACGATTGACCTCGTTGCTCTTGAGCTGCTGCAGGCTGCGCGCACACACACACACGGGCCACTTATTTGACCTCAAGTTCAGTGTGCAGATATCGCCGGCAGACGTGCCCACGAGGACACTGTCCCTTTGGTGCATGGTTAGGCAGGTGATGAAGTGGGACAAAAAGTGGTGGTAGGTTTTGAGCTCAATGCGGAACCGCGTGTCCACCAGTACGAGCGTCCGGTAGATGTGCCGATGACCACCAGGGTTGATCCGTCGCCGGCCATGCATGTGGGGCGGCCGTAGACAGGACGCAGGTTGATTGTGTCTTGCAGATGCAGGTCGATAATGCTGAAGAACAGAACACGCGATTTTGACGTCACAGCAACCACATTACGCCCGCATCCATGGCACGGATATCCATACTGCTGCTTGATTGGGACAAACAGCCCTTGGCAAACGCCAGGCTCGTAGCGTACTCGCCCGCAGGCAATGCAGCAGTAGCCAGCGGATCGGAAAACGTGTGGGAGCGCATGGAAGCGCGAAACACATGGATCGAGCCATTGCCAGAGCTGGAAACCAAGCAGTCCAAGTCCTCGTGGTACAGCAGGCCGGTGATCCGACCGCCGCCGCCCTGAGCCGTGTTGCGCGCGACCGACACACAGCGTTCTTGCGCATCGATGCGGCATCAAACAGGCGCAGCGAGCCGTCATCACTGGCCGTGACAAAGCCAGAGCCCGCGACAGCCACGGCATGAGTGACAGCGTCGTTGTGCTCGGAGATCTCAGCCACCAGCATGCCCTTTGGCCGCCAGCCATCGAGCCGCTGCTTGCGTGGCACAGAAGTGAACTCGAGATCAAGCGCCTTTTTGCGCATGAACGCGTTTTCAGACGCACTCTTTAAATCCCAGGGGTCGCTCACCGGCGTCAAAAACACGGTCTGTAGAGCAGCGCCAATGTCACGCAGCTGCACAGTGCGCTCCTCGGGATGCGTGAAAGCGGCTAGATCCATTGCCACATCAGTCTTGGGCTGCGTTTGTTGCATGTCTAGCGCCAGCCGCGCCACATCGGCAGGCATCGGCAGCTGTGCAGAGGCCAGACCAGGTCGACAAACTCGGCAGCCGGGGCACGAAGCTCTGGCGCATTTATCTGAAGGGCATGTGCCTCGACCAGCTTGTCCCAGCGCATGGCCGGTGACATCTGCGGGAGCAGCCGCACGAGGGCGCGCAGGGCACTGACCACGACAAAAACCTCCTGGTCAGCGAGGTTGATCAGGGGTACAATGTACTCGCGCGACGCGTGGCGGCTGATGCGCGAAGCGGCTGCAAAGACAACATCGAAAAAGGCCGAGCGCAAGAACCAGCAGTCGCGGTCGTTGAGGTACGTGATGACGTGCGACAGGCTCTGGCTGCGGCTTTCGTATAGCTGCGGGAAGCAGCACAGAGCACATGCTTGACCTCTGCCGTGGCATCGAACGACAGGCGGGCGACTGCCGCCTGCATCTGCACGTCGAACGAGTCGCCTTTGAAGGCAGCCCCGCTGCGCAGTGCCTGTGCGGAGTCCGCCCAGTCGCCCAGCACGGCGGCCACAGCGCAGCGCACCATGCTGCTGGATCGGCAGCAAAGTATTGGAGCTGCGGCGCGAGAAAGTCGTCAAAGATGCCCGCGTCGATAGGCGTCAGCCGCGGCAGATCCAAGAGCAGCTGGCGCACAGCGCCAAGCGCCTCAGCGCGCACCCGCGGCGACGTGTCAGCAGCGGCCAGCGCCACGAGGTACGGAAGTATGACATCGGGGTCGCCGCGCATGGCACCGCGGCTGCACCTCAGCAGCACCTTGATGCCCAGGCAGCGCGCGCTCGGAAGCCGGCAATTGCGCACGCTAGCGCAGGCAACGGCAGAGGCGATCTCGCACGTATCATCGGTGATGTGCTGTGATTCGGCAAACAGCGCTACCATTCGCTCATCGGGCGTCGCCTGGTCCATGTATGCGGCGGAGGGGGCCTGTGGCAGGTGCTCGGCCCAACGGCTGAGGTATTCGGCGGCCGATAGCCGTGAGTCCGGCGAGAGCTGGATCATGTGGCGCACCAGCTCGGCCATCGGATGGTCTGCAATGACCGCGGTCAGTGCGTCGGCATCCTCGAGCCCGCGACGGTACTGCAACAGCCGCGACAGGCTGAACAGTGGGTTACCGTCGAGCAATAGCTCGGCAATGACACAGCCCGCAGCAAAAATGTCCATAGCCGGTTGCAGCGCCAGGGCATCACTGCCACTATCCGAGCTGGAGTCGACCTGTTGTCGCTGCAGGCGCTGGGCCACAGCGCTGCCTGGGTCGTAGAAGCGCTCGGGCGCAATGCAGCAGCACTGGCGCGCAGCGGCGTCAAAGTAAAAGTTGAATTCAGCCGGGTCGTCGGCCGGCAAATACGTAGGCTTAAACGGCGCAAAGTCAGCCAAATACGCCAAGTTCCACGATGCCACCACGACGTTCTCCGCCTTGATGTCACCGTGGCATACGCCGCGCTCGTGCGCCTGGCGCAGGGCCTCCAGCAGCTGGCGCGCCAGCCAGCGCTTCTCTGAGGGCGCCAGAAACGGACGAGTGCTGATGCGGTCGTACAGGCTGGCGTGCAGGTACTGGCGCAGCACGTAAACGGCGCGGTCGTCACTCACCACGCGCGTGTGCGCTACGACGTGCTGCGCGCCATGCAGACGCGCATACAGCCGCTGCAGCGTGGCGATTTGTGGTGCTGGGTCGAAGGCCATGCTGACGGGCCGCATGAAGACGCGCAGGACCAGCTGGCCCTCACCTGCCAGTCGGCACAGGATGCTCTTCATGAAGCGCGTGCTGCCCAGCATGCGGATGTGCTGCGGGCTCTCGCCCAGCGCCGTCTCGAGCCCGCCGACGCCCATCGCCAGCGGCGGCTGCAGGTCAGCAGCGGCAACGAGGGAGTGGGACGCGGCCTGGCCCATTGTGTGCGAATGCTGTGAATTGGAATGTGTAAGACGCTTCTGCAACTGAATGTGTATGAAAGCGAACGGAGAGAGGGATGGGAATTGAGAACAGTATCTACGAATTCGTGCGGCTATTGAAGAGAGAAGAATAAAATTGAAAAAGAGAAGAGAAAGAGCATGGGCAGCTGACCGGCTGAACAACGCAGCTCTGACGCAGCAGCAGACTGCATTCCGCTTGATTTAATCACACTTTGATTCCTAGCATTTCGCGAATGCGCGCCTTGGTCTCCGCCTTCCCGGCCGCCTCGATAGTGTCTTTGGCACCAGGGGTGGCCTTGGGCGGTAGGCCCTCTGCCTTCTTGTGCGAGCGGATGGTGGCCAGCCCCTCGGTGATCATGCGTTCGCAGTCGGTCTTGAGCGCCATGGCCTCGTCCAGCTCGACGTACGTCTCGGGGAAGTGGAACGATAGCCACATGAACAGCGTAATGGCGCGGTGCCACTGCTCAAACACCTCCAGCTGGATGCGGTTCGTCGGCAGCTTGGGCGGCAGCTTAACGACCTGGCCAACCAGGCACTCGGTGCCATGCGCCACAGCCGCCGCGTACTTGGCCAGGCAGCTGCACACAATCGGGCTGCGCGTGTTGATGGGCGCGTAGATGAACTGGTAGCGGTCGCGCACAGAAAGCGGCAGGTGCTCGACCAGCGTTGCGATTTTCTCCTGCTCGTGGAAGCTGCACAGGAAGTAGCCAGGGCTGACCGTAGCCACGTCGCGGAACATCGGCCACAGTTGCGAGAAGGGCACGCCGGGGAACTGGTGCGAGAATGTCTCGATCGCCTCGGTCGTAGGCTTGATGCCGACAGCCGCCAGCGCCGGCGGCTGCTTCTCCATGGAGAGCGCCAGGTGCTTGAGGTCCTTAGATTCCATCGTCGTCACCTCGCCGGCCTCTGATCCCGAGCCGAACCGCCCGGCACGCCCGCCGATCTGCCTGGTCTGCGACACGCTGATCGGCCGCATGGAGCCGCCGTCGAATTTGCTCAGCTCGACAAAGATCACGCGCTTGATCGACAGGTTGATTCCCATGCCAATAGCGTCGCTGGCCACAAGAACGTCGTAGCCCGAGTTCGGGTCGTTGAACAGCCGCGCCTGCTCGACGCGCGCCTCCGGGGGCAGGCCGCCGTAGATGATGGCGCAGCGCAGCCCAGTCTTAGACTCGATCGTGCTCTTGATGTCGTAAATCCCCTTGCGCGAAAACGACACGATGCAGTCACCGCGCTGCACCTTACTCCAGTCGCCCTGCAGCGCCTTGTTGCTGGTGTGCAGTGCGCCCAGCCGCGTGTACTCGCGCACCTCGACCTCCTCGTCCAGCGATTCGCAGATCTGCTTGACGATTGGCACGGCCGAGGCCTCGCCGCACAGGTGGATTTCGGCCGCTGGGATGTTCAGCAGCGCGTTCGTCCATGCCCACCCCCGCTGCCTGTCAGCAATCATCTGGATCTCGTCAATAACCGCCACGTTGTATGGCTTGTTGGGTGCCATCTCGATCGTGCACGAGTCGATCTGCGTCACAGGCTCCCCGTTGATCGACATCCCGATGGGGTTCAGCCCAGGTGCTGAAAAGTCAGCCAGCCGCCGGTCCTCGCCCGTCATCAGCGAGCACGAGATGCCCGCGCGCGTCATCCGATCGTACACCTCGTATGCCAGCAGACGAAGCGGTGAGCAGTATACGCCAGAGGCCGCCTGCTGCAGCCGCTGCAACGCATGGTAGGTTTTGCCAGAGTTGGTCGGCCCCACGTGCATGATGATACGTCGCTGCACCTTGCGCGTGGTCGCCGCCCACTCATGCGGGTGCCGCAGATCCGTGATCCGCCGCAGGTACCCGATGTTCTTGACGACGTGTGGCGCCTTGTCGCTGAGAAACGCAAAGAACTGGTTGACTATGTAGTCGCCGAATGCCTCGCGCCCGTCGCGGATCAGTAGGGGAACGAGATTTTCGGCGCGCAGCGTCTCTATTTCTTCGGCCCCAGCCGCCTGGGCGAACCTGTCGCTCCACTCTACAAATGTGCTGCTGTCGATTCCAAAGTTGGCGCAGCGCTTGCGCACCTCCGTGTTCTGCTTGAACCAGCTCAGCCGAAGCTGCCGCTGGACTCGTGCAAAGTCAGCGTCGATTTTGCTGTCGTGCGGCCACTCGCTGAACATGGGGTGTGTTACGCGTGTGTATTTGTTATTGCCGCTGCGTTTTGGCACGGCATCCTCGGGAGCTCTTCGGATTTGGAGCTCGGCTAGCTGCTTTATGAGGTGCTTCCCGCGTGCATTGCCGTGATCATCCGATGATCGGGCTGCCTGCCGCCGGCACGCTGCACTTTTGTGGAGTTGCCTGTGGCATACTGCGGGCACTGCGCCTGTTCGCCGCAGTGCACCGGCCGCGAGTGCGCCTGCCAACACGCGATTCATAATTCGAAATGCAAATATGAAACTGTGCTTGTAGCTAATAAAAAGTTTATTTATTTATGAGCAGACAAAAGAAAGATAGAATACGGTTTGCAATACAGTTATGATGGAAACCTTACGGAAATCCTATGCTAAGGGAAACGAGGGTGATAACTTTTGTGGAAAGTAAAATTACTTTAATCAGCCGCCTGGAGATTAAGATCAGCGGTGAACTTGGGCTTTTGAGCTTGAGCTTTATTCTTGAAACTCTTTTTACAGGCTGTGTCGCAGAGAAGGCTGTCGCTGGAGCGAGTAAATTCTAATAATCAGACAAAATGGATACATTTAGCAATATGTAAAACAAGTAAAAGATAACTAAAGTTGATGAATAAGACTGATTATCTACTGCAACGGCCTGACCATCACGGTAAATATATAAAATTTTATTGTGGTCACGCCCAAACGTCCCCCAACACTCTCGACTCGCGGATTTTGGGCTTGAGGTCGAAATTGTATTTTGAGACGACAGAAGAAATAATTTCCACACATACATTATTTATCTTTCAGGCTCTCAATATGCTCATTCTACTCGACACCCCAAATAACAAAACCCTGGCATTCGATGTCTGCAGCTTGCAGCCACTCGAGGATCTTGCCCAGCAGGCAGGTCAGAAGCTCTACGGCTCCCACATCCTCCATACCAACACATACATTACCGGTCGTCGCGGCATCAGCGCCAGCGAGGCATTACTTCGGACCCCGCCCTGGCTGACCCTGTGTCACCGTACACTCGGTGGCAAGGGTGGTTTCGGTAGCATGCTGCGCTCGCAGGGAAACAAAACATCCAATAAGCCGGCCAACTTTGACAACTGCCGCGACCTCTACGGACGCCGCCTAAAAACCCTAAACGAAGCCAAAACCATTGTCGAAAACATTGAGGCGCAGGAAAAGGAAAGAGAAAATGCCAAAGAACGCAGGCGCAAGAAGATTGCCGACGGATTGGTCGAAAAGCCAAAGAAAAAGTACAGGTTTGATGACGTTGAATATACGAAAGAATGCGAGGAGATTGTCGAGAGCACGAGGGCAATTACGCGCAAGGCAATGAAGAAAATGGCAGCGGATGTTAAAGCATCGGCTTCTGAGAAGAAGAAGCAGGCTGAAATGATGATTCCATTGTTTGGCGATGGTCTGGATGATCTGGATGGCCTTTCTTCGTCGTCGTCGTCATCGTCGTCGTCGTCGTCGTCGTCTGATGAAAGTGACAAAGATACCAAGAGCAGTGCCGATGACAAGAAAAGCAAGCGTAAGCGCAAGGCGGTGGATTAGCGCAGGTCCAAATCCAGGACCAGGGGTGAAAGGCTAATGTTAAAGAGCGCATCAAAAAAGTACTGTGTGATTTAACGCCCGATTAATGCAACTCTTGAGCATTCGTTCAGTTCTCACGGTCATTTTTACATCGTTTCTTCTTTCTTTTCTTTTTATTATTATTATTATTATTTAGACCACAAAAATCTTGTATCCACTTCATTAACCTTTGGACACATTTTGCAAGCGCTTATAAATAACTCGCAATGGTACGGCAACCGCACAGAACGAATCATTCAACTGTTGTCAGCACATTTTAGCGCTCTTTTCATTTGCATTTTAGTAATATCCAAGCAAGCATTGCTATATCTCTATATCGCACACACTGATATTGATTTTACATTATTGTGTAGCTCCGCTCCAAATACTTTCTCCAGTCTGCCAGCCGTCTGGTCATTTCCTCGCGAACTGCCCTTATCCGGCCCAGGCCAACCCCTATCACTCCACACAATAGATCGTTCACTTTGAGCAGCAAAATGATGGCGGCACAATTTACTGTGAATATCCAGATCAAGTCACTGGACGAGCTGGCTAAGATCAATGACAAGTCGCTGATTCAGTCGCAGGCGTACGTCGATGGGAGATGGGTTAGTGCGTCTTCAGGAAAGACCTTTGACGTGACTGACCCCGGGACAATGCAAAAGATTGGCAGCGTGGCCGACATGGACGCCGATGATGTCAGACGGGCCATCGACGCTGCGAGCCGTGCCTTTGAGAGCTGGAAGAATACCACTGCAAAGGAGCGCTCTCTGATCCTGCGCAGGTGGTTTGATCTGATTATCTCAAATAAAGATGATCTGGCTAGGTTGATGACGCTGGAGGGCGGCAAACCATTGGCCGAAGCGTCGGGCGAAGTGGTGTACGGTGCGTCGTTTATTGAATGGTTTGGCGAAGAGGCCAAGCGCGCCTACGGTGATGTAGTGCCGTCGCCGCTCAGCAGCACGCGCATGGTGGTGTGAAACAGCCTGTGGGCGTCGTCGGCATTATCACGCCATACAACTTTCCCAACGCGATGATCACGCGCAAGGTCGGCGCTGCGCTGGCCGCCGGCTGCACTGTAGTGGTGAGACCGGCCCACGAAACGCCGTATTCAGCCCTGGCGCTGTGCGAGCTGGCTGAGCGCGCCGGCGTTCCACGCGGTGTTTTCAACGTTGTGCCGTGCTCAGCCGAAAACACGCCCGATGTCGGCAAGGAGCTGACCACCAATGAAGCCATCCGCAAGGTGTCGTTTACTGGCTCCACGGCCGTTGGCAAGATGCTCACTGCGCAGGCCGCCGGCACCATGAAGAGAGTGTCGATGGAGCTTGGCGGCAACGCGCCCTTTATTGTCTTTGCCGACGCCGATCTGGACGTCGCCGCCGAGCAGCTTGTCGCGTGCAAGTTCCGCAACTCGGGCCAAACATGCGTATGTGCCAACCGCATTTATGTCCACGAGTCTGTCTACGACGACTTTGTCAGCCGGCTTGCTGTCCTGGTTGAGAAACGCTTGCGCATTGGCCATGGGGTGTCAGAGGGCGTCAATTTTGGCCCACTAATTACCGAACGCGGCCTGCAAAAGATTGAAGATCAGCTGAAGCGTGCTGTGGATGCGGGTGCTCGCGTGTTCCTTGGCGGAAAGCGCCCGGATATTTCAGCAGCTGGGTACTTTTTTGAGCCCACGATCCTTGTGGATGTGACGATGAGGTGCCAATGTCGTGCGAGGAGACGTTTGGCCGCTGTGTCCAGTATTTAAGTTTAGCTCCGAGGAAGAGGTCATTCGTCGTGCGAACAGCGTGCCGGTTGGGCTGGCCGGGTATTTTTTTAGTCGCGACATTGGACGTGTGTTCCGCGTGGCAGAGGCCCTGGAGGTGGGCATGGTCGGCGCCAACACGGGAATAATCAGCACCGAGGTCGCTCCGTTTGGAGGTGTCAAGGAAAGTGGTTTTGGCCGCGAGGGATCACGCTACGGAATTGACGAGTACATGAATATCAAGTACATCAACATTTCTTGTAAATGTAGGGTTTTTTAAATTATTATTTTTATAATGGTCAGCAATACTTGCTCTTTTTTATTTCCCACCTCCAACCGAATCAATTATTCTATGCTCATAATAAAATGGATGGCAAAAAAATGAAACCCAACGTGGCTTTGTCTTTATTAAGCACGTATTGAAAAGTGGTCAATGTGCAAAAGCAAGTTAGATGCAACGCTACGGTTCATTATTGAAGATTTTATAAAATTGAACTCTTTTATTAGCAGTACTAAACCGTATTTTGCTACAAAAATCTTTGCGCGTATTCGTTGTCATTAAGGGCTCAATGGAAACCATCTAATGTTTGTCAATTTGGAGTTCATGCCCTTGTAAAGGCTGTCGTTAATTGGATAGAATATACCACCGTCCGTGTTCCTTGAGCTGCCTGTCAGCGGCAGAATTCTGTTGTTATTTGAAGTAGGCATCGTAAGAGCAATGTTGTACTCTTTCTGCAGGCCATCGGTGCGCAGCTTTTCTATCTAACTAGTGAGGTAATTTTCTCAGTTAAACATATAATTCTAGATGGGCACGCCCATGATTAGCCACCACATCACATTCTCCCAAATATGGCTAAGTAGAGTGAATATTATACGCAGATAAACATCCATGGGATAGTGCGGGCGCACGTAGTTTAGGCCTATCCCATACATGAGGTTGACGAGATAAAGCAGGAGATCATCATTTCGCGACTCTCGTTGAACGAGCTCTTTATGTTGCGGATCTTACAGTGTAGGAACAAGACTAAAAAAGTACGCTTGCGCACACAAGTATATACAGAGCGTTCTGAAACATTGGCTAAAATTTGCAAAGGTCGATGACTCGATTAAATATCGCTGTTTTTGCATGGATCAGAACCTGTGCAATGGTTCCAAAAACAAGTACGCACACCCAATAAATTCCAAACGGCAGATAAAGCCCGATGTTGTGGTACGGACTGTGCAGATAAAAAACACGGTACAATCCATACGCCCTCCATCCAATCAGCGACAGTATGCCATACATACTAAGGAGCCACATCCGGATTCCAAACGTCCTGCAGTGAACCATCCCCGTGTTTACCAAAGGTATGTGCCTGTTAGCCTGGAGGTCTCCGACAAACTGAAATATGGATAATAGTACAAACAGTGCCATGATCGTTACGTTTTTAAACTTGATTGGGGCATAGTTTCTGTTCCACAAGATGTACGCGACAGATAGCACATCAAAAGAGTATAATACTATAATGACAATGATCATGACCGCATCTTCTTTGCCTTCCGGATCAAACGATAAACCCAACTCCTTGGGGTTCCTTTGGTGCCGTAGCTCTTTCTCTGTCACTGCAAACAGCAAGCGGTTGCTTATTAGAAAATATGATATAAACACATTGTGGTGCCCAACACACATTCCAAGCCACTATCTTCCCTTTTCAAGAACCAAGATCACCCTCATGGCCGCTATACACATCTCTGTTATTGCTGGCTGACATCAAGGAACACCATGATGTTTACAGCACTTCTCACATGGTGCTTCCCCCTTTTTCAGTTCCTTAAGTAATTTTTGATACTTGAATATATAAATTTAGACCCAGATTTTTATAGAGCACAACACATATTGCGTATTATAGTTAATGTCAAATATACAAATAGTTATAAAATACTAAAAAGATGAGATATATATATATTAACCCAGAAAATAACATCTGTATTTCCCTCCTTCATATTGTATTTGTGTTTGTGTGTTTGCAATGACAATGGTAATGACAAATCAAACAGATTTTATTGTTGTTGAGAACCCCTCAGGGGAGGCCGCAACCAAGGCCAGCGGCCCGGGCTGAGACCCCTTTGTGCCCATAGATGTATCGGACAGATGTAGGACATCATCTGATGTCCTGATCCAATCATACTGATTGTGAAGGCACCGGTATTCATGATTGAGACTGTTTTTCCAAATCCTGATGACCGTAGAAATTGATGCAATTTCGAGGTGCATCAAAATAGCATTTGTTTTGCTATTGTTATTTGTTTTGATATTTGTTTACATATGTGCGGCATAGGCAATGCTGCGCACTTATCATAGTTTTTATTCGATATATACTAAATATTTTATTTCTATTTAGCAGTATTCCCTGTGGGTGTCTAGTTCATAATAACTGGCCTTTCCCTTGGCTACTCTCAAAATATTATCTTCTTTGTCGAGCCTCGTATAATTTTTTTATAACCTGGTTATATATTTCCAAATTACACATACATACATGCAACTGTAATGTATTCGGATACCTGGCCAAAAAATGGCAAGCATTGAGTGGAAATGTCAAAATATATCCAAAAGCGATCTACAAATCTTACAAATAGTGTACCTACATACATGTGTTATGTAAGAGAGGGGTGTGAAGAGCACTAGTTGTCTAGTGTTAGAAAAATAGGGGTAAATTTATAGAGGGTTTTATTACTGATGTTTCTAAAACACTACTAGGGCCGGCCTCATCTTATATATGTGCCTCGCCGCCTTTGTTGTGCACATTGCAAATTGTGCGCTCCGCTGGTAAGAACTGGATCTTCTGCGAGCAGACCGGTATCTTGGCAAGTCAATATTGTGGTTTTCGTGCGTGTACGCTCATGCGTGTGCATTGCAAAATGGGGAGCATGTTTGGGCATCAATGTAATGCCTCCCTAATTTAGGCCTGCGTTATCCAATTAGCGTCCTATCGATCAGCGCGCAGGTGGAAACCTGTTTTGCGATTCTCAACCTCAACATCCACTTCCATATATTCGGGCTGCGCAACACGTGTAAAATTTCGAATAAGGATGTGCGCTTATTTAACGATGATTGTTATTGTTACATTTTAAAAATGATAAAAATTAAAATATTTATCATTTGATGTGAGAAGTAGATAATAACATAAATTTTAAATTTTAAAAATTAAAAGCAGGGCTATAGATGGAGGTAGCAATGTATAAAAATTAAAATATGGCGTGTGACACATGCATGCGACAGTTTATCAGTGGATCCTTTGGGCCGCAAGTGGTAAAAACAAGTCCGGGAATATCCTCAGGTATGCCATCTTTTATTCTGTGGGGGCCATAAGGAGAATCAATGGGCAATTCAAAGTTGTACTTGCGCAGCAAGTTGGCCAAAACCGTGTATAGCTCAATCCATGCCAAATGCCGGCCAATACACACGCGCACTCCAGTGCTGAAGGCTAGTAGGTCCCTTGATCTTGCTCTCCCTTTGGCGCCCATGAATCGCTCGGGATCAAAAACATTGGGATTGGGCCATACCGTAGGGTCTCGGTGGCTGGCAGCAAAGGAAAGGCATATTTCTGTTGTTGACGGAATCTGATACTGGCCGCAGAGCATAGCACCCTCAGTAGGCACGCTGCGCGGGAAAAGACCAGATGCGGCGGGGTTCAAACGCATGGATTCAAGAATAACAGCCGTGAGATAGGGTAAATATGTTTTAGCCTCATCGTATCGGATTGGTCTTGTCGTGTCTGGAAAAGTAAATCGGATGTTCTGGCAAAGGCGCTGATACACTGTGGGGTGGTGCAAAATGTACATAAGTGACCAAGAAAGAGTATTGCTTGTTGTGTCCGTGGCTGCCGCTAACAGCATGTTAATCTCGGCAATTATTGTGTTGTAGCTCAGTGCCTGACCGTCTCTTGGGTCTCTGGCGTCAACAAGTTTTTGCAAAATGTCAGCATGAGGTGAAAACACTGCCTTCTCGCGCATATCGTTTTTGCGCTGCATAATGGCCGCGTGCGCCATGTTGAGAAGCTGGTACCGCGCAGTCGACAAATCCTTGAACAGCCAAGTGAAGCGCCCAAGCACTGGAAGGATGGTAACAATGGACGATAAAACCATCAGCTTGTGGATATTGGCGATGATTGTCATGTCATTCAGCCTGAGCACGTCAAAGCTTTTTCCGTATATAAGTACACCAATGATGTCAAATGCCAGCCCGCTGAATCCGTAGAAATAATTGACCGCTGCGCCCTTTTCAATCTCTGCGTCCCAGCATCTAATCAGTGTGAGCACGCCGTGTTCCAATATGGTGTCCTCCATAGCGCGCATATTATCTATCGAATACGTGCTGCCCATCTGGCGCCTTTTGGTCTTGTTGAGCTCAGGATTGGTGGTTGTGAACGTCGTTTGCTCGGGAAGTACGTTGGTTTCGTACACCTTTCCTTTGGGAAAAGTGTGTGTGGCCAAGACGCGTCGGAGCTCGGAACCATTGGCTAGAGAGATTTGATTGTATCCAATGCGCACTATGCTGCCGTATTTTGCGTGCAGCGATATAGTGTAAGTGTGGTAATTACCGCGGACCGTGTAGTAATAAAGAGGCAGGTTGGATACAGAGTTGAGGAATGGTCCGGGGATTTTGGAGAGCGGGGTAAGAAACGCACGCTTTAAAAGAAATCCCACCAAAAGGATTGGTATGAAGACGCAAAGAAACAGCGCTTTATTGAGTAAGAGAAAATAGTATATATTGCTGAACATATTTAAAAATAATATAGATGGTTAAATATTAAAATAAATATATTTGAAATGGATACGAATGTAGATGAATAGATGAAAATAAAGAGAATACAAAATGTGGGTTGCTTTTATACCATTGTTATCACTTTGAATTGTTTCATGGCATTTTTAGACAAATAGCGGCCACAACAAGATGAATGAGTTACAGCAATAATGTGACCAAAAAATTGACAACACATATGTCAGATGCACGCAAACATAACGAAAATAACAAACTCCCATGTTGTGTCTATCGAAAAAACACAACAAAAATGGAGAAAGTAAAAGAACAGCTAGTTCCCTGACATGGCGTACATACTATTGAACAATGGTGGTGTGAGAGTGCGGCTTCATTCACTTGACACAGAATCCCTGTTTTTCATAACTTGTTTATCAAAAGATTGAAAAACACATTTTACAATTACACAAAACTACAAATGTGCTCCCCAGCAGTATTCGCAAAAGCAACGTCGTTTAACGAGCACCTGCATTTTATTAATTCATTTGTGTTTGTCTATAGTCCCCCGAATCCCTCCCTCTATATCATGAATGCATAAACTCTGCAAACGCACCCAATTTTCAGAATTCGGGCATCATCTAACTATAATCGCTGCTTACCTAACAAATTTGCACATCGACCTATCCACCTTTGACTGCATCCCCATGCATATAATCGATGGACAGTTGTGCTGCGAGTGATGCATACCTTTTTTTGTACAGCTCGATGTTTGCGTCAACCAATTATTTTTTAAATTAAAAAACTTTGCAGACAACCAATTATCGACTAAATTTATGCTTCCGACGCTATGTTGCGTTCATATATCCCCGTTGTCATTGTTATTTTAAATTGAAACGCCTGTCCATGGTCACTCACTCACAAACAAATGAACAAATGAACAATTAAATTGTATTACAAAGTAAAACAAAAAGCCGAGCACGAGTAAATTTAAAGTTCAGCAGCACCAAATAATTGTTGGGGTGGGCGCATGGAGGCAGTAAATGATGAGCGTTACATAAAGTTTAAATGAAATTGCGTCGAATTTTTTTTACAAGTACCCTTGTTTTTGCAATTTGCGGAGCATATCGCAATGATGGCTGTGCTGAAGAATGCACGGCCAGTCGCACGATCTCTACGCATTACATTAAAAAATCAATCAGACACGCAGCATAGCTTGTGCATATTTGGATCGATGCTGAGCATTTTTGTTTGTTTGTGAGTGGTCAATCTTTTTTTGCCAAGATTCGCATCTTGGATGCACGTATCGCTGCTGGGAATTAATTTCGGCTGTGTAAGCGCATCACGCTTGTGCGATATAGTGCACCAATGCACCAATCCGTTGCAACTCTTTTAATTGAATTTTCATACGATTTGATCACGATAAATTTTGCGTATGCCTAATCAAAAAAATCATAAAGCTGTTGATCCACACCAGCTCTCACCAGCACATGCACGACAACCCACAAGTACTGCCGCCACCCACGATTGCAGCGCTGCGAAGAAATGCATTTCGCGCCAATTCTTTGGTGAGTTGAATTCAAAATTGCAATTTTACATTCACTTTCAGTACACTTATTTTTTGGTTTATTTACAACCTCAATTAAACAGTAAAAACAGCACAAAAATGACAAAACTCAAGCTGGTTGCCGAACTCGCTGGTAAGCACATATGGAGAGTAGCGCACAAATGAATTCGACCTTGCTGAATTGAGCTAATCGCGCTCATTCTTTCTTACTCGTTACTTAGGACATGAAGACCGAGTATGGCAGGTGTCGTGGGATCCGTTGGGAACCCGTTTGGCGTCATGCTCGGGGGACAAGTCAGCGCGCATATGGGCGCCGATCTCTGGTGAACCATTTTTCACCACCGAGCACAGCGAAAAGCCCATGGCGGCAGCAGCCATCGGTGGCGGCGCATCGATGGACGTGGACCAGACGAGTGCTAGCACATGGCAGTGTCTAGATACTATTGATAACGCACACAAGCGCACAGTGCGTTCAATTGCGTTTGAGCCGACTAGAGGCCGGGCATTGGCGACGGCCAGCTTTGACGGTACAACAGCCATTTGGGAGAAAGAGGGTGCGTATGAGTGCGTAGCAACCCTGGAGGGACATGAAAACGAGGCTAAGAGCGTGGCGTGGAGCCCCAGCGGCCAACTCTTGGCGACTTGTGGGCGGGACAAGAGCGTGTGGATCTGGGAGTCTAATGGCGAAGGCGACTTTGACTGCATCAGCGTGCTGATGGAGCACACGCAGGATGTCAAAATGGTGCTGTGGCACCCGATGCAAGACCTCCTTGTTTCATTCTCGTACGACGACTCTATTAGAGTGTGGAAGGAGGATGACGACGACTGGTACTCCGCGGCGACACTGACTGGGCATTCGTCGACCGTATGGGGCGGGGCGTTTAGTCCCGATGGCCGATTTTTGGCGTCAGTGAGTGACGACCGCACGGTGCGTGTGTGGACGCAGAAGTGCCAGGCGTCCTCAGCTGAGGATGATAAGGGCTTTTATTATCGCCCGGATTCTGAGTTCCAATGTGTTGCTGTTGTGCCCGACTCGGTCCACTCACGGGCCATTTACTCGGTGTCGTGGACTGCTGCCTCTGCTGCTGCCTCTGCGGCTGCGGGTGACTATGGTTTCCTAGCCACTGGGTCCGGGGACAACACCCTGCGCATTCTCCGTGTTTCTGCGTCTGCAGCCGCTGGCGCCACTGGAAGCCAGTCTTCTGCGCTGGACATAGAGCTTGTATGCGAGCGTCAGAATGCCCACGGTCTGAGCGACATCAACTGTGTTAAATGGAACCCTGTTTATCCCAGCTGGCTGGCCACTTGCGGCGACGACGGCATTGTACGCATCTGGCATTTGGAGTGAAGCGTGAGCAATTCTATAATACCTGTTGGTTATTCTTTAATATCAAATATAAAATAAACAATTGAAAAAGTTCTAGGGCAAACCAAAAAAGACTGATGCGCTGGCGTGTCAGACTACGGTCTGTCAAACACAAAATAAAAATATTACCAATTTATTAAATATTAATTGAATTTGTCGGCAATAATATATTACAAGTTGATATGTAGAAATTTTGGTTTTATTTCTCCACGGGGAGAAAATACGAGGAAGTATTCGATTTTGTCTCTATATATATACTCACCTGTGGCCAAAACAAAACAAATAAGCATTTATTTATTTGCTGTCAATACTCAAACTCTGACTGTAATAAATAGATACCAAAAGTTAAATATCATACCAAATGCACCATACGTTAATTATATTTAATTATATAAAATTGATCGGTTTTCATCCTAATAAAATACTGCATATTTGCGTTGTTAAAATATTACAGATTTTCTCAAGCATTTCTATGTAAAATTCAAAATTGTAGACAAGTAATGTACAGTATTACGACAACCACAATTGGACACATGTGTCGTACTCTATAAAAATGTGGGTCTAAATTAATATATTCAAGTCTTAAAAATTACTTAAGGAACTGAAAAAGGGGGCAGTGCTGTGTGGGCAGCGCTGTAAACATCATGGTGTTCCTTGATGTCAGCCAACAATAACAGAAATGTGCATAGTGGCCATGAGGGCGATCTTGATTCTTGAAAAGGGAAGGTAGTGGCTTGAAATATGTGTTGGGCACCACAACGTGCACGCATTTATGTATTAACAAGCAATAAAAAATATAATTATTATAATTAAATTATAGGTGATCTATTTTGCGCTATGATGCAAAAAATAAAAGCCCAAGATATGTCTCTTTATAAACAATAGCTGAATATAACTATTAGTATCTTGATAATCCACGAGCCTATAAAGACAATATAAATAAAGATACGCTTCTATTTTAGTCAAAAATCCAAAGCTTAATAATGATTTTTATACAATTAAAACAATCAAATTTATTAAAGTAAAATAAACTCAATTAATAACATTACATGAAATTAGAGCAAAAAATTGTATATTTTTATTTCACAAAAAATGTGTTTGTTGCGATAGCAGGAGCCAAGTGACAAAAATGATGAGAGTGGGATTTGAACCCACGCCTCCGGAGAGACCGCGGCCTTAACGCGGCGCCTTAGACCAACTCGGCCATCTCACCAATATTTAGTGTACTAAGTCACTCGCCTTAAGAGGGAAAAGTAATGAGCCATTCTGAACTCACCTGAAATAAAAAATAATATTACAAAAGTCTATAAGGATGCTGTAAAAAAATTGTTACTCCGCAACACATGCAGAAAAAGCTCTTTAGGCATAAAAAATTAAGAAAAATGAATACGTAAAAAGGGTACAGTTAAATACAAAAGCATATTGGCTAAAAAATTATTTATTTCTTGAATTCCAGCAAATGGGTTGAGGAGATGCTAGAACTGTAGCCAGAACAGAAATCTATACAAGATTGTACTTTATTGAACTTTATTTTTTACATATATTAATTATTGTCAAATATAATATTAATATTACAAATCAAATCATGACTATACAACCGATTGACCAATCTCTATGCATAAATATTGTGGATTATTTCACATTTCTGCTAGAGACTGCCACTTTCCTGTATTTCTTTTCTGGGAATTTACCCACAACAAAACCTGTATCACAGGCGTACACATGTTGTTGACAATTTATTTGTGGATTATATCTCATAAAATTGTACTATCAACAGAAATGTGAAATAATCCACAATATTTATGCATAGAGAGAGTGGTCAATAAGTTGTATGGCCACTTAGTATTTTTTAGCATATATTTCTATTTTCATTTTCAATTAAATTTTCATTTGTTTATTTTATTTTATTTAATAAATTTTCTAGACATAATTTTAATAAAAATTAAACTACAAACTCTATAATTGGATAGCCTGGATTGAGTTATAGACATTAACCGAGATTTATTTTTATTTGAGGCATTTTTGAAGACCAAGGTGTTGCATCAATTCAAACTGCCAATGATGATACAGTTTTTAGCACTGCTTCAGCTTTCAACAAGCCTGCAGTGGGGTTTGCTGGAAACTTGTTTCACGATCCTCAACCTTAGCATCTACTTCCATGTCTTCAGGCTGCGCAGCATTACATTAACGTTGCTATTTTTGAGTTGCACTAGATGTGGTTTTGTAGAACAGGCTGTATAAATGGGGTTATAGATTATCTACACAGTGAATATGCCCATCTCGATCCTAACGAATAACTCCTAATTGAATGTATTATTAGCTGTACACTCTCCAATATCTCCTGTTTTTTCTTAACAAAAAGCTGAAGCATTTTTTGCTGCGATAGCTTTTTGCTGCAATGGTCTCCGATACCAATCGCAATTCCAAGCGAATGTCAATACAGCCACATTGTTTGTATGCTTGCTGTCATCTCTTATTTTATATTTATTTTTACCAACGCTCTCTTATCAACTAAACAGCAAATTAAGCACAACACAGATTAACCTGGACAGGTGCCCAATAGTTGTACATGTATTCGTGTTCGATGGCTGTTGCACATGATCAACTAAAACACAGACTAAATCAGTGGCTGCAAAAGTGCATGCAAACTGAAATTATGCAATTTGATATTCTAATATTATCTGATTTTTTCGAGCGATATTTACAAAATTCATTCTCTTGGCTTTTTCAGTCTAATTTTTGTAATTGTACTTTTCAATGGAAATGTTGGGTGTGGTATGTACAGTGGTTTTATTTTCTGCCATGATGAACGGCAAAGACAAAAATTAGCAGTTAAAAGTAAAGTGCCATCTAAAAAGAATCGCCGCGCAAATGATAGCTGTTTAGAGCTCATAGAGCTTCGAGTGCAAAATGTCGTTGAACGCTCGGAGATATTTGCAACTGGTTGTCATGACTTTGGGTTTGGTACATGCGCTACTCTTTCTAGCCATGCCCATGTTGTGATTTTATGAGGAGCCCATCCAGACGCTGGCAATCTGGAGAAGGTATATGGGTAAACCCCGCCCTTCTCCTATTCCGCTGCCTCTGATTTCAGGTCTTAGGCGTGTCACCAGCCGGATTCATATTGAACAAATGTTCTGTGGGCCCCCGTATATACCACAGTTACGGGTCTTACGGAATGGAACCGGCCCGATTTTTATTAAAAACCATGGGTCTATTTTATCTCCAGGTTTTTGTTAGGTGTTTTGTTGACACTCGTATATACCCCCAGACATGACATTGATGAGACCAGTTGCAGATATCTTACCAAGTATTTACTAGACACACATTATTTTTTGCGATGTGCGAATGAGCGTGGCTGTGGCAGATGGCGGATATAATATATGGGCCAATGTAGTGCAATGGATGATGCTGCGCGAAAACTGTTGTATGTGTCTGATCCCCTCCCACAAAAGTTGTGTATTGTGAACCGATAATCCATGTTGAAGTTGAAGTCAAAGTTGATGCTGCTGTGTGTGCGCGTGTACTGTAGTCGTGATGCCCTAATGTTAGGAAAATATGTGTGTATTAGAAAAAGGGTGGTAGTATTTTAGAGGAAGTGGTGGTTGTTGGGAGGGAGATAGAGAACCAAAAAATAACTTGGAAAGTGAGCGCCTTTTTTATATGAAATAAGACATGAAAATAGATGGAAAAGGGCAGCAAAAAAGCTCTGCCAGTTGAAAAAAGAGATGGAAAAATAAAAATGCAGTGGGCTTCTTTGTGTTCTGCCAGCCTGAAATATTTTTTTTCAATATTTTTGTGCACCAAGAGGGTTTCTTTGGGTAATGAAACATCTCAAAACTGTCAAAAAATGGTGTCGGCATAAGTGTCGGCGTGCACGACAGCAGTGGCAGCAACGGCAATCAGGGCAAGAGTAGTGAATTAGAAGAGCTGCATGTTGAAAATGATGGTTGCTGGTAAATAAAGTAAAGATATTTGCGGTTATGAGTAAAAAAGGAACAAGAGTGCCTAAAGAACTACCAACTGAATACTCGAGAAACCATGTCTTATTTATACATGGGATTTTTAGCAATAATGGAAGCAGCATCCTGTACATGTCATTGCTGGAAATGATTCATCATTTTGTGAACATGCTTTTAAAGCACTGACATCCAATGCTATCCAAATCAATGTGTGAATCGACTCCAATGATATGCCACAGTTAAGGCACATGGCTTCGCATGTTGCCTTATTGAGATTGATTGATTACTCATGTGGCAATCAGAGCAATGATGATAGGTTTTATTATAGGTTATTTACATGCCAAGGAGAGCATATAATTCCTGGCTGTCGGGCAGCCAGGAATTGTCCTCCTTGGAAGAAATAAATATCATCTTTTGATTAATATCCTTTATAGCAAATACCAATTGTTTATGTTTCAGGTTGGGCCTCTTACCCAGGTTCTCTAAATATACATGTAAGTTTTTGGAACAAAACCTGCCCCCCTCCCAAAAAAAGACATCAGTGTTTGGCTTGCAAAAATGGCCGAATGCATGTTTGTATTTTTGCAAATATCAAAATCATTTTCACTTTATTTCACGGCATAAATGATGCAATGTTGGAATCAAAATGATGCAATGTTTACATTTTTCTTTAAGCACATGGAGATATATCTTGCTGCTATTTTTGGCAGTTTGGGCTTGTTTAATTACCAAAATACACGCCTCTTGGTGCAAAAAAACATAGGGAAATTATTTTAGGCTGGCCCAAAACAAAGAACTCGCTGTATTTTTTATTTCTATCTCTTTTTCTAAATGGTAGGTCTGTTTTAGCTGTCTTTCTCACCCATCCATTTGAATTACAGATTTCATATAAATAGAGCGTCCACTTTCCAAGACATTTCTTTAGTTTCTCATCCCAACCACAATTTGTTACAACACCACTTACCAATTACACTTTATGCACCATGTTTTTATATGGAATATACCACCAGCGACCGCGGATACCACTTACCTCCTCTTGCCTTTTCAATAATCAACCCTTCGCTCGGAAAATCTACAGTTCACATTTTTACTTTCAAAACACAACTTATGCCAGGGGATTTTCAAACACACCCACTGGCTTTCCACGTCAAATCCTCTTTCATCATACAACCAGCCCTCATCTTCATATTTTGTCTCCTTATTACCCACTTCTCCATTTGCTGCTACCCGCTCTTCTTGCTAATGTATTGCCTGAACAAACAAAAGAACAGAACAAACAAAAGAACAACCAAAAAAGAACAAAAAAGATGAGTGTCCATGGGCCTTGAAACATTGTAAAATGTTCTCGGGGTTTTGTTAAATTTATTATTAAATACATGGCGGCACAGCAATCATTACAAGTCTGATCAGCTTGTGATGTTGTAGATGCAACTCATAAAAAAAATAAAAATAAAAAACAGGCAATACAAAGGCATAGAGGTAGGGAGCTAAAAAGGTAGAAGTGTGGGAAAATCAAACAAACAAATTATTGGCACTATATAACAGCCACTAGATTATACTCATCACACGTTTCTTTATCACTTTCGAGCTGCTGGGCACTTTGACACGCTTGCCGATGCGACTCTGGGCTACACATTCAGTCCACCGCCAATTTCTTATTTTTCACTGCGCTCGGCTCATCACTAGAGTCAGCGTTTTTGAGTGTATAATAAAATTTTGTGTATATACTGAAATTTGCTAGATGAAATTGAAAATTAAAACAAATTAAAATCAGCTTGAAAAATATTTAATATGTTGCTTATTGCCTCTAAGATTAGTCAAGATACACTTGTGACGTTGTTAATTTGCTTTGGGCTCACTGATTATCTCTGCAAATGAATATCCAAGTATCTATGTTTCGCGCAGATTGCAAAAAATAAATTATTGCAAATATTGCAGGCAACTCAGTGACAGTGTGTAAGTATAAATAACCCCCGGAGAAGCGCACAAGTGGGACGCCCAAGTGGTCACTGACCATATGGGGGCAGAAAGCAGAGTTCAGAAAGGCATATCACAAGCTAGTCAGAATCTGGAGCCGCAGCAATATAAAGAGAGATGTAAGAAAAAAATAGAGAATTAGATCCAACACAATAATGTCCGTTGATATCGTACTTTTTCTAACTATTGTATATTCATTATGCTGTTCTCATAAACCGTTTGAATAAAACTGATAACTAGAGCACCATACTTACATTTTAAAATTAACTGTCTGTCTACACGTTTGTTTCCATGCTTTAAAATGAACTGTAGTGTTATTGTAATAACTGGATATAATGACCGATTCCAGTAACAGAAGTGTGATTTGATTGCTCAGAAAGTCAATATGAATATTGTTATGCTCTATAAAAATGTGGATCTAAATTATTATATTCAAGTATCAGAAAATTACTTAGAAAACTTAAAAGGGGGTAGCGCTGTGTGGGAGTGCTGTAAACATAATGGTGTTCATTGATGTCAGCCAGCAATAACAGAGTGTGTATAGCGGCCATGAGGGGTTATAATAAGAGGGATATGTGGACACTATGATGTAGTGTAAAGTGGGGTGTTAGTTTATGAAGGTTTTATTATCAATGGAAGCAAAAGTGAACTGAAGCCGACTTATTTTATATATGTCTCTTGTCTCTGTTATGCACTTCACCAGTTGCACCTACGTTGGCGAAAATTGGTTTTCTGTGAGCAGACCGGTATTTGGCAAGTCAATGTTGTAGTTTTCGTGTATGTGCACTCACGCGTGTGCATTGCAAAGTAGGGAGCATATCTGGGCATCATTATTATGCCCCCTAATTTACTCCTGCATAATCCAATTAGCACCCTATCAACCGGCATGCAGATGAAAACTTGTTTTGCGATTCTCAGCCTCGACATCCATTCCATATCCTCGGGCTGCACAACAGAGCAACCAGTGCCATTTTACAGACTACTAGCGGTCATACAAACAGTTACCCCAAAGCCATTTTATACTCATGGGCAAGCCATAGAGTTTGGAAAACAGCTTTTGATTACTTATAGCTGTTGTTTTTCGAGCAGCAACATTAAAAACCATTTAAATACACAGTTATACATGGTGGTATATGCTTCTGTATTCAATGTGCATTTCTTGAATTGACAAAGCTATTGTATTAAAGCATTGTTACTATCAACCATCTATACAGTGTAAAGCTCTACATAATTAAGTTTTTTAAACTTGATAAATATAACCAGTTCTCTTTAAGCACCTATTGATTTTTCAAAAGTATTTGTATCATATGAAATATATGGTGCCCAACACACATTCCAAGCCACTGTCTTCCTTTTCAAGAACCAAGATCACCCTCATGGCCACTATACACACTTCTGTTATTGCTGGCTGACATCAAGGAATATATTTTACAGCGCTGCCTATACAGCGCTGTCCCCCTTTTAAGTTCCTAGGTATTTTTTATACTTAAATATATTAATTTAAACCTTTATTTTTATAGAGCACAACATCTTATAGCCCGTTCATAGAACGTCCCCAGAAACAACAATGTTTTTCTTTGTCTGGGCTCCTTTTACTCCCAATTAGCTTTTGGTTGAAATTTGTTCACCCGTTTTTTAAATTTCGCATAGATTTTATTTGTCCCCACCCACCACAAGCAGCAGATAGCTCTACTGGATTGTTGCATTAAACAGCCACCCCACTAACAGCAGTTTATCAGTTGGACTAGCCAGGTTTTGATAAACCGTTAATGCCTGTTGCAGCCCTGTATTTTCTGAGTGCTTACTGCATACTACAGTACGTATATGAGTGACCCAGGATTTGGAATGCATGTAAAGCTACAGCAGGCTGACATTTAAGTCTAAACAGAATGTCAGTAAATTGTGGGGGGAGGGGGAAATGCAAAACTCTTCCTAGTTAACATTTGATTGTGAGCATTGGGTACTAATTGGACTTAGTAAGACCAGGCAAGTACACTTTCAATAGGCATGTTGTCTTTATAATTAAGATATATTATTTTACTGGCTTCAATTAGGTACTTTTGCTTTAAATTACTTTTTATAATTTTTAATTGTAATCAGTCAATTTAAATTAACAATGTCGTTTGCCAAACACATGTGTTCGGTCATGTTTAAAAAGTTTTCTTTATAAAACAAATTCATCACCTGCTTATCCTTTTAAATACTGTAAGAATGCAATTTTTGAAAAGAAATAAAAAGCAAAAATAAAAATTGTTTGCTATTTGCAATATGATCAAAAATAAATGGACAAAGGCGTTGCATCTTTTCATTTTTTAAAATAATATATTACTTTTATATATTAAATTACTCTACTAATGTACTACAAATACATGTTTGCATTTTTTGTTTCAACTCTACTCTTTTGCCAAACTTTGTTTGCACTTCCCAGTTCCACTTTTATCAAACGCATTGTTAACGGGTACCTTGTAACAGATAGCCTGGGAATTAGTGCTGTACTTCTAGTTAAAAGAACTAGTACTGGTATGTTTGTCTGTGGTGGAACCCTCATATCACCCAAACACGTTCTTACAGCCAGCCACTGTATTGTTGATAGCGTAGATCAGATATTACCTGCAGCCAACTTAACCATTGGCTACAACCATTACAAGAAGGAGGAGCAAAAGTTTGCCAATGTTAAAAAGGTAACCGCCCACCCGCAATATCTTCCACAAGGGCTGGATGCCAAACTGGATATTGCAATTCTAGAGCTCGAAGATCTGGAGTTCACAAAACATAACCAACGGGTTCCCATTTACGACGGTTCCATTGAAGCTAATCAAAACATGTTTGCTGTCGGGTGGGGCCAGACAGAAGACGGCGCAGAGAATCTATCGGTTCTTAGGGGTGTGCTGGTCATGACCGGGAACAAAACGATGTGCGGGGGTGAATCCAGCGAGTTTGTCGATAATAATGGCCCGCAGATATGCACACCTGGCGCGCTTACTCCGTACCACAGTATTTGTATGGGCGACTCAGGCTCTGGACTGTATGTAAACTACAAGAAAAAACAAACAGTTGCGGGGGTGTCCAGTCTTATAGTGAATTACGGTGAGAGTGAGTGCGGTAATACTAGTGGGCACCAGCTGTTTGTGCGTGCAGCGTATTATATGGACTTTATCATGGAAGCAACAGGTCTAACCAGGGAGTACCTGACTGGACTTACTGATAATTTATAGTCCGTTGAAATTGATGACAATTTAATCATTAATTGATTAATTTTTTAGTTGTTAAACAACAACATTGCTTGACAGGCACGTGTGTTCAATCTACTTTCTATTTTAAAGTCTTTGTATTTTTTCTTTTTAAAATTTATTTTCTAATGTTTGAAAAACTGAGCTTGTGATATTTCTTTTTATAAACAATTAAATAAAAAAGAATGTGTGGTTTTAATTCTGTGCAAGTAAATAAACATAAAAGTAGTCATTTGCATTTGTTCTCTCCTCTCGTTGAGTGTATCTTGTCTTCAACATTCATTTTATATTAAATTGTTTTTTATTAGGGCTGGCACTTTCAAATTTTTATTATTTTTATTTTCCTCTTTATATTGTATTTTCAAGTAAAATAATGTACATCAAGCGGATATATGCAGGTTTAGTTTCAACACTGCTTCTATGCCAAACAACCTACGCCCTCTTTATTCCTGATGTCTCCGCTACTCTCTACAAACGCATAATCAACGGGTTTTTACTGACAAATAGTCTGGGGACCAGTGCTGTCCCTGTAATTAAAGTCGCCGGCGACGGCATATACGCCTGTGGCGGAACCATTATATCGCCCAAACATATCCTCACAGCCGCCCACTGCGTAGTACAAACCAAAGACGCAGTCTCGCCCACAACCAACGTCACTATCCCTACGACCACTACGACAAAGATAAGCAGAAAGTTGGCAATGTGAATAAAATAACCATTCATCCAGAGTACTTTGCCCAGGAGCGAAATGGCCGGGTAGATATTGCAATTTTAGAGCTGGAGGACCTGGATTTTTCAGGGTTTAACCAGCGAGTTCCCATTTACGATGGACCCATTGGGGTTGAGCAGACTATGTTGGCTGTTGGGTGGGGCCAGGCAGAAGACGGTGCAGATAATCTATCAGTTCTTAGGGGTGTGCTGGTCATGACCGGGAACAAAACGATGTGCGGGGGTGAATCCGGCGAGTTTGTTGATAATAATGGCCCGCAGATATGCACACCTGGCGCGCTCACCCCGTATCACAGCACATGTATGGGTGACTCGGGCTCAGGTCTGCTTGTCAGCTCTAATAATACACTGATACTTGTGGGTGTGGACAGTATTGCGGTGAATTACGGTGAGAGCGAGTGCGGCAATACTAGCGGGTTTCACCTTTTGTGCATGCGTCATACTATATGGACTTTATCATGGAAAATACAGGCTTGTCAAGGGAGTACCTGACTGGTCTTAGCGACTCGTAAAAAACCATTTCAATCATTTGTTATTTTTTATGAAAGATCTTTATTTAAATACACGTTATTTATTATAAAATGCAAATGGAAAACGCTTTACTACTAAAGAATTATTCTCCATAGGTTGGGCTTAGCAGATCATGAATCTGCTTGGCAAATTCACCATTGACCTCCCTCCCGGAAGCCGTCGCCGTCGGCGTATCCTTACAGAGTGAAGCGTCGGCGCCAAACGATTCCTTGGCAAGTGTGTCCGACTCCTCCTCCATAAACTCCTTGGCTTCATATTCCTCTTTGGATTTCAGGTAGTTGTGGAACTCAATGGGTTTATCTGGTCGGTCTCCGTGTATGTGTCAATTTTGGTGGTATATCCGCGGGCAAACTGAATTGGCCGGGGTGTGTGGTGAATGCGGCGCAGGACAGCTGTAGTTTTGGTGGGGTTGATATAACGGCGAATAAAAGTGGTATTCATTGTTGCTATTGCTGTTGCTGTTTTTTTGTAGGTTTGGTTGTTTGATAGTGCTAACTTTTTAGAAAATAAGAGTAAATTTTAGCTAAATTAAAGAAGAGAAAGAATCCAGAATGGCTTTTATAATGCGAGGGCAATTTTATACCATTACACATGGGAAAATAAAATAAAACCGCGTTCCAGTTGTGCGATCATGGTAACACCAGACAAACACTGATTAAAAAATTGTAGCAACGAGTGTACATAAGTTTTCTTTAAATAATTGGAGTGGAAGACAGAAGAGGGTCACATGCAACAACATTTATATAATGTTTGGTCTAGAATTTTCCACTACCATGTGATTATTAAATATTTATATTTTGGAGTGTTCCGGAGCTCACCAGATAAATTGGTCACACGACCTGCATGAACGAACAGGTGAAACAACACTTATCGATTAATTATAATATAATTTTATTGAAGGAAAAAAATTAATTAGGCTGCACTTTTGTTTTTTTTAGTGCTCGGATTCGAAAATGGCAGCCATGCCGAAGCCACCGCCAATGCACATGGTGGTGCAGCCGACGCGCTTATCCTGGCGCTTCAGCTCGGTCAACAAGGTAGATATCTGTCTAGCGCCGGTGCACCCAGTGGGTGACCAAATGCAATGGCTCCGCCCTTCGGGTTGACCTTGTTGATATCCAGACCGAGGGCTCCACACAGTACACAGACTGCGACGCAAATGCCTCGTTAAGCTCAATAATATCCAGCTGCGCGACCGTCAGCCCGTCTTCTTCAAAACTGCTGGCACAGCATAGGCCGGGCCGACGCCCATAATGCGCGGGGGCACGCCAGCAACTGCCGAAGCAACAAACTTACCCTGGATGGACAGGCCAAGCTCCTTAGCGCGGCTACGCTTCATCAGCAGCACGGCGGCGGCACCGTCAGACACCTGCGATGCATTTCCGCAGTAGTTGCGCCGTCGGCCGAAAATGCTGCACGCAGCTTACCCAGCGACTCAGCCGTGGCCTCTGGGCGCACGCCGTCGTCGCGGTCGACAATAATCTCCGTCTCCTTGCCGTCCTTGTCAGCAATCTTAGTGCGCACAGGGTAAATCTCCTCATTGAAATGGCCCAGCTTTTGCGCACGCGCGGCACGCTGATGCGACAAGGCTGCAAAGGCATCCTGCTTGGACCTAGGAATTCCAAACTCAGCCGAGACGTTCTCCGAGGTCAGCCCCATGGGAATAATACAGTCAGCGACTTGCGGAGCCTCCATGACTTCGTCATTGATGGTGTCTGGAAGCAGCTTATGCTGGGGCCCATAGAACTGGGTCATGCTCTCGACACCAGCCCCAATACCCACGTCAATCATGCCGGCCTGAATTGCATGCGCAATATGCACAACCGCCTGCAATCCACTGGAGCACTGCCGGTTAACCGTCTGAACGCTCGTGGTATTGGGGAATCCAGCGTACAGGGCTGCCATCCGCGCGGTCGTCGCGCCTCCACCGGGCGGGCACACGTTGCCCACGCAGATATCATCGACCAGTGTGGGGTCAATGCGCGTGCGCTCGAGGAGCCCTCGGAGGATAGTGCCCAGTAGGTACTCTGATGTTGTGTCCTTGAATCCGCCCTTGCGTGCTCGCGTAATGGGCGTGCGCAGGGCTTGTACGATGACGATGTCGTCGGGGCTTTGGACGCCGATTTGTGTGCGCGGCGCTTTGGTGCCGTTCAAGTGCGAGGCCACCTGTGTGAGACGAAATGAAGCCATGTTTGGGAGAAAAAATTAGATATTAAACGATAGATAGTTGGGGTAAAGGAAGAAAAAAATAAGAGCTCTTGATTATTGAAAAAAGAGGGACAGTAGTAAAGAATATGAAAAGAGGAAAAGTGGTGGCATCTGACTATGCATCTCTTTATATATCCACGCTGCCACTGCCACTATTGAAAGGTGGCAGCAGCGGCGGCGGCGGCGGTGCTGGGAATTGCTACTTTACGCTCCGGAACAGAGGCAGACATGCAAGAGAGAGAGGTATTTTGCACATGTCAAAATTTAATTCACTCGTTTCGTCATCCGCGGCTCGGGGGCCTGGACTCTCACGTGAAAACGAAAATTGCGCATACATTCACTTTTTGGCGGCGTAAAAGCGCATATAGGCAACGGGGGTGAATGTGAAAGTGAAAGTAGGGCTTGATCAAATAAGGTGTTAATCCATCATCCACGATATCAATCTTTGAACTTATTTCTAGAAGCACACCGAATATATTGATCAGGCCTTAAGATTTTTTAAGAGTAATCTTTCTCAGGTTTATTACGATATTGCTGCTGATGGCAATAAGAAACCTTCTTCAAAATTTCTTTTATTTTTTTTTAACCAAGACAGCCAATTTATTACTATTACTATTTTCAAAGAATGTTTGCAGCTAGAATCGTTTGCAAGAGGCTGGTTCCCACAGCCGGTGCTTTTGTTGCGCCCTTACAACCATCAACAACCACAACAACTGCCTCAGCAGCAGCAGCACACCAATGGACTTCAGCCAAGCGCACCACCGGGCAGCCACGATCCGCACACGGATTCCACACCACGGCAGCAACCCGAAGCTCCTCTGACCTGTACAGCGTACTAGGTGTGAAGCGCGACGCATCAGCGAGCGAGATCAAAAAGGCGTACTACCAGCTAGCCAAGAAATACCACCCGGACGCGAACAAGGCAGAGGAAGCCAAAGACAAGTTTTTAAAGATCCAAGAGGCGTACGACACGCTGTCTGACGAAGGCAAGCGCAAATCCTACGATCAGTTCGGAACAGCCGATCCGCAAGGCATGGGCGGCGGGCCCGGTGGTCCTGGTGGGTTCGGTGGGTTCGGCAATATGGAGGATATTCTGTCGCAGATGTTTGGCGGTGGATTTGGCGCGCAGGGCCGGAGGGCTGGGCCAGGCCGCTCGGGCAGCAGCGGTATGGGCGGCGGGTTCATGGCGGTGGGAGACGACATCGAGGCAGTGGCCAGCATCGGGTTTATGGACGCGGTGCGCGGGCTGCACACCACCATCACGGTGACGCCGATCGTCAAGTGCGAGCCTTGTGGCGGCGCCGGCACCAAAAAGGGCGCTAACGCCACACGTGCTCGATGTGCCATGGCACTGGCCAAGCGACGTTCAGTATGGGCGGGTTCCACGTGCAGCAGCAGTGCCCGCAGTGCGGCGGCGAGGGCAGCTCGGTGAACGCCAGCGACCGGTGCACGTCGTGTGCCGGCAAGGGCCGCGTGCGGCAGCGCAAGCAGGTGGAAATTGACGTGCCGCCCGGCTGTGACACTGGCATGCGCATTCGCATTGCCCAAGCCGGCGACGCGCCAATGGAGGGTGACGGCCCGGCTGGCGACTTGTTCGTGCGCATCAAGGTTGCACCCAGCCCGGTATTCCGCCGCAAGGGTGCTGACGTGTACTTGACGGCTGATGTGCCGTTTACGACGGCTATCTTGGGTGGCGCCGTGCGCGTGCCGACGGTCGACGGCGATGTCGAGGTCAAGGTCAAGCCTGGAACGCAGCCCGGTGACGAGCTGAGGCTGCGCGGGAAGGGCATCCGCAAGGTCGGGTCGCAGGCCAGGGGCGACCAGTACCTGGGGCTGCGCGTCAAGCTGCCAACCGAGCTGAGCGCGCGCCAGCGCCGGTGATCGAGCAGTTTGACAGCGGCGATGCCGCTGGCTCTGCCACTGCCGCCGATGCCGCCGATGGCCACCATCCCAAGCCCAAAGATCACACAGACAAGAAGGAGGGCAGCATCTTTGACCGCATCAAGGACCTTGGCAAGAAAAAGGACAAGGACAACAACTAGACACAACCTATCCACCGTTTTGTCGTGGAGCCCAAGCTGCGAAACATAAAATTTAATAAAATGAAATAGACAAAATACCAACTCACTGGTCGTCCAGGATCCACGCCAGGTCCTTTGCGCTGCTGTAGTTCTCCTGCAGCAGGTGTACAGGTACGACGTCAGGTGGCCGCCCTCCGAATCGACCAGGATGTCGACCAGATCCGGCGGCACATAGTCGTAGCACGGGCTCACAGCGTCGACGGCATCGACCAGGTCACCATCCCCATACGGCAGCACAGCATCCGGGGACACCAGCGTATTGAAGCGGTCGTCGTCGAATGGGAACGCGGGCGCATGCTTGTACAGCCCAGCGCACACCACAACCTGGGCCGAATGGTGCCTCGCGGCCGCCGCCACCATATGCGCGCCACTAACAGCCACCAGTCCGCCGTTGGCCAGCACCGCGTGCGTGCCCAAGATAACCTTATTGACGCGCGCCATAATCGCAAACACAGCGGCGTCTGGGATCACCACGACCTCGATGTTCGGGCTCTCCAGCGCCTTCGCCTGCTCGTGGCCGTCGTACGCTGGCGCGCATTCGGTGACGATCACGTGGAACTTGCGTTTCCGCGCGGCAGCCAGCAAAAACTCCTCGACGGTGCGCGACCGGCCGCAGATCAGAATCACCTCGTTGGAGTGGATGTGCTGCAGCGCGTTCTTGGCAATGTCCTCCTCACAGCTCTCCAGCTCAATGATGTACTCGTTGATTTCGCCGATGATCTCCTGCTTCAGCCGGAACGCCCCCTGCGACTCGTGCTGCTGCCTGGCCAGCGCCCCAGCCACCTGGTCGACAAACCCGCTGCGCGCCCCACTGCCATTGCCTCCACCGACACCCGCCCCAACACCCAGCCCCATCGCCGGCGTCATCGACCCCCTCGACACACTAGCGCTAAACTCACCCCTCGGAGTCGTTGGCGTAGATGGCTGTGTCGGAGCCACCTCGTTGACAATATGGATAACGCGACAGACTATATTCATAATCAGCAGCTCACGCGGCTGCGCCTTAATGAGCCGCCGTCCGACGGTAATTAGAAGTTGCGTAAGCGTTGTTGCGTCGTCCCAGCGGCTGTTGGATACAAGTTGACGCATGAGGTTGGCAGTTTCTAGTGCGATTTTTTTCGACCCTTGGAGGTGGCCGCGCTTGAGCTTATTGATGAACTCGTCGATGCTGCTGGCTGTTTCCGCCGAAAACACCTGTTGGTGGAACTGTCTGGTGGGCGAGTCCATGGATGTGAATTAGAAATAGAAGAATATGTGTTTGTGCGAAATGGGGACGTTTGCGATTCTTAATTATGATTGGGAGAAAAAAAGAATTGAAAATAAGAATGAAAGCTGAATTTGAAGAAAATTTTCGCTTTGTACAAAAATAAAAATTAGAGATGGTGGAAAAGGCGACTCAAACAATGAATGAAATGATGAAGAAAAAACGTGATTGATAAAAATTTTAAAATTTCAAGCCGATGATTCTGTTGTCGCTGCCGCCGAAATAGCCAGCCCCTCGTCAACAGCGTCCGCCAACAGCCTCGCAACATCTTCCCACAGCACTAGATCACGCTCCACCCCAGCAACATCACTTGGAACGCCGCCTGTGCCCTAACAGGAATCCGCGACCTGACCAGCTGCGCATGCTGCCACCTTAACCCAGCCTGAACCTCTGCCACGCCCACCATAAACTCTTTAACCGTCGGCTTCAATGCAATCACATCATCACCACTGCCGCTGGACTCCTCACTTCCATTAACGCCGCCGCCCATTATGCGTATTGCGCAGATGCCGTGCTCAGAAGCGAGCATAGCTTTTCCTCGATTGCATCGAGCTCAATGAGCGGGGCATCGGTGGTATTCGGGTTGTGCATGGGCCGGGGCAGTTGGAGTTGGAGGTGCTCGGAGGGTGGTGATGTGGGCGTGGGTTGTTGAGCTGGACTGTCGAGTGCACGCCTGATGACCCGGACTCGATGACACAGCGGGCGGCGCTGCTGCTTGCTGCTGTGATATTGATGCTGCTGCTGGTGTTGATTGGCAGAGAGAGAAGTCTCCAAAAACCCTGCCATTTTCATATGCGACGTTGGTGTAACAGCAGTATTGGATAAGGGCAATTGGTTGGCTGTCCTCGACACGCTTGGGCCTGTATGGCTCCATGTGTTGGTGTCGCAGTGACTGGGCGGGCAGTTGCGCCTCCTACCATTGCTGTTGCTGCTGCTGGCATTGTCACTGGTGCTGCTGCTTCTGGGATTAGTACTTCTGCCCCTGGACCGGCGCTTGTGCCAGGGCTAATTGTGCCAAAGGTATGTCGCCCATATCATCAGACGACTGCGAGCTAGCCCTCGATTTGGCCTTCTGCTGCTGCTGCTGCTGATTATGCTGCTGTTGGTTCTGCTGTTGTACAGATGCGTTGTTCAACGCAGCCATCATCATCATCGGTGTGCTGTTCACACCAATATTTCCTCCATTGGCTCCAGCCGCGTTCAGGCTCATCAGCTGTATGCTAGACAAATCATTGCCAGATGATGGTCCGTGGCTGCCGCCACCTCCGCCGCCAGCCATCTCAAGCGCATTGAGGTCGACGCCAAAACTGCTGAGATCATTAAAGTTGTTGAAGAGATTCATGCCATTCGACGTGTCCATGCCGTTGTTGTTGCCGCCAAAGCCTGCGCCAAATAAATTCAAGCTATTGTTGTTATTGCTATTGTTGTTATTGCTGTTATTAATGGGTTGGTGGCCGCTCATTATTAATATAAGGTATGGTTGGAATCAAATAATAAACTAGTGATAAAGGTGCTTTTGTTGTCTGCGAAAACAAAGTAAAAGTGAAGACGGAAGGGGGGTGGAGGGGAGGGGGTGGAGGGGGGAGGGGAGGGGAGGGGGGGGACATTGTCGGCAGGCAATATCGGCACAAGGCACGGACGGTCCACTATAGGACTATTGCACATGATTGCATTTAAAGCCATTCGGTAAAAAAAATTAAAAATTATTGTCTAGGACCGGAGTGCTGACAGTCTCGCGAGCATAGCATCTGGGTCGTTCTCCAGCTCATAATCCGACTCGACGACCTCCTCCTCGTCCCTCTTCTTGGCGCCACCAACATTTAGTTTTACAGCGTCCAAGCTCCCCATCATCCCATCAGTGACCTGGGCCAGCACCGCCTCAACCTCCAGGTCGGCCTCCTCCTCCAGATCGCTCTCCTCCATCATCTCAAAGGCCTCCTCAGTCATCTCCCCAATAATCCCAGCCTTCACCATCTCCCTCTCCATCTCCCGCATCCCCTCCTGCAACTGCGGCAGCCGCACAAGCTGATTAACCGACCGCATAACCTGCGTGCTCTTCTGCAGAGTCCCGCCACCTTCAACAATCCCGCCTGCCGAGTAAGCTCCAGAAGAATAGAGTTTAATTGCGCTTTGCTTTTGTACAAGCGGGTGGTTTGCCGCGCACTGCGCACTAGCTCCTTTGCGAGCGTGCGGCAGGTGGCCAGGTCGCCGTTTTTTTTGGCTAGCTGTTGGATTGTGCGCTTGACCTTGGCCTCCTCTGTGGCGATGCCCCGTATTTGTCGGTCGAGCTCGCGCTCTTGGCTGCGCACGCTCGCGCGCCATTTGCGCACAAGCTCCTCGGGCTTGGGTGGTTTTGCAAACAAGCTAAAATTAAACATTGTATTAATGTGCCAATGCGCTAATGTATTAATGTATACAAGTGCTGTGTGGTAACGTGTTGTATAGATGGACAAAAAGATAAATAGGTCTAATAAAGCGTTTTGGCCCGCACTGGATGGGCTATTTGGCGGCGAATAGCAACGGTGCCAACTTACGGGATCTCCCGCCCACGTGGTCCCGGCCTTCTAATTGGTCACTCGTAATGGACGGGGCACGCGGGCGTGCGCTGTAGCCACTCGCTGATGCACCACAGATGATAGGTGCACAGGCAGTTGAGCCTGGCGACCCGCTGCCCGGGCTCAAAGTCCTCGAAGCAGATGGCGCACTCCTGGCCCAGCAGGGGCGTGTCGCTGGTGAGCTGATACGTCACGTACTTAACACCGCCGGGCGACCTCGCATGGGCCAGCCCGGCAGCCGCACGGTGCGCAGGGCCGCCGGCAACATTGCTTGCGGCAGCAACAGCGTCCGTAGGCGGAGGAGGCGTTGAATTGAAAAACCCCAGGAAGCCTGAGCTGCGCTGGCCATCCATCGCCATGCGATGCGGCTGCACCGAGCGGCTGCGGCGCGCAGGCGACACCGGCCTTGCGCCCTGCATTTCCGCCGACGTATCCTCGATGCACGCGCGAATATGGCGTTCCTGCGCCTCCTGCCACCCCTCGCCAGGCACCCGCCGCATGCCATTCCACACCGTCGCCCAGTCGCGGTCGCACACCGGGCAAATGCGCACACTGGAGCTCCCGCGCCCACGCCGCCGCAGCCCACTGACGCCACTGCCCGACTGGCTGCGCTGGTGCCCGCCGGCCTGCGCCGCCTGGTCACCGAATATGTTGTATGCGTTTTCGGCCGCGTCCTCCGCTGCGCAATCCACCGGCACCAGCTCCGGGTTCGCCGGGTCCGGCAGCTCGCCGACCGCCTGTGCGCAGGCATCGCAGGTGCGGTGGTCGCGGAGCGCCCAGCACCCCGACGGCCCAAACCTCTGCTGCTGCTGGAGCTGTGCCAGCGGCGTGTCGTCGTCTGGCTGCGATGCCCCGTAGTACCCGCCCTGCGCCAGGCCCAGGGGCGACGCAAGGGCGGCGCGCTTGGACGAGCAGCTTACGCAGAAAAGCAGCCCGCAGCGCCGGCAGTGATGCCGCCGCAGGAACAGCGAGAAGCTGCGCCCGCATTGCCGGCACCCTGTGGCTGCGTCGTCGGCCTCCCATGCGGACTCTGGCAGACATTGCCGCATGAACAGCGCGTGTGCTGGGTAGTCTTCGCCGATAGAGCCTGATCCGATGCTGCTACTGCGAGGCGGGGAGGGCGAGGCCGTGGCCGTGCCGTGGCCGTGCCGTGGCTGTGGCCGTGCTGTGGCCATGCATGTCTCCGTGGGGTGAGCGTTGGCTGGTGCTGTGGCCCATGTTGGCTCTGGCCTGGTGTGTCCATACGTGCCGGCGGCTCTGACGGCCAAGCGGCGCTGGGCCCTACCTGGCTGCTTGTTTCGCTCATTAATATGTGTGTGGATATGCGTATGAGTATGCGGGTATTAAATGAATAGACAAATTGAAACTTTAAAGCGTGAATTGCAGAGCTCACAAAAAGAAATAGAGGTAAAAAGAGGTTTTTAATTTTTTGCGCTCTATTTTTGCGCCCTTTTCAGGTGACGAAAGCAGACGCAAAAAAATAATTGATTGATTTTTTGCCCGTGACATGCGCTTTTTTTATTGCTTCTCCACGCATTCAGAGAGGCGCGCGCGTTTTCTCTCTCTCTCTCTTTGATTTCTTTGCGCATACATTATTCCCACACGTACAACGTACAGAAAAAACACCCGCTATTTTTTTTCCTCTTTATACATCCCCCTTCCCCCCCCTCTCTTTGCCGCTCCCTGCATCGTCCACAACAATGCTCAGGCTTATCCGACTTGGTGCCACCTCTGCCACCAAACACCGCTTCACACAAGTGGCATTCGGATCGATGGCGCTCAGATGGCACCACAGCGGCTATGAGACCAGCCAGCTGGGCGGATCACCCGGCACCCCCTCCTACCGCCTATACCTCGCGCACAACAAATCGCCCCTCTCCCCCTGGCACGACATCCCCCTGAAGCCCAACACCGCACAGCAACCGCACGAGTACAATATGATCTGTGAGATCCCGCGCTTCACCAATGCAAAGCTTGAAATCGACACCAAATCACCCTTCAACCCACTAAAGCAGGACACAAAGAACGGCCGTCTGCGCTTTGTCTCGGACATCTTCCCCTACAAGGGTTATATCTGGAACTACGGCGCCTTGCCTCAGACCTACGAGGATCCCGAGCACTGCGATAAGGACACCGGGTGTGTGGGCGATAGCGACCCTGTGGATGTCGTTGAGGTTGGGGCGCGGATCGCGCGCGTCGGCGAGGTTTATAGGGTCAAGGTGCTCGGCCTGGTTGCGCTGATTGATGACGGCGAGACCGATTGGAAGGTCTTTGCTATCCGATCGGATGATCCCCTGGCGGATAGAGTCAGGGATATTGATGGCTTGGAAAAGCATATGCCTGGCTTGATTGCCGCTACTGTCGACTGGTTTACCAAGTACAAGGTGCCCGATGGCAAGCCACTCAATGCCTGGGCCTTTAACGCTAAGCCCAAGGACGCTGTAAGTCTGCCCACTCCGATGTGCCTTTGTTGTTTTTCCCACGATATCCCACTTATCTTGTTCTGCGTTATCTTGCGCATGTGAATGGTGATAGATGTGCATGATGATCACGATGATGATGATATGTGTGGTTGATTCGCTTGACTAATTCATTAATTCACTAATTTATTGTTTACTTTTTTTACTGTTTTGTTTTGTTTCGTTTTGGTAGGCGTACGCGCACCAGGTCATTGCAGACACGCATGACGCCTGGAAACGGCTTGTGCACTCGCAGCAAAGCAAGTTTGCTCTGTAAGTTTGCTATACACAAAAAAAAGCGTATTCTTGGTTTTTTATACACATTGAGAGTTGCGGATCGGCTGCAAGTCCTTGCTTGTCTCCCCCATCCAGCACACTGTTTCAACGCCTGCCATTGGCGTGTTCAACACCGAGCTAATCAACGCAACCGGGTCGATTTCCTTATTGACTTGTATCTGATTGCAATCATCTTCAATCTTCACTCCCCCAAGTAGGTCGAATGTCTCTGTTGAGTCGAGCTCGCACCGCCTGCTGCCCGCCGATGCAAACACCAAGTTCAAGGCTCTTGTCGACGGATCAATAAGTCGAGTGGTGTCCTCTGATCCAGCGTGCAACGACGTCGCGCCGCAGACCGCCGCCGACAAATGGTACTTTGTGCACGGTAATACTGTCACCAACAAGGACTAGAGATAAAGTAAAAAATACATCATCATTGTCATTATTGTTGCTGAGCGGAAAATTACATCTTGTGGAGCCTTTGTTGATTCGCTGCTCTCTGTGCGCTTTTTGCTCTTTTTTCTTTTCTGTGTGAGCGAGCGTGCGCTCCCAAAGCGGCAATAAATCTGACGAGTTTCATTTTAAAACAAAAAGGATTAGGGGGGAAAGTGGGATGATAGTGTGGCTGGTCTTTTTATTATCGGCTGGCTGGCAAGCTTGGGGCTCTCCATTTGCTTGTATTCTAAATTCCCCTCCCCCATTCCGCTTTGTGCTTTCGTTTCTATCTGTCTGTTGTACCTGGCATTTATCGACTTTGTCTCAACTGCGTTCCCACATTTTTCAGTTGCATTTTTTCCATTCCCGGGAAATTTGGCATCAAAGTTGATTCTGGACCGTACAAAAGACAAAAGAAAAAAGAAACGAACAATGAATGCGCGATTATTTTTCGCCCCTCTTCCTTCAATTTGCTCGGATTTGCGGCTGGGCTATAAAAGAAGACTCGTCTGGAATCTAGCCTTTCATTTTTCTCCTTCTTTTGCTCTCTAGTTTCTGTTTATCTTTATATTTTCCAGTCCATTCATTTCAACACATATCATGGCCATTATTCGCATCCACGCTCGCCAGATCTTCGACTCCCGCGGCAACCCCACCATCGAGGTTGACCTGACCACCGACAAGGGACTCTTCCGCGCGGCTGTTCCCTCGGGCGCCTCCACCGGCGTCCATGAGGCCCTCGAGCTGCGTGACGGCGGTGCCGCCTACATGGGCAAGGCTGTCCAGAAGGCCATCTCCAACGTCAACAATGAGATTGCCCCGGCGCTCATTGAGGCCAACATCGCCGTCGAGGACCAGACGGCCATCGACGAGTTCATGCTGAAGCTCGACGGCACCCCCAACAAGTCCAAGCTCGGCGCCAACGCCATTCTCGGTGTCTCCCTGGCTGCTTCCAAGGCCGGAGCCGCTGAGAAGGGCATCCCTCTGTACCAGCACTTCCGCGACCTGTCTGGCCGTACCAGCGAGAAGTTTGTCCTGCCTGTTCCCTCCTTCAACGTCATCAACGGTGGCTCGCACGCCGGAAACAAGCTGGCCATGCAGGAGTTCATGATTCTGCCCACCGGTGCCTCTTCCTTCTCCGAGGCCATGCGGATGGGCTCTGAGGTCTACCACCACCTCAAGAACGTCATCAAGGCGAAGTACGGCCAGGACGCGACCAACGTCGGTGACGAGGGCGGCTTTGCCCCCAACATCCAGTCGAGCGAGGAGGGCCTGGAGCTCCTCAACGAGGCCATCGAGAAGGCCGGCTACACTGGCAAGATCACTATCGGCATGGACTCTGCCGCCTCCGAGTTCTACAAGGACGGCAAGTACGACCTTGACTTCAAGAACTCCAAGTCTGACGAGTCCAAGTACCTGACGACCAAGGAGCTCGCTGACCTGTACAGCTCGTTTGCCGAGAAGTTCCCCGTTGTCACTATCGAGGATCCCTTTGACCAGGATGACTGGGAGGCCTACGTCCACCTGCAGTCGACCCTGGGTCAGAAGATCCAGATCGTCGGCGACGACCTCTTGGTCACCAACCCCACGCGCATCCAGACTGGTATTGAGAAGAAGGCCTGCAACGCTCTCCTGCTCAAGGTCAACCAGATCGGCACCATAACCGAGTCCATCAAGGCCGCCAACCTCTCGTTCGAGGCCGGCTGGGGCGTCATGGTCTCCCACCGCTCGGGTGAGACCGAGGATTCGACCATCGCCGATCTCGTCGTTGGCCTCGGCACTGGCCAGATCAAGACTGGTGCCCCCTGCCGCTCCGAGCGTCTGGCCAAGTACAACCAGATCCTACGTATCGAGGAGGAGCTCGGTGAGAACGCCATCTACGCCGGTGAGAACTTCCGCAAGCCCTTCTAAGCTGTAGAGGCTCTTTTTTATTTATTTATTCTGCTTCAATATTTCATTAAACATATTTCATACTTGTGAATAGCAACACCAAAAAAATAACGAAAATAAATGATAATAATAAGTTTTATCATGTTCAATGAATTTTATATTTTGTGTTTTGTGTTCTGTGCTTTGTGTCTTGTATTTTACTTTTTTTGTTAATCTTAACATTTTTAAGCTGGCGCTCAATGTGGCAGACTTTTTTCATAGAAAAAAGTGTATCTCTACAAGCGCCGATTGCACACCAAACGGTGGCAAAACAAATCATGTATTAAAAAATGGTTGGTCAGTCTAAGCGAGTTCATCGTCATGGCTACATTACTAGTGTGCCTGTCCGAGCTTGACTCTTGCGAGATCATCACCCCAACAATATTTTTTTAACATAAGTGTTTCACAGCCTAAGAATTGCGCGGATCAGAGATCCGCTTTTTCCCCAGTGGCACCCCGTGCGACGAGTATGGGGGCTTTTTGCTATTTCTAACAGGCGTGATATAAACAATTTTTCAATAATAATTTTGGCTTGCTTGTTTAACTTTTTTTTTTAGTTTTAGAGGTGTCAACTTTAATCTTTTCTCCAAATAGTTTACAATGCCCTTTGACTTTATCAATTGTTTTTGTCGGTACTTTTAGCACGCGTGCAAGCGCTTTAGTTAATACCACAACGCGTTCCCCATTTATTTTGCCCCACCTAGCCCGAAAGCACTCACCTTACAAGCCATAACGCATAAACTAGAAGCAATGTTTTCAACCGTTGGAATTTTCTATGCGCAAAAAAAATAGCAGACAGCAAGTATAGGTTATACTTTAATACAATAATAATTAATATCAATACACACAAAATTCATTCATAGATTGAAATGGACGCTGAATACAACAGCGTAGCGAGCAATATTGTAAACACAGCACAAGACGGGTTCATGTTTGAGGATGGCGACGCTCTCTCCGCCCTCTTCGTTTTCGACAACCAAGCAATAAACACAATTGGCCGCGAACTCAGTGACGTTGACAATTTTGAGACCTACACTGTGTGTATTGGCGACCCAACATTTGCTCAATTCACTGGCACATACCTCGAATATGTCCGCGACAGCTCCTGGTTAGACGCCGAGGAGCAACACAAGCAGCTGTGCCGCGTAGCCGAACTATTCACGGCCCTTCTATCGGCCTCCCAGGGGCCGTGGCTGATTCCCGTTATGCGGCCTTTGACACTGGCACTATGTCAGTCAGCACAACGGACCTTCGAAAGCACCCATGATCCGGCAGCATTCGCACAAGCAGCTTCAGTGCTTCTGCGGCTGCTCATCGACCTGTTGGCGGATAACGGCGGCCCGCTGGAGCAGTCCAAGAGAGTAGGCTGCTTGTTTGTCGCCGGCCTGCTCCTGCGCATATCCCTGAGAACCAGCGCAGCACCTGGAGCCTACGCCAGCAAAGCGCTGGAGGTGAAAAACCTATGGGGATCTTCGGTTTTTTCGCAACGCGATCGCGTCAGCTACAGCTACTGGCTTGGAAGGTACTATCTTGTCTGCTACTATGTGGACTCTGCACGCAGCCAACTCGAATACGCGTTTAATGGGTGTCCGGCGTGGCATATGCGCAACAAGCGGGCGGTTCTGAGATACCTTTTTGTGGCTAATATGATCCGCGGCCAACTGGCCCACCCGGCGCTCCTGGAGAAGTACCAGATGGAACCTGTGTACGCTGAACTCGCATGGCATTTCCGCAAGGGTAACCTGGCTATGTTCCAGCAAGTGCTGATCGCCAATATGGAGTTTTTTAGATCGCAAGGGAACTTTTTGATCTTGATGGAGCGCACAGAGATTTTGATTTATCGGAATGTGCTCATGCGATCGAGCGCCCTGAATTCACGCTCGGAGCTGGGACGTGCGATGCCATATAGGGACGTTCTAGCGGCCTTCCAGCTGTCGTCGCAGAACTACAGCATGGACTATGCCGAGATGGAGAGTATTCTGGCTTCACTAGTCGCCCAAAAGTTTGTCCTCGGGTTTTTATTCCACCATCAAAAACTCGTCAACCTGGCAAAAAAGTCGCCATTCCCGCCCATCTCTTCTGTTGGGGTGGCTATAAATTCCCAATAAATAATGGGATTTGTTTATAATATTCATTTAGTTCTGGGCCAATTGCAAAAAAAAAAAAACTTAAAAAAGAAATTGTTTAGCTTTATTACGCAGTGCGCTCGGTAAGGAAGCGCGCGCGTATGTAGGGGTCCAGGGCCAAAGTAGCCGAGCGGAAAGCATCGGTGGCCTGGGCGCGCGGCTGATCGATGTATCCAGCGACATCGGGCTTCGCAACCCAGTCCTTCGTAGTCTGCAGAATTGCGTCGACAGCCAGCTTCAAAACGCTCTCTGCACGCAGCCTGCTCTTGGTGTCAAACATTTTAATGTTCTCCTGTTTGGTCGGATACACATACTTGTATGTATAATCCATGCTGCCGCCCATCCTGGTGATAATCTGATCCCTATCGATAAAGTTCTCCAGCTGGTCAATGTTCTTGGAGATCACCGTGCGCTTGGCAATCTGTGGGTCAAGCCACCCGCTGATAACCTTCCAGAGACCCGAGAATAGCCACGAGTCAACGTATTGGATGGTGGCGCTGAACAGCTGCGGATATGAGTCGTTAATAAACGTAAGCAGGGTCTTGATAAACCCCTTGTCAACATTACCCAATCCGAACCCATCGAAATCATAGACGAGTGTTGCTCTCTCACCGTTATCGCGCGCTATAATCGACGTCTGCTCCAGCGCAAACGCCGCGTACCGCTCGACAACCCCATCGCCGCGCTCCTTGGGAATATTGAGTTTGACGCGGATAATGTTGATCGGGTATCCAAGCTTATCGTATCCTGTGCGGAAAAGAACCCCGTCGTTGAGAAGCTTGTCATGCATACCCAACTCGCCCTCCCACATGAGCTCATCAATGGCTTGTGCTGCTCGCCATCCGACTGAAACCACCACGCGGTTGAACGCCTGGTCGACCTTCCACACAGAGGCCCTCAGGAAGCCCAGCAGATATGCGTCGGGGCTCTCATGCAGCATGCACGCTTGCCAAAACGTATTGGCAAACAGCCTCGTCCCACGATCATCGCTGAACAGCGGCTTGAATTTCCCTGGCACCACGGCTTCGCGCTCCCCCGAGAGATACATCTTGTCTTGGACTGTCTGCAGTTTGGGATCGCTTGCTATCTTCTTGTTGGCAGCGTACCATTCGTCGACCGCCTGGGCATCGCTTGTGGATATTCCGGCTACTGATAGATGCGTGGCCTTGACTTGGTCTCGCGTCACTTTGATGGGCTTGTTGGCGGTTGCGTCAAAGTGGTTCAGGATTTGACCCACAAATCCTTGAGCGCCTGCTGTTGCGCTTCCGTCAGATGACTTAAGGTTCCGTCCAGGGGCCTGGTGGTGCTCTTGTAGCTCTCGCTAATGTCGGGGTTGTCCAAAGTAGTCATTTATATTTGAAATAAATAAATAGTTGGCAGACGTGTTAACAAAAGTAATGATGTGTGAGTGTTTTTTTTATCGATTAAAGATGTATATTGCTCAAAAGATGAAATGAAAAAGAAATGCTTTTAAACGTTAGCTTTCAATATGTACAGAATATAAATCATTTAATTTGGTATAGTCGCTGTGGCGTAGCGTTAACAGAGGCTTACACATGCAAATGCAGCAAACAATTGGGAGATCCGCTCTTTGGCGTGGGAAGCACAGCTAAAGAGAGAAGAACGATTTGAGTCAGTGAATCCTATAACAATTAAACTGGATTCAGCAACATAAACAAAGCACAATTCCTGTAGACAAAGCAGGTTTATATGACGCCGGTTAGCAATATACTGGTGGGAAAAGGGCCCAATAGGTGTCAAAACGGCATGACATCAATGTGTTATTTTTGTACTTTTCTAAAATAAATAGCTTTCAGTTCAGCATGATCAAGATTTTTCTGTAGCGCCACTCGCGATATCCAATTCAATTCAATTCAATTCAATGCAGTAGCTTTTAATTAATATTTAATTGACATAACATGAGAACTACTTTTTAATTGATTATTGTTATTGTCGTCGTCTATTCCGACAAAATAAAAATACTTTTTTTTCCAAAAAAAAGTTACAAACATGTAGGCAATATGTGCGCGTGATCTACAGTACGATCTGCCATAGCCAAGTGACCTACTGCAAAAAATATATTAATTGAAATTGTTTTAATTTTTTTGCATTGGCGACACAAAAGTGCATAAATCTACACGTCATATACTACACACTTTTTTGCCAATCTCCAGAATGTCCCAGCAGCAGCAGATACTCAGGCAGCGCCAGAAGCTCAACGAAATTAAAGCCCAAGAGCAGGAAAAGCTAAAGTCACGTCTCAACTCCATATACGCCACAGATATCCTCAACATAGCTCGGCACTTTGGCAACCAGCCCAAGGCTATTACCGCCCGGGTAATTGACATTGACGATAAGGGCATTTCAATTGAGTGGGAGTGGAAAGATGTTGACAGCGAAAAGACCAGATCCGAAGACATGCAATTTGCCTTCCGCGAAGGTGCCAGCTCAAGCTCGGCGCTCCAGGAAATCAGCGACTTGGCCAGCGAGGCAAGCAAGGCGCTGGGAATCAATGAAAAGCCCCAGCTGACTCGGGACAAAGAGGCGCTTGACGCACGGACCTTGGTCGACTTTGAATTTTCTGCGCCCGGCGTGGCAACCATGGTCGCTGTGCTGCTGGCCCTGGCTCTCACCGGATACATGGCGTATGTCGAGGACGTGCACCCGTCACTAAAGTTTATTAGGAAATTTGTTTCGATGACCGTCGCGTACTATATTTTTGTGTTTGCTGCGGGTATTCACCTCCTGGAGGCCCTGTCGGTTTGCGCCATTTGCCAGCTGGTCAAGACGTTCCAGCCGCGCCAAATGTCTACCGAGAACCAGATCAAGTGGACCATTGGCAGCGCGCTGTTTGGTGTATTTTGCATGCATGACTTTGTATCTCGAATCATGCGCCAGTTTGCACTGGCCGACTCGATGAAGAAGCCAGTCATGCCTCAACGCACTGCCCCTGGAAACTAACTGCACATTTGCACATTGCGGGCTACAAGTTGTTGTTCCAGTACTTCTAATACATAAATATTAACATTAACTGCAACTTGTATACGTTATACACAAAATGTTATCGTGTTAAAATTACAAGCGGTTTCTAATCTGGACTAGACGGCATGTCGATCGCAACCACTGAAGACGCGGGCGATCTAGACCGCACATTTTTTGAAAGGTTTTTACGAGCAGACTGTAGATTGAAGCGCTGCCTTGAAACTCGCCTGCCCCGGGTCTTGCTGGCTATGTTTGATGCGATAAAGCTTTCCACTGACTGATGCGTTGGTTCGTGCGACAAGGGCAAGTGATTGTACACGCGCCCCAGCTTCAATTTGATGCGCTGCGTGGCTGCTTTGACCGGAGAATCAGCATGAACAACAGCATCTGACAAGCTGCGCACATCCTCGCGAGATTTCTGGTAATGCGGCATATTTGTCAGCTGGCTGGGCTTATGCGGGGCGTTGTCTGCAGATGTGTTGGCAGCGGAATACGGATTGTAGTTTGGGTCAATGCGGTGGCCAATATTTTCAAAGACATAGCACAGAAGGTTGTATTCGAGCATGGAAAGCGAGCGCTCATGTGGCCATATGTTGACCAGGGAGTCATCACTCGGCTGGCACTTCAGTGATCGAGCAATATCGTCTACCGAGTTGAGCCCAGTGTGCTCGACCAGCCGCAAAAGAAGGCGTTCGCAGAGGGTGCCATATGCCTCGTTGTAAAGCTTGGAATACATGGCGTTGATGACAAGGTTTTGGTTGATCTGCCCATCGGCGTACATGTCTTTCATCGACACGCCCGGAATGCCCAGCTTTTTCTCGATTTTCTTGCCGATCTCGATAATACGGTCATACTCAAAGGGCGCCATTCTGCTTGATACTGGTGTTTGTAGGTGATCATCTGACCCTATCTTTTGTAAATCCGGTGGCAATTCTGCATTTGTCTGGTCGAACGAAAGGTGGTGTTCTGCAGGACTCCCAGAGTCTAACAAATGTGTATTTTGGCCAAGCGTTGCGTGTGGACCATTGTCATCATGGTTGTCATGGTCATGCATCATGGTCGCTATGCTCGCTGTGGTCGCTATGGTCTCTGGGCGCACTTGATAGTCTGTCAGTATCGTCGCTTCTATCAGCCATGTCATAAGCCTGGTTGGCATAATTCCAAACGCGGGCCAGATCGTGCCTCTTGTACTCGTACTCATATAGAAGCAGCCGCTGGTCGTGTACCTTTTGCGCCTTGTGGAAGGCCTCCCACTCGGCAGCAAAGTTGTTGGATATAATCGAGGTGGGAAACACAATGGTAAAGACCCCCATGAACATTGTTACGCTCGCAATAACTGGCCCCATGGCGACACCGGCGTGTAGTCGCCGTAACCAACGGTTGTGATGGTTACGAATCCCCAATACAAACAGTAGAATATATTTTGATACGGGCTGGGCTCTTCGGTCCCGTGATTTATTCGCATCCATTCTCAGTCGCCACGTCCAGCCTGTTGTTCTCTGCAAAAAACAAAAGAAAACACGCCGTCAGCAGCAAAATTATGATGATCGTCATGACCACCAATATCTGCAGCAGGCTCTTGCGCAGCGTGCGTATGGTCACATAGAGCTCCACCGAATACTCTGTCAGCCGCAACACGCGCAGCACGCGCAGAATCTGCAGTGCTCGGAGCCACTTGGCTTTGCCAAGAAAGTTTGCCGAGTCATTGGTAAAGTATAAAACCCAGGGATGATGCCTATCATGTCGAAGATAGTCAGTGGCTGCATCAGGTACATCAGTGGCCTTTGAAATGCGTAGAGGCGCAAGACCCATTCCACTGCAAAAAACAGCGCAGTGGCCAGATTGACTGACCGCGCTATGTCCCTCCAGTGCGATTGGACACGGTATTGCGGGAACGTGTCTATTATGAAGACAATGAGGAACAGCAAAACAACCGCGGTCGACACGCCAATAAATATGCGCGCTCTCATGGACGACGGCTCGTAAAATAATATGTGCAGATAACGCCGCACCGGCGACCACTGTGCGATTTGCTTTTCCCGCCGGCGATATAGAATTCTGCGGATCCGTGTCGATGCCTGTACTACTGCCTGGTCCTCGGGGAAAAAGTCCTTAATGTCCTCACTGCTCGCCGATGAGGTGCATGCGTCGCTTGGCGCGAAAGCGGCACCTTATCAGGCTCTGACGGACTCTCTGCGCCAAAGTTTGGTTTTGTCGGTGGCATCAAAGGAATGCATGTAAATTGTGGGAAAAGAGTGTAAATAAATTAGGATGGTTGAAGATAAAGATGTCCGAAAAATAAGCTGCAATTTTTTATTTTGGCGGAAAAAGAAACTTTCAGCTTTAAAATTCTGGAGTTTCCAATTCTCCACAATATTCCCAACAGTGTGGCCAGGTGGGATTTTTGTCGCCAAACGCGTGGTTCCGTTTCAAACTCCGAATTGAAAAAACCGCGCGTTTTTTTCGTTTTGTCGTTTGCTATGATATCAGCTATATTGTATTTGAGTGTTTATGCGGTCATGTGTCATTGACATTGAAAAATGAAAGTTGATATCGTGAGCAATCTGGTTATTATTTACTAAAAGTAACACGATTCTATAACTGATACTGCCTTGGTCAAAGCTAAAAATAACAAGCTCAAAACTAACTTGCGTTATATTAATAAGCATCTAGGTCTTGCTGATGTGTCCTCTTGTCAAATAAAGGTTACACCAATACATGCAGCAACAATGACAATGAGTGCGAAATATTTGTTATAAAACTGGTTTTTTTGGGAAACAAATCCGCACTTTCCCAAATGTCCCACTTTTCTCACACCAAGTATATTCGCTTTATTCTCCGCTTTTTTGCATGCTTTTTTCCATCATTTTATATTTACATTTTTACACACTTTTCATCTATAACGATGATACGCAAACGTAATTCCAATAAAGAGAATAGAGCCGTATCGTCAAACATCAACAGCAACGCCCACCCGCTCAAACGGTAAGCCGCTTCAATATATGCTCGCGTCCTCACAGAGACGACAAAGACACAAACAGCATCGTTCATTAAGCGAGCTCCATCACCTATTAGTTGCAAGTAGCTCTCGGTCAGAATCAGCGGTCGTAGTTCTCGATTCGTCGGATGATTCAGAGTTTTCGGATGGCAGTATTGTCGAGGTCATGGATCTCCAGTACAGCGCGTCGTATCCCCAGCGGAAACGCTCCAACGAGGCTGTGGTGCTTGTAGAGATCGATGTAAAAGTAGTAGGCGGCGAACAAAAACAGCATCAGCATCAGGCAAGGCAAGCACTCAAAAACATCCAGCCCAATGTACATTCACAAAAGTGCACCAGCTTGTCGCTGCCGCCTAAAGTTGTACAGCCGGCAACCATATCGACAGCAAAATCAGTGTTGAGACCAGCTACGGCCGCATACATAAAGCCACAGCAAAAGCAAATAAGCACGAAGATACAACCAGTAACGTCAATTGACCATGTGTCCCTCACCAAAGGCAGTCGGAGACAGCACTACAACAACCAGTCACAGTAGCGCATTCTTCAGCTCCAGCCCAGCGGCCGGGTTCAGCTAGCAATAAACAGACTCCAATCTGGTGGCCAGCGACAGTGCTAGTACCAGACACTCCGCCTCCTATAGAATTCAATGACCCAGACTCAATTACAATTCCAAGTCCAATCCTTGCTCCAGTTTCAGCCCCCGCTGCCAGTTTTTTGGTACCAACCGCCCCTTACAAACCACGTTCTAGGCTGCACATCAAAACAGAAGATATCTTAATGCAGCCGATTTCGGCAGTTTTGGATTTGGGCAACCCAGCAGCCTCGCGATCAGAGTCGGTGTCCCTGGACGAGCAGCAAACGCCCGAGCGCTTGTCGTACTTGCACATATTTGACCGAATTCTAGAAACGGTGCTAAGAGGAGAATCGCATCTGTTCTCTGAAGACGAGAAGAAAACACTGGCATCATTCAGCAGCCTCGACCAGCACTCACGCTACCTCTATACGCGCCTCTACATGCGCAAGCAGTCGTGGATCCGCGTGTCCAGTCTAAAATACGGCGACAAGATGATTGTTGAGCAGTCTTGCAAGCTCTTGTGCAGACGCAGCAGCAACAACACAGAGCCGCTGCTGCTGGCAGAGACAGAGATAGAAGACTGCAACGACGCGCTGCACTTGCTCACGAGCCCAGAGCTCAAGGTTTTTGCAAAGAAAAAGGGGGTGAAGCAGATTGCAAACAAGACAAAAGACTTCATCTGTGAGATGATCACAAAGAGTGCAAAGCAGCGCACAGTAATGTCATTTTTTAAGCAGACCCCGAAGACTCGGCTGGGCAGAGGCTGAACGGGTTGATCCAAGAGGTCTCCAAAATAACGGGGCCTATGGTGCACCTGAACCCAGCCATAGTCGATTTGTTTGCGCGGCTGCATATGGTCTTCTTCCGCTCGCTGGCGCCCATGGGCGTCGACAACGCGATAAAGCTTGCTATACTGGCTGTTATCGGCCAAATCAAGTTCCCACAGTACACAGTGGCGCGGTCTGTGGATCTGTTTGTGTCCAGGAACGACGTGATCCTTTTCAAAACGCTGATGGAGGTCGGTTTCAAAATGGCAGAGCTGGGCCAGTTTTCGGTCAAGGATGTCGACAGGCACACGGAAGGGTGGTCGCTGTATCTGGATCACAGCGAGATGTGGGCCAAGCACATTGAATTGCTGCGCAAGAACGCATGCAAAAATATAACACCGCTGCCCAGCCGCGTGGGTGTTGAGTACTGGAGGCGGCACTTTATCCCAGGATATGCGCTGGCGCGGATCGTCGAGGGTGGAGCCAAGTTTGCAGCCAACCTCAAACGGTTCGATGAAGAGGAGCGCATTTTGCAATCGCTCCTGTCACAGACCGCTTACCTTTTGAACCGGCGCGGCGACTGGTATGGGCGGCTGATCCTGCTGTACACCAAACACCTGCGGCCGCGCCAAGTCAAGGGGGACAAGGAGATCGAAAGGCACATCGGGCAGTTGATGCAGCGCGCTCGTGACACATGCATTAGGGCGCTGCGCGACGATCATGTGCATAGGGTGTCTTTGCGTGCGCTGACAAGGCAGCTTCGGAGCATTGAGGCTAAGCTGGATGTCAGCATCGAAAACCAATACGAGCATCCGCGGGCGCAGCTCGAGTGGCGGGAGGCTCCAGAGCGCATATTCTTTGGCGTGCGCATACTGTGTCCCAACAGGCACGGGCCGAGCATGTGGGACGGTAACGACGATATACCGTGCTCCGTTGAGCAGCTTGCGCTGTGGCGGTACAGAGATCAGGGCTACGTTGGACTGCACTCGGAGAACGCCATTGTGAGAACCTTGTTCTGCTTGCTTTTCTGGGATATCATCCTGCACGCAATGCCTGGCGTGCTGGATACAGAGTACCAGTCACAGCCGCTGGACATGAACTCTGAGTCATTTTACTACAGCCGCCAGGGGCTGATTGACCAGCGGCTGCAGGACATATCCGGCGGTGATTTTGAGTCACACATCAGGCGGAGTTACGCCATCGGATACGGGACTACATGCGCGGGTGTGTCGTGGGACTTTACTTTGGAGCAGTGCTGACAATTTCAGAGGTTAGTTTGAGTGTGAATAGCATGGCGTGCCTTGGCTTTTGTGTATGTGTGAATTTGTTGGTATGTAAAATTAAAATGATTTTTTACGTGCTACTAACCATTGACATGCTCATATATTCATAAACTTGTAGTGCCTGAGCGGAAAAGGGCTGGCTGCCATATGCAGCGTGATGGCAAAGGAGTACCGCATTAAGAGCAGCGGGTTCCCAGACTTGTGCATGTGGAACCCAGTTACTAAAAAGATAATGTTTGCCGAGGTCAAGGGCCCCAAGGACAAGCTGTCTGAAACACAGCGCGACTGGATAGACATACTCCTCAGCAACGACATTGCAGTCGAGGTCTGTCTGGTTCGCGAAGGCGACTCTCGGGATCACGAGCAAGAATGAAGGCCGCGCGGACCTTGCTCCAGCCAACGACGCACCAAGATATCTGAATCAGTTGTTGTAAGGGATCCTGTTTTCCAAAAACGCGTGGTCGACGACGACAAGCTCTACAAAGTCCTCAAACAGTGCCTTCAGCTCATCAATTGCTCACACATCCGAGGGACTTGCTCCTGGCTCATCGCGTCGGCAACCACCTGCACAATCCAGCTCCCCTGCGGATCCGCCGGCTGGGCCGACTGCACATTCCCCTCTTCCTCGAGGCGGTATATCTGGCTTACGATGACCTTAAATATACTGCGGTACAGGAACCAGTAGCCCTTGCGCACAAACTCCGAGTTGTACTTGTAGCCCAGCAGACTGAGGAATTGCGCCGCGTTGCCCGAAAATACCTGCGCAAAGATTGCCGGCCTAACGGACGCGCCCCGCCCTGACCGCGGCTCTGGGTGGCCCAGAAGACATATTGTGTTTGTGTATTTTTCCTCGTTCAACGGGTCCTTGGGATCCATTTCGATACGTAGGCGCAGTACGTGGTCCTCTCGGCGCAGCGGCCCAATAGGTGTTTCAACGCAGGGGATACAGCTTATTTCGTGGTGCAGCTCACGATGCGCTGCTTCAGTGTCACCACACAGGGCCTCTAGGCGCGTTCGCAGTTGGGGCTCGTGGTCGTTGGCTAGAAGCCCATGCAGGCTACATTCGTAGTGTGTGGGAATGCCTGCGTTCGCATACTTTTTGACACTGGCCATAGCTGCGAGCTGTCCCTATAATGAATTTAATAAATATGGTGGTGATATATTGGAGTTAAGAGTAAGGACTTGCGGTGTTAATAAAAATTTTACACAAATGGCCTTAGTGGTGCGAAATAACTAAAAATAAGCATGCAGCCAGGGCGCTGGCGAAGACACTGCGCAGCACATGTCAGCATCCAAGGACAATGGTGATTGTGGGCTGTAATCATCCGCCATCTGTGAAGTGATATTGTACATGTGTAAACAAGTAAATAAAATTGCACTTTCAGCAGTCACCAGCCACATACACAAAATCTTGAATAGAAAGTTTGGTCGATGATGAGTTTGAGTCATATCAGCTGAGATGTTAACTTGGCTCGTGATACCAAGGTTCATACGTACACATATGTCAAGCTGCTTTTGCCTATGGCTGCTGGTGGGAAGCAAATAAATAAAATAAAAATACCACGCATGGAAATGCTGGAGTATCACTTGTGTTGTTGTGTTGTTCTCTGTTCTGTAATTTTTATGTTTTTTTCTGCTTGGGGTTTCAACAAAAAAGTAAATAATAAATTAAGCTGTTATATTTAATAACCGGGCAAACCACCATTTCTTCATTTATCCTTGTCCTCTCCTCATGGCCTGGTCACGCACGCAAAGCCATGCCTATTAAAGCTAATCCTCTTTGAAACAAATATATTGCAGCAAGCCTAAACATGCGCATCATATTCAACTGCTTCAGTGAGAGATTAGTGATTCCTGCTAGGTTCACGCGATCAGTGACAAAAGACAATTGCGACAAATATGGACATAATTGAGGTGGCCAATACCTTTTCCCACATATTTTTATATATTCCAATGGTGTTAATACTTCACTTATTCCCAACATGTTTAAATCTATTCTCAAGTTGTCTGAGCAAACAGCGAGCAAAGCGAGAGGGTATTGATGACCTGTCGAATTTCCACTAAAAAAATAAAATAAAATTGAAGATCGCTTTTCCGATACAGTTTCTGGTTGGCTGGTAGACTGAGCTTTGACCTTTTATGTGGCCAAATAATTTTGGCAACTTTTTTGTCACACCTCACAACAGTTACCTTTTAAAAACCCAAACAAAAATTTCAAAAAAAGTTCTCTTCTTATCGGTTTTATTTTTTACTCCACGCTTCCTGGCCCAGAAATACTTTTAAATAACACTTGTTCAATATCATACACTTTTCATAAGTGCCAACAATAGCCAAAATGCCGACTTCTCCGTCGACTACAGAAGCCAATCAAAAAGATAGCAAGCTGGTATGTGTGTTTTGCGCATCTCGCGACAGTCCAGACCAGGTCTACAACGAAGCAGCAAACTCACTAGGCCGTGAACTAGCCATGGCCGGGTACGGTCTCGTTTACGGTGGCGGCAGTTGCGGCCTGATGGGCCGAGTAGCGCTCTCCGTGCACGAAAACAACGGCGACGTGCTCGGCATCACCCCCCACGCACTGACCTCAATCGAGGGCGGCACCGAGATTGGTCGCACGCTGTTGGTCAACAGTATGCATGACCGCAAGAGCATGATGAACGACTATGCCATGGCCTTTATAGCGCTGCCCGGCGGATTCGGCACTTTGGAAGAGCTCTTGGAGACCACCACCTGGTCTATGCTCTCCATCCATTCCAAGCCTGTCATTGTTCTGAACACGAATGGATACTACAATGCTCTCAGGGATCTTACCAAGAACGCTGTCAAGGCGGGATTCATCCATGGAGATAACAGCGAAATCATCGTCTACTGCGATACGCCCCAGGAGGCGGTCGCTGCGATCGCTAAGTACAACACGCCAAAGAACCGCTACGACCTAAACTGGACTTCGCCGCAGCCGATGTGATTCGAGTGTCAAATATCTGCCTTTTTACATGCCCGCGCACAAATAGACTTCGGGATTTAATTTTTTAACATGTTTCTTTACACCACTGGCTGGGATCAAGCGACGTAGTCATTGGGTGGCCAGCTGTGCATATAGCATATTAAATACACTTCTTTACGTAACGCCTTTTAACTCTATGTAACAATGTAACAATGTATTCAATTTATAAGGCTTCATCCAGCAAAATGGGTTCTCTAGTCCAATGCCTCGCTGCGCAGCGCATGGAGGTCCTCTTTCAAGTTGTATGCCTGACTGATCATGTGCGCGTGCGCTCTGCTGGGTATTTCAAAGTCACCCATATTCAGCGGCCGCAAGTTGATGGTGTCGCGCAATTCCTGGCGCTCCAGCTCGTGCTCGGAATTGTCCTGCTGCTCCTTGTATCTCTGGAGCTCAACGGGATTCGTGCGAATGTACTCACGAAGTGGCTTGATGGCAGCATTCCGGCACATTTCCTTCAAATCGCTTCCAGACATGCCTGCAGTCGCAACGACCAGCGCATCGAGCGTCCAGCCGTCCTCCATATCAGCATTTTTCAACATAATGCTCAAAATCTGATGGCGCTGGTCACTGCCTGGAGGCTTTATGAAGAACTTTTTGGGCATCCGGCGCAGAATCGCCGTGTCAATGTCATTGGGCCTGTTGGTTGCGCCCAAGACCACGACTCGAGATCCCTCAGCCGATGTGAGCCCGTCCCACAGGGTCATAAACTCGGCCTTCATTGTCGAGCTGACCTCATGCTCGGCCGATGCCCTAGTGCGCAGAAAAGCGTCGATTTCATCAATAAAAATAATAGATGGCTGCAGCTTCTCAGCGAGCGAGAATACAGCGCGGATCAGCTTGTTAGACTCGCCAAACCACTTGTCCTGAAGGGTCGACAAGCGCACGTTAATAAAAACGGCGCCAGATTCCTTGGCCAGCGCCTTAGCCATCATGGTCTTGCCGCAGCCGGGCGGCCCGTAAAGCAAGATGCCCTTAGGCGATCCAAGCAGGCCCGAGCGGCTGGTGAACAGCTCCGGATGATTGAGCGGGTAAATTACAGACTCGTTGAGATCCTGGATAATGTCGTCAAGGCCACCGATCTGCGCAAATGTCACTGGGACGTCCTCGGGAAGCACAACCTCGCCCATAATCGTGGCCTCGTACTCGTTGAGCTTGAGCCCGGTCAGCTTCAGCCGCTTGGCCACCTCCTTTCCACGCTCCTTTTGGCCCTGCGACTCCGTGCTGCTGCTGCCACGTGCGTTAGATAAGAGGTAGCGGATTCCATAGTATGTCAGGACCTGGGTGGCGACTATTAGCAGCGTGTCGATGATGACCTTTCGCGTCTGCGGCTGCATGGTGTTAGGGGTTGACGGGTACTGTGTCTAAATGAAAATGAGCGGCGATGGTAATTAGAGGCGATGAATTCGAGCGGCGGATTGAATCAAGAGGCCATCAGTTTTAAATGCAAAAATGAAGAACAGGAATAGGAAAGTTTGTTGGCGTGGATAACGACATACAATGAATAGGGCGAATAAGGGAGTAGGGAGAAGCAACAGCCACCGCATGTGATTTCGGGAAGCATAATTATCAGGCTAGTGATCACGATTAAGCATCTTGCATTTTGGCCAGAGAGCGATATTCTCCATATTTTCCTTTGCGTTTTTTTGAGCATGCGGGTGCTCAGTTTCTGCGCTCCGACGGTGATCGAGGCGCGCCCATGCTTAAAAATAAGCATAGGCTGGCCCTAGTCATCCCGCAACAAAGGATATATTGGAAAACAGGCATGTCTTGACTCGCCCTCCCCACATGAAAGAAACATAACTCGAATGTTCAATTACATCCTCAACAGACGATTTTTGCATTGTGGCCAATACGATGTCGATCTTTGGTGTGCTCAAATGAGGCCATTGTGTTTTGCGGTCAGCATATGTCCCCAAGTCACTAACACTTTTGCCTTTGTTCATTTCATTTGTATCAAATTACGTCCAATATATCTTTATCTCAAGCCCTCAAATATATTATTTTGTATGTATTAGCATAAGTGAGCACGCTGCGTGCCATTGTATCACCAGCACCAAATAGGGAAGAGAAACCTAATTGGATGCTCTACAGATTTGGTCAGCAAATAGCACACGCAATGGAGGCCAGAACATCATTTATTTTTCAACTTGAATATGAGGGGGCCAAACGCCCCAAGCCTTTCTATTTTTGATGTTGGCGCACGCGCTGGTGATGGCGATGGTGATGGTTGAAGACCTGCATGAGGTGGTACACCACTATTTCAAATTTGATTTTTGGCCAATGCCGCGTGCCCAAGCATTTCTTTGCTATTTTTAATGGCAGCCACGATTTTCATAGAGTGCATCACTTACATACATGCTCTTCCCTTTTTATTCTCTTTTTAACTTTTCTTATTTGTTTGAACCGTCTATTCATTTTTATTTATTAATTTAACTCGCTGCCTTTGTCCATTTATATAGAATTCACTATTGACGATAGCTGAATCTCAAAGCGACGTCTAACGGATTCGCCTCTTCTTTTGCAATACTCACACACCAGACTCAGGAAAAAATAACAAGTCACTTTCTGTTACCTTCTTCTCGCGGCCGAAAACAGCATAATACAACACAAAATGGAGCAGCACGACAAATACAACGGCATGATGGCCGATGACTTTCTCAGCGAAGCAGACATATTCCAGTCGGCCGAGCTGACAGACGACGAAAAGCGGGAGCTGCTTTCCCAGCGTTTTGCTCGCACCGCCAGCAATGGCGATGTGAATGCATTGGAGCGCATGTGGGAGACATGCCACGGCGACAAGTGGGTGGACATTGACTATCGTGATGACCAGGGGAGCACCCCACTTATTTGCGCCTCTTGCTTCGGACACACACACATTGCAGAGCTGTTGCTTAACAACGGCGCCAACGTCAATTCTCAGGACATATGTAAGTCATTCCTGTCTTTCCAGCTTTGTGATTGATTGACAGATGAGTTGGTAGGAGCGTGTCAAAACAGATGCGCGCTGTGGATCCACACGTGTACAGCGCGCTCACTTGGTTGTGGAGCGAGTGTTTTGCTTGCTTATTATGCCTGTTTTGCTTTCTATTTTGCTTGATGTTTCATCTGCTTCTCTCCCCTCATTTGTGCTATTCTGGATGTTGTTGTGGAGAGACCAATTACGCCAGTTTAAAAGTATTTTTTTCGATATTCTGGAAAGTTACTGTCATTCTCGACATACGCTGCAAAAGAACAGTCTCTCATCCTACTCCGCTTTCTACTGCTCCTTTGGCTCCCCACAAATGCACTTTACTTTACGCCTCGGCATGACATGACATGGCATGGCCTGGACAAAGGCTTAGTTTTGGTGTCCGAACGCATTACTTCTCCGCTTAATTGCATGGTATGACTGCCTCAACGACTAGGCTTCCTGCTCAACGGAAGTTGTCTTAATTCAGCAGATCAACGGCCGGCGCACACAACGTGTTGAATTCAGCATTTTTGTGCTACTTTTGATTTTGCAGAAGAGGGATCCGTTGCAATGTCAGTTTTTTGTGTCGAGATTCAGGTTGTGTCTGTGGCGTCTCGGGTGCTTGTCCTGTTGACTTGTTTTCTTGTTGTTGCCTTTCTTCAGGCAGCTACAAATGTACCGATTCAATCTATCTTTAGAGCCAGATCTATCTTGTGTTTGGCCTTGTTCCATTTGCGCTTGCAATGAGCTCTCACTCATATTCATTTGTTACCAGCACTTTCTCTTGCTGCAGTATCCCCAAATGAAATCACGCATTTTTCTTTTTTTCCAGTTATCCCTGCATTATTCAGTCCACACAATGGTCTCTTCTCCCCTATTTTTCGCATATTTGATCCCTCCTTTTGCATTATATCTCTTCATTGTTTGCATTGTTTGCTCTCACTGTGTTTATTTTATTTTTTGCTCACTGCTTAGCACCAGCCAAGCCATTTTTCACTCGCTTCATTATATTTAACAGGCTATGGCGTATTACTGCAGCCGAAAAAGTGTTTTTTATTTAATATCCATTCTTTTATTTTTCCATTTCGCACTTGACCAATATCCAACTCCAACATTCGTCTGTATCGCTGTCTCCAATTCTATATATATCTTTGCCAGCCTCCTGAATCTCGTCTGGCTTTGAAGCACTCGCTCTTGCTCAAAAAGAACCTCTTACGCCCACTCAAATTTGCATCCTTTTATTCAAGCACCCCCCATTTCATTTCATTCTTCCAGCCTTATTCCCCATTCCCACTACACTACACCCTCCACTCCCGCTCAGAAAACCACACCACTTTCCTCATTCTCCCCTTGTCGCCTGATTTTAGCAGCACTGTCGAAGGTCCACCTGCTCTAAGATACCCAATTACATTTTTAAACTCACCCTCCCTACTTTCCGTACTCAATAGCCGGCTGGACTGCACTGATGTGGGCGACAACAAATCACAACGAGGAGCTGGTGCGCGTGCTGCTGGGGCACGGTGCGTCGTCCTCGGCAAAGACAGCCAGAGGACACACAGCGATCAACATTGCATCGTCCAACTTGTCAGCAGGATCGGGATCGGACACGGACAGCTTTATGCGCGCCTCGGATTCGCCGTCGAACAGGGAGGCAATGCTTGGCGACAGCCCGCCTTCCCGGTTTGAGGACCAAGCCGCTGGCGGTAGTGAGTCGGGCTCGCTGAAGGCGACAGCAGGTGTTGGCGACGGATTTTGTGTTGGCAGTCCACATTCAACCGACCACAGCGCAATTGGGATTTCCAGCAGGCGCATCAGCGTTCGGGACTCAGTGTCTGCAGGCAGAGCGTTTTGAGCATGCTGCAGGCCAGCAGCGCAATGTCGAGTAGAAACATTTTGGCCGACGCCTTGAATCCAATGACAGCGATGGGATCTGGGTTGATTGGCGCAGGCTCACAGTTGCGCCGCGCCAGCGCAATCTCAGCTGCCGATATGTCTGCGGCTGACGGCTCGCAGCTGGATCTTGGAGACGACACGCTGCCCAACAGCAAGCACCAGTCGTTCAATGGCGCGGACGATTCCGGGAGCGTGCTTGCTGGGCACTTGCGCGCGCTGACAATGGACCACAATGAGCAATCAGACAAGTTTGCTAGTGGCGACACGGCAAGCGAAAATGGGGACAATGACAAGGACGAGCCACAGCCGTTTGACTGGGACACGCTGCAGCTAGACCAGATGTACGTCATCTCTCCGCCACAGTGCCGCAGTTCCTGCATGCAGTCGTCAAGGATATCCAGCCCGAGCGCTGGATCCGGAGCAGCGTGCTTCCAGAGCACAAGTTTGTCCCCGCTAGCATGATATTCTTGGCCGCCCGCTTTGCGCACCATCTGGGCACGCCCGACTTCCTCGACTCGTTCCTTGCCGACACCATCGCGTCGATCATCCACGAGGTCCAGACGCACAAGCTCGACCCTGTCAGGCTGGTGTTTTGGATGTCGAACATCCAGACGCTCATTTACTTTTTGAAGCGCGACACAACCCTGGTCCAGATCACCAGCGAGGCGCAGGGTAGGATGTCCGAGTGCATGCATGACGCGTACGCACTGCTGATCAAGGCCGTCGAGGTTGAAATCGAGCCTCTGATGATACATCGCTGCTGGCGTTCGAGTCGATGCCCGAGCTGTTTGCTGATGTCAAGATGGAGGCCGAAAAGTCGCAGCGGCTGAGCATGTTCTTCTTTGGGGGCAGGCCGACACACGCCCAAGAGCACTGACGGCAGGCCACTGCGTCGGTCGCAGACTATTTTGGCCCAGTCCAAGGGCGGAGCGCGTCCGCGCAGGGGCAGCATTCTGTCGCCCACCAAGACGCCACCACCGTCGTGGGTGGGCCCGCCACCGCGTCGGGCGGCGTGCCCGCGTGGGTCGTCAGCGTTGAGCGGCTCAAGGGATCTGCAGCTTTTGACCACGGCGCTATGCACTCGTCTAAGCGGCAGTCTTCAGGAGATACTTTTGTCTCGGGCAGATCCAGCCACGATAGCTCGAGGACGTCTCTGAGCAAGATCAGCCTGTTTGGCACGTTATCGCCGCGCACTATCCCGTACATGTTTGAGTGTCTCTTGGACCTGCTGGATATGTGCGAGATCCACCCATGCATCACCTGGGGAGTGATGCGGCAGATGTTCTGCTACCTGGGCGGTGAGATGTTCAACCGCGTGCTCACGACGCGCGACTTTTGCTCGCGTTCACAGGCCATGCAAGTGCGCATGAACCTGACGCAGATAAATGACTGGGTGCGCACGCACAGCAAGCGGCTGGTGATTCCGCACACGAAAAGCAGCAAGGGTGTGTCCGAGGGCAGCGCAGTTCCGGTGCCCGTAGACTCATCGGTAAGCGGGCCACCGCTGCCCACAGCTGAGTCACTGCTGTATAAGGCGTTTTTTGATCCGCTTGTCGAGCTCCTCGAGTTGCTGCAATGCTTGACGCATCTTCCAGATCTTGGCGAGTACTTTGAGACGATTGCAAAGATGCAGAACCTCAACATTCTGCAGCAAGAGACGGCCGTTGCCAACTACCGCTACGAGGTGCAGGAGCGCAGGATCAACAGTGAGATTGTTGCGTATCTCGAGTCGGTAGCCAAAGAGATCCGCGACGGGCAGCGCGCCGACCGCGAGAAGCAGAGCTTGGACCGGGCGTCGCGGCGCAGTTCGGCGTCAGTATTCAGTGAGCGGCGGACCATGGACGGGCGGCCGAGCTTGCTATCATTGGATTTGACCACTGGCGGACAGCGCGGTGTCGGCGGCTTGGTGCGATTCAGTGCAGAGCCCACGGTGAACGCCGGCTTAGCCTCCGACGTCAGCGGCTATGCCGAGCGCGCGTCTGGCAGTCACTCGCGTGACACCAGCCTGAACATCCCAATGTCTCGGCTGTCGTCGGAGAGCATGGCGCGCAGCCCCACTTCGAGCTCGGGGATGGTCTCCATGATGCCGCCACTGGCGTCTTCCTCGGCTGCCGGTCCTGGTGCTGGGGCTGGGCCGGTCACCATTACCCGTGGCCGTGCGAGCGGCAGGACAGCTGCGCGCCGCGGACTGCTTTTGCCGATTGCGCGTCCCGGGAGTACTGTGGGCGCAAAGCCCTCGGCACGTTCGCTGTTTGCCGGTCAGTCTGCCGGTGGTTCCGCGGGGCTCAACAGCACGTCTATTGTCAACACGCGGCTGAGCGAGAGCCTGGAACCCATCAGCGAGACATCGTCAGTCATCAGCCTTCAGCGCTCCAGCATGACAATCGACACCAACGACGAGTGCAGCGATGACGGCGGCAGCAACCGCAGCGTTTGTCTATCTGGCAGTCTCAGCAGCGATGTGTTCTCTTCGCAAAGCGCCCACACGCCTACCACAGCGCCAGTGAATGGAGGAGGCTGGGCCAAATCGAATATTGAAAGCAATTTCACGAATTGCGAGAGCTTATCATCTAGCTTGCGTGGACCAAAGGGCAAGAAGTGTCTGCCGGAGAACATGAGCGAGCTGCTGGACTCTATGGAGCTCTTGCCGTTTGCTGTACCCACAAGCCGCGATTGGCTGGCGTGGTGGCAGGCGCAGAGCGCTGGGCTTGTGCAGAGCTCATCCTCTGGCGTTGACAGCAAGCATAGCCGCGAGTGGAGCAACGAGACAGTTTCTTTCTATCGGAATAGACAGTCATTGCCACAGTCGCTGCAGCAGCATAATATGACCGGTGATGCTGCTGCTGCAGCTGCGATGTCCTTGAAGTCAGTTGTTGGTGCTGGCGAGAAGTCGCGCTCGGAGCTGGCGCCTGTGGTTCCATCAGAGTTCCTCAACGTTCTGAACCAGATTGTGTGAGTTTCAAGATAGGAGCTTTATTGTTTATTTTTTATTAATATTGTCACAACACTACACACAACTACAGATACTCATATTTTTATTCGCACTTGGCCCATCATATTATAAGAAAATAATGAGGCTACAAATACACTTCAAAACGGCATCCTTCCCCCAGATAAAGTGTTTAGAAACTAGTGGCAATAGACCACTATGGTTGACGATATTACCCAGTTCGCTGCTTCTTTTAAAGAGAAGAAGCAGGGGAAGATGGATTCTTGCGCACACGCTTGGCCTTGGGCTTTGGCTTGAGAAAAGTCTGGGTGTCACTGTAGACTCAGCCTCAGCCGACTCTGATGATGCCTTTTTGGCAAGAAACGGGGGAGGCCGCTCGCCTGTAAGCAGTGCATTAAGGATGATGCGAAAGTTTAGCACCGCAGCCATGTCGCGATTACACTTCCGTTGCCCGATGGCGCTTTTTCGCCATCCTTGATCTTGGTTCCGTCAGGCTGAAGCTTTGCAAGCAGTTTTCCATTGTGCACTGGAGCAAGCCATGTCATAAATTTTGGCGAGGTTTTTCTACTGCTGGAATTTATTAACATCTGTTGCGGCTACCTGCTGCTGCTGTGACCATTTTGCTGCTGCTGCTGCTGCTGCGCGGCCAACTCATCGCGCATCCTCTGTCTGATTTTGTGCTCAATTTTGCCTCGCAACCAGCCGCTCAGCCTGACAATGTGCTTGAGATTATCGGCGGGCTGGGTATTGATGTACTGCTCCCAATTCCGCTCAGCCAGCTCATCCCGCAACTGTTGCTTCACCTTGCAGAGAATGTTTCGCTTAAACCAACCCATTCCCTCCCCTATCCACCGGATGATATCGGCAGATTGTGGGCGAATAGGCACCCACTGGTTGCGACGCTGCTGTGCACTGTTAATAATAGATGCGGCGGCGGCAGTTGTGGTTGCAGCTGCGATGGAATTGTATGAATATAATTACATCATTAACATCACGTTTGACTCACAGCCAAAACACCAGTCAGATACAAACGTAAAGTATTTCCTTGCAGCTTCAAAAATCTAAAAAAAACAGGTTTTGGAAATCTCTCGCTTAAAAATCCAGAATTTCGCTATAAATGTCTGGAAATTCCAACATCCATATCACATCATATCATATATCATATTATGAAAATAAATAAAATAGTTTGTTTTTGTTTTTTGTTTTTCTCGATTGCTTAAAACGTAAACAATAGACCGTTTACCAAAATTCCGTATCACTCGGCGTCCTCCTCGAGAAGCTTGGCAAGGCAGTCGCTGCAGTACCACGATCCCTTAGGCGGAGACGTAAGACCAACGCACTCCCAATGGAACCACTCGTACCTGCAGTTAGGACCATCGCAAGCAACCATATCGCCGTACGAAACCTGCTGACAAAAGCAATACAGCTGGTCGTCTGATTCCTCAATCCCACCAGCGCCCGCAGCGCCACCAGAATCCACCTCGATACCGTCCAGAGAAAGAACCGAGTTTGCCAACTTCATCTGCTTCTTATGTCTCTGCACTGGCCTACTACTACCGGTACCGGTGCCAGTGCCAGCGCTAGCAGCACCACCAGTGGACAATCCGGATGAGCTGCCACCGTTATTCGAGGACTGATGATGGCGGCGCTTGGGAACTCTGACGGCGTGTAAAATCCATCCGGATCAGCACCAGGGCCAGCACCAGACCCAACCCCACCTGCCCCAGCAGAAACCATACCACCGCTGCCATTGCCATCAAGCCCCAATGATGAAACCGAATCCCCGACCCTCTTCGGAGCATGCATCCTAAACGATGACAGCTCCCCATCCTGTATCCCCACAGTACCACCCATCGGCGTCACCGAGCCATAAATATTCCCCCTCCTCCCCCCGCCGCCACCAACACCACCTTGGTCAAATGGAGTTTTATCAAAATGTCTTATTTCAGTATCTAACTTGGCCAAATGTCTCTGAACAATAGTCAAGGCCTTTTTGGTTAGTCGTGATTTCTCTTGGCATAGTGATTTGGCTATATCTTGATTTTTGTCAATTTCGTCCAAGAGATGTGTTTCGCGCTCAAGCGGAATAAAAAGTCCTGTTCCTGCTCCAGAGGATTCTTTGGTGGCAGAGTCTTTAAGCTCTTTTTGAAGCGTGCGTTCGGTTTGGTAGGCACGGCTCGTGGCTTCTTCAAATTTATCGTCAAGATCGGTTATTTCTGAAAGTAAGTGGCTGATCTCGGAGGGTACGTTCTCCATGTTGCTGACAAAGTCGGCGAGCGCCAAACCAATATCTTCCATTATGTGTGTTATATAAGTGAGTAGTTTTAGAAAAATTAAAGATAGAAGAGATAAATAATGATAGTAGTTTTGTTTTTTATGTTTGTAATAATATTTTTTTGGAGGAATAATTTTGCCAGTGTTTGCGATCGTTGGGCCTCAAGCATTGTGGTGCTATTTAATGGCAATACACGTGATGAATTAATCCAAATCGCTCCCCCATTTTTCGTATAAAGTTAACTGTAAAAAATCAATGCGAATAATAAAATGTGTAGAATAAGAATAAAATAGAAGACAAGTCATCATCATCCACAGGAGGAGCCATGTTAGTTGCAACTTGTGCCATGTCATTAAGAATCGTGTAGCAACACCTGCAACTGGGATTTAGCTATCCAAAAGAGGAGGCTGCTTTATAGGCATGGCTTTGCGTCCATGATCAGGCCATGAAGAAGGGACAAGGAGAAATGAAGAAATGGTGGTTCCGCCCGATTATTAAATGTAGTAAATAAAAATAGCTGTTATTGTCGTTCCTTACTCCTCCTAATGTCACCACTACTCAGCACACAGAGTCAGGGAAGCCAGCGTAGTCAAACATATTGTTGTGGGAGTGGCCGTCAGCTGAATATGCTAGCTTCATGCGCAAGCGAATGGGAGTCTTTGAAGGATTCGAAATGCGGACCAGCTGGGTAACTGTAGCTCCACAAGTTATGGTCTGGGCCGAGGGCGGCAGGATCTGCAACTTCTGTGACTTTGGCACGGCAACCAAAAAGTTAAGGTCCTCGACCGCCGTATCACCCTCATTGTAGAACGTCGCAAGGAGGTCGACTACAGCAGGAAGGCTGGGCTTTTTCGACGGCTTGAGCGTGATGCGCAGGCCCGCGGCGCTGTAAACTTGGTATTCCTGGCTGAACGCCGGATCGCCAGCAGTAATGGTGGGTGACAGTGAGGATGCAGAAAACAGGTCAGCGAGCGCGGCTGGCGACGAAGCGGCCCCCGGGGGCGACATGGGGCCTGTGGGAGCGGCAGCGGCCGGCGGCGCGTCGTCCATCAGGTTGAGCAGATCCGACACGACCGACTGCTTGGCGGCCTCCGCAGCCTTCGCCGCCGCCGCTGCAGAGCCTGCAGAGTCCGCAGCGGACGAAAGCAGGTCATCGGGCTGCAGCGCCGGGCGCCTAATGACAGTCAGCGCCTTCATGCGCATAGCGGTCGGATTCAGCACGTACTCCTCGTAAGGGACGTCGGTGTACTCCGGCGGCGGCATGCGCTCGACAACGGCGGCGCGCACAGAGTCGAGTTCGTGGCCAAGCAGCGTGTCGAACTCAGCGGCGCGCGCCTGCGTCTCGGCGTCCATCGACCGACAGTGTGCGGCCAGGGCGTCGCGGATGGCCGCGACAATGGGCGGCTGAGCCGAGAAGCGGCCTGAAAGCTTGGCCAGCGCCGTCAGCGCCATGTGCCGGCTGGTGCGCGACACCAGGGGCGAGCGTGCGACAGCTGCTAGCAGCCGCACAATATCGGCCGGCTCGGGGGTAGCCTGCGGCAGCTCGTCATCGATGCTGATCGGCTGGGCAGCGGCCGCAGAGCTGGGCTGCGTGGCCACGGGGCGGCCGAGTGCACCCAGGATGTCTAGGTCATCGGCGTCAAGCCCCGGCGACGCCACAGCTGCAGCTACGCCAGCTGCCAGTGGGCGCAGCAAGTCGGCGTACTCGCCGATCAGCCACACACCGGCCACAACCATCTTGTCCTGTGAAATATCGCGCTCCAGCAGCGCGAAGCACGTGCGCACGGTGCGGCGCTGCAGCGGCTCGTCGCCTCAGCGACCATACGCAGGAACTTGAACAGGTCGCGGTTGTTGACGTAGGCACCACCTAGGCTCAGCACGCGTAGCATGCGCTCGGCGCGCCAGTCCAGCGAGTCGCCAAACAGCGTGATGGCCGCAGCCAGGCGGTACACCATCGATGAGCGGAACTCAGCGTCGGCGTGAGGCAGCACGCGCAAAATGTCGGCCACCATGGACTCCACGTTCTGCCCGTTGATCAGCGCAAAACTCAGGTCCAGCGCGCGGCGACGGATGCTGACGTCGGCGTCGCGCATGCAACGCACAACCGTGGCCCGATGGCGCTGCACGGCCGGTGCCTCGGTGATGACGGCAGCTGACAGCGTCGCCAGTGCAACGTACCGCACATTGTTGTCGCGGTTGGCCAGAAAGTACCCAGCAGGTTGATGGCCAGCACACGCAGCGCTGCGGCCGACGGGATGCCCAGTGCTGTGACGGCGCACTCGTACAGGATGGCCATGCCGACGTTCTTGGCGCCGTCGGTCTGCGTCGCCACCTGCGTCAGCACGTCGTTGGCCTCGTCGGCCGCGTCCTGCGACCCGCGCGCCACAACGCACAGCAGCCGCAGCAGCGCCGCCTGCAGGAATGGTCGTTGACTCCACCGACGTCGTGCTCGGCTGAAGCGCCGCCCAGCAGCGCGCGCAGCTGCCGCACAATCACCGGCACCAGCCGCCGCGCCTCGTCCAGCGCGTCCTGGCTGTGCATGCACAGCTCGCCAACCAGCGCCGTGGCCGCTAGCTGCACCCATGGTGCTTATCACCTAGCAGCGTGCGTGCGCGGCTGACGAATGGTGCTGCCAGCTCGGGCTCACGCCGCACTACGCGCACAGCCGCCAGCGCCGCCTTCTTACGCACGTACGACCGTGCCGATCCCAGCAGCCGCTCGACCTCGTCGATCAGGTCGTTAGCCACGCCGCCGACGCCACGTTCGCCAGCGTGCACAGCGCTAGCCCCACCACGTAATCGTCGGCACTGTTCATGTCGGTCTTGAGCGAGTTTGTCAGCAGCGTCAGGATCTCCTGCTTCTCGTCCAGCAGCAGCGTCACCCCCAGGTACCCGACGCGCTTGTCAGAGAACCGGGCGCTGGCCGCCAGCTTCAGGCACTCGAGCTGCCCGAACTGCACGGGAACCCCAGCAGGTAGATATACAGCAGCTTCTGGATGTTGACGTACCGCGCATCGTGCGAATCCACCTCCTTGAACGACGTTCGGATTGCGCCGACTCGCGCTGAATCACATTGCGCTCATCGGCCGCTGTCTTGCATACGCGGACCGCACGGATGAAGTCCTTCAGACGGAAGAACGACATTTGATGTGAGGGGAATGAATTAGAGGGTTTATAAGAGGATATAAGAGGTGGATGAATGGATTTAAATTTAAAGTACAAAAAAGTAATATGAGATGCAATTGGCGCTGACGAAAGTGCAATTGTGCACCTGCGCATATATTTAGTGAACGGTTGTCTTGTCAAGTCCACTGCAAGAGTGAGATTTGATTTTAATCCAGCTCTCGAATTACTGTGTGCCCGTATGCATTTAATCATTTCCCACGTGTTTCGAGTTTTTTTCGCTTTTCGAGTTTTGATTTTTCCCGCGTTTGCAGTGTGGAATATCAAATGGTCGCGCTGCAATCGCGTTATTTTCGCGCGCGCCCCTCCCCTTCATTTTTATTGTTGTGCAAGAAACGAGACGAGTGTGAGTGATGTGGGTGCAAGTGCGAGTGCGGGTGCAGATGTGGTGCGGCTTGACGCAATAAAAAATATACATCACATATACAAAAAAATGGCTGTGTAATGCTAGACTTGACTTTATTTTTTTAAATCCTTCCTGTTTTATTTTTTATTTGCTTCCTTCCGACCCCTCATTTTCACCAATATTTTCTTTTTGATATATAAATTTACCACCCACCCACCCAACACACATACACACGCCCAAATCTCAGCCGTAAATACTACAAAAAAACTATGGCGTCGTCTCTACCGTCAGAACAACTCTCTGGACAGCAAGCGCAAATATTGCCACACCAACACCACCAACTCCAGTCAATACTGCACGCTGTCCAGCAAGCATCACCCAAAGACAAACAAGAGGCAAAACCGGAGGCAAAACCAGAGGCAAAAGCAAAGGCAGAGGCAGAGGCAGAGGCAGAGGCAAGGCAGAACAACATACACCACACCAGCAGCGCACTCGGCCGACAACCCACAGCACGCCCAAGAGCGCGCCGCCTAAATGCCAGACACAACTGCGACTGACCAGCCCTGAAGCTGCGCGGCGGAGCCGGCAATCACTGGAGGCCATCCATGTAGCGCGCACGCTGAAGGATGGGCTGAACCGGCTGAAGGAGCGCGCCGACCCCCAGCACCTTTTGTCTGGGGGAACCCCGCGGCCGTTACGCACATACTCAGCGACCTCAACGCCTGTCCAAAGGAGGAGAAGCAATCAGCTTGTGCGCCATCATTCATCGTTTCAGAACTCTTTGGAGCAGCAGCGGACAACAATAAACTCAATGTGTTTTGTGGATGGCGGGAGGAGGGAGCCGCCGCCGAGGTTTGCCCTGGATTCGCCCGGTGAGTGGCGCCCGAGGAGGGCGGCGGAGGCTGCGGAGACGATGATTTTGTTCAAGTCGCAGTCGCAGTCGTCCGGGATGAGCGTAGATTTGTCTGAAGATGTGTCGCCATCACCAGAGGCTTTGGGATGCAGGGGTGGCCTGCCGGCTTCTGCTTCTGCGTCTGTCTATGAGTCTGCCACTGCTATTGGTGCTGGGTCTGGAAGTGGCCGGGTTATGCTGCAGCCGAATGTAGGTGTGGATTCGATGGTTGGGTTGGATCCTTATGAAACGGAGGAGGATGAGCTTTTGTCTTTGCCAATAAGCGGGTGCGCGCGGGGTCTGCTTCTAGACCGACTAAACGAGCTTCTCTTGATCGGTGAATATTGCTTTTTTCTGTAATTGCTTTTTCGGTGGAAATAATATCTCTAGTAGTGTGTATTTATCTATGAAAATGCTCGCTGGTTGTCATTGTTGCCGTGATTTTGTGAACTACCTAAAAGCTAGACTTATTTTTTTACAAGTCATATTGGAAACAATATTTTAAAATAAAATTAATTTTTGTTTCATAATTACTTAATATGCCTGCTGACTACCCTGCTTGGTAGTCGCCTGCAACCATTTCGCTTGCATTTGGCATTTGATAAGCGCCAAGCTACAACAAGCAACGTGCCAAGTTATAAGTGGCAAAGTTGATCACTCGGAGATAAATGAAATCAATGCCAGCTGTCATTTAGTCAGTTTAGGCGGCTGCCTATAAAAGGGCGAGAAGGGAATGCTCAATAGGAAATATCTCTAGTTTAGGATGTGTTAATAGTGTTAAAACCATAATGATAAAGTTTTTATTCTGACAAGGGAATCCTACAATGCTACATTTGAAATAAAGTAAAATTGATGAACATGGAAACCAAATGTTCGAATTTTTGCCCAAGCTCTGAATACATTTTGACTGCGCAATTCGAGTGCTATTACGACGAGCAACTGGCAAAACCAGCAAGCACTTTAAGGATTCAAGAAACTGCTAAATAAAATTGACAAGCTATAGTTTATTTTGGGCTTGTTTTCCATTAATGACTTTGATATATTTTTATACGCAAATTTTTTTGAGTATATTGAACTTGGTGATAAGCAATTTTTTTGCCTTTATATTCTTGAAGTTTAAATGATATTGAAATATACACATTTTCTCGTCCCATAGCCACCACGTGAAATTATATTTGCAAAAGCGAGGAAAAAACAGGACATATTTTAGAAATGTTCAATATTTCAACGCTAGTTTTTACTTTTCAATTCAAATTTGTTTTATAATGCCTTTGTTCGAGACATTTAAAAAGTCGTGCTTACACATTGCGCGGGCATGGTATTCGCAGAGTGCCTCCGCACAACCGGTTGCTAAAAGATTACGCGGGCGGCAGGTACCGGTAACTGTGTATATACAACTCCCGGATGGCAGCGACCGCAAGGTGCCTGTAGTCCTGAACCGGCACAAAATGTGGTCACCTGAGGAAGTACAAAGGCTAAAGGGAGTTGCTCTTGCAAGAACCACGCGAGGCAAACGACTTTGCGACAAAGACTGGCAGGAGATTGCCAAAGAATTTCCCGGGCGTTTGGCCAGCGGCTGCAAGCAAAAGTACGCCAAAGTTACAAGTGCTGAACGCAAAGGCTCGTTAGACGCAGACGCCAAATTTGCGACTCCCAAGCCAAGGTGGTCCAGGTACGATGAAGCAATGCTAATGAGTATGCGTGAGGTCTCGCGGCAGCACGGGTGGGCCGACATAGTCAAGGCCTTAGGAAAATTCACAGTGAAGGAGTGCGAGACACGGTACGCTGTCGTGCGCAACCGGCAGCGCAGTATTCAGAAAAGAGGCGCTGCAGCCATTCTCAACAATACTGGCCGGACGAGTGCTTTCCGACATGTCCCAGAACGGAATCCAGACGACCCGCCAAAGCTGTGGGGCTTAGCCGAGGATCTGAAGCTAATAGAGCTACTGAAGGAGCGAGGTGAGTTCGATTTTGTGGAGTTCCAAAAGTACATTCCCGAATTCAGCCAATCATCGATGTATAACGCGCTGGACCGCATTTTGTGCTATCCAGCTCATGCGACAGGCAACTGGACTCCCAGTGAGGACGCCGCACTATTAAAGCTAGTGCACACGTACGGCGTCGATTGGAAGAGAATCTCCGAGGAAATGCCAACAGGACGTTCGTCCGTCCAATGCAGATCACACTACACGACTCAAATCGCAAGGCCTGTGCTCACGCAAAGGCGGTGGTCCGACGAGGAGGTGCGGCAGCTGGAGCTTCTGGTTAACCTCAACACACGCACTGTGTATGTAGACAACAGCACGCAGCAGCCTATGCTTGATAAGGAAACTAATGTACTGCTAAAGCTGGTATCTGACAGTACCACGATATCGTCAAAGCTCAGCGGGCTGCTGCAGGCGCTTGGCCAGGACATGGGCAACTCGAGCGAGATTGACGCACTTATTTTGAAGCAGACCGAAGGGAACGAGCAGGCGGCAAAAAGGGCAATACGGAAAATCGACTGGCCCCTGATTGCGTCGTACCTGATGCCTCGGACGCCATTACAGTGCTCTATAAAATGGGCAAGGGTTCGGTACGCCAAACTTGAAGCGCAGACATGTATTGGGGACCGTGGACCAGGGAAGAAGATGTCCAGCTGTACGAGCTCTACTGTCGGGCACCAGGAAAATGGGTGTGGATCTCGGAAAATTTGGCTCGTCCGCGCAGCCATTTCTTGGCCAAAAAACGATATGTGTACTATGTCGGCCGGTATATCAATATGCTTAAAGCGTGTAAGGGGCCTGATTGGGACCCGGTGGCCGACCAGCTCGAGGAGGTGCACATGCGATGTGAGATCTCGGCGTGGTACACCCAACGACTAGAGGGCTATCGGCCCCAAGATCCCTACCCGTGCCCTTACAATGTTGACCTGACCGGGTATAGTCAGCATATTAAAAAACAATACACTTTCAGATAGAGTTCAATTCAATATTACAATATACTAGAATTGTCTTAAACAATCTTTTTTTCCAACGCCCATAAATATATATTTTTCAACTTGTATGCAGTGTTTGCTGCGCTCATTCCTGCTCACATCATTTTACAGAAAGGCGTTCGAATGTTTTTATTTCGATTTTGCTCCTTTGTTTTTTATTTGCTTTACTTATTATAAATATGGCATCGTCATCATTGGCCTGGACCTACGTGTGGATGTTTTTCGACAAGGTATGTCATTGTAACCAAATATGCTTTTTATGCAGCTCAATCACGCAACCTGACATGTACACTAAAAATTGCTTTGCTCATATTTAAAAATAGTCGCGAGAGTGGACTATGTTCTTATCGTTCGCAGCGGCTATATACTATCACAACGCACTGGTTGCGCATTTGAATATTGGAGCCGTTTTGTGCGCAGTATTGGCAAAAGGTCTCAAGCTGATCATTCGTCAAGACCGACCAGTCGACGCCAAAACGAAGAAAACCTCCTTTGGAATGCCATCCACCCACTCGGCGTCGGCTATGTACTTTGGCACATACTTGACATATCTATTAATCGGTGATAAAATCAACCAGCCATTTACTGCAGTGCCTTTGGCAAATGCCCTGGCGGCTTCAGCAGCACTACTGATTTGTACGCTGACGCGCTGTCTCGAGTTTTAAACGGATACCATTCAATAGCACAGGTCCTTGCTGGCAGTTTTCTTGGTGTAGCATTCGCCACAACCTGGCTGAACAATCGGGTTTATGTTGCACCATATATCGAGATGCTACTCGTAGTACTGAATCTGCAGTAGTGGCTTGTTTTTCCTTGACAAATAAATATGAATAGATGTTTTATATCAATTTAACGTTAAAATGGATGAAAAATGCAAAAACTAAATGAAAATGAGTGAATGAAAATGAAATGAAATATCAAAAGCTTGATACTTGCGCAATAAAAAGGTAAGTGAAAACATGCTATGCTTCTGTGAGGCAATAATGATTTAGCGAGCAGAAGATTTGGTTGCTGCTCCTGAAGCTGGCTCAATCCATTTGCTCAGCATGTATAGGTGCTGCTCGAGCTCCTGATTGTCCTTAGTGTCCGAGCAATCCCAGTCCAATGATGCATCCGCAAGCGAAGCGCTGCCCTGGCTCTTTTGCAAAGCGGCAATCTGATAGAGCGGGTATCCAAAGACCCCTGGTTGCTGCCGTCATTGTTTCCAATGTCAGAAGCATCATGCGCGCCAGAGTGCGAAGTCATCGATTCGGTGCGGTTGCGAGTAAACGGCGACGGGCAAGACGTCAGTGGCTGGTCAGCGCAGAGTACTCAAAGGCAACGTTATGAATCACGCTAAACATGTCGTTTGTCTGAGCTCTGACGTTGCGCACGGCGCTGTGGATCTGCTGCTGCATCATCATGTCAGACGCATAAGGGTACTTTGTGCGTTGCGCCATGTGTAGCTCTCGAAACATGGCGGTGATGAGGCGGAACTTTTGCATGTTCAGTAACGGCTGACCCTGGTTGACGCTGGATATGGCGGTCGAGTCGCAGCGCATATGGCGCCGGCTCGATTGCTCCAGCCTAGGGTCGGCATCAAGGCCAATGGGGTTGCGAGAACGCATCTTCTGGTGCTCGTCTGAGTATGTCGGGTTGGCTTCGTCGGCATGCAAAAAGTCTGTCATGTGTACAGCAACAAACGGAACGAGCGGCAGCGGCGCGCCGTTGGCGATTTGCCGGCCGTGCTTGTAACTGCCACCAGACTTTCCGCCAGCCGCACCATTGCTGCTGTTGGACGTGCTACGCGCCCGCCGGCCGCGCGAATCGCCTGTATCGCCGGCCCCACTAGCCGATGCCCCCGAGCTACCGCCACCACCGCTGTTGCTGCTATTTCCCATGGTCAAGCCGCTGTGGAGTTTGCTGCTTCCAGATGACATATGGCCGCCGCTGCCACGCCCGCCCTTTGCTGACGATGAGACAGGGGCAGAAGTGTGCGCGTTTGGGTTACCGCTGCTGTTGCTGTCGCCACCATTGGCGGAGGGGTCGATAAACATAAACGATGCGGCGCGAATGCGGACAGCATACATTATGCACGCGCAGTCTTGCTCTGTCAGAAGCGCAGACGTGTCCTTGGACGATGACGAGTTGCCGGACGCTGACATTTTTTTGCGCGACAGAGGCTTGCCCTCATCGGCCACGCCGTTAAACATCGCACCATGGACCAGATGTCCAAACCCTGACGAGCTCGACGAGTGGCCGGTTGCCGTTGTCGAGGACAAGCCATTGGACGTGACGATGTTGGCCAGAGATACAGAAATCATGTCCTTTGCGCGCATGGACTTGATCTGATCGGCAATCGATTCAAACACCTCCTCGTCGGGACCCGACGCTCCGGAGATGGCGGCCTTGATAGACTCGCGGTATGTACGAAAATTCATCCGTGACTGAAGGACCTGCAGGATTTTGTCGACAATATCCTTCATGATCGTCGGGATTAGTGCCCATGTCTCGTGCAGACGTCGTACAGCCGAGTTGTCAAGCGCAATGACTATTTCAAAGGCGCCATAGTAGTTGCGGCGTGCCAGGCAGTGGAAGGCCACGTGCACAAGCTGCTTGATGACCAGCGCGCGGGCAGCGGTCGTTGGTTCGGACACACAGAAAGCACAGCCCAGTATGTGGCCTGGTTAAACCACGAGGTCATCGCCGTCAAATTCGGAACCGGATTGGCTGGCCCGCTGTTGGCTTGCGAGCTACCCCCCGGCATCAGCGCAGAGTCGCCGGTGCTGTTGCCAACACCCTGCATCGTGTGCAAAATAGTCTCAAGGTTCCCAACACGGCCCTTGAGCGAAAACTCGGTGGCGCCGATCCGTGAAAATAGCTCGTGCTCTAGAAGAGTCAGCTGCTCGGCAAACGTGGCAGGGTCGATACCGACGAGATTGATGCGGTACGGGTTGCGGTTAGCAATTGAGTAGTTGAGCAGTGTGCGTCCGACAGGTGTCTGCGGTGTGGGGATTCCTGATTTTGCCAGTGCCTCGATGACCACCTGTCCAAAGTCGCTCGCATACATGTCACCGTTGGGCAAGCGCGGCAGAGACTCGTCGTGATCGGCGGCTGCGTCAAACTCAGAGCCGCTGCTGCTGTTTCCAGGCGCGCCGCGTAGTCCAGCGCGCGCCGACCCGCTGATGCTCAGACCATCAAAGTTTTCATAGTCATTGCTGCTGGTCACATCCACTGAAGACGCCGAGCCCTTGTTAGAGCGGTGGTGGAAAAGCGACTTGAAGTATGATGCCGAGCCCTTCTTCACGTTTGGAGGGCGCGCGCTGGGAGCTGGACTAGCGGAGGTCCGCTGCCTCCGTCAGCACCGAGTCGCGGCGTCGAATTGACATTGGTCATGCTCAACGAGCCGTGGATGTTGCCCACAGACCTGGACACTGACAGGCCAGCAGCGCCCCTGAAGGGCCGTTTCCGGGGCTGCCCATGGACTCGGAAATAGACGTGAGGTCCGACCTTGCCATGATGCCACCGTTTGCTAGAGCCGAGCCGCGTGGACTGCCCACAGATTGCAAATCCAAAGCAGAGCGCGCACCTCGAGGGTCGGCGTGCACACTCCAGAGCTGCGTACGCTTGATGCTTGCGAGAGCACAGTGGTTGGGTGGACCAGGATATGTGCGGCGCTGGAGTTGGCAAAGGCTGGCATTTCAAGCGCGAGCAGCTTTCCCGAAGACAGCTTTTGGCGGATCGCGTTGACAAACTCGGCGCGGCCCGGTTGCTTCTGGATGTGCGATAAGAACAAAAGCAGCAACCGGGTGAGGCGGTGGTGAAGGCGGAAGTCGTGCGGATGGAATTTAATCCAGTACTTGATAATGTTCATCACGCGCAGTTGAATGATGGCTCCATCGTTCCGCGCCAGCCCGGCACCGTTGTGTGAAGGTTTTCTTTGCAAGGTTGGGTGTGCCCTTGCTGGTCGGCGTCCCGTTGTCGCTGACATTGGTCTTGCGCCAGCCATTAATAATCAAGTACTTATCATCGCCTTCATGCGTGCTGCAATCGCCCTCCTCGGAGTCCGAGCTCTCGCTCTCGTCAGAGTCTGGCCCCACGACAAAGCAGTTCAAGTACCGGACAATAATCAGCCGCATAACATCGATTGGGTGCGCAAAGAACCGGTACGAGTTTAAAAAGTCGGTCATGAGGTCCGAGTCAACGTTCCCTTCAGGGGATGCCAAACGGTTCACCAAAAGCCGCAATGAAATGCTCTTGACGCTGCGTGTGATCACCCCTGACTCGGTCTTCATGGTCACATCGGCTAACTGGATGCCTGGTGATTGGATGTTCATGTTTGCCATCGAGCTCGTGTGGTGCAGCCTTCCGGGATAGACTGTCGATGAACTGACACGTCGCTGGTATCCGAGAATGAGTGGGTGAGCACCGGCGCATATCCTGGGTGACCGCCAAGTGTGCTTTGTGAGCCGTTGGAATGCATGAACGTGCCGCTGTTGGAATTTAAATTGTCACTCCGGCCCATCGAGCGCAGCTGCGACGACACTGAGCCCTTATAGGTCACCGAGCCTAGCGCCGGGGGCGGTTTAAGGGCACTGCTAGACAGTGTGCTTGAAGACCCCATGCGCTCCAAAGTATGGCCTGACTGCTGGCCCTGCCTGCCAGCAGCAGCGTCCATGTGTCGTGCGAGGCAACGTGCACATCGTATGCAACCTCGTCTGAGCAGTTGTCGTCGTTGAGCGGCCACCACATGCCAGGCCCCAACGATGCACGGCGGGACTGCTCCTTGCTACCATCTGAGGTATCGGCGCCGCCAATTATATTGCTGATTGTACTGAGCCAGTCGCCGTTGGAATCCTCGGGCATTATCGAAAAGCTGCGCCGCCGGATGTTGGATCTTTTTAAAAATGCTGCTGTGCCTGAGTCCACAGGATGCACGTCCATCATTTCAACGAATGCTGGGTTGAGGTGTCTTATTGAGTTGCCGCCGCGCTCCTTAGTTATTAACAGCGGGCCAGTACGGCGGATTCCGCCATGCGGACCTTGCTGCAACAACACTGACATACAACGAGACTGCTTTTTTACGACGTTTGGGAACAGGCTGTTGCGGCATACATGCAAGTCCGAGGTGTCGTGGCTGTGCTGGCGACCAACACGTCCAGCCAAGGGTGACTGAGAAAGCAGAGGCGTGGAAGATAGATTTGGAGTGGATGCGTGTGAAGTCATATTTGTCTGGAGCAAAGAAGAGTGGTTGTCGGTCAAAGGAGATGGACTGACAAACGGAACCGCTCGCGATGATGTGTACTCCTGACCGGTCTTGTGTGCATGCTCTTTGGAGTCGCAGCATTCTACAAGTGGAGAGCCAATAATGCAGCGTGCGCGCATAGATAGTGCAGACATTGTTAGTTGAATCGGCCTAGATAATGGAGAAAAATATGATTATAGTTTGCAAACAGCGTGGATAATGGAGAAAACCGATTTGGGATTATGTTATCTAAATTGAGACAAGATGGAATGGTACGGCATAAGCGAGTGGGAATCACAAGGACATAGGAAAATAAAGTAAAAATAACAAAACAGATCTCACGCACAGACAAAAGCGCACGCAGTCGTCATCGCCATCGCAATCGACATTTCAGTCGAAATCGCTTTTGCGTACACGTATCAGTGTCGTATCCCGAGCTGCCGATTATTGGTACAACTGTCAATTCGCAAGAAAAAACACAAACAATCAACAAATGTTTTTTGTCGGGGGGAGGTATTTAAATATATCCCATAGGAGGGAAGAAATAAAAGCACCGGGTGATATTGAATGTAAAAAGTGGCATGTCCACTCAGTGCGGGTCGCGCTAATGGACCAACATGAGTAAATACGAATGACAATGTGAAAAATAGGCGAAGAGGCATTTCGATATTTTGATTGGCAGCACGCAGCGACAAAAAATACCCCCATTTGGAACTCCAGACATATGCAAGGATCCACTGCAAAATAACTATTTTTAAAAATGGAATGGATATTTGCATTGGATGACGAAATAAACAGACAACAGGGGTGTTAAAATTAAATATTTTTACAGATTGGTATTCGCCTTCCAAAGTAAAAAACGATATTTGAAGAAATGCAAATTGAACGACGCCGTGCATTTTTGGCGAGCTTGGTCGATGGCGACAATCAAAACAAGATTGATAGATGAGTATCAACAATTAGAATAGATGTGAAGCAACACGCTAAGCACAGTCAGAATAAGCAAGGAAGAGGGAGCCTGCGATTTATGCAAACAATGCAAAGGCGATAAAGAGCATTACCATGGCATTTTTCGAAACAAGTGCAGATATGCGGTGTGAATGCAAAAAACGTAAAAGTTGGAAGCAATGGATAACCATACAGTCAAAAATAACAATAAAGCCAGTTGGCAATGGAGAAGGGAGGGAATACAATACTAAAGCAAAATATATAGAAAAGACATTGTGTAATGTGGCTCGCAGAGCCAAGAATGTGCTGTGAGCGTTGGCTAGGCTAGGTAAAGCAGAGCAGAGCAGAGACAATAAGCCACACACGCCAGAAAAGAAAAAAGAAACCAGTAAAGGCAAATGGCATAAATATAAGATGATTCAAGACAATATTAGCAAACAACAGTTCTTGTTTTGAGTGACAACCGGACAAAAGGTATCATAATGTCTGCGAATGCAAGCAGGGACCCTCAAAAACACGTATAATAAACAAGCGATACGTGCATAACTGACTCAAATAACAATAAAGCGCACAATCCGCGCATATTGGGCTGCAATAATACGGAGAAGGTCATGGGTGAACATTGAAGGAGTCTCGTTTTTTTTGCAAAAACCCACGTCAGAGACAAAAAAATTTCAAACGGAAGCGTGCAATGCACAGTTTTTCAAACTTACCATTTCCGGGGCCATGCACTTCGCAGGATAAGGCGGTGCTGATGCTCTGTGAGTCCGACAATATGTCCGATTGGGAAGAGCTGCGCTAAGAGCCGGCATACTTTCGACCAGCGTGCTCACTGGGAGGAAGGGGGACAGGTCGAAGACCAAAGTCGGGTGTCTCACCCGCTCCTCACAATCCTTTTGCGGCTATTATTTGGCCATACTGACTGCACCTTGTCGTTTGTGTGCATGCGCTGATCGCGGTCTGTTTCTTTGACATCGCAGCCTGCATGTGTGTCGCCAGACGTTTTGAGCACGCCTTTGTCTATCGAGTCATTCGCCAAAGAAAATAGCCCCTTTGGACCGCCAGGTGACCGCTGCTGATGCTGCTCTTTGGAAAGGGCTGTGGGCGACTGTGGAGGAGCACACATCTGCGTCGTCGGTGCTGCCGGGGTGCACACAGCCGTTGTGCTCGCTGTATTCCTCCATGGCTCGTTGTGTGCGCGCGGCGATGATGGGTGCACCGGGGTGCTGTGCTTTGGCTGAGTGTGCGCTGTAAAGTCGGTGCCTAATGTCTGCAAGGGCGTCAACATATTCACGGGCGTCGGTGGGAGGCTGATGGTGGGAGGGGTGCTAGCAGGCTGATTTCGAATGCGGAGTATCGTATCCTCGTCTGTACTGCCAGTGTCCGGGTGTAAGCCTTTGGATCCCTGCCAGTGTTCTCGCGAAGTGTTAGTATAAGAGCCAAAAGTTTTAGTCAAGAGCGGCAAGCTGGATAAAGATAATGAAACGGAACAGGATAGAGGAGGGTGTGAAGAAGAAGAAAGGCGATGGGCTTCTGATGCATCGCATGCGGAAAGGAAACATTGGCCGCATTGGTGGTGAGGCAAAGAAACTAATGAAGAACTGCCGACATTATTCTTACTTCTGACGGGGTCAATAAAAGACGAAAATACAGGCTTTAAACTGCTGCTGCTGCTACAGCTGCTGCAAGAGAAACTGACAGAGCTCGCTGCATTGCATTGATCTTGTGTCACACCACTGCACACATTGGAAATAAGATTGACACTACACTGCCACCAGGGACGCCAGTGCCCTCTTCCAATGCTGCACACGCGCTTTCCTGAAGACTGTGGTCCGCAGTCACAGGCTTGCGTACCGAGTCGCTGGACCCAGAGTCGGCATGATCCATGTCTCCACGCAGACCAGGTGGGGCAAAATTAATCCCACTGGGTGCCCGCCCAATAACGTCACCAGCGCGCGCAGAACCGCTGCCGCCCCTCAACAAGGCCTCCGCACAAGATGCATGGCTGCCCAAAAGAGCTGGTGTGGTTTCAATGAAGCCTCCACTGCTACTATCGGTGTTGCACAAATCAACACTCCCAGAACAACCGGATTTATGAGCCAAACTTGTATCAAGCCACTTACGGTCGGGACCATTGTGCATTGCAGAGGATGCACTACCAGTGCCTTTGTCCGCTGTCAATGGCACAACCACAGCACTGCTGCCAGAAAGCAAACCGGGACTGTTGTGCGCATTGGAGCAAGCCGCTGGCAAGCTGCTGTTTGGCACAAGCACCAGGTCGAATCCAGTATCGCCGTCTACACACATGTCGTTGCTGCAAGTTATGCTGCCCGAGGTATCCGACAGCCCGTCGCTGGAAAAACTCTGTCTGGTGTGCATTTCGCCGCTCAGCAGCCCAGCGTATCCCTGTGGCGAATCAGCGTGCTGTGGCGCAGTGCCCAGCTGCATCGCCTTATCCGAGTGGATAGTACCGGGCAGCGCGCGCTCAAAGGCGCCCGCCGTGCCGTAATAATCGTTTGACCAAACAGGGATTCCAGCAACCAACGTAGCCAATCGGTTAGTGAAATCACCACTGCCATTAATACTGCTTCCACGGTGGTTTTGTATCAGGAGCGCTCTTGGGCTGGAGACTTCCGACCCATTGTTGCCCGTCCTAGTGATTGTGGCGCTGCGAAAGCGGCTATTGGTTTCGTGCTCGCTACTGCGCCAGCTCTCGCGTTGTACGCGAGCCATCGCTCCGACATCAGTGCTGGCGCGCGAAGTGTTGACAGGGGCAAATAAACTGCTGCTGTCGTTACTGCTAGTGTAGTAATCCAGATGGCCGCTTTCCGTGTAGTCGCCGCTGTAGGTACTCTTATTGATGGATGGTTGATAATACCGGCCTCGTGAGCCAGCCACCAAACTCGCGGATTCAGCAGATTGGTGATGGCTAGCATCCTGCTGCTGTTGCTGTCTGTTCCAGGTGGTAATGGGCGTAGAAATCGGCGACGCCGAGGCATCCTCCATCTGGTTGCTATCGGTCTCAGAGGCAAGGCTCGATCTGGTCTGCCGCACATCACGCGTACTGCTACTGCTGAGTCTCTGATGCCATGCCATAGTCAGACTACCATGTCTTTTATACTCGTTTTTCTTGCGGCGCTCCACCCGCGGGTCAACAGGTAAATGGGTATCGCCATCGGGATCACCCGAGAAGCAACGGGATTCGTCAATCGAGGCGCGGAAAAGAGGGAATGACTTGATCACTGGGCTCCCATGTGCGCCCTGTCTGACATCGCGTGGCTGCATATTCGAAATATCTCCGTAGTCGGAGCCTGCTTGGTTCGGCGAGCGGCGGAGACGAGCTGGAATGGAGTCCCGTTTGCCGGGGGACTCGGGTACACTCACTAGAGACATTCTTCTTGGCGTCGATGGCCCGCTTTGCAGCGCTGGTGGTACGAATTCGAACTCGTTCTCGTCAATGGTTTCGTACATTGTTTGGAGGTGGGCTTCTGGTGAGGGAGGAAGATGGAAAAAACAATAGGGGGGAGGGGGGGACACGCTCACGGGTCACTATTGCAATTTTTTTGGAGTTAACAAGAATACAAAAATAATTGCGTCGGGTGTATGGCGATTAGTAAGAATGTGCTATGAGTGATTCGATATTGAGGCGTACGTATTCAGCATACAAAGACACTTTTTAAAAACATATAATATTCTAATATAAACAAAGCGATCGTCAGGAACAAGTCACATATGCAGGATCCCCGGGGTCATTAGCGTTAATTAGTGCAGAATGAAAACATGTAACTTTAACGCTATGTGTTACGTACATTGAGTTTGCGTTATGAAGATATACCAATAATAACTATCCAGCTAAAAAAAGCTCAAGACTGCTTGTAATATTTTTTTTTGTCTAGTACAAGTGAAAAAAACAAAAAAAATATTTTTCTAGGACTGCAACAAAAAAAGAGTACTAAAATTTTTCAAGTAGATTGAGAAACGCCAAAAAAAAGAAAGAACAAAAAGTATTGCAAACTGGAGCGTGTGCAAAAAAAAGACAACTTGAGTAAGAGTGAAAAAAAACTCGGGGGCAAGCTCCCTCAGTCAACAACAAAAAGGATAGAATAGAATAGAATATTTATTTATTTTTGCGAATTACTATTTTGGATATATGAGACTAAGTTGACAACACAATATTTTTGTGCTTGCAAATCCATTAGAAAAACAGTAGTTTATAATTGACGTTTGAATAAAAAAATGTATGGCCATATTTATCGTCAACATAGCACAAAAAAGGGGCCAACGCTTACAAGATAAAGAGGGAACAACCGAGCATCCCTCCTTTATTTTTCTTGAGCCCAAATTTTTTTTGCTGCCTTGATAGTTTAAAAAACGCAAAGATACTTCTTTTGGTTTTTTAAATCATCAAGTGGCGAGTATATATATATATTTTTTGGGTCATATAAAATATCAATAAAAAAGGGGAGGGAGGGATAAAATCAAGCTGAACCTTTAAAAAAACAGATGATGATGACTACAAAAACCAGCTTGACAAGCAAAGGACAATTGGATCCGTTTTTATAATGTAGCACTCTTTATCTCAGGATCCTACTATACATACTCTCTTGATATACCGAAACCAGGTTCATTCTCCCTACTTCTTGGAGCGCAAAAAAAGAAAGTAGTTTGTTATTTCTTTAGTGAATATATAATTTATAAATCATTTAAATGCATTTTTTTCACAAAGTTGAACATTAAACAAAAAATATTAAAAAAAAGTACAAGTGAAAAAAGATATGGAACTATATGTAAAAAAATGTGTTATAAAATGACAGAGACCACGTAGGTGCTTGCTGCAAAAGTACATCAAAAATAAAAAAGCAGTCGTGAAAAAAATGTAAAAGTTATGCGGTATTTGGATTGAATTTTTTTGTCGCTGGATTAAAGAACCCAGTCATTTTTTTGTTGTATGTTTTTTTTGGGAACCACCTCCGAAAAGATTTCCAAGGGGGGGAGGCCGCTTAAGCTTTACAGCTCCATAGCAAACATGCCATCGCTTGGTTGGAAGTGATCGTCCTCCTCACTAGACCACGACAACTCATCGCTAAGTGTCTCATCGCCAAAAGGATGGGTTTACTGACATCGATCAGCGCATTGCCCAATCGAGCAGATAGGCTAGGAATAGGCAGGTCCTCGACATCATCGGCCCATGAGAAAGTCGGCTGCTGAGCATCAAGATGCATCTTCGGCTGATGGCTATTAACCGACTTGAACGGCGTTGGCAGACTGTGGATCACAGGAATGCCGGCGTACTTCGCCGCAGCAGAAGCAGCGATACCGGCAACAGGCACTGGCGAAATGTGATTTTGAACTCCAACGCGATTACCAATGTTCTCGTGGGCCTTGTATATTTGGTGCGGGTGGTGGCGGCTGCCAAAGTGAACGACGCTACGCGGGGCCTGCGCAAACGTAGTGGCTGCGCCCTTGGGTGCTGCTGCGGAGGAGCACCAGCAGCAGCAGCACCGTGTTTTCTGCGTGTGCGCCAGTTTCCATCAGCCTCGTCGTCAGCATCGACGTCGTCGCTGTTGGCCATCATTGGCGCAGACACGGGCATCACAGTCGAAATCGGCTTCATGCGCGGGCTGTAGTACTCGACAGACGATGTGACCAGGGTCGCAGTCAGCGAGCTATCTGCCGAGGCCGCGTTGTCCGTAGCGCCGCTGCGGACCCTTCCGGGCGCGCAAGCGGCACCACTGCTGCCGCTTGCGCTTGAGCCTGTGGCATATCGTTAAAGCGCACACGGTTGACTGTGCGGGTCGGCGTAGTAATAGCGACGGCACCGGCAATAGAGCTGTTATGATCCTCGTCGCTGAAATGGCCGAGCACGTCAAAGTCATCCGAAAAAGAAGACCCATCGCTGCCCATGCTTCTCCTGTTTCTGCCCATAGCGTCGGCGGCAGGGTTGGTCGTGGGCGTGATGGTGGCGGCTGAAACTGGCAGCGGCCGCTTGTTCGCCGCCTTGATCGCCATATGCACTCCATTGGTGTGCGCAGGCAGGCTCTTGGCGCTCAAGCTGATGGTCTTCATGGGCGGGTCATCGAACAAAATAGGCTTTGAAAAGTCCATGTCCTCGTCCGTATCGTACACAGTGAAGTTCTTGGACAGGCTGAAGCCGAGCGAGCTCGAAACAGGCTTCTTTGGGGGATTCGGCGTGCCGATGCTGTGCATGGTGGTCTCGCCGTTTGCTCCTCCTCCTCTTCCTCGGCAGCCTCCGAAAGATTCTCCAGCGGATTCCACATGGAGTCATCATTCTCATCTTCGTCAACATCCATGCCATCCATATCGACGCTCTTGTCGAGCTTGCCCTGTCCGAGGCCGTTCTTGGGCAAGCACAGCATCGACGACTGCAGGATCGCCGCAGCGGCCTTGCCGCAGTCGGGTTGAACTCGCGCGGCATCATCTGGCGAGCGGCAGCGGCCTGTGTGGCCGGGATAATCTGGCTAAACACCGCCGCAGGAACCGAGGTCGACATGTGGTTGGCCTTGCTGACCGTCGGATGTGCGGCAAATCCGCTTCCGGGCATGTGGACCGGCTGCATAGCAGCAAAGCGCTTTTTGTGTGGTGACTTTGCCTTGGCACTGGGAGCTGCGGCTGCCGCAGCCATCGCCGAGTCAAGAGCAAGCGCAGTGCTGGCGAGAATTGCCTGGGGCACATAGGGCATTTTGGGCAGATTTCCGCCAACAACGCCGTTGGTCGGCGACCACTTCTTGCCGATCGACCCGGACATGTACGACTTGCCGTAGCTACTGGCACCGGCACCGGCACCAAAACTGTTGCCGACATGGTGTTGGCGGGGCGACGGCCGGCCGAAACGTTCTTGTGGCGAGTCGAAATGGGGCGCGACACGGTTCCAGAGCCAGACTTTGGCAGGTTAAACGGGTATCCAAGATCCTGCACCCACTGCTTGAGCTCCAGCACATTGCAGCGACCGCTCTCGGGAGAGAAAATGCGAGTGACCAAAAAGTCACCAACCTCGCGCGGCAGCTTCGGGAACTGGCTGACAAGGAAACCTGCGCCCTCGCGCAAAAAACGGCAAAACTTAAAGCACGACTCGCGCGAAGGGTCAGTCCACGGCGACTGGGCGAACAAAAGGTTGAGGAACAAAACACCGAGTGCCCAGACATCCGAGAGACGTGGGGAGTAATCGTCGCGCGGGCCGTATACCGTGGGATCCTTAGGGTTGAGCCCGCCGTTACGGTTCTCGTAGCTCATATACGGCTTGCTTCCGCACTCAAAGTCCGTCGACAATGACTCGCGTGTGGCCAGGCCAAAATCTGTCAGCTTGAGGTTGCCGTCGGCGCCCAGGATGAAGTTCTCGGGCTTCAGGTCGCGGTGGTACGCCTTGAGCGCATGGATATGCGCGACGGCATCAATCATCTGCCCAAAAAGCCTGGTGGCCTCGATAAAGCGGCGCTCCTCCTGGTTGGCATTGAACGACGGGTGCTGAGTGATATAGTCGTACAGGTCGGGCCCGGCGACGCGCTCCATTACGAGAACAACCAGTCACGCGTCTCAAAGTGCGAGTACAGTGTGACAATGTGCGGGTGGGGGCACACGGAGCTGTGGATATCAAGCTCAGTGCGCTGCAATGAGAGCTGGCGAGCGGTGAGGCCAAGCTTGGACAAACACTTGAGCGCGTACTTGCCACCGTCATGGCTGCTGCGAGCCAAGTACACGACCGCATAGGAGCCCTCACCGAGCACGCTGAGCAGCGTGTACTGCCTGCCTGTCGTGCTGTCGGTGATGCTGGAGCCGAGCTCAAAGGGTAGGCTCTCGGGGTCGACGTATCCGGGGGTCTTCATTGAAATTGCTGGCGACAGCGGGTTCGGTGAGCGCGCCTGCGAGGCGTCAAAAAGCGGGAAGCCGGCCTTAGTGATGGAACTGTCGGGCACGGCCACGTTTTGCACATTGTGCTTGTTCAGCGCCAACGATAGGCCAGAGAGCACAGTCGAGTCGTTGGCCTGGTACGTGGACGACATCATTGGGGCGGGGCGCGAGACAGCTGCAACCTTGCTGATTGTGCTGGCTGCAGTCGTTGCCGTGGTGGTAACCGCCTGAGCGGGCGCGCGCCACTGCTTGTTGATGTCGCTCGCATTGGGGATGCGGCGGTTCGAGCGGCCCTTGCTGGCAGCAGCAGCCTCCTTCTGTTGGTGTAGCTGCTGGTAGTGGTTGTGGTAGTTCTGCCAGGTCGGCGCAGCAAACGCCGGGTTGACATTGCGATGGTTACCGCGCGAGCCCTGCTGCTTGCGAGCATGCGTGCTGCTGTTGTTGTTGTTGTTGTTGATGTCAACATTGCAGAGTTCAAACGATAGCCGTTGGTCGGGGCACCAAAGCTCTTGGGTGTCGCTGAGAGTTGGTCGTTCTTGGCGCTTTTACTGCTACCGTTGGTGCTTGTCGTATCCCATGAGGCGATGCCCGTGTTGCCGAACCTGAGCTTGGACTTGGCGGCCAGGATCGAGGCAGGTGGGACGGCCGACACCGAGTTGGGCGTGCTGGCGTTTGCGTTCGGCGCAACAGAGCCCTGTGCTGGTGCTGGTGCTGTGCTGGTATGCGATCATCTTCTGGTCCCAAGTCTTTTTTTCCAAATTGAAATGCTAGTAGGCTTATTGGTTGCTGGAAGAAAAAGTTCGGGCTTTTTGCAGTTTGTTGCAGCAGCTACAGAAAAAACCTTGGTAGGAGTTTGCCGTGGAACTAAAAAGTCCAAAAATAAAAATAGAACAGAGACGCGATGACAAAAGAAACAAGAAATTATAATATTAGCTGGCTGGTTCGTATTAGGCGAGTGTTTTGCTGGAGAGCTGGGCATTCATACGCCTGAGAGGGCACCAAAAAAAACCCCTGGAAAAAAGCACCCAAAGTGTGTGTTGTTTGTGCGTGCCTTCTCTTCCTCCCCCAAAAAAGAAGTAAGCGATTGAATTGGATCTGCAAACAGAAAAGGTGGAATTTGAAAAGAAAAATGGAAAAGGAATTGTAATTGTAGAGGCGGAAACAAGGGCCTTAAGCTTTGTGAAAAGAAAGAATGAGTACGCAAATCCAAGGAGAGGGCTGTTTCCTTGCCAGACACCTTTCCTTTTATGCGTCTCCGGAAAATAAGGAATTCAAAGCAAAAAATAGGCAAGGCGCTATAGAAGCGCAAGACTTTGGTGCAGCAAAATAAAAAAACTGGAGTGCTACGGAAAAGCGCAAGAAAAAACCTGCGCAGTCGTGAATAGCAAAAAGACAAGGGGGACACACAGGAGATGAGGGCGCCAAGTCTTGTTCTCGTGCGTGTTTAAAAATAGAGCGTACTCCCGAAATACATATGTTTTTGTGCTTACCTACTAGTAGCCAGGAGTGGAGGCACGAAATGACGAGCGTCTTGCGAGAGAGCTGATGCGAAACCGGGCCTTGGCTAGAGATCTCAATGTCAAGCGAAAACAAACATTCAAGCTGAAAGTATGGTAAGTTAGTGTGTCGTTTGGATTAATGCAGAGAAAAATGACCACAGTCTCAGCGCAGAAAATAAAAAATAAGAACGCAGACGAGCACAAACAAAGAACAATTAAAATATCAAGATGAATATAAAAAAGTCGGATAATGAAGGGGAAGGAATTGATGCGGCGAGTACCATGCGACGCCGGCAAGAAAATACTAGCATCTCATGTGTGGAATAAGAGATGCTGGCAGCAAATCCGCCGCCAAGCAGACAAAGCATGTGGAAGAAAAGGAATGGGCATTGGAAAAAGGATGACCTTTTTTTGTGGCAAAGGCAATTGATCGGGAAGTCTCAGGAGCACGCAACAGTACAAAGACAAAGACAAAAAAAGAGCGGCCGCTTTGGCTGGTCGCATAGAAAAAACTAATTAACACACAATGCTTGAATGCCTGCCGCTTTATTTTTTCCCCCCAAGTCACGAGCTGGAACCTTGTAGAAAACATAAGAGCATGCAATAGCACAACAATGACAGAACGTGCTAGAAGCTCGCGGAACACAAACACAGGGCATCGGTTGCCAGCTGGTGGCTCTTGCCAGCAGACAAGACAGAACGAGATGAAGGGACATCGACCAAGTAGGAAGCTGCCAACCGTACGTACCGTACAGTTTCATATTTTTGCTTTACAAAAGTAATTGTTTGCCCAAACGTGCAAAAAAACATCACAAGAGCATGTATAAAGCATGTATAAAGCGTGTATAAAGCGTGTATAAAGCGTGCTGAAAAGACAGCTGAAGCTACATCCTGCCCTGCCCTGCCAGCAACACGCAGCAATCATGCAGCCTCAATTGCAGTTACCAGGCACGCAACACATCGAGGGACAATATATCAATAATATCAGCAAAAGTAAGCTTACCTCGAGTATCGAAACCAAGCGATAATTAATAAAGCGTAGAGATATCTGCGACCGAAATTGAGATCTCAAAGTGAGAAAAATATTAACTCGGAACTGTGGTTGCCAGTTTAAAAAAAAAAAGGCGTGTGGAGGGAGAGCCGCGAGATATGCGATCTGCAGTTCCTAATTGTGTGTCCGAAAGCTGCGCGTATAAGCAAGCAAATGAATCAAACAAAAAGCCTGATTGTGTCGAATCCTGATGCAGGTTTGAAACAACTAAAAAAAGCCTAGCTGCGCGATTTTTTATACTTTTTAACCGAACCTTACAGAGTGCAGAGTGACCGTTGGTGCTTAAGCTGTACTCAAAAAACACTATAAAGAGCCAGCAAGTATAGTGTGAGCCAGTAGGAAAAAAGAGAGTGTGTGATAAGGTGTAGAGTGGTGAATTAAAATAAAACAACCGCCCGTGTATTTGTTGGTCCCTGCAGGCTGTGGTGGGAGAGGGGGAAGGAAAAAAGTATGAGGAAGAGTGCAAAATTGAGTTGCAGTATACTCAAACGATGTCGATTTTTTGGTGGTTTAGTGAGAAAAAAGTACAGAAAGGAGCTCAAGTAAATGCAGAAAAGCGAGTGCGCCAGAAAAAACTGGACCAGACAGACTCTAGAGTTAAAAATAAAATAAAAGAGTACAAAATAAAAAAGATGATACAAGTGAGGGAAAAGAAAAGAAAAAGAACGAGAAAAGTTGTCGGTGGACTAAAAAAAGTGCTGGCTTGCTATTCTTCTAAAGGGGTCCTGAAACGGCGTGTGCGTGTGCGTGTGCGTGCGCGTTGTGCTAGCGATGATAAATTGCTACACAACAGGGTGACGAATCCAGGCACAGAGAGCAAGCGGCTTGTAAGTCTACAGAGAATGACTAAAAGAGTGTTGAGTGAGTTCTAGTCAGAGGATGATCCTAAATACATCTCGTGCGATAGTGGTTGATGAAGAAGCAAAGCTAGCGAGCCAATGGGCTATATATCTAAACAAGTACGTTGGGTTCTCCTGGAACACACAAGGCGTCTAATTGGCTGTATCGAGTAAGTGAATAAAATAAGAAAAAAGAAAAGAAAAGAAAAGAAAGGAAAAGAAGAGGAGAGGAGCGGGCTGGGCTGGGCTGGACTGGGCTGTGCAGCAGCGCTGCTATCTGGGAGCGGATATATGTCTCAGCAGAGGACGCAAGACAAAAGCCCCTCCAAAGAACAATAAGAAAGTGTAAGTGTAAAAAGAGGGTCGTGTGCTCGAAATAAAGAGCAAGCTGCAGAGGATAAAGTCAAGAAGGGCCCGACGGCGATTTTCTGTCTGCAGTTGCGCACTTCAAAGAAAAAGAATGTCTAAAGTGCAGCGGCAAAATAAATGAATAAAAAGAGAGCTTATGAACGAATATACGCCCGTCAAAACCTGACAATAAAAATAGGCGAATTTCAAGTTACGGAAGAGTAAAAAGGGAGAAAAATGGATGGAGCTGAAAAGACGATTAAAAATAAAGGGGCCCGCAACTCGCTTAAAACAAAATCGAAATACCGCCTGCTCAACTAAAAAAGAAAAAGAAAAGAAAAAAGAGCACAAAGAAGAATTTCCTGGAAAAAATAAATGGCGGCGGAGAGGCCGCGGGCGGATGGGAATAAAAAAAAGAAGGATGTGGAGCAAGAATAGGCGATGAAAAATCCGGGATTGGCTGGGCAGTAAAGGCCCTTTCTTCCGAATATGTCTTGCATGCTTTTTGCTAATCAAAAGAGCTGCAAAATTATGTGATTGGTCCTTGAGCTCGCGGGCAAAAATAAAAAGTGAACAGCGGATTGAAACTTGAGTTGTGTGTGTCACCACCACTGACTTTTTTTTTTAATCGCAGAGACTGTATTGGCTTTGCACTTTCAAGCCCTCCTCTAAAAATAACAGCATGCACGCTTACGAGCCATGCTCTCACACACGCAACAAAGTAGAAAAAGCACAACAATAGTGATGTTTTGGTGATGACGATGATGATGCGGTTTTCTTTGCATTTTTTATTTTTGGAACGATTCCAAAAATAAAACATGCAAACATCGCAAGCAATCAGGCAAAAAAAACAACGATCTAGACCTGAGCGCGCTAGCGACAGGCTTGTCTCTGAGATAACCCTTCGAAAAAAACAGGGGAAATAGGCCAATGCAAACAAACAAAGCAAGTAAGCTGTTCTCGCCCGCCACTGCCACAAACAAACCAACCAGCATGCCCGGCGGTCTACTCTGAACTATTTATGTTCAGCGTGTTCCATTGGTCGTGAGTGCGCAATAGCAGCTTTGCAATATTACAAACTGCCACACCTTACAGCATCCTGCTCGCCCAGAGCGTGCCCAACAATGCCACTGGGCGATGCGCCCAGATTAAAGTTGATACAGCTAAAGAACAGAGGAGAGCGGCAAAAAGGGGGGGGGCAGCAAGCAACCTTTTACAGCAAATTGAACTTCATTATTCAAGCAGTGGGATTTTAGAATGTACGCCACCACCACCTCTGGCTAAGCAGAAATGTGTGTAGTAAAGATGATGCCAATAAGCATGGGCCAGAACTCGGGCGCAATAAGGGTGACTCAAACGTGTGATTCGAGTCTACGAACTTTAGGTTGCCCGGGCTCAAATTGATGCCGTGAGATATGTGGGGATGAGAGGCATATATATATGAATATTAAATTTGAATGGCTTTTTTCAGGATTCGCAGTTTGCCGAGAAATAAGAAGAAAAAAAAGATGCGGAGAAGGCAGCAATGAGGCGATTGCAGTTAACTGCTGTGTTGTGCTACACTAATTGTTGAAAGGAGGGGGGACGAGGGCACAGATGCCGAGATACTTGCGGCTCGTTGAGTGCGGGGGAATGGGTAAATGAAAGTAATAAAAGCTAGAAGCCGGGTGGTGGTGGTGGTGGTGGTGGTGGCGACATATGAAGCCAATATCACCCGCCGGAAATGTATTGGCCGGGAGAGGCATCCTGTTTAATAATTGAGCTGTGGTTCTAGAATAAATAAAAGTACATATAAAAATAGTGATCACAAGTAATGGTGTATTTACCTCAACTTATCTAGTGGCACTAGCACTTTAAAGACACTACAAGAACGAGTGTCTAAAAAAGTTTATGAAAATATAAAAGACAGTTTGAGAGAAGAAATTGCAAGGATGATAAAGTACGCTGATAAAGGTAAACTTTTGCGTTGCTCAAGTATTCTCTTGAAAGTTAAAAGAATAAATAATGTCCAAGCAGGGCAAAAGAAAACAAGTGAATGGCGACTTTTAAAGAATAAAACGGGGCGTGTGTATGTGAGGAATACCATATTAATGCTGCAACTCATTCATTTAATCATTCACCCCTTTTTATACCTGGCACAATACGGCCAGAAAACTTGAAAGAACTTTTTACTTTTGGGTTTCCCAAGCAGCGAAGCACGGCATTTGTGATTATTTGCAAAGAGAGGGGAAAAGGACTAGGTGGGATGTTGGCAGGGTGGTAGTAAAATGTTCAAAACCCAAATAAATTCGAAGCATGTGGCCAGAATATACATTTATGCAGTGCGAAAGTTGCCATTTTCAAAAAGACAACAATGGACAGCCCTCCTCCTCTTTCTTCCTTTTTTCCTTCTCACAGAAATAACCAATAGGTGGCATTACCGCTAAATTGGGCGCCAAAACAAGATGTGAATTTTCTCTTAGGGAGTGCTTTAAATTGGCATACTTTGTCCACTGTGCTTTCTCCGGGTTCCTGTTCAATCGAGAAATACGGGCTTTGACAAACATAGTTGCCGCAATTTTTTCTGGGTCAAATTCTGGTTTTTTGTGCTATGCAACAAGGGTCATTTGCCAAGGAAGAAACCCAAGCATGTTGCATTGTGGCTGCCAAAACAAAATGTCTTTTTGTATTTTAACCAGGTAAAAAATTGCAGATAGTAACAAAAAGCCCGCGCTTCCCGCATGTATCCCGTCCCTCTTTTTTATTTCGCATTCATTGAAAACAACAAAAACTTGATAATGTAAAATACTTTATTGCCAGAGGCACATGAGCATTTTATTAACATTCTACAAAAAAAGCACAATGCAGCCTCCATTACAAGCAAGGCGTTCGAAAAAATTACATTGATTATGATAAAGATCCTTTGGGTACACTATAAGAAAATAATGAGGCTACAAATAACTTCAAAACGGCATCCTTCCCCCAGATAAAGTGTTTAGAAACTAGTGGCAATAGACCACTATGGTTGACGATATTACCCAGTTCGCTGCTTCTTTTAAAGAGAAGAAGCAGGGGAAGATGGATTCTTGCGCACACGCTTGGCCTTGGGCTTTGGCTTGAGAAAGTCTGGGTGTCACTGTAGACTCGGCCTCAGCCGACTCTGATGATGCCTTTTTGTGCAAGAAACGGGGGGCCGCTCGCCTGTAAGCAGTGCATTAAGGATGATGCGAAAGTTTAGCACCGCAGCCATGTCGCGATTACACTTCCGTTGCCCGATGGCGCTTTTTCGCCATCCTTGATCTTGGTTCCGTCAGGCCTGAAGCTTTGCAAGCAGTTTTCCATTGTGCACTGGAGCAAGCCATGTCATAAATTTTGGCGGGGTTTTTCTACTGCTGGAATTTATTAACATCTGTTGCGGCTACCTGCTGCTGCTGCTGGACCATTTTGCTGCTGCTGCTGCTGCTGCGCGGCCAACTCATCGCGCATCCTCTGTCTGATTTTGTGCTCAATTTTGCCTCGCAACCAGCCGCTCAGCCTGACAATGTGCTTGAGATTATCGGCGGGCTGGGTATTGATGTACTGCTCCCAATTCCGCTCAGCCAGCTCATCCCGCAACTGTTGCTTCACCTTGCAGAGAATGTTTCGCTTAAACCAACCCGTTCCCTCCCCTATCCACCGGATGATATCGGCAGATTGTGGGCGAGTAGTTATCCACTGGTTGCGACGCTGCTGTGCATTGTTAACAATAGATGCGGCGGTGGCGGCAGTTGCGGTTGCAACAGAAACGATAGTGGCTGCTGCTGCGACAGACACAGCGGCTGAAGTGGTTGCAACTGCGACGGAATTAAATGCTGCTGCTGCCATTGCGACGTGGTACTTGTGCTTGGGATTCTTCAGACGAGGCCAGCAATTTTGTGAAGTTGCTCCGCCCTGTCTCACACACCGGGAAAAGTTGAGGTGCAATACTCGTCGATCAATAAACATGAATCCTGGCCTATTAGCATCTTCCGCAGCCCCTTGCACGAATTGGCTCATGGTAGTGGGTCATATCTGGGCCAATACCAAGAATAAGGACTGTATCTGATCCAATTTTGCGAGTTCGACGTCGGCGCGCTTTCTGTTAACAAAGGAAAGATAGCAGAGCTTGCGGTGCAAGGGTCAGTTGATCTGCTGCCGTCATACTTTCGACTCTTGCCGAGGGTCTGTGTGTTGTGGTAATGTTCTCCCAAAACAAAATCCCCTTTCCGGTGCTCAAGAAGGTACTCGACATATAACTTGCAATCAAGTGTATTGGAGCCAGGGTGGTTGGGCGCGCACTCAGCATCCTCAACGGGTGTATACCAACCATTTGTTTCCGCCTTGGTGAGCTTTGTGGGATGAAGCTGGAACCTTTTTTGCATTTTTGCAGATCCGAAGAAACACACGTTCATGTTGTTTATTAGCCTCTGAATTATTGCTATGGCGGAATATAACTCTCTCACCCTTTTTTAATTGCTGTCATATCCCAGACAATATAACATATCCCTATGACTGGTATCACAAATAGCTGATTTACCAGCAATATCATTAATGCCATTTTTGGCAAATTGTCAATGTATTCGGGAGAGCCTTCTTACTGCGGGGTACACCATTGCTGTTGCTGTTATTGCTGGTGCTGCTGCTGTTGCCAATGTTGCCAGAACCTTTTCTAGACTGTGAAATACTCTTAACCTTGATTCTCTTGGCCTTTATCCTCTTATTCTGTGTGTTTGTGGGCGAGTCAAGTAATACGATAATTGCCACCCCATCCATATAAATGATCACTCCAAACTTGTTGGCCATTCTCGCTGATTCTAAAAAAACTGCACAAGATATATCACAACAAAGTGACCAAATTTCCTCTAGCGACTTGACTAAAAGCTCCTCATAGGCGGAATTTTGGGGGCCTTGATATCCAGGCAAAGACTATCCCTGTGTAGTGCTTTGAGTCGATTCACTGTGACAGACAGAATACCCCATGCAAGAATGGCCTTGTCAATTGTTGTAAACCCTAGGATAATAGATATCCTCATCGGAAAGAGGAAAATCGTCTGCACACCTTTGTTGAGATTTGAAACCCAGAATATCTCAACAAAAGCCCCAATGTGGTTCATTGTATTGACCACAGTAATACTGGAGCCCCCTGTCGCCGAAACTGTAGTTCTCAGAGGAGGTGCCAAAAATCCTCCCAATTAGGTACTCCATCCTGTCACAGAGAATAGGATCTGAAATGTGACTGGTGTCAAGCTGCTTCCCGGCTTTGCTGGTTTTAGCAGACAGCAGACCCCACTTCAGCTTGCCCACTGGAATTCTGATTTCCTTGCTAATATGCTGTTGTATTTCTTTTTTGTTGTAGCCACCCTCCTTCGTAAGTATCTTGTATCGCCATTTAATTTTTTCTTTATGTCAAGTGTTATGTCGACCATACGTTTTAACTGCTTGTTAAAGGGCTGAGATATATGAGATTTATACACCGCCAAAATTGTCGCACCCTCATAATTAGCAACCCGGGCTGCACCAGTAAGCTGTGAGCACTCAAACTTGGTCTCCTCGACAAACGTGTGCCTGTGCTTGTTGAAGAGCTTGCATTTGCGTTGTTCATGTTGTTGGTGCATGGTTTGTTTCCGGCAGTGAGGTAAAGGGCGATAAAACACTCCTTAAGAAACCCTGATTTAAATAGTCGACAATATTAAACCCCTCATTATCCAGCTCTTGTAAAAAGATATACTGTGAAAGCTTGTATGTGGCTGTTGTAATACGGCGGGCGGTGACATGTTCGCACAGAACTGTCAAAAAGTAGGGCAATGCTTTTTGCCGAGGCGAGGAGCGCCTCTATGTTAATGGGCATACAAAATATAAATATAAAAAGTCGAATGGAATACTATTTTCCAAAGAGTATATAAATATATTTTCCTAAGCTAAAACTGACTAAAGAAGTCTCATCGACTTCATTGCGTTCGCGAGGGATTATTATATCCAACGCCTCCAAAAAATAACAAGCAGCGATACTGGCATTGGCACTAGCACCAGTACTGACTTAAGTGTCTAAAAAGCCCAAAGGCCAGCGCCCTGATTCCTGCTATTCCAGCCCAAAATGTGCTGAGGAATAGGCGTAGGTACAGGGAATGCTAAATGCCAGCCATTTTATTGAATTTTTATAATATTTTCCAATAAATAAAACCCTAAAAACCCCAATCTAAAATATTTGAACCCGAAATTTCGTATGGAATCGCTCCTCTATGGAACTGTTCAATGGAAAATTCTTTTTTTTAATTCAGGGAATGACGAGAAACTTTTTTGGGGGAAATGGATAATAATTTGGTTTTAGCGCCTAAAACATGAAGTATTTTTTATTTTAGGCAGGCAAAAAATGGAGAAATGAAGTATTTCTTCACCCCGCATTTTTCATCGGGTATGTAACCCTACCATCCACCACACCTACCATTCAAGGTTTGTAAAGTAGGAGTTAAAATAAGGGGGGGAACACCTTGGCTGGCAGTTTTCTGTCCATTCGCTTTCACGGAGAATAAAACAAAAAAGTGCTGACACGAACGTACAATATTAATATATGCCAGCCCGCACTTTTGCTTCCGACAAACAGGCTGTTGTCGTAACATATTAAACAATGTGACCCGTTGCTCGATAAATGTCGCAACAAGAAAAAGCAAACCATTTTATTCGTTATCAAATACTCGGTTCTTCAAAGCCACTATTAAAAGCAATATCCAAAATTGATGGCGTGATTTCACTTTTTGCCTAGGCGGAACCGGAGGCACGCGTCGGTGCCAGCACCTTTCTGACTAGCGCGACCAGGTCCACGCGCGCCTCTTTGACCCCAGAGTCATCCCGCATCCACTCCGTTTCAGTCAGCAGGCGATCGATCTCGGCCATACTGTCTTCGTCGTCCACTTCCGCAAACCCGTTGATACACAACATTGTGAACAGGTGATCAGCCGCCACTTGCCTGATCTACATCAAAGGTGTAAAAGAACAAGTTTGGAAATTTTATAAGAAAATTGTAAATTAGGATCGCTCTTTCTTCGTTTCCACATGCTCACATGGCCACGCCCGCAACTCCAACTAAAAAGCTTTTAACAAAAAAATACAAATTGTAGTAATCCGCGGTTTACTCCAAATTGTCACAAAAAAATTGAAAATGACACACAAAAGGAGTGCAAACAGCTAGAGTCTGAATGTATCCAGAAAGCTGAGATCGGCTAAAAAGTAAATTTTTTGCAACCATGCGCATTAAATTGCGCAATAGTTATTTGCTTCCCGCACACTAACACTATCGGCAAGTACGAGTATTTGATTTTGACTCTCACACACGCACACCCCGATTCTCATTGGATGCGACATAAAATAAACAATGCGAACAGATCCATCGATTAACAAAAAACATTTGCGGATATACGTTACCTTGGGGATTGGATGGCTAATGTGGGCCAAAAGAGACTCTGCCGCCATCTTGGCCAATTCTTCCGATATCAGAGCCATGGAGCTGTAGAGCTTCAGGCAAAGTACCAGGCGCTGCGGCGCCCGCAACTTGAATGCCACACGTTGAACCGCCTTGTATATCGGAGCCCACCTATATTATCAAAACATAATTCGATTTTATACAATGTATGTGTTTTGCGTGATTGATCAGGAGAACAATTGAATTAACTGAATATATGGAATATGATACGAGCAAATATAGAACAATGCGCGCAAAAAAGCGTCAACAAATACAACCACAAAATTTGGCGCTGCCAGCACTAACAACATTGCAAGAAAAATATATTCAATTATTAAAGTCAGCTTTGCCTGTTATACTCGGGGTTAATAAATCCCGGCAATAGATAAAAATATTGCATTTTCGAATTCTCATAAATGCGCGGCGGCAGTATGACTTGCAGACGCACATATGATGATAATTATAAGTTGCTGCAACAGTAAACAAATAAAGGGCATACTTTTTTATACAGGCACGGGGTTGCATACGCATGTTCCCACCAAAAAAATACTTACATGATCGACGATGCAGGCTGTAGCGATCCCTGCTCGATCAACTGATCAGCAACTATAAGCGTCGGGTTAATGATTCTGCTGGTGCGCCTGTCCGTAAGCAGTAGCCGTGTCAACTCTGCAACGACGCCGTCAACAGACCACCCCAGCTCGCTCTCGTTCGCTTCAGCCGAGTCTGAGGATGGATTGGTAACAGCGTCATCAGAAGTTGCTGGGAGAGTTTCAATGTAAGCGGACACTGCGCTCACCGCATATTTGCCCTATAGATGCCGCGCAAAATAATACACATTGTACGTTGAAAATGCACGTAAAAATGACGGAATCGCGCTGTTAGTACAATATCAGCCAATTAACTCGCATTTGTGACAATTGGCTTTTGTCGCGGTTGATTCGGGGACAATAAGCCAAGACAACAGATAAGGAGAGTGGAAGGGAGAGGGGGGAGGAGCAAGAGACAGAGCAGTAACTCGGGAATATAGTGCCTCAAACATTCACACCAAACATTGTAAATTATTCTACACATTCTCTGCAAGACTAAACATTCGTGAATAAAACTCGGATATGGATATACCTGCACAACATAGAATGTATGCAAATAAGGAGCATGCTAAAACCAATGGCAGTGTACATTCACTATGCGGCAGCTGCTATGCGTGCATTTTCTAAATAAGGCCAGATTACATACTGCACATTTTGCAGCCGAATATTCGGCATTCCAAATAAATACCACTGCACAAGAAACAAAAAATTTTCAAAATTTTTCTGGCAATGTCGCGGTATAAACTCTTGTTTTGATTTGCTATGCACATATGCTGTATATGTGAGACAGCAATAAAACGCAGGCTGATGAAAATACATGGTGTCATAAAACAGGATTGTAATTATGTTGGTGCTTCTTCGATCCAACAAACAATATGCCGCGTGCTTCTGTGCAAGGTCCCTCTTCCAGGATTGCTGTATTTACTTTAAAAACGCGTGACACTGGAACAACCGCATCCAGACAAACTTACGTGCTGCCTACCGGCATTTCGCAGTGCGCAAGAAATTGCAATAAACAAACAATAAGCAAACAAACAAAACATAATGGATGGATGGCAGGGCTAACGGGGAGCGTTCAATTTGGGGGAATGCATGCAACTGCTGCCTAAGTCTAATTGACTTTGGACACAATTATACTCAATATATAAATATATATCCGACTTACTAGTGGTTCAGCTGATCCAGCAAGGACTAAGCCCTCAAAGAGAGATTGTCTGAGTTTCACCTCGGGCACTGCAAGCGCGTGGGTAAGCTTCTCAAAAGTGCTCTCTGCGTCTGTCCAAGCAATTCCGCTGCTGTTTCTGGTGCTACTACATGTATAATAAAAATAAAATGGTATTAACTACGTGCGTGCAGATGTGTGCTCTGATTTTCAAACAATCGAGGCCAGTGCGCGAATATTGGAATATTACAGGTTCATGCCATTTCGTTCAATACATTTTAATTAATAATTTACGACTTTATGCACGCTTGTGGTCGCAGCATTGACAGCCGATATGCAGACACACGGAAAATTCAAGCTCATGTGTCAGTTTTTTTGCTCGGTTGTCTTCGCTGGCATGACGCCGCGACGATATGTCACCAGAAGTAAACTTACATTTGATTTGCGTCTCTTTCAGAGAGCCCTAACCCGGCCGGAATAAACTGCTTCAATTGTTCGAGACAGCGGTGGATCCGTGGATCCACATTTACAGGCTTTTGATCATAAAGCAGCGTCTCTATTAGCTTACCAGCAGCCAAGCGAATTTTATCGATTTTTTCAGTTGCAGCATGCAACGATCTTCCAAAAAGACACAGTGCAAGCTCCTGGTCTGCGCTCAGTTTGGAAAGCAGTGCTGTATCTGATTCAAACATCCCGGCAAGCGAGAGCAGACATTGCTTGCGGACCCAAGATCCAACATCTCCGCGGTTGTCCACTGCATGATCAAGCAGGCCCTCCAACAATGCGCTGGCTGCTGCTGCTGTATTTCTCTCGGACAAAGCTACCATACCACCTACATGGGCAATAAAAAAGTCATTAATTCGTATGTTTTCAAGGGATAATCACGTTGATAACTGCCAGTAGTAGTTGCGTGTTGACAAAAAATCGATCATTCAGTCAATTTGCATACAACTTGCGAAATTAACAATAGTTGCAAACCACAAGGCAAAGACACTTACCAATGTCCGCTGGTAGAATTGGCAAAGGGCCGCTGCTGAATTTCGGCGGATTTCAACAGTTGCGCCCTCTACAACAAGTTTGCAAAGCAGATCAAAGACATCCTGCCACTCAAGGCGCCCAGGGCCAGCACGAAGCTCTCGCGCGACGTGCCAGATTTTTCGACATGGGTGTATTTCTTGATCCTAAGACCAATAAGTTCAAATAAACAAACACATCAGAGTTAGCAGCGCAGTCAGCATAAAACCCGAATCCAGACATTCGCCTTGTTAATCAACAAAATATTGCCAGTGTAGCTGCTGTGCTTACATGTCGTGCTGCTCTGCTGACACGCCGAATGCATCGACAAACGACGAAAAGCTTGAAACAAGGCACTGTGCCTCTTTGCATACTGTGAACGCCCGAGTAAAATAGTCAAAGTACTTGCGCTGTCCCTCAGTGCCACCAATGCTCCATTTAGCCCTGCTCACAGACCCCATGTACGCAGACAAGGCCTCTAGGGTCAGGGCCGCGCCAAAATCCTCTGTGTAGCGCGCTGGGAGGCTGCTCGTCACGGACAATATCATCTACTCATAATTTGTAAGAATAAAATGAAAGAAGCTCGACCTGGGAGCTTTAATTAATATTTCCAATTAATTAGTTTTCAATTATTGGCCCGCACTAGATGTTGCCTGGCAGCAAGATTTTAAATTTCTTTACCTTTTGGATGTGTTCGCTCGTGGTCAGTGTGGGTGCGATCGTTTCTGCAATAACTCCTGTGGCGACAATAGCGCCATGGCGCACGGCCAAAAACGGGGACAACGTGTTGGCAACCTAAACGAGGCAACTTTTGAAAAGTTAGTTAAATAGCATTTCGACAATGTTTTTTCGCCATAACCAGCCATAAATGCACTTACAATGTCTGGGAGCAAATTATAGATAACGTATTCGGGAGCCAACGGCGAAGCGCTTGCAAAGCAGCAGCTGCCAGTTCGCGGGTGCGCAAGTCCCAGTGGTAGATTGTGCCTGTGCACAAATGACGCAGCATAGGTTCACGGTACTCTAAAACTCCGCAATGTCCGACTGGCAGACACAAAGGCATGCCGCATGTTGCCCACAGAAAAAAAGTCTGCCAGCTGCAGCACCGGTATTCCATGAGGAAACTGTTGTGCCGGCCAACGTGCTCTTGGAAGGCAGCACTGGCAGCACGGCGGACATTGGACTCGCGGTCAAAGACGGCCACTGAGATCAGGGTTGTCGCCATGGCTGTGCTCATCTCGCCAAACACATTCCGGCTATCTGGGTTAGGCGAGCGAGCAAAAGACCACATCACGTAGCATGCGGCATCACGAACATTGGAACCAACGGAGTAGTCGCCGCGTTGAATCTCGTAAGTCAGCCCTCTAACGACCCAGGGGACAATTTCGCGCAATGCTTGTGTGAGCAGCAAACCCTTGCGGGACAATTCGGCGAGGGCCAGAAGAGCGCCATGCCAGGAAAATTCGGATGTCATTGACACGTCAATTAAGCCGCCGTCTTCCGGAATCAGTGCTTCTTCCTTCAGAATGCTGGCAACTGCCAAAACAATTTCCTGTGCCAGCACTGGCGGCAGCCTTTCGGCAACACGCCCAACACCCTTTGCAGCCGACCACCGCACAATAGTATCCTACAAAACAGAATTGTAAAATGCGACAAATTAAAATTAAAAATCATGTAAGTGCATTGTACTGAGCAAAGCTGTACCGTGCCGGCTATCAGTGAGCTTTGGTGATCAACATTTTGTAACAAGAAATACTGAAATAATTGCAAATAATGACAGAAAACAGGAATAAAACCATTTGAGAGAGAGGAATCACAAATAGAAAAGGATTTAACAATGTGTACCACTATATTCATAATTTGAATTATGAATAATAACAATAGGCTTTTTGCAAACTAAATGGCAATTGTAGGTTCACCCCACTAAGATGTCATAATACGGTCGCATATTTAAAGTGAATCCTTATACCAAGAAAAAATGGGCGGGATTTTGTGTACAAAAATCATTTAAAAAATAACAATATTTCAAAAGCAATATATTTTCACCCACATACACGCATCAAAAAATTAAACAAGTTAAACAAAACACAAACAACAAACATGTAAACATATGGATAATTCAAGGCAAGGAAAGTGCACCAACATGGCATTTGCATATATTTGCCTACCTTGTCGTGCAGCTTTTGAAGCAGAATTCCAATGAATAGCTCAACTTCTTCAGAAACTTCGGCATTGCCAGTGTTGTGTACGATACCTTCAGCCGCAATAGAAGCTGGTGGGAGCATGAGAATCGCCAGCCGCTGCACTGCTTTGGTGACAAGTTTGCCTGTGAGCGAGTGCTGGTCAAACGCATCCAGCTGAAAAATATCCGTCAATAGTGGCATCTGCTGCTCCAAGGCCTCCGCAGAATCTATCACTGCAAACAAATGGCACAACACGCGCAGTGCTCCGTTCACACGCAACACCGAAGCAATGCTCAGCCCTGCCTTTTTAGAGTTTACTTTAGCAGCCGCCAAAGGATGGCCATCACCGACAGCATCGCGAATCTCGTGCACCGCCCAGTTTATGAATGCCGGCTGCACGCTGTCGGCAGTGTCCTTGCGTGACAGCAGGCGGGACAGCATAACTGCTGCGCCCTCCATTTCGCAGCCAGGCCGATGCAGATAAAACTTGCCCAGCTCCACCCACTGCTCAACCAGCGTTTTGCCGGAGCTCTCTGATTCAGTGTCGGCGGGCTGAGGCAGATTATCTAGGGGTGGCAGGTTCGAAATACCGCTGTCAATGGACTCGATGTCAAACGGAATCATGGCCAGCAGCGACAGCCATATCAGCAGAACGTAACGCGTCGTCCACACAGAATTTCCCGGCGGGACGAGTGCTGCCACAATGTTGCAAAAACGGGCTCGACGTCAGCAACTCCGTGAGGGAAGAACCGCATGACAATCTTGTAGCCGCGCACCTTGCACAATGTGTAGAGTAGATCAAATACGCCGCCTAGTCTGTTTGTGCCCACTGCACTGGATCCTCCCGACGTTTCGGGTTCACCAGCATTGGCGCCTGCCATGCTGTCATGGTAAGTATAGATGTATTCCTGGATGACCGACATGATACTGCAAACTATGCGCTCCAAATATGGATCGATGCATGTGGCTGCTCCTGATACTGCTCGAGGATGCGTCATCTCGCGCAAAATGCGGCGCTCCTCGACAGGCGCCTCGTTGACTGACCAGCCGGCTGCATCGCCTGCGCTCGCCATTGCCTGGTCGAGCAATTTCAAAAACACAGTGTGCTCGCGGAAGAAAGTGAGAGAGCTGCCGACGTCGTCAGCCGTATTGTCAATCTTGTTGTGTCCATGCTGAAAATATATGAAACTATAAATATCAATTTTGGAATTGAATTTGACAGAAAGTAATTCGAAAACATTCTAAAAAGGTGGTTTGATCTCCCGCCATCATAGCGCCAGACCAAAGGTGCCAGCCCGTTTCAAGGCTACCTCGGACCGATTATTCAACGAGCCCCTTTGCTGCACGTGAGCTTATTTGCCTTGTCATCGCAATGCTGAGAGGGGTATCGCTCGAAATGGTCTGAAGCCAGCTGCTGAGTTTACTTTGTAATATTTGAATAATATTTATTTACACATAAAAATGCGCACAGCCGGACCATTTGACAGATACACAATTAGCTTTTGTAAAGGTCAAGCAGAGCACACTTGAGCAGCTGCGAGCTTGTCTCGCACTGCTCGAACTCGGCGATCCACCGGCGAAGCACCTCTTGGCTGGCAGCGCGCTTGAGGTTGAACGGAGCTGCGGCAAAGGCAGCGCCCAGCTTGCTCTCGGCAAACGCCATCAGTTCATCTCGAATAGTCGGCGACTTTGTCAGCAGAATCTTGTGCAGCACGTAGGTCAGCCACAGCACATTTGTATGCGGGTGGAATTCTTCCCAATTGGACTTTGAGAAGCCCGCATCTTGCGGTACACGTCGTACTGGATGTCTCCCTCACCACGAAACAGCGACTCGTCCTTCAGTGCAACATAGAATACGTTGTTGGCCGGGTCATAGTTGGCCGGCTTGCTGCCGGTCGCGTCGTTGGCATCGTTGTCTATGTGCAGGCGCGATAACGTATAGTCGATAATCGTGCAGCGCACCTTGTAATTGGGGATTGACATCAACTTGCTGTTTCGTCGGCTGTCGACAGGCGGCAGTTGGTACAAAAATGTCTGGTGGCTGTTGGACCGGGTGATCATGATGTTGCCCCAATGCAGGTCGCGGTGCTCAAACTGATTATGCCGCTCAGCGAGTGCCATCGACAGGGCAAGCTGCCGGATGATGCTGCGTGCCTCCTTCCACGTCGATACATTCGCATTCTCTAGCGTCTCGCCGCCCAACTCAAGAACAAACACTGCGAACAGCTGGTTGGGCGGATAATAATCTGGCCGGATATTCTCGCACAAGTCGGGGTATTCGGCCTTCCACCGATCCCAAGCACGCAGCAACGGCGCCGGCAGTGTACCTTGGCAGATACATACGCGGAACGCCTTGACAAAATTGGCGCCCAACTCGCGCTCCTTCGGCTTCAGCGGCGTTTTAAAGTTCAGACGCGCATCCTGCAGCTTATCGCGCTCGCGCTCAGATAGCCTGCTGAGCGCTAGCGTGGCGCCAATCTCCTGGTACAGATCGCGCAGCGTCGTCTGCGGCTCGCCAGTGCCCGATTTGACGTTTGCATTGCCGAATGGGATGATCTTGAGCGCAACCTGCATCAGACGCTCTCCTCTCACTTTCCCCTTTTTGCTATTGAACTTATCGTAGCGGGTTCGTGGAACATAGCGCCACTGTGCAGAAAACACCTCAGAGTACGTGGCCTCGCCAATCTTGCAAAGTCCCGACTCGCTTTCCATCTGGCCAATTTGGTTCTCGCTGTGCTGGACCGGGTCGATCTCTGGAAGCAGTACCCCGCATGCCTGTAAGCCGCCCTCCTCCCAGTCGATTGGAGCTATCTGCCCACATGCAGCCAGAATATGCTCTTCTGCACAAACCGACGCGCAGGCAAAAAGGGAACCCGGGTCTCCTCAATATCTGGCTCCAATTCGCCGGTGGTGCTCATGCGGGCAGAGAGCTATCGCTACTCAGACGCGATTTGTGAGCTTCGGCGGCAGCATCAGGCATAGGCGCAGGATCGGATGCAGGACAGTCGTGAAATCAAGTACAAGCGCAGGCATTGGAGTCTGCAGATCAAGCTGTGGCAAGAGTGGGGCGTCAAATATCGCGGTCCTGCGAGGGTTAATTATAGTCATCGGAGGGGCAGGCGAATATACCACCCGGTGTGGCGTGACCATGCGAGGCGGGCTGTGGGGCACATCGGCCGTGCAGTCAGGGAATCTGGCAGCCATCTTTCGTTGTGGCGTTTTGAGCAAAGGCATAGCGGCGTCGTTGTTAGAGGTTGTGCTGTGGTTTGACTGCGGCTCCTGTGGCAAGCTCTCCGCCATGGCAATCGACAACAAGGGCTCAAACGATATGTCTGCAACCACCCGGCTGCCGACCTTCTGCGTTTGCCCAGACTGCTCAGGCTGCTGGTCGTCGTCGTCCATATCAAATGCCTGCACACGAGCACTGCTCGGGGCCTTAAACCGCAAGGCGCGAGTGCCCATGAGCTTCTGTTGCTGGTCTTCCTTTTCGTCCATGTCCTCATCTTCTGCCACATGCTCAGCTTCTGGGCTGACCTCAGCCACTGCAACCAAACCAGCATCCATGTCAATATCGGGCGTGGGTTGCTGTAAAATGGGGGCGCACATTTCGATATCAGAGACTTTACGTTTGAGCGCAGAAGGCAAAGGGGGATCTGTGTCCATAAGAGGCAGCGTTTCGCCAATATAAATCTGCGACACTCGCCTAGAAATGTCTCGGGTGGGCCGCATTGTGCCTTCCAACTCAATATCCAGAGACAATTTTGAATTAATCGCTTGGTCTTGCTGAGGATCCTGCTGTGTACTGGCTTGCATTTTAGGCCTGGCGGGTCGATTTGGGCGGGTGACCCTACGCTTCGCGACCCTGCCGCTTGCAATAGGGCTGGGTGCAGCAGCTAGGCGTGCGCTGATACTGCTGGTTGACAGTACGTCGGCTGTTCCAAAATGGTACACACTCCGGCTCGGCATTATCGACCGCTGAAAATTCGACTTGCGGCGGCGTTGGGGGTACCAGTCCCTCACCATCAACGTCATGGTGTTTGTCTCGCCTGCAATGACAACATAATGTGGTGAGGGCTCTCGGGGTACTTCTGCTGTTTCTGCTGTGCACGGAATCTGCTCTATACTTTGTGTGTCAGCGACAAATAGCTCCTCGGTGGTTATGTCCTCTGCACTTATGGGCTCAGCTGCATCGGGTGGGCCTATTAAAAACGACAAATTGTTTACTCAGAAACAGATCCATGCCAATTGAGTGACAAGGCTTGTTTGGTATCCATCGATAAGTGTTTTCAGGACAAAGGTTGTTTTGGAATAAGTACACACTTACCAGTTGTAGCAGCCTTCTCATCTGCGGGTACTTCCACTTTCTTCCTGGGCTTCACCTTAGGAGTGATTCTCGGTTTTAGCTTGCTTTTTGTGATTGGTTTTGAGACTGCCCTAGGCTTGGTTTTTGGAGTCTCGTTTGCCTTTGCCTTCACCTTCGCCTTTGACTTGGGCTTTGGCGTTGGTGCTGTCGCTGGCGCAATGTTCTCTGTGTCGGAAGTGTCGCTGTTGATGACCTCTCGAGAGCCGGATTTGACTTCGTGGGGTGTGGCTATTAAAGCTGGCTTGCTAAAAGCAGGTACACTATTTAACAATGCTTTAGCCGGTGTAATCGCCCTGGAGGCCGCCGAGCTGCTCTTTCTGGACTTTGGCGTCGATATCTGTGGAGCCTTTTCTACAAAATCGCTGTCAGAGGAGCTCGAGTCCAGCAAGTCCGCTAGGATCGGCCGCACACTGGTTACACGAGCAAAGTCCTCAGCAATTTTGGCGTCTCTGTGTGCAATTCGCTGTCGGAATCGCCCATATGTTTTGACCATTTGCGGGCCGCCGCCACTGCCATTAGAACCGCCGAGTATGGTGCTGCTGCTGGCGCCAAGCCGCACACGCGGCCGTGAATAATCCATGAGCAAGGATTGTCTATATGAATTGAATTAATATAAAATACAAGGGCGACAAATCGTAACCGTAAATAAATAAATAGAAGGTTGAGCAAAAAATACAGAGTAAAAAAAACAGAAAACTTGGACCGTCACTCGCGATCCAATTGGGTCTTGGGTTTCTTTTTTATTTTCGAGCTGCTTTTATCGGCTCGGCGAGCCGAGCTTAATGTCACATGCAATAATTTAGGACGGGCGACAAAATGCAAAGGCACCCGCAGCAGAGGTCGTCTGCACGGCCTTTGCGTGCTAAGCATTTTTAAATTTCCTAAAATGGATAGAACCGGGCAGCTGTCAACAGCAATCCTCCTGCCTTATCTTGCTTGTTATAAGCAATAAATATGCGATTCGCACTCATGGAGGTGGGCGCGTGAGTGGCATGCGAGAGCAAACAGTGCATTCGCCGAAGTAAATCTTGCTCTCTAAGCAATGCACTGTAATATTTGCCATCGCCAATACCAACTCTTCGGAAGAGGGGGTGCCATCCTTTACACTTCTATTGTGTTGCATATTGGTATCTTTCGCGGAAAAGGTCATCCGCGCACGACTCGCCAGTCTGATGAAAATACCAAAATGCTGCGAAACTTGACTTGGTTTTCAGTTTGTCGTTGTACACTGGCTGCCAGCCGCTAGCTAGTATTTAAGACAGGGGCCGCCGCGTGGAGGAAAAATACCATTATCGTCGTCTTTTTAAAAAAAACATTCCAAACTTTTACCTTTATAACTTATATTTCCCCACACAACCTTAATAATTTTACAAGCACCAAGAATGGCACCCTCCGGCAAGCACTTTATCTCTGACCCCAAGACCCTCGTCAGGAACAGCCTCACCGGCCTGGCCATGGCCAACCCCCATCTGGCTTTTGATGAGCAGCAGAAGGTCACCTTCACTAAGGATCTGGCAGACCTTCGCCAGCAGCAGGTGACGCTGTTCTGCGGTGGTGGATCCGGCCACGAGCCCGCCCACGCAGGCTTTGTCGGCCACGGCGCACTGACCGCCGCTGTTTCGGCCACGTCTTTGCATCCCCCACCTCATCGCAGGTACTCTCTTGCTCCGCCGCGTGTACTCTGAGGAGCACGGCACGCTGGTCGTCATCAAGAACTACACCGGTGATGTGCTGAACTTTGGCCGCGCCATTGAGCGCTTCAAGTCCGAGCGCGTCAACCATGGAAAGCCCCTGCCCAACGTCACCACCGTTGTTGTTGACGATGATGTTGGTGTTGTCAACCCTAACGACGATTCAGAGGGTGGTGTTGGCCGCCGCGGTCTGGCTGGCACAGTTCTCGCATACAAGTTGGCGGGTGCCCAGGCTGCGGCCGGCGGTTCCCTGGAGCAGGTCAAGAATATTGCAGACTACGCTGTCTCCCACTCGTTCACCATTGGGTGCGCGCTCAACGCTGCTTCCGTTCCGGGCCAGGGCATGCCGCGCTCGCTCAAGGACAACGAGGTCGAGATCGGCATGGGCATCCACAACGAGCCTGGATTCGAGACCAAGGAGCTGCAGGCCGCCGATATTCTGATCCCCAGCCTGGTCAAGCACATTGTCAGCAGCGAGCCATTCAAGAAGGCGTGCCCGGTTGTTGAAACACCCGCGTCGTGCTCTTGGTCAACAACCTTGGTGCGACGTCCAACTTGGAGATGGGCCTGGTGACCAAGCTCGCCACCGAAGCCACCCGCGCCCACGGCTTTGAGCCTGTGCGCGTCTTCTCAGGCACCTACATGACTGGACTGGCCATGCCGGCGCCAGCATCACGCTGCTTGTGCTTCCCAAGGATGAGTCACACTACAACAATCTGCTGGCACTCGTTGACCAGCCTGCCTACTGTCCGGCTGGGTCAACCACGCGCGTGTCAAGGAGGCTGCCAGCACGACGAGTCCGCCCAGGGCCCGTCTGTCGAGTTTGAGCCTGCATCTGACCCCACCTGGGAGCGAGTTATTGCTGAGGCATACAACAACGTTGTTGTCGAGGAGCCATATGTGACCCTTCTTGATCAGCTCATGGGCGATGGTGACTGCGGACAGGTCCTGCTCTCCGGCGCCACCGCCATTCACGAGGCCTCTGAGGCCAAGGAGCTGCCTCTGAACGACCCCGCGGCTGCTTTAGCCCGCATCTCGTCCCTGATTGAGGACGCCATGGGCGGTACTTCGGGTATCATCTACTGCCTGTTCCTCGACGGCTTGGCCCAGCAGCTGTGCGCGCTGGAGATCAAGGACAACGGATCCCTATCCGCTAAGGTTTGGGGCAAGGCTATGCTCGGTGCATTGGACACTCTTTACCAGTACACCACTGCTCGCCCTGGCCACCGCACGCTCATCGACGCCCTGCAGCCCTTTGCCAGCACTCTGAGCGAGACCGGTGACTTGAGCGCAGCGCTGGACGCTGCTGATAAGGGAGCCGCAGCACCGCCCATATGCAGCCGAAGCGCGGCCGTGCTGTCTACGTCCAGTCGAAGGATAGCACTGCAGATGCCGGTGCCGCCGGTTTGGTTGCTGTGCTTAAGGGCGTTGTCAGCGCGCTCAAGTAATACAAATGCTTGACTGAACACCTATTTTTAATAACCTTTAATTATCCGATTCATTGTACTAATTTCATATGCAACTAAATTCGTTACTTGATATAAACATAAACATGTGTGTTGGTTTTGTCGGATAGCATGCAGAAAATAACTGCTTGCCCAATGATGGCTTTAAATTGCCAACATATGCCATTACATTTTAAAAGCCTGGCAGGCGTAACAAAAAACATTTATTTGCAATAGCAGATGTTAGATGTCAGATGTTAAATATCAGATAAGATGTGCGCCAATCGACTTTATTGGATTATCAAAAATTAATCGATTCGTGTGGTGATCTGACATTGCATGTTTACTTTGTAAGTTAAAGCTGCGGTAACCTTCGGAAAGAAAAAACAGATCCATTGAGTGGGATATAAAAACAAGTAAAAAAACAAAAGTTGAGAAATAAACTGATTGTCTACCACACCGCCTTGCCCATCATGGGCTCTATTGGAGATCTGGCTACATGCCTTTATAACAAAATTATTTTAGGGCAGCGTGGTTGGGAATTATCCAGCCGGAGCCTAATTGCTAAAGTGGAAGTGTCCACCAGGATAACTACAATGCTTTTCATGAATTTAAAATGCAGAAACCATACACATTACTACAAATGTAATTTTGGACGAGCTACGCTTGAATATATCAGGGATTTTTGAAAGACACTTTGCAGAAAAGCGCTAAAAGTATTTTGATTTTTCACTATAGTGCTGAATTATAAATATGGCAGGATTTTTGTTGCTTTATAGGCAATTGTTGTACAGATTGACCATAATTTGGCATTGGGCAATGCTATAAAGGCAACAGGAATTCAGACCTGCTTGTCTTTTAGTCAAGAAACGAGAAAGCAGAAAACAAAATTGGTATCCTCCTTAGTTGTGTGGCTCTACCAGCCAAAATTGTATATATATACTACACGGTCAGCCTCTATTCTTGCATATGGTCTTTACATCACATTTCCAATTTTCACTTTTCCATCCTACCAGCTCCAGCTCCATCTCGTTATTATTTGTATTTTATTCAATTTCCAACAATGTACGCAGTATTTATCCGTGTTCTGGAATCGGCGTTGTGCCTGTTCCAATCATCCTACACGCTCGCTCTTCCTTGCCCGCTCAACCTTTAGCCCTCGACCACCCTTCCATTATTTCCACTTCTTTCCTCCCCAAGCGCATTGTCAATGGTTTCAATATGGCTGAGGTGCTGGGTTCTGGCGAAGCAATCGTACTTTTAAATAAAAAGAAAGTTATTATGCTTGTGGCCGAATAATCGTATCCCGAGGCATATTCTCACCTCTGCAGTTTGCCTGGTTAATTCTGAAAAGTGCTTGCCTGCAGCTAACGTCGGTATCGGCCTAGGACACTACAAAGACAACCAGAATCCTTATGTTACACCAAGGTAGCTCTTCATCCGAATTATCCTTCCAGCGAACACAATTGGAAGCTGAACATCAGTGTTATCGAGCTACCGAAAATAACGCTTGACCAGTATAACAGCCAGATGCCTAGCTACGACGGACCCATCGGTGCCGGGAAAAACCTTCTGGCTGTTGTTGGGGTGAGACAGAAGAAAACACCTCGGCTTGGCTAAGGATACTCCGGGGCATGCTGGTCAAGATTGAAGATAAGACATCGTGCGAGAAATATGACGATGCTTTTGTAGACAACAATGGCCCATTATCTGCACTCCGGGGCGCTCACTCCGTACCACAATATTTGTATGGGTGACTTTGGCTCCGGGCTGTATGCGAATTACAATAACAAGCTGGTGGTCGCTGGCATTACTAGTTTTATAGCAAATTTCGGCGATAACAAGTACGGCAACGCCAAGGGTCTCAGTTTTGCTGTAACATTGTGTATCATATGGTCTTTATTATGAATGCGACGCGCCAGGGCATACCTTACCGGTCTTACTGAGATGTATTAGTTTACTGTGTTAAATTTGATGCTTTTTTCTTGTTTACTGGGTTAGCTGGCGTTTAGTTCTGTTGACCTTTCAGAGATATTGTAGGCACATATTTATAACATTTAAATAACAATAAATTTAATACTTAATTTGAAAATAATTGAGAAATAAGATGGAAAAACAGACTGTTTTAGTGCATGAAAACCGGAGGCGGAGCGAGGTCGCCACCAATTCCAGTATATGAACGGCTAATTTTTTCAAAATGCCGCTCGGGTCTTCTCGGTTTCATAGACACGGTCGATAAGCAGGGTGTTCCGTTGCCAAGATACTGTGCACCGGATCCCTCCCTAATAATCTGACTGGTATTTTGGTGCTGGTAGCCGCCCTGCGAGTATGGCATTTTTTCAGTATGCTCCCTGGAAGGATTCCTGATACCCGCGCCAAGTCCAAGCGCTGCAGCAAAGATGGTATTTCAGTTGCCATCTCTGCGCGCCTCTGTGATATCTTATGCATACCAGCAGCCATATGGTCGTTGTTAGCATGCATAGTGTACGTAGGGCTGCTGTCGCCGTAGGCCGGCTGATGGTAGCCGTAGGCAGCGTGCCCAGGCATGGATACATGCATTGGCTGTGGAGCTCCCCATTGCCCATGGGATGGTTGCGAATACGCTGGCAACCCCTGCATTGGCGAATGCAAGTATCCGTGCTGAACAAAGTTTCCAGACGTGTGCGGGAGTGGCGGCACTGGCGGGATGCCATGCTGGGAATAGGGTATTTTGGACCCGTTGAATGCAACCCCGGATTTCATTGATGCGACCTGACGGTGGTTGCCATTTCCATACGACGCTGATCTTTTGGCAGCTGCTGAGCTGAGCCCCGGAGATCTCGCGCGAATGGATCCATTTTGCGATGGTTCAGTCTTGGCATGAACTGACGCACTGGCACTGTTGTTACCAGTACCTCTTTGCCACGAGTCTGACATGTTTGAATTGACAGGTTGGGCTGCGTGCGGCTGTTTGACAAAGACGGAGTTCGGAGGGCGCGCAAAACTTGAGTGCGAGCGCGCTGGAGAACGCCCGTGAATGTCCATATGTTGGAAGCTAGGGGCCGATGGCTGGGTGCCATAATAACTGAGCGGCCGGGCCCTGCCAAACTGCTGCTGCTGCTGCTGCTGGTCCAGGCCACGCTCGGCTCGTGTAAAAACGCGGAGCCAGCAAGCCGAGTGGCGCTTCTTGGTGGAACAGAGTAGCACTGGTTATCAAACTGTTGTTTGAAAAAGCCCTGGCTAGAAATCGAACGCATCTGCTGGTGCTGCTGTGCTTGTTGCTGAGCATAAGTAGGCGCCGCGCCAATGCTGGAGTAAGTGCTGGGGTACTGCGCCAGATGGCTCGCATAGCTGTCTCCCCCCAGATGTAAAGGGTGCAAGCTCTGCCGCTTAAACTGCTGGTGCTGCTGGTCCTGCTCCATATTGAGTTTCTGGATCTCAATCTGCATCCGCTGCTGCTCTAGCTGTTGCGACAGCAATGCCTGCTGCTTAGCCACTTGTACCCGTCGACGCTCCTCAATTTGGACAGCGAGCGGCACGCCTGCCGCTTTTCAATAATATCAGAATCCGGACGTTGTCGATGCCATCCTTGTCAAGAATACGAGCCTGCTGCTGTAGCTGTTTGTGCCTCTCCACAACCTTGAGTCGCTCCTGGATTGTGTTAAAGTCGCCAAACACATCTTGGGTCTGTCGAGACTCATGGCTGCCCAGCCCAACAGTTGCACTGCCTGTCATGCTGCTAGTGTTGACTATCTGCGACTGCGCCAAAGGCATGTTGGAACTGTACACATTGAGAATGGCCTCGGAGCGATTGTCCCGAGACCCGTTGTGCTGGCCGTGCGCCAAGATGCTAGAGTGGTTAATGGGCTCTTTGTGGTTAATGATAGAGCTATTCAGTTTGAGGCGGATGGCCTTAAGCGGCATGATTTTGGACTCGCTCTTCACCCGACGCATGCGGCGCACAGCAGTCTCTGGCTTTATCTCAATCTCTCTTTGAACGACGCCCCTGTTTATCTGACCGCGGACCACTTTGCTGATGCCAATGTTGGTGGGTTCGACAGACTCGTATTGGAAAATCGGCACTGCTTGCGACCTGAAGGAAGCCATGCTGTCGTTTGCCATTGGAATGCCTCTGTCCCGCCGGTCATGGATTCCAGACGGCCGATTGCTACGTCCGACTGTAGTGTGAAGGGCGCGCGACGCATTTAGAGACTCGCTATACTTGGACAGCAGCGCTGTCTGAATCCCAAAGGACCTTGCAGGCTCATCCAGCTGCGAGATGCCGCGTTTAGAGCGCGGGTTCCAATTGTCACTGTGCTTTGATAAAACACGCTACTTTTATCTGTCAGTAGATTGTGCCCAGGGGAGTCCAACAGTCTGCCGCGTGCTTGACGCTCATGATTGTCGACACCACTGTGACTCTCGCACGGAAGCGCAGTTGGTCCAGTGTGAGCCGCCGCACCAGCCAAAGCGCAGTTTGTAACCGAGATTGAGTCGCTCAGCATAGACGTCCAATCAGTCAACCAATATTGTCCAAAATCGATCCTGTAAAATCAGCAATGGATGGGCTCAACGCTACACCAGACATGGCAGGCTGACTCGGCATAGTCACGCTATTGACCATGCCAGCGTCAACTGCAGTATAGGAAGCTGTTGTTCGCGTGCGCCTGGTATCAATGCTTGCCATTAGAGCACCCAAGGGTACATCGGCGTCGGCTTCGTCATCGTTGCCAAAGATGTTGGTGCAGTCACTATAGCCGCCAGTTGTTGTAGCTGGAAAAGTAACAACCTTTGTCTCGAGCGTGCCCTGTGCTGGCTTGCCTGACGATGTCATGCATATGTGCTTCTGGTGCGGGGAAGCGGGGACTGACAGCATTGACAAAGAAAGCACTGTCTGAAGAACATCTACGCTTTGACCAGGTGGCTTGTCAGTGTGGGGTTCTTGCATAAAATCAAACAAGTTGCCAAATCCATAGCTGTCGGAATGGCCAGGGCTTAAACCCGTGTCGAGGGCGATAGCTAGCGGTGAGACCTTGTTGTTTGCGCGCAGGCTGGCGGAATATGCGCTATGGAAAACACATTGGCAAAATCGCGGGCGTGATTGTACGCGTGCAGCTGCACTTGCGCCTGTGAGGTAGCCGGCGACTGCGGTGAAAGATCATTGACTGATGCCACTTCAGGATACTCCTCGTTGAAAAACAAATCGGCGTCAAAGCTCTCGACATCAAGGCGGGTGCCGGTGCTCTGTAAAATCATGCCGCTAGTGGCAGCGGCGGCAGGTTCCGGACAAGAGGGGATACTATATAGAGGCAGCATCTGTTGCCGCTGCAGAGCGTTGCGAGTCAGCATCCGCAATGTAATTGTCAGAAGACTGGCGGGCAGACCAGGGCGCATTGTCGCCGCCGACTTCTGCATCAATAAAATATTGGATGGTCTCTATCCACAGATCACGGTCGCCGGGAGTCTGTGCGCGCAGAACAATCGCTTCTGTCTGGAGTCTAATGACAAAGTCGCGCTGCCCTTGCACCGAAACGCCAGATATCTGAGACAGATTGGTCAATTTTTTGCACTTGAGGCGTGCAGCCTGGTGTGGATCGACGGCCCCAATATTGCCGATGACAAGCTTGAGCGGCTGCTGGGCGCTTTGGGGGCTCCTCTGAGCAAGGGGATCTCGCGGCGACGGCAGTTGATCAGAAGAAAGCTGAGCCAGCCATGCTGGTCAAGGTGGAATAGGCTTTTGGACCACCCGTAGAAACGGCTTTTCCTCTGTAGATAGCCAATGGCGCCGTCTGCGCAAAAGTCGGCGTCCTCAGACATGTTTGTCTTTTGAGGCGACGTGCACGCGGTCTCGTCTGAATTGGGTAGCTAATGGATCAAAAAATGAGGATGTTTTTTAATTAGTAAAAGTTTGTGGCGGTAGTCAAGTAAAAAATGCAGCATCATGGCATGTATCATTATCATGAACAACGATGACCTGTTTATGTTGCAAACAGTCCCAACTTACAATAAATGAGACTGTAAGTACACTATTATATGTGCTTGTGTATTGTTACGGCAGATATCACGATGATGCCAGCGAGAAGAAATAAATCGAATACGATAATAATAAAAAAGTGGAATGTTCAACTGTAAATCAAAGTCCAAGTTGCTCGCAAAGCCTAAAGTCGGCGGTCAAAAGTAAACTATATATGAACGAGAATATAATGCGGACCAAATGTAAAATATTGAATGCGAAAATCACAAGAGTAAATACGAATGATAAAAGCGGCCTTGTGAAAAGTAAAAAACGATAAACAAGGTGCGCGCGGAAAAAGATCTTGTCACGGCAGACATAGAGTTATTTAAACATTTTCTAACTTCCACATACGATATTGAGACACCATGGCCGCCACTAACCCTTATCATTGTATTTTCCCAACAAAATTAAATAATGTTGCTGACATGAGTTTCTGCACGCTGCCAAAGCGCTGCCCCCATATAGGCGAGGAATATGTCCCCATGCCGTTATTTGAATAATTATCTTTGTTTGCTTACTCATTTGATGTTTGCGCAAAAATAAAAATGCGGGGGAACATGCGGGTGAGAAAAAACATTTTGTACATTAGAAATAGGCAAACTCAATAAATAATATACATGTCAATGTTTTATTTACGCATGGGTGATCCGCGGAGATGTGCCTTTTCAGCATTAATGTGCCGTTGTATGAGTTGTGGAGATCTATCATTTTACAGGCACTCGCTAGCCATGCTCGCACACTAGCTTACAATAGTGTTGTTTGGAAAAATGTTGTTGTGGGGATTAAGCATAAAAATGATAAGATGGCACATACGTATTAAATATGCCCCGAAACAGCATGGCTGGTATGCTGCCACACCGCTTTTCGAATTTGCCTATAAAGTGGTCGAAAAATACATCAACAGAGGTAAAGCTTTTGTGTGTATTGGATAAATTTGGCTGATTAGACCTGTCAAATCAGCATGTGGCTTGACCAATTAAATATTGCTGGATCAACAGATAGTAATGATAGCTTGTAAAAAAATGTGAAATTGGAAATGAGACATGACGAAATGAATGGATGGTTTGGTGATGAATTAGGATAAACACCCCACTGCTAAAATCTTTGCTTTGCGCAGGGTTGGGAGAGCACTCAAGAGGCAACGGTAGGGTGCACGCACGCTTCCGGATGGCGTATGCACCACAGTGGTTGCAACGGCTCGGCCATGATTCCTCTAGCCACCATGCGGAATCTCTGGTCAGTTAAGCGGGGCGCAACCTTGGCGGCATCGCGAGTGGCATTCGTGATCGGGTCGAAGTTGCCGACCACATGATCTCTGCGAACGCGGATGCTCGCGGCCAGAGGTAACGGTCTACAGTGGTCTCATCAGACTGCGCGGAAAACAGAACGACCTCGCCGCCCAAAACAAGCTTCTGCTTTTCGGGCTCGGTGATATTGGCAAGCGGGTCGTAGTTATAAATTTGCTGCCAGCCCTTGTAGGGATCGCACCACGAGCTGCCCTCAAAGTTGGACAGCCATGATCCGTGGCCACAGTCCAAGTGGTATCTGTTCCACGGAGAAGCAATCACACGGTAACCCTTGTCGACGAGCTTGCTGACCGAGTCCTCGCCAACCAAGCCTGCATGATGGTAGTATTCTTGGATGTATAGTTAAAGTTTAGCACCGGTTCTTCGTAGAGGAACGGTATTTTTCCCATGTCGGCGAGCTTCCCAACCATCTGCGTAAACCAGCCGACTGCCAGCGACTCGACGCTCTCGCCAGGATGATCGCGTACATACAGCTCGATGACGGGGTCCTCCTTCCAGCAGTCCATATTAATAGAGTTCCCGCCAATGTGAAAGCCCAAGTCGATGAACAGGCGACTATACTCGGTGATAATGTCGAATGCAAAACTCACGGCGCGAGGATCGGCAATATTGAGCTGTCCACTTGGCGGCTCGACAGCATATTTGTCCCAATTGGGCTGCTTGTTGAGGCAGCTCATGATTTCGGGATGCGCTTCTCCGATGACAAAGGTGTTGGCAGGCATGTTAAACTCGGGCATAATGCGGATGGCACGGTTCTTGGCGTAGTTGATAATCTTCTTAACATCTTGGTATGAATAGCGCATGTCCATGGAGTACATGCCCTTTTCTGTCAGCTCGGGATGCACCTTGGACTCGATGGGCCACGAAAACGCGTCGACAACATGCCAGTGCAGCACATTGAGCTTGTTGTAAGACATGGCATCAAGAGTCCTCAGGATAGAGTCGACATGATAAAAGTTGCGCGAGGTGTCGAGAAGAATGCCGCGGTGGGTGAATTTCGGTGCATCGACGATTATAATCGGCGCGTTCTTGATCATCTTTCGCCCTGAGTTGGCCACAATTAGTTGTGAGAATGTCTCGAGCCCGCGCACAGCGCCAAAGGGCGTCTTGGCACTGAGAGCAGCCTTGCCTTCAATTGGCACCTCCAGAGTGTACGACTCGTCAGTTTCGAGATCCAGCACGTCCTGGGCAGACTGCACATCAACTTGGAGAGAGTAGATATAGCCGGAGGTCTTGAGGGCGCCCTCGTTAAAGCTGTAAGGTGAGTCAAAGAACTCGTGCTCAACGAGGTACTGATAGCGCTCTATGGCAGCGTTGAGGACGGAGCTGGATGTGACATTTGACTTAATCATAAAGTCACTGCGTTTGATCTCGACGCCAATCTTGCCGTCGTGATATTCAGAGGGCATGGGCCAGAGTGCCTGCACAAACGGCGCGAGTGCAATGAATAGAGCCGCCGCCGCTGTCGTGGTCAGTGAATTTGAAGCGCGATTGAGCCACATTTTCGGCTGTGGGGTACAAGTTATATATGCTATAATATGAACCGAATTAAATATGCAGAGTATAAAATAATTAGTAAATGCTAACAAAAAGAAGCAAACAAGAAAGAAGAGAAACAAAAAGATGTCTGCTATGGCTATCGTCAACACGGCCCACTATTAAATCGACAATTTGCAAAACCGTATATTGCTACGCAGAAACAACCACTCCCGGGAATGTTTGTTTCCTACTCGTATATTTCCTAAGGCTGGCATGTAGGAATGAATTTTGTTTACTTGACGGTAACATGCCTATTGCCGCCAAATCCTTTGAAATTACTTTGAGGATATATATCCCACACACATTTCCAGCGTTCATTCTCAGTCAGCGTTGATTAGATATCATTTTAATCGGCGCCAGCATTTGTGAAGTGGAGACCATTCAGGCTGATTTTGGCACGCCCGAGTGCGCGTAAAAAACATTGCAGTAGCAACAGACAAAAAAGGGGGACGATGCCAAATAAAAAGAGCAGCAGCAGTTACCGTTCCCGGTCTATTAGAAATTTTAAAATTTAAAATCAAGCGCTTGACTAATTATTGACAGCGAAAAGTCGCTGTTATTTTCATTCTTCGCGTAACGTTGGCAAAAAATGTTTAGCAGCGCTGGGTTGAAGACTGGCATTGAAGCAAAGCCGCGCTATGCAGATGTTTTTGTTAGTAGCTGAATAAGGTGTCATAGCATATCACCTGGCAAGGACATATCGATATGCTGTGCTATTCCCGCATCAGACCAGTAAACAGCCGTCAGCCGCCTGCGCTTCTGAACCACAAAGAGCATTTTCAACATGGACGTAAATTGTGTGACAATCCTCATGTGTCGAAGAGCAGCAATGCTTGAACCAAACATGATTTTCGTTAATTTACACAGCAATTTTCTGTGCTCGCTTGAGCCTCACTCATCGCCAGACCCCTTTTTGTTTTGTTTTGTTATTTGTCTTTTCTCCGTTTCAGTGTTTATTTTTTCGTCTTGCGCATCTCGTCACTTTTAGTTATTTTGAATTTAAATTTCAGCCTTGGAGCTCTTCCCCTTTACTCACACTCTCGTTACAGCCTTTACCAGAAGACACATCCTTAGCACACACACTCGCACACACGATATAAACGCGGCGCAGGAGAACGCCAGAATAAACCGACTTTTCATTATTATTATTTATTTATTTTTGGGGATACCGCTCTACTTTTTGTGACCAGCAATTCGAAGCCCAAGCCAGTTGCCAATTCAGCTGCGCTTTAGATTCGCGCGCGCAATATAGGAGAGTCGATGACTGCAGCGCCCATGCTTTCGTCAAAGGCAGGCGGCGACCCGCCCTTAGACCTCGCCGGTCGGCCCGGTGTGGCTGGGAACGAAGATGCCGAAAGCCTGTCAGCATCCGGCGAGGCAGAGCTGATTATAATACAGCGTTGGCGACATCAACAACAATCACAGATCCTGGCAACAACACTAGCGGAGGCAATAACACGCGCTCATTTCGCTTCCTTCTTACGTTGGCACTGCGCAAGGCACAGACAGCTGTTACATTGGACAACGGCGGCCATGTAGAGGAGTCCATTAGGACGTATCGAGAGGCGATTAGCATGCTGGGCCTTGTCTTGGACCGCACTAGCGAGGAGGACGGCCGCCAGCGGCTTTTACACTTTGTAAGTACCAACACAGCGTCCTCGTGCCCAAAATTATTACAATGCTTTCTGCGCCTGTTTAAATGGCCTTCTTCCCTACTCCTTTAAATGTCCGCTACGGCCCTATATTTCTGGCCACAATCGTGACAATTGCTCTCAAAGGCAGCGATGATAGTAACGGCGGCAGTGGTGGGCAGACTGCACGAGGGCTGGGCTATTGTCCACGCCAAAAATGACATTATGCAAGTCCTTGGAGAAATGAGGAGAGGAATCAGTTTGCGTGGCCTGTGCAACAATCGTCGCTCAAAGTGTTTCCCAAAGCGCGTTACTGTACATACAAAGCAGCGTATGCCTTGGGGACGATTTTGGCCAACAGGCAAGCTGCATAAGCCCTTGACTATCGCACAGCCGTCTGTCGGTTTTAGCGTGCTTTTTTCCAGCCAATGCACTGGCAATTGTTTAATCGTGACACAACCTGTTGACCTGCATTCAGATATCCTGTCCTTTACTACACACGTCTTTTCATGCAGTTTCTAGGACTGTCGCGAATCCATTTTTTTCGCCGTAATTGCTAGACCTTTTAATTGTATTCTAATTGCTGCATGCCCTCTTATTTTTTGCATCTCTCGCTATCTCTCGCTATCTCTCGGTCACAAATACTGGCATTGATCTGTGTAGAGGCAGACATACTCAGATCGCGTATCTGTTTTGTCTTCTCTGCGCCCCAACCAACCGAGTCATTGGCCGCCACAACCAAACACCACAGGAACAAATTCAGTCCCAAACGCTACAGCAAGAAACGCTGCCCCAATACGAGCAGCGGAATTTACCGCCACAGTATGAGCAGCAGCATGAACTCGCTGTACCAGAAGTGAACGCGCTGGTCAATGGTAGAGCGAATTTCAGCATCGGTGCTGCAGACGGACACCCGGAGATGGCCCTCCAGGAGGCCACATACACCAGTCCAGAATGATTCAAGCTAGCCTCGGACCTGTGACAACAGCCAACTCCATATTCACAGAGGCTGCCAGCCGGCCAAACCAGGGCGATTCAGCAGCTCTGCCCCATTGGTACCACCAAAGTCCGACGCTGACACGACTCAGTTTCAACCCTTATCGCCAATTCACTTTTCTCGGCGCAGGCAGGACTTGCCGCCAAACGAGCCGACTCTGTGGTTGAGGACCATGTGGCAGAAATGTCCAACACCAGCAATGCACTGCCCACTCTGAAGGCAAAGGCCTCTCAGTTGAAATTGAGTCCTCGGTCGGTTGCACCACTTTCCCCGATCATCTTGAACAAGCCACTGCCTCCTCTGGCCGGCGAGGGCACTTCTCCCGTTCCAATGCGCAAAGACAGCGTTTCGTCCTTAACCAGCGCTTACACGGAAGAATTGTTGTCACCCAAAGTTATGGACGAAATCAGTATTGTCGCAAAACGCAATGTCAGCGACAGCCCGAGCATTGTGCAGGATCCAGTGCATTTGGATCAGGCAACACATCTTGCACCCGAGGCGGGGAGGCGAAGATTTGAGCATGGCGAAGCAGAAGCCGAGCGACAAGGAACCTGAAAAGGGTGGGCGGAGACAGAGCATCAAAAGCCAACGCAGCCTGCCGGCAATGTTTGGAATTGGGCTCAAGGGCAAGGCTGAAAAGCTGGCTCCTCCGGTTCCGCAGCTCCCGGCTGGGGAAAGTAGCTCGTCCAACATCGGGCGCCGTCTTTTTGGCGCGCTGCGAAACAACTCGATCAGCGCACCGGTCAGCGACATTGCCGACTTTATCGAAATCGCTCCAGCTTCAGACCAGCCAGCTGACAATCTCGCCAGAAATTCGCGCGCCGTTTCTGACGCAACCATTGACAATACTCGGGCTATTGGCTCCCCCGTTGCCACTTCCAGCACCGACGACATTGTCATAATCGACCAGAGCCCCGCCACACCCCAAGCGATATTGCCGCGGGCCCTCCGCCGCCCACGCCCATGAAGGACACCCCCAGCTGCCCTCCAAGTCCCCAGCCCAGATACATTCCCAAGGGCAGGCAAACTCATTGGCGAGTGCGACATTGAGTACAAGTCCTAGCTTTGCTGCAACTACGATTGTGGCTGCAAGCGACCCTGAGGTTGTGACTGAGCCTGCGACATCCACTTTGACTGTGACCTTGCAACCACAGGCCCAAACCCGCTTCAAACAATGGCTCAGACCCAAAGGAGGCAGAGTAAGGCCACCAATCGGCTAGTCGGCCTGTTTAAGCGCAACCCGTCGATTCCTGACATCATGCCTCCCATTACAACCCAAAAGCCCGCTGGCGACGCGGCAAGGTCGGGGCTGGCAATCACACCGGCACCGCCGGCGGCGTCAAATCTCAAGGACAGACGGTTGTCGACCTCGGCATCGACGCCAAACTTGATTGAGGTTGCCGCTGCCGCCGCCGCCGCCAGCAACGACCAGCCGGCGATGGCTGTATATGCAGCGACTGAGCGGGGCGACATTCCGCCAATGCCAGTGCCGCCAACCATGAGACCCAGCATTTCTTTGGTGTCCAACTATAACGGATTATCTATGGAGTCAATAGGCACTGCAGATAACAACAGGTCAGGATCTTTGCTTTCAGCACGCACGGCTCGGGGAGGTTCTATTAGCGACACAATGGTGGCGAGCGTGGGCGGAATTTTGACGGGCATCGAGGACCAGAGCTCGACGCAGCAGCAACAGGTCCTGAGACCCGCATTGCGCATAGCTACCCACACAACCAGTGAGGCCTTGGCATTTGTTTCCGAGCACACGCAGTTGCATGAGTCTATCATGAGTGCTAGTGCGGATGGCACAATGCGCAGTCGCAAGTCCAGCGTGGCCGCTTCAGGCTCGCAATCCATAGCCCGTAACGGTATGGGCCTGGCCGCTGGCATTGTGAGCAATAATGTGAGCTTTTCTTCCAACGGCCAATCTTCGCAGCAGTCGTACGGGCGCCCCACGCTCGCAGACGTCGAGGAGACCAGCGGCTGGAGATGTTTGACCTGTCTTTTGGCACATTCCAACCGGCTCTTGGACCGGCTCCCCCAAAGTCGAGCCCACTGTCGGCCCTGTGGTTTATCAATACTCTGCACCGGTCGATGACCACTGGCGGTGCGTACCTGACCCCCAGTCTGTTCATCCCCAGACGGCTGTGGTTCCAGACGGGCATCCGCGTTGCTGCGATTGAGACAAAGCTCGGCGTATTAGCCCAGCTGACTCAGTCGTTCTCATCGATGAACTCACAGCTCTCACTGCCCAACATTGACGCGCTGTTTTTGTCAAACGTGCCAGCCAAGCTGGAGGAGTGCCGGGCAGAGACCACCCCGTGGGAGTCAGAAGACAAGAGCGGCCGCAACAACCCGGAGAAGGACAGCCTGCATAAGGCGTGCGTGGCGCTGCACCATTGGCTGAACAACCTGGAGGAAATGCTGGAAAGCAACCGCCGTTGCTTGCCAAGAAGCTCAAATTTGTCAATCCGTCTTCCAACACCGCTGTTGCAGGCGCTACCTTGTCCAACCCGCTGGCCGCCGCTTCGAACGAGAATCTGCAGGCGTCCTTTACGCACCTGCCATTTGCGGCCACTGCCTTCCCTGCCGCCAGCTCGCACGATGGCAACAACCAAGTGAGCAATGCATCGTTCCCGAACTTGACGCTTAGCAATGGCGATCTTGTCAATGGCAGCAGCCACACAACGCCCATGTCGCCCACCAGCCCAGATGTCGAGCTACCGTCCGAAACGCGGACATCCGATGTGCGTATTCCAGAGGCTCCGAACGGCGTTATGTTTGGCGGCAGCGGTATGGCATCCGCGTCAAACGCGAACCGCGATCAGCTGAGCAAGGACCAGATGGGCAACTCGCGGTTCAAGGGGCTCGGGAAACTTGGCAAGAGCGTCGACCGGCTCTACTCGAATATTCAGAAGGAGAAACTCGATGACACCTCAGCGTACGTGGTGGCGCTGCAGCGGTTGTTCGAGGCAGCGATGGTATTGGAGGGGCTTATGCACTACTTTTCGCGGGTGGCCAGCGATACTGAGATGTCGGGGTGGTTCACTGACGTGCCGCAGTCGCCGGTATCTTTAGCAAACAGGCGCCCGCAGCACCGCACTCATGGCGAGTCGGTGAGCCGAGGCGGCATATCGCCTTTGATTATGCAAGCTGCGCTGACTCAGAGCCATCAGTGTCGTCAATTGGCTCGGCGGCCGAAAGGAAGTCATCGAATGCATCGACATCCACAAGCGCGACTGCTGCTGCTGCTGCTGCTGCACGGCAACTGCGATGTTGACGGCAACTACCGCCGTATCCCCTGCTGCTAATGGCACCAATGCCACTACAACTACTGCTGGGACTGACAAGAAGAACAGACGGCGGTCAAACTACTTTAGTCAGCGCCAGAACAGCACTGGATTTGTTGAAACCAATGAAGCCATGCCTAGCATCAACACGAAGCAAAGCCTCGCACAGAGTCCTTCTCGTCAATTCCGCGCCTAATGCCTACTATGGCGGGTCCACTGGGTCCGCTGGGGGTGGCCCATCAGCGAGCACTGGTGCTGGTGCTTCTGCAAATAGCAGGTTTATTCTGGCTCAGAGCCCAATTAAAAACCCGATGAGCTACGTGCAGCAAGGAAGGGGTCGTGCGCCTGGCGTCATTTACGCCCGCCTGGTGAAGGTTGCAGAGTGGCTGAACCAGGTTCTATTAGCGTGGATAGTCAGAGATCTGCAGGTGCTTTATGCCAAGTACATCAAGCGGCTGCGGAATGGGTTATCGAGTAATTGGCCTGACAGACATGTCATTATTGTTATCGGATCCGAGGCGACAGCCTTGAAACTGTCGCCATTTTTATTTTTCGTATATTATCAACTTAGCTGCGCTTTTATTTATGCTTTTAATTTTCTGTCAATTTATTTTTCTTTACTTTTTTCTATTTACTCCAACTCATGTGCGCTAAAACCCGGCAAATATTATACTTTTATTTTCAATATATGCCTCCCTTCCACCCTCTTAGTTATTTTTGCGTATGGCTGCACACTGACAAATGAAAGCCACGATGCACACATTATCCTAATCCGCTATATATTTTATTTACAGCCCAGTAATATGCGATTCATGGCACCCTGTTCTACGCTCGTCAATTGCCGTTCAGTAAAGCATACCGCCACAATACCGGATAAAGTTGAGTCCAACAGAAATTGCACATAGTTGGGAACAAATGAGTAATTAGATGTTTTTCAATGATTATTTCAAGCAAATAGTATGTGTATATTGTCTGCTAGCAGACAATAAAAAACATTTTAAAAAATATATATGTACAAAATTATTTTGTTGTTGTGCATTTGAATGGTCGATTCATTGGTTGGATTGACCATGCAACTGACGACAGAGGTTTTATTAGTAAATGATATACCGTTGAAAAGTTGTAATGGCCAACTTGCAAGAGGAAATGGTGTGCTCATCTTTTGTTATGTTCATGTAGCTATTTTCTACAAAAAAGCTTATACTTTGAACGACGATAAGTGGCTAGTAAAAAATAAATGGCGTGCTCCCAATGGGCCCTTCTAGCCAATGTTTAGGCTTTATAATTGTGTATAGTCAGAAGAATAATTGCGCAGTATGTTTTTTGCGCCGGAGGATATTGCTATCATTTGGAGGTATTACATCTGTAGTTTTTTTGGCATGAGGAAAAAAAAGCAATAACGGAAATCTTTGAAATATAATTTCCCCAATCAAGGATATATGTGATATATTATGTATACTAATGACATTTCAATACAAATTTTTGTTGTGCCTCACATTTTTTTAAAACTTTTCGGCAACCCTCTTTTCTTACCATATTATTATTTAATAAAACATATTTCTATTCATACTCATACAGGCTAAATTTACTTTTCTCGTATTTGCTACTGAACTTGAGCGGGTTTTATCCATCCTTCTTTCAATAAATAATACCCAATAGTGCACATCCATAGTGCACGTACTGACTGATTATCTGTTAGACTCGTTGATCGCCATTAAATAGGCTCTTTTTGTATTTTTACAGCGCCAACTGCGTAAACAACATAATTTCGGTACTTCAAATGTCTAGTAATCCATTCACTGCACAGCACACAATGTCAGCCAATAATTCTGGAATTCCCGAGATGCAGCTTCGCCGCCGCTCCATATATGAAACATCAGCCGAAGATACACATTCCTTGTCGTCCCACCCCCAAGAAGCTTTGTCGTCAAACTCGGGTTCAATGACATCTGTTGACGACATACAAGCGAGCGTCAATGAAAAGCAGGATATAGAGTACAACCCTCCTCCCGACGGTGGATACGGGTGGGTGATAGTAGCATGCAGTTTTTTGCTAGAGTTTTTTGCCGAGGGTCCTGTTAGCGCATTTGGAGTGTTCCAAGAGTACTATGTCAATGAGAGGTTTAGTGGCCAGGTATCCAATGCTACTATATCGCTCGTTGGTGTTTTAAGCAGTAGCTGCATGGCCATACTAGGCGTTGTTTCGGGAAAGTTATGCGAGCGGTATGGATATCGTCTTGTGCCGATGTGTGGCATTGTTACCCTGAGTCTGGGTTATCTATTGGCATCATTCGCTACAAAGGTAAGAAACAGCTGACAGAAAAAACTAATATTTAGTGCCACGCATATAAAAGGGACGTGGCTTTCATTTTCAAAATTGCAAATTGTCTTAGATGTCCTGCATTCTTACCTTGTGTTTTGGTATTCAAACTTATTTAAACAAAAATAGCAAATGCGAGGTGCAAGCCAGCCTATTCAAAATGCCATACTAACATTTAACTTTTTAATAATCAACAAATCACTCAAATACGCTTATAGCCGTGGCATTTGCTGCTCACTCAGGGCGTGCTGTGCGGCATTGGCGCGTCGCTGACTTTCTTGCCAGCAGTTGTTGTGCCGTCGCAGTGGTTTGAGAAAAGACGTGGATTAGCCTCGGGCACTGTCAACATGGGCATTGGTGTTGGCGGGCTAGTGTGGACTCAGTTTAACCATTTGATGATAAGAAAGTTTTCAGTTGCGTGGACATTGCGTCTAACGGCCATTGTTGTTCTGGTGACGTGTACTTCGTCATTAATGCTGATAAAGACGTACAAGGTTAGCTCAAATCCTCGAAAAATTGGATTGAAGCAGATGAATGACCGCAACTTTATAGTGTTTATGATAGGCTCGTTTTTCACTGGTGTGGCCTCACTGATCCTTTCTACTACTTACCAGGTAAACAAAAGCCAATATTGATATTGAAAATGCGTGCCCGATGTCTTGTGTGTATATTTTTTTCCTTTGACGTTTTGGCTAAGCTTTTTTGATCATTTGTATTTCTGTTTTTGGCATATTAGCTTATGCGGTGATATCGGAATATCAAGTAATGGCGGCGCGCTTATTGCCAGTATTGCAAATGCAGCGTCTCTGACTGGAAGACTCATTGCGACACTTGTCTCTGACCGTGTTGGGCCGGTGTTATTCTCCTGTGGCCTATACCTTGACCAGTTCCAGCATATTGCTTGTGTGGACGACAACACAAAATTTTTCGGGCACCATGGTGTTTGGCATTATTTTTGGACTTGGATATGGCGCAATTTTTACACAGACGTCTGCGTTTATAGCCAAGTACTTTGGTAAGTTAAAGCGGTGTTTAATATGCAATGACATGTATATTTGTGATTTTTTTTGCATTTTAAATTTACAATTTAACCAATAGCTGTAAAAAAAAGCAACCTAAATTTCAAAGTTTTAAAAGTTTTTTATTTGTAGGAGTCGATACGCTTCCGGTATTTGTCGGGCTTTACTACACAATCTCTGGAATGGCTATATGTTTGGTCCTCCGATTGCGGGAATTATCCTTGAAAAGACCAGATCATGGAACCCGCCTTATATTGCATTGAAAATATACGCTGGTGTGCCAATGATAATCGCATGTATGGCAATAGTTATCGTATGGACTATTACAAGGACAAAGAAAGTCGTAATGCCGCAACTAAAGTAATGAGAATGTTTACGATAATTTTTATATTTCCATTATAATATTTTTCTTTACCATGACTAAAAAAATTCAATACTATCATCTTTTATTACACAGGTCATTTGATTTCATATCGTTATTTTACATTCATGCCGGTAAATGCGTGGCTGGGTCGGTAAATGGTATGCGCCCTCCACCAAGAAAATAGTATAAATTAGGTGACATATGCACGCATGCTAGTGTTGTTATTGTTTCAAATTGCAAACAGCGCACAGGTGGCTTGCATGACTGCTTTTATTGACCGCGTTCTGTGTGTATTTAGATTATACTTTTGCTTTAATTGGTCAAGCTTTATGAAAACTCCAAAGCCCGAGTTAAAATATATTATTGAGCTATCTGCCATTGTCCACTCCTTGAGTTTGTGCAGTGCTTTTACCATGTGCGTTGTTATGAACCCGAAAGAATCAATGATATACGCAATTGTTTAAGTTGGGGGAAATAGGGACACACATGGCAGAAAATTAAGAGCCATTTTAAGGCGTGTCCAAATAAAATATTTCTTCAAATTAATGCCGAAAAAAGTAAGTGACCACATATCCCTAATTTGGTTTGTAAGGCGCTTGGCCAAACAATTTTTTGAAGTGAAAAAGCCAATGAACTTGGTGGCTAAAATTTTCGCGCAGAGAGATTTGTTGCGCACATACAGCCATGACGGGAGATTGAATATAAATGCGAGCAGATGCCATGGTTTGCTTTACTCTCTCTCTCTCCACATTGAATCTTTTTTAATTATCATTTTCTGTCTTTATGCGCGTTCATTTTCTAGTTTAAAACATATTATATTCAGTTGGCAATACTCGCTTAAACTATACTACTTTGTCTGGATTTATATTACTTTCTTTTTTCTCACATTTAGTCGTTTTAGGATATTCAATATAACCGACCATGAAACTCACGCTGGCACTTATCAGCCTGGTGCAATGCGCCCTGGGGTCTGTGTGGCCGGTTCCTGCGGTGTTCAACACCGGAAATAGCACGACAGCGGCGCAAAATCTGTACATTAATCCTGGACAGACAAACTCGCAAATACTTGCTGGTGCTGCCAAGCGGTACAGCGCAATAATAGGCAAGGAGGCATTCAAGGCGCCAGCCGACTACAACATAAACCCAGTTTCAACCTACTCGACGCTTTCAGGACTGACTATCAGCGTTGCAAGCAACGACGAAACGCTATCGCTGGAGACTGACGAGTCGTATATGCTGGATGTCCCATCTGGCGGACAGGCGTCTTTGAAGGCGCAGACTGTGTATGGGGCACTGCGCGGACTGGAGACGTTCTCGCAGCTGTTGGAAACACACCAGGGGGTACGGATGGTGCGCAACACGCCCATTTACATTGAGGACCGGCCGGCACTTGCACACCGCGGCATTTCGCTGGACACTTCACGCAACTACTATCCGGTTAAAGATCTCGAGCGCACGCTGGACGCCATGTCGTACAACAAGCTGAATGTGCTGCACTGGCACATTGTGGACTCGCAGTCGTGGCCGGTAGAGTCGCAGAGGCACCCGGGTCTGGCAAAGAACGGCGCGTACTCTGCCGAGATGCAGTACTCGCACAGCGACGTGAGGAAGCTCATCCAGTATGCTCGAGAGCGCGGAATCCGGGTCATTCCCGAGTTTGACATCCCTGGGCACACTTACATCGTGGGCCAGACGTACCCCGAGCTTATGAGCTGTTTGAACCAGCAGCCCAGCTGGGACAAGTTTGCAGCAGAACCACCGAGTGGGCAGCTCAACATCGCCAAAGACAGTGCGACAAACTTTGCGGTTGATGTGATCAACGAGTACGCGCAGCTGTTTACCGATAATGTGTTCCATCTGGGCGGCGACGAGGTCAACCACAACTGCTGGACCGAGGATCCTGACGTCCGGAGTACCTGGCGGCGCACCCGGGCGAGGATGTCGAATCCCTGCTGGCAAAGTTTTACGACAAGGTGCACAGTGCCGTGCACGCGATGAAGAAAACCGGCATGTCGTGGGAGGAGACGCTGTTCCACAGCACGTACGTGCCGCCCAAGGACACAATCATCCAGACGTGGATCAACGAGCAATCAATTCCCAACACGGTGGCCAAGGGGTACCGCTCGGTGGCATCGCCGTCATCGTCGTACTACCTGGACTGCGGGCACGGTTCGTGGATGCCGGACTACGACGGCAACTCGTGGTGCGATCCGTTCAAGACGTGGATGCACGTCTACAACTTTGACCCACTGGCCAACATCTCCGACGCAGCGCAAAGAAAGCTGGTCATTGGGGCCGAGGTTGCGCTGTGGTCCGAGCAGACAGACCCTACTGTGCTCGACGGGCGCCTGTGGCCGCGTGCGTGCGCAATGGCCGAGACGGCATGGTCGGGCAAGTCCGATGGCAGCGGGCATATACGGACCACCGGCGAGGTGGCACAGCGGCTGCATAACCAGCGGTTCCGCATGGTCGGCCGCGGAATCAATGCCGAGCCAATGCAGCCTCTGTGGTGCGCTCGCAACCCGGGTGCCTGCAACCTGCCAAAGTGAAACAAAGTGGGATTTTTTTGCAGCGCTGTAAAAAGTGTGATTGAGGGTGTGCGCACACGCATTGTTCATTCTTTTTGGCACTTTTGAAAAATAAAGAGCAGTCCAGGTTTGCCTCGGCTTGTTTTGCTTTAACTTGGAAAGAAAAAAGAAAAAAAGCATTAGCATCTTTTGCTTCTTTTAGTCTCATTTAAATTTAAGCTTGGAAAAGTCCTTCCTTCCTTCCTTTTATTTTATTATATTCCTTTTGTATTTTTATTGTTACTTGTCTATATATTCTACCGAGCGGCGCGCATACACTTGAACAAGCAAGCAGGCGCTGTTTTTCTTTTTTGGTTAATTTATAGTTGTTTTTTAGCACAGAGGAGCGCAAAGCAAAACGGGAGAACAGGAGCATACAATTTTACCAGCCACACTTCAGACTCACAGCCTTGCAACTTCACAACTTCACAATTTCACAATTTTACATGACTGGCGGCGGACACCAGCGTACAAACGGTATGGACTTTGCAATTCAGTGTAGCTTAAAGAGCGTATGTGTGGTGTGTGTGTGTGTGTGTGTGTTTGTGTGTGTTAAAACGTGTCTATTGAGCATTTGTGGCTTTTGGTTTGTGGTTCGTGGTTTCCTTCATAATAGCTCTTCGGCGCGGGCTGTCGCGGCAGCAGGTTCATCGGGATCATCGATGGGGGCCCCAGGCACAGGGTATTCGGCAGCGGCGACATCGGCAGCAGCCACGGGAGCAGTCAACAGTGGCAGTGGCAGTCGTCGCATGCGCACATGGATATGCTGACCGATGACCAGAAGCGAATACTGAAGCGCAAGATTGAGCAGCTGCGAGCGCTCGAACAAGGTAAAGGGCTGCACCAGCACTGCACCAGAACTGCACCAGCACCACCAGCACTGGTTTGCGCATTGAAGGTATATGTTCATGTCCATGTCCATGTCATGTAGGCCATTTGGACTCACAAAAAGCAAAGCGGCGCACTTTTGTGGCGATTTTTATATGGTGGCTGTAGATATCGAGCAGCTCAAAGAGGAGAGCATCCAGGCGCGGTCCGGCGGCTGGGCGTAGGCAGCGTGACAACAGTGAACACGCTCGCGGTGTTCAAGCAGGCGGCCGACTGGCGGCCGATCTCGCAACAGGCGCGCAGAAGCTTATCAACTCGACCACGCGCATGAGCTGGGACATGATCAAAAAGGCGGTGGCCGAAGAGGAGAATACCAGAGCAAGAAAAACTGGTCGTCGACAAAGGGCCGTGGCAACCGCAAGGCGCCCGTGGCGCGCAGGCTGGACGCCGAGGTGCTGAAGAAATTCGGCGTCTACCCGCAGCTGCAATTCCCCGTGCTGGCCACCTGCGACTCGTGCGGGAGGCAGGTGAATGCGCATTTCCTCAAGGAGCACCAGGAACTCAATTGCTCCGTGTCGACGGTCAAGCGCGAGGACAAGCGCACGGCCGCCATCCGCGCAAAGGAGCGCGAGCGCGAGGAGAAGGAGGCGCGCAGAGAGGCGAAGCGCAACAAGGAGGCGCGAGCGGCGCAGGGCCAGGCGGGCCAGGCGGGCCAGGCGGGCCAGGCGGGCCAGACAGCAGCAGCAGCAGTGCACTGCCGCGGCTGCTGCCTCTGCTGGCAGAAAGCGCTCTGCCGATGAGGCGCTTGGGGCGGCGGCAGCGCCGCGGCCGCCCCGCCGGCGGCCAAGCCCAAGGTCACCAAGAAAGAGCGGCTGCGGCTGGAGAAGGAGCAGAAGGAGCGCGAGCGGCTCGAGCGCAAGCAGCAGATGCAGGAGGAGAAGGCGCGCAAAAAGCAGGAGAAGGACCTGAAGCGCGAGCGCGAGCTGGCCAAGGCGCGGCTGCCCGTGGATCTGGACAAGCAGTGCGGCGTGTGTCCGAGCCGCAGACGCCGCCGTGCTCACGCAGCCTCACGTGCAAGACCCACTCGATGGCCATGAAGAGGGCGGTGCACGGGCGGTCCAAGCTCTTCGATGCGCTGCTGCAGGCGCACTTGGCCAAGTCGCGCAGTGCGGCGGCGGCCAAGAACGCGGCCATTCGGGGGGCTGGTGGGCACGGCGGAGGCGCTGCCGCCGCGCTGTGCGGAGTGCCATGGCGGCGGCGGCGTTTGGGTGTGCTGCGGAGGATTTGGCTGTTGAGGAGGAGGAGGAGGAGGAGCTGGGGTCGGACGAGGAGACCGAGAAGGTGCTGAGCGCCGTCGCGTGCAGTAGGGGCAGGCCGCTGGCCGTGAGGCCGACGATGCTGCCGAGGAGGAGACACCACTACTTGCGCGTGCGCGACTTGTTCTTTGATGCGCTCAAGTCGCCGACGACGATGGCAATGGCGATGGCGATGAATGGCGCGGCGGAGGCTGCGGCCGCTGCTGCCGAGTGAGTCCCCGGCGGCGTGAACGGGCGTGCTTGGCCTGGCCGGCGTGGCCCGGAATGGCGTGCTTTTTAACGAGATTTCCCCCTTCTCCCCCGAACCCTTCCCGCATTTTTCTTTTATTTCGCCCTTTTTCTCTTTCTGTCGTGTGTATGTATTATTTACTGCTGGCCCTCTCGCCGCATAAAGCTGCTTTTGTTTGCACATTAGAAATGGCATGAAAACAAGGAAAACAAACAGGTCTTTTCTGTCTTCAGATGGGAGGAGGAGGGGCAGACACCGCAAACACCCACGCTTTTATTCCCTTGTTTGTTTTCTCTTTTACGCTTGGTATTTCAATTCCGCTCGTCCATCAACACGTTTCATTCCAACTCCAACTCCAATCCGACTCCATTCCAATCCAATTCCAATTCCAATTCCAATTCCAATTCCAATTCCAATTCCAATTCCAATTCCAATTCAGCCCTCAGCAATACACACTTCATGAACAAGGACAACGGCAAACCCCGCGGTCTGCGCGCACGACTGCGCCAGCGCCGCGGACGCACCAGCAGCGAAGACGAAATCAAGCCACGCACAGGCTCGCTCGACCTCACATCATCAGCATTAGCATCAGAAACAAGCCTATCCAAACAACCCGCGCCCATGCACTCCCTCACAGCCGTGCCAACCAACGGGTCCTCGCCTACTCCCACTGCACGGACGACGGCGGCCTGGCGCTCGGCGAGTTCGACACGGACGGCGACGAGGAGGCCGAGGCCGAGGATCACCAGGACAGCACCAGGTGCTGAGGCACCAGCCGTCGGGAGCCATCCTGCGGTCGCATTCGCAGGAGTTCCAGAGGCCTGAGACACCAACCGGCGCGCGTCAATGGGAGCAACCGGCGGGTGAGCACCCACAGTGTGCCTGGGTTCAACAGCGGGCGCATCGTGGATGTGCGCATGTCCGATAATGAGAGCCTCGTGAACCAGTCTGGCAGCCACGCATCCTACTCTTACGACGAGGCTGATGGCGACTTTGACGCCGACGGCGAGTTGAACGCCGTGTACCTGAAACGAAACACCGACTTCCACATGCTGTTCCGCAATATCCCCATCAACGAGCTTCTAATCGACGACTACGGCTGCGCCCTCCAACGCGACATCCTCGTCCAGGGCCGGCTGTACCTGACGGAGAACTTTGTCTGCTTCTATTCCAATATCTTTGGCTGGGTGACCAACCTCGTAGTGGCGTTTGACGAGATCGTGACGATTGAGAAGAAAATGACCGCGCTGATTATCCCCAACGCCATCCAAATATCGACTTTGCATGCGAAGCATTTTTTTGGCTCGTTTATTTATCGCGATTCGGCATTTAACCAGTTGTTTGATTTGTGGACGAAGAGAAGGTGTGAGAAGCAGGGCGGGTTGCCTGAGATTGGGAGCGCTGAGGGCGGGGGAGGCGGCGCCGATGTGTCGCGGAACAGGGATGTGCTGAACTCGTACCAGAGTCTGACTGAGGAAGACGAAGAAACGACGACGGCGATGATGATGATGATGATGATGAGGAGGGGAGTATTGATGAGGACGAGGATGAGGATGAGGATGGGGAGAGCAACGGGGAGGAGAGCGACGCGGAGAGCGGGGATGATTATTTGAACGGAGATGAGCCTGTGTCGGGCTGATCTCAGGATCAAGGGATGCCCGGGCTGCTGCCACTGCCACGCTGATATCGGCTAGCCAGCCGGAGAAGGGCGCTGCTCCTGCGCTTGCCTCTGCTGCGCTTGGCGCTGCTTCTGCAGCCGCCACTCCTGCTGCTGCTGCTGCGCCTCCGCTTCTTATGCTGCTGCTGTTGCCAGGTTGGAGCTTGATCTTGGCAATGTGTCTGCGGGCGCAGCCAGCCAGTCGGCAAACCTGACCCGCGCGCCATCGCAGGCCTCAGCAATGGCCAAGGCGGCGGCACAGTGAATGGGTCGACAGCCACCCTTGATACCATCCCTGCGGCTGCAGACGAGACCGGTGGTCTGCCCCCTCTGCTGTTGCCCCTGCCCCTGCCCCTGCTGCCCTGCCCTGCCCTGCTTTTGCTACTGGCGCAGGCGGGCTGCTTGCTCGACTGCCCAAGACACCCGATACCGCCGACTCCATCTCGCCAACAACATCCAGGCGCCCGGCCAGCAGTAACAGCAAGGGCGGGCGCCCGGAGATCCCCGACCTGCACCGTCCCACCACCTGTCCCTGCGGCACCAGCGGGCTGACAGCGCACTACAGCCTCGAGGCCCTCGACGCAGTCTTCCCCCTATCTCTTCCGCTACTATTCTGCATTGTCTTCAGCGGCTCTGTGCCGGCGGATATTGAGAGGAAATATATTCCGCAGGATAAGCTTGATCGCGCGGAGCTTGCGTCCAGCTGCACGCGGCGAATAACGTCCTGCGGCAACACCGATGTCAAAACCGAAGGCTGGGTGCCTGACCCCACCGACCCGTCGCGCGAAATGTGCATGTACAATTACGAAAAGCCTCTCGGGTTCGCCATCGGCCCAAATCAACCATGGTCGAGGACACCTTCCGCATAGTCAAGCGGACTTTGACCAATGCGTGGTTATCGAGCAGTCCGTGAGAACTCCCAATGTGCCTTCAGGGACTGCGTTTTGTGTTAAAATTCGGCATTGTCTTTCGTGGACTGCTGGGCCCAGCAATGAGCCGCCCGGTGGCTGGTCGCACTACCGGATGACGTTTGAGGTCGAGTGGACTAAGAGCTCGTGGATCAAGAATGCGATTGAAAGGGGGTCGAATGATTCGAATAAGCAGGCGGGCGAGGCCTTGGAGAAGTTCATCAGGGAGTGGATCGCGAAGCATCCGGATATGGAGGTCAAGGCTAGAGCCGGAATAGTGCCTGCCACCAACGGAGGATCCAGTGGAGCGGCGGCAGCGAATAAAAAGGGCAAGGCGCATAAGAGAGGCAGCAGGAAGCGGATGGAGAGTCCCAGGGGGCTGCGCATGGAAGAGCTCGTGGTGGCTGTGGATAAGGGATTGAACACTGCGACTGCGTCTGAACCATCCAATCTGTTGAGGAAAAGTAGTCAGCGGCACACAACTAATTCTACTACCGGTGCCGATATCAACGCTGCTGTTGCTGCTGCTGCTGGTGGTGGTGGTGGTGGTAGTTCAAAGGCGACTGAATCTCGGGTTTCGGCCGCGTCGGCAGCGGCAACCAGCATCCTGGGTGGCTTGCGCGATCTTTCCGCGGTGCATGTCCTGGTGCAGTGCTTGTTTTAGTTCTGGTGCTTTCTAATGCTTGGAGTTCAGCTGGTCCTTGCCATATTCATCCTCGGACAATGTGTTTGCCGAGGTACGTGAGCTGCGTGCGAGCGTAGAGTCATTGAGCAGGCTGGTCGCTAATATGACAGCCGACTGCAACCGCTAGACTGAAATCTCTTTGAAATCAATGCATTTAAGAACAAAATAAAAAATAAAAAAAAAGTTTTATGTGAATGTAATAATAGAAATTTATGTTTGAAAAAATTAAAAAAAATATTAAGCCGTGCTGTTGAGACGATCGCCGCAGTCACCGATTCCGGGCGATACAAAGCCACGCTTATCCAGGACATCGTCGACGACGCCGATATAGAAGCTGACCTGTGGGTACTTCTCAGCCAATGCCTCCACACCCTCCCTTGACGCACATATCGCCAGGAACTTAATCTTGGGCACACCCCAGCTCAACAGAATCTCAATCGCAGCGCCCGCCGTCCCACCAGTAGCAATCATCGGATCCAAAACCACGCACTCATCAACACTACAAACCCTCGGTAACTTATTATAATACTCCACCGGCTGCAGTGTAGTTTCCTCGCGGAACAACCCCAAATGCCGGACCTCAGCATCGTGTAGGAGATCGGAGGCTGCTCCGAGCATTGCGAGGCCGGAGCGCAGAATTGGAATGAGTGCGACTTTAGTCGTGATTTCTTGCTCGGTGTAGCTGCCAACTGGGCTTGTTGCTTCGGTGGTGGCTTGCAGCTGGAGGTCTTTTGTGACGTCGTAGAGCATTAGGCTGGTGATGCTGGAGATTAGCTCACGCACCGTGCGCGCGCTATTCTTGGCGTTGCGCAGAGAAGAAATCTTCTGCTGCGTGATTGGGTGCGTACTAATGAAGATATTGCTGCTTGTGGTGGTCATCTTTTTTTTCAAATGTAAAGCCTTTAAATAAAACAAATGAAATTGTTTGTTTGTTTGTTTGTTTGTTATAGGAAATACTATAGGGAAAAGAGGGAAAAGAAGAAGGGGAGAAAGGAGAGCAAGAAAAATGAAGGCGCGTTTTTGCGCTTTTTAAATACCCTTTTTGTATATCTATTATACGGAGTGAGCTTTCCTTCTCATTGGCTTTATTTTATTTTTTAAAGTCAGTCAATGTGGCACAAATCATTGTTTAAAAAATATTCCCACCATCTATCATAGTTTCTCATTATTGTCGTGATTTGTCTGTCTGGGCTTTGCATTGTAAGCCATTTACCACGCCTCCAAAAATGCACCCGCTTATTTTTTCTTCGTAGTTGCTCGCATTGCTGTTCAAACACAACAAAATAATAAGAAAAATAACGTGGGAGTCAAAAATATAAAATAAAATGTTAGATCATGTTTTGTCTGTGTTACTATTCTGATTTGCTTTTCAAATATAATGCAGCGGAAAAAAAGTCCGTTTTTGTTTTTCTGTTGTTGTTCCCATGTCATGTGCCATTTTCCTTTCAAGCAGAAGACACCAATTTGATCTACAAAGTTTTGGTTTCGGGGAATATCAAAAAAGGGATCCCACGCACCAAACTCTTACCTCCTTTCTCTCACTCACAACATACACATGTCCAAGCGTACGCCCAAAATCAAATAAAAAAATCAATATATGTTTATTAGTGTGACTCACTCACACACAGAGAGAGACGGCAGAGAAGGATAGTAAAAGAAAAGCATCTATACGGAATAGTCATACAACACGGTTCCACCGCCCATCACGGCCTTCTCCAGCTCGGCATCCCCGTACCCAAGTACGCCTCTAAGCACCTCCTCCGTGTGCTGGCCAAGCATCGGCGGAGGCAAGCGCACGCCGACATCCGACCCCGAGTACTCGACCGCTGGGCCCACCATCTTGATCCTGCCAACAAACGGATGATCCACCTCCTTGACTACGCCTCTGGCGACCAACTGCGGGTGCTCGAACGTCTGCTTAATATTGTTTACCGGCCCATACGGCATCCCCGACCCCTCCATCAGCCCCAGGACCCTCTCGGTGGTTAGCTGGCTGAGCTCCTGGTTGATCAGCCGGACGAGCGCAATGCGGTTGGTTACGCGGTCAACGTTAGTGCGGAACGCGGATCCGTGGGGAGCTCTGGGTGGCCTATGATGCGCGCAAACGTCGCAAACTGCTTGTCGTTTCCTGCGCCAATGCATATGTTACCGTCTTTGGTTGCAAACACCTGGTAGGGGGCGATAGAAGGATGCCGGGTGCCCCATCTCTGCGCCTCCTTCCCGCCAATAAGATAGTTTGACCCAATATTGGCCAGCACCGAGCCTGGGTCTGGATCAAGGAGGCGTCAATGTGCTGACCTTTTCCCGACACACCGCGCGCATCAGCGCCGCCATGATCGCGCCGTGCGTGTACAGCCCAGTCATTACATCCGTCACCGCCACGCCTACCTTGACCGGCGGTCCGTCTGCCTCCCCTGTTATGTGCATGAGCCCGGCTTCCGCCTCAATTATCACATCGTATCCAGCCCTCCCGCTGTACGGACCCGTGGACCCATACCCGGTTATAGAGGCGTAGATCAGCCGGGGATTCACCCGGGCCAATGTCTCGTAGTCCAGTCCTAGCTGGCCAGCTTGCCCGGAAGTAGTTTTCTACAATTACATCGGCTTTTTCCGCCAAGCTCACAAGGATCTTCTTTCCCTCCGATGTCTTCATATCCACAGCAATGGATTTTTTGTTACGGTTGACGCAGAGATAATACGCGCTCTCACCGGGATCTCTGGCGGCTGTGTGTACAGCGAGGAGTTCAGGGAGCCGCGGCCGTTTTCCCGGCCATGCTGTTGCCGTTGCTTATGATGGTGGGGTTTGAAAGGCGGGCCCCAGGCGCGTGTGTCGTCGCCACGAGTTGGATGCTCAACTTTGATTACTTCAGCTCCAAGATCTCCCAGCAGCATGGTGCAGTAGGGTCCGGCGAGCACCCGAGTCATGTCCAGAATGCGAATACCAGCAAGTGGACCAGGTGTCTTATTGGTTACCGTGCTGTGCGCGCGCGTAATGCCTATGGGAGCCCGTTGGAGGCGCTGTTGGAGAACGGACTTGGCCTGCGTAATGGAAAACATGACAAATAAATATGTGGGTTGGTTTATTTACTATAGCAGTAAAAAGAAAGTATAAAAAGACAATAGAAATTTGTAGAGCAAACTACAGCATGTTTGGTAACGGGTGGTTTCTCTTCCTTTTTTGCAAGGATCTTGGTTGGCTGGATCAGGGAAATGTAAAGATAACGAAACAAAAAAGGTGAACCGAGAAATTTATTTACGCATGTGTGGGAATATTTCTTATTTTTCGGATTTTAAATTATTTAAAAATACAATACAAGTTTATGTATATATAATAAACACGTAATGAACATGTACATTTAAATAATTTACTCTGGTGAATTAAGGCTGTTGAAAATCGACTCGGGGTGTTCTTAATGTACTCCTTCGCAATATGAAACAGGTCCTTAACGCATTCACAGGACATTGCAGGCTCATCCTTAACATCCCTGCCCTTGCCGCACCGGCACCAGGACCCAATAGACACATCAAAAGCAAGCTCTATCCCAAAAAATATAGTCGATTGCCGAACCGCATCCGAGGAAACAAGCACTTTGTACGCCTCAGGACACTCGCCATTTAGTGTTTCCTTGTACGCATTCAAAAACGCAATTACAGGTTCCGGACACGGATCTGTGCTTGGGTTGTAATCTGGGTTGCAAACATAGTACGCGGGCAGCAGGTGCGCAGCCAAATGACCGATGTCGCTGTAAATATGATCAATGTCGAAGCACTCGAGGTCGATCAGATTAACTGCGCGCGAACCCGGGTTGAACAATATGGACGTCGTCCATAGGTCGCCAAACACAAGTGTTTTTCCCTTTGCGTTCTCCGGCTGCTTAACCTCTTGGTGGAAATCCATAATGCGTTTTATGAACTCATCGCTGTCATTGGCAAATTCCGGGTGCTCGGCTATCCGCCTGTACAAACCCGTATAGTACACGTTGTCCATGAGAGTTTGTACCGGCCAGTTTACAAAATACTTTTCCATCTTGGCGTAGTTTTTGAATCCAAACTCATGCAACCGTGCGAGCCACTCGCCGGTGCGTCGGCTCACAAGAAGCAGGTCGTCCATGGGCGGGTGAGGCTGGTTTGGCGCGTACCAAGCATCGTACGCCTTCAAGTTACCAACGTCCTCGAGCACGATAAACGGCACCGAGCTATCGTAATACAGCAATTGCGGAATATGTACCCCAGGTGTATCCGTCAAATCTTGTCCAAAATCATTAAGCTCGCACAGCCCCGGAATACACGTAATTACTGTGGCCAGCTGCCGTTTGCCATTAAGCAGAGCAAGTCCGCGGACCTCAAACTCCATGCGCTCGGTGGAAAACTCATTATCGGGAAACGCCGACATTCTGCTGTTTGCGTATTTGACTATCACTGTGCGCCCGTCCTTGTTGCTCACTCGCCAGACGTGGTTTACCATGCCACCGGTGAGCTTGGTTGCTGAGAATGTGTATTGCTCGTAGGCAGTGCCTTTGAGAAGGTCGAATGGCGTTGGTATTTGCATTTTGTTGCTAATAATAAATTTGCGAGCACATGATAAAAGCCTTGATGGACTTTACATGCGTAGGATGGAAATGCAAAAAAAAAGTTGGCGATGTTATATCTGACAAAATTGTGACTACCAGGTTACTATCTTGTTGGGTTACTGCATATATATTTATAAAATAAAAAACAGTTGTGATAATATTTGGCTAATTATAGATGGGCATAACAGTTCAGTAAATGAGCAAATGAATAAAATAAACACGCAGTAACCAAAAACAATGGAAAATGAAGAATAACGCTTGTCATCAGAAATGCCAGTCAGGCACTCCTCAGACAGGCCTGTGGAATTTAATATATAATCCATGTGGTATGCGACGCGCACATAGTAGTGAGCCCCCAGTGTGGCTAGCGCAAATATTCTCGCTTGTATTCACAACTAACGTCGAAATGTTTCTTATATTAAGCTCTGCAAATATATTGCTTGATAAAACTGATGCACGACAAACCACAGGCTATTTAGAATCGGTCCGATCCACAAAAACTAATGTTTTGAATGTTTTTATTTCTTTTATAAGAGCATCATGAAAAATACTCAAAAATATAACATGTGCCGAAAAAAGAGAGAAATAAACAAATAAAGAGAAAGAGAAAATATAGAAAATATATGAAAAAACGTGATGGACAAGCATGTGCTCGCAAGGTGGGCTGGACTATTGTTACAAGCAAGAAGAAGAAATATAGTTGTAGTCGAGAAAGCCACGCATCCGATGTAACTAGGACTGTGTTGATGAGGACCAGCGAGCGCCGTTATTATTTCCAGCAATCGACTTCAAAGCACTCACGGATCCCCCAGTGGTGATGCTACGTTGGCCCCACCCAGTCCCTGGTCGCGGTATGTGGTGACCTGTCGCAATGGGCTCATGGCATTAGTGCGCCTATAGTCGGCTACTCCCTTGGCTGGGGATCCCTGCATGTGCTGCTGCTGATGTTGCTGTTGCTGTTGCTGCTGGTGAGAGAAACTGCCTCCGCGGCGAGATATTTCAACGCCGTCTGCCGAGCGAATCACGACTGGCGTTGTGTACGCGCTAATGACAAAGTCACCGTTGCTTTTGGAAACCTTCTCGGCCATGCTTTTCTTGACGCTCTCAAGCAAACCACGTTTGTCCTCGTACACTGTGTAAACTGTCCCATAGTCTCCGATTCTGTAGGTGACGTTGTACGGGTCGCACCAGAGCACAATGTCGCGAGGCAACAGCCGCTCGAGAAGGTCAACCGCCACGCCGGACTGCTCAGCAGCCTGAACAAATGAGTCGTCGAGTCTCCGCCAGTTGCTCATTGACCTGTAACCGCTGCCGATATTGGTCTGGTCCAAATGCCAGTGGCCCGAGTACTTGCTAGTAAGGCGTTGATTAGTGCTTGTCGCAGTGTCTCCTTCTTTTCGGCCGGGACGACCGTGTCTGGAACGTATTTGAGCCAAAAGTTAGCAGCATTTTCGATTTCCGTCTGCATTCCCGTATGGACATGAATCTCTTGAGAAAGAGAGCGAGTGAGCTGGGGGGAAGAAAAGTAATAACAAAAATAATAATAAATATAGTCGGCCCTGTACTGGAAGAGAGAATCAGGCGAGGTGCAAGAAATCCACTTTACGACCGCCGTAATTGAGCCGAAATTAAACAATAGTTGAGGGGGGAAACAAAATAGGCCGAAGCGAATTTGAATTTTGTGGTTGGCTAGAACCACTGAATTCCAGACCAAGTATTTGTTAATGAGGCGGACCCGCTGAAATAAAAAAGTCGGCCCTCCCGCGAATGTCGTAGCAATAGTGTTCTATGGCTGTGAAGTTGCTTGTAATTTATTCTCAGCTTTGAATCGAGAGAAAGAAATAAAATATAAATTAGTAAAGTGGAGGAGAAATTGATTTTCTATGTACTTTTCTCAAAAGCCCGGCACAAGAAAACGGTACGCTTCGTGCCAATGGCGCGTTGCGAAAAGGGGCCAGCCATTTTTTGGTTTGCTGACTGGAGTTTTGTAGTCTGCACCTCACGTGCACCCGATCGTTGGCTTGACAAGAGATAAAAAGGGTTGTGTTTAGAAAGCCACGAAGAAAACTTCAAAGAGCCAAAGAAGGTTTCAAAGCTGAATCTTGGAAGCGCTACAAAAGAGAAAGTGTGGGTGTTTATGTTTTAGATTTTTTTGCTTATAAAAAAAGCTGCCGCTATCAATAGTGTTGGTGCTCCCTCTGCCTTTATTTTTTCATGGCAGGTATCGACATTGGATCGTGCTGCGCGTTCATGCGAGCCCGATAGAGTCAAAAACAAAAAAGCATACTCTTTTAACCCCCACCACAAATGTGGATGCTGCGAAATTGGCGCAGTCGAGTCAAGTCGATCATCACAAACATATTTTTTGGCAGTAGCAAAAACATGTTGAAACCCAGGCAATCGGTCAAAACAATAATGTTTGTTTTCAACAGACCAGCCTGGGTTTGGCGCAGCGCAATATATATATATATATATATATATATATATGACGAGCTCGGTCTTTCACTGGGTGCGTGTGCATGTTGCGGAAATTGCTACAATATTTGAGACAGGTTTGAGTCAAACATGCCAACAGACCAACAAGCTGCCACCAGCATACTCGTGCGAATGGAGATCGCAGTGAGATGGTGCTCCTTACGTTCATTTTAAATCGGCAATTTGTAACGGACCGTTCAGACCGCCTCTGTGTACATGCCGAGATGACCAGCGCCTGCTTTTGGACACATGAAGCAACTGAGGCGGTTTGTTGTGAGCTGGCAAGGTGGAAAAAAACTGCCCATCTTTTGGACCAGCACTGAGATTGAAAACACCAAGGTTCAGAGCCAGCGCTGGGAATTACTCCGTCCTTTGGCACTTGCCAAAATATCCTTTAATTTTTTTTAGCTGAAAAACCTAAATTTAGGGGGGGGAAGTCGCACGTCCCTTTCCCCTCCCCGCTTTTCGCTCGTATTGTGATGTTGCCCCTCTCCTGTTTTTTAGATGCTCTCATTGTGAGCAAATTAATTTCAGCGAGCCGCAAAAAAAGAAAAGACTGTCGGAGAATGCATGCTCAAATGGCCCCAAGGATTGCCATTTGGAAAATAATACGCGGGTCAGCCAGCCTCATCTAAAACGGGAAATGCCAGCGACCAGTTTTGGCTCTTATAATGTAATTTTGTTTACTTTTTCGCACCCTCTTTCCGCTCTTCCAACTGCCGTCACAAACCTACGCCTAAGACACCAGACAAAAAGAACAAATATCTTTTACTTCTTCTTTTCCTCTCACCACCACTTCACTTTATTATTCTCAGCTTTCCCTCTTTATTTCTTATCCAAATACTCCGCCATTATCTTATTTTATACACCTATCCTTATCTTATTCTTATTCTCACGAACCGGCGCCTTCAACTGTCACCAGCAGACTGCGCAATTTTGTTTTATTATAGACCGTTACCATTCACGCTTTGCCTAGTCCTAATAGCACGTCTGGGTTACTTTTTTACCTTACTCCACATATCCTTTGTCCTGGATTGAACCGCCTACTTTTTTATTACGCCCCTAAACTATTCAACCCCGCAAAGGTCCATCACGCTCATACATCACGCCATTTTGCCACCTTCCTTTTTCAGCTCCCAAATTGCCCACCATCAATCGCATCGCTGCTTCGCACTCTGCTTCTTTTTTCGGACTTTTAAACATTAACAGGCATAGACATTTGCGCACTGGACTCAACTTGGGTTTTTTCTAGCATCTTATTCCTCAGCAAACAATCACCACCACTTGCATGCTTTTTGGTACATACGCAATAACCTATTGATATTCTTTTGACATTTTGACACAACAGGTACAGTTGATATACTATTATTTTATATTAGCGCTTTGACAAAATGGGCTTATCACATTTATCACCAATACAGTACATATTTCCGTAAATTGATATTAACTTTTTTGTATTTATTAATCCCAACAGCCAAGGCCGGCGTTCTTATTATTAAAACAATAGGTCCCGATCAAGCTCGTCGGTACGCTCGTTCCATTTCTCTTACCATTCTCATTTTCATTTGGCTCATTTCTACATAGTCATCTTGGGTCACTAGTCCACATCTATTATATTGGCTCTCTGGCTTTCATTGGAATTTACACTCACGCCTACAAACCGCAACTTCAAAACATATACACCGACACTGACACGCACTGTGTTGAATTCCCCCCCGAGAAACCCAAAGATTCAGTAGCAGCAGCAGCATCACTATAACCAGCTCAAATACCGACAAGGCAGATCCATTCAGCTCGCAGATCAGCTAAACCCGATCCTTGCCTATTAAACGAGTATTCTCAGCTTCCCTTATTATAGAAGGCAGAGAAAACTCGGTTTTCAGATTCCGATCCGCATACCCTGTTCACTTTCCTTTCTCAACTTTATTTTGCACCCAGCACATTCGGCCAAAATCCAGTTCATACTCGGCAGCAATGGAACCAATTATCGATGATTCGCTTGGTACAGACGCGTCTGGTGGCGATAAGCCGCGCATCAAGATACAGCTCTACAAGACTGAGCCATGCCAGAACTGGGCCCTCCACGGAATTTGCAGGTAAGAACACCAATATTTAACCTGCATTTCTAACTTTACCGTTTGTGTTTTCATATTGCAATTATCTATCCTGGATGTCTTGAATGCCTGCTTGCTCTCCTGTCTTGCAGCATATATTGTCGTCCAAAACATGCGATCTTCCGGATCAGTTCCGCTGCTGCGAGGCGTGTGTGGATATATTAATGGCCGACTGATGAGTGCGCGAAAATCCCAAATACCCGAACCACTGTTGTGGTTTTTATCCTGCTCACTCAAGTGACTACATAACCAACTGTAGATAATGCACATTTGGTATGATATGTAAATATTGACACAGACTATTTGCAAAGTCAAGCACACATGCACTGGACACATGTGCCGCCACCACCAATACTTTTTTACTGAGCGCAAGGCGCGTCCTGCAAGCACAAATCCAGCTTGTATTGCCTGCTATTTTTTATTTTTCCCGATGCTCTTTTTTCGCTCCTCGAAATTGCCGATCCCCAATTTCAAATAAAAATTTGGCGCCCGCCAATATTTGTGGAAGCTTCTTTGTGTCTTCTTGATTGATTCGACCGTTATTTATTTGCACATCTACTTGTCTCGTCTATGCGCGTATGTACATCTTGCAATTGCTGCTTTATCCGCAATTCTATGAGCAACGATTGCTCCCTTTTTTGTTGTTATGTTTCCAAAAGGGCGCTAGTGGATTCCCACGTATCTGCCGTGGCTACCGCCAATGGTATCCTTACAACCCGTCACACTCATTTTTATTGTTAGCAACAATATTTCACAACACAACATCGCATCGGCAATGTAATTTCTTTTATCTTTCTTGTCAGCCCATTTCCGAATAAGGGCCAATTGTGCGAGAGAAAACAAAGGGGAGGAGAGCGACGTGCCATGCACGCTGCTTGCAGCTCATTAATCTGGTTATCCTTCTGTATACCGATGCTCTATTTTCCCTGGCGCTCTGTGCATGCCTCTATCAGTGCGCGCTGCCCTTTCCGGCTGTGCAGCTGCCAGACGAGCATGGAGCTGCCTAAGCTTTTGGCGTGTTCACCGCAGTCTCTGCTGCCATGTATGTTTTAATGTGCGCATCTTTATGTCTCTGGCAGTTGTCGAACTATTATTAATACCAGTTTAACCCTTCATGTTTTGCCACGACTGAATCTAGATACGGCGATCTGTGCAAATTCGCCCACGGAATGTGCGAGCAGAGATCGAGGCTCAGGCATCCAAAGTACAAGACGTCGATGTGCAAAGACTATCCGCTGGGAAAGTGCTCTTTTGGAGAGCGCTGCAACTTTGCGCACTCGATGGCCGAGCTGCGCATTACGCTCCCCAGCCAGGTCATGCAACCAGCCCCGTCGGCGCAAGCGCGAGCCTTGATCCAGAACCCCCTTACAGTGCTGCCCGACGGCCGTATGCTATCTACGTTTACGCCCGTAACTAGCGCCAGTACCGCTGTTGGTGCTGGTGCTGGATCTCCGGCCAACGCGAAGGGCATTTATGTAGCACCATCCTCGATGGCAGTTAGGCGTGTGGCAGGCGACCTCCGGCGCAACCAGTCGATGGGCACGCTCAGGGTTGACCGATCGACCAATGTACCTGGAGGCGTGGTACCGGTACTCAATTTGAAAAATATTGTCAGTTCCAGCGCATCGACATTTGAGTGCGCCAACCCAACCAACGTGGTTGCGAGCCCGGCCTACACAGCACACCCGCAGATGTTGCCTGGTCCTCCTTTCTGCCAGCCGCCAGCCTCTCCTGCAGACTATGGAAAGCAACCTATCCATCATCTGCAGCGTGAGCATGCCAACGTCGCTCGCCGTGTGGCCTCCTTTTCGCATCTTCCAACTGCGAGATCATCTTCTTTGCAAACTTTTTCGCCCGCAGGTCCTGTCTTTACCAGCAATGCAAGCGGCGGCTACTTGCAGGGTTTTTTGCTGGGCGGCAACCCATCCGGTGCCTCTACTGTTAGCCACCTTCACACATCACCACTTGCTCAGGTCTCTCCCAGCCAGTACTCGCCTGCCCTCTCCTCGGCATCTTACCGCGAGTACGATGATGTTATTACACCCGGGCCGCAGATGGATTCGGGCTCTCTGAGCGGTGAGTGGATGCGTGCACACAATCCGCAGCAGCAGCAACAGCAGCAGTCTATTCCGCCGCAGCAGCAGCTTCTCAAGTCATCCCAGCGCCGGACCCTCACATCCAGCGTCAGCATGCAGAACTTGCCTCGTTTCAAAATACCGACAAACTGGGATCAGCCGCAGCCAGGAACCCTGTCTCTGTCGTCATCGATTCCGGAAAGTCAGTCCAGAATCAGCTCGCAAAACTCGGCTGCCACACTCATCGACAGCGATGTCTGGTCTAGCTCCGCATGCAACAGCTTTGGGTTTGACGCGGCAAGCAAACCACACGAGTCGCGCTTCTTCCCAGCGTCATCGGTACCAGGCAACTCTGCAGCAGCAAATCATTTGGGCAGCTACTATGGTGCGCGCACACACCCGCACTCGCAGTTCCAGCAGCAGCTGCGGCGCCAACAGTCGACTGACGATTGGATTTCGCTACGCAACGCCCACCCGTCACCGAACACAACCGTTAATTCTGGATTAAGTGTTGATTTAGGACTGGGTGGTCTGGCTTCCTCCCCTGGCACACATATACCCGATAACCGCCTGAATTCCCTCGACCAGCTGCGAACCGCCACTTCTACGCGCAAGAATTTTAACAACCTTTCTTATAACTCCACCCTGTGCCTTTAGCACGCGCACTCTAATGGTTAATTTTTTTGACTCACTTCTTTTCGCTATTTTTAACTACCTAATTTTTATTTACATCCACTGTCCTTGCCTTGCAGCATATGAAAATTTCAACTTTAAAAAAGAACGATAGACTATCACAGCTATAAATAACCGTTTGAACTTGAACGCAATATGTTTATTTGCTGATAAAATATCTCAATTGCCATGATTGAGCTTCATGCTCTCGACCAACTGTGAGAAATGACTGTTCTTGTCAGCAAGTAGGTTTTCAGGTGAGTCAAACTCTGCCATCTGGCCGTGGTCCACTACCAGGATGCGGTCGCTGTCCATGACAGTGCCCAGCCGATGTGCAATCGTCAACATGGTGCATTCCTTGAACTCGCGGCGGATCACCTCCTGCATGATCTGGTCAGTCTTGGAATCTACGTTGGCCGTTGCCTCGTCCAGAATGATAATCTTGCGCCGCCAAAGCAAAGCCCTGCAAAGACTGATGAGCTGCTGCTGGCCGACACTAAAATTGCCACCACTATGCTCCACCCATTTGTTTAACCCGACACCCTCGATCCATGGTCCCTTGTCAGACTTTTCGTTATCCAGAGGCTTGACGTACTTCTCTGTTGGAGCATCGAGAAGGTTGCTAATTTGACCCGCACGAATAGCCGCCCAGACTTCGTCGTCGGTGTACTCGTTGGCTGGATCCAGATTGTCGCGAATAGTACCCCTGAACAGCGCCGGGTCCTGCGGAATGATGGCAATGCGCGATCGCAGGTCACGATGGCCAATGGTTGAAATGTCAACGCCGTCAATCATAATCTGGCCGCTGGCTGGCTCGACCAAACGCATCAGCGCGTATGTGATCGAGCTCTTGCCTGCACCCGTGCGGCCGACAATGCCAATCCTCTCGCCGCCTTGTGCCGAAAAGCTGAGCCCTTTGAGAACCAGATCTAACTCTGGGCGGTAGCGCATACTGTAGTCGCGAAACTCAACCACGCCATTCTGCGGCCAACTGGGTTCTGGCCTTGCATCCTCAATGACCGCTGGTTCCTCGTGCTCCAGCTGCTCAGTAAATTGGTAGTAGCGCGAGAGTGCCGGGAGTTGATTCTCAAGGCTATCAAACACTTGAGTAAGAGCAGTAGTGCGACTGAACACATTTAATGACAGCGATATCAGCATGTCAACCTCACCGGAAAGCACAAGAGCGCCGGTGTAAAGGCGCCTGTAGATATTGAACATCAACACCCCGCTGCGAATAAGCTCGACACAAACGGTGGGCAAAATGCCACGCAAACTGCCAACTACTCTATGGTAATAGTCGTATTTTATATACCCAGCAGTCGAGGCTCTGAAGCGGTCCAGGTACTGGTCTGCGCATCTGTGAATCCGAAGCAGAGCTCTGTTTTGGAGCACAATATTGTTGTGTTTTAAAAAATCGTAGAGGAAATGCAAATCCCCGAGTCTCCAGATACAATTTTCCGGATTTCCAAAAAATACGCTGTATAAAATAGTAATGCCAACCAGTGGTAAGCACAGCAACACAACTATTGGCGACGCCATTGTAATCTGAAGTATGGAGGAGGCAGCCAATAAGCCGTCAAACAGAACGGAGTTGCACAAGGTCTGTGGAAAATAAATGGCAACGTCGTTTCGATCGTTTGTGAATATGTCGACGAGCTGCTGCCAAGAGAGTCTCTCAAACAATGTGAGTGGCAGCGAGAGAATACTGCTGATAAGCTGGCGACGCATTTTCTCCAAAGTACGTTTGGTCCACAAAACCTTCCTGACCCACGCCCCAAATGAGTTTAGCTGCATGCGACCAATCTCTATAAATGCGTTGACAATTAGGTACCTACTCATTGACTGGCGCATCGTGTCGGGATTGCTGTCAACCATGAGTCCGATCCGCAGACTTTCGACATAGTATATCGCATAAACATTGGCAAGCTGGATCGCAGCCACAATAGCAACAGTCCCGTACCCACTGAGTTCGATAAACCTCCACAGCTGCCACAGCTTGAACGGTGGATCCTTCAGCTCGGGGCGAATGGTAAACTTGCCAGATTTGGTGTCAGTGTTACTGGTTGAAGCAGTTTCTGTTGACGAATCAGGGGTGTGCTCATCTGTGTTGACAACAGACACTAAATCGACTGGCTGCTGCTCGCAATCACAGCATGCCCCTCAGCAAGCGTGACAACCTTGCTGCTCAGCGGCACCAGATGATCGGCGTGGGTGACTAAAATGCGTGTTTTGTCGCCAATGATGCCGCCAGATGCCAAAACGCGCTCAACAATGAGGCGCTCAACCTGCGCATCAACAGCCGCAAGCAAGTCGTCAAAGATGTAAACATCCGCTTTTAGGTACAGTGCCCTACAAAATAATTATGCAAAATAATTAGCAACAAAGTACATATTCTACACTCTGCATATGTTGCATATATGATACACGTTTGCTGTGAATATCCAATACTTACCTCGCTAGTGCAGTCGCACCTTTTGACCGCCGGACAGGTTAATGCCATTAGGGCCAATCTCTGACAGATCGCCAGCTGCAAACTGCTCGACGTCCTCGGAAAGAGCGCAGGCTTCAAGCACCTGATGCATCCATTCCTCGTTGTACTCAGCGCCCATGAGCACGTTCTCGCGGAAGGTGTCGTTCATAATGTATGGCTTCTGGCTAACGTAACCAATCTTGCCATACACCAGCCATGTCCACTGACCACGGGCATCTCGCCGCACAGCCCTGAAAGGAGTGACGACTTGCCGCCGCCAATGCGTCCGATTATCATTACGAACTCGCCGGCCTTGACGCACAGCGTGATCGGATCCAGCGCAAACTTGTTGTCGCCCCAGCTTAATACACAGTTGTCGAGCTTTACCACAACGCCGTCCTCAGCGGTCTCTGCCACGTGTGTAATATAGACCTTCTGCTCAGCATCAAATAGTGTCTGTATGAAATCCAGACCCTTGTTGATTTCAACAATTGTCTTTCCAACAGAAGCAATCGTTTTGGTAAAATTTGTGAGCGAGTCGATTGAGTCCACTAACAGCGCGATTTTCGGGTATATACAGGCTTGCTGGATGCACCAAAAAAGACAATAATTGTCAGCGCCGCGGAAATCTGTGAGGACGCGCACCCGATGAGGTTGACACTGTAGCTTGCCATATGCCAGAACATTGGTGGAACATAGTCTGGCTTATCTCTGAATGCCTTTACACCTATGAACACATTCTCCCAGGCGTAGAACTTGATTGTGCGGATGTTGTTAAGTATGCTGTAGTAATCATCTTGAAACCTGGGCATTTTGGTCGCTTGATTCAGTTGTCTCAGTTCTCGATCTTTTGGGAAACCAAGTGGAGAACAGTTGGTGATGAGGGTGATGACGATGGGAATGACGGCATACCATCCGATCTCTCTGTAGATGATCCACACGTTGAAGAGCTGACCAAACGCTGAACTGAGGGCACCAAGAAGAGTAACGGTTCCTGACGAGATATTCTGTAGTTTTTTTGTTGAACTCCATGCGTCATAAGGATTGCAATGGGACATCATAAAAAAATCTAGGGCCTTGACTTGGAGAAGCGCACGCATTTTCTGTTCCAAATCTTCTTTATTCTAGAAACGTATCTACCAGCAAGGGTAGTGAGCGATAGCAGCTGCCAGAAAATGAGCAGCACGGCCAATCTTGGATAGTCGACTGGGCTTGGGCTGCCGATGGCCGCGAGGATGCCAACAAACAGAATCCGGCGCCAGTGAGTAGCCATTTGAACTAGTGTATCAGCAATAAGCATGCCTACAAGTTCCTTCCACTTGGCATTAATAAGCCCGCGGATGACAAAGAACCTATTTGTACAAATTCCAAAAAACATACTGGCATATTTAGAACAACGATATATATAACAATATATATTTAGTTTTGCAAACATAATTTTCAGCAATATTTTTTAAGTGATTACCTCTGCGTCGGGTCAAATGCTGCTTTTTTGCTGTGCTCGCTAAACTCGCTCTCAAACTTGCGGTTGCGCAAATCTTCGATGGAAAGGCCACCACTGCGCGTGAGCCTGACAAAAACAAAGCCATCGAGAGCGCACACGCCCTTGAGATGGAACAAAATGTTGCTTTTCAATTGCGAATTCAGCGCATACCACGCAAGCCAAATATGAATTGCTGCGCTGGCTGCAGTTGCTGGCAGGGACATTATCAGCGGCGATTGGCCCAGCCGGTAAAGTCTAACCACATAAATGCAGGAAAGCGCATTGCTGCCGCTGGCTGCACCCAAATAGTGGCAAAATGCCGAATATGCCGTCAGCGAGACTGCGGCAGACAAAGAAGCAGTAAAAACAACTGAGCTGATGGACGCGGTCTGGATTAAAACAAGTGCCACATTGGCAATGCCCAATGCAATCAGTGGAAACGCAGGCGTGGGCAATGCTTTGCGCCTGGTGGTTTGGCATTAAACATTGCCACAAGGCAGGCCATTGACACAACAGTATCAATTGCGACGCTAGCGTTTACCGCGATAAAATCGGCAGCCATTTGTTGGTAACTTGAAAAAGATGGTAATATAAAAAAGTTTAGTGGGTGGTGTTTCAACAAGCTGTAAGTAAATAAAATAAATGTGAAAAATATGGTGAGAGAATGAGAAGAAGCGGAAGACACATCAGTGGTTGGGCTTTCTATTTTGTTGGTATGCACGCATCACTACACTAGAATGAGAATTTGACATTCAGAAACATATGCAACACCGTTTTGTTTAATAACAAATTATGCAAAATGCAATAAGCAAATAGGAAATCTTTTACAAATAGATCCAAAACCGCAGTCAAGCAAATGATCTGCTGAATGTGAAAAATAGTTGAGAAAAAACAATTGTATTGTTAAAATGTTCTTTTTTGCACTGTAAAACAAATAGCTTAATTTAGATATGCAATACATTTTTCACTATTGTTTGTTACATCATCCCATGGGTTTATCGCATTTTGCAGTTGCATCGGCACCATGAATGATTATACCATTAAAATACTTTTCCATATAAATATTGTTTCAATTTTTATTTAATTACAACGTGTATCAATGGGCTACATTTTAGTTTGTTCACTCATATATAGAAGTGAATGTGGGCAAGGGCGGAGGGATTCTCGCCAATATGTTTCTCGACAATCTCGCCGGGCGAGTCTTATTTTTGGTGAATCCTTCCGAGCTCTCGATATAATCCTCGGCAAACTGCAAAATAGCCTGCATATCCTCAGAGTCATTCTCGCGCATGGCTCCAAACTGGTAGCCAAACTTGCCAGGACCCGAGACAGCGATAACGTTGCCCAGATGGCACATGGACAGACAGCTAACAGGGACAATGCGGAGGCGAGACTTGACAGCATTCGGGCACTCCCGGGAGGCAGAGCCGTGTGAGTGAGGCTCAGCACCGCGGCAAGCCGCCCGCTCCTTCAGCCGCTCGTGCTGCGTATGCAGGGCTTGCAGATTCTCATACAACATACGACCAGTGGTCTTGCGACGACCGTCGGTGTAGATGTTGGGCGTCTGCGGCATAACCAGGTCCTCCATGTCGTCAACTTGCTGGCCATCGCGCGGGCGTAGCTTACACCGCAGAACACCATCCTCGTCGCTGCAGATCTTCTCGCACACTTCATTTGTGCTCTGCCGGTGGCACTTGACGCACACAAAGAGGTAGTGGTCGCCATTTGATGATGCAGAGGCCTCCAGTGCGGTGCCCCGACCGATGCTTGGTGGGACGAAGGCTGCTGGGTTGGACACAAAGCCGTAGCTCTCGTGGTCTGTGGTTTCAAGCTGCACGTGGCCGCGGTCCCGGCGTGCCACAATGGGCTTTTGCGCGGCGGAAGGCCGGACAGCAACTGATTTGGGCATAATCGATAGCGGCGCCGGGTAGTCAAATGGCTGGGGCCGGCCGTCACGCATGATGGGCGTGCTCTTGGGCGCGCTGGGGTTCGGCAGCGGACTCAGCCGTTTGCTCGCATCAATGACCTTGGCTTGGGCTCGTCGGAATGCTTCTGTTTGAGCTCCTTGATGGGCTTTGGCATTGGCATATCAGGCGTGGGTGTCGCCTCGGAGGTGGGCGTCAGGGGGCCAGGAACAGTAACTAGGGGCATAAGCACCTCATTAGTTGCCACGTTTACTACACCACTCTGCACCTCCACATTGTAATATAAACCTTGTGACGGCACCACACTTGGAGTCCCAGAGAGTGGCGAAGACGTGTGAGGCACAGCCGACTGCGTAATCTTCCATCGATTGAGGGCCTCGCCCAACTGCGCCAAATCCTCTGGGGTATTACACAATGCTGAAGACGGCGGCGATATTGGTGTGCTATCGTAGTCATTCTGCGTCCGGCCCTCTCGTCCAGTTGCTGGGGATGATGCGCGCGATATGGCTGTCGAGTCTGAGGCGTATGAGCGAGTGTCGCGCAGATGAATTGACGGCGGCGTATCCTTTGCGGCGGATTCAATGTCGAGGGCTGACGCCTCGTCTAGCGATTTCAGCTGATTGTACAAGTAGCGCAGCATCACATAGCGGTGTCGCGATCGGCAAGCGCACAACAGCCGCAGCGATGCTCACCAGGGCTGCCAGCCGAGCTGCCTGCGAAAAATTGTCGAGCGGCCAAAAAATGCCCATCGGTCAGGATAAAAATAATAATATATAGATTTTTTAGAGGAGAAAATAAATAAAGTGAAAAGTACAGGCGCGAAAAAAGATAAGATGTATAAAGGAAAACGGTGCGAAATAAAAATATGGATTTTCCAAGACCTTGAAGTTGCCCGTTTTATATATACTGTGTTGGTCGAATGATCAGAATCTGGTGATGCTCGGGGCTGGGTGTATTAGCAAGCGTGTGGCTGAACAACCAAGCGAATGATGGTTTCAAAAAATATAAGGCGCGGTGATAATGATAGGTGTGTGAATGGATAGATGAATAAATGAAAACAAGGGAAGTGGGGAGTATGTCTTTGCGGTATGACCAAATACGCCTTCCCTCTTTTTTGCCTGCTAATAAAGATAATAATAGTCCAAGTGAAAAAGAGAGAAATAATATCTGTTGCGTTTATCAAGGGGAAGGGAGAAGAAAAAAGGCGAATCGATTAAAGTGAGAAAACAGTCTAAAAGAAAAGTGAAGAGTGCAAAAATCGTAATTTGGGCCCACACGGCGGGGGCCTCGTGCATCTTATAACCGAAAATTTTTCTTGCATTTAGTGAGACATCAGATAAGCCTTCCTCCCGCAACAATCATGCAAAATGAAAAATTACAGCCACGCCTCAACATTTCTGTTTGCTCTATTTCTCCGCGCCCAATCGACGTATCCAAAGGGCTGGTGCAGTTGCAAATGCAAATTCAAGTGATTTTTTACGAGCAGCGCCAATTACTGCGCTAAAAAGACAGCAACTTAATGATGGGGTTCTAGTTTATCGCGCAGTTTGTTGCTTTTGTCGTAGCCTTTTAGTCATCAGGCAAGCTAAACTAGGTCACATGAGGGCATATAATACTGCCATTGCCTTTCTATAGTTCTCTTTTTTAAAGTGTCTTGTGGATTACTCTAAATAATATGGCCTTTTACGACTAAAAAAAGACAACTCGCTCGACAGAACACCACTGCAGCAGTAACGGCAGAAATAATGAGTAATCTCTGCCCATCACAAAAGGGCATAGGAAAAACATATTTTATTAATGGCGGACCGCATGAAAGCGAAGAGAGGAAAATCAATGATGGGCTGCCGTGGCTATTTCTGAATCCCCACCCCAAAATGGAATCAGATAAATTCAGCTTATGATTGATCGACAAATTGAGAAATTCTACGTGGAACCTTGTGCTTCTTTCAAAACTTGCTGGCTGGCGTGCTTTCTCTGAGCAGCTGGTCCTGGTCCTCGGAGTCTGTGAGCTTCGACAGGCGGCGGTGCTGGCCGTAGATGCGCATCAGGTCGTCAGCAGTCAGGTCGATTGCGCACGACTTGTAGGGCGTCGTGCAGCCGCCATTGACAATGTCGACGCCAACGCCAGAGAGGATGTCGATCAGCTGGCGCGAGGCCTTCCACCAGAAGGTGCGCGGCACGCGGCGCTCAAAGTCGGTGTGCGCGACGAGCTCAGTGATAGGCGTGAAGCGCATCTCAGAGCCAATGACGCCGATGACAGCCACAGAGCTGGGTGAACTGGCGTAGATGTCGGGAAATACTTGCGCTTGAGCTGGTCGGCCGGCAGGCGGAAGCTGTCCTCGTTGGGCACGGACATGGCCTCCCAGCACCTGGTCTGCAGCCAGTTGACCGCGTCAGCAGCCATCGTGTTGGCGCGGCAGCGGTCCAGCGACGACGGCGTGCCACCCTGCTGCAGATGGCCCAGCACCGCCGTGCGTGCACCGAAGAAACCGCCGCTCTCTGCCTCGTAGATGCGCCCAATCATTTCCGTGTTGTACACTGATGATGCGCGCTCGTTGCAGAGTGTGACGCGGCCCTCGGACCGTGCCAGCTCTGCCACATAGCGGCTCCTCAGGTGCGCAATATCGCGCTGCAGCCGCGACAGGTCGATACCCTCCTCAGGCGTGTACACTGTTGTTGAGCCGCCCGACAGCCCAGCCATGACGGCCAAGAACCCGCAGTTGCCACCCTGCACCTCGATGACAAAGACGCGGCGGCGATTGGACGAGGCCGACTGCTTGATCATGTCTGTCGCCTGCACAATGACGTTGGCTGCCGTGTCGGATCCCAGCGAAAAGTCAGTGCCGGGCACGTTATTGGATAGGGTCGCCGGCAACAGCACTATGGGATGTTAAGTGCCGGATACTCCTTGCGCGCGCGCTCCAGCTGCAGCACAGCAGTAAACGCCTCAAATCCACCGATTACCAGCAGTGCGTCAATACAGTGCTTTTGCATCTGGAACGCAACGGCACCCATTTGCGGGCCCGGCTGGTCTCGGTTGTGCCCAGCCTAGATCCACCGGCAATGGTCCAGCCGTCGACTGACATCCAGTCGAGCTCTTCAATCTCGCCGCGCATAAGCCCGGGGAAGCCGTTGTGCACGCCAATAGGCGTATGACCGCGGTTGAGGCACAGGCGCACGGCACTGCGCGTTGCCGTGTTCATTCCGCCGGCCGGCGCGCCTGCATGGATGATAGCAATGCGCAGCCGCTTATCTTCGGGCAGTTCATCTTGCTAGCAGGGTTGTAGTTGGCTATCTCCTTGTACGTGCGCAGCTGCTTGCTGAACGCCGCCGCGCGCAGATGCATTGCGCGGTCAAAATCCTTGGCCTCGATCGCCTGCGCCACCTGCCCGGTCAGCTCGATTGCCTCCTTGAGCGGCTGCGTCGTGATTTTGTTCTCCAGCATGCCAATCACCGGAGACGGCGTCTCGGGAGTCGCGCGCAAGATCGCCTCGACGGCTTCGGCGCCCTGCATCGTGCCCAGGAACCGATCAAAGTGCACGGGCGCTCCACCGCGCTGCACATGGCCCAAGATTGTCACGCGCGTGTCGTAACCCAGGCGGGTCGCAGGATGTCGCGGATGTACTCAGACTTGATGGGCTTGAGGTTGCGGTCAATGGCGCCCTCAGCCACGATGACCAGCGACGTGCGCTTTCCAGCATCGCGGCTGGCTTTGAGCGTCGCGCACATCGACATCTCCCAGTCATCACCCTTCGGCGGTGCCTCGGGAATAAACAGTAGTCAGCGCCCGTGCTGATTGCCGCGTTGAGTGCCAGCCACCCGCAGTGCCGTCCCATCACTCAACCACAAAGGCACGCTGGTGGCTCATGGCCGTGCTGAGAATGGCGTCTACCGACTCGCAGATCCGCGCCAGCGCTGAGCCCGCGCCAATCGTCATGTCCGTCGAGGACAGGTCGTTGTCAATCGACCCGACCATGCCAACAATCATCAGCGTGCGGAAGCGCTCGGCCTCTTCGCCCGAAATTTTTCCCTCGGACTCGAGCGCCGACACGTGCTCGGGCCACTCCGCTCGCAGGCGGTCCGCGCCGGTCAGCGAGCCGTCGCCGCCAATGACAATCAGCGCATCAATTCCATTGCGAATGAGGTTGAGCACACCCGTGCGCCGGCCCTCAAGCTCGCGGAACGCCTTGCATCGCGCCGTGCCAATGCTTGTACCGCCCAACTTCAAGAACCCGCTGACGTCCGACCACTGCGCCTCACGGATCCTGTCGCCGCCGTCCACAAGGCCCTGGTACCCCTCATAGATAAAAATGGCTTGCACCGGCGGGCAATGGCCATGCGCACTACAGCGCGCACACATGGGTTCATGCCCTGCGCGTCGCCGCCCGACGTCAAGATGCCAATGTTCTTGCGCACGCCCGACTTGTTGGGCTGCAGAACCTCCTCGATAGAGTCCTCGACCGGCAGCGGCTTGATCTCAGGCGAGGCAGGCATCGAAAACGTGTCTGGCTGTGTAAGAAACAGCACGTCATTGCCAAGCGGGTCGCGCGTGGCGACACGGTCGGTGTTGAGCTTTGGGCAAAGTGGATATCAAATTTGTAGTTTTTGGCTTTCAAGATGGCCTTGACTTCCTAATTTGGGAAAGATAAATAAGCATATCATGACGCTTTGGGTAAGCAGTGTTTTTTAATATTAGCGCCGCGTGCTATCAGCTGTTTATGATCGCTGCTCTAAATAAACATCTGATGAGACAACCAGCAGCAAAACGTGTGCTGCTGTTGACAGGCCAGCTCGGTCAGCGAACCAGCCAGTCAAAGCTTGTGAGTGAAAAAGCGAGGCTATACCCCGCACGCAAATAACTCTAACCCGCGCCTTACCTTGATTTTCTGTGTCGCTAGGCAGATCCTAATGGTGCTGTTGAGAACCTCGGTTCCGACCTTCTCCCCAACCACATGCACAATCCTCAGCGTCACGCTGTTGCCGACCGGCTTCCAAACAGATGCAGCCACGCCTCCTTGCTCACGGCGCTGCTCTTGCCGCTTAAAATAACGTCCTTCTGGGGCACATCGTGCTCTACGAGGCGCACAGTGCTTAGCCCGAAGCTCTCATAAAAGGCTATGGTCTTTTCGAATAAAGGCGATCTGTCTGTCATTAGCGCAATGTGCGCAAACGCAAGTCCAAGCTCGGCGGTTGTGTCTGCCATCGTATCTTTGGCTGGTGGCAAGGTGTGAGTGAGTAGTAGTATTAAATAAAAGTATGTGAGGTCTTGTCGACTGTTCTTGTCGGGCAGTCGATAAATCGGTCTGAAGGATAAATAATGAAAATATTGGAAGATAATAATACAAGGGAAAAGAGAAGAGAGAAGACGAGGGACGAACCTGTTAAAGTATACCAATTTTAAGCACAGGACGCGCCTAGTCACTCTTTCTTTTTTTTGTATTTGTTTGCCCGGGTGCATTCATGCATGCGCTTTGGTGCATACGCACTCCAGATAAATAAAAGCTAATGTCTCGGCTCCCTGCCCCTTTCTCAAGCAAAAACATCCGATTTGTGGATGAGGGCTGGGTAGTGACAGTGCTAGAGACTGACGGACAAACGCGTCTCCTCCGTCACCCGCATGCGTCGTCTTCTCGCTTCTCACTGCTGCTGCTTGCTGTATTTTCTCCTCAAAACCAGACAGACACGCTAAGTTGCAAATCGCCTGATCCCAGCTGCTTTTTATAAATGTCAGCCAAGAAGGTGCATCAGCTGAGATCGTGGCAGCTCTACGCCCTCACCAATGGCTTATGAGTGTCGCCGCACGTGCCACGGCCCATTGGCATTTCTCGCTGTTGTCAGCCATTGTGTTGCGCTTGCTGCTGATCTTGGCGACAGTACTTTGTAAATTTCCATCGCGGTTATCGTGGGCCATCTCGGCGGTCTCCATCTGATCTGGCACAGTTGACGCAGACGCGTCTGTGCTCTTGCGCGCCCCAGTTCGCGCTGTTTTCTGCCCCACATGTTCCTCCGACAGCCGCACCTGCGCTTGAAACTGCTGGCTCTGCAGATGGTAAAGCTGGTGTATCATTTGAGACTGCAACATCAAATTGCCCCTGTCTTGCGCCCCTTGGCTGTTTCTTTGGCTTTCAGCAAATAAAGACCTTCATCGAGCCGCGACCATGACGAGCGGAACTGGCCCTTGCCTGGCTTTCTGTACTGGCTTGCGGTGCTGCTTGGCTGATTTGCCAGCGGCTGCATTTGGATTGGTTGGTGAGGGGCGCCGGATGCGCTTGTTGTCGGGATTGTTGCTAGCGAGGGCCTATGCTTGCTTCCTGACGAGAGAGCCGCCGGGATGGCTGGTCCTTGCCCCTGGTTCAAAGCATTCATCGGAATGCTGTCAAACTGGTGGTCTAGTGGCAGCCGAGGTATCGAGCTATGAGGGCTTGTGTTTAAAAATGTAAGCAGCACGGCGAATAGCAGCCAGCACGCACAGGTCACTATGCTTCCGGCCATACCCTGGCGAAGCAGCGTGCAGACGCGCTTAGTATCTTCAGTCGGCAGATCTCCAGCCCCCCCGCATGGCATTTGCCGACCATGCCTATGATTACCAGCTGGATGATGGTTGATGACCATACCAGTGCTAGAAAGGTTGTGATGCCCAGACGGATAAAGGCCATGTTGCGCTGAACGCTGTACACGAACTCCTCAAGAAACATACATTTCTGCCACCACACGATTGAGTCACTCCCAGACCCCATGCCGTACGTGCACGCCTTACCGGACTGCACAGGCCACCAATCTCCTCTGCCACTGCTGCCATTTCCGTAAGAGTCCCACATGCTGCCCTTGTCTCTGGGCCTCAGGCCGTCCAAGCCGTTGTTAATATTAGTAATGTGTCGCCACATTCGGCTGCGCAGAACTATCATTCCGACCAAATCAAGCATTGCGAAGAACAGACCAAAGCTCAAAGACAGCACGCAGGCTGCTAATGTAAACCATACCAGCACTGGCGGATTGATAAGCGCTATTGCTGCTGACTGTTGCTGCGCGTCGCCCAGTGTCGCCAGCTCCACTTCTCGGGTTGCCATTATGTAGCTTGCCAACTGAAGGCCGCCACTAGCCAATGAGGCCAGCCCAAGGGCAAACAGCAATATGCTGCACCCGCCGACGCCCAACATAATATATATTTAATATTGCGGCTACTGTGTTTAAAATATAAAAGTTTCTCCACGCTATGCTTGCAAAAAATTAAAATAAGGAGTATTCACAAGAAAGTGTTAAAAATACAAATGTAGTTAATATGCTGAAATATCTCTTGTTAATATGAGGAATACAATAAAAGAAGAACAGCTCACAGACCAGTAGCAAAATATACAGACATGTATCCGTATCAAAATGTTTACACTCGCTTATATTCATTCCGTATAATACAGAAACGGGATGAATACTTACAGAATTGAAGAAAACCACCACAAACTCTGCCTACACACCCTAAATGGAACACCATTTTAGAAATATGTCCATGCCTATTTTCTTGTCTGCAGAAATTAAATCCCTGTTCAGGCATATGCCCCCTATTATTACCGCAGGCCGCGGATTTTAATTTTTTATAAACGGCAACTAGCGCTTGCAGGGTGGCTTGTTTTGCTTTTGTTCTTGCGTAGACATTTTGTTTCAGATTTTCGCGGCTCGAGTGTTTCGACTACACATCCTCGATATATTTCAGCCACATTGACTCTATGAAGAAAGCCGAGAGCACAATCTAGTCTCGAGCGTCGGACAATACTTGTAGTGTACTTTGTTCATTGTTTATATAATAAAGGCATTTTGAATACAATTGGATGAATTAGATTATTTTGTAATATACTGCATTTCTATTTAGAATTGTGGAATTAATTTTAATTATTTCTCAATGTATTATTAATGGGGCCGGATAACCAATTTGGAAATTTAAGGACATTTCGCATCAATTCATTGAAAATTCATCAAGCATTCATGTCTATTTAGAAGCAAAAAATCTAACACGCAACACAACCAAACAAAATTTACAATGGGCCATTGCTGCTGCCGCCGCCAGAATTGACACTCCCACGCTGCTAGCAAGACTTCTGCTGCTGCTGCTGCTCTCACTTCGCTGGCCATTCTGCGGCTGTTATCTCGGATCCGTTTCTCATGGATCTGCGTCTCAATGGCCCGAGCAAATGCCGACTCGTAAGCGCTGGGCATGTGGTCGGTAATCATTGTTGGCCGCAGAACAATTTCTCGGAACGACTTTGACGGCATTTTCTGCACCCACACTGGATAGAACTTGCTGCCTCCTGCATTTGCGGCCGAGGCCGAGGCCGTCGCGGGCGTGGGCGGCGGCGTTTTGGGCAATGTTTTATCTACATTTGACACAGTTGGATGGGCTTGTGGGGCAAGGGGCTTATTGGCGCCATCACCGATAATGGACGTGTTGATTGCGTCCGCTAGGTCCTCGGGTCAACTGAATCCGCCCGCACCTTTGTGGCTGGTGTTGGGGGAGGTGGCGGCGCATTATTTTTCTGTTGCTTTGGTCTTTTGGTGTTTTCGAGGTTCTGGCCGGCAACTTTGTCCGCCTCGAGCTCGGAGCAGGCCCCATCTCCGAACAACTCGCGGCGACCAATGGCAACCTCAAGTTCGGGGTTCCGTGCCTCCTTCTTGCTCTTGCTTCCAGTACCGCGGTACGCAATCATATGATGAATGACGCCTGGTAGCGCTAGATGCAGATTCTCTTGGGTCGCAAGTATGTTCTCTCGAATCTTAAGCAGACGAGCAAACCGTTCTTCCCACCTCTGCTTCTGTGCCGCCGAGTCCTCGAACGGCGCGTACAGCCGCTGGCTCAGGTTATCGGACTCGTCGGCGGCACTGATTGCCATGCGCTTAAAGTCGGACACCGATCCGTAGCACAGTCGCGGGACAAAGTCGTCGTTATGGACAAATGTCTCGATGTAGTCCTCAAATTGCTCGGCGAGATTGTCAGAAATGCAAGGCGCGGGCCCATAGCAGTACGTTTCATGTCGTATTCGCTGATATCGATTCCCAGGCCGGCCAGCCTATCGCGCGCGCTCTGCACCATTATCGTCAGTATGGCCGCAGTGGATGCGCCCAGTGAGTGGCCGACAATGCGAATTGATTTTATGTCGTGGCTCTTCGCGTATGCCAAGATTAGCGGCATCACCTTTACAAACAGCCAGTGTGCCGATGCCTGCATGCCGCTGTGAACCAGCCCGCCGTTCCATTTTGTGTACTCGCAGGACAGATCGACAACCGTGTCCTCAGCGCTCATCGTCCCGCGCACGACCAGCACTACCGATTTGTACTTTCGGTCGTGCGCTACAAAGTAGCTGGGGCAAAACAGCTGCGAACTGCGGAATTCGTACCCAAGCAGGTCTTCCTGCGCCAGGTTCAAGTACTGCAGCACGCTCGTCACATCAGAATCACCCTTTGCGCCGTCCATGAGCGTGATGCCGCGGTTGAAAAAGTACAGTGCGCGCCAGCCATACGACGCTAATGCGAACCTTGCATAATGCCCGGGGATCTCGAGTTCCTGTGCGCTTTCGACCTGCTGGCCCCTGTGCGGCCGAGTGACGCCAGGTATTTCGGCCTCGTTGTAAAATTTGTATAGCGTCAACAGGCCACCCAAAATCTCAGTGTTTGACAGCTCGACGCCCTGGTTAAAGTTGCCAACCAGCCTGTCGAGACTTTTGATTGCCATAAACGTCGACGGCGAGACAAACATGCTCGCCAAAGACTGCATCAACGTCTTTTCGCTGGCCGTCGGCGTCGAAACAGAGTTCATGCGTTCCATTTTGCTCGGTCGAGAGGCGCTCGCCGCTTCAGCCGCTGTCACCGCTGTTGCCTCAGAATTATCCACCGCGTTTTGTGTCGACGGTGCGCTCGTAAACAGGTCCGCAAACCATCCTGCGCTGCCGCTAGATGCAGTGCCGCTGCCGCTACTGCTTTTCAACCCGGCTCCAAAAGCGGTGGCACCTGGAGCTCCGCTTTCTCCTCCCGCTCTAACTGCCGACTTTGGTGCAGAGTCGTCGTCGACCTTGGCAAATCCAACTGTAGACTTGGCGCCGTCACTCGGCTGCATGTTCTGAAAGTAAGGCCGCATGGCCGTTGTGTGCACCATCTCCATATATAGATTATACTCGTTGGCAAATTTTGCCACCAGCTCTTCCAGAGGCATGTCAATAGAGCTGGACGGATCCTCATCAGCGGCAACCTTGTTGACAAGCTGGTTGGGAACAGTGCCAGAAATGTGAGCCCCGCGCACCTTGGCAACCTTCGACTCGGGATCCTCGAGCTTTTGATAGCGGTAGTTGACACGTACCTGTAGAGCACCGAGGTTTTTGGATACAATATGGCGCTGGCGCTGCTCCGGCACTGTCGATGCGGCCAGCTTCTTGTCCCAAATTTCGTAGTAGCTGGTAAATATCTCCGGAAACCCATCAAGCAGGGATATCTTAATCTCGGCGCGGCCGACCAGCGTGTCGGGGAGCAACATATTGCTTGAGTACACGTCCATATGGACGGTGCCAAACAGCTGCATATGGTAGGACACAATAAGCTCGAATCCTTCGTTCCAGTTGCCCGTCTGCAACTTTCCAATTGAGGTTTGGAATACCTGGTCTCCTAGCCTGACAACAACGTACGGGCGGTTGATCGGATTGCTCGGGTGTATGCTCATGATGAAGACCTGCATAATTCCGTCGGGAACCTTGTACAGGTTGAGCGGCTGGCTGAGATCCAGCCCGTCGAGCACGCTGTCAGACGCGGGCATGGCGGGCATTTTGCTCGTCGATTGCTTCCTTGATGCCGACTCCGATAACGCCAAATCAACAAAAGAGGTGGTTTCTGTGCTGGCAGAATTCAAACCGAGTGTTTCATCCGGCTGCTGCTTGCAAATGGCCTCGGCAGCATCCGGTTCTGTCAAGGGTGCAATTCCATCGGCTGTCGATGGTCCGAGAAGCTTGCGAACCTCCTGGCTCAACTCTTGCATTCGGGCGCTCTCCCACTCGGTCTTGGTTTGAGCATCTGTTCCAATGTGGATGCTAGGCGACCTAGGGCCTATGGGCATTCTGGGGCCAAAGCCTGCCATGGGCAGCGGCCGTCGCTGATGGCTGTCGTTGCCATTCATGCTGCCCAGTGAGCGGAACAAGCCGGCGGTATCGGACCGCATTGCCGCCCGCTGGGGCGCTGCCACCTGCTGCTGTTGTGGCTGCCCCTGCAGCAAGGACGTCTGTGTTTGTTTATTGCTGTCTTCTATCCGGTTGATATCTCCTACCGTGTCCCTCGCCATTACTTTTGGCGGTTTCTTGCAAATTGCTCTGCAGACCTTAGTATGTAGAGCTATGACTGCTGTGCGAAACGCCTTGGAAAACAACGTTAGAAAGTCGCCCCTTGGTTAAGAAAAAATAATATAAAAATACAATGTAGGGCAATGGCTTTTATTATTTGAATTTAGTGTTTATAAAGAAAATTTATGAAAGCGCAAAAGAAAAGGAGCGGAAGACCGTCAGTGCGGAAATTCAATATCCAATTTTTCTTTTGGTGCGACATTCTAAATTTTTTATTCGGTAGCTGCTGGTAATGGTGTCGGTGATGCTGTTCTGCAGGTGACGTGACGTGGGGTTTTTTAAGTTGATTTAATTTTTTGCGCACTGACTGCTTTTGGCATGAATGTATTCTTGGCCTTGGCTCCCATGGCTGAATTCATTTTTACTTTCATTTTTGTTTAAACAGGTTGAATTTCACATATTTACGTATTTTTATTGCATTTAGTAATGTCCTCACTAAACATAGAACTGGCAGTTTGGAACGCCGCCGCAGACCCAACCCACACAAAGGTCACTGCCACAGCGACACACAAAGACGGGATAGCCTGCGGCCATTCGGACGGCAAGGTATGGCTATACGAATTTGCGTCTGCCAAGCTCTCAGAGCCGGCGACACCCATAGAGCTCAAAATGCATCCAAAGTGCATGCTAGTCGCACACCAAAGCCCTATTGTGCTGCTGAAATGGCCCACATCAACTCGCCGTTGGCTAGCGGCACCGAGGGCGCTCTGATCAGCGTGTCCGAAGACGGCAACGTTGTTCTCTGGGATATCAGCGACGGCCGGTGTATTTCTCGCGTGCGCACGCCTTTGCAGAATATCCGCCCTGTGTCGATCAATCTGCAGACGGTCGACTACCAATCAGCAGCAGAGGACCTTTTGTTTGTCACGGGCGAGGGCCACGTAGCGTATGTGCTCAGCTATCCGTCGCTGGAGCTGGTGTACGAGTGGCATCTGCCGCACTCCGAATGGATTACCGCACAAATGGTGCGCAAGCGCAAGGACCACTTCAGGAGCGAGCTGCTTACGTGCACCAGAGACGGAGTTGTGCGCATATGGGGCTACGACGAGTTTGTGTTGTCCCAACAGGACGTCTTTAGTCGGGCAGCCAGTCCGACGATGGCCAGCTTCACTGACATGGCGGGACTGGGCGCTAGCTTGCCCAGTCAAGGTCGGAAAGCGTTATTTCGGACGCAGGCACCGAGGTTATTGGTGCAAGTAGCAGCTCGCACTTCCACTTAGAGTCCACATTTGCCTCGCTTGGAGAAGAGCATGCCATTTTGCAGCTGGTCATAAACCCGTTCAATGAGGACGAGTTTTTAGCAGTGTCTCCTTCCATTGTGCGGCTGTTTGCGTCGCGAAACAACGAGCTGCACGAGCTTCTGAGATGGAAGACCAGAGGAGCAACAGCGCGGCGTTCATCGGCGCTGGGTTTTTGGCCGAGTCGGACATAATCTTCTGGGACGCTTTAGGAAACATATCCAGCGTGTGCTCGCTATTTACCGTCGAAGGTGGCAGTGCTGGCATGCACTTGACCCGCAGTCTGCATGCGGAAAAGACCGGTGAGTCGCCTGTTTTCGTGGCAGCGAGCCTTGACACTGTGACTGCAGGGCCGAGTCTGGGATTGGATTGCCACAGGGCGGCCAGGCAGCCCGGTACACGTACTTTCTACTTACACTAGCAATCGCAACACACACTCGCTGTCGGTGGTGTTTCCTATGCCGCTGTCCTCGGTAAGCGGCAGCGCCAATCGCCCGCACGTAGCGATTGCTGATTCCAAGGTTCGCGCGAAGAACTGGCTGGGCAGCTCGACATATTTTGCAATGAACGGCTTGTGGAGCGAGTGGATGGATGGTCTAAAGCCAGAGCAAGACACGACCAGCGCGCTGGTTACGTGCTCAGGAAAATTTGCACTGGGTCTCGAAAGCGGGAAGCTCCAGATTGTGCCGCCAACATTGCTTGTGGCCAGCTCGCATACTGACTGCGATGGTTCCAACACAGCACCGACCGGCGAGCTTGAACTTTGCGGACACAGCTCGGCGATCACAGCGCTGTTCGAGTGGACTGTGCCGCCCTTGGAAATTGTGTGTGCTGTGGGCGCTGTCCGTCCGACGACGACCACAACAACCATTCGCAGCTGAATGACACCCAAATAGCTTCAGCTTGCTCACACAGCTTGCTGGTCAGCGCAAGCAAGGATTTGACAATAGAGTGTGGGATATGGCTGCTGGAAAGTGCCTATGCACCCTGCCCACGCAGTCAGCGCCCGTAGTGCACATGTGTCCTGTGCTTCCTCCAGCCAAATACGCCTCTTGGAGGCAGACATCAGAGCGACACAATGCCATGGCGGCTGTTCTAGGCTCTTTAGTCCTTGCCATTGCGTCGGACAACTCCACCACGCTGGTGTCAATGGATTCTCTGGAGCGCGTTCACGTTACACCGCCGTGCCACGAGCAGCCTGTGAGACTATCTTTGCGCAGAGACACAGGCGATCTGGTCATACTCTATTCGGATGACTCACAGCGGTGCGTTGTACTCAGCCAACTGCTGGGGCTTGTTTCGAAGGGGGCTGCAGATAAGCCGGCGGGTTCATTACCATCTATCTCAGTCAGCCTGGTCAGTGGGCCATCGCGGCCAGCCAATGAAAGTGGTGCTGACAGCGGTAGTCAGGGCTGGGCGAATGTGCAGATGGTCTCTGCCTACAATAATTCCCGTAAGCTGCGCGTCAGAAACATCGGCGACGGGGGTGGCGGCCCAGCAGCTTTGTTGATGGACGTCGAGTTGATGCAGCTTTACTCGGCGGTGTCAAAGCTGGTGCCCGAGGGGACAGACTTGAAAGATATCCAACAGCTTCTTTCGGGTGAGGCCGCGGGAGATCTAACTGGCATTGGCAGAAACAGCCGACCTGGCGCGTACGGCGGCAAAGGCGTTTTGCAGCCGATTCACGCCTCATACATGATTATGTCCGTGTTGTGCACATGGGGAATTTCCAAGGATCTTGACGATATAAAGCAGGCTGCGTTTATGATCCGGCCACCACGACTAAATGTGTCGTTGTCCTTTTCGAACAAGTACGATGACGCGCACACGGTCATGTTTCCGAACTCGCAGAACCGCGGCCACGACTGGTGCGTGTCGTCATTCCTCAACGCGCAGCGCATGATGGCCATTCTTGTTCTTTCGGGGACGATCTTGCAAGGTAATATCACGGTTTATTTTTTTACTCATGGTTGTGTCTACGATGGTGCTTCGTTGCTTGGAGGAATCTTGCTAAATATGCTGCTTTTTATATTTATTCTTGGTCCCTGTAGGCAACGAAAAGAGAGCGGTCGAACTCATAAACTTTTATGTGGGCAAGTTGCAGGCCGAGGTCGGACCTCGATTCAAGAACCTATCCCTCCTGACACTTGCACAGTACTGGCAGTCGCCAAACGCAAACTTGCAACGGGCTGCGCGGACCCTAATTCTGTCGGCAATTCACAGTGCGCCCGAGAAGCTCCGCCGGGCCGAGCTTTTTTATTGGTCGTCCGTTTTGGCCAGGTGCGCGCCAGGAGGGGTCGACACCGAGGACCTATATGCATTGACTATCGTGTGCATCATTGGCAGTGATTACCCGTCTCTGCTGCCGCTGACGGCGCGCAGCATGGCTGCGTCAATGCTCCAGGCATTGATCTCAGCAGACCGGGTCAATGTGCGCGCGAGAATGGTGGCGGTTGAGCTGCTTTCGCGAGGGTTTCCAACATTCAAGGCGTACTTGGACTGCCAGCTGATAATCCGCCGGCTCCTTGGCATAATGATGAGTGTTTCAGAGGACGGCCACGACAAGAGCACAATGCATATGTCAGCGGCAGCATCGGGTGTTAGAGCTGGCAGTTCTGGCCCTGCTACGGCCGGCATGGGGCTGGGCATTCGGCGAGTTATGTCAGGCGTCTCAATGCCGGCGTCGGGGGAGTTTGGTTCCAGTGACATTGGCTCAAGGCTACCTTTGTATTCTCAAGTTCACAATAGCAGCGAGGGCCCTGGTGCTGGTGCCCTTGCTGCAGGGACTGGGCCAAAGGCAATTACCAAGCCGGCGGTGCGAGCAGAACTAATGGCGGCCTGGCCTCGACGCCTAACAACGCAGTGTCATCAATTGCCCGGGTAGCGATAACTTCCTCGGCAATGCGCGCACAAATGAAGTTTCCCCAGTTGCCCCCACCCCCCAGCACCGATGATGACGCTACTCATTACAGCAGCGACCATGGGAACGGCAACGCCAGCAGCGACGATTGTCAGGGTCATCGCTACAGGTACCATGCGCACAGACCGTCTCGCTCACAGCGGTCGAGCTCTGGGAACGGCGCCCTGGGAGTCGGCAACACTGTGTCTTTCAACCTGGTCGTTTTGGCAAAGACAGCGCTGCTGCGAATCAGCGTCAGCGACATAACCCTGATAAACAACACGGTGGTGAATATTTTGCAGACAAGCGAGAGTATCAGGGAGCGGCGAGGCGCGCTGCAACTGGTTGGGTTGGTGGCGCAAAAGCACCCTGGGCTCCTGTATCCGTTCCTCGAGGGGCTCGTGGCGACAATCGTGCAGGCGATTGAGCCGAAACACGCAACGTCGCGCAAGCTCTTGATAGGGGCGGCGGGCGCGGCTCTGCAGGGCCTGGTGCGTGCGTATCCGTGGGTGTCATTCCACCCAGAGTCGCAGTGCCTGGCGGTTGGGTGATTGATGGGCGATGCACGGCGTATGATTTGCGCACAGCCACACGAACGGCAATTTACGATACTCAGGCTGCAGCGCCTGTTGTGGCGGTGGCGATCTCACCCCAGGGCGATCGGGTGGGGTCGTTTACTCTGGGGGATGGTGTTCTTAGCATCTGGGACCCTTCCCGAGCGCCTTGGCAATGTTTGCGAGATCGCTATTTTGGTCAGCAATCGACGGTGGCGCAGTTCCAGGGAGCAGCAGCTCGGGTACTGTCACGCCGATCAAGACTATGAAAATCCCTGGCGCCTTTCTCAGCCGTGCAGGTAAGAATCCAGTGTGTTGTATTTTGTTCCTTTGTGTGTGTGTGTATGTTTGTATATGTGTGGATGAGGGCGGAGTTTTGTTATGATTTACTAGTGCATGATGAAAAGGAGGAAATGTTGATGCGCTGTTCGAATTTGAACACATTATTTATCTTTTTCATCCTTTGTTTACATTTGTTTTGTGTAGAAGAACTGCCTATACCTTCAATGATGGAGGTGGCCAAGCTGACATGGACTGCAGATCGGACGCTGTTGCTCCAAATTCATGACGCCAGCTTCTCGCTGTCTTTGTGAGATTTTGGAGAGTGCGAACAAATAGGCTCGACTGAATTTTTTTTTGTTCATGTGCCGCCTCATTTTGTTCTTTTTTGTGTGGCAGAACGAGTGACCATTTTGATTTTTTGCTTACTCAATAATAACAAATAACAGCAGCATTAGAAAAAGTTATTTCGCCAATAAAATAACAATGTCATTATTTTTTTTAAAAAAAAAAACTGTTTCGCAGCATAATGCCAGCGAGTGAGGGGTGTGGAAATATGTGTCTGGACACATGGAAGGCTGGCTGCCTATAATAACCACTTATGTATGTGTTTTGTAAGTATTGTTATTTATTTTTTACATTTGTAAAGACCATGTGTGAGGTGCATATGTGTATTTGGAAACCCGTCAACATGCAAAAACTGCATCTGCTGGACCACAGGGAAATCTAAAATTAAACTAAACTTTTTTGCTCTTCTTTGCCTTGCGTTGCCTTTGCGCGTGGATATACTATTACAAAAACAACTAAACAAATGGATAAAAATGTCGCCGCCACGAACAACAAACTCCAACCGGCCGAGCAATCGAGCGTCTACTTTTTAATTCTGGCAAAAATGAAAGTGTGGCTGTCGGGGGTGCAAGTCCATTACCTCAACAAAAAATATATATATAAACAGCGCAGCAAAAAAACAGGTATTTATTTTGAAAAAAACAAGTGTTACTATCTATTCGGCATTGTGTGTGGCGGAACAGGAGGCGGAAAATAAAAAATGGCCAGTTGACAAAAAAACTATAGTGGTCAAAATGCTCAACTTTTTTCATTCGTATCTTGTCTATTTTGATATTTTTGGATACTGTGCTCTTTCAATTTCTCTTCTCTTACCTTGCAAAATTTGTTTATTTTCCTCTTATTTTTTCAATAATAGTAGCTGAGCTTTGAGTTCTTTTTTGCGCACATATATACGACGACTTGGAATCGAATCCTGCATTTTTCCATTAGCTCTGCTCGCCCCGGATTTCGATAATATTTGTAAATTAATCATCAGATACCAAATATCTTTTGGGATTTTTCCAATTATCCATTTGATATTGCACTAGGGGTTTGCCTGTCAGCCATATTCGCCCCGAGCTCGTTTGAAAAGGTAAGGTTTTAAAGATAAATTCTCTGCGTTCAATATTACCCACTCTTCATATTTCCCTACCTAGTCTGTATGGACATTTGCCGACATACATTTCCAGTAAATGGAGAACAAAAAGGAGGCTTGTCCTGGTTTATCATTTGAATAGGGAGAGTAGTTATTGTACTTCCATATTTCCTACTTCCTATTATGCAGCAATAAATTGCAAACCGCATATTATTCGCATGTATTTCTAAAAACGGGTAACATGTGCCTTGTTGGGTTGCAGATGGTGCAGCAAGAACACGTCTCGTTTTTCTTGTGGCTCGTTATGCTACAAACGTAATAGTAATTTCTTTACATTTGCATTTGCGTTTCGGGGTTTCGGGATGTATTTTATTTTGGCAAAGCCGAGGCCCAAAATACAATTTGTCAAAATAATGTGTTCTGTTTGCGTATTTTTATTTCACTTTATTGTTTTGGAATCGGGGGAGTATTCCGATAGAGCTCTGCTTCTAGCAGCAATTCGACACAAGCAATCAAGTGCGTGTCATTTTCAGCAATCTAGGCGGGTGTTTCCTTTTTGGGTCCAGTATTTGTTTATGTTTATCGGCCGTAGGCCCTAGTCCTCCCATTGAATGTGCTAAGCCTGTCCGCCTATTCCTCTCCCCCACTATCTTTCCAGACCATCTTGTCCAGAATCAAAAGGTGGCCAAACCAGTCTGTGGGTCAGCTAGTTTCCCCAAGTTTCTTGCTTTGCCTTCTTTTTTATTTCTTTTTTCCTGTTGAACTCACCCGCATGTTGCACGATAAAATTTTATGCATAGCGAAGAAGGAAAAAAAGTGGCGGCAGGTGGCAGTTTGACAGTGATATTTTACGATGCTAAACTTTTTTTTGGTGTTTACTGTGAGGATTGGCAAGTGGGAGTTGACCCGAAAGCTGGATTGGGCGCTGCGGCTTAACTTATCCGAGAACAGCAAGTGTACAAGACTGTTTGATTCTCTCGGCATTGAGTTGCTTGTTGCTTGTTGCCTTCTTATTTTAAATCCAGCCTGAGCCATTTAATTGCTTGGGCCGCTCTGTTCACCTTGTTGCCCTTTTTAATTTTTCCCACTTTTTATTTTGTAAAAGGTGGCTGGGCGATATTGTGAGCGTGAGCGTGGTGTGCACGTTTTAAATATTCCCCCTCTTTTTTCCGGCCCCTTCATTTCCCCTCTCCTTTTCTCTTTATTTTTGTTTTTGTTCTTTCACCATTGGCATTTTCCTTTCTTTTTTATTTGTTGCTCGAGATAAACCAACAGTCCATATCTCTCCATCTGCCGTACGTCCTAAAGCTATATTTTTGTTTTTGTTGTATACCTTCCAATAATTCATTGCCGCAATATTTATTGTTATGTTTATTTTCACTGCGGCTTTAGCATTATCGGGATTTTACCTGTAAGCAAAGGCAAGCCGGACTTTGGGACAAAAGCAAAGAAGACGAGTAAAGTCTCGCTTTATTTTTTGGGCTACAATAAGTGACAGAACCCACATCAGCTCCCCTTTTCTTCAAAGACGCCTCTTCCCCCCTCCCCGCCCTCACCTACCCATCCATCTCTTTGTTTTTTCTCTCGCTTTTTATTTTTATTTTATTTATTTCTCATTTTTCGGTCTTTTTTGTTTAGTCTCCCCCGTACCAAGCAGAGTGGACTTGCCACAGCTTTTATTCCGCAAATTTCATTTTGTTTGAACAAAAAGGCGAAATCTATTTATATAATTACTTTTTATACAAATTCCTTTAGTAGAGTTGTAAAGTGTTTTGGTGGGTAGTTTTTTTTAGTATTCACCACTTTCTACCTTGTTTTCTTTTTGGACTATAGTTTCAAGTAAATACGCACGTACCTAAACTAGCCCTCTCTTTTCTTTAAAACTTTTTATTCTTGCTGGTCACTATTTCTTCCCTGTTTTCCACTCTTCTTTCACTCCTTTTTATTATATATTCACATATATTTTGAATTTGAATACTTTTATTCTAAAGCTGCGCTTTGGAGAGGATCCTATATGCTTGCCGTATAAACAAAACAAAAACAACTAAACAAAATTCAATACGACGCTGATATTTTTCTATCTATTTTTATTTTTGGTATCTCTTTATATTCACTATTTCGCTTATTCAATTATCTTCAATAGCTCCCAGCATCAGCATCAGCATCGGTAGTAGCACATCAGCAACATAAACAGCGACAACGGGTATAAAAAAGTGGTGTGCAAAACGATCCACTTGTAGCTGACATCTGGCGGGAAAACCCCCCTCACACTATCACTTACATCGCACACACAAAACATAATCTCCATTTATATCCGGCAAAAATGGCCAAGCCAGAGCAAGCCACAGGTCACAAGCTTCAGCAACTATCAGGGTTTGGCACGAGCTCACCATTCTCACAGCCACCGAAGAGCGTGCATTCATCGAATAATTCAGCAGCCAGCTCTCCTACTGCATCTAACGGTGCGCAAATGTCATCGTTGACGACCGTGACGGGCAGAAACATTTCACACGAGCGGCTCCCCGGGCCATCATCGTTTATCGCCGCCGCCCGCCCACACAACAACAGCAACAGCAACAGCAACAGCAACAACAATAGCAACAGCAACAACAGTAGCAGTAGCAATAGGATGGCTGGGCCCGCGTATAATGGTACCCCGGGCGGTGGTTCGCGGAGGGCCTCAGGGATGCCGCCAGAGAAGACGCCAGTTGGGCGGTCGGGCGTGTTTGGCGACTACGGTGGCGGCGACCAGTTTCACCGGCGCCACTCCGTGGACATGGGCGTGTCTCAGCATAGCGTGCCGCGGCCTCGGTTTCAGCAACATATGCCGCAGCCCCTACAGTATAGCCAGCACCAGCTGCAGTATCAGCACCAGCCACTACACCAGCAATCCTTGCAGTATCAACACCAACCACAGCAGCCGCGCAGCACATGTTATTTCGCCTCCCACCCGGTACGGTAGCAGGGCAGAGGCAGCGTCGCCGCATCCGCTATCATTCAACCAGACAGCCGGCAACCTGTCACCCACAGGCTCAGGCGAATCAGGAACAATGGACAGCGAAACCCACTCAATACAAACTCGAGTCCCGGAGTCCCGCCGAGGGCAGCCTCAAGCGCTCAGCCCCAGACGACAACGACAACGACAGTTCTTCCCCGTTGCTGGACAACGACGACTGCCCACACGGCAGCGGGATCGCAACCTCCGATAAACCCTACGCCTGCGACCAATGCGAGCTAACCTTCAGCCGGCAACACAACCTAAAATCCCACGCACTAACGCACTCCACCGAACGCCCCTTCTCCTGCCCAATCTGCCAAACCCCTTCCGGCGGCAGCACGATCTAAAACGCCATATGAAGCTGCATACGGGCGAGAAACCACATACTTGTACGAATTGTGGTCGGAGTTTTGCTCGTTTGGATGCGTTGAATAGGCATATGCGGGCGGAGAACTTTCATGCGTGTAATCAGGCGGCGAAGAAGGCTAGGACAGCGGTTGCTCCTAAGCAGTATGTGGATCCGAGACAGAAGAGTGTGGCGGCGACGTTTATGGAGCAGAGGAGGGCGTCGACGACGACTGTGGCCGGGGATGCTGGGTGGTCGCATTGGTCGCATAGGCCGAGCATGGCGGCGGATGAAGCTATGCTGCGCAGGATGCAGGCTCAGTTTGGAGTCGGCCCTGGACACCCTCAGCAGCAACAGAAGGGCAAGTACTATGGCGCGGACGTTGCTAGCCAGAGTAGTGTCAATCCACACTCACTGACACAGCAGCAGCAGCACCAGCGTGCTTATATGTCGCTGGTAATGTTCCTCAGCACCGCCTTCGTTACATGCGAAACCCTGGTCGTCATACAACAACGCAAACACGCAGCTTGCGCAGTCAGTCACCGCAGCACCTACGCCCCCGACCAGCAGCCAGCTCCAGCAGCGGCCAACATCCCTATCTGCACGGCCATCGCGGCTTCCCAACAGTCTGCTCAACTCACCCTCCAACCTGCCTCCACCACCACCACCCGCAGGCGGCGACCACAGTGCCGGCAGGCGACTCAGCCCAGAGCGCAACTCTGGGGCGGATGGCAAGGAGCCATACCCTCTGCACCCGTCACTGCAACAGCAGCAGTAGGGAACAGCGGATTGGGGATCAATACCGGCCTAGGAGGAGGAGCATCTTCATCAGCTGTCTTGGCTAATTCGCTTCGCCAAAATTATATTTCCCAACAAGTTCCTGGAACACAGGCACCGCTGCCGCCGCCAATGCTGACCATGCATACGCAGCCATTGATGCTGCCGCCACAAACCGCTGTTGGCAACAGCAGCAACAGTAGCGGCCATGGGCCGTTGGCGCAGAATATCCGGCTGCCGCCCATTGAGTATGGGCTCTTGCGCCGCCACTCATTGGCAGTCACTTCGCACCTAGAGCGCTATCGCGCGCGGGATGCCACGCCGCCACTACCATTGGTGGAAGAATCAACAGACGCGGTGGAAGCAGCCGGAGAAGATCCGGCATTGGATCCTGCGGTAATGGCCAAGGAAATGACTGACGGTTCCAGATTGCCACCACCCTACCATGGTGGGCAAGCGGTATCGGGCGGCTACGGTTCTGGAGGAAGACCCGCGGTTCAGCAGCAGCCGTTGTCGCAGCAGATGGCGTTGCACGAGGAGCGTGCGCTGCCTCCGTTGCGCGGCCCCGGCCTGGGTCTCGGCATAGCACCGGCTCCGCTGCCCGTCTCGTTCCTAAACTACTCTCCCTCAGTGCGTGCCAACAACAGTAATAGCGGCAGCATAGCATAGCGTGGTGGTACCGGGCTGAAAAGCGCTCTGATTACCGCTGTCGAAGCAGTCATCAATAATGACGACGGCATGGGTGCGGGTAATGGAAGTCGGCGCGGGTCGGTCTACAGCAGTGCAGCAGCGGTTTCGGCCAGCGAGAGCTTTGTGGATACCCGGAGGTCATCTATCATTGCGTTGACGAACCCACAGTCAGAAATGGACGTTAGGGTGGAGAATAGTGAGCTGAAGCGGAGACTGGATGAGATGGAGGCCAAGTACTTGAAGGAAGTCGAGAGGCTGAATCACGTAGTTAGGGGGCTGGAGGCTGAGCGGAATGGGCTTAGGGGAAGGGTTACGGAGCTGCATAGGGGTGGTGGGGAGATGATGGAGATGTTGTCGCCGCCTGTGGGGCTGCATCGCGTGAGTGCGGATGGTGGGTTGCAGTCTAATGCGCCGCTGAGCAGTATGTCAGACGGCCACTATCGCTTCGGCCAGCACCAGCACCAGCACCAGCAGCAGCACCAACAGCAGCACCAACAGCAGCAAATGCATCAACAGAGGTCCTTTAGCGCGGCAACGACACCTGGCGCAACAGCATGTCTCGGCCAACCAACCACTAAAATGTGCGCATATATATATTTTCTTTTTCGTATTCTAAACAATTTTACCACACACACACACACACATACATATATATATATATATATATTTACGCTTGCATTTATTTTACTCTATTGTTTTATGTTCCTCGGGCCGCGCCTCCGTGTATAACTTATAGTAGGCGCCGCGCTTCGCAATAAGCTCGTCATGCGAGCCCTGCTCGACAATATGTCCAGGCACATTGCCCATGACCACAATGCGATCAGCATTACGAATCGTGGTCAGGCGATGTGCGATGACCAGGACGGTGCGGCCGACCATAAGCTTATCCAGCGCCGCCTGCACCAGCCTCTCACTCTCCGCGTCCAAGCTTGACGTGGCCTCATCCAGGATGAGGATCTTGGGTGCGCAGAATGGCGCGCGCAATACTCAATCTCTGCCTCTGGCCGCCAGACAGCAGGGCGCCGCGCTCACCAACCACAGTGTCGTAGGCGTCAGGGAACTGCTGGATAAATACATGGGCGTTAGCCTGGCGGCATGCATCTTCGATCTGCGCGTCTGTGGCCTGTGGGCTGGCCAGACGCAGGTTTTCGCGAATGGACGTCGAGAAAAGCACGGGGTCTTGCGGAATATACCCGATCTGTGCACGGTGCCAGGCCGGATCCAGGCGGGTCAACGGGCAGGCGTCGAGCCAGATCTCGCCAGCGCACGGGTCGTAGAAGCGCTCAAGCAGCGCCGCCACCGTCGACTTGCCGCCGCCCGACGCCCCACACAGCGCGACCACCTGGCCAGGGGCAATGTCCAAATTAAAGCGGCTCAGCACTGGCGCATGCGGCCTCGTCGGGTACGCAAATCGACGTCCATGAACCGCACATGGCCGAGCAGCTGCGGGCGCATGCCGCCAGAGCGCGGAATGGCCGGGCGCAGGGCCGTGGTTTCCAGCACGCGCGCGGCCGCAGCCTTGGCGCGCACAGCCTGGCCCATCAGCGCGCCAGGGAGTCCAGGGCACGCTGCGCCGCCTGCGTGGCAATCATAAAGGCCATCAGGTCGCCGGCGTCATGTCGCCTTGGGCGACCAGGCGGCCGCCGCCATACATGACCACCAGGACCATGACGCCTACGGCCGTGTTGGTCAGCCCGCGGAACGCCCCCATGTGCAGCCCAAAGCGGCTGGCTGCTGCTGCTGCTTCGCCGCGCGCCTCGGCGTACAGCCGCAGCTCTGCCTGCTCGGCACCCAGCGCCCGCACCGTGCGCACGCCGCCCAGCGCCTCCGAGGCCACGCCCGTGGCAATGCCCTCCCAGCCACGCGCCTCGCGGCGCAGCGCACGCAGCAGCCGTGCGTACAGCGCCAGCGCCACGTACACCGGCGGCATCGTCGCTGCCAGCGCCCCAGCGAGCGTCGGCGACAGGCGCACGAGCTGGAAGGCAACGCCCACGGTGAGCGTCGCAGCCTTGACGCCCTGCGACACAATGCGCTTAAGCGTCGTCTGGAACTCGCCAATGTCCACCGCCAGCCGTGCTGCCAAGTCGCCGGACTGCACGGCATCGAAGAATGCCATGTCATGGCCGAGCAGCGCATCCAGGGCCTGGAGGTGCAGTCGGAGCCCGATGCGTTCGCCGAGAATGGTCACCAAAGTGGCATGTGCGAATGTCAGCAGACCGTTGGCCACAAGAGGCACAGCAGTTTGCGTGCCGGCGACCGCAGCGCGTCCAGGATGGAGTCGTCCAGGGAGAGACGCACGCTGCGCGCAATCACGTTTATCAGGTCGCCTGTCACCAGGGGCGTCCACAGGTTGACTACTGCTGCGCCCATGGCTGTCAGTGCCACGCCCAGAAGCAGCCAGCATTCGGGCGCCAAGAGCCGCACGAGCTGCGCCAGCAGCGATGTTTGCGGCTTGGATAGCTTGAGCGATACCTTGGATGCCTGCGCATGCAGGATTTGCAGTCGGGCGCTGGCTGAGGACACCGGCGCCATAGCCGCTGCTGCGTCGCTGTAGACTGGGGCTGTTCGCTTGGTGTACAGGAACAGAGCGATACCGCCGACGATCCCCGAGGGCAGCAGGCACCCGGAGGCACCCCCATTGGTGCCTCTGGTGCCTCTGTGCCTCTGCTGTCTCCACTGTCTCTGTCCTCTCTGCTGCTGCGGTGATGGTAATGGTAATCGTGGCTGTGCTTGGCGCTTTGGAATGTGCTGTAGGCCATTTTGGCTGTGGGGTTGCGTGGGGCTGTGTTGGCCAGGAGCAGAGCGTGGAGCGGTCTTTGCGAGACCCCTGGCCTCAGCGCCGCCGATGCCGATGCCGATGCGGCCGACAGTGAGGCGCGTGCCAAGTACCACTGCATATTTGTTCTCTCTGGGGTTGATTAGGAATTAGTTCAAAAACAAAACAAATAAAAAAAATATAATACCTGAATTCAAGAAACCAAAACGGAAAAATAATTACTAAAGGTTTATATATTTTTTATATTTTTTTTGTGACCGCTTTTCTATTTCTTTTATTTTTCTCCCGTAAGATCGACCTCCTTTCCCTCTGTCACCGAAAGGTCCTTCATCAGACGCTCAACCTGCGCCTCCTTCTTGCCACGGTCCTCCTCCCTCTTCTTCTCCATACTCTTCTCCATAGCAGGGCGGAACTCCTCGTGGTACTCCTTAACGGCTCGCCAATCTTCTCAAAGAACTCCCCAATCCCCTGCCCAGTCATCGCCGATACGCCAACGACGCGCAAATGGCAGTAAAACTCATCCAACACAAGGCTCATAGAGTTCATCAGCGAGTTCATAAAGCACTCATCGTCTTGCCTGAGTGCCTGCTGGAACGCCTCAAAGTCCTCCATCCAATTAACGGCAAACTCATGCGAGACCACATCGACCTTGTTGAAGGCCACCAAAAACGGCAACTGAGTCTTGTACATGATCGAGCACGCGTACATCATGTTGGACATGAATGTGGCTGGGTTCGCTGTCCGCGGCGTATCCACCACATAGACAACCACTGTGGGATAGGTGGCGGCCAGCGTATTCGTGATAATGGCACCGGAGGCCGACCAGGTGAAGATTTCGATCTGGCCGGGTGTGTCAAAGAGGAAGTATTTGTTTGATTGCGCGCGTTTCTCCACGATGCCCATGACTTGGTCGAGCTTTGTCGTGAATAGGTTGAGGGACGTGAGGATGCCGCCGTTGGGTCCGAGGTTGTACTCCTTCATCACCTGCTTGTAGTCCACTGTGTCCCGGATATCAATGTTGGCTTGGAACGGGAGCTTGGTGACTGCTGGGTCGAGGTTTACTACGTAGGGCGGTGTTTTTTGCTCGTGGAGGTGCGCGTTTAGCCGCTGCAGGAGCGTTGTTTTGCCTGACCCGGCCATGCCGATCATAATGATGTTTACTGGGGCGTCTTCAGCCATTGCTTTTTGCATTGCTTTTTGTTTGGAAGGAAAATGGGGTTGAATTGAATTGAATTGAATTGAATTGAATTGAACAAAGAGCAAAGAGGAAAATAAGGAGAAAAAAAGAAGAAAAAAAAGTATGTCTCTGACGAAAACAACTTTTTTTGTCTCTCCAGTTAGATCTTGCAGCTGCGAGCCCGATGATTTGATCAAGCGGGCTTGATAAACCCAAGCAGAAAAGAAGAAAGAAAAGGGGGGGTGTCAGCACTATTTGTGCTATTTGTATGAGTCCTCAGACACAATGACGACATATAATATAAGCAGCCCTTTTGGTTTTGTTTAAACCAATCTACATTATTTTTCATCTCTCTTTAATTCAATTCAATCCATTTCAATTCAATTCAATTCAATCAACTTTCTATTTTGTTTTATTTTATTTTTACTTTTACTTTTATCTTTTGAATAGCCACAAAATGACGCTCTACTGGCTGCTCTCCGTTCCCGCGCACGGCGACGGCCACGTAGCCTGGCGCGACATAAAATCGCGCATCGGCAGCTCCGACCTCTACGACTTCTCCCTCCCCACCTTCAAAATCGGCACCCTCGATGGGCTCGTCCGGCTCTCCGATGACCTAGCCAAATTCGACTCCGCCTATGAAACAACTCTCACCAAGTTCACCGACACCCTGCGCAGTCTCAACCCCACGGTCACCGCGAGCCAGCTTCAGGCCCAGCTGACAGTCGACGGCGGGAAGTCCGTAGACCAGTATCTGCGCACGTTCGCCTGGGACAATGCCAAGTACCGGGTGGACCGGCCATTGGTGGAGATTCTCGGGCAGGTGGCCGAGCAGATGGGGCAGGTGGACGGCCAGCTGAAGTCCAAGCTGACCCAGTACAATGCCATAAAGGGGTCGCTGGCCACGGTGCGGCGCAAGCAGAACGGCAACCTGTCGGTCGCGCGCTCGGCGATATTGTGCGCCCGGAGCACTGCGTGCGCGACTCCGAGTACCTGCAGACGCTCTTTGTCGCTGTTCCGCGCAGCCTGGCGTCCGAATGGCTCAACACATACGAGCGCCTCGCCACCATGGTTGTCCCGCGCTCCGCCACCCCGGTAGCCGAGGACTCCGAGTACATCCTGTACTCTGTTGTCGTGTTTAAGCGCGCAGCGGACGAGTTCACGACAAGGGCCAGGGACGCGAGATTCACCGTGCGCGACTTCGTCTATGACGAGGAGGCGCTCGAGCGCGAGCGCAGGATGCAGATGGAGGTGGTTGAGCAGGAGACAGAGCTGCTGGGCAACCTGTCCGAGTGGTGGCCGGCTGCTTCGGCGACGTGGTGGTTGCGTGGGTGCACGTGAAGGCAATGCGCGTGTTTGTCGAGAGCGTGCTGCGCTACGGGATCCGCCCGACTTCCTGCCCGTGCTGGTGAAGCCGGGCAAGCAGGCGGACAGGATCAAGCGCCAGCTGGCCGACTTTTACGCGTACCTGGAGACCAGCACCAGGGCGTCGGACAGAGCGAGGAAGACCGGGAAGGCCGGGAAGGGCTCGTTGCCGGCAAGCGCTGCCGCCGCCGCCGCCGCCGCCGCCGCCGACGGCGCTTTCGACATGCACGAGTTTTCGAGCATCCTGAGCAGCGAGTACACGCCGTTTGTGTTTTTCGAAATCCCATGGACGTTTTTCGGCCAGGAGTAAACCCGCCCCTGCTGCTTAGTATTTGTCATTTCCAAAGCATTTCAATAAAGGTGAAAGAAAGAACCCCCGCAGCGCAGCCCCCGCCGTCAGCTCCTTTTGCCCGAGGCAGACTCCTCCTCGAGGAACTGCACGCGCGACAGCATCAGCTCGGCCTGCAGGCTGAACGTCGCGTACATGCGCTCGACGGACTCAAGCGCGGCGTCTCGTGCGCTGGGCACGCACTTGACCAGGAAGCCCTTTGTGCCGTCGATGCGTGCCGAAATGAGCCTGCGCTCAATCAGCCTGGCCAGCGTGGCCTCAAGCGCTGCGCGCGACTCAAAGCGCAGCGCGCGCGCCATCGTGTCCAGGCTGCTCGACGCGAACGGCTGCGTGTACAGGACGACGGTGTTCTCGCGGATAGCGGCGCGCAGCTGCGCCACGTGCTTGCCCAAAAGCGGGTCGAGCCCGGCCACCGCAAGCATGCCGTCCAGCAGCGCAGGCACTCGGTGTACCGCGACGCACAGAAGCTCTGCAGCAGCCGCAGGCACTCCGGCATATGGTCGAACAGCTTGCCGAACTCCGCGCCGCCAATCAGCCTGCGCTTGATGTCGTCGCGGCTGAGCGCAACGAGCCCGGCCAGGGTGCCGTAGAGCGCGAGGTCGCGCGCAGCCACAGCGCAGCGCCCCTCTGCCAAGAGCGCGCCGCCCCCGGCGCCGCCCACCGCAGCCACAACCGTCAGCCACCGGCCTTCGCCCACGCTGGCCTGCAGCTGCAGAAGGTCGACCGCCTGCTGCTGCGCCGCCGCCGCCGCCGTGCCCTTGGCCAGCGCCAGCTGCGCTCTCTGCGCAAAGCTGCCGACCTGCACCCACCGCTCCTCCAGCGCGGCAATCTGCGCGGCCTCCAGGTGCAGCTGTGCCTGCTCGTCGACGCTCGTGCAGTACTCGCGCGCATCGTGCCACGCCCTTGTGGCCTCCGCCCATGCGCCGCAGGCCATCAGGTGCTGCGCCAGCTCCCTCTGCCCACGCATGGCCTCGCGCTTCTGCCCCTGCGCCACCGCCCTTGCCACCGCTGTCTCAGGTCCTCGCGCATACAGACATTCTCGTTGCGCGTTTTCTCTGCCCAGACTGCGTCGCGCTCCGGCGCCTGGCCTAGCTGCTGCAGCCGCTGGTGCAGCTCGTCGTACAGGGTGACGTTGCGAGTGCTGTCTCGCAGCTCTGACAGCGCGATCGCGTAGCTTTCTGCCGCTAGAGGCTTGGAGCGCTCGCCGATGTAGATGGCTCGCCTGACTTTCACCTCTGAAGGGTAGCCCTCTAGGTACTCGCTTAGCTTGAAGCCTGCTGGCATGCCCACGCTTGTTGCTGGGCATCCTCTTTCTCCTGAGTTGCTTCTGAGTTTGAATTCATTCTTGGTCGCTTTGGTGTTGGTGGTGGTGGTGGTGGTGGTGATGATGAAGTAGAATGTGAATGAGAAAAAGACATTAATTTGCTAATGTCGATGCAAAAAAGGAAGGAATATTAAACGAATTGAACAAGGGTCGTCGTGGAGGGAAATGAATGAGAAAAAGAAAAGAAAAAAGAAAAAAGGCTTGGAGATTTCTTTTATACAAAGGTATGACTGTTTGCTTTTTGGATTTGTAAGGTTAAAGAGAATAAAGAAAAAGCCGTGGCGTTGAATGCTTTCCCTTTTTTTTGCTCTCACCTTCTTGGCTGCGCCTTTTTATATTTGTTTTATCCATATAGTCACGTGTGCGTTTTTGAGCTGCATGAGTGGTTCCAGGCCCAGGGGCTTTTTGCATGCAGATCAAAGTCAACTTTGCCATCTTTCGGTGAGCTTAGCACGGCGCAGGACGTGCTGAGTTAACAACAAGGCTTTCGGTCACACAATGCGCGCTCCTCGTCGCACACACGTTTACTTAATAATCGGCCAGCTGAGCAGCTGAGCATTGCATGGAGAATGGATGACGGAAAGGGCGAAAAAAATCTAGTTTTTTATTTCTCTTTCGTTTATCTTTCATCTCGTCTCATTCCTTCTCTCTCTTCTCCACATACACACACGCACACGATCGCTCTCATTATTTTTTTGCATATACAAACACTTTAATATAGTCCCTTTTTTGTCATTACCAAACATTAAAAAAAAAAAAAGACATGCCGCAAAACGATGATGCGTTCGGCGACCATGGCTGGCCGAAGCATACTACCAGTTCTCCAAGGCTTTGCCCATGGGCCTAGCAGGTACACTGCGCTCTACCACAAGTATTCTCGAGCTCCAAGCGCTCGGCCATATGGGATCCAAGCCCCTAGCCGGCCGCTCTCTTTCCCTGCTCATTGTAAACCTCACCGGCTACCCATTCATGTACGGGCTGGGCGGCGCCCTCGAGACCCTCTGCAGCCAGGGCTTTACGGCGACCGTCCCGGGCACAAAGAAAATCGGCGTTTACGTGCAACACGCCATTTGGCTCTTCCTCCTAGCCAACGTATTTTTGGCCATTCTCTGGCTCAACCCGAAAACATTTCTGTCAATGTTGAATGCCGATGCGGAGGTTCTGCATTATGCCAAGGTGTACTTGGCCTTTGAGTGCCTGTACTTTCCATTCATTATCGTGCAGACCTGCTTGAAGCGCTTCTTGCTGGCCCAGGGTCTGATGCAACCCACTGTTGGCTTTGAGATGGCTGGGTTGGTTGGAATGTGGGCGGGACTGAGGCTATTTGGGGATTCCGGCTGGAATCTGGGCTTCATTGGCGTGCCCCTTGCGTCGACCATTGCGTATTTCGCTGTGCTGCTCGCCAACGCCCTGTACATATACATGATGCCGTGTCGGTCCGAATGGGGCGCATTCACAATAAGCGATTTCCGACACAACGCCCGCCTCATCACAGCACTGGGCGTGCCTGCGCTATATCCGGGATCGCCTCCTATGGCTTCTCTGACCTCGCCACTCTCGCCGTCACATCTCTGGGTGCCCACGGACTGGCCATCCAGGCCGTGCTCAACTCCATCAAGGGTGCGTTTGCCCGCACTGGCTCTTACCTCAGTATGGTGATCAGCTCGCGCACCGGTAACTTGCTCGGCGACCGCAACCCGCAGGGTGCCAGGCTTTCGGCCAACGTCAGTGTTCTCATGACCCTGCTTTCTGCCACCCTCATTGCCTTCCCTATGCTTGTCTCCCCTAAACTTATCGCGTCGTTCATTACCAAGGACCCGGAGCTTATATTGGGTTTGGTCCCGCTAATGCCCTTGTTGGCTCTGGTCACGGTGTTGGACGTCGTGTCTAATGTGCTGACTGGCGTGCTGAGGGGCCAGAGCAGGCAGGCGGTGGCGGCAGTGGTTCGGGTAGTGGCATTGTACGTGGTTGCTGTGCCATTGGCGTGGCTCTTGTGTTTTGCTGTTGGATGGGGGTTGGCTGGGCTTTGGGTCGGGATGGCTGTGGGTTTTGTGCTTATTGCTGGGACTGAGGCTTGGTTGGTGTTTACTTCGGACTGGGTGGCGGAAACAGAGCGCTGTATGCAACGCATTGGCGCTGCAAAATGGCCCTTGTCGCCGCTGTTGGCTGAGGCTGCGCCGATTGACGAGTCAACGCCGTTGTTTCAATGAATTTTTTCATTGTTTTTGTTTTTGTTTTTTTGCCAAAATGTGCAGAACAAAAAAATTACTTTTGATACATGTTTTATTTTTTTAAATTATTTAATACATTATTCATATATATATATGTATGTATGTATGTATATTCAAAGAAAGCAAGCATATATTTAAAGTTGAATATTGTTCAAGTCTTAATTCAGAAAAATCATCACAACAAATGTTATTTATTACTAAACTACTTATTTTAACTAAGCTGTCTTTTGACAAGTTTGAATAAAGTATCGAAATCTATCGACTTGACAATGTTTATCTAGCCAACTATATATGCACCACATATTGCACAAATTGTTACGTATCAGGGGATTGATCATTGGTGTCACTGATCCCTATCAAACACTGATTGAAATCAAAGGACGTTTATACTGTACGTCGCCCTCGTACGCTGGTGTTCACAATTAGCAACGCGGCCGCGTTCACTTGGTCTAAATACCAAGCTGGTAGACCAAGATTCATGAAGAAAAGCCTCTTCCAGTAGGAGTTTTAATCATATTATTAATAAATTATCAATAGTACTATCCACGATAGTACCAACCCCATACGCCGCTTTACAAATCTAAGACAATAGTTGGCAGCATACTTGAACGAATTAATAAAATGAAATTTACTTGATTTAAAAGCAATACGCACGTGACAATACCCACACTGCAGACAATTTTGCGTGCCTTTAAATATTAAAATTTTGTTGGAAAATTTTTTTATTGCATAAAGAAAAAAACATTATTTAAAATTCTCATTTATTATATTCACAACAAGCAGCGGGGACAGCTACAAAATATTTCAAAAACAATGTCGGAGGATAACAACAAGCAAGTCACGTTTGCGATGCAGACATTTGAGCGCATCCACCCAGTAGAGTTCCAGCGCCGGTTCCTCACGCAGCAAACACGGCACTCTGGTCGCTCATTCTCACAGTTCCGCGCGCCTCTCGTCGTTCAGGGTACAATTAGCACAGCACAGGGATCTGCAACCGTGCGCCTGGGCAACACCACCATGGTGTGTGGCATTAAGGCCACCGTTTGCGAGCCCGATGTCCGCCGCCCCACCCACGGATACCTCACTACCAATGTGGAGCTCTCGCCCATGTGCTCTGCCCACTTCCGTCCGGGCGCCCCAGCGAGGAGGCCCAAGTGGCCAGCGAGCACATTCACAGGCTGGTTACTTCATCCGTTGATCTCGGCTCTCTTTGCATCGAGGAGGACAAGGTTGTCTGGTCATTGGCCGCAGATATAGTCTGCTTGAAATACGACGGGAATGCCTTGGACGCAGCAATTATTGCCCTGGAGGCTGCGTTGCGTGATTTGAAGCTGCCCCTGGTGGAGATTGATCAGGCCTCAGGGCTTGTTCAGGTTGCAGAGGGTGAGGGCAAGCAGCTGGTTCTGAAGCGGAGACTGTACCCTGCCACCTTCTCGTTGATTGATGATCAGTATCTGGTCGCAGATGCAGACGATTCGGAGGAGCAGATGAAGACGGCTGAGTTGCTGGTTGTTTTGGATGATGCCGGTCGGCTGGCCAATGTGTGGAAGCGTGGCGCGGGTGTCATTTCTCAGGAAACAATTGTTCGATGCGTTGAGGCTGCAGCGGAGCGCATGAGCGAGATTGTACAGGCGACAAAAGCGTAGAAAAATAAATTGAACGGATATTTTATTCTTGTGAACTTTTTTTATTTTATAAAAAAAAAATTCATTTAAGGATTGTTAATCGTGTGACTTTTCTATCTGGTTATTTTGTACATGGCACAAATATTATGCTAAGCGTAATAGAGTTGGACATAAGGGAGTAAAGAAAAATACTTTTGAACGTGGGTATTTCTCACGTGCGCATATTCCGATTCGACAGTGCTTGAAAAAATAAAGAACAAGTCATTTTAAAAAATAAAAAATGAAGAGATCCCCATGGTACCCTTCTCTATTTCTGCTCTAAATGATGAATGCAAAGTGGCATGGTGCATGTTGCATGTCGCATTGTTGCATTGTTACATTTTTGTTTTGTTCATAATCGAGGAATAAAATACCCTCTCACACATTGAGCAAACAAGAATTGCGAGAGAAAAAAGGCAACTTGGAAACGGTTGCGTGACCCTTATTCACCTTTTTTGTAACAGGTTTTCAGGTGTATCGGAGAGAAAAAATATATAATAAATTTTTTAACCTGTAGCGGTGCTCAGGGGATTTTTATCGTTTAAGCGAGTGTAGTGTAAAAGCACCCGTCCCTTCCCCAATTTTTTTGATTTCACAAGATGCATGTCAACATCAGCCTGGGAAGGAGTTTTAAATAAATTGTTGTTTTCCTTTTGTTTAAATTAACAAAAGGCATTTCTCTCCTCTTCGGCGCTGCGTCCATGTTCTGTTGACATTTTTTGCTTTAAATATTTGTTTTCTTTTTAAAAAATACAAGGGACGAGGAAGCCGCAAGTGGTTAGAATATTAAACTTTTCCTTTTTTTTAAAAAAAATAACAGTAGCATGCCCATTTCATTTTCGTTATGCCAGCCACATCAACCAACGACTTTTACTCGCGAAAAACCAACAGAGGCTTCAACCGCCGCACATCCATGGTTATTCAAGTAACACCCACGGCTGCCAGCACTGCGAACAGCAGACACAGCCTGTGTAACACACCGTACTCTGTGTCCTCGTAAAATCGCCCATGCTCACACCGACGCCAACGCCTGCCGCCACGGCTACCCCAACCCAGTCACGCACATACAATCCGTTTGATTCAAACATGACCCCGCCGTCACCAACAGCCATGTTGTCTCATTTTTCACCTCGCTCAATGAACCGCCGCCAGTCCATTGCCCTGCAGTCATCGTTTTCCAGCCACCATATGTCCATAGCACCCTCTCCGCAGCCCTCCCGTTGCCCAGACCGCACACGGTGTACGAGTATATGGCAAATGCACCGCATAGCTACCTGAACAGCAGCATACGGTCAATGTCTCACGTAGTGGCCTCGAAGGAGGCCGCCGCCGCAGCAGAGGAAGCGGCCTTGCGGGAACTGAAAGATCACAGACGCAGTGCGGCGTATGAGCGCTACCCGCCCCTGGGAAGCATATTCGAGGGTCTTCCCTGCAGCACCGACTCTGTTCATTTGGGAAGTCTAGAGAGCGCCAGAAACAGCGACTACTTCCAACGCTCGTTGCTGCCACTGGACGCAGATGAGCGTGATGCAGCAGCGATTTCACTGGTCAGCGATCGATGGGTAGTAGTGTTGTTAATCACGAATTGATTACTGCCAATGGATTTGATTCTGGGGGTCGTGGTGCTGTGGAAAGCCTCAATGGCGTGAGGTCTTTGAGGGGACAGGGCATGAGCAGCGCATCCCTTGCTTCCTCTGTATTTTCCGTTTCCTCAATTTCATCCTCTTCCTCATCCGGCGATTCCTCCTACGCTTACATATTCGACAGCGCGCGGCGACCCCTCACGACTATCGAATCGTCATCGGACTATTGGAAACCGGACACACCGCAGGCACAACCAGAAAAGTCAGCGGCAGAAGCAGCAGCAGAAACCGAAACAGAAGCAGGAGCAGAATAATAGTCAGCCTTCCTTCACAGCAAATAGACACTCGGCGGATACTTTTTTTCTGCAAAGCTCAGCGACTCTGTTTATGATGGACAGCATAGCTGCCTCGACGGCCGGGCAAATGGATTCGGCGTGCCTAGGCGACACCGAGCGCACGCCACTGCTGCTCCCCAGGAACCACCGCACGTCTGTTGCTGGCTCTACATTCGCTTCATTTGGCGACGACACCACACAGCAGACCACATCGATTGTCACGCGCGAAGTCAAGGTTATTTTTAACACCTCGAGTTACATTTTAATCGGAAACCTATTGCAGGCTATCATCAGCATGTCGCAGATAGCTTCATCCGGTCACCTGGGCGCAACGAGCTTGGGGGCATTGGGCTGGCGCACATGGTGGTTATTTTGACTGGGTACCCAGTTCTGTTCAGCGTTCTCAACTGCCTGGAGACGTGTGCCAGCCAGGCGTACACCTCTGTGCAGCCGCAGCTCGTCGGCGCCTACTTTGTCCAGGCCATGCAGGTGCAGTGGGCCATGGGCCTGGTCCTGGGCGCCCTGTGGTTTTCTGCAGAGCCCCTACTGACCCATTTCATGCACGGAACCAACCTGGAAATGGTTGCGATGGCTGCCGCGTACCTGCGCTGGTACTTTGTGCCGTTCATGCTTTTTGGCACGCTCATGTGTGCCAAGCAGCTTCTTTTCTCTCAAGGCGTAACATACCCCCTGCCTTACCTGACTCTCTTGGGCACCGTGGTCACTCTGAGTGCTCAGTATTTACTCGTATTTTCACCTTATTTTTCGCTCGGCGTGCGTGGCATTGCGCTGGCAAATGGCCTGAGCTACTTGGCTATGCTGCTGGCTACCTTCTGGGTGGTGCGCCGCCACAATGTGAGCCGGATCTGGGGCGGCCTTCGAGTGCGCGCGCCCTGGAAATCCTTCCTGCGCCTTATGCCGCCCAGTCTGGTCCTGACTGTATTATCCACAGGTACCAGTGAGTTGATCACCATGGCAGCAACTCAGCTGGGCGGCAGCAGCTTGACCATCCAAGCCGTAATCTCAGCACTATCTCGCATGTTCATGATAGCCTTCTCCAGCATCGGCGTCGCTGCTCTCAACCGCGCTGGAAATCTTATTGGTCACCGCTCTGTGCGTGGCGCCAAGATATCTTCCACTGTTTCGCTGTGCCTCGGACTGATATTTGCATTCTTGGGCGCGTTTGCTATTCTCTGGTCGCCCGAGACGTGGATCCGCATTTTTACCAACGACGAGCAGACTGTGCAGGGAGCCAAGGAGGTATTGCCCGTGGCTATCTTGGGTTTGCCGCACAGTCCCTGGCGTTTGTTTGTTCACAGCTGCTTTCGGCGCAGGGCAAGCAGGCTTTGGCCATGCGCATCAATTTGTCATGCTGTATGTCGTTGGCCTGCCGCTGGGGTATTACTGGGCTATAGTCTCAGGCCACGGCTTGGTCGGCCTATGGAGCGCGGTTGCTGTCGGCCAGACGTGCACTGCGCTCGTCGAGGCTGTCGTCATGTTAAAGACCGACTGGGTTCGATTGGTTGACTATTGCACTGAGACCATCATCATGCCGTGATAGACAACATATACAATTTAATTTCCTCGTCCATGTATCAATAATATCAAATATTTGTTTTTATATTTCTTCACACATAATATGAAAAAGAATGCTGTTTCGTGCCAAATTTTAGGCACTGACAGCAACGGTCGCCTGCTCCTCGACCTTGGGCTTACCGGCGTCGGCAATGACGGCCTTCTGCCGGTTCTCCAGGCTGTTGATCATGTCCTGCACCTTGTTGGTGTTACGGATGAACCAGTCGGCATAGCGGCGGCCAACACGGCTCTCAGCAATAAAGATCATGTCCTCCTGCAGGCAAAGTCCAGGTCCGTGGTGGTCACGGGCTCACCGGCCAGCAGATCGGCGCCACCGACCCACTTGATCTGGCGGCAACGCTGCTTGTAGACAATAAGCTGGTTGCGCAGCTCTGCCGCGTCCATATCGAGGAAGGTCGACAGCCTGTCAAGACCCATGGTGGTGTACAGCTTGAGGAACGACCTGAGCGTCGGCACAACGAGCTGCAGGCGGGCCTCGCGCAGGAAGGTCTTGAGCTGGTAGCTTGGGGCTCCGCGGAGTTGGAGGCAGCCTCAATGTCGTCGTAGTTGGGCGGGTTAGGCACAATGAACTTAGGGCACGAGAACAGGTACAGCTCGGAGAGAACATCAATGGCCTCCTCGCCGCCACGCTGCATCTTGTGCTGCTGGTCGCCGTACTTCTCACGCAGGTAAGTGTGAATGTTCTCGTCCACACGCACGGGGCTGAGCGACACGGCAATGCAAGGAGCGCGTACATCTGGTCAGCCTTCTTGTTCACAGTGTCAAACTGGAACGAGCGCTGCTGGTACTGCTTCGTGCGCGAGACAAAGGTCAGGATGTGCACGAAGGTCTGGATAGCATCAGCATAGCGGCCCATCATCAGGTAGGCAAAACCAACGTAGTAGTAGACAGTGACGTGGCAGGCAGTGACACGGGTGAACAGCGCGCGGCTGTTGCCCAGCTCAATGTTCTCAAGGGTCTGCAGCGCCAGGTGTAGTCGCCAAGCATGCAATGGACGCGCACAAGGCCGATGATGCTGAAGTATCCCAGCATCTTGTACAGGGGGCGCACGCCGAACTGACCAGCGGCCTCGACAACGTCACCGCCCTGCTGGCTGACGAGCAGCTGCTGGCTGATGTTGGACTTTTGGATCAGCGAGTACAGCACGTTAAGCACACTGTACGTGTTCCACACCTGCGAGTTCTCCTTCAGGAGGGCGAGCTCCTCGGGCGTGCGCTTGCTCACGCGGCTGCGGTGCGTGCAGAACGACTGGAACTGGTAGATGAACTCGTCAACAATGTCCCACAGCCACTGGTTCGGCAGCTCCAGCTCAATGGGGCCATCCGAGTTGAGGATATAGTTGAACAGGTCGCAGTAGTTCTCGAACGACCGGAACCGCGTCTCCAGCGACGGGTGCAGCCGCGAGTAGATGTGCCGGTAGTACAGCTCCGGTACAGGGTCAGAAACACGCCGTCGTCGCCCACCAGCGCCGCAACATACTGCGGCTCGGGCCACGAGCCCTTGGCGTAAAACTTTTCCGACAGGCGCACAAACTGGTTCTCGTAGTTGTAGGCCAGATCGTTAACATTGCCGTTCTTCAGGTTCCGGTGCAGATGTCCGAGGAATTTGCGCACCTGCTCGGGAATGGTCTGCACGCCGGCCTGCGCCTGCATAATCAGCTCCTCCTCGTCCATCTCGGCCTCGTCAATCTCCTCGACATTGGCATACGAGTCGGCAACAACGTCAATGTTGCCCACAAACTCTTCATCGTCGTAGTTCTCTTGGTACATTGTCCTGAAAATAATATAAAAAAGTGCTGATTAGCTTTTAAAGAAAAATCGGTCGACAAAAAAGAAGAGAAGTAAAAAAAAATAGATTTATGCACTCTGCGATTTAAAAAGAGAAATTTGCTTTTACAGCTCCCCCACCTTTTTCGCTTCGATTTAAATTAGGCGTCGTGAAGATTTGGAACTATGCTAAATATGTGAGTAAAATTTTAAATGGCAAATTCGCAAGTCTTGAAATTGCGTTTAAAGCACGAAAAAATTTTCTGCCAAAAAACGAGATTTTGGCGTATAAAGCAAAAAGAGGCTCAATCGCTGTTTCTATTGGCTGGAAAATCACGTGAGGGTTATCCGACTTTTTAAGCCTGCTGCTCTGCCAGTCCAATCGACTCGAGGAACGCCTGTTGTTGGGTTTGCGGCCCAGGAACTTGTCCAGGCTCACTGACGCGTCGCGGCTGCCACCAGGGAGCAGAATCTCACGGCGGTAATCCAACCCGGTCTGCGGGTTGTCCACGCCGTCCTTGAGGAAGCGCGAGGCGTACATGTCGGAGCTGAAGACCTTGGCCCACAGGTACCCGTAGTAACCAGCGTCGTACCCGCCCATCATATGGCCAAAGGTCGCAGCGCCGCAGGTTCCATGCTGCCCGCAGAGAAACGGTGGTCTTTTCGCGAAGCTCCCTGTATACTGCTTTGACATCGACATTGCCGTCGGCGGTGTTGTGGATGGCCATGTCAAACAGACCAAAGAACACTTGGCGCAAATTGAACAAGCCAGCGCCCTCGTTCTTGGCAGCAACAAGGCGCTTGACAAGGTCCTCAGGAATGGGCTCTCCTGTCTTGTGGTGCACGGCAAACTGGCGCAGCACCGAGGGCTCCCAGCCCCAGTTCTCAAGCATCTGTGATGGCGCCTCGATAAAGTCCATCTGCACGCTGTCAAGCTGGAAGTGAGACCACTTGGTTTCGGCGCAGATATGGTGGAAGACATGGCCAAACTCGTGCAAAAGCGTCAGTGTGTCGTCGTGCGTTAGCAGCGCGGGCGCCGCGGATGTAGGCTTGGGGAAGTTGGCAAGCATCACCGCGACCGGGTACTCGCGCGAGCCGTCGGGGTGCGCAAAGCCAGCGCGGATTGGGTTGACACAGGCGTGGTTGTACTTGCCGTCGCGCGGGTACAGATCAAGGTAGAAGTGGCCGACAAAGTCATCGTTGGTTGCCTCCGAATCTCGTACATCTCGACGTCCTCGTGCCACACGGGCGGGTTTCTACCTTGACAAACCGCAGACTGAGCATTTTCTGGTAAATGTCTAGCACGCCGCGCGTCACTTGCTTCATCGGGAAGTACTGTTTGACTCTTCGTCGCTGACCTTGTGCTTGCGTTCTTTGACCTGATTCGAGTAATAGCGGAAGTCCCAGTTGAACAGACCCTCGTAGGGCGCGTCTACTGCCTTGTTATCTGCCCTTTTGAGCGCTTCGATTTCCTTAATCTCCTTGTCGGCCAGAACATCGAGCTTGTTGCGCAAATCGTGCTCGAACTCTAGCACAGCTTGGGGCGTCTTGGCCATGTTCTGCTTGAGCACAAACTCGGCATGGGTCGTGTACCCCAGCAGCCGCGCAGCTTCGACGCGCAGCCCAATTGCCTCCTGCAGTAGTGCGATATTCTCGGGACACCGCGACTCCTCTGTTGCCAAAAGCGTCTCCGCGTCTCCTCCCTTTTGGCCAGCTGCATGACAGGCACCAGGTCGGGGTACTTTGTCGTGACCACAAACTTTTCAACGCCATCAACTACCTCGGTAGTGCGGCCGTCAAAGTAGTCTTCCGGCAAGCCCCCAAGCTCCTGGCGGGTAAACAGGATGCGGCCGTCGTTTTCGTTAGTGTTGCGGCTAAACGTGATACTTAGCTCTGACAAACGCTTTCTGATATGACCGAGCTTGTCACGGTTTTCGGCGCTGAGAGCAAGGCCGTTGCGGCGGTACTCCTCCTCCATCTTCTCGACCAGCAAACGGTCCTCGGGCTCCAGCGCAGTCATCTCCGCTTTGTTATCAAAAACCGCGCGCACAGATTTGTACACGTCCTCGCGCATCAGCGATTCGATGCGGAATGCGCCCAGCTGCTGCTCGGCCTCTGAGCTGGCATCGCGGACGCTCTTGTCGGCGCTGACGTTCTGCAGAAAGGTGACTATCGATGAGTCGGACCTTGGTCATTTTCAAAATTTGCTAGCGGCGCCACTGTGTTTGAAAACGTGGGCTTGGGCTGGTTGGCCACGAGATCCTGGACCTGTTTACCGCGCGATATGATGTTGCCCACTGTGGTCCTTATGTCGCCCGGCGAGCGAGCAAAGTTGAGCACGGCGCCCTTTATTAGGCGATGCGCTCGCGATGACATTGTGATGGGGGTAAAAAAAATAATACAGGCAGATAAGACGGAAAAGAACGATAACAGGGCCTTTTTTGACAGAACGATAAAAGGGCGATGCGACACTGAAGGAGAGGGACAAAGCTGTTGATCTGTCAGGCGCAGCAGCAGTATTATAGTAATCCGCTGATTTTGTGATTTCAGCTTTTTAAACTGAGCAGCGAACTTGCACTTCGGCTCACTAATAACAGCAGTGCGTCGAGAATTAGGCGGCGAAAAGTATCGAACACATCACAAATACAGAAGCTTTGAAAACAATCAGCATGGTATCAACAGCAGCAATAGAAAACAACAAAACAAGAAAACAAAAACACTGGCACCGTGTAGAATGGAACCAAAACCTCTGTGAAGAATATCGATATCGTGTGAAGGGATGTTTCAGATCCACTAGCAAGTGCAGATCATTATTCTGTTTTGTGGTTGTTAATGTTGTTGCTGCAACTTGGCCTATTTTTAATTTACATTTTCTATTTTCTATTTTGTGTTTATTGCATGTTTTACATAGAATATTTGTGTAGAATAGAATATGTCAGAATTCTCTCACTCAAGTTTGCGATTAGCAAAGGGTGACAGATGACAATAGGCATTGTCCAGGACTGTGCAACATTTTCCAGTCCGCTCCTCGACATTCCATGCTGGTTGCTGTAATGAGAAAGCCAAAAGCGAGGCTGACTAAAACTAAAAAGGAGGCGGGATTTTATTTTGCGCGACTATATTTATAGAATCATGAATCCATTTCTGTCAGTTTGGGTCACAGCGGCTGCAGAAACTGTTGTTTATGGTCAGCGGACAGATATGTGCTCAGTGCGTCCGCTGGCAGCTATTTTCTCTCCCAGTTCACCGCTGTCAATAACCCCAACTTAAAAAATACTTAAGTAGTGGGTTGGCTGGCGTTAAATATCAGCTCCCTGCCAAGTTTCCTTTAACATTTATTTGCCTATCTCCTTCAGAATCCTCGAACAATTGCCTCGTTTGTCCCCCTTTAATCATTCCTTTCTATCCGCATTTTCGTCTCTTACTGCTACTCTACCTCTTGAAACATACACAATGAGACTCCCGGTCACTATTTCGCTTTTTGCGAGCACTGTTCTTGGCGCGTCTCAGTTCCACGGGCTCAACTACAACCCAAGCGCCAGGACGGGTCATGCCCCAACGTCTACCAGGTTCAGGATGATCTCAAGACACTCCGGCCATTCACCAACAAGCTACGCATCTACAGCGTCCACGACTGCAACCAGGGCGAGCCCGTGCTGCGCGCCATGGAAAACACTGATTGGAAGGTGAGCTGGGCCTGTGGGTCAACCAGGACGATGCAGTGTACAATGCGATAAGCAGGAACTTCTTCGTCTGGCCAGCGTGTTCGATTTTACAAAGCAGGTCGATGCAATTATTGTCGGAAGCGAGTCTGTCTACCGCAAGGAGCAGACCGCCGAGCAGCTCGCTGCCAAGGTACGCGAGGTCAAGGCAGATCTGGCCAAGATCGGCCTGCAGGGCATTCCGGTTACTACATCGGAGACTTGGCCCACATACCACCAGCCGCTGATTGATGCCGTCGATTTTGTCAATATGCATGGATTCCCCTTCTGGGAGGGCGTGACCATCGACGACGCAAATGACAAGATCTTCCAGCACATCTACAGCCTCCAGGCGGCTGCGAAGGGAAAGAAGGTTGTTGTTGGCGAGACCGGCTGGCCGTCGGACGGCGACAACTATGGCCCGGCCGTCACAGGCGTTGGTAACGCGCAGAGATACATGCAGGACTTTATCTGCCGTGCCAACAAGGAGAACATTGAATACTACTGGTTCGGCGCGTTCGACCAGAGCTGGGCGTCGACCAACAATGCGTCCAACGTGGAGGCCCATTGGGGAATTATGCTCAACGACTATGTGACGCCAAAGTTCCAGCAGCCCTTCTACACGTGCGACGCAGACAGCTCATTGCCAGAATCATCCGAATCACCTGAGGAAACTTTTTTGTCGTCGCCACCAGCATCGTTTGAAACACCCGTGGAGACTCCGTCATCCGGCGGCAGTGATTCCACGCCTGGAAGTGCTTTCCCCAAGTGCCGCAGCCGCTAAGAAGCCATGGGTTTTTTACCAAGCCCAACTGCAAAGGCAAAGACATGCAAATAACGCAAATACCTACATTTTAAACAACGTACTGTACATTTAAAACATTTGTTTTCAGCAGACAAGCGGGCTGCAGGCGATTGTAATCCAAAGTATCTTATTGTTTTGCATATTTGAGCGGCGCGTACATCTAAAATTTTTAAAAACACACAACAATGCAAAATAAAGGCAATTAACAAGTCAAACAACACACATTATTCACATGTTTTTGTTACAAGTGATATGTTGTACTTTTTTTTCATTTGAATGAATTACAAATGCAAAACAAAGCACTTGTTAACCGCTTAAACAATAAATAGCATGGCGGATTACAGGCTATTTTCTGCAGTGCTACTAAACCAATTCAATAGCACTTGTTTTGGAGTATATTTTCCTTTAGTGTCATTGCTATGCAATTTTGTCTGAACGTGACAACAAAATTACACTGGAAATAAAAGCACATCGTTTGTCCGATTTAAATCAGGAAGTAAACATGGAGATGCTCTTTTCAGGATCTACTAAAGTGCAAGTCAAATCACTTTTTTCTTTCTATATTTCAAACCTTGAGCGACTGTTCCGTTGCCTTTTTTACAACAAACAAAAAAGCGCTATTGGGCTATTTTCCCAGCTGTTTCAACCGCGCTCGGTGCTGTCTCCAATTTTCATTTTCACACTCAGTTTGCTGGACGAGGTCATAACCCGCGCCCTTTACATTATTTTGCGCGTTCATTATCCACCCCTTTCTCCTTCCCTTTAGCATTGACTTGTTTTTTTTCTATTTTCCACTTTCTATTATCTAATTTTCTCAATTCATTATTTATATTTTTTTGGTATTGCGTTATTTTCCCAGTTCTTTGCCCTTGTTCTTTACCTCTCTCTCTTTAATCACGTATTTTTCGCCCCTTCTTTTTTATTATACTGCAACAAACATACTCACCACTTTCGGCCCCCTCGCACTCTTTAATATCGATACCAAAAACACGGGAAGGAGTAAAAATATATAAATAAAGTTTCTTGCTCTTTGTTAATTTTACCAGAGGTTTTCTAGTCTCGGATTGTCAGCGCGCGAATGAGCTTGCGCTACATGTCGTCCAATTCACAGCAACAACAGTCTCAGGACCACTGGTCCCGTGAGTTTGGAACCTTGAGCGAAGGACCCAAGCGCTACGACACGCGGCCAAGGTTGCCGCCAATTCAGAGCTTCCAGTGGGACGACGAGGAGGTGGAGATGGAGGTGGAGAAGGAGGAGGACGACGACGACGAGTCACTCACTAAGCAGCAGCAGCAGCAGCATAATCAACTACAGAATGGCGGCGGCCAGCAGCGCTTTTCGCCATTATGAACCGGAAGCACCGCTCTGTCACCGTGGGCAGCGACGAGTCGCCTCCTCTGTCTGCTCATGATGCGCCCAAGGTGGTTTTTGCGAATGGAGGGCCGCTTGCCAGGACTCGGGCGCATCGGCGTCGAAGCACACTGCATAACATTCTTGAGCGCACACAGAAGAATAAAGACGAGCCGCCGCCGCCGTCGCCGCAACAACAGCAGTACCCACAGCAACTAGAACAACAGCAGCGGTACAATGAGACCAGCGCTCCGGTCGCGCTCCAAACCAATGAGAATGCCATAGCTGGAAAAAAGCGACGCGCTCACCAACTGTCAATTGGCGACAACATTCTGACAATGGATTCCTTGCAGCTTACGCAGTCTTTGTCCCGGGAAACCAACATTGCGCCTGTGCGCACCGTCCATAAGGCGAGCTCCAGTTCCGCCGTGCGACGCCGCCCTCGACCAGGCACGCGAGCGCAGTCAGACAGTTCAATCGCTCGTCGCCTATGCAGAAGCGCGCTGAGCACAATCTGCGCCTGATGACCGAATCCCGCGGCGTGGGGCGTGAGAGCATGGATAAGGGCACTGCCAGCCGCGAGTCATTGACAGGCTCCCATCGATGCAGCCGCTGGCCCTGTCGTCAAAGCACCGAGGCGGCAGCCCGTCGCGGGTGGAGCGCACCTACAGAGTGGCTGATCGCACAAGGGGAGCGACATCGAGGACGCGACAAACAGTCGGAAATGGACGAGGACTTGTCCCCGTCCCCATCGCCAATGTCAGCTGTGTTCACTATACCAGCCCTCCAGCAGCCACCCCCGCCGATGGATCTGCCCCCGCTGCCTGCGAAGCTCCAGCAGCAGCTCAAGCAGCTGCCTCGGCTGTCTCCCCCGCGCAAGCTGATTCTGGCCAACAACCCGGGCCTGCAGCTGGGTCTGCCCGAGCCGGGGCTCCGATGTCGCCAGCCGTGCTGTCACAGATCTCGAATCGGCGGGTCATTTCTGGCTCGTCGCTTCTGCGGTCCCCATCAAAGGCGACCTTTGCCGACAACCTGGCCAGCCAAAACATGCATGTGGTAAGTAGCACCACCATCCATCCATCTATCGTTTGCTTGCGTCCTGTTTTCTCCCTGTTCGTCTGACTGCATGCAAAATAACTGGCATTTGAAACGCGCCATTTGTCGCGAAGTGCTGATTTGCTGCTAATCGCGTTTTGCACCTGAAGTGGTAAAATGCCTTTTTTCCCCTCCTTTTTTGCTTGCTTTGGCCGCGCGCGTTGCAGCAGTTTTTATTCATATGCATTGGCATCCCCCACTCCCCGCACTCGCGTTTTATGGCAACTCAATTGAGCTCATGCAATGCAGTCCGAATGATGTTGATCAAACCAGGTCACTCTTTGTGAGTTTCGCGGCTCTTGTTTGTTATTGTTTGTTCTCAGTTCAGCCAAAAATTTGTTTTATGCATGTGTCGTATTTCTTTGATTGATTGTTTTTATTACCTGCCTTTTTACAAAGCCCGGGTCGCTTCCATATTTGGCCTGGTCTAAATTGTGCCACCGGCCCGCGCAGGCACGGATTTTGGCGGAGCAGAGTAATAAAAAAGAGCTATTACTCAAGGCCAATCTAATTTTTATATCTGCCAATTCCTCGTTCTCTCGGGCAATCCATGTTTGTCTTCGGGGCTCTATTTGAATTTACACTGCCACCTTTGTTGCCTTTTCCGCTTGCTTGGTTCAAAAAGGGGATGCCGATTGCCCGCGCTTTCCAAAACAAGAACAAAAGCAGGGTTGTGCGGTTTTAGGCTGTCAAATCTGATTATGATTACTTTTGAGTTGCTCACCTCGATATCTTTCACTCCCCTTCATGAGCCACCCAACCGCGAGGACTCACACTTGGTTGCAATTGCAATTGCAGCCGCAAGGATGGCGACTCTACTAAAACACATTTTCCTCTGTTATAACTTGTTTTTTTGTAGCTCGGCTCGAACCCGCCTGCGTCGGCTAGGATCGGAAGGGGCCAGGCGACAGAGGTCTTCCGCCGCGTTGGTTACTGGCTCTACAGCACCGCGCCCGTGCAATTCATTAAACATGCCATGGTCGAGGAGCGTCATGACAGTGTCAATGTACTGTTTTCGACAGAAAAGTCCATCTGGATCCTGGGCGTCAGCTACAGATTGAAGAAGAACACAAAGAGCGTCACGCTGCCAGCAGCGATCGAGGCAGACAGCACGCACTTGCACGCAGACAGCAGCCTTTTTTTGAGCCACCACCATCAGAAACGCAGCATCAGCCCCAGCACCTCTCATCACTTGCGGAAGGCCGATATCATATCACAGCGGCGGTCGGAGGATATTAGCAGCCGACGTCGGGCAAACACTTCTGGCGTGATGCTCAACAAGAAGAAGTTGCAGAGCATAGCCCAGCTGCAGAACTACGTCGGCATGCCAGCCCTTCCTGAGCCTGGCACGCCCACGCTCGCCGCGACCCCCGGACCGCGGACATTGGCGTCAATTCCATCGCAGGACCTTTTGCGGCCCAAGCAGTGCCCATCGGGCCGCCCAGCCCCATGCCGTTTCCAGACGACCCGTTCGATGGATCGCCGCGCCTGGGGATAGATGCGGACTACGACATTGACATTGAGATTGACAGCGACACCATTGCCTGCGCCAGGAACCAAGCGCCACTCTCACAGGCGTATCTCAACTCGCAGGAGCGGCCCAAGTCCAGCAAAATGAACCGTCTGCGCTCATGGGTTGCACGCACGACCAACCCAATTCGGCGCAAATCCGACGTGGTGGTCGACGTTCTGCCGAGCCCGATGGGCCCGTCACTCTCGCTGGTCAGGGAAAATACGGCGATGTCAGAAACGGGCAGCTTGTCGCCGTTTGTGTCGTTTTCTCGCCCGATATCGCCCAGGATCCAGTCTCAGCCTCAGCCTCAGCCTCAGCCTCAGCCTCACCCAGCCCACCCCAACCCCAGTCTCAGCCTCAGACCAAAAGCCAAAGCCAGGCACATCTCATTCCCGCCGCATATCGATCGATAGCCAGCGAACTACCGGCCAGGCGCCTAGCATTAAGGACTCTGCCGCAGCACCGCGGCAGCCTCTACCAGCGGCTCCGATCCGAGGTCCTTGGGGATCTTGTCATCCGGGCCTGCTGCTCGTCTGCGTCGCAAGAGCAAAGAAGCGATGGCTTCTCTGTCAGGCAGCCACAAATCTTCGGACAGCAAGCGCCGCAGCTGGTACGACACGGATGTCGGCGCTCATAACCTCCCGCCAGTGCCCACGATTCCAGAGTCTGCTACCCGCGAGTACCACAACCCGCCAGCGACGCCAGCCGTCAGCGGCTTTCCTAGCGATCGCATGCATTTCGCGAGACCCACCACTGGCATTTCATTGTCCTCCCTGCAGCGACGGCCGCAATCGTCGCACTCAAACGCTGCCAGCCACCACCGCATAGCCAGCAATAGCAACGGCGGCCCAGGACACAGTACAAACACGGTGTTTGGGCCAAACCGCCAAGAGTCCAATGTCCGCGCGCTGATCAACGACTTTGCCACTTGGGAGAGTCCGACAGCCAGCATTATGATGTTCCAGCGCGAATGGAAGCTGCCCTCGTTCCAGCAGATTGTCTCGACGCAGAACGCGACGACGTGGGCCAAAAACAACGGGTGGGCGGTCACCATGTCCAGTGAGCTGTTCTTCATGGCATACATATTCTACAAGCTGCCAAAGGATGTAAATGCGACTCAGAACCAGGCGGCCGGTGAGAAGATTGTCAGCGATCGGCTGCTGCTTCGCATGCGGTTTGCCATGGAGGACTTTGAAGGCAAAGTTGTGGCCGGTGAGGCCTGGCGCGATGCGATCACGGCGATAATCCTGACGATTGACGCTCGCATTGCTCCCAACTGCCCGGTGGCCAGCTCCAAGCGCAACTTTAGCCAGGTGTCACTCGACACGATCGAGCAGTCGGCGTTGCACGACAGCTTGCCGCCGAGAATCACATCCGGCGCATGAAGATTTAGAGAAGCACTTGTCCAAGGTGACAGAGGCGTTTTCGAGCCATTTTGGCCGCGCCAAGAGGATCATGTGCCCATTTTCAACACGTTCCCTCGCCGTCGCACCGACGAGACCACTAGCAGCATGGTCGTCGAGAAGAAGCCGATCCGGCGAGCTCGCGGGTGGAGTATGATCCCAACGCTCCTGACATTCAAATCGGACGAGCCCGAGGTCCCCGTGCGGCCCGAATCCCCAACGCTTAGCACGCATTCCAGAAAGCGCCCGTTGTACCCGATGGGCCTGTCGCTCGCTGGCATCTCCCCGGGTGTGGGTCCGGGCCCGAGCAGCGGTTTGGGCATCAGCGAGCACCGGGGCACGTCCGTCGCGTCTTCGCACGACTTGAGCACAGTCGACTCGGTTACGGCTCCCCTGCGTGCCACTCGCGCTCTCCATCGCGGCCGGCATCCCCGGTGCTGTCTGCCATGTCTGTGTCGCCCATATCGAAGCGGAGTTCGGTCCACAGCCATTTGTCTGGTGGCGGCGGCATGGCTCGCCCCTCGAGCCCCGTTTACAAGCGCGGCACGCTGGGACTGGCAGTAGCAACGACGTGGCAACCCTGACTGATGCATTTGGCCAGTCGTTGAACATTGGCCCGCGGCCGCCGCTAAAGTCAACCTCGAGTCAGTCTTCGGGCGCCAGCTCTGGGTTCAACGTCAGTATGAACGCCGCTGCCAGCAGTGGTATCAACGCCGGCGGCGCTCTTGGGCTCCGTCAGCCAACTTCGCTATCAGTGGCCACGATGGCCACAATTGAGGGCCAGCAGCGTAAGCGCAAGGCCGGCGAGGCTGGGGTTGTTGGCAAGACCAAGGGCGGGTTTGAGGTTGTGTGGTCGGCCACCGACTTGATCTCAACGTCATACGTGATGGTGCCCGTCCCGAAGGCAGCCGTACCAGAGTCGCCAACAAAGATGTTTAAGCAGAACCATAGCCGGCTCAACAAACTAGCCGTGATCGACGTCGACACTGTCGGGACGCAGTCCCAGCCTAACCTGAAGAGCGTTTTGGATTCGATAACGCGCGAGATCAACCTCGACTCGTCTTACGTGCTGTTGCTGCCCCCACCGCCGCCTATCGATATGAGCACCGAAGATGACGACGAGGACGAGTTTGGGTACCTGGCTACGTCGCTGTTGCGGAGGGTCAAGTCCGAGATTGTCATGCGTCGGACGCTGCAAGAGTTTGAGAGCGAGTACGGACTAGATCTAGTGGACTTGGACGACGGTGACGCCGACTCGTTCCAGCTGATCGGCCGCGGCGACGATGGCAGCAGCCCCAACTCGGTATACTTCAGCGCCGAGGACGAATCAGTCATGGAGCCCGATACATGGTACAAGCGGCTGTCGGGATCATCGTCGCAGCATCACTTGCCATACCGGCACCGGGCGCAGTTTCAGCAGCAGCAACAGCAACAACAAGCAATGCACGATCAAGATGCTGGACCCAGCCGGCCACAGCCATTATCGCTCAACCAGCTGACACTGCTCGAGTTCTTCATGGACGGCATGCGGCGGTTCTACTTTACTTATCGCAAGGGCTTCCCGACAATCACGCCGTCTTTTTACACGTCGGACATGGGCTGGGGGTGCACTTACCGCACATGCCAGATGATGCTCGCCGAGTCGTTTGCGCGCGTGCTGCTGGGGCGGTTCTGGGATCCGTTCCGGCTAAGCGCGTCGGAGCGCATGCGGCATGGGCGGATCATCGAGTGGTTCCATGATGCTGATGAGCCCAAGGGCTTTTACTCGATCCACCGCATGGCGCGCACGGCCACGGCCATGGACAAGCGCATTGGCGACTGGCTGGGGCCGTCGATTGCGGCGCATGTGATGAAGCGACTGTCCAACCAGCACCCCAACTGCCCAGTGACGATCCACGTTGCCATCGACCAGACAGTGTATTCGAGCGAGGTACGGAAACAGGCGATGTCGGGCGGTGAGGAGGGAGTAGATCGGCCGATGTGGCAGCCGCTGCTTCTGCTGGTGCCGTGCGGCTGGGGCTGTCGCGGCTTAACCTTGGGTACATTCCCAAGATCAAGACGTTGTTCCAGATTCCGCAGTCCGTTGGCTTAGTTGGTGGCAAGCCATCGCGGTCGTTCTACTTTATTGGGCGGCAGGGTGACAGCCTGTTCTATCTAGATCCACACGTTACGCGGCAGCATGTTCCCCGGTCCGGATCTCTGGACGAGCAGCAGCGGGGTGACGAAAGCTCGGACTCGGACTCGGATGCGTCGTCTGACTTTGAGATGCTAGGCATCACGGAGACGGAGGAGTACCACACAACACATATCAGCTCGATGCCGATCCACAGACTGGACCCATCGATGCTTCTGGGGTTCCTTTTCAACACCGAGGCTGAATGGGACTCGTTTGTGCTTGCAGCCACCAGCAAGAGTCACCACGGTCAATCTGCACTGGGGCATCGCCCTTGTTCACTCTATTGTCGGGTAGCAGCATGATGACACCGCAGTTCGACTCGATTGTGCAGCCGATTCCGGGGCAGATCACCAAGGTTGCGGCTGTGCCCCCATGGTTGATGCGCAGCAGGCGGTTGTCGGCGACTTGCGCAAGTCGCCACGCGTCACTTCTGATTTGGGCCGATCAAGTCGCCGCTGGCAGCGCCGCCGCTGAACCAAATGCGGTCGGCGTCGTCGCCAAAGTTTACTACGGCGGACATTAACAACATGATGGCGGTTGATGAGGCGGACGATGCGGCGGACGACGAGTTTGAGATTTTGTAGGGGGGACCTATTTCCCTTTTTTTCATATTTTTTTGGCAATGAGGTGTTGTTGGTCTCTTCTCTATGTGTGTGTTTGTGTGTGACTCACCTCGTCTAATCTTGGTCTGTCATGCCTTGTCTTGTCTTATGGCCGACTTTGCTTACTTTGGCGCCTCGATCTGCTTAACAGCACAATTTCATACGGTTTTTCCTCTTTGTAAGGTTGAACATTGGCGAACTTTTTGTATTTTACCCCCTTTTTTCATATCGCCTTTTGTTTACACTTTTCTTTTTTTTATCTTTTTGTTTATCTTTTAGTTTCAATTTCTCATTTATATTTCCTTAATTCCAATACTTTTTTTTAGCCACGCAACATATTATTTGTTCTTACGCAAGCAACAAGAATTAAAAAAAACAATGATGGTCAACCCTAAAAAGTACGAGGTTGGGATTATCGGGGCCGGAGACATGGGAATGCTGTACGCTAAGCGGTTCAAGCAGCTGGGTACGTGGTCAACCTCTGTGATACGCCAGACCGGTACGACGAGCTCCTGAGCAAGCACGGGCAACTTGGGATCAACATAATGCGCGACGGTTACGCGGTGTCCCGACGGTCCGACTACATCGTTACTCTGTGCCCGCCGTGACCATAGGCAAAGTCGTAGAGGAATACGGGCGTGCGACCAAAGTAGGAGCAATAGTCGCAGGGCAAACCTCAGTGAAAACGCCGGAGATCGAGGCATTTGCGCAGTACCTTCCGGCGGACGTCCACATTGTAACGTGTCATTCGATGCATGGACCGAATATTGATACAAAGGGCCAGCCGTTGGCAATTATAAGGTACCGGAGTTCGGACAGGAAATACAGGGAGGCTGTGGAGGTGTTGGGGGCGTTGGAATCGCGGATGATCTACTTGACGTATGAGGAGCATGACCGGATTACGGCGGATACGCAGGCGGCCACGCACCTGTCGTTTATCAGCCTGGGCACAGCTTGGAGCCTCCAAGGGTACCACCCATGGCTGAACCCGCAGTTCATCTCAGGCATAAACAACGTTAAAGTGGCAATGGCTCTGCGCATATACGCTAGCAAATGGCAGTATATGCTGGGCTGGCAATAATGAACCCACTGGCAAAGAAACAACTTCAATGCTATGTCGAATCCATGACTGATCTGTATAAGCACATGGTGGCTGGTAAAAAGCAGGAGTTCCGGGAGCTGGTGCACCAAGCGGCGGACTTTATATTCGGAAAGGACCGGCGGAATAAGAAGATCCTGTTGGAGGACGATATCTTGGATCAACTTTCCTTATCCCAGGTGCCAAAGGAAATGAGCCGGCCGAATTCCCACTTGTCCCTGCTGAGTGCCGCGTCTGCTGGTACAGGATGAACATGTCCCCGTATGATAATCTGATCTGCCAGACCCGCCGTTTCGCATGTGGCTGGGTATCGTCGAGTATTTATTTTGCAACGAGGAGATGTTGGAGGAGTCCATTGAGACGGCGCTTGAGGACAGATATACGCAGGCGGAGGACTGGTGTTCTACACGGCAGTCACCGGATGGGGACAGTGCATCGCCTTGGGGTCCTTTGAGGCTACCGCGCGAGATTCGAAAAAACTGCCGCATTCCTTAGCCATAAACTGGAGGAAGGAAAAGACCTAAGCACGATGATTCTGAAAAAACTGACGGACAAGGAAGAGCAGGAGCAGCAGGAGCAGCAGCAGGGCAGCAGCAGGAGCAGCAAATTTAAAAGCAAAACCCCAAACAATAATTACAATTCACTCTAATTATTTTGAATTTTAAAAGACCCCATGTCAAATGCGTCACCGGCCCACGTAGCCACATCAACGATCTTCTTAATCTTAGCATCGCGCAACCTTGCGCCATCATATTGCAGATCCAATCCCGAGCAATAATTAAACACCAATTCCTCTGCCGTCCCCGCAGCGGTCGGCGCAGCAACCATTAGCTGCTGCAGGCTCTGCAGCATAAGCTGCGGGCTACCAAGGTACAGTTGACACAGGGCAAGGTTATTCGCTGCAGCCACAGCCTCCTCCGGCCTTCCATCCACCACTGCAGCGAAGGAGTCGCGTGCAGACTCCCATTTGCCCATGGCGACAGAGAAAAGCGCGCGGTTCATATGCACCATCCGGTCGCCCGGCACCTGCCGCTCGACCTGGAGGAACAGCCGCTCGGCCTCGGGCACACTGCCTAGCTGCAGGTGGACGCGTGCAACGGCCGACAGTAACCGCGGATCCGCCCCTGCGACTGCAGCCCCCATCCGGCCACTGCCTCTAGAATCCCTGTGGCCAAACCGGGGTCCCCCATACGCATGGCGCAGCCCACCAGAAGCAGTGAGATTCTACGCACACGGTGCTCCCACAACGCACGACTATCATCGGAAGATGCCGGGGTGCCGGGGCAGCAGTGCTCGCTGGCACCCGCGCAGAAGCGAGCTGAGCCGGTCACACACCACAGCCCATTCACCAAGCATCCCAGGCGCCTGGGCGCGCAAAAGCCGCAGCTCAAACGGCCACCTCCGCATTCCACCACTCTCCACTCTCTCCAACCTCCCTACCTCCACCCTCACTATCCCACCTTGGCCCAACTGCGCCAGGGCCAAAATCCGGTACACCCAGTATTTAAGCACCCCACCAGACGCACCACGGTTAATTGTATGGTCCAAAGATAATGCCTCGATGCTAGCTTGGGATGCCAGGGCCAGTGCCCGCCACTGCTTGCTGCTCACATACTGGTTCAGCGACTCGTAGCTATGCACCTGTGGCTTGAAGTCGCTGCGCTGTGGCGCTTGTCGCCGCGGCCGCTGATCGCTGCTGACGAGCGTCTGTAGGGCTCGTCGAGGCTGTCGCTGAGTGGAAGAGGCTCGAAAAGCCGCGGGTCTGTGAAAGTTGTCCAATGGCCGGCGGAGTAGGAGGGCGCCGATGCTTGTGCTGTCGGGCTTTGTGAACTGAGACTACAGCGCTTGGCAAAGCAAAAAAAACATTAATTAATTAATTGTTTGTCACACATTCATATGCGCCAGGTTGGCTGTCGGCATTGAAGGCTGCTGTTTCTTACCGAATTCCAGACAAGAGGCTGGCCATTGCTGTGCAAGGATATGAAAAATTAAAAACAAATGAATTCCCGAAATAGTGTGTAATAAATGAATTCCTGACAAAAAGAGAAAAAGAAAGAGACAAAGGACGATCATGCGAATGCTGCGCCGTCATCGACGTCCTGCGCCTGCCTGATGTGCACAGCCTTTTGGTGCGCAAGCAGCAGTGCGCTGACAGCATTTATGCGCGGAGGGAAGCATCGCCACTGCTCGTCGACGCGGCGGCGAACATCATCGAACGAGTCCCATTGGTGGCCAGGCACCGGGCCGCAGTCATACACGACCTCCAGCAGATTGCACGCGTCCGGTCCGGCGCGTCGCACTGGCGGTAGACCACAGGCGCGCCGTGCTGGGTGGCATCGGCGTGGACGGAGAAGCAGCCAGGCAGCGACACCTTCTCGGATCCAGCCTTGGGGAACTTCATAATGTCTCTGGTTTCGCCGCTGGCGTACGTGACTGAGCTCAGCTTGACCGCCATGCTCATCGTGTCGCGGTTGACCTTCTGCAGCAGCCCGCCACCCATGCCAAACGCGACGTTCTGCGCCGCGTACCCGGCCGCGTGCACTGCCGCCAGAATGCGCGCCAGCGACTTGGTCGTGACGCCGTCGCCCTGGATGACGCCAGCGCCGCGGATAACGCGGAACCCGAGCCCATTGACATCCGCCCCAAACACGCGCTCAGCCGCCCGCAGGCCCATAAGCACCGTCTCCACTGGTCGCCGCTGTCCGGCCGAATGATCAAAACGCCGCCGCGCTCCAGCTTCGCCGTGGCCACCGCCGGCAGGACCTCCTCCAGCGCCCTCGCATAGTCGTACGAGTCCATGACGCACGCCACCACGCCGTCACCGTACACCTCCAGCAGTCGCAACACCGCCTGCCGCTCGCTCCCAAACGCCGTCATCACCGAATGCTCTGTTGCCGGAATGCTCGTCGCCACCGCACGCCCGCCATTCAGCCGCTGCTGCACGTAGTACGCTGCGGTAAGCGTATCCGTGCCGCCAAAGCTCAGCAGATGCGCTGCCCCGCCCAGCATCGACTGCTCGACGCACGTGCACGCGCGAAACCCAAAGTCATGCATACGGCTGTCCAGCGTCCACTGCATATTCTCATCCACAGAGGTACGGTAGTACTCGTTGATTGCAGTCTTTGAGCGCCGTGACAGCGTCGCCACGTCGACGGGTACCATGACATCAGGAGCACCTCTCCAGGTACGTTACCAGCCCAGAGTACTCGCGCTCCGCCGTAATCTGCATCACCACCGTGTGCGGGTAAACGACGGATCCCTCAGCCATCGCCTCGATGCGCACCGGAAAATACCCGTTGTTCTCCGAGATGAACTTTAAGAACAGCTCCTTGGGGAACGGGAACGCCGTGTGCCCTGTGTTGTGCGTGCTGAAGAAGTGATTGGACATTTCGACGTCCTCTACTGTCCATCGCCTGTTGATGTACTGGTCGATGATGTATTGGAGTCCGTAGAACACCATGCGCTCGTCGGAGCTGTCATTGTTAAACCCGTGCCGGAACTCTGCGTACGCTACCGCCTTTTGCGCTGCGGGGAACAGCGCTGCGTGCGACGCTTTGTACGAGTCTGTGAGCAGGGGAAGCGGCAAGCCGAATGGCCCAGACATTTTTACACAGTGAATAAGTGTGGAATAGAAATGAAATGAAATGAGTAAAGCCAATTAAAGCCCAAACAAAGCAAAAAATGAGGAAGGAAAGGAAGAAAGAAAGGAGTTTGCAGGAACAATGCAGCTTTGATGCTCCAGTTTTTTTTCTTCGTTATCGGGCTGATAAAGCAAACCCCCTTGAAAATCAAGTATAGAAGCTAAACAGCCTCCGAAGCATCAGTGAGGCCAGTCAAATACTCTTTGGACAGGCCTGTATTTTCCATGATAAAGTCCGTATAGTATGAGCGTGCACAAACATATGAACACCGCTGGGGTTGCCACACTCGGTATCATCAATATTCAAAGCCGTGCTCACAACTCCCGCAACCATCAGGGTACCATTATAGTTGACAAGCAGTCCGGAGCCCGAGTCGCCCGAGCAAGTGCTGTGGAATGGAGCAAGTGCCCCGGGGCACAAATCTGCGGCCCGTTATTATCCACATAGGCATTGCTAAACGTCCCGCACAAAGCCTGGTTACCCGAAATAACCACTACGCCCCTGAGACTAAGCAAATTACCCGCGCTGTCCTCCGTCTTGCCCCATCCGACAGCCAGCATACTTTGATTATTTCCAATGGGTCCATCGTATATGGGAACCCGCTGGTTAAAATCCGCAGCCCCCACCAAATCGTCTATTTCCATAATCGCAATATCTGCTATACCATCTTGCCCTTGGGAAAAGTACTCTGGATGAATAGCTATGTTTCTAACCTTGCCCAACTTCTGCTGCGCTCTGTCATAGCGTTGTAACCGATGGTCATGTTGGCTGCGGGCACAATTACATTTTTGCCTTCCACCACGCAATGGGCAGCTGTGAGAACGTGATTGGGTGATATGAGGGTCCCGCCGCAACCATACAGTCCATCGGCAGTGTCTTTAAATACTGATATAGCGCTGGACCCCAGTTCGTTTGTTATGAGAAACCCGTTGACGATGCGTTTGGAAAGCACAGGAATGACGAGGGCGTAGGAAGTTTGGCACATGAGGAGAGTTGGGACGAATAATGACAAGTATTTAAAATACATTAGTGCGGCGAATAAAATAATGGAAAAATATAGGAAAAAATATAGGAACCAGCCTTAAATAAAAAATAACGCTAAAATATAATGTTAAAGAAGGATATGCCCATCTATTGACTAATGGAATATATTTATTCATTTTTCATACTTTTTTTTCAAATATAATATTTGCGCCTTTATAACCCTTTTACTCATTTATTATTTTTTACAATGCAGAAAGGAAAGAGGAAAACCCCCCCCCCGATGACATGGTATTTTGCCAAAATGTTATAAAATAAATAAGACCACGCAGGATTTTTTTGGGAAAATAAATAGCAGATAATTTAAATTGATATATTACGGCTTATAACCAAAAAAAAATATTAAAAAAAAACTATTCCATCGTCTCAGTAAGTCCAGTTGGGTACTCTCTGGACAAATCAATGGGCTTCAACACAAAGTCCACATAGTACGCAATGTGTACATCAGAACTGCTACTGTAAAGGTTACCATGCTCTCGATCTTCTTCAGAAGCATTCATTGCTATACTGGTAACACCCAGAGCCATCGACTTGTAGTTTACAAACAATGCAGAGTCAGAATCACCCATGCAGAGAGCCGTGGTACGGAGTGACCACCACGGGAGAGCAGATCTGCGGCCCATTGTTGTCGACAAAATTATCAATAGTCTTTGCACAACGTTTTGTTACCTGACATAGTCAGTACGCCCTTAAGAAGAGTGTTCATAGTCTGGTCCTCGAGACTTGGCACGCCCCAGCCAATAGCCAGCATATTATGATTGGCACCGAGGGTCTGTCGTAAATGGCATGCGGCTGCTATACTGGTTGAACAACACATTGTTTGTCTCGACAATGGCAATCTCGTATTCCTCACCGCTCCTGCTCAGTATGTAGTTTGGATGAACTGTTGCTTTGGTCGACTTGATGAACCTGTGGTAATCCTGGTTGTAGTGTCCTAGATCGATACTGATATTGTCTTTGGAAACAATGACTTTGGATTTAATCACGCAATGCACGGCGGTGATTACGTGTCTGCAATATTAGTGTTCTGCCGCATGGGTACAGCCATCCTCCAACGTCCACTAGTATAATTACTGCGGCGTAACCCAGCTTCTCAGCCATATTGAAACCATTGATAATGCGCTTGGGGAGGAAAGAATTAGAAATAATGGAAGGGTGGTTGAGGACTAAAGGTTGAGCGGGCAAGGGAGGAAGAGCAAGCGCGTAGGATGATTGGAACAGGCACAACGCCGATTCCAGGAACACGGATAAACACTACGTACATGTTGGAAATTGAATAAAATACAAACAATAATGAGATGGAGCTGGAGCTGGTAGGATGGAAAAGTGAAAATTTGGAAATGCAATGTAGAGACCATATGCAAAAATAAAGGCTGACCGCTGTAGTATATATATACAATTTTGGCTGGTAGAGACACACAACTAAGAGGAGGATGCCAATTTTGTTTTCTGCTTTCTCGTTTCTTGGCTGAAAGACAAGTAGGTATGAATTCTTGTTGCCTTTATAGCATTGCCCAATGCTAAGATTACGAATCCTGCTCCGTTTATTATTATTCCCCATAGCGCAAAATCAAACAACTTTTAACGTTTTTTTTTGTAAAAAGGTGTTTTCAAAAATCCCTTATATATTCAAGTGTGTTCGTCCAAAATGATCTTTGCAGTGATGTATCCTTTTGGATTCCATTTTGGTTGTTTTCCCCATATACTGCAGTGCGTGAAAAGTTGTAATAATTTATGACAAGGCAATATGTAATGTCAGATTGTCACATGAAGCAAATCGTTTATGTAAACATAATTAATTCGGGCACATTTATAAAAGGTTTATCTAAGATTTGAAAGAAAAAAATAATCATGTATTCTTGTTGATGACCTATCACCATAGTCTTGCACATTTATCAGGAGCCCTTCCTTGGCTCCGCCAAATATCGCCACTACAAACCCAAAATATTATTTTACTTAGGGTTCTTCGGTCAATTATAGCAGTAGTTTCTACAGGAGATTTAATAAGAAATAAGGCATGTAAAATATTTTGAAAGCAAGCTAAAAAACCTTTAAAAAATTTGATTTCTAAGGAGCTATGTCATTAATGTTTTCGCAGTTTTTTGCAACTACACCAGTAGCCGAAAGAGGAATTTCAAATGTGCTCTGCACCCCGCATTTTCCGACAGGAAATATGCACTTATGCAGGTCGTCAACGGTCTTGTGCTTGACGCAGTAATTTTCGATAATCGACGTGATCATCTCCATGCGCCTGTTGACAACCGAAAAGTCATCACAGTTCAAGGACGCAATGTTTGCCGACGCGTCCATGACCGTAGTCGACAGCAGACCAGCAAGTTGTTTTGTCTCGACTATCATGTTCGGCATTAGCGGGCCGGTCATGCGGATAAATTCGTCATTCATCTGCTTCGAGCCCCCATTAGCCGATATTGATACCTTAACCAAACGCCCACATGTGTAGCCAACCGGAGCCACCGCAATGAGGGCTCGCATCTTAGGCGCAAAAGCGTCGCTTACACTCTCGGTGGACATGGATTCAGGAAAACTCCATCAGGGCCCGTATCGACATTGGGAGCCATGTTGGCAAAATTTGGCGAATCTTGTAATGGTGATGCGGGCGTCGATACAGCTCCCCTCGTTGTCAATTTCTTGAAAGCGCGGGATAGAGATTTCTGGCGCTTCTTTGTGCCTGAAAATAGGATTAACGTAAGATGGCAACTGGGTGCGGTATGACTTGGGTTTGCTGCTGGGCTGTTGGTCGGTGATAGAAATGTTCACACTGCTGGTTTCACTGCTGGGCGCAGTGCTGCATCGTGAGAGCGACGTGCTTTTTTGGTTTGGACTTGGCGGCGAGTGATTTGGAAGGCCTTTTGGAAAAAATCCCGAGTCTTGGACCTGTGCTGTACCGTCTCGGCCGAAGAGTCGCGGGTTTCTCTAGCTTTTCTAGCTTTGGTGATCGAATTGAAGAAGAGCCCCTTCCGCCAGTCTCGGAAGCCGTTCTAACCTGAGTGGATGTGGATTTCATGCTTGTGCCCTGAACGATGAACCGAACTTTGATTTTGTGTTTTCCCTTTTTCCCGAATGGTACGGGCGCCTGTCGTGGGTAGAGTGGGTTTCGTCAGATTGGGACTTGGAGAGACTCGATGTATTTGTGCGCAGCTTGGAACCGAAGTTGTCTCTATCGTCGACAAACTGCCAGGCCAGGTCCATGTCAATGTTGCCTGTGTGGCTGTCGAACCACATCACATAGATGCCGTGCTTGTGCAGCATATTGTAGAACCAGTCATTATCATGTGCACCCATCTTGCAGCCGCTGATCAGAGAGCTCACGTTCGGTGCAAGATCAAACCCGACATTAAAGCTACTGATGCTATACGAGCACCGCATGATCGTAGGGTCGCTCGGAAGGCTCTTCACCCGCGCAACCGGCGGCAAGGGCACCCGGTTCAGTGTCATCAAAAATTTGTTAAACTCGGCGCTGACGCCCTTGAGTGGGCCCTTGGCCAGTATGCATTCCGTCGCCAGGAGCTTGCCGATCTCATGTAAATGACGCCAGCATAAGCAGAAAACGGCTTGTCTAACTCGTCTAGGATATCCAAATCCGGAGCATAGACTCAGATACCTCAAGCATCGACGAGTCTATCGAGTGCGCAAATAGAGATCGCGCCGGCAATGGCTGTTGCTGCGGGGCAGTTGCTCATAAGGGTATGCGGTGTAAACTCGATATCGGGCACCATGCGCATGTCATGTAGCTTGTCAAAATCGCCGGCCGTCCGCTGCTTTATTTTCTCTTCGCCCTCGTCGTCAACCAGCGGTGTTGTTTGATGAATGTCTTGAAGCCTGTCTGCAACTCTGAATTTTGAGCACAATGGCCCACTGCCCAACAACCCATCCCCCGTACAAACCCAAGGCTGGTGAGCTAGTTTCAAAGTGTAAGCGGTTTTGGCATCTACCCGTACAGCAGCTCGGCAGTGGCGGGCACGTCGGGATATATATCTGGGGCCGCATCAGCCCGGATAATGATATGGGGTTGGACGTAAATACTATCCACTGTTTGGACCCGCTCGGGTATCTGTTTGTGTGCAGGCTTGCGCTATCAGACCATTGCCGTCGCTGAACCGCCTGAAATTGATAATGGAGTAATCATGTCGTGGTAAGCGATGAGAAAGTGGCGTTTAGCGGTATATAGTCCTTCATCAAGCGGTTGACATTGGAGCTGTATGTGCTGAACACGACGCTGTTTTCGGGAACCTTGTTTTGATGCAAGGCCGAGGCACAAGCAGTGTGTCGTGAGGCTTGTGAGATCCGTTGTAGTGGTTCTCGTTTATGACGCGAGCCAGGATCGTAGAAAACACAGAGATAGTTGTCGAAAGCACCTTGTGTAGCGAGTCGTCAGCATACGCACTGTGTGGGTCTTGCTATTTTTGGATATACACTGGGATGGTGGCGAATCGGCCTTGGAAAATGGATTTAATGTGGTATATGACATTATGTTATCATTGTCATCCTTCTGGGTAATGGGCTGTCTCGAGATGCTCGAAAGCCCGATCCAACTGTCAGGCCGATACATGCGCTCTCTGTACTCAGTGGATGTGCTCAAGTTGACCCTTCGCTCGAGTGGGCCGCGTGTAGTGTGCATCGGCGAGTCTGCCGTGCTGAGAAACGCATTGCAGCGCTTTAACAATCCCCCCAGCTTGTCCAACAGCTCGGGTGGGATTAAAGCATACTCCGTAGATGATGGCAACCAAACGCTCAGGCAGCGGATCGATGCGATAAAGACCTGATGGTACTGGTCCCAATGTGTAAACCGCTTGAGGTCGTGGTCGCAGTTGGAGAGACTTTGCACCAGAATAGTGAGGATAAGCCGGTGCTGCTCTCCAGAAAGAACGTTTTTCAGGGTGATCGCCGAAACCTGCATCAGCCCGTAAATGTACACGGTGGCCAGCTTGTCATCGCGCGTGTTACGGAGCAGCTCAACGTAGAGCTCGCTGAACAGAACGATATAGCCCGAGTTGTGCTCCGCATACTGGTACAGGTATACCAGCGTCACACACGTCAGACACTGCAGGTTCAAAAAGTCCTTTTCCGCAATGGCTGAGCTGAGCAGCACCTGGAAAATCAAGTGCAGGTAGCCCGTGAACACACTGTCCTCTAACGCAGACTCCTTGAACTGACTGGCATCGATCTATAAAAAATTTAAAAAAGGTGCATTCATTTTATATTAGCTGGCTGGTCGCCAGGAGCTCCAATTTTGGCGAAATAAACAATGTTTATATGTCAAACTTGCCTTTTTCAGAATGTCGAGGATAGCCTGGTACTCGTAATGGAGATTAGATGTTTTTTGTCTTGAGTCACATTTTTGGTAAACTGGCTCTGGGCTATGTCCGTGTCGGCGATCAGGTCTGAACAGCCAATCTCGTGGTAGTAACCGACAAACGAAATTAGTGCAGAAAGCGTGTTGTAGCCGAGATACCGCAGATAGCTCTCACTCTGAATCAGCGGAACGTCGTCGACCTACGAAGGATAACCATTTTTTGGAAAGTTTGCCTTAAAAAAGGTCTTTGTAAGTACAACAAATACACATAATAACACAACCAAACATTTTTCCAAGTCAATTTAACTTTCTTACCCGAGGAAGCACACGGCACACCATGCCAAATAGCGGGGCAATAAATACCCGCACGTAATGTGAGCTCTTTAACAGCATCGGGACGTTCGGCAGCACCGCCTGGATGTGGTTGAACTTGTTTATCTCGCTGTCAAGTATGCTGATTATACTGTTCCGATACCATATTCGCAGGGGATCTTTCGGGTTCTCAGCTAGCGCCAGCATCTGAGAGAGCAGAGATATAACTCGGCAGCGGGCCTCGATATAGTCCGGCGTCACTTCTCTGACGTGCGTTGCAATCGCAAACAACGGCTTTCCAAACAGGTGCAGCGCGTAGTTGGCCGTCGGTGGGTCCTGAGCGTACTTTGTACCATCAATCTCAATGAGCTGTTTGATGTCAAGCCCGTATTTGACAATCCCGGACATATAATCCGAATACAGGTAAAATGCGCGGTTGCTTGCGGCATCCAGATCTATTTGAGTCTGTGTGTACAGTCGCAGCAAAATAATGGCGTCTTCATCGCTGATTTTCGAAGATACGCTATAATCCAGGATTCGTATGTGCATCGTATCGGTTCCAATGGTCTTGTCAAAGGGATAATGCGCGTGCAAAACCCGGCTGGCCAATTGTGTAGTTATTTTCAGCCAGCTATCGAGCACTTTATCGCGGTGAAGCCAGTTCCTGAAATCTTTCAAAAGAACGTCGTTGGATACACTTGGCAGGGCAATAACTCGACTCCAGACATCAAAAGCTAGCTTGATAGCATCGATTTCCAAACGCTCGCCGATATTGCCCCATGTCTTGTCCCAGATACCTGTGTCAAAGTGCGGCTTGTACTTATCGACCCAAGCCTTGATTCGCGGATTTTTGCCTCCCTGAGAGAGCACAATGTCAACCACAAGTAGCATGTGTTTGGCAATAGCGTGCGAGATATCACTTGGAATACCATGCTGAAGCGCACGCATTATAGTCGAATACACCTTTAGGACACTAGAGAGGAGCTCGGTGTAGCGCTCCCAAAGCTCCATTATGCGAGCGTGGCGCGAGTGCGACATTGGAAAATGTGCGGAAGCGAAGGATCTGGCTTTGGTTTTAGAGGTTGCTGTGGTCGTCGAACTCATAGTAGAGGATGTGTTTGCTCGGCGCCTGCTAATGCGATCCGTGGCATGCTTGTATTTGATACCAGCGGCTCGCTGTCTGTGGTGACATTTGGGCTTGTCTGTAGAGCTGATTCGGGCGAGCTTTGTTCTGGAATGTTACTGAGGAAACCGTCTGCCGCATGGAGACCGGATGACAAAATGGTGTTTGACACTGAGTCTCGTTCGGCACATGCTCGGCCGACACCTCGCGTTTGCTAATGGAACCGTTAAGCTCAGGCTCTGGGTCCAACTTGGGCGTCGACGGCGACTGCTTAGCGGAGAGCAGACACGACTCTCGCGTCAACGTGGGCTGGTCGCCGAACTGGTGGTTAATTGTGCATATGGGCAGATCGTCCTCCAAAAAAAACGGGGGTTGAACAGCGTGCTTGGTCGAAAAATGAGCTCGAACATGGAATTATTAGTGATGCCAATAACGTCGCTGCCGGAATACCCTTTTCACGATCCAAACGGTGCAGAATAAATAAGAGGTCGCTATACTGCCTAAACGCCTCCGAGATCATATCAACGTCTTGCACTGGAAGTGCATACCGAACTTAATGCAGTTATTGCCCAGCGCATCTGCTCCATGTTTTTGAATAGGTCCGATAGAATGTAGTCACCAAGAATGTTGTTCATGTTGTGGAACACTTCTCGCTTGACGTTGAGCGGTATTGTGTTGAGGAAGGAATACTTTTTGTAAGTGTCTTTTGTAACTTTTTCGCTCTCTGGAGCCCACTGAAGCAGTCGCAGTCGCTCGGGTCAATCATGGCTGATGATTGAAAAGTTAATTGAAAACAATAAATGAGAAAAATGAGAAAGTATTTAAAGATCGTTAACTTGGAGTATCTGTGGCAAATACGACCAAATTCTTTCAAGTTTGCAACGTTGACAGCACGCAGTCTAGACCCCATTTTAAAATTCTGATAATGCAGAATGTCTCATATGTTTAAAAATAATCCGGCGACGCAGAAAATAATGTCTAGACCACAGCTTGTAATATTGTTTTACAAACCATATCGGTCTACCCATGTACACGTATTTTTCTGTGTTTTATAGAAGGAATAGCAACTTTTTTGACATTTTTTAGGGTTTGAGCAGCGTATTTTAGCACGACAAGCAACCGCCATTGCCAAACGGTATCTGATATTTTCAAATATAATACTTAAGTTTTAGTGAATGCCAAATTAGTATCAACAGTTATTAATTTTGAAACCTGATTAGCCAGTGTCACAATATGGTGATATGCGCGCAGATGCCCAGCAAAAATAAAATAAAAAATGTTACTGTGTGTGACAGGGTTTAACAGCATCCAAGCCACCAAAACCACACACACCTTTACCAACCCCCATTTTTTATTGATAAAAATAGATGGAAGGAACAAAATGAAGCCTCTTGCAGCGCGTGCCCACATTGAATATTTTACATACTCTTTTCGAACCCCAGATAATAATAAGGGAATTAATTTGCAGACGCTCATCTCACCCAGTTGAACAATTGCTATACATGACTCCCTTTGTTTTTAATCCTGGGAACCAGTTTGTTGCTGTGGCTACATAATGGACTGCCACTTATCAATTTGATTTGATAAGGTAAACAATTTATTAAACAACCAAAAAGACCTTTTGTAGCTGCTCGATTTATTGAACATGACGACATTTAACCAAAATCAGGAATTTTAATAAAATGCGTTGGTTGCAAACAAAACATTTGGTGTAATGTTTTGTTTCTCACGGGTCTCACGATTAGTCGTTCGCAAATCCATAACAATCCCTTCAACTAATTTAAACTGGAGTTTTGTTCGAGCAACAACAAAAAAATCTATAAATTGAATGAAAAATGGCATCCATTCAGCTTACAATCATCTTCAAACCTTATAGAATAATAACCACAATTCATCGTATAACGAACAACACTCTAATCCAACAGTTTCTCGGCCATATCAAGAACGTACTCGGTGGCAACAGCGGCAAGCAACAAAAATACTTTCCTGGTGATCGTCAAGACTTTACTGACAAAGATGCGCTTAGTGGCCGACTGGCTGTCCGCCCAAAGCACTTGGACGAAGTCACAAGGAGACGACAGGAGGGTGTTTTCGTATCAGGTGGTCCAATATTCGACTTTCATGAGATAGCCAAATGGTGGGCTCGACCCTGATTGTCAATGCCCAGTCGAAGGAGCAAGTCGTGGAAATACTACAGAATGATCTGTAACTGCAGTTAAAGTGCGGGATATGGATTCGGTCAAAATATACCCCTATAAGGACTCTTCATTTAGAGGCTTGGATTTATTTATTTGTTTTGTTAAATCCAAGTTGATGTCAAACACATGACAAACAGTAGTATAAGTGTATTGAGTTGCGTTGTCTGTCCATCCACAGAGGCGCTGCTGCTGCTGCTGTGCGACTTATTGGAAGACGAGTTGTCCAGGCCAAAATTCGCTAAATCAGTTGCGATAACAAAGCTGTCCACATTCGCCACCGAGGTCCTCACAGTGACCAAATTGCCATCGGATGCAGATGCGCCGGCAGAACTTTGCTGCAGCGCAGTCACCTTTGAGTCCAATTCAACAGCAACCACGTACGCCGACGTTTGCAGCGCATTGGCGTACTGCAGCGATGTGAATCCGGTGAGTGTTTTGGTGTTGTAGTAGGGCGTATTGATGGTCGACCCGCGGCATATGAGGGCGTCGCGGTATGCGTCGAGTGTTTGGTTGGTTGCCGCGGACTCGAAGGCTATAATGACTCTGGCGAGGGCCTGCGGTGCCACGTTGTCGTATGTCACTTTCTGTAAGGACTGGAAGGCGGGGCACGTAATGTTCATTGCCAGGGACTGGTGCACGAGCAGCACCAGAGAAAGAAGCAGCATACTCAGTTTCGACGATGAAAGCATTTGTATAAAATGGAAGAAAAAAGCTTGATAAAAAATAAAACAAAAAATATTGAGTGAGAAAGAAGGAAAATGGGGATCTTGTTTAGTATTTGCGCATTCATGCGTATTGTTCAGCTGAAATTTTCATGGTATTACGGTTGCGGAAACAATTATTATCCTTGTGAGCTATATAAATAGATGTTTTACGGATTAATTGGGATGGCGCAGCCAGTAAACCCCCCCCCCCCCCCCGGAAATCGAAATCGAAAATTGCCAACTTGCTTTCATTTTTCTTTGCATTTGTATGCAGCAAGCAGACAACACCTGTAGTACCCTTTTCTTCTTTTTGTTTGCCTTTTTCTCCCTTTCAAATTGAATTTGCATCTTTCGTTTTCAAACATTTCGTCCACGAAGCATTTATTAATTATTATTTCAGATTTCACTAATGCAGCAAGCGACAGAAATCGTGTGGCCGGAAACACCAGAATTCGGAGTCAGCCCCATCAACCTCTTCGTCCCCACGTGGACCTACAGCGACCGGTACAACGGGCAACCCATAGTGCCGCACATACTACTGGGCCCATATCACCTTGTTCGGCGTGCCGAATTCTTACAGCTCAACAGCATCCACCATATCCTCTGCATCCGCGATCCCTCTGAGCAGCTCTTCCTACGGGAAATAGCGACTAACCCGCCGACAGAGTTCCACATAATCGATGTGCCCGCGATGTGCGCAAAACCAGTATCATCCCGCACTTTATACAAGCCAACGCCATGCTCGCTGGTATGGTCAGGGTGGGCAGAACGTTCTTGTTTGCTGTAGTGATGGAATCGATAAGAGTGCGTCATTCGTGGCGGCGTATTTGATGAATACGTTTGCACTTCAGGCGGTGGACGCAGTGACGTTTGTGCAGAATCACAGGTATTGCGCGACGCCATCGCCGGGTGGGTATAAGATCAAGTTGTCAGAGTATGAGCCGATCTGCGCGGCACAGAGGAGCAGTGCCGGTAATAGTGGGCAGGAGGATGCAAATGTTACGAGGAGGCGCGATAGTGAGGATGAAGGTAGCGAGTATATGGATATAGCGGCTGATCCTATGGTCCCAGTCGAGGCGCGGCCAATTGCCGGCAAGCGGCTAATTAAGCGTGCGCGGTGAGACCAAAATTTGTAAAGTTTTTTAAATAAGGTTTAACCAATAGTATTAATATTTTTATAGCAAATAATTTAAGTTTTACATAAAAAAAAAAAGTAACATGTTTAGATATGCTTGCCGAGCACGGCCTGGGAGAAACCAGGGTTGACCAGCAGGCAGTTATCGTCGTCGCTCACAGGCACCAGCGGCACAGTGCGCTTCAGCATGCGCACCCACAGCGCAGCGTCCTCGGGCGTCAGCTGGCGCATCATCAGCAGCGTCTCATCGGCACTATCAAAGGCCAAGAACTGCAGAGCCAGGCTTATAGTGCCGTTGTCTTCGTTTGTTTGGCACACCTGGCTGATGGCATCGGTGGGCAGGCTGAGACGCAGCATCAGCGGGTCCAGGGGCGCCTCCTCTTCGTCTTCCTCCTCCTCCTCCTTAATGGTGACATCGGGAGACGACGTAAAGGTAATGCGCGGCGGGTCGCGCAATGTGACTAGAGATATATGGCTGCTCTGCAGCAGACCGGCCGGCGGCGTCACAGTGTCGATCTCGGGCAGGCGGAAGTAATCGTCATTGTGCAATGTTGCCGACGACACCGAGGACGACGCGGACTGGCGCTTGGCGGCTTTGTCTGGCTGCTTGAGACCAGCTGCAGGGCCGACAGGGTGCGGCGGATACGCGATGGGCGGGAGGGGCGCTGGCGCAGGGCGTGGCAGAGCACGATGCGCGTCTCAAAGAGAAAGGCCTCGGTCATGGTGAACTCGTGCATTGTGCGCGCCGATACTGTGCCACTGGTAAGCAGGCGACCCAGGCTGGCCGGCGCCATATCGACGCGAGCAAAGAAATTTGCGCGGTTTTTCTCATTTGTTGCCTCACGCGTGGCCTCGTTAGCGCGCCGCAGGACGCGCTTGCTCCGGCGCATGGCAAGATCGGCCGAGTTGATGGCACGCAGGGGCTGATGCGCCTTCTGTATTTCCTTACAGCTGCTGTACATTTCCGCGGCAATGCTTTGGAACAGCAGCGGGTACTGAGCCAGACGCTGAATGGGCCGCATCAGCAGGGCGCTGATGTCTGCACACTGCGTGCCACGCTACTACGCGCGAGCTCGGCGCAGAACCGCGAGTACACCTCGAAGGCTTCCTCGAGACCATTGAATGCCGTATCGAATAGCTGGGCGCTGACAGGCTGCGCTGCCATGTACTGGATGCGCATGGAGAAAGCGCGGTGCAGAGAGGCTAGCTCCTGTACGTGTCCGTAAAAGACGTCCGCGTGGTGCAAGAAGCCGGCCAACCGCTCCAGATCGTGCACGTAGGCCGCCTCGGTGCGCGCCAGCTCGGCCGCCCGCGACTTGTGGTCAAGAACTTGTGGGTAAATGCTGTGCGGCGAGATGTACCTTGGATCAACACTGCCCAACAGACCACGGTGTTCTAGAATGTCAAGCATCCGTGCAACGGTGCACAGCGTCAGCTCGAGCCGGTCATAGCTTGTCACGGCCTCGGCGTTGACCAGACCGGCGTCCAGGCATCCGCGCCAGAACAGATCCATCTGGTTGCTTGCCGCCAGGTCTATTGTCGCCACAAAGGGGCTCTCTAGATTGTTGAGCAGGATGTTCAAAGTGTATCCGCGCTCGAACAGCGTCTGCAGCGGTTGTGTGGGATCCTTGTATATGCCTGTGTTTTTGATGTTTTCGTCGATTAGAATCGGGTAAGAAACTTTGATATGCTGCTGTGTCTCAGCAACCGCTCTATCAGCCAGATTGTGCGGTCGTAGGGTGACTGGTATGCTTGCCGGCATACTGAGATTGCGTGTGATGCTGTGTAGTTCTTTATGCCATTCATGTTGCGTCGCCGCATGCCAAAGCATGATGGTATCCACTTGCTCGTAAACTTTAGCGCGAGGCCAGCAAGACGGCCTTGGAATACGCCTTCGCCGAAAATGTGCATTGTTGTCTTTGTGAGAGGGTGGGTGTTTAAGTAGGCTATTAAAATAAATTTAGTTAATACAGGGTGGTAGCAATAGAATAATTAAGGTCGTGTTTGTGCGTGTTTGTAGAAAATTGCAAAGTCTAAAAAATGGAACCAAAACACCCATGGTTCTCTACCGGCTGCTTTTATACAAAACTTTTTTCCCAACCAAAACCGAATTTTTGGTTATTTCCGTTTCTCATTTGGACATTTCATAATTACAAGTGAGGATAAATAAACTAATAGAGCCTGAAAAATTGACGCTCAATGTCCAATTGTGTGTGCGTGGCTGTCTTGACTGCAAACTAAGAAACGACTGGGGGAAGGGGTAATGGCAAATGACAATGGCAAATAGCAAATGGCGGATATGGATGATGTCTTGGAATAGAAATCCGTCAGAAATGAACATCCTGCATATGCCGCACATTGCAGCCCTCATGCCTGTGTGAGCTCTGTTTCACACGCCTTCTTTCATCACACAGCCGCGTGTGTTTATGCTTATTTTTAATCGATCCTGGCATTCCCCTCGTGACATATGCTCAAAGCGGATTGTTTTACTGTCGCCCACTTGATTCCCAAAGTTGCGGTTATTTTTCTTCCATCAGCCTAAATAAGGGTTGACAGTCCGATCCATGCAGCATCCCGACTCTCTTTTAACGCGGTCTAGTAGTCATTAATGATCCATTTCTATCCCCAACGCACAGTTAATAATCTTTTGCTTAAATTAATATAATATAATATAGATTTTAATTTAACTAAAATTTTATTAACGGAATAATGCCACTCTAAAGTTGAACGCTCGCCCTTCCCCAAATACTTTTTCCTTTCTAATCACGTATTTACGTGTCACTTTCTCACTTTCTCACTGAAGAGTGCGCAGATTAGCCTGCTTTTTTAACACAATGAATTATTAATGAATACAAATTGATGGCATAATTATTGTGTCCACAAAGAAAACGGAAAATGACATGAATCAATTTTGCACTATCCAATATGGATGGAATGGAAAAGGGGGATATTTAAAAAAAAGCAATTAGATACCTTATTAAAGCCAATTGCGATGTACGATAATGATGCTCCTTTCTTCTTTTGGACCTAACCTGTCTGTTTTCCTCTCACCCCACACACCACTTGTATACACACAATTGCCCCCATCCATTTCCTTATTTATTTTCTTTTTTTGAGTACCAAAAAAACAATAAGCCTCTCATTTGCGTGCATATCGCGTTTTTGGACATGTCTTCTGCATGTCTGCATCCACCAGCTGGTTAACAGTTCCCACCAGCTTCAACAACAAATGGGAAATTCGTCGTCTATAAACCCAATATTTTCTCTTTTTCCTGCTTGCTGCCGCCAGTCAAACTCTGAAACAACTAATTGATACAGCTTTTCAAAGCTCGCTCATACTCATTTTCAAGTATTAAAGAATCAAACATGTGCGTGCTGCCTGAAATTAAGAGATTACCCCCAAAAAAAGAATACCTCCACCCCCCAACACAATTCGCTACAAAAAATAATTAATCAGCCACGCGATGATTAAGCATTGGCCAAACGCTCTGCCTTTCTCTTGTCCTTGGTCTGAGCCTGGAAACCCTTCTTGATCGCCATCACCGAGCGCGAAGACCCGCACGACTCGCACTTGACAAAGTACAGGGAGTTGTCCTTTGAAAGCCTCGTGTCACCGCCCTTGCAGGTCTTGCAAGTAACATACTCAGTAATGTACCGGCGCAGCACGTTCTCGATCTGCTTCTGCTGGAAACGGCCCTTGATAATCAGATGCTTGTTGCCGTCAACCGAACCGGTGGTACCCAGCTCGGAGTACAGATACTGGATGACGTGGTCGGACTGCCTGTGCATCTTCTTGGCAATGTCCTCAATGTTGGCAAAGCCGTGCGCTTCTTGCCGTCCCTGGTGATGTGCGGCGGCACCATGATGTACTTGCCCTTGATACCCGCAGAGTCAGGATTGGTATCGCGCAGGATGCTGAAGAACCGGCCGAGAAGCTCCGCGTAGGTGTAGTCGCGGTCAGTGCCGATCCAGGGCTCGCTCGCCTTACCCTCGGACGAAGCCTCGGCCTGGGTCTCCTCACCGCCGAGCTCGGCTTCGAACGCCGCCAGGCTCTTCTTCGACTTCTTCTTCTTCTTCATCGAGGATATGTCAAACGCCTCGCCGGTCTCGCCAGCCTCCTCAGCAGCGCCATCATCCTCCTACAAGCATGTAAAAAATGCAACATAAAATGCTTTGGTTGCCATATGAATTAGTTAAAAATAGAACCAATGAACACCTTTATCACGTTATGCGCCCAACGGGATTTCTCTAATCTCCAATTTTTGAACTTACTCCAAACGACACGGTCTTGGACTTTGACTTCTTCTTCTTCTTGAGGTCAGCAAAGCTGTCCTCATCGGCCTTGCTCTCAGCACCAGCCTCATTGTCGGCGTCAAGCTCATCTAGGTTAATCTTCTTGGACTTTGACTTCTTCTTCTTCTTGAGCGTGTTCAAATCGAAGGCTCCGTCCTCCTCCTGCTCGTCAATTTTGGTTTTCTCGAGCTTCTGTACTAGTTCGTCGCTCATTTTTGTAATGAAAAGATTGAAATGTATAAAGTGTTTCGATCGTGTACTAAAAGAATAAAATTAGTAGAATTAAAATTAATTGGAAAAAAAACTTGAATTCAACTTTACTATTTGACGTTAAATAAGCTCTTTTTTGTGACTCTACAATTTTCTTAAGCATAAAAAGCGAAATATTATCCCCAAATTTTTCCATTCAAGATCACCTGGCCGAATAAAAGAGGGTGAAAATTTTGTGTGGACTTCACGAGTAAGAGTGAGCTTGCTGATTGGCAGAGCCGAAAACCTTCTACAGTGTTCGCTTAATAAGTTGATCAGCGTAATCTTGCGCCGTGACGTCGCTGCTTTGAACGCGCAGCGGCCAAAGAGAAACAGCCATCCAAGAATGGCCCCAAGAAAGGAACAAAGCCTTTTGTGAGATTTTTCCTTTACGAGAAACGAGCTTGCTGAGAGCAATTAAAGCCAAGCCATTTTTTGTTTTGCAAACCCCCTTTCCTTTTCATTTCTTTTGAAACCAAAAATTTAAATCCAAACGACTTCTTTATTCCAATTTGCACGCACCTACGCACACACACTTTTATTTTTATTCTTAGTACTATTATCTTTTTTATTCCTTCAGAATGAGCAGCAGTAAGAGCCACAAGAAGCTTGAAATTGACGAGAGCTTGTACTCTCGCCAACTGTAGGTATCGATAAAAAACACATTAATGTCCGAGCGACGGTTGCATTTCAGCAGCACTTAATATTGACGTCCTTCCCTTTTGTTCACGCATTTGTTTATAAAAATTGTAGCTACGTCCTCGGAGTCGATGCCATGAAGAAGATGAGCTCCTCGAATGTCCTCGTCGTCGGCCTGAAGGGCCTCGGATGCGAGATCGCAAAGAACATCATTCTGGCCGGTGTCAAGAGTGTCACGCTTTATGACCCCGAGAAGGTCGCGATTGCTGACCTCTCGTCACAGTTTTTTTGCACGAGGACGACATTGGAAAGTCCCGCGCTGAAGTGTCGGCCCCGCGTCTCGCTGAGCTCAACCAGTACGTCCGGTCTCTGTAATTGACAACGAGCTAACGCCCGAGGTCATTTCCGCATTCAAGTGCGTTGTGGCCACCGATATTTCCCAGCAAAAGAAGCTTGAGCTCAGCGAAGTTGCGCACAAGAGCGGAAGTTGCTTTATCTCCACTGAGGTTAGGGGTCTTTTTGGATACACGTTCAACGACTTTGGTGATAAGTTTATTGTTGACGACCCCACTGGCGAGGATCCCCTCTCAGGAATGGTCGCAAACATCGAGCAGAGCCCTGAGGGCATTGTCACTTGTCTGGACGAGACGCGTCACGGCCTCGAGGATGGCCAGCTTGTCACCTTCATCGAGGTTCAAGGCATGACAGAGCTCAACGCCTGCGAGCCGCGCAAGGTCAAGGTCCTGGGCCCCTACACATTCAGCATTGGCGACACAACCTCGCTGAGCCCATACCGGCGCGGCGGTCTTTTCCAGCAGGTCAAGACCCCGATTTCGCTGAGCTTTGCGCCCTTTGCCCAGGCTCTGGAGAACCCCGAGTTCCTCATTTCTGACTTTGCCAAGTTTGACCGCCCTGCCCAGCTGCATGTGGGATTCCAGGCTCTGCACGCGTTCAGCAGTGCTCACGACGGCAAATATCCCCGCCCTGGAAACAACGAGGACGCCGCCGAGGTGCTGCGCCTCGCCAACGAGATCAACGACAAGTGGTCGCAGAAGACTGAGCTCGACGCCGAGTTGCTCAAGAAGCTCTCATACCAGGCGGCCGGTGATATCTCGCCCATGGTTGCTGTCTTTGGCGGTCTGGTCGCGCAGGAGGTGCTCAAGGCCTGCACTGGAAAGTTTACGCCGATCAGGAACTTCTTGTATTTCGACGCGCTCGAGTGCCTGCCCATCGGCTTTGAGCCCTCCGAGGAGGACCTGGCGCCCACGGGCTCGCGCTATGACGGACAGATCGCTGTCTTTGGCCGCAAGTTCCAGCAGCAGATTGCCAACTACCGCGAGTTCTTGGTTGGCTCGGGTGCCATTGGCTGCGAGATGCTCAAGAATTGGGCCATGATGGGCATTGCCTCGGGCCCCAATGGCGTCATCCACATCACCGACATGGACACGATCGAAAAGAGCAACCTCAACCGGCAGTTCCTGTTCCGCCCTAGCGATGTCGGCAAGCTCAAGTCCGACACGGCAGCCGCGGCCGTAGTCAAGATGAACCCCGACCTTCAGGGCAAGATCGTCACTCACCAGGATCGTGTTGGCGCAGAGACCGAGTGCATCTACAACGACGGCTTTTTTGAGGGTATTGACGCCGTGACCAACGCGCTTGACAACGTCGACGCGCGTAGATACATGGATAGCCGCTGCGTGTACCACCGCAAGCCGCTGCTCGAGTCCGGAACCCTGGGCACCAAGGGCAACACCCAGTGGTTGTTCCATTTTTGACCGAATCGTACTCCGCCAGCCGGGACCCCCCAGAGAAGTCCATCCCCATGTGCACTCTGAAGAACTTCCCCAATGCATCGAGCACACGATTCAATGGGCGCGTGATCTGTTTGCCGGCTTCTTTGTTCAGCCCGCCGAGAACGTCAACGCCTACCTCTCGACCCCCGACTATGTTAACACGTCGATGGGCCAGACCAACGAGAACGTCAAGATCGAAACTCTGACCACCATCCGCGACTATCTGGTCACTGACAGGCCGCTGACGTTCGAAGACTGCATCGTGTGGGCGCGCAAAAACTTTGAAAATATATACAACAACGCCATCCAGCAGCTGCTGTTCAACTTCCCGAGGACTCGACGACCAGCTCCGGCCAGCTGTTCTGGTCGCCGCCCAAGCGTGCACCCGCCGCCATTGCATTCGACCCCTCCAGTGATCTCCACGTTGACTTTATCGTGGCTGCCGCCAACCTGCACGCCTTCAACTACGGCCTGAAGGGCAGCCGCGATCGCGAGCACATCAGGGACGCCGCGACAGCAGTCAGCATTCCCAAGTTTGAGCCAAGTCAGGCGTCAAGATCCAAGTCAACGAGAACGACAACGCAGCCGAGTCTGGAAACAATGGTACGGACCCCAGCCAGCTGGAGGCCCTGGAGGCATCGCTGCCCAACCCGGCCAGCTACGCGGGTGTCCGACTGATTCCCGCTGAATTTGAGAAAGACGACGACACCAACTTTCACATTGACTTTATCACCGCCGCATCCAACCTGCGCGCCTCCAACTACGGCATCACTGCGGCAGACCGCTTCCGCACTAAGCAGATTGCCGGCAAGATTATCCCTGCCATTGCCACAACGACCTCGCTAGTCACCGGCCTCATTTGCCTCGAGCTGTACAAGATCATCGGCAGCGGCTTGGGTGACAACAAGCGCAAGATTGACGACTACAAGAACGGCTTCATCAATCTGGCGTTGCCGTTCTTCGGCTTCTCCGAGCCCATCGAGCCCGCAAAGTACAAGTACAACGGTATCGAGGCCAGCGAGTGGGATGCCATTATGATCGATCGTGATGTCACGTTGCAGGAGCTTATTGACTACTTTACGAACGAGCACAAGCTCGAGCTGAGCATGGTCAGCTCCGGAGTCACTCTGCTGTACTCGCCCTTCTTGAACCGTGCAAAGTCCGAGGCCCGCAAGTCCATGAAGATATCGCAGCTCTTGCCTGAGGTCACCAAGAAGGACATTGAGCCATATGTCAAGTGGGTCGCGTTGTCCGTCTGCTGCTGCGACGCTGACGATGAGGACGTCGACGTTCCCGATGTGCGCATCAAGATCCGTAACTAGTTATTCCAATTTTTAAATATTAGTCCGTCATGGTGAATCAATTCATTATTTTTTATGTGTGTATGTTGATCTGGGATCCAAGATCCGATGAACGACTTTGATGAGAACAATGTCAGTAAGGGCGCAACTTGAATCCTTCAACGGTAAATCTTGTTTTGGTGGGGAGTGGGAATCGGGGTTTCTGGTTTGCGCTACTCTCATGTTATGACTAACATTAATGTATCTTGTTCAGTTGCCGAGCGCAAAGAATATTGACTTTTGCTGCTGCTGCTGTTGATGTTATTCTTCTTCTCTTTCTCTCCTCTTTGCTTCTTTTTCTCGATTTTTGAAATTACAGTGCTAATAAAGACTGCTTGTTATTTTCTCTATCACCTCTATTCTTTTTATTTTTCATGTCTTCAGTTGTGCTTGCCAGCGCCGTGCCGCATGTCGACTACATTTCGCAGCTAACTAGACATCTAGTTTCAGTCCCACCACAGTCACTGAGTTTCCCAAACGGAGCGCTATTGCCATAGTCATCCGACTGGCCCTTTCTGAAGACCATGTTTTTCCCACGGTCGATACCAACAGGGAAAAGTCGCCCGCAGGCTTGACCCAAACCATCCAAACATTCCTCGACCACCCGAGCTTGAAGAATGCCCGGGCCCAAATACTATTCATCCAGCGTTCCAAATATCTTGGTGATCCGTGGTCCGGCCACATTGGGTTTCCTGGAGGCAAGCAGGAGGCCACAGATGGGTCTGACATGGAGACAGCCGAGCGCGAGACCAGGGAAGAATTGGGTCTGGACTTGAGTGACTCGAGATTTGTTCATTTAGGCCGGCTGGACGACACCAGCGTAAACACTTTGTTAGGCGGGCTGATCATGGTTGTCAGTCCGCATGTGTACCTGCAGGTATGCCGGGAGACGCCCGCCATGCAGGTGTCCATGGAAGTGGCGTCCGTGCATTGGATTGATTTCGGAGAAATTGCGTCTCGCATCGACAATCCCATCAAGCCGTTTGTCTCCTCGGACTACCGCGCGATTCCCTTGGATATAGCATCGAGGTCCTTTGACTCTTTCAGAATATCCCAGCCATGGTGGTACCGCGGATTTCGTAAAATCTTTGGAAGCCTCCACTATACCATATTGCCTCTAACATATACAGCTGAAAATTCAATCTGGGGAGAAAGTTCAAAAAACAGCATCAATGAAGAGAAAAATGGCCGGTATGCCGGCGTACAGTTTGTTTCATCAACGGAGTTGTATCTGTGGGGGATATCGTTGGTGATGCTGTGCAACATGGTTGACTTGAGCTTGCCCTTTGACCCTCGGCAAGTCAACCCCGACTATGTTTCAGTGGCGAGCCCCTGGCCACAGATGGAGCGGTATTTGTGGGCAGACTTTAATTGGATAATTAATGCAGTGCATCGGGTTGCTTGGGATCACTATAAGCGCAAACCGTGGCTACTCAGGATGGATGTGGATAGTAGTGGTGTACGTGTGGTGGGCCAACACAAGGACTTTTTTAGGACTTACTTGCGTGTCGCCAAAGTGGCCTTCCCAATATCTTGCCTGGTGAAGGCATCACTGTTTTATCTGTCGGGCAAATATGTGGTCGCCGGTGCCAATGTGTTCGTGAAACTTTTATCGCGATGGGCGCACTTGGCAGCACTGGCACTATTTTAAAATGAGTATTTATAATTTATTCAATTGGTTTTATTATCAAATGTTTTTATAATTACAAAGTTTTTTTGAAAAGTCACCGTGTTTTGCTATTTAACAAGCAAAAATGTAATTTTACAGATTAGCTCGACACAAAATGATGCGGCCATCAAACAATAGTAAACAATTTATTTTATGTCTAAAATGTAGGTGGCATTTTTACCATGCAAAATAAATCCAACAACATAATTGTACTTTTGATTCTCACAGAAGCATTTTTACACATTAAGAATATTAATTATTTGACTGCGACTTTGAATCTAGCAGTTATGAGTGCCCAATTATCCTATAACATCTGACATAGCTAGTTTTATTTCATGAAGCTCTGTTTTTTATTGTCTCACCGCTTTGTACTTTTCATACATTTGTTATTCACTTTTATTTATTGCCTTTTAGTTTATTTAAACACGTTAAATTATATATGTAAAAAAGTAATAATGTAACCTACACGAATACCCAAAAATTAAGGTTCGACAATATCAAGTATTTTGCTTAAACTATTAATACCCATGCCTCCGGAAAAGATAAGACTGCGTCCAAAGAAAGCTCCAAGCCTATTAAAAATACCAAATCCAAACTTAAATTGGTTGAATATGAGGGCCTTTCCTAATAAAGAACTGAATGTCAGTCAATTTTCTATAATGGCAATACGAGTGCACTGGCTTTTCCAATCGGCATTGGCATTGGCATGGGTACAAACAATGAGCCTGACAAGAACCTGACATGAGAGCGTTCTTTAACTACGTTTATGTAAAAAAATCAAGAAATTAATAGTGGAAATTAAGAATGGAAACATCGAAAAGTAACTGATACTGAAAAGGGTGTAAAGTTTATTAAATTTTAAAATTTTAACTCGGGGAATTGTTTTTATTGTCGTACTTTTGCGTTCAAAATTATTTTGAGTGCAGAAATCAGCTACAATTAGAAAAATAGCCGGATTTATATCCCAATAAACATGTTGCAAATCCATATCGGCTGGTTTCAAATTATGCAAAAGGCAAACATCAAACGGAATAGACCATTTAAAACAGGATTAATTCTAACTACTTAACCAGCTAAAGCCGTCCTTCAATTGTAGCGCAAAACTACAAGAAAAGTTGTGCTTAAATGTGCAAAGTAGTTTGAGAGTGTGTCAAACAACCAAACAATATTTTCATTAGGCGTCAATGATAAATGCTTGTAAAGGCTAAAAATCGAAAATGGAAAACATGAGACACTGAAACTAATTGAGAACAATATATGAGATAGGAATAGCAAACCTGTTTAAAAAGTTGTTGACTTTATATATATGATAGTGCAAATCTAAAAATGAATTTGTGTTGGAACAGGTTTACATGAAAAATTCACACTGTTATCGATACGGCTATTTTACTTGGCTAGACGAGCGACACCTGATTTTTGCTGATTGTTGGCAAATAAAAACAACAACCGTTCCTGAGTCAAAGATTTTAAAGTACAAATGCTCAAAAGTGTTTCCTATGAGCCATTTTTCATTTTAAACTGTACAGTTTTCACTTTCGCATTTTCTGTTTTCTCTTCTCTTTTTGCACGCTTTTTTAAAAACAAACATTTACTATATATTTGCGCTCTGATAATAATGAAGATTAAGAACGCTCTCATCCAATCTCTTCTTCTTGGATTCACTGCCTATTCTCCTGTGTATGCTGCCGTTGACTGGAAAAGCCAGTGTACGCGCACTGCCATAACAAAAGAATGGTCCGAATTCCGTTCCGAGTTGGGTGATAGTCTCGACTATGTTGCAGAAAAATTTAGTGACGAGACTCGCGGAAAACTTGAGGCGCTTCTTGGACCGAATTTGGATATTCCCGAAGTTTTGGATTTTAATCTTTTGTTTAAAATTTTCGATATTACTGGGTCCGAGTATCTGGAAGTGTACCTTGCCTCCATAATCGAGTACTACGAGATTGATAATCCCTGCACTATCCCCGGCTCCCCCATTATTACGCCAAACCCCGACGAGAACGACGACACTCCCAAAATTACTCCCGTTCCTACTCCCGTCCCCGAACTTACTCCTGTCCCTACTCCTGTCCCTGAAATTACCCCTGTCCCTACACCTAATCCCGAGGAAAGCGATGGCTATACTAACAGCTCCACTGAGAGCTCCACAGACAACTCCACTGAAAGCTCCACTGAAAGCTCTACCGACAGTACCACCGAGAGCTCTACTGAAAGATTTACCGACAACTCTACCAAGACTACAGAGACCACGGAGACCAATGGATATACAACTAGCTCCGCGCCCGTTGTTAACAAGTGCACCAATCCAGCCACTATCACTTATATTAGACCCCGCGCTCTTCCTACATTTGTCTAATACCACCGACTAGTATGCGCTTCTATTTCCATATCTATCAATTATAATATTAATAAACAATCCATATATTGTGCACATTGGACAACATTCGAATAAATAAATAAGATACTATATTTTATTTATTTATTTCTAAAAAGAATCCTCCATTTCATCTGTGCTAATAAAGCTCAGTCCGAAAATAGCTACATTGGCGACCAACTGCAGGGTAATTCCGGGATACAGCGCCCTCAACCCATACTGGCCCACCTGCATCCTCTGTGCTTTCACATCATCTCCGTTCATCATGGCCATCATGATCGCCGCTTGTCTCTTCTTCATCTGGCCAAGGGACTCTCCTTCCTCCGTAATCATCCTCCAAGCACAGTTGCTCATGCCGGTATATGGCACTTCGGAAAGCGGCACGCAAGTGCGGAACTCCTTGAACGACTCTTTCCCGCCAACCGCGCTGCTACCCAGGGGCTTTGACCCCTTCAACTTACTCACATACCGCGTCTGCGCCTGCAACCGCGTCCGGATGGTATCTATGGGCAGCATGACAGCCGCCGACATAGTCTTCCAAATCAGCCCGCCCAAGGCAAACGTTGTCGGCTGATCATAAGGATCTATCCCAGCCACGCGGTCCAGAGCGAAAGACCCCATGTCGCGGAACACAGGATCCAAAGTGTGCTTCAGCAAAGAAGGGACCATGTGAAACGGACTAAAATATAGCGACATTAACCCACCCTCCTCCTTCATAACCGTCTTCAGTGCATGGAATGTCCCGCTGTACTTCCTATGAATAGGCGACGCCGACTGAATCATCAGCCTGGTGCGCACTAGTTCGAGCGGCGAAAGAAGCCAGCCCACCAAGGCATTTGAAACAACCAGCGTCAATGCGCTGGGCGCCGAAGCATCGATATAAGTGGCCATTGGCGCGCTATCGTAAAGCCCCAACATCTCGTTCAAGACGCCCTCCAAAGTAGGCTGCAAGAGAAGATGCAGCATGTTGTACAGCCATTGCGATAATGTTCCCTTGAACATGCTGAGGAACCCCTCGGTCGGGTGAGAGAGCAGCCGGCGCAGGACAGTGAGCTTGGTCTCGGGAAGCGCGTCCAGCATATATCCGGGCTTAAAACTGCCCTCCTTCTGCCCCTCAACAACGTACCCGCGATGATCCACGCGCGCCCTGCCCGCCGGTCTATACTGCACTGTGCGCCCGCTGTGCCTGGCCCTCAGGTACTCGTAGTAAGTGGGATCATCTGGATCCGGCACACTATCCTCAGCATCACCTTCCTCGCTGTCGTACGCCTTGGCAGCATCACCCTCCTGCTTGTCTTTCATCCCCGAGTACTTGGCTGCCGTCGGCAAATACTGCACCTGAAGCAGCGTTTGCGAAATGCTGAAGGGACAGGCAAGCAGAGTTGATATAAAACGATAGCCCGAAAACTTGACCAGCTCTTTGGCCGCCTGCGCCATATCCATCTGCTCATCGTAGCCGAGGTCGATTGCGTTGAGTCCTCAAGAGACACCCCGTTGGCGTCGGGCGCATAGCCCGCAGCTCTGAGCGAGGAGCCTGTGAATTGCCCGTTGGTTGCATTACGAAGCCCCTCCAGCGGATTCTTCAGATCGTCGTAAATTCCGCTGCCACCGCCGCCGTTGCTCGAGCCGCCCGCTGAATTGCTGGCCGTATCGGCATAGGGGCGGTAAGGGTTGCTGCCCTGTGTGCGATTGCTGTCTGTAAAGTCGGACATTGCTAGTTCATTCAATCAGAGTTAAAAAGATAGATAAAATGAGAAAGAAAAATGAACCAGGAATTTAATCGAGAAAACAATTCAAAATATTATTATTGGAGTTTTGGTTAAAGGCCAAAACCCCTCATCTGCTGTCATTGGTTTTACCCAGTGGGATCGACCGGCAAGCAGTAATAACCGTCTTGATATGAGAAAAATGATAAAAAAAGTATCGTCTTGTGCGCTTGGATGCTGCACCAGTCTTTGGATCATTTTATCTTGACTGCGGCCTTGGGCTTGGGCGCAGCATTCGAATCGGTTGACAGTTGAGCAGGGCGCTTGAAAGCAGGGTGGCGCTCTAAAAATTCGCGACGATATAGAATATCAGAATAAAATTGCACACCAACGTAATGTCGCGGTTCCAACACCTGAACTTGATGTTAGACTCGAAGGCGGCCTCAGTCTTGTCCTTGAGCGCTGGCTCTGAATTTTGTGAAATGTCGGACCTTGTTTTATGATTTATCTGGAGTAATATATAAATTGCGTGTTTGTGAATATGATTTATTTGAGCGAGCTGCGAAACAAAAATTGAGTAATAAAATTGCAAACCAACTATTTCAACACTAGTCGAGCCATTTACAAACGCATTTTTTAGACTTTGAAAAGTACATATTCGCTCGAATAGTTGAACTGTGCTGGTCAAAAAATTACAAATATTAATCAGTTGCGCTGGTCATCATTCTCGGACCACGCCTCGGACGTCATGGAGCTGCTGCAGCTCTTGGCCAAGGACCGCTACTCTCCTGAGAATTCAGCCCCAGCTCAAAATCCCCAGCCACACCCTCCTCTATGGCGCCAGAAAGCACATTGGCAAAGTTATAAATGCACTTGCCCGACTTGACGCACCGCGACGCAGGTCCATGACAACAGCCACAGGCGCAGAAATGCCACCCGACACGCGTGCAATAAGAATCGGCACATCAACAATGCGCGAGGCGCGCGCCTCAAACTTAAGCGCAACAGTACTGGGAACAGGCGACCCGTCGCCGCGAGCTTCCAACATCAGCACCCTCGACTCCACACACTCACCGCCTACCACCTGTGGCACATATACGTTGTCCAGGCGCCACAAAAGACTGTTGCGCTCGTGGTACCACACCGCCTCAGGACGCGACTCCTGCGAGGAAATTCGTCCATCAATGCTGAGCAAAACCGCTGGGCTAACAATAGTATCGCCAGCAAAGTAGCCGAGCCGTTGGGCGCGCACTGCAGCTCCAAGGAGCAGAGCCCCGGCTCACAAGAGCCAGTGCGACTCACGTCCACAGGCAACACGCGCTGGTCACCAGATCCCTGCGCCTGGTACTTAAACACCGCGACGTCCGAGCCCGCGGCATTTACGTTTGCAAAGAGGTTGGGCCGCACAAAGCGGAACCACTCGCGGCCGTCCATCAGGGCCGCTGTCAGAGAGGCGTCGGGAACGACGACGCCCGGATTGGCCACGAGCTGCGCCTTATCGTGCGCCGGCCGCTGCACACCGATGCGCAGCGGGGCCAGCTCAAGAGGGTTGATTGCGCTGGCGATGTGCATGCTGATCTCTCCCGTCACCAGGTGGCTGATGGTCGACTGCCCCTCGTGCCCTGCTCGTAGTCAAAGTCCAGCGTCTCGCGCACATGCATGGCTATTGCCAGTGGCCCTGCAGTGCTGCCTATCCGCCGCCCACGCAGCGGTACTGCCGGCACCGTGTGCGTCGACTCGGTCTCTGCTTCTGCATCTGCCAAGGGCAAGCAATAGCGTCGTCACGCAGCTGGACCACCGCATCCTCGACCTTCGTTATTTCAGGTACCATTCCGTCAACTGGTGCTAGTGCCGCCTGGCTCTGCTGCTGTCGATTGGAGGACCGTGCGCGGACTGCTGGCGGCGGAGGCGGGGCACGGCGCCGAACAAGACCATCATGCTTCTGCTGCAGTTGCACTAGCTGAGATGACAGCAGTGGACTGCGCTGGCTGTTCCAGAGCAGCGCACTTCCTCTTGGCTGTTGCAATCGAGTCCCAAAGCAGCACTATCTACAGGCACCTCTTCAACTCCTTCTGCAGCCTTTGCTTTATCATCAACTGGCTCTGCAGTAATTACCTTGCCCACAGCAACCACGTCACCGTCAAACATTGCAGGCTCTTCAAATGTTGCCGACACATAAGCGACGGTGGCTGTGGCAACAGGAATGGCATCCTGGTTGGCCGCCCCGTCCAGCGTGGTTCTCGAGGTTTTCACCACATTGGCCAGCAGCACATCATCATCGTCGTCATTGTTGTTGTTGGCATCATTGGCAGTCACTTCGCTGACATTCTCTGTCGTCGCCACAGACGCCTCTGGCTGGTGCAGCAACGGTGTCGACACTGCCGCACACTCCTCACTCCCAGCAGCAGCTCTGGTGGTGGGCAAGCTGGACGGCACGTACATGGTGCGTACGTCACGACGCCGGTTGCCGCGGCTTGTGGATGGCGCTGCACGGAGCAGCGTGGTGACCCGTGACAACGCCGCCTTGGACTCGTCCGGGTTATCGCAGATAGCGCGCTCGCGGATCGAGAACTTGACGCGGAACGACTGGTCTATCGAATTGTTGTCGTCTTCGTTGTCTTTGTTGTCTTCATTGTCTTCATTGTCTTCGCTGTCGCTCGCCTTGCTTGCTGGCTCCTCACTGCCCTTCACATCCTCCTCCTGTGTGTGTTTCGAGGCTGCACCGATGCTGGCGCTGCGCTTGTGTGCAGCCATGGCATCAGTGCCACTGGTTGGGAACGCCGCTGCAAAGTCAAATACCGCATCCAGGACAGGCTTCTGCCTGGCAGTTACGGTTTCGGCTGCCTTGCCGCGGCTGGGAATGCTAAATACAGAGTCCAAGTCAACAGCCAATGCTGCTGCCTCTGTATTTGGCTGAAACAAGGCATCTGTGGCCGTGGTGCTAAACTCCGGTCCAAATGCGTTGTTGAATTTGACATCGTCGAACGGTACATCGCTGATATCGCCAAAGATGCGGCTCGCATCGTCCTTCTGCGCAAAGATATCATTGTCCTCCTCGGGAATGCCGGGAGATTCGTGGATGGCCGGCAACTGGCTGTTCATCACATAGACCATCGACCCCATAGACGCATCCATCGTCGTGGAGATAGCCTCCTGCGACCCATCGGCAAAAACCCATTCAGCAAAATCACCCCCACCGTTCCGCATCGACTGCCTCGACGACGAGGACGACTCCTGCTGCTGCTGCTGTTGATTCCAAACATTCTCCCCCACGTTCCTCGGCGCCTGGTCCGACTGCGCTGATGCAAGGCTGTTGCTGCTGCTGCTGCGCTGCCGTAGCGGCGCCGGGTTTCCACTCACACCAGAGACGTCGCTAGAAACACCTGTGCTGGCTGCCTCGGAATGCCCTGTGACAGTCGACAAGACGCTTGGCGGAGCGCCTGAGGCAGTGACTGCGGGCAATGCACTGCTGCTGCTGACACTGCGGCTGTACATCGAAGACACAGGTGATGCATTCGCAGGCAATTCTTTGGACACTCGCCTGCCCTTTCCGAGGAAAAGCCCCAACTTACGCAGCCCCTTGGCCTTATCTCCCTCCGAGTCGACACTGCCTTGCAAACTGCGCGCACTCTGCAAACTCGCCACGCTCGCCCCCATTGGAGTAGGGGCAGCAGTGGTTCTCACAGGTATACTCTGTGTGGGGCCAGACCCGTACATGGAATCACGCATTGTGTCGACAATCCTCGCCTGTGTGTGCATATCCTTGGCAATCTTCCTCGCTGCGTCGGCGCCGCCCTGTGCGGCCCTAAAGAATTCTACGCGGTAGTGCTCAAATCGGAACACAGATTCCCGGACAAGCTCTGTGCGCGAAACCTCGATAGCTTCGAAGCCGTCCACCAGGCCGACTATCTCCTTCTGCCATCGCTGCTGCAGCTGGATCAGCAGCTGTGTCTCCCCATCAAGCCTCTGTTTAGCCTGCTGGCTGACCTTCGCTGACTTGACCGTTGTGCGCGCAGACAGCTTGGGGATCTGCTCATGGTGGCTCCGCATCGACACTGCTAGCTGCCGCACTTTGGCCTCAATGTCCTGTGCCGCCCGCCATTGCTCCTTGAAAAATGATTCAAGTGCTCGGACAATTTCATTGTTCATGCGCTCGCCTAGCCGCAGGTGCATCTGCATCAACACATCCACCTCCTTTTGCAAAGCCTGTGATAGTCCTGCAATCTCTTCGGGCGCGTTTTTTGTGTTGTTTGATAGTGCGTTGAGCCCGTTGTTGCCCCTTATTGACCCGTATTTGTGACCGCCACCCCCAATCGCCTTTTCAAGGGCGCCCGCCAGGGCATCCTCAAGCTGCACCCTACACAAGCAAGAAAATAAGGAATTACAGAAATATACAGAATTGTGTGTGGACTTCAAACTCGCAAATTAGCTATAAAATAAAAAATATCACTGTTGTTTCAACCCTTTGTCTGAATTAGGGCGTTCTCTATTACCTTTGCGTGAAATGACTGATAAGTTGGGTGAGTGTCGCTGTGCCCATATTATACCGCCGTGTTATTTCGTCCGCCAGTGCCGACGGAATAAAAGACTAAGGTGTAAAGTGTTCAAAAAATAGTGTTTTTTAGTGTTATTATTGGCGCATACATGCTTATTTTTCAAATTTTAAACCCAACAATAAAGCAGTGTCGGTCTGCTATTCAAGCAGTCCTTTGGTATTTGCCACTTGCCTGGATTAATTTTGCTTCGCTCATTATTATTTTTTATTATAGTAAAATAAAGCCTATTATTTTTTATCGAATTTTGCGAGAGAATGCCAAAGTGAATAAAAGTGCAAATAAAAAAGATAATCGAAACGGGTGGCAACTTTTGTTGTGGCAAAAAGCGTGAGGAAGCGATTAAAAATGTAAAGAAATATCCCAGAGCCACATTTCCGCCTTCTTTTTCCGCCTCATCCCCTCCTCCGCAAATATCTGAAAATCTGAGGAATGCAGATCAAACAGTCCCTCCCTAAATTTTTCATACAGTCATGTGGATCAGCCCCATTATGACGCGCACAAGCATTGACGAAACTGCGCGACCTGGTTCACCCTGCCCAGCAAAAAAAAGCATTGCCCAGCCAACTATTTAATAAAGCCTAAAATAAATTATTTTTTTCCTGCTTGAACAACCCTTTAAATCATACATATCATGGACATTGCTGAAATCGAAGCGTACACAACAAAGCTTGCCGAGGTCGAGCTGGCTCTTTCCGCCGACCCAGAAAGCGCTGATCTGCAGATGCTCAAACAGGAAATCCAAGACCTGTTGGAACTGACTAAGCAGCTCTATGAGCCAGCACCACAACCATTACAAGCAGCTACAGCATTAATGGCATCTGCTTTAAACACAGATAAATCCTTAGAAACATTGCCTCAGATTGCCACAAGGGCATGGCAGATTGGTGATGACTGCGAGGCGCGCTATGCCGCCGATTCCCAATTCTACCCTGCTCGCATCGTGGCTGTTCGTGACAACGGATACCAGGTGGCGTTTATTGGATACGGTGACATGCAAGAAGTACAGCCATTGGATCTGCGCGAGCTCACAAAGCCTACAAAGTCCGCCGATCGGCCTGCAAGCCAGCCCGGTCATAATCCCAAACCTGTTAAACAGGGAAGGGTGGATAAGAAAAAGGGTGGAAAGGCAGATGCTGGCTCGGTTGCTTCCAGCCAGCAAGCCTGGCTAAAGTTTGCCAAGGGTGGTGCCAGTAAGAAGCTAAAGGTCAAGGCCATCAATGACAAGTCGATATTCAAAAGTCCCGACACTGCCACGGGTAAAGTCGGAGTTTCAAATAGTGGCAAAGGAATGACCAAGAATCCGTCGCTAAGTAAGCTGTAAATTTTTGACGAAACTTTTTTAAAAAATAGATTTATTTTAAGCAATTGTCTTTAGATTACTGATCTGAAGATGCGATATGAGATATGAGATATGCGTATCGAGATCAAATATGAAATCATAATCGCCACACAATATTAACAAATAAAAAAGCCACTTTTCATTGCTGACAATTTGCCAAGTGGATAATCTAGGTTATTAGATCTTTAATCCGCTGGACATTTTGCAGACCAAAAATTGCTTGCATTGCCTTGCCTTGCATGCAACAACACAAAAAAATAAAGGAACTTGGCCAACACTTTTATTGTTTTTTGTCAATGCATGATAAATGCAATGCGTATGGAAAATCCAAACGTCAAGTTTATTGTGGAAATAGCGAGCGATCTGTGGATTGCAGCCAAACAAACAAATTGACGTGCAGCCTTTTTTAATTTTTTTACTTCAATTACCTTTATTTTTGTTTTCTTTTGACCATGCAAAGTGCGTGAACAGGCATTTGCATGAGCCGGCACTATTCCAATATTCAAATGAAGATAAAATTGCGCCGGAAAAATGCACCTCGCTCATCATATAATGAAAAACAGCTCGCATCTCCGCTCAATTGTTTTGGATCCGTTTTTTTCATATTTGCTATGCCTGTTCTCCCCCCCACGCCCTTGCAGAGAGCAGCATATCTGCGACTTTCAATTTAGGCTTTTAATCTTCTATATGAGCATGCTGTTAAAAAAATTAGGTGCTCGATACACTGTAATTGTACAGTTTTTGTTAATTATTTAAAATTAATCAATTTATTTTCAATTTGCTATTTGTTTATTGACACGGGTCTTTTTCGAATAGTTTTTTCACCACCATGAAAATGAACAACGTTATTGTATTTTCCTTTTGCCCGTTTTTGTTGAATTTATCATTTTCAACAAAAATTTATACAATTGCACAAAAAATAAATATACAAGGATTATCATGGACAATTTTAAATTATTGGAATTGGAATTGCGGTGGCTTGTTTTTTATTTTTTTTTGTCCTGAGAAAATCATTCTGTTCCGCCATTAATTTTTGCTGAAATATTTTTTTTGTGATTCGCGAAAGTGATTCAGCACAAAACATAAATAAAAATCTCTTTGTACGAGTAGTTCACACGCACCTTCATTCTCATTTCCCCCAATATTTCTCTTTGACAAGTGAAAGAAACTAAAAAAACCAACTCAACAGAAAATGTACCCGCGATCACGTGTAGGACTACTTTTTTATATTATCCAGCCAGGCTTTAGTGTGTGTTTGTCAAGCTCAAAGCTCAGTTTTTTTTGTTTTTTTGTGGGTGGGCAAAATGGAAATGTGTGGGGGATGAAAAGTGACATCTTGCTTGGTAAATCTCATTTTGTATTTTCTTGTTAAAAATATTAGATGACAGAAGTGTGGTTGGCCAAAAGTTGATTTTGTATTTTGAGAAATCTCATTGTCAAAAATTGCATTCTTGCCGTTTTCTCGAGCTCATTCCGCTTTGCTCTTTTTTCTCCCCAAAATAAGTAAACAATTGTGATGTAATAAAAGGCAAGTTGACGGAGTGTGAAACTGAAAAATAACCACGAGACTCGAATCCGGAAATGTGAAAAAGACAAAATAGAAGCCAATTGTTTATTGGCCAGAAATAAAAAATTGTTACAAGGGATTTTCAACTTCATGTGTTCACTACACCTCGCTAGCGACGATGTATATGCGAAAACGGGAAAGTTTAAACAATAATATTGTGCTTTTTATTTTTATTTACGGGGTTCATGTGGAGGCGAACTTGGGTGCGACAGAAAGGGATTTCCCAAACAAAATGAGCTTTCAAATAAAAAAATACACACGGCGTGATATCATCACGCAGACACCAATTATTTGTTTGTTGATGATGAGATTCACTACCAAATGAGATATACAAAAAGAAAAACACAGAAAATGCCTGTGAATGCAAGTGAAGGAGATGTTACCGATACAGGATTCCATCTCGGTTTTTTTTTCGTTTCGCTCACCCGCTTGCTTTTCATTTGCTGCAGTGAATAATCGATTTTCTGTACTCATATGAACACATCTTGGGCTGAGGCAAAATATAAGCCCATATGCAACAATGGCATTTGTATGCTTTTAGAAAAAACATTTGTGATTTTTTTCATTTGGCCGGTGTTATTAATTTCCTAGCCGGAAACAAGAAAAAACAAATAGTGCCGAAAAATGCGACACATCACAATTGCACTCTGCTGTCCCGCTTCCAAGCACTTCCAAGGGTGATAATAAGTGGGGGATATGTATGTATTATCGGGATCCCTACATACCATGTCAAATGTTTATTTTATTTACCACCAAGTCCCCCTTTTTAATCATTTGCCTTGTTCCTGTTTTGTCACGCACACAAAAAAGAGTATCCAAAAATTATACATGACAACAATGTAAATTGTTTTTCAGTGATCCGATAACGCAAAAAAATATAGGCATGGCGCTCTGCGTTGCTTGGCTGCGGATTAAAAATAAGGCAAATGCACAGGGTGCACCAATGCAAATACATGAAATACCGAGTAAACATTGGCATCACTAATATGTCAGTAAAAATGGGGAGGCTGGGGGAAAGAATTGGTTAATGATAAAGCATAAAATATAAGCGCCAGACTATGCACGTTTTCTCCGCAAAACTGCAATGGCTTGATGTGCAGGTATACAATCTTAATGTAAATTGTTTATATGTGGAAATACGTGCATTTTTTGCACAAGTGGCATGAACATGCCAGCAGAATATGCTAAAAATATAGCAAAAATGATATGAAATATGTACCTGTGTGTGCATCTAGTACGCTTTAACTTAAGCATGGAATACCTTTTTTGCTTGTTTATCTGCATTCATACCTAAAAATTAGTCTTGCCACATTTTAATATTTTGTCATTTGTCAGGTCAGCTCACTGTGGTCAGTCATATTATTCTTCTGCTTCTAAATATCTATTGTTCTATTTTTGAATGGCAAGCAATATAAAAATAAAGTAAATAAACAGTCACCTGCTGACTTTCATTTCGTAATCTCGGATGTGTTTGTTTACTCTATACATATCCCCGCGCACGCTCACACGCGCCAGACACAAGCACAACACGTGTCTCAGACACTTTTGTTTTGGGGGAAACCAACATTGTATACAATTATATTTGTCTTCGCTTAACACACCCAGTCTGTTCAAAATAATCTTCAGGGAGAAAGAGTAAAGGATAGGGAACAGTGGACTTGGTATAACCAGGTGACACCCCTCTTTTTCTATTGTTTTTTGGTCAGTTGGCAAGATTAGACAAAATAGTTTTTTACTTGCAAATGGACATGTATATCCACCATGTCGTTCAATACGATCAGAATACAGCGTCACAGGACAAAAATATGCATTCAAATTATTAATGAGAAAAGTACTTATTTTCAATTTTTAAACTTGTTTGCAAAAAAAATACATTGTTGTTACACATCTGATGCATGTCCGATAAAATAAAGAACGCTTTACATATATTTTGCACATGGCCAAACATATTTTTTGTCCCCGCACACACATTCATGGAATGCAAAAAATAAAAATAACACTGCGCATAGGTGCTGTGTCTTTCTTGTTCTTTTGATTTTTTCCACGCTCATACCTGATAGCAATAATGAAAAAAATATTCAAAAGAACAACGCAAATCATGCGCCAAAGTGTCCCTGTTACTTATGTAAGGTCATGTCATGCTATGCCATGCGCATAAATAATTTTGCAGATGTTCTTCTTTTCGCACAAGAAAAGACGAGTATTTTTATCTCCGAAAGAAACATTGAGGCCTGGGTTTTACATTATCTTTCTTGATATCCTCGGTGATACGCGCTGTGCTAAAAAATACTACGTATATTTTTCTTGGCAGTAGATGCTTCATAGGGTAGAAAGCATTTAATTTCTCGCGTAGAAACACGCGAGTTTTGAAATCGCGTTAAAATGTAAAAATTGTCTGTGGGTTGCTTACTGCTTTAAAATATATAGTTATTCCAGCAATAAGGGTGATAAGGGAAATGCATTGTGTGTGTGCGCGTTGGAATCCCTCTTTCCAAATTGTAAATTAGTAGTATTTATAAAAAACATCTCTCGAACAGCACGGACAGAACAAATATGTGTGTGAAAAAACTACATTATATTTTAGGGGATATTGGAAGTAGGGTCCAGGGGATGCTTCTTATTTTACTTGCCCTTAAATTGAAGACATAGTACGGACATTTAACTATCAACTTGGTCGTGCAAATAAAAAGTAGTATTATTGCCGAACTTGGGGATTATTGAATGATCATCTATCATCCTTCTTTTTGCTTGGAATAATCCACTATTCTGCAAACAAAACCGCTTATTAAGGCATATAAAAAACGACATTTACAGATAGCTGTGCAAAAATAAAGAAAAGTCTTGTTTTTTTATTCATTTCAAAGGCGCAATAATTAAATAGATGCATTTTTCCAGTGCATATGATTTGAAATCCAGCTCTTTTTGTAGCCAACAAGTGAACATGTTCCCCCTTTCTGTCACGTTACTCTATGTGATATATGTTTTTTAAAAAAGAAAAGAAAAAGTGGCGGCACTGGTCGAAGAGGACTCGGAATTGTCTGTTCGCGGCATTGCGAGGAATAATTCAAATACAAATTTGGTTGTATTGTTTTGAACCTCGACAAGATTCATCTGAAATTAAAATATTTCCAAGAACACGTTTGCAGCCAAAACAAAAAAGAAAGAAAGGAAAGGTGAGCATTGTCGGATGTTTTTTATTTTTAAATTCACCAAATATGTGTGTTGCAAAGTGTAAAGTGCTGGAAAAATTCGCCACCACTCTCTGCTTTCCACCCTCACTACATTCAAATATTCAAATACGCAGAAGCAAGACTTTGATATGCCCCTCGCGGTCTTCTGCGATGCACCTACAGGTTATGTGTTTTTGGTAGCGAAAAAACATTGGATAATATTCCAAGTGGCTACCTTAGACATGCATCCCGGTTCCTGATACGAACCTATTTATTCGACTGCATATTTGGTTGATGTTGAATATCAAGTAAATAAAATGATAAATGTATGGTTATTCCAGTACAACCATGTATTTTTTGTTTTATTTTTTGGGAATTGCATCGGAAGGATAAGGAACAGGTGTTGTTTTTTATTATTTCGAGTGCAATATCTTTCCTCTCCCTCCCCTTGTTTCCGCTTCATTTCAAGTAACATTTAGTCGGCCTTTCCGTTTTTTTTAATTCACCATTTATTCCCCCGTCCGAGTATATCATGTTTGGAGGCATCTGTACAAAATACACTTGTTGATCTTTTCTTTGTTTCTTTATAGCATTATTCTCGTCTATTTTCGGTGTTTTCACGTCGACATGATGGCGAGCGGGTTCCTTCTCTCCGTGTGTGTGAGAGAGAAATTCGAGTGAGAAAACGGCGTAAAAAATGACAATAGAAATCAGCGATTTTTTCGTTTATTTTTCCTCTAATTTTTTATGCTCGAGTTCTTTGTCATCAGCCCTTTTTCATAGCAGCCAATCCGCTTCGTTTAATTTTTGCGATGAAAATTTTTTATTTTATTTTTCTGTATTGGCCCTTACAGCTGTTCGTCCAAAATGGCAAGCACAAGCAAGGCATCTGAAAGTTTGTGGAAAAGATATTAAAAATTTTTGTTGTTGCTTTCTTTTCCTGTGTTTGGAAATAAGCAGACCTTGCTCCAATGATAAACATACACTGGAAAACTACATCCGCTGTTAAACCGGCTGACTGTGCCTTTCCATATATCGTTTGCTTTATTTGGCCTGACCGCGTGGACGACCGAAAGATTGACATGACTGTAATAGCAGAGGTGCAAGCCAAAAAAATCAAAGTCGAAGGGAGGTGGATAGCAGGGGGGTAGGTCGCCGCACCGAGATTAAGGATCCATCAACCTCCCCCTACCTCACTGCAAATCGCATTTTTCCCTCCTGTAATGCCGCCAGCAAGGGACAGTCGGCATCATTCTTTGTATTTCCCTTGCGCGGGTTTGCAGCACCAGCACTGCTAACAGAAGAGGCAGAAGCGGAAGCAGCAGCATCAGCATCAGCGCCAGAAACAATAGATGCAGGCAGGTGAACTAAATAAAAAGGGTGAGGGGAGGCGGGGGTTGTAAGGGGTGCAGGATGCAGGGGCCAACCGCACCCCCCTGTCTCTCTTCATCGAACTCCCCCTCCCCCTCCCCTCTTCTCTCCCCCAGCGGGACTGGGCGTTTGTAACTCAATTCTCAATAGTGCGAATGGCACAAAAAAATAACATACTCTCTTTTTTGTATTGTAGGCGGGAAAAAACGGGAGCAGGCCATATTCTAGCTGTGTGCTAATACCAGCATCAACATCATCACTCGGCCAAAAGTGGAAAATAAGGAGTGGAAAAATATACATTATTTGAATGAATCAAATAATATAAACCTTGGCATTTGCCAGGCCAATTTTTCATCTTGCGTTTTTTACTACAATCTTCATCCACCAACACTTCTCTGTTTTATTCTCCCCCTTTATTAAGCAAAGTATAGCGTTCTCGTTTATTTTTGTATTTTGCACTCTTAACGACCCTTTTTTAAAAAAGAATAACTTTCAAGCAGCAGCAGCTTTACCATCATCTTCGTTGTGGGCGCACTAAATAATTTTTTAAACGCTTGCTGTGAACAAGGAACCGTTTTCCCCAGTCTTCTTCTGCCTCACCTTCCTCCCTTTCGCTGCAAGAGTAAAACAGGACTAATACCCATCTGTTCCAACTATCTGCATATTATTTTTCTCCCTTTTTTCGCAGCAAACACATAAAGGAAAAAGACTGTAGCAAAGTCGTACACCCAATACAGTCGAGTTACTCTACTTTTCAAAGCCAAAAAATCTTACTTTTTTATTTTACTTATTTTTTCTTCGTTCCTTTGCCCTCTCTCTCCCCGCATCCAATTTTTTATTTTATTTTATTTGCTTGTCAGCAAGCTCTCTTTTCTTCTCTTCTCCCTCTTTTTTATTTATTTGCTCTCAGGCTCTCTCAACTCTCAGCTCTTTTTTCTTCATCCCCCAATCGTCTCTGCGGTTTCTTTTTGCTTCCCATCCTTATTTGGAAAACTAAAAAATCCAATACTCTCGAGAAGCGTGTAGTAGACTTTTCTTTTCTTTCTCTTCTATTTTTATATCAAAGATACACAGACGTCAATATTCAAACTTCAAGTCTTTTTTCCCTACACACATTGACGCTTTTGACACCTATTGTTTTTTCTTATTATTCTTGATTTGAGCCTGTACAGTTTCCACTCATTTTCTCACTTTTTCTATTCACTATTGTTTTCCACTGTGCTGGTGAATTATCTTTAAAACCTTGGACACCAACACCTCTTTTCATATACACAGAAAGACACCAGTCATGTCGACTCTCCACACACAATACAGCAACGGGCAGACCGCCGGCACTAATGCAGGCGCAACGGGCGCTTCAGGCATTGATACCAGCCATGATGGCATGGGCAACTCGCCTGCATCGCGCGACGCAGTTGCAGCAGCTGCAGCCGCAGCAGCCGCCGCAGCGGCCATCGGAGGTAACAGCAGCGTTCTGCAGGGAACCGATTACTCTCGGAACTACAACCCGATGACTCCCGTCAGTCACGGACAGATGCTGCCTCCGCCGACGCAGTTCCACTCTCAGCAACAGCAGCAGCACTCGCAGCACTCGCATCAGTCACAGCAGGCTCACCACCAGCACCATCACCATAGCCTGCCAAGCATGGACCTAAACGGACATGCTGCGGCGGCTGCTGTCGCTGGGTACCACAACAGCTACGGATTGACGGATGGCACTGGTGCAGCCACGGCTAACAGCATGGTCAATCTGATGAGCTCGCCGACGGCTACGTCTTGGGGCAATAGCCCGACATCGCCGCTTTCGGCCCATAATCCGGCTGTTATGGCGACGGCTGCTGCTGCGGCTGCAGCGGCGGCTAGCCAGCAACACCAGACGCCAAACTCTTGGTATGGCTCGGTCTACCAGCATCCCCAGTACTCGCCCAGCGGGCAGGGCATGATGGTGTATCATGACAGCTACGCGACTTCGCCAACAGCCGCCACAGCAGCCTACTACCAGCCTCGGGCTCGCCTGACGACAACGCTCTGGGAGGACGAGCAGACGCTTGTGTATCAAGTTGACAGCCGCGGAATTTGCGTTGCTAGACGCCACGGTAAGTAATGCTTTTACACACAAAACGAATAAGCGACATTTTTCTTTAATTGCTATGCATGTCCATATTTTTCCTTTGTTTGTCTCCTCAAAATTTTGCTTCCTTTTTGTTACGGCATGTTTGCTTTCTTTTCCTTTTTTTACGAAAAAATTATGCATTCGGGTTTACTACCAGTCTTATTGCTGTGCATGGCGGTATATGTGTATATACAGGCTTGCATAATATTAATCTAGCACGCGCCTCCATCCCACATACATGCAAGGATTGATGTTGCATTTTCGCTGCTTGCGTTTTGGCCATCCATTCTCATGTTGCTGCGCACTCTATTATCCTTTTTTCGTTTGTTTGTTTGAACGGTCGGCATGACAAAGTCTTATCAGTGGTCAGAATAACACACACTCGGCCCTTTTTGTCATTTCATTTATCGCTTTGTTACTGTGTGCCGAGACGAAAACGGGGTAGTTGTCGTGTAATGTGGCAATTGCAGTAAACCAAAGTTTTTCTTTCCTTTTTTTGCGCTTTGTGAACATTGTCCCGCGCTCAACGGCAAATCATTCCGACACTGGGCGCTTGTTCCCGAATCTCATAATCTATTATCGATGGGCATACATAATGTATTCTATTTTTTACCAACAATATCCTCACATGATATGTGGATGTTTTGATTGTCCGACATATCCACATATAAATGTACATTTGTTTGCTAATTGTTTTATTTATTTTTCTTTCCAATTTGTGGATTGACGTGTCTGCTTTCTTTTATATTATTTTCTTTGTGTAGATGACAACATGATCAATGGCACCAAGCTGCTCAATGTCGTCGGCATGTCGCGGGGCAAGCGGGATGGTATTCTGAAGAATGAAAAGGGACGCCGCGTGGTCAAAGTTGGGCCGATGCACCTGAAGGGAGTGTGGATTCCATTTGAGCGTGCGCGGTTTTTGGCGGAGCAATTCAAGGTGGTTGATGTGTTGTTTCCCATTTTCCAGCCTGACCCTAACTCGTACCTCTACGGAACCATGCCGATCAACTCGCCGACCACGGCAGCGGGCCTGCCACCGTCCGACCCTTACTCTGCGGCGGCGGCGGCCGGGTATTCTCACCTAGCGCGTACCCAGGATGCCTACGATCCCGTTGTTGTTGCTGCAGTTAATACGCCGACCACATCCAACTCGACTGCTTCGCATTCGCATTCGGCGTCTTTGTCGCAGGCCATGGCTTCTGGGATGCACCATCAGCATCACCATTCGCTTTCCCAGCAACACCATCAACAGCAGCAGCAGCAGCAATCTACAGCACAGGGCTTGGCTATCAGTTATATAAACTCGCCTCAGAGAATGTCTGGGGTCCCGTCGTCGCCTCCGAATGCTCTTAACGGGATTGGTGGGAGCTCGACATCTCTTAGCTCTGCGGCGGCTGCGGCGGCGGCTGCGGCAGTTGTCGCACCCTTGTCGCCTTCCTCTACTTATATGGAGAAGGGCGCCAGGTACACGCCGTACGGTAACAATGGATTTACTAGCAGCAAGCCGTCGATGACTATGCCGAAGCGTGGGAGCGTTGACCATCACTATCATTCATTGCAGCAGCAGCAGCAGCAACAGCAGTCGCAGCATTCGATTTCGCAGCATGTGGGCAATCATGGCCCGTCGTTGGCGTCCATGTCGACAAAACTGACGTACCATCAGCAGCAGCAGCAGCATGATGTGTCGGGTGGCAAGGATAATGATAACAACGGCTTGTCTCAGCAGCAGCCAGCCATGTCGTCGACGTATTTTGACGGGCTAATGGCGAAGAATGACCAGTGAATACGGGATATGTGTTTTTAAAAGTCAACATGTTTACTTTTATTTTTCAACCTGCCACCACCACCCCCGCTACCTGCCATCCCCAAAAAAATTATCATTCATTTATTCACTTTTATAATTAATTATCATTTATTTATCATCCTATGTATGCAAAATGTTTTTTATTTGAAAAGCATATTTTTTATCGCTTTTTTGAAACAAGAAAACATTTGTAATATTAGCAGAATTAGAAACAGGAAAAACATCATGGGTTCTGAGGCAGTAACAGCAGTGGCTCAATTGCACTTTGGATATCCTCAAGTACAGCGATTGGCAGGGGCAAATAGCGCACAGGCCATGTGCCATCTGACTCACCGCCAGAACCCCCAATAGCAACCTCACTGCCAATACTCGGGGCCCTGAGGGTGCGCAAATCAAGCTCGGCGTGCCTGAGCCATGCCATCTGATGGTACTGCTTAAGCACAGATCTTGTGGTCAAGAGATCAAACGTCATATCGGCACTTGATGCCTGATTGTGAGTGGGGGAGGGAGAGAGCAACTGAACACAGAGGCAGGGAACAGCGACGGCGGCGGGGGCAGGCGAGGTGCTTTCCATTATTAGGTATCCTGTGGGGAATACTTGGGAATGGCAGATGATTTCATCTTCGAGGAAATCCTGGGGGCGATCAGATGTGGTTCGCAGGAAGTGGAGGTGTGGTTGTTGCGAGTGCAGGATAAGCGTGAATTGTGGTACGTTAGTTTCGGATACTCTTGTGGTGGGGTCAGGGATATTGTGATCTGAAGGCTGCTTCTTGGTAGCAGTGGTGGTAGTGGCAGCAGCAGCAGCAGAATTGGTGGGATGGCTTGTTGTCGAGTGTATCAGTGAGAGACCCTCAGGTGGGTTGAGGCCAATATTGACCAGAACAAGATCAACATTATCGGTATGTTTACTCCATGCACCCGCATACGCCCGCCACTCTGCCGCTTGCTCCACAGACGTGCCCTGCCACTGGCCCAAGACCACGCGCAACCGACCGCCGAAAAGAGCCCGATACCTCAAGCATCCAGCCCAAATACGCCCCGCAGCAGAAGCAGAAATCTTATCACCTTTCGTCCTCGACAATCCCCCTTGGTTGTCTGCAAAAACCTCGTGCTCCATGTACTCTCCGCGCTCATCGCACCAACAAACGACGATCCAGTTTCGAACCACCAGGTATATGCAGTGCAGGGTGCTTGTCTCGTCATTGGGTCGCAGGGGGTGGGCCACCAGGGCGGTGTACTGCGATCGGGAGAGTGTCGAGGTTGGCGAGGGGAACTCGACGCGGACCTCTTCTAGATCCAACATTGACGAGTCTGCAGATAATTTACTGCCAGGCGCACCTGCTGCCTCATCCAATGGCTGGCTTGCTGAGACCACCGACACCGATGCTGGTTGTACGGTAGGGGAGGGGATTAGCGGTTGTGGTGCTGCCGGGTATGCGCTAGGAATCCGGCTGGCAGAGACAGAAGAGGCGGTGGCAGCCACGGGTAGGGCAGCGCGAGACATATCATTGGTCGGATCGCCAATGTCTGTGCGCAGGGCGGCCATGGCCATGGACATTGTGGCGGGCGCCAACGAGCTCGACCCGCGGCTCGGAAAAGTGCATGGTGATGACACGATAAACGCCCGGTGTGCGAACGCCCGAGTGCCTGCGGCAGAGAAAGAATCAATCGGCTGATCCTGCACGAGCGCAAAACACCCTGGCGACCGTGTCGCCTGCGGCCTACGGCGAGTCCGCTTGACGCAGGCCTGGATGAACTCGCCAATCTCCCCGGTGACCGAGATCGGCTGCAGCGAGGTTGGCACTGCGGATGCCGCAAATGGCGTGTGCACGAGGGGCGGCGGTGCAGGTAGGGACTCCAAGCACCTGTTGTAGATGGCTATGGCGAGCTCGTCGGCAGCGGACACGGGTGTTTTGCGGCCGGCGAACCAGTCGCATATAAGGTCCAGTGGCAGCGGGTGCACGAGCAAGGAGGGCCAGGGGATGCTGGCATGGATGGGTGAGAAGCTGGACGGGACCCCCGAGGCTGTGCGGGCAATCAGACTCCCCAAGCTGGCCTCAAAGACACTTCGCAGAACGCAGGATGCCTCGGCCAGCGCCACCCACGGCGCAACGGTCTGGTGTGCAAAGGGCACGAGCACGTATGCTACCAGACAGGTGGCGGTGACAGCAGGCTTGGGCGGTATCTGGTCTTGGTGACTGGCGGTGGTGAACCACGCGTGGGCCATGCTGGTGCCCAGGCGCTCAGCATCATACAGAAGCTGAGCGTGCCAGGATTCAGAGTCTGCAGAATCTGCAGACTCTGCTACAGAAGAGGAAGAAAAGGGTGGCAGGATTCCTGAGAGCGCGCGGCTGTGCAGGCCCAGCGGGCGGTGCGTGCCCAGATGGCAGGTCTGGTATGCCGAGTCCACGCTGGCCAAGTACGCATCAATGGCACCTGCGTGGTCATTGGTGAAGGGCGGAAGCATTGCGCACCAGCGGATGTCCTTGGACGCTCCAATGGGCCGCATCTGCAGGGCGGACCACCACCGCAGCGATATCGGGCTTGTGACCATACACACGCGGCGCAGCGCATCCTCGGCTTCCTGCAATCCATCTGGGTCCGGCCACTCTCTCGCTGCAAAATTATCCGCTGATCCGTCCCTCGATGCTACCGCCGCCATGGCTGCTGTCGTGGCGTCGTCGTCGTTGCCTTCTTCGCCATCCTCCCTTTCCTCGCCCTCCTCAGTTTCTTCGATTTCGCCGTCCGCCAAACGCTGCTCGCAGATCGCGCGACTGGCCAGCGTCTGCATGTACCGCCAGCGCTTAATATAAAGTGACCGCGCGTCGCGGTTCTGCAGCATAGCCAGCGGCAACGAGACGTCCTGCTGGCCATGGGTGCCCACTACGAGGTGGGCGGGTGGGAGAGGCTCCAGAGTGCCTGGGCCGTAGGGGATTGGCAGGGATGCCGCGGAGGTTGTCTGGGTGGCGGGCTGTATCGTGCGTCGCTTTTTCACTACAAAGCCCCGGTACTTGCTGATTGGCACTGGGCTGTCCAGTGCTATTAGCCGCGATAGAGTCAGGGGGCCCGAGGATGGCAACTCGAACACGGTTGGCGACTGCACTTGTGCAACTTCGGCTGCTGAGGGCCAGAGAAGTGAGAGGTGCGCGGATATGGCGGAGATGACTAGGTGAGTAGATCCTTGCTGGTCATGCGCTGGTGCCGGCGCTGGAGCAGTGAGAGTCGGGGGAAGTGCCCCGTGTGCGGCCCACTCGGCTATGGTCTCGATGATGCCCACCCACTTGTCCGTTGTGCGCATCCGTGCAAGCCAGGCATCCAGCAGCAGCAACGCCGCATCCCGCGCGTCCTGGCTCCCCTTTTTATCTGTAATCCCATCCACAATCGTATCGGCATCCTTATCTGCCGACTCGCGCAAAGTTCCGAGCGCCAAAAGGCCGCCGATGCGGGCGCCCAGGTCGCCGAGGCGGCACGCAGGGCGGCGGTCGGATTGCAGGGCGATTTCGCCCTCATATGTGGCCGAATGGCCGGCCACTGAGACTTTGGCCAGGAAAACCATCGGCGCAATGGTTGGCATCCACCGGGCGGAGGGCGGATGATGGGCAGAGAGCAGTAAGTCGGCGAATAGCCCGGCGCGGTGCATCCACCAGGGAACCAGCCCGGGCTCCGTCGCCCTGATAGTCACGCCCCGCAACTCCTCCTTATTCTGCTCCTGATACTGCTCGGACTGGTGGTCCAGGGAGGGCATAATCGACGGGATTCCGGCCATCCGGCTGTCGCTGCCGCTGGTGCTGCTGTTGCGGACGGCTGCGGCTGCGGATCCTCGGGGGTTTATTATGCTCGTAAAAGACACCGCTCGAGAATCCTCCTCGGCAGCGTGCGCATCTTCTGCATTGCCAGAGCTGCGTAACGCATTGGAGGCCGAAGACCCGAGAGGGCTTCTGTGGTCCATGGGGGACATCCCCAGGCGAGAATGCCTGTCCTTCGCACCATCAGCCGGCGCCCTTGCAAAACGGGGAACAAAATCACGCGCATACGATGCCTTTGCGCGATACGACGCCAGCCACCCACGCAGTTTTCCGATGCTCTGCAAGTTCCCGCTGCCGCTGCCGCTGTTGGCGTTGCTGCTATCGCGACGGCGCGCGGCAAACCTCTTGATCCAAGCGACGGGGTTCAGGGGCTTCTCGCACAGCTCGGGGGTAGCCGTGGCCAGTGGCTGGTCGCGCATCCATGAGCGCGCGCTGCTGCCGATGTCGTCGTACGGCGTGACCACATAGCCATAGGGCGTAGTGTCGATGGGCTGTTGCTGCTGTGGTTGCTGCTGCTTGGGTTTCGACGGCAAAGGAGGTTTGTACTCGCTAGTCATTGTTTCGGCAAGGGCAACGCTGGCAGTGGGAGTTTGGTGGTCTGCGGCTGCAGCGGCAGGCGTGATTTTGATAGATGCCGGCGTGGCCAGGTCGACATTGGTGGCAGCGGCCGATGAGGAGTCGGCAGGCGTTGGCTGCGAGTCGGCCACTGGCAATACGGTGAGACTGCCTGGTGGCGGTGACGACAACGTGTGCACGGGTGGCATGGCAGTCACATCGGCGGCTGCAACAGCAACTGGGGAAGTCGGTGCCGCGGGAGGCTCGTCAGCGTAGGCCCCCAGGGGATCTTCGACCAGCATTTCTGTGGCTGTGGGCGGACCGCCGCCAAAGAATGAGTCAAACATGCCATCATCGAACAAATCATCGATATCCTGCACGGGCTCCTCAGCAATAACGGCCGTGGAGTCAACAGATTTGATGGGGTATGTGGTTGGCTCCGGGATAACCACCGCCGGGCTAATGCTCAGCGGGACTGGCGGAGGCATGGCAGGCTTGGGCTGGTGCGTGGGCTCGGAGTCGAAGAAGCTAAAGTCGTCGTCAGTGACGCCAAACATGGCGGAGAAGTCGCCGTCCATGCCCATGCCCAGCCCCATGTCACCCAGCTGCCCGAACCCGCCCAACCCCATGTCGCCGCCGCCGCCGCCGCCACTGCCCGCTGTCTGCTCGTTGGCTGCCACAACGGGCCCGCCCAGACTGTCATCACCGCCGCCGGCCATTGCCATGTCGTCCATAACTATGTCACCAAACAGCGAGTCAATCTCGCCGCTATCGCCGTTGCCACTGCCGTTTCCAACCCCGTTGGACGTGATCGTCGCCGCCAGAATGTTGGCCAGTGGCTCCGCTGAGTCATCTACATCCATGGCCGAGGTCTTGGCGGCTGCAGAATTCTCAGAAACAGACTTCCTACGCGTCTTGTTGCTGGCGTCGTCTCGGGTATTGCTCCGGGCGCGCTTCTTTGTCCCATTGGCCTTGGACTTTGCTGGAGACCCCACCTGCGCCTTGGCCTGGGCTGCCGTGGCTTCCAATTGCCGCTTGCGCAACTCCTCCTCCTCCTCCTCCTTCTCTCGTTGCTTCTGTTTTTGCTGCTGTTCTTGTTCGGCACGGACTTGCTGGTGGTAAAGCGCAGCGGATTTGCGGATTTCATTGAGAGTTGGATCTGGTTTATGCAGGGGTGGTTCGGCACGGAGCCTGGATATGATTGCATCCAGCTCGGTGGAGAGTGGGCCGGGCGGCGGTCGCGGTTGAGGGGCAATGACGGATGTGGTTGTGGTTGTAGTTGTGACGGGGTCTGCAATTTCGCCCTCTTCGTCAAACTCACCCTCTTCGCTGAGCTCCTCGCCCTCTTCGCCCTCCTCACCTTCCTCGCCCTCTTCGCCCTCCTCCTTGGTGTCAACTGCCATGGCTTCGCCCTCGCTTTTGTTTTCCTCGTCCTTCACAGGCGCATCTCTCTCGATCGCGTCCACATGGCGCACGGCCTCTTCTTCTGCCATCGCTGTTGCCTCTGCCACTGTCACTATGGCCTCAGGTTCCTTCTTTTCATCCTCGTCAATAAGTACAAGGCGCCTAGGGTACAGCATGGGATTGCCTTCGAGCAACCTTATCCACACCATCTGCGAACCGCCCTCCACATGCATCAGACCATCGGGGTACCCGAATGCCTGCGTCCAACCCGCCATAGCCTCGGTTTCGTTCTCCGCCGATGCCCCGCTTGGTGCGCCCAGAAGACATGCCAAGATGCCGTATGGTGCCAGCCTGACTGTAGGCCCGTCCAATGTGGCTGATTGCCGTGGCTTTGTGTCCGTTAGTGTGAGTGGGCGGAGGAATTTTAGAATGCGAGCACTGGGCTGTATGAGGAGCCGTTGGGAGGAGATGCAGGTGGTGAAGCGCAGGAGAAACGTCGGATGCTGCTGTTGCCGCTGTTGCGGGTGGGTGGCAGTGGGTGGCGAGGGTGGTTGAGGTGTGTGGCTGAGCGAGGCGCTGGCTTGGAGAAAATCCATGCTGGCGGAGGAAACAAGTGGGCGGGAAATGGGTAGCTGCGGCTGCGGCTGCGGCTGCGGATGCTGTTGTTCCTGTTCCTGTCCCTGCTGCTGCTGGGGTGGGAGACCTGCTAGCGTGATCCATTGCCGAAACCCAAACCGCACAATCGATAAGGGCAGCAGGGCGCGGTCGATCATATTGTCCAAGGCGCGCTGGAACAACCCGTACATCTCCGAAGTCGGCGCTGTTGCGCCATCATCTTCTGAATCTCCGTATCCCTCGCCCACTACGACCGCTGCCGCCGCAACTGCCGATTTCCAACTGATCTCGCCCATACTGACAACTACCAAAATGAGAATATAAGTAGATTAGTTCAATTGCAAATGTCTTTCCCTTTTTGTGTTAACCTTCAAAGCCCAACTTATTTTACATAAGAAACAACAAGTTCAACGTGTTTAGCCTACCTTTAAAGTTTGAAGGAATATTAACTGGTGATTCTTGCTCGGGAGCAGCTGCATAGAATACCCAGACGGTCCATTCTCTGGGTAATGCGAGATTGGGGACCGTATGTGCGTTATGTATGAACTCTTGCATCTCCGTCATGTCCTTTTCGGTGACCCCGCGAAGTCGCCAAAAGCAGGGGATTCGCGCGTCCAAGAGCTGTCGACATGTCAAAAGCACCTGTGATTCCTTGGACGGATCCTCCCGCTGACTGCACTCATATTGGTACCACTTTATCGATCGCGTCGGTGCCGCCTAAACCCCCGAGTAAAGAAATCAAAAAGTGTGTTAGTTTGTCGCTCTGCTCACTAATGGTGACTAAGCTCGCTTGGTTTAGTTTTTTTGGCGAGGTTGTTTGAGATGCATGCGGTGTGTGTACTTACTAGGGCAATTACGTTTGTTTCCAAGTTACTCATTAGCCTTTTATTTTATATCGAGTGTGGCATAGAGCTGCTGGCAAAAAAAGGGGAGAGGAAGGGAGGGAAAGAGGGAGAATAAGACAAAGTTGAACGGAATAGATCCAATAAGGAAAGAAAGAGGAGAAAATAAAAGCAAAAGAGTGCTGAATTGAACGCCCGTTTCTTTAATTTGGTTCCTTATATCGAGTTGATGTGAGCTATTGCTGTTGCTGTTGGTACAAAAAATAAAGACAGATAAAAACTAGCTCTGGTAGACCTTGCTCCACGACCCCTGTTTTATTTTGTGCTGTGGCTTCCCTCCTTTGGCGTAACGAATAAGAGAAATGTATGAAAAATAGAGTTAGAGTGACAATGCTTGTCAAAAACCAACTGGACAAAATTCAATCCTGTCAGAAAAAAAGTATATATATGAATTTTATAAACGACAAAAAAGAACAAGAAAAATAAAAAAAATGAAAAGTGAAAAATGAAAAATGAAAAAAGTAACAGAAAACGCGTTTTTTTGCATTGAGGGGAGGGGAAGACAAAGGACAAAAATACAACCCCGATTCACGTGCTGTTTATAATTTAAAAATTCACTCAAAAAGGGACTAATACCATCGCCGCCGCCATCGCTTTTATTACGGCCGCTGACGTTATTGCAACGTCCTTTTTTGGTTATGTATTAAAAGATCGGACGTATTGCACCTATTATTTATTCAACTATAAAAAGCTTATACTGGCTATTTGAATAAAAACACACAAAACGAGCATGCGTAAACGCTCTACATTATCCTCTTTCTTTCCAATTTACTCGCAGAGATAATTACAGCAGCTGATATGATCCCACAGCTGCTCCCTGTTGATATATTGATACCCACATATTGAGCAAAACTGTGTTTTCCTGGTATGAGTCGATTGCGCTGCTTTTGTCTTTGTCTTTGCGCTTATTTTGATCCGTTGCCGATGCTTCTCCAATATTTTGTTGTTGGCTGCGGGAATCGCCTTTACTCCTTGATTCAATGCCTCATTTTGCTGCGCAGTTGGCATATTAAAGAATACGAAGTAGGGTATGCCTATGAGGACTACAAATAATGCATAATGTTTGAAAACAAATGGAAAATGAAAAGAAAAAGCACAGCTTTGATGTGTCAGTTATACATACAAACAGGAAAGCAAAATATAACTTTTTTGGTTTCCTCTTTTGCCCCAATATTCTTTTATTTTTCTGCTACTTCTCATTCGTGACTAAAAACAATGAAGCTTTTAAAGCAATTTTTTGCTTATCGATCTCCCTAAGATCAAGGGCAGATACGTCTTGTCGCCTGGACAATAGCACAAGGCTTGCACTTGTTGGAATTAATTGACTCAAGAGAACAAAATAACAGTGAGCCACTTCTCATATCCATTTTTGGACGATCGAGTCGAGTCACTGCACATGTGTCTGGGGTTCAACAGAGCCGAGTCATGCGCAGCGGAGCGAGACCTCATGCGACTACACAGTTATGGTAGAAACTTTTCGAAAACTCGGTGCACAAGTAAACAAGGAGAAATAAAACAAACGCGACAAAAAAAGAGGTCAGCCCATATTAAAAGGCGAGACCACCTACAGAACCTTGATCTAATCAGATTTCTTGATATAATGGCTCGATATCTCATAGCTTTTCCATTGAAAAAGTACGCTAAATCCTCGACTTCTTTCTTCCCGCTTATAAAATTGGGGGAAAGTACGGGGGAAAACTAACTCCCGTCATAACCGTGTGTTTTTCTTTTGGCTGCTCTCCACATCAAAAAATTACGATAATCGTCTGTGGAAAAGAATAAATTTACACATCAGTGGCTTTAAAAGCGTTTTGCCTCTTTTTATTGTTTTTTGTTTCACTTTTTTGTAACTTGCTTTATCTATCATTTTTCTGTACATTTTATAAATTCACACCCAAAGTAAACATGTCGTTTCATGAACCATCGATCTGGGATAAGGCCAAGATGGGTCTGATAATGGGAGGCAGTGTCGGTGCCTGCCTGGGCTGCCTTATTGGATTTTACTCAACGATGAAGTAAGTGTCTTTTTTCGTGAATTCACTTTTCTGGAAGCGGTAGCTAGACGACATTAGCTGATAATACACATTATTGTTTGAATGAATTGACGATAGGTTTGGTCCAGGACCCCGCGGGTACCTTGGGACAATCGGCCAGTATGCGTTGGGGTCGGGTGCGTCGTTTGGAGGTTTCATGATGATCGGCAGCTGTATTCGGTCGGACGATAACCGCACTCTCACTGCGGAGGACAGAGCCACACTGAAGGCCGGTATGGATCGGTGGAGGATCACGGCACCCGCGCCCGAGGTATTTTACGCGAACAAGACGAACAGGTCATGAATGCACTGGCCAAACCTGCTTTGTTTTCTTTTTTGTTCGACTCGTGCTAGCTTGCATTCAAAATAAATTCAATAAAGAGATATTATTATTATTCGATTCGAGATAAAAAAAAGATACAAGGCTAGACACAGCTGTGCATTGTTCCTTATTTACACCAAAATAAAAGAACGACGCTACAAGTATCCTGCAAATCGACATCTTTCCCCCAGATTGACTAGCAATCTAAAGTGTTTAGAAACTGGTGGCAATAGACCACTATGGTTGACGATATTACCCAGTCCGTTGCTTAATTTTGCGGGAAATCTCGCTCTTAGACCAGCCCCTTTCCTCCCTTATTCACCGGATGATATCGGCAGACTGTGGGTAAATAGGCACCCACTGGTTGCGACTCTGGTGCGCGCTGTCAATAATAGATGCAGCATCGGTGGCAGTTGTGGTTACAACAGAAACGGCGGTGGCTGTTGCTGCAACGGAATCAGCAGCGGTAGTTTGTTATGGCTGTGATAAATTTAGATGCTGCTGCTGCTACTGCCATTGCAACATAGTACTTGTGCTTAGGATTCTTCAGACGAGGATCATCAATTTTGTGGAATTTCTCGATCCTGCTCTCACACACTGGGCAAAAAGTTGAGGTGGAATACTCGTCAATTAAGTAAACAGTGAATCCCTGGCCTATTAAGATCTCCCGCAGCCCCTTGCCACTAATTGGCTCATGGTAACGGGTCATACCTAGGGTCCAATTGTTAAGAATTAGGACCGGATTTGGCCCAAATTTTGCACGCAAAGATTTTGAGAGTTCGACGTCGGCGCGATTTCTGTTAACAGATAAATATAGCGGAGCTTGCGGTGCAAGGGCTCAGTTGAGCTGGTGCCGTTGTACTTGCAACTATTGCCAAGGGTCTAGCGTGTTGCGATAATATTCTCTCAAAATAAAATAAACTTTACAGCGCTCAAGGAGGTACTCGACATACAACTTGCAATCAAGTGTACTGAAGCCAGGGTGGTTGAGCGCGCGCTCGGCATCCTCAACAGATGTATACAAACCATTTGTTTCCGCCTTGGGAAGCTTTGTGGGATCAAGCTGGAAGACCTTTTTTGCGTTTTCACGGATTCGACGAAACACACGTTCGCGTCGTTTATTAGCCTCGGAATATTTGGTGTGGCAGAAAGTCTTTCTCTCACCCTTTTTGTAGCTGCTTTTATATCCCAGACAATAAAGCATATACCATTGACTGGTATCACAAATAGCCGATTTACCAACAATATCATGAATGACGTTTTTTGATAAATCATCAATGTGTTCGGGAGGAGAAGATTTCTTACTGCGGGGCACAACATTGGCATGTTTGCCGTCATTGCCGTTGCTGTTGCCGTCGTTATCGTCGTTGTTGTTTCCATTGTCAGCATCGCCAAAAACTTTTTTAGACCGTGCAATCCTCTCTGCCTTGATCCTCTTACTCTGTGTGTTAAAAGGTGAGTCTAGTAATACGATAATTGCAATGTCATCAGTATGGATTATGTCACCAAACCTGTGCGGTTTTTTGTCCTTTTGAGAATCGAGCAAAAACGGCCAACATGAAATATCACAAAAGAGTGATCGAATTTCTTCTGGTGACTTGCCTTTGAGATCCTTCAGATGCGGAATCTCAGGAATCTTGATATCTAGGCAAAGTTTCTCCTTGTGCAGCACTTTGAGTTGGCTCTTTGTGATGGACAGAATACACTGTTGCGCAGACTGAAGATATGGAAGAAGATGTTGAGGTCGAGAACCGCGAAACAAGTTCCCACCTGCGCGCTGATCGATAGGACGCTAATTGGATAATGCAGGTGTAAATCAGGGAGGCATCACACTGATGCCCAAACATGCCCCCCATCCTGTAATGCACATGCATAAGCGTACACGCACGAAAACCACAACATCGACTTGCCAAGATACCGGTCTACTCGCAGAAGATCCAGTTCTCACCAACGGAGCGCACAATGGACAATGTGCACGACAAAGGCGACTGGGAACATATATAAGATGAGGCTGGCCCCTAGTAGTACTTTAGAAACATCAGTAATAAAACCTTTTATAAAATCACCCCTAACTTTTAACACTAGACAACTAGTGCTCCTCACACCCTCCTCTTACTATAACAACACTATGCAAGAATGAGCTTGTCAATTGTAGTAAACCCCGGTACAATAGACGTCCTCATCGGAAAAAAGGAAATAGAACGCACACCTTTGTTGAGATTTAAAAATCGGAAAATCTCAAAGTCCCAATGTGGTTTAATGTCTTGGCCGCAGAGTCATACTGGAGCCCCTTGTCGCCGAAACTATAGTCCTCGGGGTGTGTGCCAAAGATCCTCTCCATCAGGCGCTCCATCCCATTGCGAAGCACATGGTCTAAAATATGCTTGGTGTCGATCTGCTTCCCAGCTCTGTTGGTCGTAACAGACAGTAGATCTCTTCATTGTGCCCGCCGGAATTCTGATTTCCTTGCTAATCCACTGGTGTATTTATTTTTTGGTATGGCCACCCTCCTTCGTAAGTGTTTCATATCGCCGTTTAGTCCTTTTCTTTACATCTAGCACGATATCAACCATATGTTTCAACTGCTTGTTAAAGCACTGAGACGCATGGGATTTATATGCTGCGAGGATTGTCATGCCCTCATAATTAGCAACCCCATCTGCACCAATGAGCTGCAGGCACTCAAACTTGGTCTCCTCAACGAACGTGTGCCTGTGCTTGTTGACGAGTTTGCCATTTGCGTTTTCTAGGTTGTTGCTGCATGGTTCGTTTCCGGCAGTGAGGCAAAGGACGATGAAACACTCCTTAAAAGCCTTCATTTAAATAGTCGACAATATTAAACCCCTCGATATCCAACTTTTGTAAAAAGATATGCTGTGCGAGCTCGTATGTGACTGTTGTAACACGATGGGCGGCAACAACATGCTCGCACATAACTGACAGGAAGTAGAGGCTATGCATTTTGCAGAGGCCAAGAAGGGCCTCTATGCTGATGGACATAAAAAAATTAAAAATAAATAAAACCACTTCAAATAATCTAATTATATATTACAAAATGGTATAATCAAAAGCGAAAATATTTATTTTTCAAATGAGAACATTCCCTATCTGCTCAAAAGCCATTCCTTTTATGTGTTCTTGATATGTGAATAAACTACAATAAAACCTCATCGTTGCTCTGGCTGCTATGCGCATAATCCAATAATTTCAGCAAGGCTACATATTTGTTTACGCGACATCATCTGCCTCAACTGTAACATATATTTTACTTAAATTCTGGTCAGCATTTTATATGATGAAAAATGCGCAAAAATAAAAATTACGCCTGCTTGGACCATCGTTCAGTGATAAATTTAGGAAATCAGAAAACCAAAAAAGCCTTACACCATAAATTTTGTTTTTTCTCCCTCTTTAAAATTATTTTATATTATTATGTTGATAGGTAAAGTTTATTCAATGCTATTGTATCATTTTGTTTTATTAGTATTATATTACATTAAAAATTGGTTTTGAAGAAAAAGAGGACTTTTATACTGGAAAAACAAAATGGTAATTTAAATACACATACGGTGAATATATAATCCAATAAAAACGTATATGCAAATTAGAATGCGGGGAAATAAAATGGCAATGGTAATGCAAAATGTGAGAGTAAAAAAGACTAGAATTTGCGCCCACGAGATAAGACATGTTTCTCACTCTTTATCTTGTTCATTTTCAATTTTTATACTCTTATTTGACGTCATTTTGCTTAGTAAGTAATATTAACAATTTTATTGTAGTTTTCACTTGTACCTTTTTTATATTATAGGCAAAATTGTTTTTGTACTTGTATATGTTACTGTCATTGTCGCTGATTCACTGCCATACGTTCACCATTATTTTCTATTCTCTTCTCTCTGCTCATTGTTGTTTCTTTATCACGCACTTTGCCTCCCACTTGCCGCCATTATTCTGTCTCTGGCTCTGCCTCACGCTCACCATTATTTCCCTGTCTTGCATATTGCTTTGCGCTCGCCGCTATTATTTTGTCACACACTTTGCCTTGCGCTTGTCTTTCAACTCGCTGCTGCAAATTAAAGCTGAGCTCTACACCAAAGTTGCTGGTGCCAGTGTGCGTGGCAGATCCACGGCCTGCATTTTTTAGAATTTTTTATCATTTTATTTACTGATTTTATTATTTAATTCAATAAATGCAAATAATATCCAAATATATATTTTTTTCAAAACTGAAATCAAAAATACAATTACATTGTTAAACGTCACGTTTAACCCATAGCCGAAGCACCAGGCAGACGAAGCCATTAAATACTTTCCCGCATTTTCAAAAACCTGGACTTTCTGATATTTTAGGCTAAAAAACAAAAAAACGGTTTTTGAAAATCTCCCGCCTAATAATCTGTAGTTTTGCTATAAATGTCTGGAAATTCTAAAATCCATTTTTAATAATGTAGTGCACTCCTATTGGTGAGTCACACCGACGCCAGCTAAAAGGGGTGCAAATCCACTGTGTTCACCGACCACTGACCATTATAATCTATTTTTTTATTTTCAATCGCACTAAGGAGCAAACTTGGTGTTGTCATCTGTCAGCACTTCTTTCTTTTCTTCCAACTTGATTATTTTTCTCACCTTCCCAATCATATAATTCAGCTACACAAAGTAAAAAAATAAACCAACAATCATGGCCTCAGAACGTTCAGCAGTCATCACGCGCAAGACCAACGAGACAGACATCAAAGTCAGCCTGCAGCTTGGATCTCTGGACTCTGCCAGCGAGCAAATAATCGACATCAGCACGGGCATCGGCTTCCTCGATCACATGTACCACGCGCTGGCCAAGCACGGCAAATGGTCGCTGACCCTGCACTGCAAGGGCGACCTCCATATTGACGACCACCACACGGCTGAGGACACAGCCATCGCCCTGGGAATGGCCTTCAAGCAAGCATTGGGCGAGCCCCGCGGCATCCGCCGCTTCGGCCATGCCTACTGCCCCTTGGACGAGGCCCTGGCGCGCGCTGTCGTTGACATCTCGGGTCGTCCTCATGCTATTATTGATCTTGGATTGAAACGCGAGATGATCGGCACCTTGTCCTGCGAGATGATCCCCCACGTCTTGATGTCCTTCGCTACAGCTGCCGGAATTACCCTGCATGTTGATGTGCTGAAGGGTGATAACGACCATCACCGTGCAGAGTCCGCATTCAAGGCCCTGGCTGTGGCTATTCGGGAGGCTGTGTCGCGCACAGGCTCCGACGACGTGCCCAGCACCAAGGGTGTGCTTTAAAGCAGACCACTATATTTTTGAATAGTTTTTCTTTTATGTTTTAACATTGACTTGTAGGCAGTAATTGCAATAGTATCAATAGCAGCAATTGAGAAAAACAAAAAAAGTTATTCAATTTTGATGATGACAAAGCCGAGTAGCCATGTGGCTGCATATGCGGGCCGAATTAGACCACAAGAAAAAGGCACTTGGACTTGATCTTGTAGTCCGTTCTCCCCGCATCCGCATACACACACAAAGCCGTCAAATCTCAATACATCGACTAAATTTACAAAGACTAAGTCCAGCACATCATTTCTCAAATACTTTCTTTTCTGCTCCCATTTCCCATCGCTTCATTTATTCACCTATTCATGAATACCTTTCGCATCCTCCACTTCAACGATGTCTACCATGTTTCCTCTGGCGACCACGAGCCTGTCGGCGGCGCCGCGCGTTTCGGCAGCCTGATGCACACCCTGCAGCAGGACACCTCAAAGGCGCCCGCTCTGACGCTGTTCAGTGGCGATGCGTACTTCCCAAGTCTCGAAAGCAGCATATCGCGAGGCGAACACATGCTGCCCGTGTTGAACGAACTCCGAATCGACGCCTCCGCCTTTGGCAACCACGAGTTCGACCAAGGAATTGATCTGCTGGAAAGCTTGATCGAGCGAAACAATTTTCCCTGGATTATGACTAATCTGACGGACAAGGAGTCTGGTGAGCCAGCAGCTAGAAACGGAATCAAATACCTGATTAAGGAGATCCAGGGCCTGCGCGTGGGCATCCTTGGCATTATCGAGAAGGAGTGGCTGGACACGCTGCCCTGCCTGCCGCCCACCTTTGTATACCACGACTTTGTGCAGACTGCCAGAGAAATGGCCCTGAAGCTCAAAGACCCCAAGGATAGCGAGATGTCTTGCGATCTGGTCATTTGCCTGTCGCACATGCGCTTGCCCAACGATATCAAGCTGGCCGATGCTTGCGAGGACGTCGTCGACTTGGTGCTTTCGGGCCACGACCACTTTTACTATTTGGGCTCGGGAGTTGACGAATTTGACGACCCCGATGGTGACCTTGTTGCTGCGCACTCGAGCGCCGATGAAAATGAGGACCAGCGCATGCTCGATATCTGGAAGAAGGAGCGAAATGACTTGGCTCTTGGAACTCGGGGACGCCGTCTTGTAAAGAGCGGTACTGATTTCCGCGACCTGAGCGAAATCACGCTCGGTATCGAAAAGACAGAGTTGGGCGCCGCTCGGATTGCCAAAATCGCTGTCACCCGCCACCGCATCACCAAAAAGACGCCGGAGAACGCCGAGATCAAGCAGATAGTCGAGAAGATCGAGACTCATTTGAGCAAGGCCCTGGACAAGGTCATTGGCTTCAGCACCGTCCCCTGGGACGCCCGGTCCACTATCTGCCGCATACAGGAGAGTAACATTGGCAGTTTGTCCGCCGACCTCATGCGCTTGTGTTACGCTGAGAGTGTTGGTGTGCATATTGGTTTTCTATGCGGTGGCGCCATTCGCTCAGACACGGTTTATCCCAAGGGCCCGGTGCGCCTACGAGAGATCATGGAGATATTCCCCTTTGAGGACCCCATTATTGTGGTTAGGCTGACTGGTGATCAGGTCAGGCGCGCGCTGGAGAACGGTGTCAGCAAGTGGCCCGCGCAGGAGGGCCGGTTCCCGCAGGTCAGCGGAGTTAGGTTCGAGTTTGACCCTGAGCGCGAACCTGGAAACAGAGTCACTTCCATTATCATTACCGCGTCTGCGAAGGCTGCCGCCAAGAAAGCCCAGAAACAGGACACGGAACTAACTGCACTGCCACGAATTCGGCACTCGGCATCATCAAAAAGCGGAGGCAGCATGCACCGCATGGCTCTTGAAAACACACTTGGCAGCTTGCAATCGCCGCCACCGTTGCTGTCGCCGTCGCTGTCACAACAAGAACAGCAAAAGCAGAAACATTGTCGGGAGAATAGTGAGACATCGTCACTGGGCGACTCTGAATCAGATGTGGAGTCCGATTATGACGGCGAAGAGGATGGGCCGCTCGACATGAACGCTTACTACAATGTTGCGACCAGAGACTACATGTACCAGGGTCATGACGGCTACGGGGCGCTGAACGAAGGCGAACTGTTAGTCGATGAGGAGAACGGGATCACATTTGCTAATCTCTACCGCCGCTACTTCCGCGGACTTGCCGTAATCAATGCCCTTCGGTTTAAAAAGCAAGGATACGCTGGGAATTGTTCGTTGGCCCGTCACAGCTCCACCGCACAGCCGACAGTAGCAAGTGGAAGTGGGAAATCTGAGTGGAAGCGACTAATAATCAAACACGCGGACAATCTGAGGGCACTGGCACGTGAGAGGGAGCTGGAAGAGCAGCAACAGCAGCATAAGAAAAAGGAAGGGGAAAAACCGCAGACCCTGGCCTCTCGAATTGCCGCCATAGTGCAACAGTACAATGAGACTTTGACCAACAAGGCGCAGCTGCTGACACACCATAGCTCCGGCGTGATCAAAGCCCTTCTCTTTAGCGCTCGTCGTCTGGATGATGACCAAGAACCCATGCGTGTAGCTCGGACGGCGCTATTCGGCCATGAGGATAACAGCACCGTACCCATTCCTGAATCCAATATGTCGCGACCCGAAGATGAGAGCGTCCCTCGGAATGATGATGCCGGCGGCTTGATGCCCGGTTTGCTTATTAACCGCAAGGACACCCGGACAAATGCCACAGAGGAGTTGCTTGCAAAGTGGGCTGTGGTGTCGCCGCAAGTCGATGGACGAATCAAAAATATATCTTCCAAAATTGCGTCTACAGCTTAGACTAGTTGCTTGTATTTTTCCAAGGCATAGACTGTTCAATATAATAGTAAAAATTAAATTAAATGAAGGCTTGTCAGTAAATTCAAATGTCACAATCAACGCAAAACTTGACCTGTCTTAGACGATCGGCATGCTGTCTGAACTCCTCGGACTCAATCAACAATTGTGTCTTCTTGACTCCAATCCCTATAATTCAAGGTTGCTATGCCGAAGTAAGGGCATATCAGTGCGACCAGCAAAACAGCTCTCTCATAAGAAAAGGTGGGGTCACTAAAATATGCATCCTCTCGAATAAACCGGTGAATGAAAACTCGTCCCAGCGGATAATGCGCGGCATAAACTTCGCCAGCCGTTTTGTCGGAATAGCCAAGGGCACCCACGTCAGCAATGTCAGAATGTTTATCAACTTTGGGCTTGCCAATATTACTACAGAGCGTCTTCAAAGCAGGCAAATTCTTGAGCAACTGCACCATGTCAGAAAAGTTGAGGTATATCTCGGGCATACTGAGCGACTGGATTCTACTGGGCCATGTGTCTGACCGAACACCGGTAATGAATGCACTTACATCAAAACAGCTGTGTAGCTCCAATGTGCTCAATGAGGTTTGTGCTGAGCTGATGATTTTAAGTGCAAAGCATGTTGCTGCGTCATCGGACGCATAATAGCTAGGGTTATAACGATTATAAAGTTGAAGGTGGCAGAGCCTCGGATGAGAGTTAGTGGTAAATGTGTGACGCTCTTCAAGATTACTGACGAGATCCGGGCTCAGAGATAAAGACAAGTATTCAAGTGTGCCAAAGTTGCCTTTAAGCAAAATGTCATCATAATGGTAAAACCGCTTAGATGTGCAAAGCACCTTGAGGTTTGGAAAGAGTGCAACTTGTCCCAGATTGGGTATAGCTGAGGACCGGAAAAACCGAAAGAAACAGTGGTATATATATTAAACCCCAGCTTTTCAAGGACCGGATACACTGTTGCATGACCGATCTCATCTCGAACTAGACCAATCGCCTCATCACCATTTATGCCATTACATTTTCTGTAAATATCAAGCAACCGCAGTGTCGTTGCACTCCTAATAAGTTCAAAAACTGTCTTCTCCTGGCCGCCTCCCAGGCAATACTTGATGCGAGTTATCCCAGGCAAGTAATCCGCGCTCAGCGCAAATGGGAACCCCCCACACGACGCATCAACGGATATCTGGTCTACGCCCTGGCACAAACTGGAGCACACACTGTCCATCATAGGTTGTTTGTAATATCTGTAAGAACTGGAGCCAAGCCGATCACAGCTAAGTACAACCCTGCGCATATTGGGAACCATATATCTGATGTCATTAGCAAATCTGCTAGCGTTTTGTTTGTACAAATCCACATAACTGCCATAATTATAGGTGGAATTGTTAAGCACGAAGTTCAGGGTGTGCGCGTGCGGGAAAACTAATTTTCCATTGAACGAATTAAGAAGCGCCTTAGATGCATCCCCGTCAAATGCAAACCTCCACGAACCCAGTCTAACCTCGATCACCTTGGTAAATTTAATCCACAAGAACTGGGAAATAATCGAGTCTGATGGAATTCCTGGTGGCTCTAGGTAAACCGGATAGTCAGACGAGCTTATGCTAACTGCCATTGCTCTGCAGAAGTGTTCCAAAGTAGTGACACGCCAGATATGGCAGCAATGCAAAAGCTCGTGCGCACATGACATTTGATCATAAGAGTATTTATATTTACTATACTCCTCAGCTGGATGAATACAACATATATAGTCGAGAATTGTGTCGACAATATCCCAAGGAAGAGTTTGGAATGTCGATAATTGAGACTGCATTTCTATAAAGGTAAAAGTATTGGAAAACGGAATAAAAAAGAGATGCTCTGCAACTGCGAGAAATTTGCGCAGCTTTATGGAAAATACAAGCAAACTTGTGTTGCCCAAACCACATTCTGGATTTATCTTCCTGCCTTTACGCATCAACACTGTCAATAACATCATTACTGCCGCAATATTCATTTCCGATATTTCTGGCTTATATAAAATGTCAACAAGACTTTTACAGCGCCGCCCACACGGTGTTGCTTCTAGTTTTGTATCAGCCATTTTTCATACTTCAGTGGTTCAATTGATCCTTTACATCCATACTTAGGCATAACAAACATTTTTGTTTACATTTGTCTTTGTTAAGCTAAACAATTGCAGCTTGCGAATGATTTTGACTTTATTCTGATTAATTTTCAAAGCTAAAATTGAGATTATAAAAACTTTTTTGGGATTGTTGACATACGTCTCTTGGTTTTGCGGTCAGAACATTTTGATTATCAATGACGAATTGTCATTTTACTTAAAATACATCACACGTGGCCATTCCCATTACCCTTGGTTTACTCTGATGACCAATAAATAAAAGGCGATTTTTGGCGATTTTTTAGTTGATGGAGAGCAACAATAACGCATTAATTCTATTCTTTTTCGCCGCCCAGCCCCTATATTAGCTCGTATAATTTTATTTTACCTTCTCATTTTATAATTTATTAACAAATACTTTAAACATGGGTGCTGGAAGCAGACCCAGTACACCGAGTTCCACAAAGGCCGAGGCCTCATCGATTGCGGTTTCTGCAGCATCTCAGCTGACAATTGGCTGCAAGGCATTTTTCGAAAAGGATAGTGAGATCCGGCAAGCTGAAATCCTGTCTATCCGTGACAAGGTCAAAAAGCAAAACATCCAGCGTACAGCCGACGACGCGCCCCTAGACAACACCGACGGCAGCATCGAATTTGAGTTTTACGTGCACTACGTGGAATTCAATAAACGCCTGGACGAATGGGTAGTAGACACTCGCATGCGCTTGGACAAGCCCGTTATATTCCCCAAGAAGAAAAGCAAAGCCGTTAATGTTGGGCAGCAACAGTCGGTCAGGGACAAGAGGAGGAAGACTAACGTGGGAGGTAGCTCTGTAGCCTCGGCTGGTAGCGCGCCGCAGACTCCTGAGGTTATTCGTCACGATGACGCGGTTTACACGGCGCCGCTGGATACCTTTTCGAAGGAAAAGGAGATTGAGAAGTTGCGCACGCATGGGTCAATGACTCAGTCAACAAGTGAGGTCGCGCGCATGAAAAATCTCAATGTCATTGAGATGGGTCAGTACCAGGTCGAGCCTTGGTATTTTTCTCCGTACCCGGTGGAGTACTCGTACACGCCCACACTCTACATATGCGAGTTTTGTCTATGCTACTACGCCAACCACACACAGTACGCCAGGCACCGGACAAAATGTACCCTGCAGCATCCACCTGGTAACGAGATATACAGAAAGGACGAGATTTCGTTTTTTGAAATTGACGGGAGGCGACAAAAGACATACTGCCGTAATCTCTGCCTGTTGTCTAAGTGCTTTTTGGACCACAAGACATTATACTACGACGTGGACCCCTTCTTGTTCTACATACTGACGAAGCGCGACGACAGAGGGTTCCATATAATTGGATATTTTAGCAAGGAGAAGGAGTCTGCGGACAACTACAACCTGGCGTGCATTCTGACCCTGCCTCAGTATCAGCGCATGGGATTTGGCCGCGTGTTGATTCAGTTTTCATATGAGCTTTCTCGCGCCGAGCGTAAGGTGGGATCCCCGGAAAAGCCGCTGTCAGACTTGGGCTTGCTCAGTTATCGCACGTATTGGGCCGAGGTTCTTGTCGAGCATTTGATGACAATCGATGGCGAGATTAGTGTCGATGAACTGAGCCAGCGCACTTATTTTACCACACAGGACATTATGCACGCGCTGTTCAACTTGGACGCTGTTCGGTATTATCATGGTCAGCACTGTATTGTTTTGAGCGAGCGGGTGGTTGAATCATACGAAAGGTTTAAGAAGAAGAAGCATCGTAAGATTGACCCGTCGTGCTTGAAGTGGACGCCAAAGGTTTTCACGCAAGCCGAGCTGCGCTACATATAGCTCTCTTTAATGTTTTTTGTTTAAATTTTATTTATTTTGTTTTAGTTTACTTGTTGTTGACCAACGATGAGTAAATAATTAAGATTGTGTTGATATTTGGAATACAAAAAAAAGAGAGGGGTTGTGCGTATTTTTTTAGTCCCAGCCACAGTATCCATCTTGCACCGCTGCCGCAGCCTCTCCCGCGTTTAGAACACGGACGCTTTCCAGGTTGCTCATATCCAGCGCCTCGTTTTCGCTATCGGACCCTTCGGCCAAATCCAAAATATCCTCCGGGCCAAACTCCTCCACATCGACGACCGGGCCGCGCTCAAAACACTGGTCGATGAAATCAAGCACTGTATTCATGCACATCCAGGGCGTAAGCTCGCGGCAATCGGACTGGTTCCCAGCAGACACTGACGGGCACCCGACGAGCTCATTCGAAACCGCACAGTCCTGCGGTTCGGAAGCCGTCACCCACTGCTTAGAGCACCTTGGAAGCCAAGCAAGGGGGCCCGAGGATAGCTGGAAGGTGGAGTGCGCCGAGTCAATAAAGGCTATTCCGGCAGTCTTTCCGGTAAAACGCCCGTAGTCATACTTGAGAAGATCAATCATGGCTATTCCGGCCGTGTTGTAGGCTACAAAGACGACATGTTTGGCTGCTGGGCGTATAATTCGGCTCCAAACGTACCCGACATGCTCGCTGGACGTCTCACTGCCCGTGATATTCGTTATTTGACCCACATAGCTGTTGAAGGTCTCCGAGACACCATCGGGCGCGCAAATATTCTCGTTGGGATTGAGCACCAGGACGCCATACCCGCGGAGCACGCAATTGCGCACGTACTCAATGACACTGCCAGCTTTTAGCCCGTCCTTTGTCAGCACATTCCACGCCCATACGCCGGCAAAGTTGCCATGACCATTTACTATAACCACAAGCTTGTCTTTGGACAGTGCCTTCGGGGTTGCGTATATGTTGCAGTGCGGCTGTCTGGCGTCGGGGACAGCGATGGGGTGCATTTCATAGGTGGTGCGCAGGATTTCGCTCACTTGGCGGGATGCAGGGTTGATCAACGCTTGGTAGTACTCTTGGTTCTTCTTTTTGTCCCCTGGAAAATGCTCGTAATCGTAGCGGTCGCCTGTGACTGTGCTTTTCATCAGGCCGTCGGCTTCGTCAAAGGCGTAGCCCAGGTCTCTGAGAGTTTGCCGGTTAAGTGGCTCTGCTTCTGGCTTTTTGGGACGAATGAACATTGTGTATATGATATTTGGGCCTGAGCAACTAGATGGAATAAATAAATGAGCGAAGTGAGAAACAAGAGATGAAAGATGAGATATGTTGTTGGGTTGGGTTGGGTTGATGCAAAAAAAGAGCCATCCCACAGCCATGGGCAGTCGTAGTGGCGATTCTACATTGATCAAAATATTGGATATGGGTTGAATGATTTAAACCCATGGCTTTGATATTTTGCCTTTTAAATTAACGGCGAACAGCTGTTGCTAAGTATACAAAAACATTATTCAGCTATACAACCATATATTCAATCGATAAATGTAATTTTTTATTTTTCACAATCAAACATTTTCAATAGAATATAAATGTATAAATGTATAAATTTTTTCATTGCTCAGACTCGGGAACACGGCAGACAATGGACCCATCCTCGTTGCCGAACCACGCCTCTGCTGCCATGTTGCTGAAAATGCCGACCTCAATAACACCCGGTGTCATCTTGATCAACTGCTCAACCGCCCGTGGCTCATAGATAAGACCGACAGAGACATCCAAGATAAAGTTTCCGTTATCCGTAACCACTGGTCCCGCCTTCCTCACAGCCTGGCGCAGCTCAGCCACTGGATGATCAAACGAAAAGGCCTTTGCATCCTTAGCCGCAAGGGAGCATGAGCTAGGCGTCAGGCGTTCGAGCTGGCGTTTGATTGTGCGCCAGGCGAGTGGCGACACTTCGACGGGGATTCCCTTTTCCCATTTTTCGCCTAGCGTCTTGGAGTTTTTACGAGAGTCCGCAATCAAAACAAGCTTGCGCGAGGCATTGGCCACAAGCTTTTCGCGCAAGTGTGCAGCACCGCCGCCCTTAATCGCATTCAGCTCCGAGTCAACCTAAATCCAATCGAGATAAAAAATACTGCGAGCAAATTAGTCATCAATGTTTATCTTTATCGGGGAAATTATAATTTCTAAAAAGCGCACGGGCCCATACAAACACTCCTCCCCCCAAACCCGATCAGCTTTTCAATATTTCCACACCATCAAAGTTCACAATAAAGGGATATTTACCTCATCGGCACCGTCGATGGTCACATCAATTGAGGCAAAGACCTCCGTCGTAGAATCAAGTTCTGGCAGGCTACAGATTCCGTTCAAGAATAGCATTATCTGTTAGCACGATATGTAAAACATTTTCTCGTTCTCAAAAGGTTGACCTCGCAAAAGCCGACACCAAAAAAACCAAAACTTACTCGTCGAGATCAGAGGCTCTCAGACCAGCGTCAACAATAAGCTGCTTGGACTGAAAGCTGGTCGAAACACACAAAAGCTCGGGGTGCAGTTTGCCCTGTTTCTTCAACTCGACCAGACGCTCTACAGCATAGACGACGGTGGATCCGCTGCCAATGCCCAGCACGCGCACGGTTGAGTTGACGTGTTTGTCGACGGCGGCAAAGGCTGCGCTGCGCTTGGCCTGCTCGATAAGATTGGTTGGGCTCATAGTTAGTCTATGCTGCTTTGGTTTATTTGGTGCTAAGAAATGTAAATAAATGAAGAGAGGTTGAGTTGAAAAAGGAGCGATGGAAAAAGGAAGGCTGAATTTATCATGACACTGCAAAAGCTTGTCGGAAAATTACCAATTTTTTGGGCGATCAAGTGGAGACCTAACCCTGGCAATTATTGCTCTTCAGAGCATGTTCCTGGCAACAACGCTGATTGGACCAAACAAGTACAAACACAAACACGCACATGTGTGTGGGCTGAGCGTGAACTGGATTAAATTCCTTATTTATTTTCCTCCGAGAAAATAATAATAAATTATTATTGGGGATTTTTGGACAAAGGCCCTAGTTCCCCCATCTGCTGTCACTTGTTTTACCCAGTGGGGGTTGAGCTGTCAGGTAGTTAATAGCTGCCTTGATGTGAGGAAAATAATAAAAATCACCCAGTTTTGCTGCGCTTAGGCGCGGCCTTGGTCTTGGCCGCGGTATTCAGAGCAACTGGCGGTCTACCCCGGCGTTTGAAAGCTGAGTGGCGCTCTAAAAATCAGTGACGATATAGGAATATCGGAATGAAATTGCACACTGATGCAATGTCGCGGTCCTAACACCTGAACTTGATTTTTGATTTGACAGCAGCCTTAGTCTTGTCCTTGAGCGCTGGCTCTGAATTCTGTGTTTTTTGAGCGAGCTGCAAAACAAAATTCCAATGATAAAATTGTGAGCCAACTATTTCCAACACTAATCGAGTGCTTTGCATTTGAATTTTTTAAACTTTAAAAAGTATATTGTTCAAATAGTTAAGCTAGTGCTGCTAACTGATCTTGAGTGCACTTCTTTTACAGTTGCATTTTCTAAACTAACTCGTAACACACTAGAAGTGCAGCTTGAAATGACTACCGATTATGTTGTATTGATATATCCTGAAAAGATAAATGACACGACACTTAACCCAGTGCGTGATTCTTCCATTTCGATTATGTTAACTTTCAGATTATTTCTAATACCAACCAAATCTCGGCTTCTCCTGGGAAAAGTGAAAGAAAATAAACAGTAGCAGCAGTAGCAACAACAAACGCAAACAAGCAACCAGGCGAACAATAGCTGCAGAATTGCAATTTCCAAACAAACACAATATTTTCTTCATCTTATTCATGTCTTCGATCCGACAGCTTTGACAAAGCTCAAACATTCGGTTGCCAAAAAAACATACAACATCGCTTGACATCCTTTCTCTTTATATCTGAACTAATCAATCAGGTCAAATCGCGCGTTTGCACGCTTCTTTTTGTATTAAAGTAGAGAAGGTTTAAGCTGAGGTAAAATGTGCAGAACGAATTGTATTAATGGGGATGCGCGAAAAAGAGTGAAAAGTGAAAATATGTCTCAGTGAATGTCATATTTTTAAAGTGAAAATCGTAAATTTTCCAGCCATTGAACTCGAAAATAAAAATTGCCAAAAAATCCCTCCAAAAAATCCCTCCAAAAATCTCCCCCCCCCCAAAAAAAAAAAAAAAGAATATGAAAAATCGACAGCCAACTAAAATATACAAGCGTTTGACCAAACAAATATGAATGGAGTTTTGCGCTCTGAAACTAACAAATTGGCACTCCATTCACTTTTCAACTTGCATGCATTTTCTGTATTCAAATCTTCCAGGAGAATCGTTAGCTTCGAGCAGTTCAACTTCATACTAAACGCCTTTCTACTATTACTATAATATTATTTTTTGTTCAACATAGCGCATTTATTTCTTGTAATCCCCAGTTTCTTTTTCTTTTTTATTTCTGCCGAAAACAATCCAAGGCTGCACAGATTAAATTACCCACTCCCACAAAATGGACTCACATCTAGAGACTTCGGGCAAAGGTGACGCTGAGGAGCAGACGAATCTGTGGGAGACTGTGCTGAAAGAAGTTGGGTCGTCCAAGACAGCAGCGACAAGGAAGGTGCTCGTTCTGGGCGACTCTAACAGCGGCAAAACTGGAGTGGTGACGCAGCTCTTTCAGGCCTCCCTGCGTCCGCAGTTTGGAAACGGGCTGGAAACAGCCAACACGGGCACATTGAACAGCGGGCTGGGCGACCAGGGCTTTTCGGAGATTGATTCCGTTGTGACACTGAGCAAGCACGATCTGGCGCTCTCCTACTCCTACATGGATGTTCGCGACGAGGATAATGAGGAGACTGTTGCTCGCCTTGGCGTCTACCAGCTGGCATCTGACAGGACGACGGATCGCGAGCTATTGCGGTTTGTTTTAGATGCCAGGTCGTTTTCGACCTCGGCAGCCATCGTGGTCCTGGACTGGTCGAAGCCCTGGCGGTTTGTCAAGGCGCTGCTGCGCTGGATCAACGTTTTGGTGCGCGCTGTTGAGATGGTCTGCGACGATACCGGCGGCCGTGAGGCCACTGGCAAGACCAGCGGGTGGACGCAGGGCAGGGCCGCTGTGGACGAGTGTCGCGAGAGACTGGAACGCTTCCTGCAGGAGTACACGGAGCCGTCCGATGTCTCGGCAGAGCACGCTTCGGCCAAGTCCGCCGGTCCTGGCAATGTGGCGGCGTCGACGGTGGACGTCTTGCTCCCATTGGGCAAAGGCGTTTTGGAGGCCAACTTAGGCATTCCCCTCATTATAGTGTGCACCAAGTCGGACGCCATGGATGTGATGGAGCGCGAGCGCGGGTTTAAGGAGGAGGACTTTGACTATATTCAACAGGTGCTGCGCGCCGTCTGCCTGCGCTTTGGCGCCGCTCTGATCTACACGTCGACGCATAATCCGGCGACTTTCTCCACGCTTTACCACTATTTGGTCCACAGGCTTCTCACTACGCCACACACAGAAGCAGCCAGGTTGCCTGGAACCGAGGGCGCAGTGCCCAAGTCGCAGCAGGACATAGACGCTGACTTTATGGATGTTGATGTCCCGCACACACCGAATCCGCAGCAACAATCCCCACAGCAGCAGCAGCAGCCACAGAAATCGCAGCTCAGCTACCCCTTCCGCGTGCGGGCAAATGTCGTCGACCGCGACGTGGTGTTTGTTCCTGCTGGCTGGGATTCGGTTGCCAAGATTGGATATTTGCGCGAACCCTTCGACGTCCACGCTGTCCAGGGCAGCTGGGCGGCCGACGAGGTGCGGTATGATGAGGTGGTTATGCGTGCCATCCGCGAATCAGCGTCAGTTTCGGACAACAGCGCAATGCAGCCGGGCTGCCCCGACAGCCTGCTGCAGGCATTCGGCCAGACTGTGGCTGCGCCCAAACAGCGCGCGGGTGCGGATGCCGATGGCAGCAGCACGGTGGCAGCGGTTGCCGCGGCGGCAGCCGGGATGGCCAACCAAGTGATGGTCGAGGACGACCAGACATTCTTTGAACGCCTGTACCACGAGCAGCAAGATCAGATGGCCATGGAGGGGGAGGACGCCGAGGAGCAGGCTAATGCCATGGATATTGACGGCCGGTCGCGCACACAAGGATCGTCAAACAAGCTCATCTCAAGTCTGTTGCGCACCGGGCATGCAGCGGAGTCGCTGTCGACGGCCAATGACAGTATGTCGGACGACGGAATTGATGACTTTGACACAAGCAGTATCTCGCCATCATCCTTTGCGCGCCAGCCCACTGCGCGCCCAGTGCCTAGTATCGAGAGCTCGGAGGCTGGTTATGGCTCTTTGGGCCGCAGCTCCGGCGGGCGCTTGGTCCGGGGAGCCACTATGCAGGCGAGTGGAGCGGAGGGACCTCCTCCCGCGTTGCGTCGCAAGCTGACTCTAACTGCGGGCGGTTCCGGTGCTGCTCAGGGGGAAGGCGGTTCTACGAATGAGGATTTGACGAGCTTTTTCCAGAACCTGCTGGGCCGCAAGGGTGGCGCCGCTACCTCTTCTTCAACTGCCACCAGCTCAACTGGCAAACTTTCACCACAACAGCCGCCTGCTGCTCGGCCAATGGGTGGAAGCATCTCTCGTGCGACTGGTGCTGGACAAAAGGACGTCCAGGCCGATCTTGAGCGCTGGAAGGCTCAGCTGAAGCGGGCCAAAGAGTAAAGTTTTAATGAATGAAATAAAAATATATAAATTTAGCGCGAGCAAAAAAAAGGCATTTGTTTGCAACGATTCGCTCTAGATGATAGGTTCGTCCTCGTCCTCGTCTTCTTTCTCATTGTCGTTGCCATCTTCCTCACTCTCAGAATCCTCTTTCTTAGCATCCTCGCTCTTAGCGTCCTCGCTCTTAGCGCCCTCGCTCTTAGCGTCCTGGATCTTAACGTCCTTGCTCTCAGAATCCTCTCTCATAGCATCCTCGCTCTCAGCATCCTCGTCCCCGCTGACCACATCCATTTCTTCCCCCAAGCTCTCGCTCGAATCATGTTCAGCACCCGATAAAAGTCTGCAGCACCGAGTTCTAACTTTCACAGTACCCTTATTCAACTCCTTATACAAAGGGCAGCTGCCGTCGAAATAAATACCGGGCCACCAATCATTGCGCAGCTCCATCGCGGCATCCACTACATTCCAATGGTCCGCTTGCTTCAAAATGCGCAGGATTATTTCAAAAAACTGCCAGGGGCTTGCCTCCGTGTATTCGCCAAGCTCAATGCGATTTATGACTATATGGAACAACCTTTCGACCAAATCAACCGGAGTGTTTGTATGGTCCGAGAGCAAGAGATGTTTAGACATAAATGGCGTGAAGAATTTTTCATCTGACGCGAAGGGATCCCTTTCGAGGTATTCCAATAGATGATCCGTTTGGTCGAGAAGATCGCGCTTGTCGATGGCAATCATAATTCTGTTTAAGCGGCAGCAAAAAAACATACAGAGAACAAAAAATTAGTAACTTTGTATAAATTACTTTTCAACTAAGCAAAAAATAAGTCTTGCAGATGTTTGATTAGGTTTTGAAGATACTTACCGTAGAATGTGAATGTCGGGGCTGTTTTTGTAGTATGACTTGAGTTTATCCCTCGCCTGTTTGATATAATCAAGGGCAATGAGCACTTGTATGTAATAAGGCTTGAACATGTCAGCTCCGGGATCGAGGTCCAAGGCACGTTTCAAATGATATTCGGCATCCTCAAGTGAAAACTTGGACACCAAATCGCGATCATCCTTTGTCAACATAAACTCCACCGAAGAAGGATCGCAGTGCTTGAACACATGGAGGTCCGATTCAACCAAGTACCCGTTCTCCGTGTATCTCCGTCTAATATCCAACTCCCGCATACACGCAATCAGTACGCCGCGGTACCCGTGCGCCGATGCCAATTTATTGCCCAGATTCTCGGTAAATATCAAAGATGTGGCAGAAGCCTGCGTAAGATCTCCCTGATCGATGTCGTGAAATATGCGTTCCATGGAGGCTAGGTAGGGTGGGAATTTTCTGGTCGCATAGGCCATTGCGTCAATGAATGCGCCCAGGGAATTCAGTCCGTTTTGATGTTTGACAGTGGCCAATAGTGGTTGCCATATATGCTCGGGCGGCACGGATCCGTTCTCCACGGCTATGAGGAGCAATTCGCTGGCTTTGCCATACTCTCCTAGCTTGACGTATGTGTGGATGTCGCTAACGAACTTTTCGCGGATATGTTTGTCGTGGTATTTAATATCTTTCTCCTTATGCTTGTCTGCCCGGTATTGGCTCATTTTGATATTAAAATGAGTATAAACCGTAAGTGTCTTGAAATAAAGTTGAATAATATTGTGATGCAAATTAAGTGAAAAGGGAATAAAAAATTTTCAAGTTGCTTGATTAACCCTCCTATGAGGATAACGAAAATATGGGCAAAGCTGTCTACCACCTGGACGAAGGTCGGTCCGGACCGTAGCTAAATAAAAAAGAAAAGCAATGCAACCATGAACGCTTTTAATTAAAAAGGTTGATATACAGCCCAGCAATGTGTAAATAAAATACATCCACATATTTGATTTTGGATTATTAATATTGACATAAAAAAGCTTCAAAACAATTTAAAGTCAGGGTTGACCGTCTTCTCCATCAGCAAATTGCCACTATCAGACCCAGCAACAAGCAGGTGTGTGCGCGTAGACGGACAAATATCAAAGCAGTTGATAGACAGGGCATTAAACATGCTGGACAGTCGCCTGACGCCCCTCTCAGGCGGAGCCACACCCAAAGCCACGGCTCCTTTTCCCTCGGTGGCCCACTGGGTAACAGCAATCGAGGCGTCTTCCGAGCAGGAAATCACCCTGGTAGAGTCAGCCGGATCAAACCTCACCTGCCAGACATTCGCCTCATGCACAGCCAACTCCTCAATAACCGGCTGTCTCATATCCCTGATATCCCACACCAACACCGACCCACCAGCAGTGCCAGTGGCCAATCGGAAGGGCTGTGATGGATGCACGGCAATGGATTCTAGGGCCTGGGAGCTCTGGGAGTTGGCAAACGCCGCAAGAATCTCTGAGGGCATGCGCCGGTCAAAAATCTTAATCTGTCCGCCGCGGGTCGTTATGGCCAGCTGTGTGGGAGTTGTCCAACAGAGATCCGTGATCACAGTGCTGTCCACGTCATACCCTTGCGACTCCTTGAGCTGAGACAAAGCGGTGAAGGCGATGCGCCCGTCCTCTCCGCAGCTGGCAACCTCCACATCCAGTGCACCTGTAGGCTGCACAGCCAGGGAAGTGGCACCGGCAACTTCGCCGTTACTGAATTTATGCGCTGTTACCGATTCGCTAAACTCCATTGAGCCGCTCTCCGTGTCCATGTTGTAGACAGAAATTATACCAGTGGATGACGCTGTGGCCAGGAGACCAGGCGAGAGCGCGATAATGCCTTGAACGTCACCGCTGTGAGACACCTTGGAGACAACCGTGGCTAGGTCGTTGGTGGAGTCTGGCTCGCTTTGTGCAAAATCTGGGTTGGGTGTTGTCCAAAGAACCAGCTCTTTGTGTTTGGCGCCTGACCCTGTCACAAAGTAGAGATCCGTGTCTGTGTATGCTGTGCCTGCGCGTGGCGGGAGCCAGCTGATAGCTGTGACTTTGCGTGCTACTGGCTGAACTTGCAGTTTGCTCATAGTTTATAAATATGTTGTAGGTGTTGAGAAAGAAAAAAAGCGAAGAGTGAGGAAAGAGATGCTGTGGGACTGAAAACAAGCACGATCATCATAAAATTTTTTTTAAAATTTAAGCGCAAGAGTTTGCAAAAAATTGTATTGGGATTGACCCATGTGACTTTATTGGACCCAAAGGACCCAGGTTCAGCTTTTGTGCCATGATTCAAAATCGAACCATGACATCTTATAAATGTAGTTGCGCTTTAAAAAAATTGTATGCCGAGCAAATTTTTGAACAAAAAAATCAAAACAGAATGAACCATGCATATCAAAGACATGTTTTTCAACTCCACTTTCTCTGCTATTCCTTTGTCAATAATTTGGCTCAACAGACAAAATAAAAATGCGGAGATAGAAAATAAAAATGTGCTCTTGTTTTTTCTTGGTTTTTTTCTTTCTTTTTTTTCCCTCGACACCTCCAAAAAAACTAAACCAAGGCGGAATTTACGACTAAACCCATTCGCGCGACCGCTTCATTTCATTTTAATTTAATTCAATTCAATTTTACGTTTTTTATCCTTTTTTGCTGTCATAACCAAACATGCATGGCAGCAGCACACAAACACGCTTATCGCTTCGGAGAAACACCAACCGACCTCTAGCCTTCATTTTACTGCTCACCACTATACTGCTATCGTTAGCAGCCCTTGGCGTCCTGGCATCCTCAGGCGACCGTCAGCCGATCTTCAGCACATGCGTGAAAAAGTGCATCAAAGTAGACTGCGCCCAAAACACCTTGCCTTTCCATCTGCGTCTACTCCAATGGACTTGCGAGAGCAACTGCGACTACAAATGTCAGCGGCAAATAGCCCGGGCGGCGCAGCAGGCCGGCCGCAAAGTACACCAGTACCATGGGAAATGGCCCTTCGTGCGCATCCTGGGTGTTCAGGAGCCGGCCAGTGTGCTGTTTAGCGTGCTGAATGGATTAATGCACCTGAAGAACTGGTCAATGGTCAGGGCGTTACCGAGGTCGCATCCTATGCGGCGGTGGTTGAGCGTGTTTATTGTTTTGGGTACCTGGACCTGGTTCTGTTCGGCGGTTTTCCACGTGAGAGACTTCCCGCTGACTGAGAAGCTGGACTATTTCTCCGCTGGGTTCAATGTCCTGTATATGCTTTTCCTGGCCATTGTGCGTATGCTGCGGCTGGACACTTGGGAGCAGACCAGGAAGGTTGCCCTGGCGTGTGCTATTCCTTATGTTTTGCACGTCGCGTATTTGTCCTTGGTCCGCTTCGACTATGGCTACAATATGGCAGCTAATGCGGCTGTGGGATTACTGAGCAACGTCGCTTGGTTTGTTGTTGCCGTGCAGGCACACCGCAATGGCCAGCCGTTCTGGTGGAAACCCGCTGTGCTGATGCTGGCTATGGATTTGGCATTTAGTCTGGAGGCATTTGATTTCCCGCCGTTCTTCGACACACTCGATGCTCATTCCTTATGGCATGCTGCCACCATCCCTATTGTCACGCACTGGTACGACTACCTTGTCAAGGATGCAAAGTGGGACTTGCATCTGGAACAACTGCGCAAAAACTAACAATAAATATGAATGAATGAATATATTCTATTGAGTAGACAAAAGGAAACAATTGGGTATTTGAATTATTATGTTGTGGTACAGTTAAAAAAATTTTAGAAAGGAAACTGTTCTGGGATAATTAGCTGGTGGTGGGCGCCTGGGTTCTCACTCTGCCTAGCTCCTCAATATATTCTATGGCGTCCTTAAATTCGGTTTCCAGGTCGCCAACCAGCTTGGCCGTCTCGTTTGCCTCGCCGCTGGGCCTGGTGATAGGGATATTGATCAAGAAGGCACCAATTAACTCTGACCACTTGAACACACCATCGGCGGCCTTGATCCTCTCGTCCAATGCCTGCTCCAACGCCTGCTTCTGCTCCGCAGACACGTCGTCCTTGAGCCTGATGGCGTACTCTTGGAATTTGACGGGGGCGCTTTCATCAGGAGAGGAAGTGCTGTCGTGCTTCTTGAATTTGGATAATACGCGCTTGATGCGAGTGGTTAGACGACGGAAAATAGCCATGTTTGTTATGTTGTGTATAAAATGTACAGTCTATAAAAAAAGAAGAAAAAAGGGTTGGTGTAATTGAAAATGTGTGCGGATGAACGAGTGGAAAGAAAAATAAAACAAAAGCAAGCGTTTAGGTGGCATTTTATAATTCCATTTTTTTTCTGTTTTGCTCAATTTCTCTTTTCTTTTCTTGGATATACAGAATAAAAAGCGAAATAATACATGAACGGATACATGTCTGCATGCACTCACATGTCTACTTGCTGGTCACATTGTTATTGCGAATTAATTCGCCCGTGATGTTTTTTTTTCTCCTTTGAAATGCTCTCTTGTCCTCGATTCTAGAATAAGTACAAAGTAAAAAAAGGGTAAGGGTGGTGAAGAAGAAGGAAAAGGAGGAGCACGATGGGAATTAAAAAATATCCGATATCCACACCACTATTACCGCCAACATGGCGAGGATTGGGCAGGAAAAAAATAGACAATGGTAAAAGAAATTAAGTAAATGTCTGCGAGTGACTTGATTTAGGTTGACGACAATTACATCGCCGATAGGTTTATAAAAAATAGTATTTTATAAACCAAAATCTCCAAGACTAAAGATATTTCAACCAATATTGCTCATCCGAAAATCGACTAGGGCAATATATAGCCCTGAAGAGACAAACAATGACTGTGTTGGATATTTGACTATGCCCATTTCATGTGTAATTAAAATTAATTGCAGAATAATGCATTTGACCAAGAACTGCTTGTCAAAAAAAAAAGCTTAAAGCTTCTTATCCACTGTACTAAAACTATTTTTTTCAAATCACTAATGAAAAAAGACATTAAAAGCAAATAGTAAAAGCAAATTATACTTAAATAGCACCCAGCTTTCAGGCTAATTATCTTCAGTACTCTGGGTGGTTACCATACCCTGCTCCTCGGCATAGTTGACGATATCCTGATGATCATTCTCAACGCTGGCGGCAAAATTAACAGTGGCTGCGTGGAACGCATCATGTTCCTTGGCACTTTTGGCAGCAGGGATCTTGACGGAAAAAAACTTGACCCCATCTAACCATACAACAGTGCCATTGACGCCCTTGACCCTTTCCCTCAGCATTTCTCCCAGTGCGTCTATTTGCGCTTGGCTGGCATCTCTCTTGGGTGCGACTATGTAGTCTTTGGACTGGGTGGATGCGCACATGGTTGAATTGCGTGCTAATAAACGTCTGATAAAAGTTAGTGGTAGAGGTAGATGGTGATGCAGTCTTGTAAAACAGTTTAGAGAAGAATAAATAAATAAAATGAGCTGAGGAAAAAAGAAAGAAGGGTAGATAATGCGTTTTGTGTGGACTGCTATATTTTTTGTGTCACTTTTCCACAAATTTTCCTTGGTTTTGCAAATAATAGCGCAATTACGCAATGACAAAAATAAGAGTAAAAAAAGCTGACCTCGTGCCTGAACATCGGATAGCTGTGACAAACGTGAAAAGATGTGAGGATCAGGGGACGGGTGGGAATAATAATAACGAAAGGCAGGCAAAAATATTTCCACACGACGCTTACAATTTGAGCAATACCTAACAAACAAACAAACAAATTTGTGAGCGCTGACAAAAACAAAAAAAGATGTAACTGCCTTTTGATATAAATGACGATAAAAAGCAGTTACGAATGGAACTAACAATAAAAAACAGTTAAAAAGAGCACGTCTGCTTGAAATAGTGGTGTTAATGATATGATTTTAATGCTATCGTAACAAAAAAGATTAAAAATCGTTCCAAAATGCGAGTTTATAACTTTTTTTCTTCACGCCGATGAGTTTGCAAGCTGATGCTCGGGTTCGGCGGCCATGACAATGCCTAGGACATCATAATGGGTAGATGTCGTGCGGCCACACAGGCTCGAGGCATTGGCAGGCGAATCCGAAGGCAAGGGCAAGGCCAAGTGTGTCGATGCAGGCCCATCAAACTGACCCAGCTCGCTCTCGCTGGCAGTACGCGCCCTGAACTCCTGCTGCTGGCTTTGCTGAGCCTGTTGCTGCTGAGGCGCCTGGCCAGTGCTGTCAGTGCCACCACTGCTGCTGAGAAGTGACGGCGACTCGTTGGCAGAGCTAAGGCTGGCTGCGTGGATGCGCATGGCCGGCCGGTTGGGCACGCTGCCTGTGGTCGACGACCCAGACGACACGCTGTCGCCAGAGCTGCCGATAATCGAAAGCCCTGAGGACGTGTGAGCCGGCGTCAGCGGCTGGGGGCAGTCATGGTACTGATAGCTGTGGTTGTGGCGATGCTGCTGCCGCAAGTTGGGCGAGGACGGGTGGCTGTCCGACCCCACGATGAACACGCTCGACGAAATCTGGGGCGTGAGTGGCCGCCGCGAAACCATATTGGAGGAGGACGACGACGCTCCCGCAGCGGACAATGCCTCTGCTGTGTGCTCGGTACTGCTGCTAGCAACCAGCGGTGATGATGCGCTCGATGGCGCCACTGTGGCACCGCTGGTATTGTTTCTCAGCCGGCGGCGCTGCTGCTGCTGCTGCTGATGTTGGTGCTGCTGCTGTTGTTGCTGAGCGTACGGCATAGATGCCAGGTCAGTCGATGAAGATGACGGTTGGATCTCCTCTGAGTCGACCTCCATCGAAGACGACGACGGCTGCGATGAAATGCGGTTGAGCAAGGCCGAAGTGTTGGAAGAAGGCGAGTCGGACATTGTTGAGTCAGCTGGAGAAGAGGGGGTCGTCGCCGCGCCGACAACAGCGGCAGCAGACCGGTGTATTGCTGAGGCTGTCTGGATGTCAAACTGCAGCAACGACGGCCGTGCAGGCCGCATAGACTCCATGATTGGTCTAATTCGGGAGCTGCGAGCAGCCAAAAAGGCGGCGGCGCGGGGTGAGGGAACAATTGACCTGAAGGAGGTCGAGGCAGCAGCATTGACGGCAGCCGAGGCGGTGGCAGTGCCATTGGGTGTGACTGCAGAGGTTGTCGCGGCGGCGGAGATATGGGTGGATGCCAATAGCACAGGCTGCTGAACGCCGCCGCTACTGCTGTTGTTCTCAATGATGGAGGAGGCGGCGGCGGCGGCAGCGGTAGAAGCAGCAGGGGTGACTGCTGCTGAATCAGGGCGGATTTCGCGCTCGCTGGACACTTCAGTCAACGACGAGCTCATTGCAGACGCCACGGGGCTAGACTCAGTGTCCTCGGCATCGTGCACCAGCGTGTCCTGGCGCATCCGCTTGTTGCTGCTATCATCCTCGTTGCTTCCATCGGCTGACTTTTTCGTGTTGGGCCCCCCGTTGCGGGCGCGCTTGACCGAGAGCCGCGATGCGTTGCGCCGGGCGGCCTGCTGCAGCATCGATACCTTCATGCGGTAGTCAAGGCCCAGCTGGCCGCTGACGTACGAAAAGAAGCTGGACAGTCGGCAAAAGTCCCAGTCCGAAACAAGCGTGCGCAGGAAGGCCTCGAGGTGCGTGCGCTCGCTCCAGAACGTCAGCGCCAGCATGCCCACAAGCTGTGCAATCTGCTGGCTCGACCAGTCCTTTGTAAGCTCGCGCACAAGCACTCCTCGCCGGCCCTCGCCGCTCAGCACAGCAGGGTCCGACTGCAGTGACGCCGAGTGTGTGTCGAGGCGGAATGGCATCGATGCTGTGGGTTTGGGCGGGTTCTTGGGAAGTGCCCAGTCTGCTGTGATGTGCCGCACAATGACTACTGTTGACTCGAGTCGCCAAGACGACACCAGCCACCTGAGCGCGTTGATGATGCGGTCCATCGGGTACTCATTGGCGATGCGTTGCAGATATGATGCGATTATCGTCACGTTGTCCTCACACTTTAGCCAGTTGTGGAACGAGGCATCGTACAGCGAGTCCATGCGCAGCACGTTGGCACCAACGTCCTGCCACGCGGGCTCGTTCGACTTTTGTGTGTTTGTTCCGAAGCGCACCATGGCATCTATGCTGTGTAATAGGTGAGTGAGGAATGCCGGCGCATCATCATCATTATCATCATCATCATCATCATCATCGAATAATGATTAGTTGGCTGTGTTTCATTTGCTCGCGTGGGATTGATACCAAAGAGAGATGAACAGAAAGAAAAGAAAATAGGAGGTGAGGGGGGAGAAGATAGTGGGAAGAAAAATAGGGCGGAGAGCTGGGTAAAACATGACACACACGCCGCCTTGCTGCTACTAGAGAGGCGGAAACCCCCGAAATGGGAATTGCGATTGCTTGGGATTTTCTCCTTTTTGTGTGTGAGTGCGTGTGAGTGCGTGCGTGGGAGGATTGTAAGAAAACGAGAAAAAAAAGCAGTTTTGCACTTTACATTTATCGCTCTAAGAAATAGGGCAAAGCGAGACATGATGTGACTGCTCGCACGTCAGAACGCGCATTTCTAAAGTTTTTTTGAGGATGAAATAGTGTCGAAAAGTAAGACTCAATTTGGATACCCATAGAAAGAAACAACAATAATAGTGTTGCGGAAACATTAATGTGAGTTCTTTTTGTTTTGGTTGTTGAAGGGTGTTTACCGCGACTGATATCAGCCAACCCCCCTCCCCTATCTCCCTTATTACCTCATTCTTGAAAATGAGTTCACTTCCCCCCCCCCGCACACAAACAAAAACAACAACACGCAATAAAAAAATAAAGAAAACGCAGTGATGCTGTGTTCGAGTTGTTTCTCTTCATGAAAACTGCTGGATGGCACTCACTGTCAGCGAAAAAAATAATGGTGCAAGTTATTTCTGTGCCGCGACATGATAGAGAAAGACGGAAAAGGGAGTGCGTTATTCGCACCATATTGACAACAATCCAAGCGCAGAAAAAAATAGTGCATATGCGCACGCGGAGACATGGGACAAAGACCTAGCCGCTTGTGGGAAAGTAGTAGGTCGGATTCACCCGCCCTCATTTGTGCTGGCTTCTCTTTGTCAATGCTGAGGCTGAGGGGGTACTCTGCCGAAACAAAAAAGCACAGCGGGAGGGGAGGCCTTTGTGGATGTTAAAAAAAGACGTTGACAAACTCTTCAAAGTGTGCATTAAAGGCACAATTCATCGCCAATAAGTAATATCGCAGTGTAGTGAGGCTTTGCAACTGCAACAGCAACAGCAAAAAGGGGGGTGGCAAAGTATTGCTATTATTCATCTGCAAGAGTAAGAATGATATCATATGAGCGGAAGGCGCAAGCAGGCAGGCGGGCAGGCAGGCGCACTCAGAAAAAAGGAGGGAAGAATGTTTGAAAAATGCTCAAAATAAAATAGGAAACAGAAGTGAAAAACAACAAAGACATTATTATTGCCGAGGAAAAAACACACAGCGGGAGTATGGCTATTAGCTCAAATATTGGTACTGTACCTTCAGACCACCAGTCCAGCTCTTTGGACGGCATATTGTAATGTGTATTAGGGTTGTTGCTGTCGGCGCTATTGCTGCTGCTGTCGTTTGCCATGGCCGCGTTTGTGAATTAAGTGTGAATTGCAAAGTACAACTGAAGGAGCGTGCTGGGAAATGCGGACGGATTCGAAATCTTATCGAGTGCGCGTTCTGTTGTTCAGGTCAATAAGAAGAATACGTTATTAAGGCTTCTGTCCTGAGAGGAGTGTCCGCGCGCTGTTGAAAAAAGACAAGAATAGAAAAAAAGGCAGGCGAATTGGAAAACAGAAAACAAAAAATATAGTGTGTAAAAAAGCAGGAGAGAAAGGAAAGAAGAAAATAAAAAGACGGAAGTATGAAACGAGCAGTGTGGAAAATAAAAAAGGAGTGTGCACAAGAGAAAAAAGAGGAAAAAAGGTTTGAGTGTATGCGCGTGGAACCAAGACAGTATTTTAGAAAATACTAAAACCCAAGACACTACACACACGGGGTAAAGGAAAAATAAGAGAAAAAAGTAAGCCCTCACAAAAAAAAGAAGAAAAAAGTCCAGTGTCAAAAGAATGGAAAAATGCAGAAAGGAAAAAATGTAAATAAAGCGTTGAAAAGAGTGAAACTGAGAAATGAAAAACGAGGAATGTCTTGGTTATGTGCTTTCTTTGTGAAAAAGGAAAATATTTGCTAGGCAAAGGCTGGGCGCTTATGCTCTCTCTCCCCCCTTTGTGTTGATGATATTGTGCCGATGTTTTCGTTTTTGTCGTGTGTACTGCACTTGTCGCTGCGAATACAAGACGTACTAGACTTTGGGTAGTGCTAAGAAAAAGATTACTTTTTTGGTGTTGTACAGTCCTCTTGTAAGAGTCTGCATAACTTTGGATGCAAGGGCTTTCCATTGGGTATTGTTGCTATTACTTTAGTCTTGTTTTCGCGGTAAAGTACAAGCATAGCACCGCAGAGAATGGGGTGGAATGGAAGTGTTACAGTCATTTACCGAGCTTGATTTTTTTAATCATCAGTCAAAAATGCAGACAGCGAACAAAAGAGCAGGAATTTGGGGGAGCGGGAAAAAATAAAAATAAATAATTTTCTCCCCACCAAAAAAAAATTTAAACTTTTCTGACATGCTTTTTTATGCACAAAAATAGAACTGCGCTTTATCATATCGCTTGGCGCTGGCACCGGGCGTTTAGTAATCAATGTTTAAATAATATTTGGTGTGTGTACTTTGCTCGAGGCTTCTTTGTTTTTACCAATTGTTTTGCTTCCAACGCAGATACAAGCCAAGCCAAGCCAAAAGCAAACCAAAACAAAACAATAAATAAAAGCCATATTTTTATTGACTTTTTTGCGCCCGGGATTGCTGTGGCTTGTACGGAATGTCCCATCACCACTGTCACTCTAGTGATCATCGATTGGCAACCAGAACAAGCTGTGTATGTGTGAGCTCCAATGTTTTTGTCAGCCTTGTCATTATTCTGCTCGTCGGCAGCTGACTTGGCAAAATATTTATATATACAATTTATATATATAAACTGCATACAGCCAACCAAGGGGTATTTTTGCCAGTACTTCTAGTACCTTCTCAGTGCCATGCTGAGCAGAATGTGTAACACGGATTCCAATGTTGTTTTCACCGTGCAGCTTGTTTCTTCAGCTTTTTCTTTTTTTTCCTTTTTCCACATAAGACTCGCACTTTTTCTATCGACAAGAACAATAACATCATGCCCGTGTCGTGTGTAATGTATACCTGTGTGTGCCAACAACTCTTTGCTCTATTCTCACCAACATCTCTTGCACGCTTTTGGATGCATGCGATTCACTCGATGCAAGTGTAAACAAGCAAAATTTCATGTGCCTTGTTTTTTTGTTTTTTTTTCCAAGAATGTATATACAAAAAACGCCCAACAAGAGACAATGCAAGTTACTTTTCACGATATCAGGTGGACGTGCGCCAATAAACATTCGGAAAGACATGAAAGATTGTTTGGCCATGTTAACCCAGGTGCAATTCGAATGAAATACTGAAACTTTGGTTGCGGCTTTGTAGGCATCATCTGGATTACTGCTGCCCAAAACTTTTCGGTCTGGAAACTTGAAATGTTAGTATTTCCCACTTCTGTATATACAAAAAAATGGTTTCCTCAAGCCACTATTTTTATTCCGACTCAATTGCCTCATTTGTTATTATTCCTCTATTCATAATGTGTCAAAGATACACATCGGAGGGGCGCTCAGCCATATTCTACTTCGAAATGAATGCCCCAATTCACTTTGAATAACATTCACCCAAGCCATTTAAAGTTATCCGTGGTGATAAAGCAACAGCCGATTTTGAGAACCTCCCGCGCCCTCATTAAAAAAACCATCATACGAGTATTTAATTTGAATTCTTGCGCCATTGTAAGGAATGGTACAAAAGCAGCAACTCTGCCATTAATGATATTTCAGGTATTGTTGCTGCTTCTTTCCTTTTCTCTTTTTGTCTCTTGTAAATGCGCATTCAATATGCACCAGTGCGCACAAAGGTTATTTTTATTCTGAAAAAAGACGAGTTTTAATAGAGCAAAGCTGGACAACGAAATATAAATACTATTGTACAAACAAAACAAAACAAAACAAAACAAAACAAGCCAAGCCAAGCCAAGCCAAGCTACAACTTTAAGAAATGGTCTGCTAACATTCAATATGCCAATAATTTTTGACCAGCAGCAGAAGCAGAAGCGGCTTTACCACGAGCTAGTTTCTTTTATTTGCTGCTTTTTTTGTTAGAGTATCACACTAAAAATAGTGATTATAATACGAGAATTAGTTTACCCGTTGTAAGCAAAAATTTTAAACATCATCCATGTGCGATGCTCTTGTTTTTATGCATTCTGTTGGATTGCATTTTTAGTGAGCAAGGAGAGAGAAAAAGTTGGAATGAGGGAATGAGGGAATGAGAAAATCCAACAACAAAAAATAACTTCAACTTGTGCCAAGCAAGTTATTTGTTGATTATTTTTTTGTTTTGTTTTGTTATTTTTTCATGTGTTGGCCAATGAGTCTGCAGATTCAGGTTGTATCCCCACTACCAAAAACATTGAATTATCCAACCAAAACATTGGAGGTAATTTTCTTGTCAAGAATATTAATTAATTGTTTCACTTGAATTTTGTCAACTGCAAAGGGTGTTTTTTTTGCTCGGCTCCACACAACTTTTTGTGTCTGTAATTTATTTCTTTTTGTACATTACGCTGTTTTAAAGTTTAATTCAAGTAAATATACAATATTAAGCGTACATAGTAGCATTTATTTAATAGTAAATTAATTAATTCATATATGACATTATGCAATTTAGAGGCGACGAGACGGCAAAGTCCAAAACATCAGGTTTTAGTATGGCAACAAAACCATTATTTTGTTGCTAGTTGCAGAAGCGCAGTCAGATGTTGACATTGCTGCTCAGTCCCGTTTAATTAGGATACAATAGTTGCTAATTGCTCGCGCTAAATTGAAATTGAAGTTGGTGGTCCGTGTTGGTGGTTCTATAGCTCTCCATCGCCAATCGCACACACCGTGTTGTCATTCTGAAATTATTATTTCCGGCTTTTTCAATCAATCTATTTTCGGAAAGGTCATTCACCTCTCACTAATTATCAATGTATTAAATCTTTTTTGTTGCCACAATTAATGGACAAAAAATAAAGGCAATTGGAAACTTTTTTTTGCTTTTAACGTGATGTTAATTGGCAGCATTGAAAAACAAAAGAAAAACGGATCATCACATCATCGGACGGAATCAGACATAGTAGGTGAATCCTTGCTCCTAATTGATCTTTTGTATTGGGATTACAACGCCAAGGCTTTTTTTGCCACAGACACGGGTACGGCCAGCATACTGAACCTGTGCTACACTGCTCTACTTTGCTCTGCGCTAGTCTGTCCCACCCAGTTATGCTTTGCTCTGTCCTGCACTGCGCTGCACTTTACATAGACATTTATAATATTTAACACAGCAACTCCATGACTATATATTGCACCTGCTAGGGATCTAAAGAAACCTTGTCTGTAATTGTATTAAAAAATGCAAAGATTGAGTGTAAAATGGATTGTGTATCAATTTGCAGCCATGTGAGAAAAAGTACAAATAAGGAAGCCAAATTTGAAAAAAAAATATATATATGGCCTTGCGGCATGGACCAAAGTGCAGATCGAGTTTCCTTTAAAAAAAACAAATGAAAATTAAAGTGTGCAAAAAAAAGCAAGAAATTTCTCTACCGTGCTTGTGTAAAAATAAAATAAAATAAAGCCCAAATACAGATCCCACCACACCAAATTAAGGAGGCGCTTACAAAAAGGTGCATTGTTTCCAAACTTGTACTTGTAAATCCTGTGTTGGAATCTTGTCACGCAGCGGCTCACAGGCAAAAATAAAAGCGGTAAAAAAAAACAACTTCTAGACACCATCAATAAAACTTTGTTGACGTGCTATTGTCAAAGTTCGTATTGTTCCTTTTTTGCTGAGAGGCGGACATTCCATGTATTTGTTTCTTTCGGTGCCGAAGTATTTCTTGAAAGGAAAAAAGGGGTTTTTTTTGCATGCAAAAAAATTAATCGAGCAAGTATGCCAGCTAAAATGATTGTTGTCATTTGTTTTTTTGTTCTTTCATTATCTCGCCTTTTTTGTTCTTTTTTAAAAACTGATAATTTCCAACTTGAACTTCTACACTTGCAATCAAACACGTACTCTTTGGCCGTCTAAATTCTCTAGCGTCAGAAATAGTTTGTTTTTTTAATTACATTCCCTCTTTCGCTGTTTTTTTAAAACTGTTATTATTTAAATCATTATATACTTTTATTTTTGCATATCGGCCATAGACAGAGCTTACGACCCAGCAAGTACCGCAATATCTTTAATTTAGTATAGAATCACGCAAGGTAAATAAAAGTTGGCCACCTCAATAGCACACGTTAGTTTTTCAAGGCCAAAAAGGCAGGGGCAGCACGGGTGTTGTGCTATATATTTTTTATAAACACGCTGTAGAGCACATTACTCCACTCCATTCCACTGCTATGTACTGCAGTTAGATTGCGTCATCATTTGACAAAGAAAACAGAGAAGGCCTTGTGTCAACGTCTCATTGCGCCTCTCAATATATATATACTGTACTTTACTTTCTTTCGTACTAACACATATAATCAGCTAATGTTTCAAAATCTCAACCATTGGAGACACTGCACGCGCTGTACAATAGCATGCGTAATGCTAAATATATACACAAGCTAAACTCCACCTCTATTGTTGACAGCAAATAAAAAAACCCACTTGTGGCGCTGCTATATATATATTTATATATATCTATATTCTTGATATATTTGTATCAGGCAAAATGCCCCCTCTTGATTTCAGCCATGCCCCCGCTTGCACCTCCGCCACACACAAACAATGCAGCCAACACGGATCATTCTGTTCGAGATGCATCGTGCAGTCTCTTCCCCCTTTTTATGCGGCGCAAAATGCGTATACGTCGCCTTGCTGAGCCCAAGTAAGCCAACACCTTTTTTCGTGCTTGCATTTATGCATGTTAAATATGCAGTCTGCCAAAGAAAATGAAGGGCACTACTATCTTTGCATGCCTCCCTCATGAGTTTGTAAGTATTGGTTTCTTTCTTTTTTTCAAACAGGATTGTGTGCTTTGTTTTCTATTTGATTACCTTGGGTTAAATATGCCTTGGGTCATTTTGCTCACATACTTAATCCATTCGTTCACCCTTTGTTCGCAGTCCAACTCTGTTCTGCCATGTTGGCCACGGCGTCGTGTTGCCATAAATAGTGGATCTTTGGCTCCGGGCAGTGGACATGACAAGGCACATTTTGATTATCCAAAAGGCCATCATCTAAAAACAAGGGATGGCGTTGTAGTTTTGTAAAAATACAAACATAACTCTCTTTCTACTCTTTCTACTTGTGCCTATCCGATTGTTCTCCACTCTGCTCCTCAACAACCAATATTCCGGGCCCATTGAAGGGAGCGCGAAATTGCAATGTAGTGCGTGGTGACACGTTCCATCTTTAGCCCCACCTGCCTTTATTTGTATACATTTTCTGGGTGGGTCCAACGAACGGCCAGCCAGCAAGCATTGATTTCCCCTTTGTCTAATGTTTTGGCTACATTCAATACTTTCTTTGTGGATAATTCATATCATCACTCAGGCAACACCACGCACTCACGCATAATAATAAAGGAACCAATTTTGACTACTACAAAAGAAAGAGATTTTCCATCAGCCATTTTTTGCTTAACTTTATTCCTTTCTTATTTATTCCTTTTTTGTACGTCGCGCAAGATCGGCTTGCATTTTTCCTTCGTGCTCATCCCGGTGCAGGTTTTTTTTTGTTGTTAAAGTGTATGGCAAAAAAGAAGAAAAAAAACTTGTAAAACCGCCTCCCACACCCCCCCGCCCGCCTGTCATATCCGCCTCTTTCTGCTTACTATAGCGCACGTTCGCTTCTTGGTCTGGAGAGAAAATATGCCCGCGTAAAACCCCGTTTCTATCGACTTTATATACATACTAACTTTTCTTTTTTCTCTCTGTATTTTCTTTAACAAAAACACCCCACTTTTTATTATTTTATATGCGTACGTCGGCGACACCCTCCTTGGTTTTCCTGGTCTTTGCTGCTCTCTAATTTACAATTTCATTCGTTTTTTTTCCTACTCTATTTCCTTTTTTTCTTTTCTTTCTTTTTCTTCGCAACTAAACTCTTTATTATTTACAGCCGACAAAAATAATAAGCATATAGCTGTCTATCGCGGTTGCTGACGATATTTTTTCCTTGCTATTGATCTCCTTTTTATTATATATCTTTAAAGTCTCTTTTGCCTTTTCGCCCCTTTTTCTCTCCTCTCTATTTATTATTTCCCCAGACTTTTTTCTTTCGGTTCAGGACCCAGTTTCGTTTTGCTGGTAAAAAAATTAACATCAAACCGACACACTAACGAGCAAGCAAAAAACAGAATCAACCCCGCAGAGTAAAATATGCCGTACGAGGTTGCCCTGGTAGAAAGGCTCATCTTGAGCTTCAAGGAAATGGTAAGTTTTACTATTGCAAACAAAACCCTAACCTACCCATACCCAGCATTTGATTTCAAATATGCAGTAGCAGCAGCAAAGCCAACAACATCACACCCCACTTGTTGGAATAATCAACTAAATGTAAACCCTTCATTCCATTTGCTCTGCTTTGGTTGTAGTTGCCATGTTACAGCGGCCGGCCGATCGAACAGCTTTCGTCAGACAAGGAGTTTTACGAAAACATCCACGTGATCATTCAGCTGCACGATATGCGCCTAGCCCCGCTGTTGCGGCGTCTCTTTACCCTGCTGGAGACCATTTCGCGAGCAGCCGCGAGCAGCGAGCAGAGAAGCAGCTGCCTTTTCCAGCAGTCTCAGCTGCTCGTAATGCGTGTGATTGCCCTGGGCATGTTCTATCACTGGCATCAGATTTATGCCGGCCTGGGGGTCAACACGGACAACCCCATGGTAGGCAGCACCGCTAGCAGCGCCAGCTCCGACGATGGGGGTGTCGAGGACCAGGCCAGCGCTGCTGCTGCTGCCACGGCCGCTGCCGCAGAGGCCAGTGCCTACCAGGTGAATGGCAAGGGCTACAACCTGGACGATTTTAATCTCTATTACCCCAGCCCACTCGAAGAGCCCCTTGCCAAGCGCGCCTTTGCCATCATCTCCGAGTACTTCCGGAACTGGGTCAGCCCGAGCTCCCTGCGCATGCTCGCCACCACAGTGAGAAGCCAAATGAGCTACATGTTCGCACTCCGCAGAACGCATACGTCCCAGAGCGTGCCATTGTGCTCGTTCCTGCGCGACATCGCCATTGGCACATCGATGCTTCCAAAGTTCGTGCGCGCCTGCGTTGCCGAGCCCACTGCCGACCTGGCATTTGAAATCCAAGAGGCTGCCGGGTCCATCTTTATGTTCGTGTCAGCGTCCAACTGGAATGTCGCTATGCAGCGCGCTAAGAGCTGCTTGTACTTGGCGCTCTCCCGCAGCGAGGAGGTCGCTGATTTCACCGATATTCAGTTCCTCGAGTTTGCCACGATGGACATCACGCGCCTGGCGCAGATCATCGACGCCTTCACGGACGTGTTTGTGCGCGTCAAGACCGCCGAGCAGCTCAAGCTGGCCATCGTACTGCGCCGCGCCATCTGGGGCTTTATCTCGCGCTGCTCCGGTACGTTCATCGACATGTACCGCAACATGTACCGCCCGCAGACCAACCGGATCGAGCAGCTGGCGGAGATCCTTCGCACAGTTATTGAGACACATTCGCGCACCGGCGCTCACCCGGCCTTCCACCAGCTCAGGGCCCTGCTGCTCATGCTCTGCCCCGACATCGTGGTTCACGCCGCCGAGCACGCAATTGAGCACGGCGAGGCGCGCGAGGATAACTGTTCCAGACAAGTCCGCTACCTCGCCCAAATCCGCCAGATGCTGGCACTGAAGGACGTGCCCGAGAGCATATTGCTGGCAGTGCAGGAGGTACAGCACGTGTCCCGCGTGCTCAAGGCCCTGCCCGAAAACGAGGGTCTTCGCCTGGCCAAGTTCATGGACAGCGACATCAACGTGGTGCTGCTGGATAGCAGCAACCGTCTTTTGCCTTACCGCGAAGAGCCCATTGAGTCGAAGCTTCTGCTAATGGCCACAGTAGCCTGCGGACTGTCGATTGGTGGTATGCCTGCGCTCACCACGTACTTGGCGCACTTGTGTGGCCCGAACACTGAGCCCTCCATGCAGCTGGTGTTTGCAAACGCACTCAAGGATAGCTTAAGGCAGCAGTACTATGAGCCAGGGGGAGTCGAGGGTGCGCCCGAGATAAAAAATGTAATAGCCGGGTTTTTGTACGACACACTGCGCCGCAACATCGACATGATTCAGACCATCACAGAGCAGCAGGCGGCTGGCTCTGGAGCGCAGGCGCGCAACGCAGGGTACGGACGCCGGGTGCCCGGGTACAGCAGCGACACAGCCGGCGGATTCAACGCATCCAAGTCGGTCTGCGACATGGCGCTCAACGTCGCGAGCACTGGCGAAAAGGTGTCGATCATTCCGCCCAACGAGATCGCCCAGCGCGTCCACCTAGTGGCTGTGGTCATGGAGATGATCATCGATGTGCCTTTCCTTGCCATTGGTGGCAACAACGAGGACGAGCTATTCGAGTCGCTCGAGAAGATGGTTCATGTTATCTCGATGAGTATCCAGGAGCCGTCAATCGCCATCCAGCACCTTGCAGGCCAGGCACTCCGCAGACTGTTTGACACGAGCTTTGTCCAGTACTGGGTGCATAGCGCAGACATTGCATTTGCCGTGTGGACTCTCAGTCTGCATGTCATGCAGGGAACCTGCCGTGCGATCGTGCATAGCATCGTGACCAGCTCAATTGTGCAGCACCGCCAGCTGCTCCAGATCCTGTTGGACATGCTGGTGCTGTCCAACAACGTGCTCAAGATGAGCAGCGGCGCCATCGGCGCGTCGATGGAGATGCCTGAGTATCCGCAGTTCGAGGTGGCCTTTGAGATCGTCATCATGATGCACATGTGGGCCGACGACACCGACATCACCTTGATCACCCAGGAGTGCCTGCGTCTCAAGACCCAGAGCGAACAACTCATGGTCGATGCCGGCATCCCCGTCGACACGTCGCTGAGCAACCAGCGCCTGTACCAGGAACTGAACACCCACGATATCAAGCAGGCCGGTATGTTCAGTCGTTTGGCGCAGATGCGCGCCATGTTCCGCACCATCCGCAAGCACATGCGCCCGACCGCCGGCGCCCAGGCAGCCTGGCAGGAAACGTACAAGCTGTGGCGCCAGATGCTCCAGGTGCTTTTGATGCGTGAGGAGACCGTGCGCCTGCCAGATATCCCTGCCGAGCGCGAGGCCCCAGCCTGCACAATTGGCAGCAGCGGCAGCAGCAACAACAACAGCGCACCGACCCCGGTGCGTACTGAAAAGGAGGAAAAGAAGGACCTCAGTCGCCGCCGCAACGTGTTCGAGAAGCTGACTGGCCATGCGACCAAGAACATCGCGCGCTCGGGCAGCAACTCAGGCACCAGCATCCTGAGCGCGGGCAGTACGACGACGTCCTCAATGAACAGCACCTTGTCACCCGCCTCGGCTGCCGGCACCGTTACCATAGTCAACTCGCGCGAGGAGTACCACTTCTCCTCGGCGCCGCGCTCCACAGGCCTTGTTGCCGCTGGCGCGCAGCTGCCGGCGATCTTCAAGTCAACCAACCTGACGATCAGCGAGCTGCGCACGCAGTGGAGATACTGCACAGGATTCCTGCTGGCTGCCGGTGGTGCATGCATCGCCGATGGCGGTCCGAGTGCTGTAGACCGCCTCGGCGGCGGCGACACTGCCGAGCTGCACTCGCTGCTGGAGCACTTCATTGGCGAGTGCCTCAAGCTGATTGTATCCGACGATATCCAGCTGCGCGAGCTTGCCAAGGAGGGCCTTGGCAACAAGACGCATCAGGGAATCTACATGTTGTTCCTTGACGGGTGCTTGCTGAACATGAAGCGCTTTATGCAGTCGAACGGCGAGGTCAGCGTATCCGAGAGCCGCACCTTGTTCGTCAGCCAGTGCATCTGCATCATCGAGTCTCTAACCGACCGGGACGCGACAGACTCTCTGGGGCAGAGCTCTAAGAGCAGCATTGACTTTAGCCCGGTGCTCCTGACCATGTGCAAGTACCTCAATGCGGCAGCAATGCAGTCGGCCAACGGTGCGCTACAGGAGCGCATCCGGTTTACGCGCATGGTCGACTTGTTCCTGCAATCGCCTCTGCGCCAGGCCATCGTTCAGGAGGTCAACCTGCGTAACGACATGCTTGAAACCTTTGTCAACTGGGTCACCGAGCTGCGCGCCATGGATCCGCGCACCCTGCGCACCGAAGAGCCGCATATGTCCAAGCTGCTGATTGACTTGACCACGTCGACCATGCGCGTACTCATCCAGATCCTCGACAAGCTGCCGGTCAAGCCCATGTCGGCGCCCAACCAGACCAACGCCGCCCAGCCGACAGATGTGCGCTCCCAGCGTAGCCGCGCATACCGCCGCTACTTTGACTTCTTCGTGCGCTTCATGAGCCAATGCCGTATGATTGAAATCCAAGAGTTCAGCACAATGACCACCGTGCACGCGACGCAGTCCGCCGCAACAGCCGTCCTGAACTCTACGGTCAACAACTCGGCAAACTCTCGTGGCCGCACCAACCGCAGTGAGAGCTTCGTTGCCTCGACCTCAGACGTGGGTGTCGGTCGCGACATCGCGCGCAACATCTACAGTACTAATACGGTCCCGCTTGGCGCCGGGTCCAGCGTGAACAACGCGTCTCAGCTTGGCCCCAACCGGTTCAACCGCGAGCTATCGCAGAACGCCGAGCTCCTTCTCAACATCGCGATCAAGTCCCTGACCAACATGCTGGCGGCCAACCTGGAGATCGGTCTGCAGTACTCGCTGTCTATCATCTACCACGAGGACACCAAGCTGCGCGCGCTGTTCACAGATATGTTCACGACGATCCTCAACCAGGGCATTGACATTGACAGTCTTGGCGGCGACACGGCTGACCACTGGAAGGCGCGCCTGGTCGAGGCCCTGGTCGATCCAGGGCTCAAACTGCTGCTGGGCATCAACGAGGTGTGCCAGGTGCAGGATGTCGACGAGCTGGGTGCCTCGCTCATCAATATTTTCGAGTCGCGCCACCAGACCAAAATATTGTTCGAGCGCATTGTCACGGTCGAGCTGGAGCGCACTGACTCGGCAGCCGAGCTGTTCCGCCGCAACTGCTTGGCCACGCGCCTGCTGTCGTACTACGCCAAGGTACATGGCGACGGGTACCTCAAGTCTACACTGGTGCCGGCGATCCGCAAGCTGCTCGCGCAGCCGCCGGGCACGCTGACATTTGAACTTAACCCGAACAAGATGACAGAGTCGGCAGACCGTGACCGTAATCTGAAGAACGTCGAGCGCCTGTGCTCGCTGGTCATTGACGCGATCGTAGGTTCAGTGCATAATCTGCCGGTGACCCTGCGCTGGATCTGCAACCTGATTTACCGCATTGTCATCACGCGGTTCCCTGATGCCGGTTACAACGCTGTCGGCGGCTTCATCTTTTTGCGCTTCCTGTGCCCAGCTATTGTTGCGCCCGACTCGCACGGCATCTGCTCACAGATCTCCAACCCCGAGATTCGCCGCGGTCTGCTGCTGTGCACGAAGATCACTCACAACCTGGCCAACGACATTCAGTTTGGAAACAAGGAGACGTACATGGTACCGCTGAACAAGTTCATTTCGGAGAACCGCACGCGCACGATGAACTTTTTGTCCGAGATCTCCGAGCTCACCGACGACACAGAGTCGATTTACGATGGCACAGCCAAGAGCATTGCCTCGAGCTCCGGTGGCATCAGCATTGCTGCGGGCCGCCCCAGCACTGAGTACGTGACCTCGGAGCCCGACACAGACGCTATCCACAATGGAGACTATGTGGGTGTCGGCGCCAAGGACCTTGTCGTGGTGCAGCGCTTTATCTTTGATCATCTGGACCGTCTCGAGGCGTACCTGTCGCGCGAGCCCATGGTCAGGATGCATGTGCCGCCCAAGACCAGCACTGACAAGCGCAAGAGCACGCACGCACGCGTCACAGCGATCGGAGGGGCAGTATTGGTGTCTGGCTCTGGCCCGAATTTGGCAAAGAACGAGGGCGTGTCTGGATCAGCTGGCCACGGCAAGTCCGCCACCACGGATACGGGCACGCTGACTGGAGAGGTCACTGCGACGGAGAACCTGTTCACGCAGGTATCATATGTGATGCGCCAGCTCGGCCCGCTAGCCGCTCCTGTCGAGCCTGTGCAGTCCAAGATGACGGCAGCCGTCGAGGCGGGGGCCACCAACATTTCTGGCGGAGATGACATGTTCTTGGAAATCCTTCGTCGCGACTCTGGGCGCAGCACCGACACCATCGCCAAGAAAGCGATCATTTATATTGGCGGTGTGTCTCGCGAGAAACGCCCTGTCATCTATATCATCGCGCGGCGTATGCAAATGCAGTACTTGGACATGGACGCCGTTATGTTGCACACGCTGCGGCTGCTGGAGCCGCTGGCGACCAAGGGCTTTGAGCTGTTCTTTGATCTGACGCAGTTTGGCCCGGCCAACGAGGTCGCAGTGCAGTGGCTGCGGCAGCTGAAGCGCATCGTGCCCGAGTCGATCATCGGCAACGTGATGTCCATCTACTGGTACAACGTCAACTCGTATTTCCGCAAGTATATTAAGCAAGGGAATCTGACACTTCCACCCCGTCTGGGTAAGCGCTCGGTGTTCCCGCACAGCCTGAGCGACTTGCACGAGTTCCTAGCCAGCCCACAGGCGGACCTGCCCCCGGGCACCGTGTCGCTGGACAGCGACAGCGGTATCAACATCTCGCCCGTGTCGCGCGTGTCGCGCTCGCAGCCGCCGCTGCCGTGCATGGTCAAGGTGACGCCCGAGGCGATCCAGATCACTGCGCTGCGTCGTCAGGAGGTGTTTGGACTGAGCACGTACTTCAATGACGTGTACCACATCACCGAGATTTCTGACGTGCACCTGCTACCCAACTCGGACTTCCTTGTCAACACTGACGGCAGCGAAGAAGTGACCAAGGGCCGGTTGCAGTTGCAGCGCACGGCCAGCCGCAGTTCCGAGAGCGAGCGCACTAGCGGAGCCAAGGGCAGCAAGCCTGATGAGCAGATCGTCTCCATCCGCTTCGAGGGCGGCAACGCACCGATCTTCTTCGCAAGCCCCAAGTCTGAGCTGCTGTTCAAGGCTATCCGCAGCGCGCGGACGCGGTACACTAGCCACACCAACGTGCCGACAGTGCAGGAGCGCGCCATCCGGCCTTCCGATGTTCCGGGAACGCTGCTCAACGTGGCGCTGCTCAACTGCGGCTCGGAGAACTCGACGCTGCGCATTTCGGCCTACCGCATGCTGATTTCGGTCGTGGCGACGTTCAATTTAGATGTCGGTCATGAGCTGGCCTTTGCAAGCGACCTGTGCCTGCCTCCCAACCCGCTGCAGTTCATCCACCGCATTTGCACGCGCTTGAGTGCCAACGCACCTGATATGACGTTGGAGTTGGTGTCCGAGGCCCTGTTGGCGTTCACTAAGTGTGCGCAGAACATGAAGCCGTGGATTCTGCACTACATGCAGCAGTGGTTGCTATGCCTGGGCCAGTTTACGCACGATACGCCATCGCACCCAGACGCTCTGAGCCGCACGCAGGACATTATTCGCAGTCTCATCCGCCTGCACCTCAAGGAGCCGTCGATGTACATGCACTTCAAGGAGCACGTGTGGTCATTCGTTGCGAGGGTCGAGGAGCTGACCGACATTATCCTCGATATGCTGGTCACGGTTTCGCTCGAGTATGGCGCTCTGACGGTCGAGACTGAGCTAATTGCTGACATACTTGCGACTGTTGCGGGTGTGAACCCGCGGTATAACAAGCTTGTGCCACGTCTGCGCAAGCTCGTCGCGCAGACGTGCTCGATGAGCGTATCCCACATCTCGTCGCACCAGCTGTGGCCCGAGATTGCTGTGTACATAAGACTGCTGATGACTATGAGTTTCTCGAACTGCAACCTGGCCGACGAGTATCTGCCCGACGTGGCCTTTATCGCCTGCATGCTGCTTAAGTCGGGCCCCGGTATGATCCAGGCCACGTTGCACGGCATTGTCATGCACGTTGTGCACAGCTTGGAGATGACGCAGTGCAACGGCATGATCATCGACCAAACCTTCTCGTCGAGCATCACAGGAGCCAACAGCTTTGCGGGCAATCCCGTGCGCCAGCTCAGCGAGGCCGTACCATCAGTCGCGGTCAACACCGACGCGGGTAACACCGGGCAAGTGCTCTCCTCCTACGCACAGCTGGCGCAGCAGCTTTCGGAGCTGACGCAGTCGCGCTCAAAGTTCAACTTTGGGCTGCGCGCCAAGTCAACCAGCGCGGTGACCTTCATTGCAGCGTCGTACACGCGCGGTGGCGCTGCGTCGACGCTCAACCCAGAGGCGCTGATGGAGTTCAAGGACGAGCTCAGCCACTCGACGCACTCGCTCGAGTCGCCGCGCGAGTCCCTGGCCGGAGTCGAGCGTGTTGCGCAGATCTTCTTGCGCATCATGGATAATAGTGCATTCGCTAATGGGCGCGGCAACAGCTGGCGCGCGCGGTGGACGACTCTGGTTACGGCATCGACCTTTGTGTTCAACCCGGCGATCCAGCCGCGCGCCTTTGTGCTTCTGGGCAAGCTGGCGGCCTACGACGAGGTCGACGACGATCTCCTATACCAGACATTAGCGACCTTGCGCGGCGCGCTGGCGTCGTTTGGTGAGACTGACGAGTCGCTGCCCATCTCGGTGCTGCTCTGCCTGGTCAGCATGGCGGGCAACCTGCCGCCGGACTCTTCGTATCTGGCCTCGCTGTTCTGGGTCGGCATTGCTGTTATGCAGGTCGGTCACTTGCCGCTGTACAAAGTTGGTCTGAGCCTTATTTCCAAGGTTATCCGCACGCTGGATGCCTGCGGCGCGTTCCTGCCTGAGAACGGCGATGGATTCCAGGACTTCCTCATGTCCGCGCGCGTTGCCGTCGAGAAGGCCGCCGACCAGATGGATGAAGCCGTGGGGATCAGCTTCCGCTACTCCTTCAGCGCCTCGCTGGCGCTGCTGCTTTTGCGCGGCATGGAGGACATGAGCACCAAGGACGAGGCCTACGAGGTGCTCCTGCAAATCATCGGCATTGTGGCCAACTGCCGCAAGTGGCAGCAGGCAGACTCGGCCAGCCCGGAGCGCAAGCTCGACCTCATTCTGGCGTACCTCATTCTGATTCTGCCGACTGCCGGCGTGCGCAAGGAGTTTGTCCATGTGTTCACCACCTCCGGCCTGTCCATCGGGTCTGAGGCCAAGCATAAGATTGAGAACGGCGGGTATATCCAGCTCCTGGACCAGATCCACAAGACGGATATTGGGCGCAACTGCCAGACCGACTATATCCTGTACCCTTCGATCCTCGCAGCGATGCTGCAGAAGACACGGTCGGACCAGGAGACCATGATCCTGTACATGATGTTGGCGTCCAACATGAACTGGGCCGACCCGACAATGAGCCTGCTGGTGGTTGAGTCCCTAGCGCCAACCATGTCCAACATGTTACACGTCAGCCACAACATTAAGCTGACGCACAAGCTGCACGAAGTCATGGTGCGCCTGGCAATTACCCGGCCGCACTTTGACCCAGACCTGTTCATCCAGCAGCAGTCGCTCATCCAGCAGCAGAATGGCGGCACGGGTAATCTGCAGGACATTGCTAACTCACTGACCGTTGAGGCCATTGCCGCGACCACGCAAAGGTCGATGAATTCCTCGGGCGTGGGAACCGGGTATGCTGCCGGGTACGTGCCGCCGGGCAGCACCCCCGCTGCGGCTGCTGCGGCCCCGATATCCACGAGCGTTGCCAGCCACCGCGTATCCAATGCGCCGCCGGCACGCATTCGCGAGGACTCGTCGGAGAAGCCCAATTTGTTCAACAGTACAAGGTCGCAGGATGCTGTGAGCATGATGAGCAAGCAGTCGTCGACGCCATCCCTGGGCAACGGCGACGCGGCGTCGTTCGACAGGTCCATGGTGGCTGCTCACAGAGAGTACCTGACCCGAATTGGGTTTAGTGGACTGGGCCGCGTCATTTTGTTTGATGGCGGCATGAACCAGTGGCGCGAGCTCGCTGAGCTTACCAGCCTGGTGGTCGATCAGATGCTTTAGATGATTTCCTTTTTCAATTTCAATCAATTCCTTCCCCCTCCAAAACACTTTTCATTTTATTTTATCGTTTACGCTGTGAAAATGAGAATATATATATATATATATATATAAATTTTGTTGGTTTTGTTTTGTTTTGTTATTTTATTCTTGGCACGGTGCGGACGCAATGATCTTTTGCATTTCAGCGGATACGGGTCCCTGAGTATGAGCGTAGAACAGATCGCCTTCGCCAGCCAACTTGACCAGATCCCTTTTCCTTCCTGCATTAATCTGGGCCAAAATTCCTTGCGCAATGCTCTTCATCCGCTCATCCGCATCAACAACAACCCATGAAGTCATCGGCAGAGTCGCCGGTCTCAACTGTTCTGGGAATACGAGTCTAGTTCTAGGCTGAGCCAAAAAAGTCATAGTCTCCACAATCACCGGACCACCATCCACCACTTCCTCTGCGCCATTTTGGTTGAGCGTATAGAGAGAGGTAATATACGGTTTGAGCGCCCAAGTCACAATAGCTGTGGATGATGCTGTCATGCCAATGGTGGTGAGTGCCAGGATGGTGCGGGCGCTGGAGGGCACGTCGCTGTCGCCGGAGAAGAAAAGAGGAACTGCGGCGGAGGCACCAACTAGGGATGCGACGGAGGCGAGTTTCATTACTTTGGCCGCCTTGGTCAGTGATCCTTCGTAGACCAGCTTGGTTGTCCATTGTGAGGGCGATTCGGAGGTCTGGTAGAAACGCATTGGCTCGAATTTGCCGCTAACAAGGCGGTGTCTCTGCTGTTGTTGGAGACACTTTGATACCAGAGCTGACGACCTGGACGACCTGGACGACCTGGACAATATACGCATAGAGCTAATCATTATTATAAGCAAATAATAGAAGAGAATAAAGGAACAAAAAAACAATTTTTTTTGGTTAAGAAAAAGAAAAAAGAAAAGTAAAATTGAACAAAAGATAAAAAAGAAAATTGCTAAAAAAAAGATAATTTTTTTAAGCTGCTGTGGGCACCGCCAGATCAACCAAAACGTCGAATGCGCCAGTTCCCGAAAGCACGGGCTGGCCGAGAACAATCCTCGATGACGGGTTACTCAGGTCATCAAAATCGCCATAAAGCATGGCTTCCTGCAAGAAGGTGCACGTGGATTCAAAGCTCATCTTGGCAAATGGTGCTGGGCTAGAGGACAGACCAATGCGGTTAAACGGTTTGAAGCCACCCTCAAAGGTCATGTAATCGGCGACCAAGCCCAGATGCCTGTCGTTAATCTCAATCGTATACGTCCCAAAGACATTGTTGATCTCGCGCACAATAGCCTTACGCGCAGCCTCGACACCGTAGGAGCGCAGGATCGCGGCAATATCATTGGTGTACATATTGTTAATATCGATCCACTCGTCCAGGCCCGTGGCCTCCTCGGTGTTGGCAATGTGGTCAAGCGGCAGGAGGGATGCTTCCCAGATACCCTGGATATTGTTACCCTGCGTACCGATAGACACTGATTTGTCGTTCGTGGCCTCTGGCTTGTTGTAGTAGCAGTAGGAGATACCGGGAATTTCGCGCACAATCGTCTTGCGCACAGCCTCCTCGGCCAAATTGAGCATGAGGAATTTCGGCGTAGTCGCAGAGAACTGCATTTCAATCTCAATGAACGGCGACTCACCATCATCAAACTCGTAGCCAACAACATGTGGGTACTTCTTGATCATGCGCTTGCGGCGCTGCGACGCAGCAATGGCCTTGAGGCGCTTCTCATCCTCGCTGTCCTCCACTTCCTCGTCATCAACGTCCATCTCGCTATCAGATCCTGAAGAGGAGTCGTCAGCGGTGGTGGATTTGCTGCGCGACGTTGCCGTCTGCTTGGTCGCCTGAGTGTCGAGCTCCTCGAGCTCGGCATCAAGGCCATCGAGCATCTCGCGGTCCTCCTCATCGGGCTCATCGTAGGACTTGTTTCCAGCACGGCGCGCTGCCCGCGCATCATCAGCATCCTCCTCCCCGTCCGCGTCCGAATCAATATCGGACTCATCCATACGATCGTCGCTCTTCTCGACCTCCTCCTCGTCATCATCATGAGCAGCAGCGGTCGCACGCTTGGACTTCGAAGACCCGCTCTGCTCGACAATATCCTCGGACATGACCGAGCGATAGGTGCGCTTCAAGTCCTTGGCGACCAGGGCTTCGAGCCTATTCGTAAACTGCGACTCAATAGCAATCTCGATATCATCCTGATTCACATCATACAGCTCCTCGTACTCGCTCGAAGGGAACAGCTGCAGGCGTACGGTGAACTGGCGATAGCGCTTGTGGTCCTGGGAGTTCCGCTTGGCGGTGAGTCTCTCCTTGACCTCAACGTAGTCTGTGAGGTCACTGAGGGTGAGCCGCGTGAGGGCGCTGGAGATAACCTCGGCGTGCTCCTTGGTGACGCCGTCCACCAGGGGGATCTCCATGGAGGGTGCCGAGATATTGTCCGAGGCTACCATGACGATTTCACGCAGACGCGGGATACCCAGGGTGACGTTCTTGGCACCGAATCCAGCCAAATGGAAGGTATTCAGGGTCATCTGTGTCGAGGGCTCACCAATACCCTGGGCGGCAATCAAACCGACACTCTCTCCAGGCTCAATCAACGAATGATGGTAGTTGAGATACTGCAGCATGCGGAAATTGCGCGGCGAACAATCCGGACTCACAGCAGCCATCAGCGCAGCAGTGTCACTAACCGAAGCGAGCATCTTGTTCGGAAGGCCATAGAGAGACTTTTTAGCAGCCAAGGACTTGCCTGTGGATTTGCCTGAATTCTTCTTCTCGTGCAACAGATTATTCGGGTTGTTCTGCAGGTACCTCTCGAGCTCAACGTAGAACTTTTCAGAAACCGCACCGAGATAGCGACTGGGGTTGAAGCGCGAAGAAATTGGTTCGTCGAAAATCTTGGACGCGTCGTACTGCCCAGGCTTGCCAATCAGCTTCTTGGCGTACTTGCGCGCGAGCTCGTCGTCGAGCACGGCAGCGGCGCTCGCCGGGTTAAACTTATCGCGGAGTGCGCGGTAGTTTGTCGCGGCAAAGTCGAACTGTGTCAGGTGCTGGCACTTGAGCACATCCAGGGCGTCCTCACCGTACTGGAACTGGATGACGGAGCCGTCAGAGTCGCGCACAGTGTAGTCGTAGTGTACCTGGATGCCCTCCAGATGCTTAATGAGGCAGCGCTGGAGGTACCCGGAGCGCGACGTCTTGACGGCCGTGTCAATAAGGCCCTCGCGACCAGCCATGCAATGGAAGTAGAACTCCTGCGGCTTCAGGCCCGTCAAGAATCGACTGGCAACGTAGCCTCCGGCACGACCCGCGTTGTCGTAGGGCGCGAACGACGGCAAACTCTTACCGCTGACCATCAGTGGCACACGGCGGCCCTCGAGTGACTGCTGACCGAGGCAGCAGGTGATCTGCGACAGATTGACGTTGGATCCCTTAGCTCCGGACACCGTCATAACAACCATGTTGTTGTGCGGGAACGGCAGATGCAGGTGCTCGGGGAGGCACGCTGAGATAACGTCGCTGGTGAGCTTGCTCATTTTGCCCATAATGGCGCCATCAAGCTGCGCCAGCTTATTGTCGTTGCGCAGAACCTCCTCCATGCGGTTGTGGAACTCGCGGCGAACCTTCTTGTCCGACTCGACTTGCGCAGCCTTGTAGTCCTTGAGCCCGACAAAGTCCAGCGCCGCATCGATACCGCCGACCTTTTGACCCTTAATGATCTCCTTGCGCACGTCATCGCCCTTCTTGACGAAAAGCAAATCTTCCATGCGGCAACTGAAACCGATCTCCTGCAGGTAGCGGAGGAACAGGCGGCCGAGTGTGGACAGCAGGCGGCCAGCGTGCGTGGCAGAGTAGAGCTCGTAGACGGAATGCACGAGGCCGTAGGCGGAGGCACCGAACTGCGACTTGTCGAGGATACCGACGAGCAGCTCGCCGTCAAGGATCAGCACGCGCTCCTCCTCCTCAGCAACGCTGGTCAGGTACTTTTTGCCAATCTTGTCCTTGGACACCAGGTTCAGCGGCGCGTAGCCGTAAGTGAGGTTAAGCAGCAGAGTCGAGATGACCTGCTTGCCGGTCCACATGGGCTTGGGCTTGAAGATGGCCGGGGGCAGTAGCTGCACCTTACCGTCGGGCAGCTGCGGCTGGGTCTCGGGGCGCAGCGCCCAGTAGATGAGCTCCTGGTACTCTGCGCGCGTCAGCATAGTATCGCGGTGGGTCAAGATAACGCCGCCGTCGACGGAGTCCTGAATGAGACCGCGCAGAGGCTCGCCGTCAGTCGGGTTGAGGTACGTCATGTCGGCGCCCATAATGTTGCGCAGCTCGGAGCGTGCAGCCTCGCTTTGCGGGAAATGCATGTTCATCTCGTCGCCGTCAAAGTCACTGTTGAACTGGTTGCAGTTAAGGTAGTGGAAGCGCAGGGTGCGTTCGCCGGGGAGCACGTGGGCACGCATACCAGCCATTGAGGCGCGATGCAGGGTGGGCTGGCGGTTCATAACGACCATGTCACCGTTGCGCAGGTGGCGGAGAACCTTCTTGTTGACGCCGGTGGCGCGGCTAGTGAACACATTGCCGAGGGCGCTGCCGGCGGGCTTCTCCTGCGGGGTCAGCAGCTGGTTGGCCAGGGCGACGCGCGACTCGTGGCCAAGCTGAGCCAGGTAGACAAGCGAGCCGTCCTCGTGCTGCACGGACACGGCGCCGGGCCAGGTCTCGGGCCCGTTGATGACCAGCTGCCGCATCTCCTTGACATTGTGTGGCGTGACAGGCTCCGGGTACGTCAGGGTCTTGGCAAACACCGGCGGGACGCCGACCTCGTCGGACTCGAGGTTAGGGTCGGGCGAGATAACCGAGCGTGCGGCGTAGTTGACGCGCTTGCCCATCATGTTCTGGCGGAACAGGCCTTCCTTCTTCTCCAAGATCTGGCGGATACCTGGGTCAGGCGCCTTGCCGTTCTTGCCCAGGGTCGGGTTCTTGGAGCTGTCCATAACGTTGTTGACGGCCTGCTGCAGCTGCACCCAGGTGTTAACGACGCGCTCAAAGTCCGTGCCGGAGCTCTGCTCAGCAGCCTGCGCAAGCTCCTTGGCAGAATCATTGCTGCTGACGAGGTTGCGCAGGTAGACACAGGTCTTGAGGATCTGGCCAAGGTAAACGTTCTGCGGGTTCTCCATAACCTCATCATTCATCACCGATGCTGGGCGGAACTTGGTCGGTGCCACAGGGAGCGCCTCGATGAAGAACATATCGGCGAGATCAGTTGGGCTGCGCACCTGGCTGGGTAGCGTCAGGGTGTAATCCGGCGTCATGTTTTCGCTGAGCACGCTGACGGCGCTAGCCACCTTTGGGTCGCGCTGCTGGAACAGCAGCTGGGCGAGCTCCGGCTCGTTAATGAACAACAGCCGCAGGTGGTTGCGCAGGTGGATCGATGTCATGAAGACGGAGCCCTTCTGGATAGTTGGCCCGGACTTGGCCGGCTGCGCATCTACGGCATCGTACGCGGAGTCACCTTCCTCGTCTTCTTCCTCCTCATCTTCTTCCTCGTCAGAGGCATCATCGTCTTGGTGCTGGTTCTTATTATTCTGCTGTAGCTGCAGCTCCTTGGTCTTCATCATCAGCGCAGCAACATCCATATTCAGGACATCCGTGTACTCGAAGCCCTTACGTACCTGATCCGCCTGTTGCTTGCGGGTCAGCGGCTCACGGAACACCTTCAGATATCCATCACGGCGCAGCTTCGGGATCGGGCCGCGGCAGTTCTGGCACGTCTGGAAGCGACTGCGGGTAACCAGCTCCTTGATCAGCTGGCGACGCACATGGTTGACCATGGTGACCTTGTAGGTGGCGCGCTTGGTCGTGGTCAGCTTTTCGTGGACAAACTGGTTGATGCGTGCGACGTATTCGTCGCTGGACTCTTTGATTTCCTTCTTGGACTTTTTCTTTGCCTCCGGGGTGTCCTCACTGTCGGACTCGTCGAGGATAATATCATCGATGTTGTCGTCGTCATCATTGCCTGACTTTATTGTGCGGGGGAGCAGATCATCCAGATCGGTGGCCTCCTTGACCAGGCCGTATTCGAGCAGCCTGAGCTTTGCGATAAACCGGGCAGCCTAAATAATAATAATAAATTTGGGGATGGGGGAAAAATCCTTGCGAAAATTAGATCAGAAAAATCGCAAAAATTCACTGGCTAATGTTTCTGCAAAAAAAGGGGGGGGAGGAAATCAAGCATACAAATATTGATGTTTTTTATAATGATAACTTACGGTCACTCGGTTAAAGGCGAATTTGTGGCAATAAGGACAACAACCCTGGAGGAACTTATACAGCGAATCGAACATCATCGGGTTAACCACAGGAGTGGGCAGTTCGATATGGCCGAAATGACCGGGGCAGTTAAAGTACGACAGAGAACAGGTTCCGCAAAGATGGTTTTTTGTAAACGGGCCCATGGCTGGATCATACAGACCACCGTTAGTCGGGTTGCCTAGGGAGTCCAGAAGAATCGGGTTAACCACTTGCTTCACAGACATCCGACGCACTTCGGCTGGCTCGTAGAAGGTGAAGGACACGCCGGTGACCTTGGAATTCACCGGTTGCGCAATATTCATGAGACTCATGATTCGGAAAAATAAATAATTGAAATAATTGAAATAAAGAAAAAAATAGTAGAGGTTGATAAGAGTGGGAGGGTGGAAAAACAGGAAACAAAGCCCTGATGTTTTTTATTTTCTTCCTTTAAAGAACTATAAAAAATTGGAATAATAATTAGAAGAAAAAAAAAGTAAAGTACTAAGTTTCAACTTCCAAAGACAATACCAAAAATCTAAAGCAAAAAAACAAAGTGGTTTTTCACTCTTGATCTTGCTGTTGTTTATTTAGCAAAACGCAAGCCCAACCAACCAAAAAAAATTTTGCAGGAGAAAAAAAAATTGAACGAGTTTGCAATTCTTTGAAAAAGGGTAAAAATACAACAAAAATACTGATCAGATCCCGGGTAATCAATCAAATATCATGCACTAATCTCGGTATTTAGCAAGCAATGGCCCCCACCTCACGACCCCTCCCGCAGAATCTTCGCACGTGATGGATCCATCATCCTTCAGCTTATACAAATGAAGTTTAACATTATTGGACGCGGCCCTAAACACCCTCGGGTCCTTAACAAGCGGGTAAACAACCGCGGTAATCTCCTCAACTGTCCACCATCCACTACCATCCCCATTCGAAGTATCCGCGAGCACCTCCAATATCTGTTTTTCGCGCATCCTCCGGTGGCTCACATACTCCTCGATATGCTTCACGGCATTGGCAGTAACCACAGGGCCGTGACCCGGCAGGAGTATCCGGGGCTCAAGGTCAATGACTCTCTGCAGCGAGCGCATATAGGGCGCAAGGTCACCGACAATAGTGGTTCCCTGGCCCAACACCAAGTCACCGGTGATCAGGGCGGCACTTTCAGCGTCGAAAAAAGCCACATGATCCGGGGTATGTCCAGGCGTCAATACCGCTCGCCATTGGCGGTGTTCCGTGGCAAACAGTTCTCCGTCTGTAATATTCTTGGATCCCCGTAATGCGGCAATATCCGGGTGTTGGCGCTTGTGAACGGTGTGGTCCAGGGTAAGTAGGGATTCGGGCAGCGTGGCGAGTCCCCCGGTGTGATCATGGTGCCAGTGTGTGAGAAGGATCTGTGAGATGCGACTGTTGGGTCCGAGTGCAGTGGCGAGAAGCCCGTGGTAGGCTGGGTGTTGGCCGTCGCCGGTGTCGACGAGAATGCGCCGTGCGCCTGTGCCCAGAATGTACGTGTTGGTGCCCTGCAGTGTCATTGGGCCTGGGTTGAGTCCTAGGACGCGGATTATGTCGCAGGCCACCCTCTCAATAGACATCTTTGACATGCGGTGGAAAGGGTTGGAAGAGTGGGGGAAATTGATGGAATACAAATACAAGAAGGGGTGATAAGGAAAAGAGAAGAAAATAGCATGAGATAAAAAAAAGAAAAAAGAAGCGGCTTGACAATTGACTTGTGGGCTATGGCGTCATATGCTCTCTCCGTGAGATCTTTTGCTCGTCCCCCTTTTTTCTTCTCACGCACACGTGAGACAAGCACAGACCCGCTTCAACCAGGATTCCGCCTGTTGCTCTGACTGATTTTCCTGCGCTTCCTGCCTGCCTCCCGCTTAGCACCAAGGCCAGCTCCAGCGGCAGCGGCGTCAGTGGGGGTGCGGCGATAAGCGCAGCTCATTTTCCTCCTATACGACTCGAACTCAGCAGCCAGCTCCTCCTCCAAGGGAGCCACATACTCCACAGTGCCAGTGCCCAAAGACGGCCTCGCCACGGCCTTCTGCTTCCTACCACTGCTGCTGCCGCTGGCCGCAGTGCTTCTGCTGCGGCGGTGACTGTTGCGAGCGGGTTTTACCGAGCTGAAGCGGGTGGGTGGGCGGATGGGCTCGAGAATGCCGTTGCTGGTGGCGCCTAGACCTTGGCCCTGCTGCCACCCGAGTTTGGCCAGCATTTGAAACCCAAGGTTGCTGCTGCCCAGCGCCCGGTTGATGTGGGTGGGCAGGGCCTTGGGCTCCTGGCTGCCAGCAGAAGAAGAGCTGGAGGAGGAGGAAGAGGAAGAGGAAGAGCTGTCTGAATCCGAGCCCGAGCCCGAGTCGCCGGAGCTGGGGCTGGAGCTGGAGCTGGAGCTGCTATCAGAACTGTCGCCACTCGACGCACCCCCAGACCCTGCCGCCAACCTCTGCTGGCGCATGCGCTCACGAATGCCCCAGACGATTCTTTCCAAAACACCCGTTCGCCAGCCCTCGCGGTCCATCCCCACATCATCCCTGCCCTGCACCAGCAGCGGATTTCCCCTATCGACAAACTCCCCCTCCCTGTAGATATACCTTACTCCGCGCAAAAATTCGCTCAAGGCCAGATTGAGCGCCGGCGAGGCTGTGGGTGAGTTTCGGTGGAGGCGGTGGAGGGATTCAATGTGTCTGGCGTGGAGTGTGGTGCTTGGATTGTGGCTGTTGTCCTGCAGTGCTTGGACCATTAGCCCGGCGGGGGTCGAGTGGTACCGAGTGGGCGGTGGGTCATCGGATGCGGTGGCTGTGGTGGCCAAAACTGGGGGAGCAGGCGGTGGCGGCGGCGGCGGCGGCGGCGGCGGCCGTGGAAGCAGGTGTGCTGGTGGACGCGGAGGCCTCATTGCATGCGGGAGAATACTCGGCTGGAACGGCAGGGGAGGCCTCAACACATGCGGTGGGCAGATCACTGCCGACGGAGGAGGCCTCATCGCATGCGGTGGACAGACCATTGTCGACGGAGGGGGCCTCATCATATGCGGGGCAGCATGCGGCACGGCTCCTGAACTCTGCATTTTGCTCTGCACGATTCCCTGGAACACTGCGTGCAGGGGCGAGTCGGCAAAGAGGAAGCGGTACTTTGGGTTATCCCGCTGCGTCTGGCGAACCATGTCTACTACCGAAGGGTTGAGTACCTGAGCTGTTGCCATCTTTTCCAGCGCAAACCGCTCCTCGTCTGACAAAATAGATAGCAGAGGCGGTGGCCGTGGTGGTCGCGAGGGCGGATTGAAATTGGGATGCATTTTAATGGAACAATTAATGAGAAAAAATAAACAAAAAAATCTGGTGATGGTGATGATGAAATGCAAGTTTGATCAAAAAAAAACTTCTTTCCTTTTCTTTCGTATATGAATTTTTTTCGTTTTATAATTTATTTATATTCATTTAGTTCGCCTTATACCTTGTTGAAATGTTCCGTGCAATCCTTCCTCGCTCCGCCAACAACGCCAAGGTAACATTCCGGACAGCGGCGCAAGGGACCTTACCCAAGCCAAGCCGAGCCAAGCCAAGCCAAACGAAACCATCTACAAAACAACACCTCTAACACTCCTTTTTTCTGTTCTTGTCCGTAGTCTCTGCTGGCGACCAAACTGCAGACGCGCAGCCTGAGTAAGTAATGCACACATAAAACAACAAGAAACCACCAATTCAACAAGAAATAAAACCTTGTCAACCACTGATAAACAACGATTTTTAATTTTTTTGTAGATGCGTACCTTAACAAGGTCATTCTCATGGGCAACGTGGGTGCTGATCCACAAGAAATAACATTCAGCAACGGCAAGAAAATGGCGACGTTTTCGCTGGCCACCTCGCGCAGGTATAAGGATGCCGAAGGCAACACGCTGGAGCACACCTCGTGGCACCGCATCAAGGTGTCGGGAGACAATGCCGAGCGCGTTATGAACTACGTTAAGAAGAGCGCCCTGGTGCAGGTTGAGGGATCAATCCGCTACGACACGTATACGAACAAGGATGGCGCCGAAGTGCATGTTACGAATATTAATGCCGATAGCTTCAACATTGTCATGTTCCCTAAGCGCGAAGAGGCTGCTGCAAGCAGGGACGAAGCAGAGTAAAAAACATTGCTTTTCACCGTATATTTTTTATTTAAAATATAACCCTTTTCTGGTATTTTAAAAGTTGTCCTTCATCTCGCGGATTGCTGCCAGCACCCTGACAGGGTCAGCCTCGGCGGCAGCCTTCTGGAGCTCAGGCCTGTGGACGCGCATGAACGGGTTGGTCTCAAGCTCTTCAGCAATCGAGCTCGGCATCGTGCACTGCACCTTGGCGCACCACTCAGCCTTCCTCCGCAGCCTTTCGTTGTCAGGATCCACGGTCAAGGCGAACCTAAGATTCGCCCTCGTATACTCATGCCCAGCATACACGCGAGTATCCCTAGGCAACGCCGCCAGCCGCACATTCAGCGACTCGTGCATATCCGCCGCACTCCCCTCAAACAGCCTCCCACAACCACCAACAAACAGCGTGTCTCCGCTAAACACCGCCCTCCCCTCCTCTCCCTCCCCCTCCTCTTCCACGAAATAACACACGCTGCCTGTGGTATGACCCGGAGTACGAATGGCTCTGATGCGGAAACTCCCAAGCGTAAACTCATCGCCGTGCTCCACCCGGTGGGTCATCGCCGGAATGCGCTCGTCGCCGCCGTAAACGGGAATACCCGGTACTGCGCTTTGCATCTTGGTGTTTCCGCCCGAATGGTCTGCGTGGTGATGCGTTGTGAGAATGCCGGTGAGCGGGAATCCGGTTGAGAGCACGGCTGAGAGCACCTTGGATGCGTCGACGGGGTCCACTGCTGTGACCTGCTGCGTCTTGCTGTCAACCAGAAGGTACGCGTAGTTGTCGGAGAGACAGGGCACGGGGACCACTTGCATTCTGGAGATGTGGCTGAAGGTGCGGAGAAAAGGCCTGGTTTGGGGTGAGCACGAATTCAATAGTGTGCGCAGAACCGAGGTCATTTACTCGGATATTTAAAAGAAATGAAAAGCGAAAAACGAAAAACGAGTGTTGAAAATACAAATAGGTGGGTGAAGAGGAGTAGGAATAGAATGGCAGGATAGGATAGGATGCGGGGAGAGGGGCTTTGAAGTCTGCCTTTTCGGCGATTGATTTTTATTTTTCCTCTGATCAAGCAAATACAACGATCATCCATTCCACTCGCTCCCTTCGCTGATTTACCACTCACACACCACACAAAATCCCAATCGACCCCTCTCTTCCCTCTTTTTCACTTTTGTTTATTTTAAAAATTCAACTTTATAAAAAATTTTCTAAATCATGGCTACGCGCAGGCTCAGCATATATCCGAACAGCCAAAGCTTCGATGACAATCTCTTTGAGATGCAGCGCAACCTCTCCTCTTTATCCAAAAACCTCAGCCATCTCAACACTATCAACAACAACCTACTGACCTTCAACAAAAGCTTTGCCACCTTCCTCCAGGGCCTTCACCTTAACAGTGAATGCCTAGAGTTTCCCGAAGCACCCAATGAAGCTACACATGCTTTGGCTCAACGGCCCATGACGCCGCCACCATTGGCCGTAATGGAATCTGCCGCTGCTGAGACATCTGCCCTTTCCGCCAGCAAACGCCACCAGGCAACAGTTGTTTCTGCGGAAAAGCCCAGGAAACGGGTGGTTATTAAAACCTCCTCTACTGGACCAGCGGTGAAACGCCGGAAACCAGTGTTTCAGACACGGAGGATTACGGATTTGCTGCCTTCAAGGTTCAAGGAACAGCCGCATAAAGGTGCGATCGAACAGGTACTGAAGGAGCTGAATATGAATCGCGACGGCATGTATGCCCATGAGATTGTCAGGGATGTTGGCGGCGCAATGACAAGGAACAAATGTATGGATTATATGAACGCTTTGGTGCTGACTGAAGCTGTCGTGAGAGTTAATAAAAAAGGCCATTTGTTTTATCTCGACCCTGAGAGATTCCCTCAGTAATAATTGTTAATATAATATATATAATAAAATTAAATAAATTTTAACAACGTAAAAATATACCCTTTTATGCCCACGTTTTTCAAAACCCCCAAGAAAAATTAATAAAATCAATTTGATTACTGTTTGAAATAGTACAGTAACACACTCTCCATTTTTTCCAACAAAATAGGGACAACAAAATGCTTCGTCTACAAAAAAAATTATCATTCTTTTTAAAAAAATTCCTTGCACTTTCAACCGTGCTTTGTCAAATGAAAAAAACATAGTAACAATATTGTGGAAAATGAATGTGAAAAATAATATAAATTGTTGACAACAAAAAGATTCTTTTTCATTTTTCATTTTATTTTGTTATTGTCTTTTTTCTCTTCGAAGTCATTTACACGGTGCCAATACAGATAAATCTTTTTTATTTTTAAACCTTTTCAACTATACAAAAAGGAACCGGACCCACCTGTAACCTAATTTCTCTTTTTTTGTTTCTTGTTTTTTTTCTGTTTTTGCTGTAACTCCTTCGCGCATATATATGTATATATATTTCACAGGTAACTTTTTTGTTTACATATATATCTGATTCCGATTCAACCAGTAAAAAACTTGTTTACTATTTTGCACTAACAATACCTAGAATATTTCAGTCTTTTCTTTATTTCTTTAGCAAATATCCTAAAACGATAAAAAACAATGGAGCAATCAGAGTGGACCGGCTCCCAGTCCTACGCTGGGGACATTATGGCCAGCAGAAACAGCTACAGCAACGCACGCATATCTTGCGCACCCAACACCACCACACACACCGCTACCGGTGCCGAATCATCGCAAACACTCCCAAGCTACGGCATCTACGGTATCCGAGGCAACCCCATTCCCAGCAACGAAACCAGCCTTGCAGGCAGCGCGCAGCTCCAAAAATCGCCAACCGAACAAATATCCAACAGCACCACAGGCAACTTCAACACCGGCATAATATTTTCCGAAAAACCACTCCCTTCTCATGAGACCATCGAGGATTTAGAGACCACGCGCACGAGACAACTCTGGGTGGTTTTCACATGGCTGGTGACGTGGTGGATCCCCTCGCCTTTTCTCAACTGGTGCGGTCGCATGAAAAGGCCGGATGTGCGGATGGCGTGGCGGGAGAAAGTGGCAATTTGCATTGTTATTTTCTTCATCTGGAGCATCCTCCTTTTTGTCATCATCGGCCTAGGCCTTCTATTGTGTCCGAAGGAGTATGTTTGGACAATGGACGAGGTGGCTGGACGCACGTCGCCCAGGGACGCATATGTGGCAATGCGCGGTCGCGTCTACGATATCGCTGAGTTCGTCAATCAGAAACACGGTCTAAAGTCGTTTGAAGCAAGCAAGGAGTTGATGCTTATGTTTGCCGGCCAGGACATTAATGCGTCGTTTCCGGTGTCCGTGCGCATGGCGTGTCCGTCCCTGGTGTCAAAAAAGGACGACCCCAAGTACGGCATGTACCTGACTATGGCTGACGCCACCGTATTGCAGGCGTTTCCGTTTACACATAAGGTCGGCGCGCTGTCCAGCTCCAAGGAGATGAGCGATCCGTCGTTTTACGGCAAGTATGTTGTCCCGACAATGAACAAGTTCAAGAAGGGCGATGTTGTCTGGGATTACGACTGGATCAATAGCATGCATGTTGACCAGGGCAAGTACTGGCGCGTGATCAACAAGGAAGTGTTCAACCTGGAGGACTACTTTGCTACCATAGACTACCCCGGCAACACGGACAAAAAGTGGCAGTTCCTGAATAACCATATAGTTAATATCTTTGACGACAAGGGCTCGGGCAGCACGGATATCACCAAGGAGTGGAGCGATATTCCCTGGGACGTCCAGGACCGGCTGGCCAACTACAACTGCATGAAAAACCTGTTTTATGTCGGCAGAGTCGACGACCGCCAGAGCGTCCGCTGCCTGTTTACCAACTACATGCTGCTTGCATTTGCCTGTGTGCTGATGACCATTGTTTTGGTCAAGTTTCTTGCCGCCATGCAGTTTGGTGCGAAGAACAGACCGCTGACGCCGAACAAGTTTGTTGTTTGCCAGGTGCCCTGCTACACTGAGGACGATGCCAGTTTAGTCAAGACTATTGACTCGCTAGCGGGATTGGAATATGACGACAAGCACAAGCTGATTTTTGTCATTTGCGATGGCAACATTGTCGGCTCCGGCAACGAAAAGTCGACGCCGCGCATTGTGCTGGATATTCTGGGCGTTGATCCTGAGTACGATCCACCGGGCCGCGATTACCTTGCCATTGCCGAGGGCTCACGCCGGCACAACATTGGCAAGGTGTACTCTGGCCTGTACGAGTTTGAGGGCCACGTCGTGCCCTTTATGGTTGTGGTTAAGGTTGGCACGCCCGACGAGTCCAACCGCTCTGGTAATCGCGGCAAGCGCGACTCGCAGATCCTGCTCATGTCGTTCTTCAACAAGGTACACTTTGACCTGCCGATGACGCCACTGGAGCTCGAGATCTACCACCAGATGCGCCATATCATCGGAATCAACCCGCGCGACTTTGAATATCTGCTGCAAGTTGACGCCGACACAGAGGTAATGCCCGACTCGCTGTCACGCCTGATTGCTGCCTGCTCGTCGGACCAGCGCATTGCGGGAATCTGTGGCGAGACCATGCTGGGCAACGAGAGCAAGAGCTGGACAACAATGATGCAGGTATACGAGTACTTTATCTCCCACCACATGGCTAAGGCCTTTGAGTCGCTTTTTGGCTCTGTCACCTGCCTGCCTGGGTGCTTCTGCATGTACCGCATGCGCAGTGCCGAGGGCAAGCCACTGCTTATTGCCAAGCCTGTACTCGAGGCGTACTCCGAGCTGCATGTCGACACGCTGCACAAGAAAAACCTTTTGTCGCTCGGTGAGGATCGCTACCTGACCACGCTGATGATGAAGCACTTCCCGCAGTTCAAGTACAAGTTTATCCACGATGCAAAGTGCAAGACCATTGCACCCGAGAAATGGTCCGTATTGATGTCGCAGCGCCGCCGCTGGATCAACTCGACCATCCACAATCTGGCTGAGCTGATGTTCTTGCAGGACATGTGCGGATTCTGCTTCTTTTCGATGCGCTTTGTCGTGTTCCTCGATCTCTTTGGTACCATTACGATGCCGACGACAATATTCTACTTTGCGTATTTGATTTACGTCTCGATTACCGGCCTCGCTGACGTCGGCTACATCTCCTTGATTCTCATCGGTGCCATCTATGGCGCGCAGGCTGTAATATTTATTATGCGCCGCGAGTGGCAGCATGTCGGCTGGATGCTTATTTACTTATTCACTTTCCCGCTGTGGTCATTCATCCTGCCAATCTACTCGTTCTGGCACATGGATGACTTCTCGTGGGGCAACACGCGTGTTGTGGTTGGCGACGGCAAACGCAAGCTCATTGTTGAGGACGACAAGCCGTTCAACCCCGACTCTATCCCGCAGCGCTGCTGGATGGACTATGAGGTAGAGCTCGCATCTGCGGGTGTGTTGAATGCCCCGCCGCCCAATATGAATCACAATGCAACATCCGTTAACAACGACGATGACAACGTCACCGTGTACACTAGACAGTCCGTGGCCATGATGAACCATCTGCGGATGAGCAGCGTCTACGGGCTTCAAAACCCGCTGTCGATGATCGGATCGATGGGCCCGTCCGCTGACCAGTACTTGGGATCCAGACCAGTGACCCCGTCCGGCGCAATAGCAGGCGGCCCTAGTAGCCAAAGATACTCGATGGGCACGGCGATATCCAACCCGGCAAATATGTTTATGCCGTACAATATGCAGACAATAAACCAGTCCGTGTCGGCATTCCAGCATCCTGAGGCAGCTGCCATGGGCGCAAGAAACAGCTCTGTTTCTGTCTATGCGCTCGACAACAGATTGTCAATGGCGACCGGTATGGCTGGCAGACCGTACACAACCATCTCAGCGCCGGGTTCGGCGCAAATTTCAGGAGCGTCCATAGGCCAACTGGAATCTCCTGAATATGCCGCCGCCGTTGCTGCTGTTGGAATAGCCATGGGCGGAATCGTGCCGGATATGATTCAGCGGCCAATGTCCTTGTACCCCGCTGTGCCCTCAATGACTGTGGCGGATATCCAGCAGCAGATGCACTTCAGTGGCCTGCCCTCGGATGCGCAGCTAATCGATTCTATTGGTCGTATTTTGGCTGCTTCGGACCTGACTGCGATGACGAAAAAGAAGGTTCGGCATCAGCTTGCGCTGGAGTTTGGCGTGGATCTGATCAACCGAAAGGACTTTATCAGCGACGTCGTTGACCGCATGCTCTCTGGCGTCATTTGATTTTTTTGTCTCCATTTCTCTACCAAATAAAAAATAATTCTTTTTTCTCTGTTCAAAAACGTACTTAAAAAATCCTTCAAATTTAAACAGTGCTGTCAGCAACTCTCTGCGCACAAATGTGAAAATGTGAATGAGAAAAGAAAACACGTTGATATATTGAAAGTTTTTTTTTAAAAAAAAAAAAAGAAAAGATAAAGTGGCATGTGTGGTACCGGAGAGTGATTAGTCGTTGTCCTCCTCTATCTGGGGAGCCAGGTAGAAGCGAATGTGGCCCATATCGGAGATCTTGAACTCGAACATGACAGGTGCCTCCTCAATAAGGTTGATGGACACGCGTTCGGCCAGCGGTGCAGCCTTGGCAAAGTTGGCCAGATACTTCAGAGCCAACGAATGGCTGACGGGCTCGGTGATCTCAACCATGGTTCCCGAGTTAGACTCATCATCAATAGTCTTATTGTGCTTCAGCAAGATGTTACCATTACCGTCATCGCCCGAGGCCGAGAACCGGACGCCCTGCTTAGTGGCATCAATAGTGACAGCATCACCGATGCTCATCAGATCACGAACGATGCGTGCAAACTCCTGGGCGCTCATGCTGACGGTCGCCTGGTAGTCCATCTCGGGCACGTCGACGGAGTCAATGTCAATGTCCATCAGCTTGAGGTTGAACTCGCTCATGCGGTCTCTGTTTTTGTTCTCAAACGCCAGTGAAAGCGCCTCAGCCTCGTCCGCAGCCTTGATCTGAACCTGATCGTCGTTGGCTGCGCACTTGAGAATCTTGCTGAACGAGTTCAGGTTGATACCAAGGGTCTGCGAGCGGTCGCAGCGGTACTCGCTGAAGCCGTCGGCGCGCAAGTAGAGGAAGGACAGGGCGACGTGCGACTTGTCCATGGCCTGAAGTCTGATTCCGGTCTCGGAGAAGTCAAAGTTGGCCTCGTCGACGAGCTCCTTGATAGCCTCGATAATCTTCTTGAGAAGAGATGCCTGGGGGATAACAGCTTCGATCATTTTTTTGACAGTGTAATTTTGTTTTGTTTTGTTTTAGTTTCCTGCTGCGGCGGTGGACAGGTGACAATAATGAGAGTGAAAGAGTGAATTGCAAAACGAGAAAGAGAAAGAGAAAGAATCAACAGGCTGGTAAAAAAATACAAGGAAAGATTGAATCTTTTTTAAAACGGCGCGAGCTGAGCGATCAATCCGACTCTGAAAAAAACAAACAGTTAAAAAAAGAGGCACGTTTTCAACTAGACTCTCTTCGAAAAAGCTGGAACGCGTCAATTACGCGTACAAGCAGTGACAAAAAAATCAGTCGAGCCGAGCCGATTACTTTTAAACGTCAACATTTGCACTTTTGATTAGATTTTTATGTTTTTCAAAGCGAGTTGGTCTCACGCATATACATAGTAACAAAAATATGAGTACAGAAAAAGACGCATGATAAGCAAGCAACTAGAATTTGATGTGCTGGGCAAAAAACCTCCACACTTCGCCCAGAGAAAATAGATCTATATATCCGCTTGCTCATTTGACAAAGCCCTGTCCTGTGTTAAACAACTGAAGGCTATACCTGGTATGATATGTGGATAAAGCAATCAATGCACTGCCTGCAGGGATAAGTGGCTGTAGTAGAGGGTTGCCTCCTTGGCTTTGCGACCAACTGCTGCTGCCGAGTCTCTGCCAAATGATTGTACTTACCTTTTAACCATTTGCAAAGATAAGTGGGTAAATACAATCTTCAAGGTTTTCTCAATGGTTGGGGATTTGTCAGTGTATATTAGAACTAGTGTTTACATCCCATGCTGTATCTAAAACGACAACAGTGCCAGCAATGCGCACACTATTGCAGCCAATTGGCTTCACCTTGAGACAAGATGATCAAATGACGGTGGAGGTGCTGGATATGTGCAACCACTGTACTAATACGCACACACGCACAAACCTTTAAACCATGCAAAGACATAGAAAACAATGATCAGTCGATAAAAGGGAATGAGGCGCTGATATTGCGCATATTTAATATTGCAATTTTTTTGCTTTGTTTCTTTACTAGTTCGACACGATGTTTTTGGAACTTTTTTCCCATCAGGACAACGGAGAGAGAGAAGGCTGTCATCAATGCTCATAGCATATAGTGTATAGTTGCTGAATAGGAAATGTATTTAGCTTCTTATCTGGGTGCTAGCACCACTGGTTATGTCTGCACTGCTTCTATTTCCCCTTTTTTCTTTTTTGCTGGATATTATATTACACTCTATTTGGTGTGTTTATTTGTTTTTGTATTCGCCATTTTTTATTTGCCTATACTTGTCTAGTAACATAGCGCCGCCACAACTCAAGTGCAGAGGCTGTGACTGCTTGGATTCTTCTCTTTGGCAATAGGTACGCGATCTCACCGTATTATTGGCAAGTGATATGCCCGAGGGCACACGTCACTTTCATTGCACCCCGTTGGTCATATCATCAGAGATATAATTTCAATATGAATGACCGGTGACTATTGGTCCACATACCCTGCAACGCAAATTTATTATCCCAGTAATTTCATTATCACTACGACTATGACCAACACTGGACCTCTTGCCCAGCATTTATATTTTGTATTATTGTTGACAGCTGCTACTGTTTTAAATTTTCGCACTTATTTAACATCCCATGGCCAAATCGTCAGTTAGACACTATTGTTGTTTTCGTATGTTTGTCATGGAAATAACATTGTTCTATTTATGTCTGTCCGCTGTGCACATAAAAGGGCATCTGATTCCGTTATGCTCGCCCTGCTCAAGAAAGCGTGTCCGCTTTTGCGCCACTTTGTTGTCGGGGATTGCAGCTGCGCAATGAGCCTGGCTCTGACGATGTAGCCCAAGCTTGACAGCCAAACAAATCAAAATGGGTCAAATGCGACGGGGTACCCCCCCATTTATCCAGCCTCTGGGCTGCAAGCACAGTAACAAGCATTGCATAGATGTGTCTTGCCACTGGAAGAGGAAGAGCTTACTGCCCAAACATCCACAAAAACTGAGCAGCAACCGCTTTCATATTTTTATTGTTTGTTTTGGCACATATCTCCACTCTTTCAACTTATAGCAAATTCTTGCTCATCGCCCCTCAAAAAAGCTTGTGCAGGTTAAACATATTCTGCCTTTTCTAATACCCGCCTGTAGTTTATTATTTTGTCGTCCTGGTTATAGCGGTTGATAATCCGACGACATGGACAGAAAGCCGACATTTTCGTACTACGGTTCCCAGGCAAACAGGACCGGCGCCAGCGATGACGACTTTGGCCCCAATAACACGACGTACTCGCGCGTAACCAACTATGGTAACCCGTTTGAGGACCAGGCGGCGTCGGCCGCCGCAATAGCTGGCAGCATGTACAGCCGAAACCCCAACTATATGAGCAGCCCTCGTCAGGGTGCGTCTGAAATGCACAATGAAAAGGCTAGCAATATTGATACGTTTGCCAAAAGGGCTTCTGACCCAGGCCCCGCAGGCGGCAGTGGCGGCGAGGGCAACGTTTACAAGGGCACCCACGAGCATGTCGAGGACCTCGAGATCACGACGAGTCGCCGCCTGTGGGTGATCTTTACTTGGATGGTGACGTGGTGGATTCCTTCGCCGTTGTTGCAATTCTGCGGCCGCATGGGGCGCCCCGATGTGCGCATGGCCTGGCGCGAGAAGGTGGCCATTTGCGTAATCATCGGGTTTATGTGGGCCTTTCTTCTGTTCATTATCATCGGCCTGGGCCTTATAGTATGCCCGCGCCAGTATGTGTGGACGCTGGACGACGTGGCGGGCAAGAACACCGCAAAGAGCTCGTTTGTTGCCATGCGCGGCTCGGTCTACGACATCACAAACTTTATGAAGCAGAAGCACGGTGACAGTGCCTACACCTCGACTCCAGAACTTATGCTTGAGACGTACTCTGGCCAAGACGTCAATGCGTCGTTCCCCATTCCAGTTCGTGTCGCGTGCCCCCAGTTTGTCTCGGCGCAGACTGACCCCAATTATCTGTTTTTCTACCCGGTGTCGGGCGCCTCCGAGGTTGATCCTAACCAGGCCAACATGTTCCAGCACACAATGAACCGGTCCCCCTTGTCCAAGGAGCTCCAGGACCCAAATTTCTACTCAAAGTACGCACTGCCGACGCTTAAAAAGTTCAAGAAGGGCGGCATCGTGTGGAAGTTCGACTGGATTAATGACATGTACATCGAGCAGTCCATGTTCTGGCGCGTCATTAACAAGGAGGTGTTCAACATGCAGCCCTACTTTGACGCGGCCAAGAGCGGGCTCAACGTCAACAAAAAGTACAACCTTTTAGACGCCAGACTTGAGAAAATCATGGATCAGGGCGGTTACGGCACGGCAGATATCACCAAGGACTGGGACGCGCTCAACTGGAACTCAACCGCCAAGCTCAACAACTACAACTGCATGAAGAATATGTTTTATGTTGGCAGAGTCGACGACCGCCAGAGCGTCCGCTGCCTGTTTACCAACTACATGCTGCTTGCATTTGCCTGTGTGCTCATGCTTGTCGTATTGGTCAAGTTTCTTGCCGCCATGCAGTTTGGAAACAAGAAGCGACCCGTCCCTCCAATCAAGTTTGTCGTTTGCCAGGTGCCCTGCTACACTGAGGACGACGAAAGCCTGCTCAAGACTATCACCTCGCTGGCTGCACTTGATTACCAGGACAAGCACAAGCTAATTTTTGTCATTTGCGACGGCAACATTGTCGGCTCCGGCAACGAAAAGTCGACGCCGCGCATTGTGCTGGATATTCTGGGCGTTGATCCTGAGTACGATCCACCGGGCCGCGATTACCTTGCCATTGCCGAGGGCTCACGCCGGCACAACATTGGCAAGGTGTACTCTGGCCTGTACGAGTTTGAGGGCCACGTCGTGCCCTTTATGGTTGTGGTTAAGGTTGGCACGCCCGACGAGTCCAACCGCTCTGGTAATCGCGGCAAGCGCGACTCGCAGATCCTGCTCATGTCGTTCTTCAACAAGGTACACTTTGACCTGCCGATGACGCCACTGGAGCTCGAGATCTACCACCAGATGCGCCATATCATCGGAATCAACCCGCGCGACTTTGAATATCTGCTGCAAGTTGACGCCGACACAGAGGTAATGCCCGACTCGCTGTCACGCCTGATTGCTGCCTGCTCGTCGGACCAGCGCATTGCGGGAATCTGTGGCGAGACCATGCTGGGCAACGAGAGCAAGAGCTGGACAACAATGATGCAGGTATACGAGTACTTTATCTCCCACCACATGGCTAAGGCCTTTGAGTCGCTTTTTGGCTCTGTCACCTGCCTGCCTGGGTGCTTCTGCATGTACCGCATGCGCAGTGCCGAGGGCAAGCCACTGCTTATTGCCAAGCCTGTACTCGAGGCGTACTCCGAGCTGCATGTCGACACGCTGCACAAGAAAAACCTTTTGTCGCTCGGCGAGGATCGCTACCTGACCACGCTGATGATGAAGCACTTCCCGCAGTTCAAGTACAAGTTTATCCACGATGCAAAGTGCAAGACCATTGCACCCGAGAAATGGTCCGTATTGATGTCGCAGCGCCGCCGCTGGATCAACTCGACCATCCACAATCTGGCTGAGCTGATGTTCTTGCAGGACATGTGCGGATTCTGCTTCTTTTCGATGCGCTTTGTCGTGTTCCTCGATCTCTTTGGTACCATCACGATGCCAACAACCCTTGGGTATTTCATCTATCTGATCTACATTGGAATTACCGGTCTCGCTGACGTCGGCTACATCTCCTTGATCCTCATCGGTGCCATCTATGGTGTGCAAGCCATCATATTTATTATGCGACGTGAGTGGCAGCATGTCGGCTGGATGCTTATTTACCTGTGTGCCTATCCGCTGTGGTCGTTCATCCTGCCAATCTACTCGTTCTGGCACATGGATGACTTCTCGTGGGGCAACACGCGTGTTGTGGTTGGCGACGGCAAGCGCAAGCTCATTGTTTCCGATGACAAGCCATTCAACCCCAATTCCATTCTCCAGCGCCACTGGTCACAATATGAGATTGAACTTTTGTCGGCAGGTGTGCTGAATGCCCCGCCGCCCAATATGAATCCTAATGCTGGGTCGAGCAAGGAGGATGACCGCGTAACAGTGTACACCAGACACTCTGTGGCTATGGGCGCTGGGTCCAGGTATGGTGCGCACACGCCGGTGGCAACCATGCATCGCGCTAGCTCTCCGAACACAATGATCAATATCAATGGCAGCCACGACCCACGGCTGCAGATATCGACTCCTGTCGCTCAAGCTCAGCAGATGCATCAGTACCAGTCCGTTTACCAGGCGCAGGGGATGGTGCTACCGCGCGCAATGAGTTCCGCATCAGGCATGATTGCTCCTCAGGTGAACGACGGCACCATGAGCTCTCGCGGCACGTCGTACTATAGACCTCAGGGTGTCGGGTTTAATGACGCAATATCGCCGATGCACTCGAGCTCGGGACTTTTGGCATCTGGTGCGCCCATGGGGACGAATGCGGGGAGCTCGCCCGAAAGCGCTGACTACTCCCAGTCGTCTGGCATGCCAACAGTCAACGTCGCGATTTCGAGCAGCCCCCTTCAGCAGCACCAGCATCAGCAGCAACAGTATCAGCAACGCGAGTCAATGTTCAGCTCGTCTTCATACGGTGTGCCCAGCATGTATATCCCACAGCCTGTGTCGATGGTAGCTTACCAAGCTGGCGGCGCTCCAACGGACGAACAATTGGTTGAGAGTATTAGGCGGATTCTCAGCTTGCAGGATCTCAACACTGTGACCAAGAAGAGTGTCAGGGCGCAGCTGACGATTGATTATGGCGTAGATCTGACTGCTCGCAAGGAGTTCATTGGAAACGCCATCGAGCTCATCCTCGCTGGAAAGCTTTAAGCAAAGTATACCTTTTTCCATATTATTATTCATATGTTAAAGCTTGCATTGGCCGTTATGGCCGGTAATAAAATAAAAACTCATTGTGCACCAATACTCATGTACACCAATAGAATTTTGCAACAAATCCCTAATATTAACGTGATTACAATTTATTTATTTGGTTTGCTCCTTGGCGAAATAAACTATTGATTTGGTTTAATTTGATTACGGGCGGACCACTTGCAAAGTGTTAAAATGCGCTTTTCGGGCCATGTGAAAGGTATTGCAAGACCCTTTGCCATGTGCCTTTCACGTGAAATCGAATAGCCTGCGGATGAGCCAGGGCAACCAAGCCAATTTGTATGCAGAAAATGCCCACACACGTGAAGATAAAAAACGCTGCTGTGTTGGTCAAAGTGGATTTGCGTGGAGAGAGAGAGAGAGAAAAACCGCTCCTGAATATCCTGCCTAACCTCGCTCACTGCGCATCAAATCGCTTCCGTATGGAGAGGCAAACAAAAAAGTATTTAAACCTCCCAGAAACGATGCCAGCCTCAAAAACGAGAAGCACAGGACTGACAACATTTACGCTCACTTTATTTACATAAAATCTCCAATCATGGGTTTCCTCAGCACGATTTCAGCAGCCTACTCGATCGCTACCTCAGAGAACTACGACATTGACTGGGAGAAACAGGAGACTCGGGACGCCGCCAAGGCCCACTGGGATGCCGTCAAAACCAAGGCCAACGATGCCCTGCCTCTTGCTGCCCTGCGCTTGACCGCCGAGCAGAAAACATTGCTCGATGAGCTTTTGAAGGATAGCAACGGGTTGTTCCCTGAGAACCCCACCGACCATCTTTTGGCCGAGTTGCCCAAGGCCATTCCGCCTGCCAGCCTGAACCGCATTGTTGGAAGCGTAGTCGATGACTGTCTGAAGAACCACAAGCACGCTGCCCAGGCCGCCAAGTAATGTGAGCTTGCTCTGCGCGACGATATTTGATTTTAAAACACATACAGCATTTTCTACTTTTTAAATACACTCGACTTGTAATAACAAAATACTCTAAAATGTCAGTCCTTTTACTCCCTTCTTCCCCCCTTTTGCCAACCTTTTTTGTTTCCACTTGTACATAAATCAGCTGAATTTGCACTCTTATACCAAAATTATTATTTGTTATTTGTTATTTTCACACCCCGCAATGACTGTCGATAGTCTGTTCATACTCAACACTTCTGGGTACGTCGTGTGCCCTGCCACCGGAATGCAAACCAGCTTCTGCTCGCATTCTGCACAAATTCAAACCAGTCAATTTTGCAGCTGAGAGACAACGACAGATGCAACGCACTCCTCATTCGTTCTAAATTTACCTTACAATTTATCTGCTTGCTTACTCATTTTCGCATAGAACATCAGTTATCCAGAAACACTGGTGCGACGATGTGTCGATACGGCGAGCGTCTTTAGTCGTCGTGCCAGCGTTCACCAAGTACCTGCGGTCATTTGCTGCCATGCACGACGCAGAACCCGTTTGGAGTGCGCCGCTAGACACAGTGTGCATTCATATTCAGCGGAAGGAGCTGGTGTACTTGGGCATCGTTTCCCAAGAAATTCCGCCGCTCGAGGTCCTAGAGCTGCTCGAAGGCGTGGACCAGGCACTCACAGAATACATTGGGCTGCTGTCGGAGGTCACGATAAAGGAGAACTTTACCACTGTTTACCAACTGCTCTCAGAGATGGTTGACAGCGGCTGCGCGGTGACCACAGATACATCGGTTCTGCGTGGGCTGGTACCAGTGCCCAGCCTGGTCAATAGAGTCATCGAGAACGTGTCTGGGATTGGAATTGGCACGGAGAAACGACCAGACGTCAATACATCGTCGACACCATGGCGTGCGCAAGGGATTAGGCACACGAACAACGAATTCTTTGTTGACATTGTCGAGAAGATTGATGCAATTGTAAATTCCAACGGGTCGGTGGTCTCGTACGACGTGTCGGGCGACATTGGGTGTAAATCGCGGCTATCCGGGATGCCCGATCTTTTGCTGGCGCTTAATCGGCCCGAGGTAATGGACGATGTGGCCTTCCACCCTTGCGTACGCATTAACAAATGGGAGAACGAGGGTGTTATTGGGTTTGTGCCCCCAGACGGCCAGTTCAAGCTGGCCTCATTCCATGTGGCCACAGACGCGTCGCCGCGCATATTGCCCATTTACGTGCACGCGACGACTACGCGCCAGGAGCTGGCCCGCACCATAGAACTATCGGCTGAAGTCGGTCAGTGTGGCGGGCGTCCTATCGAAAAAGTGCAGGTGCGTGTTCCGTTGCCGTCTCAGGCATATAATATCCGCGTCCAGTGCAAGGCAGGCACGTACACGGTGTCCAATGGCCGCACTTCGCAGGTTGAGTGGTTTATGAAGACGCTGAAAGCTGGTGACCGGTCATCACGACTTGTCATCCAGTATTTTGTGCGCCAGAGTGCCGTGACAAACGCTGTGGCAGGAAATTCCTCGCCACAGGCTGTGTCTTCCGATCAGGACATGGCTCAGGAAGCGTTTGTCGATTTTGAGGTTGCTGGGTACTCCGTGTCTTCCATAAAGGTTGACTCGTTGAAACTAATGCGCGAGTCGTATAAGCTGTTCAAGGGCGTGCGCTACATTACAAAGGCCGGGTCGTTTCAGGTGCGCTTCTAAATACATATTTTTGCGTTATATTTTTAGAGAATTATTTATAAGCAAGACTCATTGTGCATTGCACAAAAAATAATTGTTACTTTGCTGTTACTCGATTCGGACCAGAGACGTTTTTTGTATCAGTGCCAAGCCATGGTGATAGAGACAATGTGCGTGAATGAATATTTTGTATTTTAATTACGCAACAATGTCGAAAGACACGACAGCTGTTATTAAAAGGAACAAAAAATAAGCGGCTCTCAAGAATATATGATAGTTGCCAATTAGATAATAATTGAACAATGCACATCCTGAAACAAAACATTCACTTATGCGGACGCAATGTTACACATATGTATTGTACTACGCATATCGAATGTACTCTACATATTAATGCGCAGCAAGGCTCGCAATCCTTTGCGCTGTTTGAAATTGATTTTTTGTACTGCAATGCTCGTTTCTGTTGTGCCCATTTTGTATTCCGAAAATGAAAGGCATATTTCTGGGTACAATATTGTGGCGTCAATGGCAGGTTGAAATGTTTTGTTACTTCCAGATCCAAAAAGAACAATAATGTGTTTGGTATAGCTTGCGCAGACAGGTTCTCAATACTGAAAAGTATTTGTTGTCAATTCGCAATTGCCACCCTTTTGCAACGCCCTCTATCCGCCTGAGGAACAACATAAGAAAGACACGGCTTGTCACTGGTATATAACTAACGCACTATCTGCTCTAATATTTGCGGTTTTACACCATCAGCATTTCTATTCACTCCACACCAAGCATTATTCAACTTCTAACTATACCATTTTTTAAACCCAACTTATTTTGTTTAATATTTTCAATGCAGCTCAAACTATCTGGTGTCTTGACGTTGGCGGCAGCTTGCGCTTTGGCGAAAGATTTTGATTTCAAGTCACCAGAGGCTATCAACTGTGCAAAGAATAACTGGGGCGATATCAAAAGTAAGGTTGATCCATTAATTTCAAAAGCAAGGGATTACTTATCAGAAAATAGTCTCAGCAAGATCATGGAGCTGTTCGACGAAGGCGCGACCGAGTTGCCAAACACCGCGCCCAAAGACAACGAGTGGTACAAGAGGGCCGCCGATATATTGCCTGCTCCTCTGGTTAAGCAAATTGGCAGCGACATTATTAGAAAGTGCAACTTGTAATACTCTATAAAAATAAAATCAATATTTATGACTATCAAAGTATCAACTTTGCAAATATAAGGGATTGGCCGAGCTTGATTGACTCTTGATTTTTATGTTGATTCGAAAAACTGATCGCACACCTGTTTTGCACTTATGCAATTGAAAGCTTTATTTCTGGCCCAGGGAAATACAAAAATGTGTTTACGCACTGCGGCTGGTGCAAAATCAAAGCAGAAATAATATTAGCCCACGCATGAGCGACATGACTCTTGTTATTCGAACAAACCCGTTAATAGCTGTATTTGTTTCACCGTGTTCTCGTTTCGAAAACCTGGCAGAGTTATTGACTGTTATCAGCGGCCAAATGTTATGATTTTGATTTTTTGACAATTCGTCTAAATAAACATGATAAAATACAAATATTGTTATGATTCTGTGTTTTTGGATTTGTTTATGTTTTTCAACTGCCATTCTCATTTCTATCGCTGTTATCATTTTCATTGACATTTAGATATTTCTAATTTAGAAATTTAGAGTATCCATTTGCAAGTACCAAATAGTCAATATCCCAAGCTCTTGCTCAATCCCTGTTGCAGAGAATGAAAAAGCTCTGATGAATTTAGAGTAGAGACCATCTTGCACGCACCTTTTTCTGTTTAAACTTTGCTATTGCCAGAGCGCATTCCATCGCGCAGTTGGTACTTTCCATGTTGTTATTTGGCTGATCATCTAGAAATGGCAATAAATAGGGAACGCGAAACTTTCACGAAATGCGGGCGCTCATTGCAAAGTGACTGCCACACAAAGAAAAAGGTCCATCTCAAAAAATGTAAATAAAAACATGCAAGTTTTTGGGTGTAGTTGTCAGACTTGCTTTTGGTGGCAAGTCTTGGCAAATCAGCAAAATCACAGCCGTTAGCCCTGCATGCCATGGCAACTGCGGTGGCATTTCCTGACTCAGTCCTGGATACAAGGTCATTTGAGACCGTTTTAGAATTTTTAACTATACATTATTCGCCGCATTTCGGGTTGAGTGCAATGCACATTGGAGGGTTGAGAGAAGTTTGGAAACAGACATTTCTTTCATGACTGAAGTGTACGTCATACTCTGCTTAAAATAGCAGCAGGGGTGACAGCCGTTCCCAACGCGCCGAATGTTTATTTTTGGCACTGAGCGCACTAATATTGGGGCAGGCAAGGCAAAGACAACAGCTCCCAAGAGGCGCTTACGCATCCCCTTTACACCACCTCCTGATTTCTCAGCACGGTGCCCATTGGCTCGCACGCCGCGCTATTGCATCAACTGTGCGGCCCATTCCCAATTCTGCGGGGTTTACAATTGCCACGCTGGGATCGACAATCGCAATCCATCTAATTGGCCAATCACGTGTCGGTCTGGTTAGCATTTGGGCTCGGGAGAGGGGAGGCAAAAAAACCGCTTGGGACGCAGAAGCCATAAAAAGTGCCAATGTCCAAAACTAGTGTATATCAGCGGATTCAGGATTTGCATCTGAATTCAGACGCCAAAAATAATAAAAAACCCACCTGCAATGTGCAAAAAAAGTAGCAATGCTAAAAGAATAATTTCATGTTCTGCTTCATTATGATTTCCTTGCCGACTCTCCCCAGATTTTATTTTATTATCGAGAAATATTTGCCCCTTTTGGGGGTTGGCTTTGTGACATTTGCACCGCATGTGTTGTATACGTATTGTCAAACGGTCCGCAATGAGGTGGAATGAAATGAGACAGAAAGATGGCTTCCAGCTGCAGACGATGTTGCGTTGCATCTTCAAATTATTTCTCACATTGCAGGCGAGAAAGGACGAAGAGTGTCATGTTTGTGCATATGCACACACAGGCTGCTGTGCGATGATCGCCAATTCAAAAACAAATAGAAAAATTGTCCTTTTGAATTATTTCCAAACACTCACTATCCCCCACTGATCGAGCAAGCGGTAAGGTGGAAATGGAGAGAACCAGATAGAGACAGACAGAGAAAGAAGGAAATAACAGCAACATTTTAACCCAAACAGGCGCTGTATATAAAAAGATTAGGACGCGGCAGAGGCCGCAAAACTTTACTTTTCCTAAGCTCCACGCTTTTACTAAAATCTATCCTCCTCTATCTCACCGCCTTTTTACCCTATTCTTTCACCCCCTTTCCCTTACGTTTTTAAATAGAGCAAGGCCCATTGTATCCCCAGCTCATATCGAATAATAAACACAACAATGAACACCATGAGAATCACTTTCGGCATTGCTGCCATCGCCTCGGCCGCCTTCGCCCAGGGCTACAACACCGTCGCCCCCACCGACGTGTACACCTTCAGCCCCCCGGCCTACGTTGCTGTCCCCCCCGCCCCGGTTGTCCCCGACTACACCAGCACCGCTGTTGAGACCACCCCCGCTGCCCCCGCCTACTCCTCGGCCCCCGCCGTCGAGACCACCCCCGTCGCCGATTACACCACCGAGGTCTCTGCTGTTGAGACCACCCCTGCTGCCCCCGGCTACTCCACCGTTCCCGTTGTCGAGACCACTGTTGCTAGCTACACCACCGAGGTCCCCGCTGTTGAGACCACCCCTGCTGCCCCCGGCTACTCCACCGTTCCCGTTGTTGAGACTACCGTTGCTGGCTACACCACCGACGTCCCCGCTGTAGAGACCACCCCCGTTGTTGAGGTCCCCGTCTACACCACTCCCGTCGAGTACGTCAGCGTCGAGGTCCCCGTCAGCTCTGCTCCTTCTAAGTGCATCCCCCGTCCTACCCCTGTCTACGAGACCACCCCCGTCGCCGATTACACCACCGAGGTCTCTGCTGTTGAGACCACCCCTGCTGCCCCCGGCTACTCCACCGTTCCCGTTGTCGAGACCACTGTTGCTAGCTACACCACCGAGGTCCCCGCTGTTGAGACCACCCCTGCTGCCCCCGGCTACTCCACCGTTCCCGTTGTTGAGACTACCGTTGCTGGCTACACCACCGACGTCCCCGCTGTAGAGACCACCCCCGTCTACGAGACCACCCCCGTCTACGAGACCACCCCCGTTGAGGAGTACAGCACCTCCGAGGAGTCCACTCCCGTCTACGAGACCACCCCCGTTGAGGAGTACAGCACCTCCGAGGAGTCCACTCCCGTCTACGAGACCACCCCCGTTGAGGAGTACAGCACCTCCGAGGAGTCCACTCCCGTCTACGAGACCACCCCCGTTGAGGAGTACAGCACTTCCGAGGAGTCCACCACCTGCACTGAGACCACCCCCGTCGAGGAGTACAGCACCGAGTCCACTGAGACCACCCCCGTGGAGGAGTACAGCACTTCCGAGGAGTCCACTCCCGTCTACGAGACCACCCCCGTTGAGGAGTACAGCACTTCCGAGGAGTCCACCACCTGCACTGAGACCACCCCCGTCGAGGAGTACAGCACCGAGTCCACTGAGACCACCCCCGTAGAGGAGTACAGCACTTCCGAGGAGTCCACTCCCGTCTACGAGACCACCCCCGTTGAGGAGTACAGCACCTCCGAGGAGTCCACCACCTGCACTGAGACCACCCCCGTCGAGTACAGCACCGAGTCCACCGAGACCACCCCTGTCGAGGAGTACAGCACCTCTGAGGAGTCCACCACCTGCACTGAGACCACCCCCGTCGAGGAGTACAGCACCGAGTCCACTGAGACCACCCCCGTGGAGGAGTACAGCACTTCCGAGGAGTCCACTCCCGTCTACGAGACCACCCCCGTTGAGGAGTACAGCACCTCCGAGGAGTCCACCACCTGCACTGAGACCACCCCCGTCGAGTACAGCACCGAGTCCACCGAGACCACCCCCGTCGAGGAGTACAGCACCTCTGAGGAGTCCACCACCTGCACTGAGACCACCCCCGTCGAGGAGTACAGCACCGAGTCCACTGAGACCACCCCCGTCGAGGAGTACAGCACCTCCGAGGAGTCCACCGAGACCACCCCCGTAGAGGAGTACAGCACCTCCGAGGAGTCCACTGAGACCACCCCCGTTGAGGAGTACAGCACCGAGTCCACCGAGACCACCCCCGTCGAGGAGTACAGCACCTCTGAGGAGTCCACCACCTGCACTGAGACCACCCCCGTCGAGGAGTACAGCACCGAGTCCACCGAGACCACCCCCGTCGAGGAGTACAGCACCTCTGAGGAGTCCACCGAGACCACCCCCGTCGAGGAGTACAGCACCGAGTCCACTGAGACCACCCCCGTCGAGGAGTACAGCACCTCCGAGGAGTCCACCGAGACCACCCCCGTAGAGGAGTACAGCACCTCCGAGGAGTCCACTGAGACCACCCCCGTTGAGGAGTACAGCACCGAGTCCACCGAGACCACCCCCGTCGAGGAGTACAGCACCTCTGAGGAGTCCACCACCTGCACTGAGACCACCCCCGTCGAGGAGTACAGCACCGAGTCCACCGAGACCACCCCCGTCGAGGAGTACAGCACCTCTGAGGAGTCCACCGAGACCACCCCCGTCGAGGAGTACAGCACCGAGTCCACTGAGACCACCCCCGTCGAGGAGTACAGCACCTCCGAGGAGTCCACCGAGACCACCCCCGTAGAGGAGTACAGCACCTCCGAGGAGTCCACTGAGACCACCCCCGTTGAGGAGTACAGCACCGAGTCCACCGAGACCACCCCCGTCGAGGAGTACAGCACCTCTGAGGAGTCCACCACCTGCACTGAGACCACCCCCGTCGAGGAGTACAGCACCGAGTCCACTGAGACCACCCCCGTCGAGGAGTACAGCACCGAGTCCACTGAGACCACCCCCGTCGAGGAGTACAGCACCTCTGAGGAGTCCACCGAGACCACCCCCGTCGAGGAGTACAGCACCTCTGAGGAGTCCACCGAGACCACCCCCGTCGAGGAGTACAGCACCTCCGAGGAGTCCACCGAGACCACCCCCGTCGAGGAGTACAGCACCTCCGAGGAGTCCACCGAGACCACCCCCGTCGAGGAGTACAGCACCTCCGAGGAGTCCACCGAGACCACCCCCGTCGAGGAGTACAGCACCTCCGAGGAGTCCACCGAGACCACCCCCGTCGAGGAGTACAGCACCGAGTCCACCGAGACCACCCCCGTCTACCAGACCATCCCCGTTGAGGAGTACAGCACCGAGACCACCGAGGATGTTGAGTACGAGACTATTGTCGAGACTACCTGCACTGAGGAGGTTGAGGATTCCACCTCCACCCCTGCCGCCTACACCACCGTCTAAGTATTTGTCTGGTGTTGTACTAACTCTATCTGCTAGCGGATAGTGACCTAGTTAAGCGCAACCAATGTGTAAATCGACAGCTTCAGTTAATTTCTCGTTTATTTTTCTCATTTTCTAATTATCTGCTTTAATAACAGAACATAAAAACATTTAATTGAGATTAATTTCAGCTTTGACTACATGAAAATGATTTTGTTTATTTTCATAGATCCACTGGTTTTGCAGGGGCTCGATTTCACGAATGCTTCTTGGTAATATATTGCGAGCTTAAAATATTTTTTATATGGTATTGTTTTGCCATTTGCATATATCCGTTTGTTTGGCTCCAATTCCAATATAAATATATTTTCTCTTTTTAGCTCTAATTCCAACGATGATGATGCTACTGCTGCTTGTCAAAGCATATCCTTTTCAACACTGCTTTTTCCTATTAATTTATTTCTACTTTTTTTGTCTTTGTAGTAGCTTTAATTCGACGATTTATCAATAATACAAATTCGGGTTTCCTGCACTTTTCTGCATTTCAATTTACCGATTCTGAACACAACAAACCAAAACAGCACATTCGTGGGAGGCGCATTATGAATCGCACGGCGTCCAAAGGTCACCGGACGTACACCGCGTCGACCATCGGTACGGACCTCAGCATAAAATACCCGTATGCGTTTACACACATGAGTATAAGTCCATATGGGCGTGACGTGGTGCTGGCTGGACAAGCAGGCCTGGCCGTCATCGACCTGGAGTTCCCTATGTTTCCACCACGCACATTGCCATTGGACTCAAAGTGGAAGATAGCCGGCGTGGCATGGTGCCCCAGTGTGCAGTACCACGGGTGGGTAAGCACACCTTTCAGCCAGACGCTCTTGGTGCACGACCTGGCGCACACGACGACGGATCCGATGCGGGTTATTAGAGCGCATTCGACAGCAATCACTGACGTGGCTTGGGCGCCCAAGATCCCGGCGTGGGTCGGCACATCCTCTATCGACTCGGTCATTAAGATCTGGGACGTGCGGCGCGACCAGAAGCCTGTGTGGTACTTTTCAAAGTGGGAGCCGGCGGATCTGCTAGCGTTCAACAACGTACATATGCACAAGATGGCGTCGGCGCACCGCAACAAGATTGCCATCTGGGATATTCGCTACGGCTCGAACCCGCTGATGAGCATGGACGACGCGCACGCAGACGACATTACCAGCATATCGTGGCATCCCGAGCGCGAGGATCTTATTGTGTCTGCAGGTCTGGACCGCACAGTCAAGCGGTGGAATTTCAAATACAGCAGCCCGACTGAGGATTACAGTCATACGTTTGCGCATGACGTTGTCAGCGCAAAGTACCTGCCATTCGGCGACGGTATCCTGGTCACACAAAAATCGCCGGACAATATTGTGCTCGTCATCAAGGACAGCCCACAGATGACGCTAGTTCATGAGTTTTTCGGACATACCGGCACCGTGCTGGCCTCGGAATGGCGCGTATACGGCAAGACAAATGCCGACAACAGCGCAGACTCACGTGATTACCAACTTGTGACGTGGGGCCGGGACCAGGTCATGCGCATGTGGGCGGCGAACGTCAGGTTGGTCGAGTCCGTCGGTGGCGATGTCGGCCGTGTCGCGCAGGACGCGCAGGAACTGGCGCCATCGTTTGCAACCAATTTTCTCGGGCCCGACAAACTCCTGCACTTGTTCGAGCAGAAGACGCTGCCCAGTGAGCTGATGCTGGCGGCGGCGGGTGAGCTTGGCTCGCAGAAGATTACCACGATGCACGAGTTTGACCGCACAGGCAATGTGTTTGGAAGCATCTGGCCAGCTGACAGCTCGGCCGCGCCCAAAGAGACGGTACTCTCTGCTCAGAGCCAGCTCACAGATGACACTGCTGCCGCCGCCACACGCGCTAGCACCACCGATGATCACAGCAGCGACGATGACGACGACGACTCTGACCACCCCAGTGCCGCCAGCGCGAGCGGCCGGCATGGAGGGGCAGCGTCGAAGTGGCGCGAAGAGGTGAGCGTGGTTGTCAACAAAAGGTACTCCGACCCAAAGACAATTACTCTGAAGGACCTCACACCTAGAACGAGACAGTGTCGACTAACCGTTGGTGTTCCTTGGATCACACGAGAGACTGTGGTTCTGTGTGTGACCTTTCCCGCACATTATCCATCGTTCCCGGCGGACTTTCGCGTCGAGTCGGTGGGTGCCGTGTTTGGCAGCCGCAAGAGTATCGCGGACCACCTTGCTTCTAAGGCCAACCTGTGCTCGGAACAGGGCGTTGGTTCTTTAGACCACTGTCTGTACTCGTTGCTCAAGCTTTTAGTTCCTAGAGCGCGGGCCAAAGGCGCCTCGCACAGCGGCCGGAGCAGTAACATCAAGGCCGAGGACCTTGAGAGGCTCCCGCCACCGCCGCCCAAGCTTTTGTGGGAGACACTCGATGGCCGAGCGGGACGACGTGAGGTGGCCAACAGTGGTGCGGCGTTGGGACAGGCACCGGGCAAGGTGAGCTATGCCGCCGCCGCTGCGAAAGCCAACAATCCACTGAGTCGCTCGCGGAGCCGCTCACTGAAGCTCGATGGCGGCGATGCAAGCACGCAGCGCGCAGATCCCAGAAGCCTGACTTCAGAAGACAACGTGTCCGTGCTGTCGCACGACGGCGAGGATTACTTAAATAGCGATGATGGGCGCCACGGTCACGATTATTTTGCCAAGGAAGACGGCAACAGTAGCAGCGGCGGTGGTGGCGGCAGCAGCAGCCAGGGTTCTGAGGATGACGATGACGAGGATTTTGACGCACTGGCCTACGACAATAACATCAGCGAGGACCTGTACGACTCTGACATCAGCCAGTCCGATATGCCTATCGGTCTCGATGGTTTGCCGCTCATTATGCGGAATGGAAACAACCCCGAGCGTTTCAATGCGAAAATACCGTTTCCCAGGATGTGCGGCGGTGTTTTCTCGGGACCCGGCAAGCTCGTCTGTTTTTTTGCCTCGATGTACAAGCCGGACACGTATCCGGAGCAGAGTGACTCTGGGCAGCAGGGTAATCCGAGCCGCGAAAAGACGCGTGAGGACATGTGTCAGCAGCTGCGTATCATCCCCAAGCCGCGCAACTTGGTAAAGCTCGACTACTACCAGAGCATGGTGATGTTTGGACTGCAGAACAAGGGCACGTATTACGCTTACGGCGGGAATGGGGGTGCGGGAATCACTGACGAGCCCACGCGCATGTTCAGAAGAAACAACGGTAGCGGTCAGGGCGGCAGAAGCAGTAGCCTGAGTGGGTTTGGCGAGTCGGACGATGACGGAGAGGCGCGTGACGAGGAGGTACCTCGATTCTACTTCCGCAAGCAGATCAGCCACAACCCGTTTGCAGATAGCGACAGCGAAGGATCCGATGCGCACAGCACGTACTTTAGGTCTGCGACGATGCCGCGCATCGAGACTGGCGTGGGAAACATTGCGCTGCTGTGCGAGGTTTCTGAAGATCGCTCGGCGAACCTCAACCTGGCCAAGCTATTTGAGCTGAGAGGGACCACCGAGGATATATGCAAGCACAACGCCAGCGTGGCCGCGCTGAACGAGCGTCACAGTTTGGCGCACATTTGGTCGATGCTCGCTTGTCTTTTGGGCTCTCCCACGGGTGACAAGGCCGATTGTGGCGTCGACAGGCTATGGATAACGCATCCTCCGGTTCTTGAGTGGATTCGCTCGGCCATGATTCATTACGAGCGGCGCGGCGACGTGCAGACGCTGGCACTGCTTTCGTGCGTGCTAAGCAGGGCGCTGGCCGAGGTGGCCGCGAGTGCAGGGCGCGGCAGTGCCTCGGAGGACACGCAGCATGGCTTGGATGGTGATGACGGCGAGTATGGTGAGGCGAATGTTATTTCCGATAATATCGGTCTGGCTGACCTGCCACCGTGGATGGCAACGGCCAGTGGTAATGGCAGGGCCGGGTTTTGGCGCGCATCTGCAGCGCGGCGTAAGTGCCAGGGTGGTGTGGGCTGGGACATCCTTGGGTCGACTGCCGCGGAGGCCGTGGCGACGACAACGCAGCAGATGAGGACGGCCAGCCGAGGCGACCGCAACCCTTTACTCTCGACATTGCCCTTGGTTGCGGCTCAACAGAGCGGCGGCGGCAATAGCGGCAGCATCGGCGGGCAGCACGACGTAGCGTTTGTGGTGCCACCGCCACCAGCAGCAGCAGTCGCAGCGGCCGCAGTGGCTGCCGCTGCGACTGCTGTGGCTGCTATTGCTGCTGTTGACAACTCGGCGCCGTCGATTGCCTCAACCACTGTCGACACGGTAGGGGGAAGGGCAGCGGCAGCAATTCCCGAGACGCTGAATATTGCGGCTGTCGAGTCTTTGCTGGGGCGTCGGATAACCAGCGGCGAGGAGATTCAGCGACTCAGTGTGTTTCTTGCGAGCAATCAACTGGTGCCAACTGCGTCTCAGACGAGCGAGATGCCAGCGTTGCCGCTTTCAGGCGGCAATGGGATCGGCGGGACCATGGCGGAACCGATGTCACCCGAGCTTCTGCAGGAGCTGAACAGCGAGGAGATCATGCAAAACGAGATCATGATGGCTGAGGGCTTGTACGACCACGACCACGAACACGAACACGAGACACCGCCTACACACGAGCACACATCCGATACAGAGGAGCTGACGACAGGGAGCAACGAGCTACACCGCACAATATCGGAGTTCCATGTAGGAAATGGCGGCACAGCTCTGGACCAGCGACGCAACTCGTCGGAGCAGCCGAATGAGCGCAACTCGGCTGGGCCCGATGGATCGGAGAATTTGTGGAATCGACTGCGCATCAATGTGCTCGGACGCGTGCATCCCACGGCAGGAGTCGGGAAGTCTGGCTCGCTGGAGGCGCCCATGTCGCCGTCACCGCCGCCGCCAGTCTCGGCAGCGGATAAGAAGCAGCGCAAGCAGTCGGGGGCAGCGACAAAGACCAAGGGCAATGTTGACAACGAGGCAAAGGGTAAGGCGGCAAGTGCTGATGATTCAGCCAAACAGCAGAAGAAGCAACAAGAGGAGTGGATGATGCTGCGCAGGTGGGCGCCATTGCTGAGCGGCAAGAGGATCACGGAGGCACAGGCGATGGCCAAGGAACTGTCTTACCTGCGTGTGAAGCGCGACTTTGAGCGTGCGCGCACACGACTGGTAATGCGCGATCGCAGCGAGTGGGATGACGTGAGCGAGCTGGTATCTGGCAGCAAATTTCGCTCGCATTCGGCGTACCTGGATCATTGGAAGATTCTCTATGCACGGATACTGTACAAGTGGCAGTTAAACATCAAGGCCGTCGAGGTGCTGAAGTGCGTGCAGGATTCGAGTTTGCGCGAGCTGTACAACCAGATGTACTGCCAGCCGACCATGCCCATGCACGACAATCTACCACGCATCAGAAATCCGGCACTGGCCGACCAACGCAAGAAGAGTCATGTTTGTGCGGTGGCTGTCGGTGTCAATGTCGATGTTCAAGTCAGTATCGAGAAAGCACCGAGCAAGTGCGGCGCGGAGTCAACCAGCACTGGTGTGGTGGCTGAGGTATGTGGTGCGCCATGGCTGTCCTGCTCATGGTGCCATGAGTACGTCCACGGCCGCGCGCTGATTTGCCATGCGTGTGGCCACGGTGGTCACCATGAGCATATGCAGAAGTGGTTCAGGATTGTGCGCAAGCAGCTCATGCGCACGGGCCTCACGCCCGCTCATTTCACGTGCCCTGACACTGCGAACGGCAGCAACAGCAGCAGCTCGAGCAACCTGCGCCGTGACCTGAGCATCATTGGAATCGACAACCGCACTGTTATACAACCCGGAGGGGCTTCCATTGACACTGGCGCCGATGTCGATGCTTCTAAGGATGCGCAGCTCGATCTGGCTGCGGCTGCCCACGACTACATGTCCTCCTATGCAAACAGCCCGGTTATTTTGACGTCCAGCCGCAGCGGAGACGCCGGATCTGCAGTGCCGATCCCGCCGCTGACCATCCCGTCGCCTGGCACACCACTTGCTGACTATGATGCCGGTTGTAATGACAATTGCAACAGCGGGAGTTGTAGCAACAGTGGTAGCAGTAGCAGCAGCAGTAGCAGCAGCGATGACTTTACGGACGGTCTTGCGCTGTACACCTCGTCTGACTTGGTGGGCACCAATCATTTTTCTTTCGATACAAATTCGGACGGCATTGTGGCGGGCGCCCACCACAGCCTCGAGTCTGGTGAGGGCGAGTCCGACGATCACTTACATCCACCACATAAGTTTTCGCTAGGGATAGGATCTGGGGACGTTGCATCACAGCAGCGCATCTCCAAGCAGAGGCAGCGCCAGCAGCTAATGGCGCAGCTCAAGCAGCGGGGGCTGGACGACAACGAACAGGCTGATGGGCTTACAAGGCAAGGAGATATCCCCACTTGTCCCAGCGGATGTGGGTGCAACTGCCTGTACGAGTCACAGCGTCTTATTATTTTGTAGACCACAAAAATGTATTAATCAAAATCACCCATTAGTTTGGTATTAGGTTGTGTATATGCACGTATCACTGTTATTGTCATTGTTCATTAACGAAAACCGAAATATCCGCGATCATGCATTTTGTCGCGTTGACAAAGCTCTTCACTGGCATGGCGAGTTTGTAATCAATATCACCGGCGCCCATCCAAAAGACTGGCGGCTGTAGACTGGTGATTGACTCGCACAAGATGATTGGGATCTCAGTGATCACGCCAAAAGGGCTGACGCCGCCCTTTTTGAATCCAGTTAATTCCAGCGACACTTCCGAGTCCGCCAGCCTAAAGTTATAGTGTTTCTTCGCCACCTTCTTCTCACCGTCCAAGTCCCGCACCCAATCGATCATTGTGGCGGTGTTGATCGTATGTGTGTACTGTACCATGACGCAGTAGTATTGGTGGCCAGGATGCTCCGGGCGCCAGCCCTTGTTTTTCATAACCACAGATTTGCACAGATGGGCAGGACTGGGCACGGTCATGTGCAGGGCTCGCTGGTAGGTCGGCCAGGAGTAGTAGTCTGATGGGACATGGTAGATGCGCGATACGTTGGAGATGCCTAGATGTTGGAGTGCCTTGATGACGCGATGTACTGTTGGGGGGTGGCTGTCGATGGATCGCTTGTGCGGTGGACTGGCCTTGGCTTGGTCAGTAAAATGCTCCATGTAGAGTTGGCTGAATTGCGGCTCTGCGAGCAACTGCGATATGTCTCTGCTGATTGCAAGCAATGACTCCATTGGCAATGATTTATTAGCCGGGCTGTCGCCACTTACTGTTAGAAACGAAGTAAAATAAATAAAGAGGGGAGGGGGATTTCCAAAGATGGGTTCGCTAATTGCTAGTAATGTTTCACCCTCGGATTATTTTTCTCCGTTGAGGATGTCGCTCAAGACCCCAAAGGGGCGAAGTGTGAAAACAAAATGGGAGCAATATATTTGCATTTTTTTGCTTATCGAAAAAAAGAGAAAGAATCTCGCCTAAAAAGGCAGCGAAAAAGAAAGCCTGGATGACAAATTGAACGCACTGTACGGAGAAAAGGGGAAGCAAAGGGCAGTTTGCTGTGAAGGGGGCTCCTGAAAACCAAATAAAAAAGTCTTGGCACTCGCAACAAGCTGACAATTGCGCCTATTTAAAGGCCGCGCTTGTCTTGAACAAACTACAAAAAAAATCGTGTAACCAACATTAGCATCTTAGCTTTTCAACTCCACAATCCTTTTTCTTTTATTCAAAAATGGCTATTATTATCGGTTCCAACTTTGGCTACTGCGTTCTGGCAGCAATTGGCATTGCGCTCCAGTGCGGATTCACCGGCCACGCCGTCATGAAGGCCCGCAAGAAGTTCAAGGTTGACTACCCCGACAACGGCAGCGGCCGGTATGCCGCCAAGCTGACCGAAGAGGACTGGCTCAAGTTCAACAATATCAAGCGTGTCAACGACAACTACACCGAGCAGATCAGCATCGTGCTCAGCATGCTGCTGATGTCCGGCCTATACATGCCTAGGGCTGCTGCCGCCTTCGGTGTTAGCTATATGGTGGGCCGCTACATCTACGGTCGCGGATACATTGCTGGCGGCTGTAAGGGTCGGGCTCCCGGTGCCATGGTGATGATGTTTTCGATGCTGTCCATGGTGGGCATCGCCGGTTATAATGCCGTTACGACCACGATTCTGGCCTAATTTTGTTTTATTTTCTACAGCTTTTCCTTGGCGAGTAAATTAAAAAAGTATCTCATATCTTCCATTCTATTATCATTTTTCTCAACCTATTGTTTGGTGCAGGAGGACACATTGCTTCTAGATTCATCGGCCAAATAATGTGATAAACAATGTCAGATTGGGGGAGCAAAGGTGCGTAAAACGGAGAAAAAGTGGCTGTCACTATGAACTGTATTTTTGAATATATGTTAATATTATAGTTTGACCTAAAACTGGTACTTGCTTTTGCTTTCGTGTTAGCACACTTGATTATAAAGGCTATACTTAATTTAGCCTGATAATAGCTGATTTTTAAACTACACATACTTTCCACTTTAGTATTTTGCTTCATCTTTAACTTCCGCTTTTGCTTCTATGCTTTTTTATACACCTGCAAATACATTATGCTTTCCTGTTAGCTCATTATCGCTCAAGAAAACGCATGTGCTCCTTGTTAAAGTCTACAAATGCGTTAACGCGCACATATTCACACTGACGCTCCGAAGATTCCATATTCCCATACAACCAATAGCCCATGCGTTAAAGTTCAAACATTGGTTTAAGTTCAAGCTAACACACAGGTACACATTTGAGGCATCACACTCGCACACACTCTAAAGCGCAAGTTCAAAATGTCAAAGCAACATAAGCTTTACAAGTTTGAATTTAGAACGTCGTTTATATGCACTACTATGATATAGCATGTTTTTATTTCAACCAAAATATGTTGCAAATACCTCGAATTTTTATTTCATTTTTAAACCATTATTTTAAACTTGTTTTCCCCTCCACCGCATTATTTGCTCACAGTATTTTCCCGGATTGCTTTTCTCCATAGAGGATGCCGCGCAAAGATCCGAAGGGGTGAAGTGTGCAAAAGGCAGCGAAAAAGAAAGCCTGGATGACAAATTGAACGCACTGTACGGAGAAAAGGGGAAGCAAAGGGCAGTTTGCTGTGAAGGGGGCTCCTGAAAACCAAATAAAAAAGTCTTGGCACTCGCAACAAGCTGACAATTGCGCCTATTTAAAGGCCGCGCCTGTCTCGACGAACAAACTACAAAAACAACAAATAACCAACATCAGCAACTTGTCCTTTTCAACTATACACAAACTTTCCCTTTTCAAAAATGACTATCATTATCGGCTCCGAATTTGGCTACTGCGTCCTGGCAGCAATCGGCATTGCACTCCAGTGCTCGTTCACCGGCCACGCCGTCATGAACGCTCGCAAGAAGTTCAAGGTTGATTACCCTGACAATGGCAGCGGCCGGTATGCCGCCAAGCTGACTGAGGAGGACTGGCTCAAGTTCAACAACATTAAGCGTGTCAACGACAACTACACCGAGCAGCTCAGCACCGTGCTTACTACACTGCTGCTGGCCGGTCTTTACATGCCCTGCGCTGCTGCCGCCCTCGGTGTTAGCTATATGGTGGGCCGCTACATCTACGGTCACGGATACATCACTGGTGGTGCCAAGGCTAGGACTCCTGGTGCCATCCTGATGGGTCTTTCGTCTCTTTCCATGATGGGTATCGCCGCTTATAGCGCCGTTATGACCACGATCCTGGCCTAATTTTGTTTTATTTTCTGCAACCTTTCTTTGACAAGTATAAATAATAATAAAAACTGACATACATTTTATTATCTCCCTCTTGGAATACTGTTCGGCGCAAGACAATGCATTGCTTCTGGATTCATCGGCCAAATGATATGATAAACACTGTGTCAGACTGGGGGAGGCGAGGGACTCTGCATCTGCTAAAAAAAGTAGGCGTCATCATGGCGGCGAGATTTTATTGTTTTTTCTTTTGCATTTGCCCTAATCCTCTGCATTTGCCTGCTGTCATCCTGTCATGCTGCATCTTTTCTCTTACCTTATTTGGGTGGTTTTGCATTTCTAAGCCCAGACCCCGCCATCTCCCTCCCCCTTTTTCACATTTGCTTGGCAAAAAAGTTTCTCAGATACAAAAGCTGCGCTTGCGCTTCCTGCCTTCTCAAGCTCATCTCATCTCTGCTCTCTTTCAGAAAAAATTTACCATCCAGTTTATCGTTGATCTATTTACACTTTTGTAACATTCCCCTTGCCCTTCAAACACTTTTACTAGGTAAATACTAAAATATACAAAAACGACAATAATGTATGTGCATTTGTGAAGCGACAGCGTCGGTCACTTCCAAATACGCCATTTGAAATATGGCGGAAAAATATATACTCCCTTGTATTTGCTAACAACAGCACAACGCTGAATTTTCAATTGTTTTACAATTCTGTAGCAAAACCAACCAACCAACCAACCAACCAACAATGAGCATTGTCATCGGAACCAGCTACGTGTGGAACATTGTCACCGCAACCGTCATGGGTCTGCAAACCGCTGCCTTCGCCGGCTGTGCTAGCAGCCACAAGACCCGTCTTGATCTGCCTCACAGCGCCGAGGTGGGCAGCCGCTCGACGGAGAAGCTCACCGATGCGCAGAACGAGGAGTTCACGCGGTTCCAGAAAGTCAGCCAGTCGCACACCCAGTACCTTCCCCTTGCCCAGTCGTCGGTTTTGCTTGCCGGTCTGTTCTACCCCAAGCTTTCGGCGTATGCAGGTGCCGCTTACATTATCGGCCGCCTTATTTACAGCGTGGGCTATATCAAGTCGGGTCCCGAGGGCCGCAAGTATGGTGTGTTCTTTATTTGCCCGTCTATCATCACCCTTCTGGGTGCGTCGCTCTATGGTAGCTTCAAGGCCTTGTCTCTCGTCTGATCCTTCCAATCTCTAATTTCAAGATGAGAGATAGACAGATGATATTCCAAACTGTTTTAAAAATGTTTTTCCTCCCTATTTTCAGTTTTATTATTTTTATTCTCAAAAATGTTTATAAAACCCCCCATTATCCCGATTCTGTTATTGGCGATGGCGTTAAACAATATTTTTTATCTTTCTCGTTCAGACTGGTTCAGAACCATTCGGCATGTTTAGAGTCAGAGCTGTGTCATTGATCGACAGTAACATCACTGTTGGCGACAGTTCAATAAAAAATAAGGCAATACTTTATTGAATAAAAGGAGGGAGTTTTGCTAACTGCTAGATATTAGCTGTTAGCCAAACTGACGGCAATGTACTGCTGGTGGCGACTCGACAGTAGAGGTTAGCATCGACAATGACAAGTTGGATTGCAGTAATGGCTGCGACGGCAGCTCTTTGGTAAAAGACAATTGGCCTCCAGCCGCACACACAGTATCGCTAGACATTGCCGATATTGCCGACATGCGGGAATACCGTGCAGATGACTGCGCGGGTTTGAAAGCCGCACTGGGAGTGCTCGAGTTTCTGCGCGACTCGTCAGAGCCCAGCGCCGACCAAGTCGACACGTGACTGGTAACTGGGTCGCGGTACGATATCATGATAACCTCGATCTGAGGACGCATGCACTCGCTTGTGAACATGACGCCCGATACTGATTTTGCAGACATATGGCTGTTACGGCGGGAGGACAGGGATGAGCGTTGTTGGCTGCTGCCGAAAGTGGTTATGGGCGTGGGTATGGCTGTGGCTGAGGCTGTTGCATTTGGGCGGATGATGGCGCTGGGAATGATGCTGTGTTGGTCTGCTGGATATCCATTGATAAGGTCAGCTAGTGCGCGACTGTTGGCCTTAACGTGGTAAAACTCGCGCAGGCGGATGAGAAATGTTGTGGAGAACCCGCCAGTAACGCCCTTTATGAACTTTGCTGTTGAGTCGATGTTCTGCGACGAGCTGATTTTCCCGCGCGAAGAGCCTGCGTGTGTGGCTGGTGTCGCCGGGTTTATGGGCTCGTCAGCGATGCTGGGCGATGTTGATCTGGCCAACGGCGAGTTAAACCTTGATGATTGTGGGTCGTGAATGGAAGTGCCAGCAACGCCGGGTAACGCCGGGAGCATGTCCGCCACGCTGATTGCCGACTGCTCCATCAACGTGCGCCCAAAAGACGTGGACCGTTGTGGCGGCCGGCTTGAACGACCGTTGACATTTCCCCCGTGAAGGCCCAACAAAGACGACGGTGTGCGGCGCGGAATGAGCTGCTGCAGGCGCATCCCGAAATCGACAATGCTCCGGCCATGCCGCAGTGCGTGATCACCGTTGGATTCATCCAAAGTGCCATAGTACGGGCTCTGGTCGACGACAGTTTGGGCAGAGCTGGACGACGTACCCCTCCCGTTGATGTCCCCAAAGGAGCTGCTATCTCGCAGCAAAGCCGACGGCTCGGCGCCAATCACTGAGGGCGCTATGCGAGCCGACTTTGGCATTACTGCGCTTCCAGACAGCACGCGAGTTGCCACAGGAATGGGCACCCTCATTACTGCGCGGCGAACATGCCCGCCCCATGTCGAGTTGGAAAACAAGGTTATCTCTGCAAAATAGGTGAAGCGCAGGTACCCTGTCTCGGGAAGGACCATGAGGCTCTGAGGCAGCCTTGTGTGCAAGTGTGCGTAGTATGTGGACCCGCCGCGCGCCCTTGCAGCATTCATATGATCAGCGCATAGGTCAGGGATTAGCACTGACGAGTCGCGCTCAAATTGCAAATCGCTAGACTCGCAGAGATGCCGCTGTGCGGACCACAGCCGGCGTCCGAGATCCAGCTGCTCTTCGTGCGGGTCAGGGAGCTGTGGATAGAAGCAGTCTGTCTGCTCGATGACTGCAAACCGCATCTTGCGCAAGGTCCTTTGACCGGTCAGCCTAAGTTGCAAATCGACGGTTTCTCCAGGTCGGAATGCCTGTTGCAGACCCATGGCATACACATGGAATGCCCACTGTGCGTCCTCAATATCCGTCGCGTTGTCGCAAAACGTGTACGGCGCGGCTATCTCACCTCGACTGCCGTTAATGTGCGACGCTGTCCGCGGGGCGATGGTCTCGGGAACATATATGATGGGTTGTGCAGCTGTTATTATAGTGCTGTCACAGGCCAGCCGTGCATTCAGCAATTTGGCCTGCAGCACATACTTGATCGTGTATTCCGGCGTGGTCTGGCTCTGCGGGTAATTGATGCGCGGAAACTCGCACGAAAAGTGGAACATGTGCACGCCAGCAGTCAGCTCGTTGCTCGCGCGCAGCTTGGCATCTCCCCATAGAATAGCAGTCTGGTTAAAGTACACCTTTTTGACGGACCGGTGCTTAGTAGTGTGGGCGATTGCGGTTGCCGAGATGTGGTTGGCTGTGGTGTTGGCTGACTCTGGTGCCAGCGATATTCGCTCGCTGCCGACGAGATTGAGCGATAGACAAGATGCTTGGAGCGTCTGTGCCAGTTTCAAATAGACCAAGCCAGTCAGCGTTGACTTTGGCCCGCACCGCGGTGAGTTCCCTGATGTATATGACGGAAATCGTATTTCCAAGACAGGAAGTGGCGCGCTCATATTGTGTGCAAAATTATAATATAAATATATAAAAATGGAAAATAATTTTGGGAATATAAAAAAGATTGCAAAAAAAGGGGAGAAAGTTGGCTGTGTCGGTGAAAGCGCATGGAATGGAAATAGGGAGCAAACTACTTTTTAGAAATAAATGACAGTTTACACCCAGTATTGACAATAACGTGAAAAAGAAAGAAAAAAGGGGCAAGGAAATGAAGAGAACAAATAAAAATTGGTTCTGTCTGCTGGGTTTATATTACATGGCAACAAAACCGCCAAAGTTTGAAATAAACTAGTAAAAAATGACTGTGCTCGTGCCAAGAATATGGCCAGTATGATACAATGATATCCGTACTGTATTTTTCTTGAGAATTTTGATGAGACGCTCGGTCACAATAAATGATACAGCTGAATGAACTGAAGCGGATATTAATGATGAATATAACTAAAACAAAAGGTTATGCACCGAAAGAATATATATAAACACGCAGCAATGAAAATGTAAAATGCATTATTCAGAGTTATTCTGCCTTGTTTCGGTAGAAATAACAAACAAACCTACTGTGTGTAGAAAGTCAATAAATTTATTATGAGTCGCCAAATATTGCATTTTGGTGTGTGCTCAGAAAGTATTGATTGCATAATATAATTTTTCGGAGCTCTGGCCAACGGCCTGCTTTTTGTCATAGTGCTCATTTGCGTACATATAGTACAAGCGTGTTGGTATATTGTTAAAAGTAAATATAATGAGCGCTGTTATTCAAAAATGTCTGGTATATCTTCCCTCTTCCCGGCTTGCTACCGCCACCTTTTAATAAACTCAAAGTGACAGATAAAGGGGGACCTGAGTTGTAATCAGTACGTATTTTCAATTCAACGTAAGACACAATGCACCTGTTGATTCGACAACAAATAGTAGACGGGTATCTGGTGTGTGTGAATTTTTGTGTAGGCTATGAAAACTATTGATGTGGCACATGTTTAAAGTGACCGAAAGGGTTAAAACATATATTTAAGGTAACCAGAAACGAGCACAAGCAAAAACCATTTTGCAACTGACAATATAAATGGGGGACAAGAGGGTGAAGCCATGTCTACCATACTTGTCTACAGCGCGCCAGCTTTTTCGCATGTAAACAATAAACATTTTCGAATAATTGAAAACAAAAATACAAATACAAATCAGTGATCCCCCATCCACTATTGACCATTGTCAATTTTCTGATGCAACCACACTGCATTCGAGGGCACATTTTTTATTTCAATAATAGTTTTTATTTTAACGAAATGTCATAGATGTTTACATTTTGAAATATTTGCACAGGTTAACAAGCATGTTGAGTAACTTTCAATCAATTTGCTCGTTATTCGATCTCTTTTTATAAAATTGAAAAACATTGGGAAAAGTGGCTGGTAACAATAGAAATAAAAGCAGCATCGCTGCTGTCAATTTGAAATAAATATTATCCATCGAAAACTAGTAAAAAAAGTAAGAACCAAATTAAAGAAACTATATTGTCGGCAGCCTACATCAAGTTGGATCCAATCTTGATGGACTCTAGCTCAGGAATTGGGATTTTCTCGCCATTCTGTATAAATGATAGCAAGCAAGGGTAGCTGTCGTCCAAAAGCTGACCATCGCTGTGATATTTGGTAGCATTGCCGCCATCAAGCTGGAACTCAGTCAGAGTATTGGTCGGGGAGCCTTTGTGCATGCTGTGACCCATGCTCATATTGGTCGAAGAGGGCGATGCCTTGTTGGAGCCAGAAATTGAGAGGTTGAGCACAGAGAGACTGTCGCGAAGACTGCGGCTACTGTCGCTGGTGTCAGAAAAAGTATGGCCACTGCTATCGCCACTGAGCATACTTGTCACAGTGTTAGGCGTGCAAGCGGTCATGTTTGCAGTAGAGGCAGCCACTGTGGACTCGCTACTGGCCTTTGCAGCAGTGCGCACAGTAACGATTTTCAGCGGGAGCCTTCCCGCAGTCTTCTTGGTCGTGCCAAAGCTGCCACCGATAGACAATGACATGTCCACTGTGTACTCGTAGTCCAAAAACACTGACGATACTGGTGACATCTCTGCAATTGGCGGCAGGGTGAAGCTGATTTTGGCAAACTTGTACGAGCCCTTGGTCAACAGTCCGCCGAGCGGCACGGGAGTAATGGCCAGGCGGTTGTACTTTGGCACTCCCATGTTGTTGTGAGTGGAGCTTCCACGAGTGAGCGAGGAAAAGTTGGCCGACAACGACGATTTTGTCGGCTGGTAGCGGGTAGACAGGGTTTCCGAAATGGAGCTGCGGTCGCTGATGCCATCGTCGTGCTCAAGCACAGCTCCCGATACTAGGGACGCAGGCGCTGGGCCCAGTGGCTGTGGTTGTATGTTACTTGGCGAGGTGGGGGAATATATGCTTTGCGTGTACGACTGCTGAGAGTGCATTCCTCCAAGAGAGCCCACGCAGCTGCGACCAGGAATGCCGGAGCCTGCCACTGCCGACGCCACCATTGACGCAGAGTACGATGCCGACGAGGAGGAGGACAACGACATTGGTGTTACCAGATTATCCCCAATATGGGCCATGCCTCCGACTGCCCCGCCGATAATACTGCTTGCGCAGGTACCCAAGGTCTCACTGCTGCTGCCGTGACCAATCTCCTGCGACTCTGTGAGCGGAGACAGTGGTACGCTCACCCGGTGTTGCTGTTTTTTCAGCTGGGACGGGCCGTCGGCTGCCAGATTGGTTATTGCAAGACCTTCGACGCCCTTGGGCTTGCTGTCTTGCATGTTCAAGCTGTGGATGGAGGCCGAAGATTTCCCGCCAATGCTATGAATGCTCGGAGGACGCTGCGACTGGTCCACATGCTTTCCAGCCGATAGGTCGCCTTGTATGCCCAGGGAAAGAGACGTGTGGCCGGTAAACAGGTAGCGACCAAGCATGCCAATATCTTGCGAAATGTTTGCCTTTGTGAGCTTGGTAAAATGGATGTCCTGCGGCTCAGTCAGATCAACTGAGTACTTCCACAGGATCGGCACGTCTGACTCGTCAATAATGGGCGCAGACGACTTTCTGCACCGGACATTCTCGCGCACCTGGAAGGAGGAGTGGGTGATTTTCCTGTTTGCTGGGGCGAGGATCAGAAGCTCGACGGTTTCTCCGGGCAAATAGGCGGGCGTCGGATGGAAGACGTGCAGGTTCATGTGCGTCTTGCCTGCGTTGTGGAATGACAGAATGGAGGATGCTGAGATTGTCGACGAGGAGGATCGAGGATCACTGCCTGCATCACTGTTGCCCCCTGCACCAGTGGTGCTTCCAAAATTAAGCAGGGCGGCGTCCTTCAGTTCGATAATGGACTCGAGCGGCGCGCTGGCTGCGAGACCGTGGCTTATGCGCTGCTGGATGACGGGCTCAAACTGGAAGCACCTGGTTGCAGTCTTATGCATGTCGCGCAACACCTTTTCGTCACGCTGGTGGTCAAAAAACTCAGTGGCCAGACTGGCCTCAAGCAAGTAGGATATCTCCACATCTGGGGTCTGCCGCGGAGTCGGCATGTTGACGTAAGGCATGGTGAACGAGAAATGAAACCGATGCGCTGTGTTGCAAGGAATTACGCGCAGGCTTCCGACCTTGCGCTCTCCCCAGAGCAAGAGCTCTTGGCGGAAAAACTCCTTGTCCATGATCATTTTCTGCCCCACAGTCGTCTGCTGCTGCTTCTTTTCTGTCGCCTCAGTGCGCGTTGATACAGGAGTGCGTCGGACGCGCTCGATGCCGTAGAAGCGCAGCATTAGGTGCGACGCTACGAGCGGGCTGCTGAGCTTCAGCACGACTGCTCCAGCAATTGTCTGCCCCGGGCGACACACTGGCGCGCGCGAGATGTGCGATGGGAAGCAAATCTCAAATACCGCTGGCTCTGTCATGGCTGATTCCGTTGTTTAGGTGCTGATAGGAAAAACGTGACTGTAATAAAAAAGTGTAAGATAGGATGTGTCGATTACTGCTTTAGTGGTAAGCGTGCAGGTGTGTTGAAAGTGGTATTTAGACTCGACAAAACAAGGTGTGAGGTTGTAGTATAAAAGGCGAAGAAATGAGTAAAACAAAAATACTCCGGGAATATAAACAACTTGACAATATCGTGCTGAAGAAAAGAAAAATAAAAGGTATAAAAAGGGGAGAGGGAAGGAGGTGGGTTCGGGTAGCTTGTATATTGCGGACCGACATGCCGAATATTATATTACAATTGCCAAAAATAAAATTTTGTGAATGTTGGACATCATACCAGTTCGGTAACAACAGAGTCTTACGGCCCTTTTCAATAAACAGAATAAATTGTAGGGAAAAAATTGTATGCATTTTCTTTCCAATTGATAATTCCTGGTTTGACGTTTTATATCCCGTTTCGGAATGATATTGCTTCCGTGAGATTAAAAATTCAGTATTGTGCTTGTTTATTTGCAAAATAAACAACAACGCACAAATAGAAAAGTGGATGTGCAATTGTACACAATGACCATTTGCTGTGATTGTGGTGATTTTTTGTTATTATATTATTTGCAAAAATGTGTGCAAAATAGAAAAGAAAAATTGCTAACGCACTGCGCCTCACAAAAAAAGCTCGCTTTCTTTTATTTGTTGCCATGTGGGATAATAATGCAGAGAAATGCCCGATGGACTAATAATTGACTGTCCTTTTCAGCTTGGTTTATTTATTTATTTTTCTGGTGGGCGCCGCTGACATAATTCTGGCAAAACTCCCCAAAAAATACTTGAATTTTAGGGGAGTGCCAGTTCCTCTCGGGAAGGGGAGGTTAATGAGAAATTGTTATCTGTATCCTTTCGTAACAATCTACATTTTCTGCGACACGTTTTTCTACAACACGGTTTTTTTTGATGAAAAAGTAAAAGTAAATGTAAAGAACCTTACAATCCTTCCAATAACACGAATCAATATTAACACAGCCGCATCCAGCTTTTCCCCTTGTTTGAAATACCACTTGTGAGCATTTACAAGATTCATTTCAATAAACCAACTAAACACTACTACCATTTGAGTACAATTGGAACTTTGAAGAAACTACAAAGAAAAACGAAGGCCCTGGTTCTCTGACAAGGGGAAAAGCCTCCTATACATTAACTGTCAAGATCTATGCAAGTGTTGCTGTCTAATGCTAAAATGTAAATTGGGCTCAATATAAGCATTATCCTATTTATGCAGCCGCGAATAATTGACTGTTTGCATTTGGAAATTTTACTGCATATATTTCTGCAGATATAGGCATAAAGTGGCCCTATGTATGCCAGATCTGGAGATGTCTGCCAATGTATTTGCAACGCACTTTGAGAACATTGAAGAAAGCCACTTTTTGCATATTTTTATTTGAAGTTTGTGCGAAATTCGGATAACTTTGTGAACAAGTATAAGCCCGGATATATGCATGACAAATGCATATAGTGCATATAGTGCGGATATTTACAATATTTCCTGTATTCAAACTGGTGGGCTTTGCACTCGATTGGAGCCCTGGTGTTGCTGTTGTTGGTATATCTGCGAACTTGTGTATGTATTTATTTGTTTTGTTGTAAAATCAAAAGTATATTAGGATAAACAAAAGCCATGTCAAATATACAAACAGCGCAATTTCTCTCTATTTTTCTCGACTAAATACACGGTAATATACAATACAAATTGGCAGAATCGCTCTTGATTCTCACAATCAGCGAAAAAATGATTTAAAAAAGTAAAAAAAATTGTTTATATTTTGAGATATCATCCCACGCAGTTATAGATGCTGGTGGAATGCGAAAGAGGTATAAAAAAAGTACAATAAAAAGTTTAGGCTTATAAAATTACATTTTCGCAGACACGAGTATTGGGTGGTGGTGCACAATAGGCATAGATGCAGATACGACAGTTTCAGTCTGTGAAACAGTATCTAGCGCCGGAGACTTGCTTCGGCTCTTTCTTTTTTTACTATTCTTCTTGGACTTGCGCCCACCATCCTGCTTTTGCTGCTGCTGCTGGGCTTTAATGCGGCGACTACGGCGACTCGAGTTATCAGAGTCACTCTCATCATCATCAAGCTCGTCCTGCTGATCATCAGCCTCTCGCTTGTTGACAAAGAAGCTAGCGTGGATCGGCGAAGGTGCATATGGCTTGAGCACGCCCTTGACGTACAAAGCTGCAGCTAATCCATTCTCGGCGGTTTCCTCGCTACCACTGCTGCTGCTACCATGCCCATGGTCTAAAGCATGAATATGGCCATGTTTGACGTACAGCGACGTCATGGCAAACCCTGGATCCAGGAGATCCGGCGATGCGCCGTGCGGAAGCAAGGCCTTGGCCCGGCGGTCAGCCAGCTGCTCCACCTCGTCAGTGCTCTTGTCACTCAGACCGCCGTCTAGCTCGCCGCTGAGACTCAGGCGGCGTCTTGCGCGAGCGTTGGCTATTTTCCCGATGGCCGCGTTGCTGGGAAGCTGCAAGACGCTGTTTTCGCTTAGGTTGAATGACACGCGGCGGGCTAGTTTAACCTGGGTGTCGGAAATATTGAGCTGCTTCGTTTCGGACCACACTTCGAGATCGTTGGGGCCACTACAAGAAACGTCACTTGGGCTGGCATTGGCGCTGGCACTGGTGCTTGTGCCGATGGCGGCGACGGAAGCGGTGTTGACACGTATAGAGATCATGGCTGGGTTAAAGTAAAAGATAATGGGTTTGGTGGAGGAAGAGGCAAAAGTAATGCTTTTTTTAAGTAACAATCGATGTAGTCTTATTTTCAGTAAAAAAAATTAAAACCAAAGAGAAAACGAAAAGCGAAAAATGATGGATGACCAAATGGCGATTTTTAAGCATCCAATTTTACTGCTATCGAAATCGCTTTTCCTTTTACACTTTGAAAATATTCCACGCGTGATATTATAAAATTTTCGAACATTAACATTTAGCGGGTGGACATTTTTTGCAGAGTGACTCACGGAAACGTGGGCTAATATTGGCAAAAATGGTGTACATGAGGAAAAAAATATAAAGACGCAAAGCGATTGGACAATAGTCAGCAGGCCCCTCGCTACAATCGGAAAATGTCTCATTTTTAGTCCAAATTGCGGAAATAAAAATAAGGGGCGAGATTGTACACGTCATTACCAGTCTATATACTAGTAATTAATAATCAATCGATTGATCGTAATTAGCGAATTGCCCACAATTTCTTTCTGGATAATTTTTCTCTCTCTTTCACTGCAAGGTATGCACACCGAAAAAGGCATCGCTGCCGCAAATGACGCTGGTTATAGTGGTGGTGAATTTTCAGCCAAGTGTCAATTATGCAATCCAGAATGACTGATTTCCCACCACTTGGACCGATATAGTAGTGGTTCTTTGACTGCGTAAAACACATGACATTCAAGCAACCAGCACAATGATCTGATTTTTAAAAGCAACTATGACAATTCCCTCCCTAAATACACGGCCTGATTTGAAGTTAATCATTCTCTGATCACTCGATCAGCACTCTACATCTGCCGCAGCGGCAGGAAAGTTAACATTCAATTCAGGGTCTTTTGTTTTTGTTTTCCTGCCCTTCTTTAGCTTAATAAAATGCTGAATAGAAGGCGGATTGTTAATCGCCCATTACGTGCACATGCGCAGGCTTATTTCGACACTATTGTAATATAATATTGATATATTTTAGGTCTCGTGAGTGACAGGAACGCGTGCGCGCGTGCATACAAGTGATCGCCTGTCCGCTTCCCCGTATCCGAATTTACGCGTGAAAAAGTTTGTGAGTGCTAATTGGCCTAAGAGCGCTATGATGCTCGGTAATAAGCGTTGACTGCCAAGTGACGCTTTTTTATTTTCAAAAGACTTTTTTCGGGCAACTAACCAACTAAAGAAAAGCCTAATGCTGTGCACATACCAACTAGAAAAATTTAATCGAGATTTGCAATTTTTCGGTTGCATGTGCATTTGCACGGGACATTGTTGGCTGAACCGTGCCACCAGAAAATCAAGGACAAAACAAGATGTTCAGAAAGGACGAGGGTTTGGAAAAGGGTTAAATAGATAGATATATTCACGGAGTTTGACACGGAGCCGTATATAAAAACATATGTGACTATCGCGCTGTAAATGTCACATGGTATTACTTTGCTTTTTTTGTCGTATGGTGTCAGGCGATGTCATTTATTTTTAATTCACTGTCAGTGAGGTCGTTAGACGCAGTCTCGCGCCGCCGCTGCCGCATTGATTATTTTTAGTTTATAGTCATTCAGTGTATACATTACAACATTGGTGTAATGTGTTTTATTGACAATTGTAGACATAAAATTGAGTGTGAGCAAAATTATACTCGATTTTTCTATGTAATTATTTGCCTCATTGAAGAATCCCTCAAAGTACCCCCCCCCTGAAAAATCGATGCGAAATATATGCAACAACAGGACAATGTCGATGACGATGTCAAATGCAGAGAGATATATGAATATGAAGCCAAGCGCCTTGCATGCTGCATTGTCGCTTTGTCATGTTGACAATATCAATCATGCAACAAAAAAAGGGATTTCCGGGGTTTGTCCTAAAAAAAATTGGTATGCACTTTACTTTTACCCACTCACGCTACACCCATTTTATGATACTCTATCGCAGCATTAACCCACCCATTCATCCACGCAATATTTATACTTTCCTTATTTTTTTACAAAAAAAATATGTGTAGGGTAGTAATGATTATACTATTTATAAAGAGAAACCTTGCACATGCAGTGGGGGAAGTGCCACCCTTCCCTACTTCATTGTTAGCCACATAGCAATTCTACCATGTTCAGATCTGAGATATTTGACAATTCGCACTTTGTGGAAAAGATGTAACATCAAGTTGCATTGTTGTAGAATCGTGCACATTTATTTTCACTGTGAGAAGAGAAAACATGTTGGGCCAATTGTATAACAAAAAACCACTGTACACATGATTTTCTGTCTGTCTTTCTCATTATTGTTGTTAGAGGGGCCCGTGCAGGAGCAAGACAGCAAAGCGGGCATATATTGTCGCCGCTCCCCCTTGTCGACTTTCAAGTGGCACTGCCGTCGGTTCTGAGAAAGAAGTAGAATAATAGGAATTGCCAAACCACTGTTTTGCATTCACGTGAACATTGTGGAAATCATTTTTTTGTTGTTAAAAAAAGCGGACTGACAGAAAAAACCAAATATGACTTGAAGGCCGAGAGTTAGAAAAAAAGAAACTAATAATGGTAAAAGTGTATAATTGGTAACGATGATCACAGAAAAAGACACACGACTAAAAAAGGATTTACGACGATAAGCCGATATACCTAGAAAATAAAGCGCAAAAGCCATTGGAGATAATGGAGGTCGGTGAAGTAGAAAATCGTTTAAACACGAGCTCGCTCGTCAATATTTTCGATTTACAAGAATGTTCTGTTTGACAGATTGTATTTTTATAATACATTATTATGCGGAGAAAAACCCATTTAAAATTTTTTCTACTGTCACACGCCACTGACGTTATTTTTTATATATCGCATTGAGAGGCGAAATGTAAGAAAAAAGGTACGGAAAATATGTTGCATTTGGCCATGTTTGAATTCAGACAATCCTTTGTGGTAATCGGTGGTATATTTTTTGTTAAGAGATCCAAATATACTGGCGGCAAAACACTTGCAATGTTTATAATTTTTTTCTCACACGCTCCCACGGTAAAGGCTTGCAAGTCCAAGTCAAAAAAATATTGCAATACCGAGATAATCAAACAAACAACAAAAAAATATACATTTTGTAAAAAAAACTAGCTTTATTTTATCTTGTTAAAAATTGATGCGTGCTTGTATCATTTTCGTCCATGCGTGTAAATTGGAAGATTTGCAAATCATTCCCCCTTTTCTATTATCGCGTGTGGTGCGTGCTAATACTTTAGAACAGGACAGGGCAAGTGACTGATGGCACATGCTTCAGACTTTTATTGCGCATTAGGCATCTTGTCTCATGCCAGCCGGCCGCAAAGCTACATTGATATTTTTTGTTTCATTAAGGCTGACTACCACATCATCATTAGCACCACCATGACAGCTACCACAGCAATAAAAAAATGAAAAATAAAAAAGCACCATTTCAACATTTATTTTTGTTGACACTATCTTTGATGGGACCGTGTAACAAAATTTAAAGAGGGGAATGAATAATTGATACAGATGGAACTTTATCAAAAAAAGGAATACTATTTTTTTCCTTTACTGTGCGAAGCGGTGGAACGGGACAGATAGTGGCAAAGTTGGAAATGGAAAACACCCAATGGGATGGTCGATTCTCTGTACTCAGCGATCAACCAATTCATTTTCAAACAGACAGTATTGTGCGCCCAAAAAGGTATTTATTCCGTAGCCCACGCTATTTTCGGATTATGAGTGTACACTTTTTTTTGGCAATAACCAAAAAAGCGCTATTTTTATTAGAATGAAAGTGGATTAACGGATAGACGTGTGGTGCGTGCGTGCGTGCGTGCCGTGCCGTGCTGTGCCATGCGAGCAAATGAGAGCAAGTGCGCAAAAAAAATATATAGATATAGACAAATAAAAACTGATCCGTTTATTTGTCTTGAAATGTCCTTCAGAAAAAGGATTGCTAGGCGGGTGTCTGTTGTCGCGTGAAAAAACAATTGAAATCCGAACTAGCCAAAAAAGTGCAGCTTTGAACATTGATCAATAAGGAAGGAGGCCATTGCTCATTTTTTTATTCCCATGTGCCATTCTGTACACTTTTGCAGTACATACTGTTTTTGGTTGGGATTAAACACTGGTTTATTTCTTGGTTCTGATAGAAAGAGTGAAAGAGACAAAGGAAAAGTGGAGAAAACGGACACGAATTATTGCATTTTCGTCCGCCTTTTTTTTGGCTATTTTTTTCAGCCTTGACAGCCTTTATGCCCTTTATTTCCTTTTGTGCATTATACAGTCTCATTTGGGCCGCTGCTTTGCTCTTTTTTTTTATCCAACCAACCCCCCCTCTCATTTACCCTCCCCACTCTCCGTCTTCCTCGTCTTCCTGAGAGGTATATAAAGAGCAGATGTTCGCCGTTCTCTTTCTCTTCGTTCATTCATCCAAAACATCAACAGTTTTTAATAACAATTATCCAACCACTTTAAACTTAATCTATTGTATATCTACTATTTTTTGCAATTCTATTAGCGTACATTAAAGTTAATAGTTTTTATATAGATTTTTCGGTACACTTGCAGAATATAAAATAATAATGGAAGGCCAGTACCACGAGCATTCCAAGTCGGCCCTGCCTGACCATCAAATCTCCATGCCTGAGCCTGTTGACTACGAGGTCTCCCCCGCTTCTTCTTCCTGGAGCGATCCAATGAACTGGCCGGTTTTCGATTTCCGGTACAAATACCGCGAGTACTTTGCCGAATTCTGGGGCACATTCATCCTGATTCTTTTTGGCAACGGTGTGGTTGCCACGGTGACTGTGAACACAAGCAATGCCGCATCCTCCTACCTGGCCATCAGCTTCGGCTGGGGCATTGGTCTGACCATGGCTCTCTACGTCAGCATGGGTATCTCCGGCGGCCATCTCAACCCGGCTGTCTCTGTGGCTAACGCTATCTTTGGCAAGTTCCAGTGGCGCAAGGTTCCTGGCTACGTGCTTGCACAGGTCCTCGGTGCATTTGTTGCCGCTGCCACTGTCTATGGTATTTTCAAGAGCCAGTTTGATGAGTTTGATGGCGGCAACCGCCAGCTTTCCGGCGAGTTCGGTACCGGCGGTATCTGGTGCACTTACGCTAAGGATGGTAACGGCAAGTTCTTCTCTGCGTTCTCCGAGATTATCAACACTGCTGTGCTGCTCTTTGTCATTTACGCTATTGGCGATGACCGGATGACCCCGGCCAAGAACCATTTGCCGATTGCCATTGGTCTGCTGGTGTTCGCTATTGGAAACTGCACGGGCTGGGTCACCGGATATGCTATTAACCCGGCGCGTGATTTTGGACCTCGTATCTTCTCGACTATTCTCTATGGCTCGGAGCCGTTCACTGCTGGTGGCCACTACTTCTGGGTGCCCACCTTCATGCCTTTTGTTGGCGCCGTTGTTGGTATCTTCTGCTACCAGTTCTTCATCCTGCCCGAGAGCAAGAAGAGAAACTAAATAATTTTCTGATATCGTATAATTTTCTTTTAGAACGCCTACCCCCTTACCTTCCCTGTAATACTAATTCAATACAACAATATTTTATTGCTACAAACATACACAATCATTGTACGTCATATTATGTGGGGTTTTGTTTTTCTCAAGTTGTCATGACTAATGCATTCCATTTTCTGCATAAAATGACTAAGAATAATTAAAAATCTGTATTATTTCCAGTGGTAAAATAAATGAGGGGAAATTAATCGTAAGAATTATATATTTTTTCCTTGCAAAAACAAATAAGCGAAAAAAATTCATCAATCAATTAATAGACGATTGACCGTTTTATTTTTATTGTTAAATTATATAAATGCTTAATATAAAGATTATCAAATGAATTCTTTATACTATTTAATTGCTAGCGTAGCCGCAGTTTAAATGACGACGTCTATTTATTAATGAATTTAGACAAGTGATGAGCGAGTGGTGTATGCTGGGCTTGGCCGCAGCAATTAAAAAATTGAAGCTTTGTAAAACGGGGCTAGCTTTTTTTTCTCATTTTTTTTATTTGTTAATTTAATAGACAAGCATCAAAGCGTGTACTTGGCGGGCTTTTAAAAAAATTAAAAGAATGGAGAGAGGGGGGGGTGGGGGTGGGTAAAAACAAAAGAAACTTGGCTTTGCCACTATTTTATTTTACATTTTACTTATTATCTTTACGTTGCTTTTGCTGGCCGCTTTTTTATTTTATTTTTATTTAAAAAATCAACCATTCATAATTTTATTGATGCGTATAAATAATAAGTGCTTGTTCTTTTTAAACAACCCAATGTTTCAACACCACTTTTTATTTTGTATCAATAAAATAGTTCATTATTAGGACTTTGGTACTGGGATGTTGTGCAGGAATAATAGTTTTCTATGCAATTACTGTCTTTATCTATTTTTTTAATGTGTATGTTCGATCGCAGTTCTATGGTTTTTATTTTTATTTTTGAGCGGACAATCATTCGCACGCCTTACATGATGTTAATTAATGAAACATTGGTATTTTAATTGACGTAATGTGGCGACCAGAAATGCATATTTATGTATGTAAAATACTTTATTAATACCATTCGGTTTAAAAAAAAGAGAGAGAATGTGCTCAGATGATGACATTCAAGATTGAAAAGTCGAAGCGTAAAAATAATAACAAACCCAAGGGTTGGATAAGACGAATATAGATTTTTTATACATAATTGTGAGAAAACAAGTATTTTTCTTTCACATGTTCTTTTTGCGAGTTATTGTTTACTTAAAAAATATAAGTGACCATGATAAATAATCGACAGATTGTCGATACTCTTCCTTATTCCTCTATTTTGAAAATTCTACAAAAAGAAAACTGGTTAATAGTCAAACGATTTCGGTAAATAATTAATAATTTATTTTCTGGAAGCAATAAAAAAATAAATAAACAATTGAACCATTAAACCATTGATTTTCTTGAAAGCAGGGATTTTTTCGCAAACAGGTATACTAATTCTTTTCCGCATATACAGGTACTTTATTTCTATGCAGAAAAAAAGAATGGTAATTTATGACAATCAACAGACACAAAATGTAAACATGAAATGTAGTGAGAAATTTAGGGAAAGAAATGAGGGGGATATACTCTTTTATTCTTAAATCACTTTTTTCTCTCTCTTTCTCTCTCTCTCTCCCTCTTTCATTATGTTTTTTTAATGTGGTGGCGGAACTAATTAACAGCAGTAAACAACAAGGCAAAGCAAAGAAAAAGAAAGAAACTGGGAAAACAATAACCACTTATTTTTCAATTTAAATACAAAATTATGTTGACCTTGCATATCTTTTCTCGCTTTTTGATTTTCCATTTCATCCAGAATTTATTCTCTTTTATTCTCTCGTATCCAATTTTTTTTATTTTAACTTGCATCTCGATTTTTCTTATTCCTTCTTCCTCTTCTTAACGTTTTTTTTCTTCCTTTAATGTCCTCCGATAAACTGGATAAATCAGATAAACATGAGAAAGCGGACGGGTCCTCAAACGACCCGTATGCAATAATGCTTACGCACAATCTTCTCGGACAACCACAATGGTCTTTCGCCAAAACCCTTTTAACCTTCACTGGGCTTTCCCTAGTAATGTACATGGTCTGCAGTGCCGAGACAATCTTCAACCAGCTCCTCAGCCCACTCAAAGACAATTTCAAAAGCAATATTTACGCACAATGGATGGAAGCATCTTTCCTATTGACCTGCGTGATGGTGCAGCCCGTATGGGTGAAACTTGCCGAGCGGTTTGGGCGTAAATGGCCGTTGTTGGCGTCGATTGTGGTGTTTATGGTATTTTCTATTATGGTCGGGGGTGCGCGGACCATGGGGGTGTTGTGTGTGGGGAGGGCGTTGCAGGGCGTGGGTGGCGCGGGGATGATGCCGTTGGCGCTGGTGGTTTTGACAGATGTGCTGACTGCTGGGCAGCGCGCTGTGTGGATGGGGGCGCTGGGCGCGGTCATTATTGCCTCCAAATGGTCCGGGCCCGTAGTCGGCGCACTGCTACTGCAAAGCGGTAGTGGCAACAGATGGCGGTGGGCCGGGTACATCAACCTACCACTGGGCGCCCTGGCGCTGGTTATACTCTACACGAGCCTGAGAGATATCCCTGGGCCGATTAGGCGCGCGGAGGAGGGCGAGAAGCTGCGGCGACTGAGAGAGTTTGACTTTTTAGGAACTCTAGTGTGGCTGGGCGGCAGCTTGATGATTTTGCTGGGCCTTTCGTGGGGCGGCAACGAGTACCCGTGGCGATCAGCCACAGTTGTGTGCCTGTTTGTGTTTGGGTTCCTGGCCATTATACTTTTCGGCGTTATCGAATGGCGGTGGGCGAAATGGCCGATTATCCCACTAACGGTTTTGCGCCGTTCGCGCACGGTTATTGCTCTTGTGGCATCGTTCCTTATTGGCATCTGCATGTATGGGATGATCATGTTTGTGCCGGTGTACTATATGATGGTGGTGGGGGAGTCGCCGGTGGAGTCGGCGCGTCATATCTTATGGTTCGTTTTGGGCGGCTGCCTTGGGTCGCTTCTGGCCGGGTCCTTGGTGAGTGTGCGCGGGGGGCGGACGTTCTACCGCGAATGGGCGGTGCTGGGTTGCCTGCTGATGACGGTTGGGTACGGGGTGCTGTACACGTGGCCGCTCGCGGCATCGGCCACCGTGCGACACGCGGGGTTCCAAGTGCTTGTGGGTCTGGGTCTGGGGCTTTGCATGCAGCAGGTGCTTTTGGCGGCCCAAGCGGGGATCCCAGCAGACGAGGTTTCGACGGTAACTACGCTCGTGGACTATGCGCGCACGCTCGGCGGGATGATCGGGCTGGTCATTGGCGAGGTGATTTTGAAGGACAAGATGTTCAGCACTGTGGCCGCGGCGTTCCCATTCCTGGGATCCGAGGTGTTTGCTGGTCAGGACGTGGTTGCACTGGAGGGGATGGCGCCGATGCTGGCGCAGCTGCCGGGGGCAATGTCCGCCGGTGTGTACGAGGGCGTGGTGGATGCGCTGAGGCTGGTGTTTGTGGTGGATGTGCCGTTTGCTGCTGTTGCTTGTGTTTTGTGCGTGGCGTTGAGCAATATTCCACTGCATGTCGTGCTGCCGGCTAGTAGGCCGGACGAAGTGCCGGAGGCGCTGTATAGGCTGCAGCAGCAGAGGAATGATGCAATTGTGTAAGAAATTAAAAGCGCAGTAGGGGTTTTTATATTTTATATTTCATATTATGGAAATGAGTCGATTTGATTTGATTTGGGCTTGATTGTCGAGAATGTAACTGAAGAAGGGGGGGGGGGGTAGTGGGTAGTATGATGTTGCATTGGCGGCAAGGCACATGACGACGACAGCGGGATACTTGCATAATGCATTTTTTTTAAAATTTTCTTCTCTTTCTTTCTTTCTCCCATTTTTGCATTTTAATACATTTTTCATAATTACTACATTTTCTTTTTTTAAATTATAGACGGAATATGACTGCGCCGTCTTCAGCACCGAAACAGACAATCAGCCTTGAGGAATGGGAGGGCAAAATGGCAGAGGTTCCAATAGCCAAAAGGTATAAAAAACAAAATAAAAAACCAAGTAAGAATAAAAGCTAGCTGGGTTTAGAAGAGACACCCTTTTATTGCTCATACTTTGCAGATAAAAAATAAAACTAACTCTTCAGAACCTTTACTTTGTTTTTGTAGTGACCTCAACCAGCTCATCATGAACTACCTTGTTATTGAGGGCTACAAGGATGCAGCCGAAAAGTTCAGCGAGGAAAGCGGTCTGCACACGCAGATGGATCTTGGGTCGATGGACGAGCGGATGCAGATCCGGTTTGCGATCCAAAACGGAGATATTCAGGGGGCGATTGAGCGGATCAACGACCTGAACCCGGACCTCTTGGACATTGACCCGCACCTATACTTCCACCTGCAGCAGCAGCAGCTCATTGAGCTCATTCGCTCGGGCCGGGCGGCAGAAGCATTGGAGTTTGCACAGGAGGAGTTGGCGCCGCACGGGGAGGAGCATCCGGAGCTTCTGCGTGAGCTAGAGAAAACCATGGCGCTGCTGGCGTTTGATGTTGGCGCGGTGGGGCAGGAGGGCGCCAGGGAGTTGCTGGATTTCAGGCAGCGAGTGAGGACGGCGAACGAGCTGAATCGCGCGCTGCTGGCTGCCAGTAGCTTGCCGAGGGAGCCCAAGCTGCCCAAGCTGCTGATGCTGCTGGAGTGGTCGCAGGCCCAGCTGGACGAGAAGGCGAGGTATCCGAGGATAGGCAATCTTCTGGACGCTAGGTTGGAGATTGAGGCAGGGGGGGCGTGGGCGTGGGCTCGGCGGAAGGCAGCGCGCCGTCGTCGTCGTCGGCGACGTTTTCGTCGGTGCCACCGCCGATGATGTGAACCCCTTATGCTTTTCTAATGTACTCTTTTTCCAATATAATTATGCGTTCTTCCGTTTCGCCATCGATTAATCAGCCCAGCTACGCGGGTGGTTGGTTCTCAGCGATGGCCGATGGCCGATGGCCGATGGCGCCGCATCTTTGGTTCTCAGCGATGGCCGATGGCCGATGGCGCCGCATCTTTTCTTGTCCCTCTCCTCGCATTTTCCTGCTAATCCACTCCACTTTGTTTCAATTCATCGACATCGCGCTGTTCCCCTTTATTCCAATCCAGCAACAAAGACAGGCAAATTCAAAAAAGCAATGGCAGATGCGCTGGCCTTTGGCACGTCCGCGTCGCAATTCCTATCGGGCAATCCGTTCACACAGGACTTCCGGCCAGTCCTCGGGCTACTCAATGGGCCCAACCACGCAGGCTCCACGCTCACAGCGTACGGGCGCCAAGTAGGGCGGTCGCTGCTCAAGCACCTGCGCTGCACGTCCGACGGCGGAGCCGCGGCAGGCAGCAGCCAGGGGCCCGAGGGCTCGGCAGGCAGCAGCCAGGGCCCCGAGGGCTCGGCAGGCAGCAGCCAGGGCCCCGAGGGCTCGGCAGAGCCCACCGGCGCTGCATCGTGGCATACGATCAACTTTGCGCGCGTAGACGACATTCCGCGGCGCAAAGCGCATGGCGGCGGGCAGCCAGAGGCCGGGGCCGGGGCCGGGGCCGAGGCCGACGGCGACATGGCGGAGCAAGTGCTCGGGCGGGGCTGGGCGGGGCGGCAGCAGGGGCGGCCGGCCACGGTGCTTTCCATGCATACGCTGGCGGCGGCCGGCGAGCAGGGGGCCGACGTGCAGCTGGCGGAGGCTCTGGCGCGCACACGCGTGTGCTTGGCGTCGTACGGCGTGGCGTACACGGCCGTGCTGATCATCAACCGCGCAGTGGACGAGGAGCCGGGCACCGAGCGGCGCGTGGCAGCGCTGGTGGAGCGTGCGGGCATGGCCGCGGGCTCGGCAGCCGACGGCGGCCAGCTGGCTGTGTGCCGGCCAGGGCCTGCCGCGCAGTTCGCCCGGCTGCTGGCCGACGTCGACCGGCGGCTGCTGCGGCACCGCCACGCGCACTACGCGGCAGCCTTCATGCGCGCACAGGCGAAGCTCGCTGCGCTGCCGCAGCTGCCCCTGGCCACAAGCACCGGGTCCCTCGGCGGCGTCTACGCCGCGCCGCCGGGCATCCCGCCCGCGCTGCTGCAATGGCAGCAGCGGCAGCCGCCGGGCAGCCCCAGGCGCGTGTTGCGGGCGTCGCTGGCGCGCTACTACTTCAAAATGGGCGCGGCGGCGGAGAGCCTCGGCGAGGCGGTTATGGCTCTGCGGTGCTTCTGGCTGAGCTACGTGCACGTGGCGACGCTGGTGGCGGAGGTTGCCGGGGGCGCGTACCTGCCGGGCGCATGGCTGTGGGCGGCCAATGGCGGCGCCGGCGACGGCGCACGCGCGCACGCGCTGCGGATGTTCGGCGCGCGGTGGGACGACGCTGTGGCGCTGCTGGCCGCCGTGCATCTGCGGATCGTGCGCGGCTGGGTGCGCCGTATGCAGGCGCCGGCGGCCAGCCGCCTGGCGGGTCGGCCGCCGGTCCGCTCGGTGGGCCGGCCGCCGGTCGGCATTGCAGCAGCGGCCGGCGGCGGCAGCAGCGCGGCGCCTGCGCCGCCCGAGAGCGGGGCGGCTACGGGCGCAGGCGTGCTGGACAGCGCGGTGCTTCCGGTGCATGCCGGCGAGGGCAGCCCCGTGACCGCGCAGCTGGTGGACCACGAGCGCCAGGCGCGCGCGCAGGCCGGGGGCGCGGCCACGGCGTACTTTCTTGTGCTCGCGCCGCAGTCCGCCGGCGCCGATCTGCTGCCGGCTGCGGCGGCGGACGCGTGGTGGCCGGCGGGCGGCCATTTTGGCGCCGCGGACTATGCGCGCGCGGGCGGCGCCGACGCCGGGCGCCTGGCTGCGCGCCAGTGCGCCGAGCATGCGCGGCTGGTGGCTGCGGTGCTGGGCGGCGCGGGCTTTGGCACGCGCAGCAGCTATTTCTGGGCTGCCGCTGAGCGGCTCAGCGCCTCGCACGCGGCGCTGCATTTGGCCGCCGAGGCCGCCGGCCAGGCCTTTGCCAGCGCTGCGGCCGCGGCGGCAGACACGCCGGCTGCGGTGGAGCCGCTGGTGGCCGCGCTGCGGCCGCCGCTGCCGCGCGCCCTGCGCCCCGGCGAGCAGCCGGGCACCCAGGCGAGGCGCGTCGATGCGGGCTCGGTGTTTTCGGGCGCTGCCGAAGCCGGCGCCCACCACGGCGTGCAATGGCCGGCGACGGCCGCGCCGCTGCTGCGCGAGGCTGCGCAGGCCAGCCTCCAGAGGCAGCGGAGCTTTGCGGCCGAGGCCCAAGTGTACCTGTCGCAGCAGGGCGGCAGCGCGGCCGCATCCACGGGCGCGCACAGCTTCAGTCGCAGCCCGGGCGTCGAGAACACATACGTGGCTGTCTGGCTGGTGGCCGAGCGCCAGCGGACCGCGGCCGGCAAAGCCAATGCAATGCAGCCATGCCGGTACTTGGCAGCGGCGTTGCATGCCACGGAGGCGTCGCCGGAGTGTGCGTTGGCGGCGCACAGGCTGGCTGAGCGTGGCGACGCTGGGGCGCTTCGCGCGCTTCTTGCCAGACCCGGTCCTGCTGCCGCTGCCCCGGGGCCTGGCCATCCTGCCACCGCCGGCCGCCGCCGGTGGCGGCCGCTGGCCGAGCTGCTGTACTTGTCCTGTGCTGTTGCTGAGGTGCTGGCCGAGGCCAAGCGCACGGAGGATGCCCAGGCGTTGTTTGTCCTGCTTGCCGCGCGCTATCGCGGCCTCGGGTGGCCGGCATTGACTGCCTACGCGCTATCGTGGGCCGCCAAGTGCTGCGCCAACGGCGCCAGAGGCAGAGCCGGCGACGTTGCGGGCATCCGTGCGACCGTGGAGCTGCTTGCAGCGCAGCTGGGCGGGTCGCTGGAGGAGCGGGTGCGACTGGGCGATGCGCTGCTGGAGATGGTCCACGGCGGCACCAGCGCTGCCAGTGGCACCACAGGCAGCGGCGACGCCTCCGTAATCGACGTGGACATGGCCGCAGTGCACGCGGCCGCGACGTGCCATGCGCACTGGCAGCGGTGGAGGGCAGACGATGCAGCAGCGGGCATGCGGTTCCAGGCCACAGTGGATGCCCGCGCGCTGCCGGTGGCGCTGCCGGTGAGCGAGGTTCTGGTGGAGTTCAGCGACCCCAAGTTCAACTGCAGGTGGGTGCACCGGGGCGATGCGCCGGGTCCTGTGCGTGTTGCCATCCGGGATGCCTCTGGCGCAGGGCCAGCTGCGGGTGGCGATGCGGAGCGCGAGGTGGTGCGGGTGTTTAATATGGAGGCGAGTGCCTGGGCCGAGCGCTGTCTTGGGCTGGACGCCCAGTCGGTTGCTGTGTTCTGTGGGAGCGTTGTGCCAGGCGACCGCGTGGTCGAGGGCGGCGCACTGGCCTTGGTGGCGGTGACCGCTGTGGTTGGCAAGAGACTGAGGCTGCGCTGGCCGACTTCTGCCGGCCATATTGCCGCTTCGGCAGATCCGAGTGCTGAAAAAAATCCTGCCGATTTGGATGATGCGCCTGTAGCGCCGATGGAGTGCCTACTCTTGGCCAACATTGGCGTCTCGCGTCTGCACGACAACCCAAGTCTGAGCACGCCCACCTTTACTACACCCACCGCCACCGCCACCACAGCTGCTGTCTCGGTGCTTGCCACAACGCCGGCCATCCGCCAGGCCACCAGACTCTTGGGCCCCGCATCCTCTCTACCGCAGAGCCAGCGGTGGCTCCATATAGACTCAGCCGGTGGGTCCTCCCCGAGCGCCCAATGGGTAAAGCTCCCAACGGCGCCGCTTTCTCCGTGTCCTGAGAAATTCGCCAGCTGCAGTGAGGCGGCGTTTTCGGCGTACAGCCGCTGCCGCCTGGTGTACTTTCCCGAGCCCATTGCGCACACCCTGGGGCTGTCGGTCACTGCGCGGTCGGCGCCGGCCTATCGCGGGGAGGTGTTTCCCGTGGACATCCGCGTGGAGAACCTGCATCTTGGCGGGGAAACCAGAGCCTTGCGGAGGGTGCGGCTGGAAGTCGCTGTTGCTGCTGTTGCAGCTCTCGGTTTGTCGGATGCCGATGCAGCCAGCACCAGCAGCAATGGTGGGCGTTCGTCGAGGAGCGGGTCTGATGCCGACGAGCCCAATGCTGACAACGGTCCTGCAGGCAGAGGAAGCAGTTGGGATCGTCCGTGGATCAGCGAATCGCCGGATACAGCTCAAAAGGATGCAGATGAGAAGCGCCTTGGTTGCCTGGTTCTTGATCTCGAGAGTATCGGGGGTTCGCGCACCGTCACCGTATACGTGCACACGCCTGGTGCTGTGCTGGATGCCGCGTGGAGGTCGGCGGAGAATACAGATGCGGTGCAGGTGAAGTGCTCGGCGGTGTACTCGCACGAGGACACGGGGGATCTGGTAGACCACACTGCTGCCATTAGAGCCCAGATGGCTGTGCCAGTGGTTCACCCGCTGTATGCCGAGGCCGAGCTGCTCCCGGCACATATTGCCGCGCCTGGGCCTGCTGCAGTTGATGGCGCCAGTGGCACCCAGGTGTCTGCTGCTGTTGCTGGGGAACACTGTTTCCGGCGCCCTATTTTGGTCAGCTTGCGGAATGCGGGGCCGTGGGATGTTGTTGTCAGCAAGGTGGCTCTGCACACGCCGGTTATGCGCCGGTGGGACAGTAATATCAATGTGAGCCTAGCTGGATCGACAGCGGACTCGTGTGCACAGCAGCCAAAATCCGGCAATGAGGAGGACGACGACGACGAAGGGGCTGTGATTGTTGCTGGTAATGGCGGTGTTCTGCGGCATGTGTTTTGGCTCGATATACATACTGCGGATATCATCCGGATGCCCCTGCACGTTTGTCCTGGTGTCTTGGAGATCCACTGGCGCCGCCAGAAAAACAATATCAACAACAACAACAACAACAACAACAGCACAGGTGGTTTGTTGGTGCGGTCTCGGTTGTGGCTGAGGCCAATGGAGCTGATGCAGAGGCGGGTTCAGGTTGAGATGGTTTGCAATGAGGAGACTGCACAGGTCGGTCGGCTCCTGCAGATCACGTACCGGGTTCTTAACCCGACGCGCAGGACAAAGTGCCTGGAGACAGCCTTGCATGCTTCGGATTCGTTTGTGTTTGCTGGACCGCGTCGTACAACTATTAATGTTTTGCCCGGACAAACTAGTCTTTTGCGCTTCAATCTCTTGCCGATCAACACTGCCTCTGTGGCGGCAGCACCATCAAATGGTGCTGCTGTTGCGGAGGAGAGGGTGTATTCGCCGGGTCTGGCGGTGTTGGGTATTTCGCGGATTCTTGATGCCCATATAGGAATGGGCGGCCCGGGGGCTTCTGCTAAGGCACCAATACTGCCGGGTAATTTGGTGGGCCAAGGATGGATCAAGATGCCGCGTCTCGAGGTCAAACTGGCCGACCACCGACCACTCGTCAGGTCCCCCCGCACACCGCACCAAACCACCGCCTCTGTACCGACGCTGCCTGTGGCGCCAGCGCCTACCAGGGCAGCATCCTGGTCTGCTGCCGGTACTTCGTCTGCACATGCACAGCGGATTATCGCTGAAATGGCCGGTCTCGAAACAACTTCCGATGGCAAAGATTTTCTGAAGCAGGAGAGGGGGTTATTGGGCCCGGAGTTGATTGAGGCGTGTGTCGATGCGGTTCCGGAGTATCTTTTGCGAGAGCCGGATTTGGAGTACGAATCGGATATGGAGGAGGCAGAAATCGGGGATAGTGATGGAAAGTTGATGCGCGTGTTTGACAGTGAGGATGCCGGTGATAGTGATGAGATACTGAGATTCGATCAGACTTGCATTTTCTGCGTTGCTCGCACTGTGGAGGAATCAGTCTGATGCTCTTTTTCCGGCATTCTGATGTTTTTTTTTCCTTTTTTGATCATGGTTTTTTTTAAATAAATATTTACTGTTTTCTTTATTTCCTTCTTTTTGTCATTGTTGGGTTTTCAGAATATAAAATAAAAAGGTATATAATGAAAACATGATTGTCCTTGTACTATTTTTGGAGCAAATAATGCATTGCAATGCAATTGACAAATAAAAAAAAGTTTTTTATTCGTCTTTTCTCATCTTTTTCTTTTTCGTTCTTATTTTTTCCTGCGCTCTATTCTACAGTCTTTCTTTTTAAATTTTGCATTTACATAATATAGCTACTGTATTATTCTGCACATCCATATTCATATTCGTTTTGTTTTTTATTTGTTTATTTGTTTATACTTGTGCCAGACATACACATCTAGATCACATACGAGAGATGAAGACTATTGTAAGTACATGCACACATACAAAACGCACGCATGCTTTTTTATATATGGTTTCTCTGTATGTATTAGTTTTTTTTTGTAATTATCGTACAATTTGCCGCACTTGAAATATGTGAACCCGTTTGGGACTAAGCCGTTATTATTTTTATGTTTTAAACATCCCCACGACCCCCCTTCCCTACCAACCCTTTTTTTGTAACAAACCCCTGCGCACATAACCACTCGAGTCTAGTATTCACAATATCCTATTACCCTACTGCACAACATCCCAATCAACAACACTCCTTTTTAAAAATAAAAATATTTCCTTTTGTCCTATTTTTTTAAAAAAATACCTAATAAAAAATAGGGTCTGAAACGAGTCGCTATTCCTTCGCGAGCCATCCTAATCATTGCGCTTCTCTACCTAGGATGCCTTTACCTGATAACAAACAGCGCACTCCAGTCTCGACTGCGTCGATCAATAGAGGCCATGACAGCAAATGGGCCCATGCCAGGCCAACAGACTGCGCCAGCAACAGGAGAAGGAATCCGCGAGTGGTTTTCGTGGAAGGTGAATAATGTCGGAATAAAGCCACAGCTGCCGGAAAATCAACAGATACCAGTTGATGTTTTGGCCAAGATAATCTACGACGCAGCGAATGGCCACAACGTTGGCGACAGCCTAAAGCCATTACCAGAGGAAGAAGAGTTGGGCCAAGGTGGTAGTAAGCCATACGAGGGGCTGGTAAAGTTGGTTCGGCTGGGTGGGTGGCCGACGGAGTTTCCTGAAAACCTGGACGAGTATCAGGAGTCGGTGTTGCAAAACAAAACGTGGGCGAGTGAGACAGAAAAACATCGGGCGGAGATTGCGCCCTGGGTGTGGCACCACCGCGGCGAGGCGGATGTTCTGGATGAGCTGGCTAAATCTGCCGACCAACAGGTCGCCTTCGACGCCATGGTGGAGATGGCCAGGCTCGGTATTATTCCTTCGCCCGGAAATGAAAATCGACGGGCCAACGCGGCGTTTGTTGTTTTGCTGCGCAACCGCGAGCTGGACGATTTCCTGGCCACCATGCGGCAGCTTGAGGACAGGTTCAACCACAAATACCACTACCCGTATATTTTCCTCAACGACGAGCCATTCTCCAAGGAGTTCATGCAGCTGGTGGCCATTAGCACCACGAGCAACGTTACGTTTTCTATGATTCCGCGAGACCACTGGTCGCTGCCAGACTTTGTCGATCCGATTAAGGCGGCCAAAGCGCGGGAGCAGATGGCCGCAGATAACATCATTTACGGTGGAAGTCTGAGCTACCGCCATATGTGCCGGTTCAACAGTGGGTTTTTCTACAAGCACCCGCTCCTGCAATCCGTCGACTGGTATTGGAGGGTCGAGCCCGGTGTTGATTTTTACTGTGACATTGACTATGACCCCTTCGTCTACATGCAGAATAGCGGCAAGCTATACTCCTTTGTCATTGCGCTCAAGGAGTTAAAGTCAACCATTCCGACGCTGTGGCAACACACGCTCGAGTATATGCTCAATACCAATGCGTCGTCCGACCTGATGTCGTACTTTGTTTCAGAGACTGGTGACTATAACTTGTGCCATTTCTGGTCAAACTTTGAGATCGCCTCGCTCAACTGGCTGCGCTCCGACGCCTACGACTCGTATTTCCGCTACCTCGACCAGGCCAAGGGGTTTTTCATGGAGCGGTGGGGCGACGCGCCCGTACACTCGATTGCTGCCGGAATGTTGCTTAACCGAGACCAGGTGCACTTCTTTGACGATATCGGGTACAGGCACGAGGACTTTATGCATTGCCCGGATACAAAGGAAAATTTGGGTATGAAGCTCAAGTGCCAGTGTCCGCAGAGAAAAAACTTTGACACTTCTATTGGGAGTTGCTTGCCGAGGTGGAAGTCGTATTCGCCGGCTGAGTGGACTCCGAGGGATACGGCCGAGGCTCTGCGGCTGATGGAAGAGAAGAACCTGGTTACTGATGTTACTGAGCCTCACATAGTTGCCGAGAGGAGGCAGTGGTACAATGTTTTTGCTGGCTTTTAAAATGAGAATCTGAAAAATAAATAAATTATTTGTTGCGTTATTTTTGAATTTGATTTGATTTCATATCATTTCATCTATTTTACGGTTTCTATCTTTTTTACTTGTCATTCTTATTTTTGACGGCCATGTTTTTATTGATGACCGGTATTATAATTTCGGTTTTTTCCCGTCCGTTTGCTGTTTTTTTGTTTTACGCAAAATGCAATGCAGTGAAAATTAGGCGCCGTAGGGTATAAACATTAAATACATGTAACTCAATATTAGTTTTCCGTAATACAGTGTTACTTTATAACTACTGTATGTGCATATACCCATATAAAAACTGGAATAGATAACAAAAATACCACCATCTTAATATTAACGTGTTACTAGCAAAATATATAAAACAAGTTAATCTCATCTAATATACAATTTTTTTGTCCTTTATATTTTGCCACGTCATATCTTTCAACATTGCTCATTTATTTAGCAATAGAATATATAGAAATATATAGTCACAGTTATGAGAAGACATGAAAGTAAAAAAACGCCAATAATTGATTTATGCAAGAAACAAAGTAAAAAAAAAGCAAGTACTTTTTTTCCCTGGCTTAATCTTGTCTTTACCCTACCTCTTTCCCGAATGAAGAGGCGACTGGATGGATAAAGTCAGTTTCGGACAAGATATCTAAAATTATAGTCTGTATATTTTGTTTCATCCAAAGTGCAGTACATTTTTAGGCTTTCTCTTTCTTTCTGTATATCTCCATCTCCATTCCTATTATTATTATTATTATTTATTCTATTTATTAATTAGTACAATGTCTTCGGCATTAAGTTACTATATCCCAACATGGGATGGGCTAAAGTTTTACTTGAGTGAGCTCTTCCCCAAGAACCTCATGGAGGTAGGAGAACCGCCAGAAAAGTCCATTCAAGAGTCTGAAAAAGATGTGCTGAAAAAGCCCGTATATAAGGTCAAGGCCGTGCCAAAGGACAAAGACAAGTCGATTCACTCCAGATGGTACTGGCCGTTCGCCTCAGGAATCCTAATAGCCGAGGCTGTGGCCATCTACGCCGTGTTTTTTGTCAAGCTGAAGTGGCCCGTGGGTATCTTCGTGCTTCTTTACGGAGTTCTCTCAGGGCTCTGCATCACAGCAGGGTACCACCGGCTGTGGGCGCACAGGTCGTACAAGGCGTCGTGGCCACTGGCGGTGTTCCTGGCCATTTTCGGCGCAGCCAGTATCCAGGGCTCGATCATTTGGTGGGTGCAGAACCACCGCCTGCACCACAGGTACACGGACACTGAGCGCGACCCGTACAACATCAAGCGTGGGTTCTGGTACGCGCACCACGGCTGGATTCTTTTCCGCCGCAAGGAGGACGAGTTGGGCTACGCTGACATGACAGACTTGCACGCCAGCAAGGTTGTCTTGTGGCAATATAAATACTATTTTTTCATCTGTGCCTTCTCTTCGCTCATCCTGCCAACGGCATTCTGCGGTTTGGTTCTGGGAGACTGGAAGGGCGGGTTCTTCTGGGGAGCCGTCGCACGCCTGGTCGGCGTCCAGCAGGTCACCTTCTGCGTTAACTCGGTCGCGCACACCTTTGGCACGCAGCCATACAGTGACGAGCAGACGCCCAGGGACAACTGGTTCACCGGCATCATCACGCTGGGCGAGGGCTACCACAACTTCCACCATGCCTTCCCCAACGACTACCGCAACGGCGTGCGCTGGTACGACATGGACATCACCAAGTGGCTTCTGTACGCCATGGAGCAGCTGGGCTTGGCGTCCAACCTCAAGCGCTTCCCCCGCAACGAGATCATGAAGGGCCGTGTAGCGATGAAGTTCAAGAACGCGCAGAAGATGGCTAAGCGCGTCGACTATGGAACTCCGATCGAGGAGCTGCCAATGTTCACAGCGTCGGAGTTTGTCGCTGAGGTCAAGGAGCGCAGCAAGAAGTGGATAGTCATTGAGGGCTTCATCTACAATGTAGAGGAGTTTATCAAAATGCACCCCGGCGGCCCCAAGCTCATCAAGGGTGGTATTGGAAAGGACATGACCAACGCGTTCAACGGCGGCGTCTACAACCACCATTACTCGGCGCGCAATCTGATGAACTCGACCATGCGCGTCGGAAAAATCATCTAATCACCCACCTCTGTTTCTGTGCATGCTTAGTCTTTTTCTCTTCCATCCTGGTACTTTTTTCCGTTCGGCTTCAAATAAAACACTATTTATATTTTGTGTGCGACTCTGTCTGCGAAATTCATTCAACTCCATTCAACTCCAGTCCAATTGAGCAATGTCCTTGTCATCTTCAAAGCTCCAGCCAGACGTCAACAAGCAGCTGGACGCCAAGCTGGCTGAAATGCAGAACATGCTCAAAGACTTGGCCACCAAGGTCGAGGAGGCTGAGGAGGGCAACGTCATCGACAAAAGCACACAGTCGGCGAGCGTTGCCGACGCCTACAAGGACATTGTCAAGGCCGAGGATGTCATTAGCTCGTTCGAGTCTCGCTTGGACCAGCTTCTCGGCCGCCTGGATAATATGATCGATGGGCAAGATAATGAGGGGCCGGAGAAAGATCAAGAAGAAGAGGAGGAGGCAGAGAATGACGATGGCGAAAGCGCTGGTAAAGGCAATACCATCGCTGCCCAAACCAAAAAATGAACAAATACTTTTTTCTCAGGCAACACACTTATTTTCACTTCTTATTTTCCAGTTTCTAATTCTTATAAAAAATTATTTCCATTTTCTTTTCTCTCCATCCGCATTTAACAACCAGCAAAGGTCTTTCATTTCCACATGTCAGAAGCGGCCGATATAGACACCCAACTGTCCCAGCTGTCAGCAGAACTGGACGAGATAGAGAAGGACATTGTCCTGCTCAGCCAATTCAGCGGCAGCCGCAACGAACACCGGCAATTCGCCGACTCTGTCCGCGACCAACAGCGCACAGCCGAGCGTCTAATAGAGCGCGCCCTGATAAATCTGGACGACATACAAGAGGCCAAACTAAAATCAAAAGTCCAAGCGACGATATCCCAGCAACAAAACAGGACCAAGAACCTGCAGCGAGCCTTCCGAACGGCACTTCTCCAGTACCGCGCCAATGTAGCGGGGTCAGTGAAACGGGACCGCGAGCTATTGCTCAGTGGCGCAGCAACACCAGCGGAGCTGCGCAAACGCAAGGTGCGCACAGGCAATGCTGTGCTTAATGTTGCAGCAGATGTGACTTCGGCGTTGCAGGAGACTGTGAGCATGATGAATGAGGAGATTGACAAGAGCGTCGGCAATACCATGGCTCTTCAGGACTCGTCAGACATGCTGAAAAAGACAAAGTCCGAGTACTTGACTATGGACGGCGTGCTGAAGACGTCAAAGAATCTGATCAAAGCTTTAGAGCAGGCGGATGCCATGGACCGATGGCTGATGCTTGGAGGCCTGGTCCTGTTTGTTGCCGTGTCCTTCAATATTCTCCGCAAGCGTATTTGGATTCCTGGGTTGTCGAGCTTGTTCAGCGTGCTCAAGTACTTCTTGTTCAGCAACAGCAGCAGCAGCAATAGCAACATCGACATTACTGAAAAGATAGCTGCTGTAACGACGACCTCTGTGGATATCAGCAAAATTGGACACAGCCTCAAGGACTTGCCACTGGCTATGCTCACAGCAACGCTAACGTCCGCTGTGGTGATAGCCGCAGCCGCAGTGCCGTCAGGTGCCCAGACCAAAAGCATTGTTATAGAAAACATCCCAGCAGAAACTGAGTCTTCGGTCAGCCTATTGTCAGTATCCGCCTACTTATTGCCTGTTGAACCTGCAGACAATAGCGAGCAGCAGCAACAGCAGCAACAATCGGAACTCGCAGGCAGTACAGTCACGCTAAGCCTGGAGATGGCCCAGTTTTTGATAGACCAGCTGCCTATACCAGAGCCAACACCAGAGCCAATACCAGAGCCAACGCCCACTGGGTCACCAATCGAACCCGACAAGCAGAATATTTCCGCGTCTGTGGAGTCAACAACCCAGGCCAACAGAATATTAGTTGATGATGTTGAGCAGCCAGCAAACGTGGATACAACTTCAGAGGCTGCTGAACATGCTGAATCTCTGCAAAACCCAGAAGCACAGGTTGAGGAACCAAACCCCCACCACATTATATACACTTTGCCTGTCGAGCGTCCTGTTCGCGAGGAGCTTTAGCTGCTTACAAAGCATGAAGAATAAATATTTAATTTCTACTCTACTCGACTTTTTTATTGTTGCGCATCACATGAATACCCTTCATTTAGCCATACTCAAGTTACCTCGCTTGAACAAGTATAAAAGATAAAAAGCATGCAGATAAAATTATTATTTTCTGTTTTTTTTCTGCCTCGTATATTCACTCTAAACTCACTACTTCACCTCTCCTACCTTTTGCCGACTTAGGCTCCTAGTCTTACAGGGCCTGCTAACCAAAGAGAAAAATGGGGACAGACAAAAAACCCATGCTGTACACCGACGACGACCCAGACTATCGGAACACCAAGATCAAATCTAATGTCCTGCCGCCTTCTATGAGAACGCTGGGGCAGGCTTTTAAAAGCTTGGGCCGCTACAACAACAGCAATAGCAGAAACTCATCGACGGGCCCGCAGCGGAGAAACCAATACCAGCAGCATCAGCATCAGCAGCATCAGCAGCAGCAGCAGCATCAGCATCAGCAGCAGCATCAGCATCAGCATCAGCATCAGCAGCGTCAGCATCAGCAGCAAATGTACATGCCGCCGCTACAACATCACCAACATCACCAACAAAATCCCCGCCATTACCCTTATCAATCCAGGCCAGCAGCAGCAGCAGGAGCAGTAGCAACAACACTGTCGCCGCCAATGCCCAAGATGGCACGCATACCGTCACTGTCACCGGCACCGGCACCATCTTCGGCCCCAGCCAGCTCCACTGTTGTGTCCGGCACCGGACCTGCATCGCGCACCTTTGTTGTGATCAGCAACACGCACGGGGCGAACTTTGTCGAACAAAAGTTAGCGACACTCGAGTGGTTACGGATGATGAGCGACCGGGATGACGCGCGCGGACGTCGTGCAGACGCGCGAACCGTCGACGTATCTCTCCTACAAGCCGCCGATGGCATCAAAGAGGATATGCGCAAGCAATCCGTGTCCAAGGAACAGTTTGTTTCTGCCAGTTTGGCACTGAACCCATATGCTGGGCTGACACGCAGTGTGTTTGGTGGCTTGTCAGCGGTGGCGCTTGGGCATGTGGATTTTTTGTTGCGTGCGGTGGCAGAGTATACGAGTAATAAGGGGGTGCTGAGGTTTGTTGATGTGGGGAGCTGCCAGGGGGCGTTATCTGAGTATATTTTGTGGCGGGCGAGCTCGCAGAGCAAGCTGGATACCCGCGGGTGGTATTTTGGCAATGGATCGGCGACGGCCAGCAAAGTAGGCAGGCGGATGCTTGCGGAGTGCCGGGCGGCCGAGAGGCTCGATGAGTTTAGCGGGGCAGCAGCAGCAGCAACAGCGGGCAGTGGGGGGGTCCTGGACCCAGCCAACATCGATGCCTTTGTGCAGCACGTCAGGGCATCCAACGACCAAAAGCACGTTGACCTGGTGGTCGCTGAAAACGACAGCCTTGAGCAAGGCGACCTCGCATTAGGCCATGAGAAACACCAGTATGCGTATACGATTGCGCAGGCGATTGTTGCGTTTCAGATTTTGCGGCGCGGTGGGACATTCGTGTTCAAAGTATATGATACGGCGACACCGCTCAGTGTCGAACTTTTGTATCTGATTCACGCGTGCTTCGAGCGCATGGCTATTGTGCGGCCGCTGGCCAGTCGGCCGACGAGCACAGAGCGCTTTGTCGTGTGCAATAATCTGAATGCTGATCCGGCGCGGCTGGTGGCTCATTTTACCATGGCTTTGGGGAAGATGCACGATGGGTCGCTGAAGCCCTCGCATTTGGTTAGCTGGACAAAGGTGTCTGCGGAGAGGCAGTTTATGGGGCCGCTTGGGCGCATCAACAACAAGATTGCCCAGGAGCAGGTGCAGGCGCTAAAGTCAGTTGCCGCGCACATCGGACGCCAGCAGCCTGGCGGTGGCGGCGGTGGTGCCAGCAGCGCCAACAAAAACACCTCGGCCGAGCACATGTTGACCAGACAACAGGAGGACGTGGCCAACCTGTGCTTGAAAACATGGGGTCTTCCGCAACTTCAACTTTAGATGATTTATTTCGCGAATACATTTAGACAATACAATTCCCGATATTTCGATTTAAAAATAAAGACAAAAAAGACAATATTGAAATGGGAGATATATGACTTTTTTTTTATAACTAAAAAAGAAAATTATAATCTATATATTTATATATTTATTAATTTTACGCTTTGGTGGTGGCAGCGGCAGTCTGAATGGACCTAACGATATCCTTGAGATTTCCGCTAGCCTCTTCCATCTCGCGCCTGACAAACTTTTGTTTCTTCTCCAGGGCTTCAACCATAGCCTTTGAGTTCTCAGCCGTGGTGTCGATTTCCTTGAGCAGGTCGTCCTTGGGCTCCTGGATAAACATTTTCCCTGTAGATTTGTACAATGGCACGGAGGCATCGAGTCCTTCGATTTCGCGTCGGGTAAGTGCGGCGAGGCGGGATTCACGTTGGTTGCCGGATATTTGCGCCTCGATCTGGCCCAGTTGCTTTTGGCAGTCCTGGAGCTTTTGCGTGATGCGGTAGTAGACTTGCTGCGCGGTGTTGTCGTCGGACATTGTAGGACTGGGTGCGGAGAGTTTGTTTATGGAAGGCTGAGGGGGGGGGGGATGGGCGGTGGCTGTGGTTTAACAAAGATAAATAACAGCAATGTTGTGAACAAGCAAAATAAGATTTTAAAATTATTATTCAAAAAAGTATCCGATATTTTTCCTGGCTCATTTGTGCAGATCGACTGCAAGGCCATTTATGGCATCCAGCTCACATGGATCGGTGTGTGTGTGTTTCAAAGTTCAGCATATCGCTGTGCTGTGCTTCAGCTTCGAGTTTCTTTCAATCCATTTAATTTCATTTAATTCCATTTCAAGGCACATAGATGAGTTTGTAACGAACACAATTTTGGATGCTGTCAGATATTTGAAAAAAGATCATCAAAAAGAGATTAGGCCTTGATGGCGTACAGGCGGCGAGCGAAGTTGACGGACTTCTTCTGCTGGCGGAGGGTGGTGCGGGAGAGCTCCTCAACGGTGAGGGCGCGACGCAGAGCACGGGTCTTCTTGACACGGAGGTCCTTGGGGATGTGCTTCTTGCCAGCGTACTGGGCACGAACCTCATCGCGGGCCTGCTGGGTGATAACGGTCAGGACGCGGGCAATGTTCCTGCGCACGTCACGGATCTTGGCACCCTTGGTGTCACCACCACCGGCAACCTGCTGGACCTTAAGATCCATAAGCTCGCGCTTGTACTGGTCGAGGGTCTGAGTAAGCTCAGCCTGAGACTTCTCGCGGAGATCGGCAACCTTAACCTTAGCCTAACAGGGTGCAGAATAGTGAATGAAACAAAAAAGTACTTTACTGAGTTAGTACTACAATAGGCCTGTCGGTGAGTTTGCTGGGACGATGAGGCTGTTTTGCTGTTGGCGTTGCTGCTATTCGATAGTGCACGGGGATTCTGACGCGAGATGGAATGGCAAAGTCACGTCCGCAGAAATTAAGCACACGGTGTCCAAGCGCAGACCAACGCGCTTCGTGTATTTGTGCATTTAGGCAAAAAAAGCAGCACGGGATTGCGCGCGTAGAGTAATCTGCATGTCGCGCTGGATCCAGAAATCCAGAGATTTATAGTTTCTGCCAGCATGACTGAAGCTTAAGCTAATGCTATTGCTGTCAAAATCGCTGTTGCCGCTGTTATTTCTGCTGCCGTTCTGTATTTAAAAAGCCTCTTGCATAGAGCTCCGCGCCCAGCAACACAAAAGGAGAAATTAAATGAAAGGACGGAATTGAGACAATAATGGCAAGCCCTCAAATTTCAAATTCCAGCCATTTAGTTTCTCATAGGTTAAAAATTATAACGCTCGCCGCCCTCCCTCACTCCTATGCATCCATCTATGCGCCTCTTTCAATGTCTCGAATCCATCCTGTCTGCTGCTCTCCATCCTTAAAATGTCAAGATTTCTGCCCGCATCCATTCCATCCCGTCCCATCCATCCCGTCCCTTCTCCGGCACTTTCCAGCGCATGTGGATTGCTCACCATTGTGTCCTTGCTACGTATATAAAAGTAACTTGTATAAAGCGAGAAAGGGGGTGTGAAAGGAAGAACCAGATTTAGGCGTTCGCAATGGATGTGCGGGCAAAATTGGCCACCGCGCCCAAGCCCAAGCCAAGGGAATATTGAAAAGGCTGATTTGACTCAAAGTGTGAGGAAAATAGCAATTCAAGGTTTTTAGCAAATCACCGGATCAAATCAATCTACCGTAATAACAATAATGCATGCTAATGCCAAAGCTGACCGTGCTTTCATTGTTCGATTTTTTTTGGCTTTGGACTGCTGCAAGGTGGTGATTTATTTATGCTAGGTGGTGGCGATGGAAACAAAGCAGTCTCGTGAGTGGTTCCCGAACAGCTGCATTTCGTCCGTGCAATTCGTACTTTATGTAATTTCTTTTCTATTCTTTCCAATTCCACTTGCGCATCGCGAACACAGTCACCGCCATAGCCACAGCTATAGTCACACAGCGCAACACACCACATCGCATCACATCACATCACATTCGCATTCGCATTGAGAACCTACCGAATGGCGTCCTCGTTAAATCTGGGTGGGTTTCTGAGCTCCGAGCTGCAGACGCTGTCGACAGAGGCGCGGCGCAAGTTCCCCGACATAAAAGAGGCAGCCGAGCGCGTCATAGTGATCCTGCGCGGGATCAAAAGCACATCAACCACAGCAAGCACAGCGGCCGAGCTACGTCAGCACCCGGAGGTCGTGCGGCCATTCATCCTAGCCTGCCGCCACAGCAGCGCTTCAGGCGGCAGCAGCAGCAGCAGCACGCGGATGATCACGACGGCACTGCAGAGCCTGCAGCAGCTGGTGTCGGCGCGCGCAGTGTGTGATCGGAGCATTGGCGAGGTGCTCAGGGAGCTGAGGCAGATGGCCGGGCTGGGCGCGGACGTGCAGGTGAAGGTGCTGCAGATGGTGCTGCCGCTGGTGACGCTGTACGCGGACTGCGTTGTGGGCGAGGAGCTGGTCGAGGCGCTGCACGTGTGCTTGGCGCTGCAGCGGTCGCGCGACGCCATCGTGGCCAACACGGCCGCGGCCATCCTGCGCCAGGCCGTCGAGCAGGTGTTTGCGCGCGTGGCGCAGGATGATTTGCTGGAGGCGGCCGGGCAGCACGTGAGGGGCGCAATGGATGCCAGCAGGGACGCCGAGCCGCACGCCGGCATGGACGCCGAGCCGCACGTGAAGCGCGTGGCCGAGCTGCACGCCAGCGACGCGCTGTTCATCCTGCAGGACCTGTGCCTGCTGGCGGCCGGCCACGAGCCGGTGTTCTTGCAGGCGGCCGGCGGCGCGGACAAGCGGCTGGTGCTGGAGCTGCTGGAGTCGGTCCTGGCCAACCACGCGGCGGCAGTGGCGCGGCATCCGGCAATGGCGCTGGTGCTGCGCGAGCGGCTGGCGCCGTTCATCGTCGGGTTCTTCGCCGACCGCGCGCCGTTCACGCTGGCCGTGCGCAGCATCCGCATCGTGTGGCTGTTTGTCCGCCACCTGCACGGCGCCATGGCGGCCGAGTGCGAAGTGTTCCTGGGCATCCTCGCGCGGCTGCTGGCGGCCGAGTCGCCGCTGCCGCCGTTCTACCGCGTGCTCGCGCTCGAGACCGTGCGAAGGGCCGCCGAGGACCACGCGCTGCTGCGCGCGCTGTTTGCGCAGTACGACGGCAGCGCGCAGCCCGACGACTGCCACGTCATCCGCGACCTCGTGGCCGCCACCGCACGCGTCGTCGCCGACGGAGTTCCGCCCGAGCCGGCAGCAGCGGCGGGCGACGTGCTGCCGGTCAGCGCGGCGTGCGGCGTGCGCACGCAGATGCACAAGCTGCTGGACAAGGCCGAGCCGCCGGCCGTGCCTGCGGCGTACCTGTTTGCGCAGGCGCTGGCGAGCATCGCGGCGCTGGCCGATGCGCTGGCGGAGGCCACGGGCGGCCAGGCGCCGGCGGAGGCCACGGGCGGCCAGGCGCTGGCGCTGGCGCTGGCGACGCAGGCGTGGCCGGCGCTGCTGCCGGCGAACGCGGCTGCGCTGGGCGCGCGGCTCGACGACGAGATGTTTGCGCGCGCGCTCGGCTCGGCGCAGGCGCTGGTGTGCGTGTGGGGCGCCGCGGGGCTGCGCGAGCCGCGCGACCAGATGCTGCGGCTGCTCTGCCAGCTTGCGCGCCCGGCGGCTGCGGCTGCGCCCGGCGGACTTCCGTCGCCAGAGCGGCACGCGCTGTGCCTGCGGGCCGTGCTGGAGTGCGCGTGCCGGCTGGCGGCCGAGCTGCAGGACGCGTGGGCGCCGGTGCTGGGCGCGCTGCTGGACACCGAGGACGCGGCGGCGCCCGTGGCTGCAGGCGGGCCCGTGCGCCAGGCCGCGGCGCGGATGCTGGCTGCGGCTCGCGACGCCGGGCCGCCGGCGTACCTGTGCGTGCTGCGCGCGCTGGTGCGGCTCGGCTCGGACGCGGCCGGCGTGCCGGTGTCCGAGGCCGTGGCGGCGGCGCTTCCGCCATCGCCGCCGCTGGCGGAAGCGCCGCCGCAGGCTGACCGGCCGGTGCCGGCCATCGAGCGGCTGCGCGCGTTCGTGGTGGCCAGCGACGCGGTGCTGATGGACAGCGCGGCGTGGGACATCGTCACGCAGCACCTCCTGGCGGCCGCACTGTGCGGCGACGCTGCAGCGCACGTGCGCGCGCAGGCCAGCGGCGCGCTGGCCGACATCGTGCTGGCGGCCATGGATCTGGCCGGCGCCGCTAAAAGCCCGTCCGCGGCTGGCACCGGCTCGGGCGCCTCGCCCGAGGCCGCGCAGCTGCGCATCCTGACGCCGCTGGCGCAGCTTATGGGCGCGCACGTGGCGGGCTTCGCCACGGGCCACCGCTTTGCGGGCACCGTTGAGGTGCGGCGGGTGGCGCTGGACACGCTGCACCGGCTGCTGCAGGCGTCGGGCCACGCGGTTGTGCGCGCGTGGGACGTGGTCTTCGACATCGTGCAGGCGGTGTTTGCGCAGCCGGGCGCGCTGGTGGCCAGCGTGTTCCCGTGCGTGCAGCTTGTGTGCTCGGACTACCTGGCCGACCTGCCGCCGCGCTGCCTGCGCCGCTGCATCGAGGTGCTGGCGCAGTTCGGCCGCCAGCGCGACGACCTGAACATCGCGCTGGCGGCTGTCGGCCAGGCCTGGGCGCTGTGCGACTTCCTGCAGTCCGACTCCATGCGCACAGCCGCCGATGCCCGTGCTGGCGCCGCGGCAGACCCGCCCGAGCTGACCAGCCGCCGCCTGGCTGGCGTGCCTGGCCAGGACGCGGCGCTCGAGGCGATCGTGCAGTCGTGGTGGGCCGAGGACCTGCCGGGCGGCAGCGGCGGCGGGGCGTTGCGGACGCGCCAGGTGCTGTGGATCCTTCTGCTGCAGGCGTTGGCGGCGCTGGGCCGCGACGCACGCCACGAGGTGCGGCTGGGCGCGATCCAGACGCTGTTCCGCACGCTGGACGCGCACGCCGCGTGCCTCGACGCGTGGCTGTGGGACGCGACCATCTGGGCCGTGGTGCTGCCGCTGGCGCAGTACGCGGTGGCCGAGCGCACGCGCGTCTTTGGGCTTGTGCGCAGCGGCAGCATCGACGGGCTGCTGGGCGAGGCCAGCGAGGGGTCGCTGCGCGTTGCTGAGCGCAGCGGCGTGTGCCTGGAGGACCCGCGCCGGCTGCTGCGCAAGCAGTGGGACGAGACCGCGGCGACGGCGATGATGGGCGCCGCCAGGACCTGGGCCGACCACGCGGCTGTGTGGGCGGTTGGTGGCGCTGAGCACGCTTGGCGCCATCTGTGGGAGCTGGTGGGCGTGTTTTTGGTTGGCGGCGGGGGTTCTGCCGCCGTGGCCGATCGGGCGGCGCTGCGGTCGCGGGACAGCGTCGGCGCGGCCATCGACTGCGCCGGTGTGCTGGCCGGCTGCGCCTACGCGGGCGCGGCCGCCGACTGCGTGCGGACGCCCTGGGACGCGTGGCTGCAGATGACGCGCCGGCTGACTGACGTGCCTGTGGATGCCGGCGCCGACCTCAACTGCGCTTTGGACAGCGGCGGCTCGGTGGTTGTCAGCCAGGAGACGCTGTGCGCGCTCCTGCGCCTGTGCCCTGCGCTGCTGGCGCATCTGCGTGAGGCCGGCGCCCTGCAATTGGCCGACTGCCAAGCGCTGGTGGCGCTGCTTCGCCGCCTGCTTTTCTTCCCCGACGCTCCGCTGCTGTCGCTGCCCTCCGACGCCGCTGGGATGACTAGGCTGCAGGCGCTGGCCTTGGACATGGTTGCCTTGGTGCAGCGGTCGCAGCCGGCGCTTGCGCTGGCCGAGCTGGCCATGCTGGCCGTCGCGCCCTACGCCATCCGCCCCCGCCGTGCCCAGGCGGCACCCGGGGGGCGAGGCCGCAGTGCCAGTGCGTCTGGCTGCGAGGGGAATGGCGGCGATGCGCTGGGCGTGTCTGCAGACCTGCTCGAGCACGCTGTTGTTGGCCGTGCAGCTGCTGCCTTTGCCGGCGCGCTCGCGCGGTCGGAGCATCTTTTGGCTCTGCGAATCGAGGCCCAAAAGAAGCCCAGCGGTGCTGTGCCGGCGCCCACGCTGGTTGCACTGGGCGTGGCTGCGCTGGGCCGCCTGGGAGACGCGCTGCGCGCTGGGGATGGTGCTGAGCTGCTGCTGCTGCTGCCGCAGCTGCTGCTTGATGGCAGCTGGCTGGACGCCATCACGGCGATGGGGCTGCATCTGGTCCACCCTCTGCACTGCGCGGCGCCCAATGATCCGGCGGGACAGCCGAAGCCAGTGACAAAGGCCAGTGTCTCCGCCACTGCCTCGTCTGCCACCGCCACTGACTGGTTTGTGCAGGACATGCCCCCTGCCATGCTTCTTCTGCGCGCTGCGCAGCGGGATGAGCCGTCCAAGGAGAGCGCGCAGAAGATGCGCCGTGGCCTCTCGCAGGCATGGGCAGCCACAGGCACAGTACTGGCGCTGGCGCTGGGCATGCCCTTGGGAGACGCCTCTCTGGCCAGCGGCACGCCGCCTGTAGCGCTGCAGACGCAGATTCTCATGCTTGATGCTGTGGTGAACGCGGGCCTGCGGTATGTTGCCGATGACCTGCCTGGCACGCCGGCTCCCGTCGAGATGGCCTTGTACTGGGACCTGCTGGTGCGTGTGCTTGAGTGGGGCGCGCAGATGGCGTCGGAGCCTGCTGTGCTGTCGTGCGCGGACACGTCGGATGCTGACTGCAGGCAGCAGGGGCTGACCGTGGCATGCTTCAGGTGGCTCTTCTGCATGTCCGTGGACCAGCAGCAGCCCACTATGCCGCTGTGGGTGGCTACGGCGGCGGCACCGACTTTGGTGACCCAGTGCCGGGCTGTGTTCCAGCGCTTTGTCGCCGACAAGCTTGTGCTTGGGAAATCAAGCCCGATGCCTGTGTCGCATGTTGAGCTGCTGTGCCTGGTGCTCAACGACCTGGTTCTGCTCGACTGCTACCCGGCGGCACTCGCCCAGGCCAAGCAGAAATGTGGTTGTGAGAATAGCAGCAGCGTTGTCACGGCTTTTGTCGGCCAGGCAACAGCAGGCAAGTCCGCGCATATTTTTGCGCTGTATGATGATCTGCTTGATCTGATTCCGCTTGTTGCTGGCTCTCCTGCGCTTATTGTGCCGGTTCAAAAGTGTCTGCGCCGAATGTCGCCGAAAACATTCGGTTAATTTTTTGTTGTTATTTTCTAACCCGTTTTTTTGGAGTGTGTGTGCGAGAAAATCTCAACATTGCATTTCACTATTTATCCAGCACTATTCATCTTTATTCTTTGGGAACAGCTTGTACTTGTCCTTCAAAAAAAATTGCATGCACGGTAGAATAACACACTTTGACAAGCTAATGTAGCGCTTGTTGATCTAAATGTCAGTCTTTTGGGCAACAAAAAAATTGTATCACATTACACTCAATGAGGACTTTGCACTCCTTTACTTTTTCATATTTATTTGTTGGTTTGTTGGTTTGTTGGTTGATTTGTTTATTTGTTCGTTTGTTTGTTTGGGCGAAAAGATAAAACGTCAAATTTTGCCAAATCTGGCCAAAAAATGATAGTCAAATCTGAAATTGGCCACGACGAATCTGGAATTCAAATCTGATATTCAAATTCATCGCCCAAATCGATTTACATAATGTCCGAAAAAGGGAAAAGAGAAATAAAAATAACCCACTTACCATTGCCATACAGCTAGCTTGATTACCACAATTCAGCCATGTTTTGTCACTCTCCTCTTCTGTTTCCCACTCCCACTCTCCAAATATATCCAATTATCCACTCTGTGTGTGTGCATGTGTGCGTAACAAGACTTGTTTTCATTACGAAAGAGTGCCTTTATATTCTTCTTTTTGGAATTATCACCTATAGCTTGTGTATTTTTCCTCCACTATTCGCTCCCTACTTTAAATTATCCATGCGTTGCTATTTTCATGAACGTTTTGTTTATCTATTATATTGGGCTCAAGCGGTTTTATTTTACCGAGAGGCTTAGCCCCGTGTCTGATAAAATCGCACACCCCTGCAATTGCGAAAACAAGCAGGTGTTGTCACACAACATCAACGCACAAAAAAACGGTCGATTTAGATAAACAAATAGAAACAAATTATCGAGAATTTACCGAAGCCTTTTTTCGTATTTAACAATTTCCTGTTTAATTTTCACAGCAACACAAAAAATAAAGAGAAAAATTTCTCAATAGCACACTCTATATTAACAATAATTTGCTTTTTTCGCACTTTACCTGTCCTTGATGTATTGCTTCTGCCCATCCAGAAAAAAAATAAAAATAAGGAGGAATACGCTTCTTTTTCCTTTTTTCTCTTGTGGACAAAAAAAATGAACATGTTCATATACTGTGCAGGGACATCAACAAAAACTATTTTTTAAATTGACAACTTTATTCTACCCTTTTTTTACCATCTCTTCTTATATACATTTTTTGGACCTTCTACAGTTACACACACATATCTTTCTACTAATATTATTTCTTTGTCACTTTTTTTATTTAAAAATAACCACTATATTTTACACATACATAATACTTTTTTCTTAACAAAAGAAACCAGCAGCAGCAGCAACTGCAATAAAAAATAAGGGCTTGGCAAGTAGCAGCTTTGGGAGTAGGGTTATTTTATTCATGTTTTACAAGCCAGACAGTTATAATGGCCGCGATGACAGCGGTCGCCCCAGCAGTAGCAGAAATAACAACACGAACAACAACAATCCCACCGAAATAACGGCGGCGGCAGCAGCAACCAATGACACTGGCATCACTGAAGCAGCACGCCCGGGCTATCACCTGTATTCTCAGCAGGCTAACCAGCAGGTAATGCATGAGTACAACCAGCAGCAGCAGCGGCGGCGACAAGAGGCCAGTGTTAATGAGAAGCCACTCAGTATTCAGTCGCTTTTGAACAGCAGCAGCAGTCAGCAACAGCGCCACCACCACCATCAGCAGCAGCAACAGTCCGCCTCCTCCTCTATTTCCAATAGCGCCCACAAAACACACAGTATGGACAAACCACCTACTGCGAATGCTGCGCCATTGGAGAGACCTCGTGGATCTTATCCGTACTATCCCCCTAGCGGCAGCGACAGATTTGCCAGGCCGACCTCGTCCCACGCCCAGCAGCAGCAGCAGCAGTATCAGCAGCAGCATCACCCGATTGCGAATCCTTCTTTGACACCCATGCCGATCACCGATATCCAAAACTCGCAGCAACGACCCAATACTGATTTGCAACGCCAACAACAGCAGCAGCAGCATCGCCCAGTTCAGCACCACCCTAAAAGCCACCAACAGGGTCATTTTTATAATGTGGGCGCCAGTCAATTAGCTGCCCCATTGCCGGCGGTTAATTTCGGATCCTCGTCCATTCCTGTGCCCCTGCTTTCCGCTAGCCATCCCGGTAATCCAACGTATCCACCTTCGGCAGTGCAGTCCCTTTATTCGGTGCAAACGAGGGTCGACCAGCCGAGGATCAGCAGAACTGTGACCAACAATCAGAACTCTGTAGCGGAGGATGCCAGGTATCGCCCGTACCCCGAGATTTACACTTCGGCCCAACAACAACAGCAGCATCAGAACCAGAAACCTCAGCAGCAACAACAGCAAAAACACCAGTATCTTGGACGTACTGTCCACCCGTCTGATAGCCTGGAAACAGGTAGGGACAGCCCGACGGGCGTTCCATTCTACCTGCCAGCATCGTCGCTAGACGACAGCAAGTCTCAGAGCAAGCGCGTGAGCGAGGCAATGAGGCGACGCCGGCGCACGCAGGCCTGTCAGTACTGCCATCTAAAGAAAATCAAGTGTGAGGGTGACGGTGTGCGCTGCATCAACTGCGTTAAAAACGATGTCCAGTGCATGTGGGGCATGAAGCGTAAGCGCGGACCCAAGCCTAAGCCTGGTGTCGTCGCTATGAATATGTCAGCGCGCGGCAACAAAGCACTCCATGAGCAGCAGAACAATGAACAGGGTCGAGAGAAGCAGCAGCAGGATCAGGAGCGCCCGGCGGCAGCGGCTCGCTTGTCCAAAATGCCGATTGAGATGATTTTGCGCGAATCTGAAGAGCCCATCTCCAAGCACTCCGGCTTCGAAATTCCCATGTTCTCTGCCAACAGGCCATTTGAGCGGCACCCGGGCGAGGCTACGGCGGAGGCCGGCAGCAATGGTAATCATGCCTACGACGATGACGATGACGACGATGACGCAAACAATGTAGACATGGCCGGCATGACGCCGAGCAGCGATGCCAACGAGGGGCTGCACGTGCCGCAGATGGACAAGGAGATGGAGGAGTTCTTCTCGGACCGCGTCGACATCGAGACCCGCGACGCCGTCCGCTACTACTTTGACTACTTCTACCCTCTGTGCCCCATGTTCCATCCGTCGATGTTTATCCGGCGAGTCGTACGCGGCGAGGTCGACCCCATTCTGATCGACGCGATGAAGGCGGCCTCTGCTCGGATTATCACCAAGAAGACCGGGCGTTTTGTCGACGGGGAGGCGCTGGCGCGCAGCGTCAAGCAGCGCATCTTGGTGCAGCTCGAGCAGCCGACTGCTGACCTGGTGCGCGTCTTGGTTATCATGACGCTGCTGTCTGGGTCTCAGGGTGAGTACATGTCGTACAACTCGCTGATCTGCCTGGCTGCCAGCCTGGTCGTGCGACTCGGCTGGCACAAGCTAGACCTGTACAAGCGGCAGCCGCCAACTTCGTGGGATGATTGGGTGAATTTGGAGATCAAGCGCCGAGTGTTCTGGCTTGTGTACCAGACTGACAGCTATCAGGCGTTGCTCACTGGACGGCCTATGAGCATTGCCGAGGACAGCGTCTACGTGTCGGCGCCTTGCTCTGATTACGAATGGGACGTCATCATGTATCCGGGCACGCACATGGCGCCGACAAAAGGCACACCAGACGGCCGCCATCAGCAGATCCACCACCAACCGCAGCCGCAGCCGCAGTACGGACCCGCATTCAAGGACAAGCTGCCCCAGATTGGCAAGCAGAGACAGCGGTCGTCGCGCTCGTCATCGGGCTCGACGCACTCCTTGGTGCAGTCTCTGCGCGTCGACCAGAACGTCATTGTGGCTACGGGTGCGTTCTCGTTCTCGTTCATGGCGTTGTGTGAGCTGACAGCCATTATCGCGCGCATCAACATGTTCCTTTGCGATGCCAAGACTAGCCGACCGTCTCTGTTACTGCCCAAGCCACTGTCAGCGCACAACAATGTGGCTTTTGCTTCCAGGGCCATGCATGGCCTTGCAACAGGCGCACGCGAGGGTCCGTTTCCGGCCGTGGACTTTATGGACCCGGCATCCGGATCGGGCGACCTTGTTTGCCCAGTTGTCCGCACGGTCAACCTGCTCAGCGAGTACCCGACGTACGTGGAGCTGGACGAGCGGATGGAGGAGTGGAAGCGCAACCTGCTGATGCCTGAGGACCTGCGGGACGACGCCACAGAGGCCGCGGACATCTCGTACTTTGGCAACGCCGACCACCGGCGGTTTATGATGCGCGTGCGGTACTTCTGCCTGCACTGCTACTACGTGCCAATTGCCATCTGTTTGCACCAGTCCAACCGGCCGTCGTTTTTCACCGAGTACGAGCAGCCCTTTGAGATGCGGCTCCGGCGCCAGTACGGGCGGTTTGGCGATGACGGCGACTACAACAGCCCGACGCCAGAGGCCGAGCCGGCGTTGCCCATTCCCGAGGACAAGGAGGCGGCTGAGAGCGAGATAGCCCTGCGCGAGGTGCTCAATATGGCGTTTGCCAGCACGTGGAACGAGGGCATTTTGGCGTACGATGTGGAGGCCGGGTCTTGGAGCATTTGCGTGCGCGCAGCCCACGGGTTGTCCGAGCACCTGGAGCGCAACTCGGATTTCCCGTTGGAGCGCTTCGACCAGATCATTCCGTTTTGCATATTCATGTCGGTGTCGATTTTAATCAGGAACGTGCGCATCTGCAATCGCCAACTGGCTGCCGGCGAGGATAACGCTAGCGATAAGTCTGGCGAAAACTTGAGGCAGCAGCTGGCGAATGCCGGCGGCCCTGAGGCGGTGGGTGCTGAGCGTGTGCTGTGCGTTAAGCATATCAGGCACCAGTGGGAGACACTGCAGAGCCTGGGCTCGATCTGGGATGTCGCAGGCATGCAGCAATTGCTCAGGTCCATGCAGATAGACGAAGTGGCCAACACAGCCGATATGTTTTCAGGAATGGCACTGTGAAGTACATGGTATAAAATGTTTGATACTTGCCATATATAATTATAGATATTCATGTTATTAAAAATATTTGAAAGATAATTGAAAAAGAGCTATATACCTTTTTTAATCTGCCTCAAGACAGTATCATGAGCAAAATGACGACAAAGAACACAACTACAAAAAGCATGATGCAGCACTTGGTCTTGTTTGATCTACGTTGGTACTCGCTGGCAGAGTGCAGCTCCTCAGAGGCAATCTGAACATCGGAATGGACATTGTACACATTTGTCTCGATATTATCCAGCAGTGACTGCTGCTCTGTCACAATTGTCCCCAGGTCGCGGAAAATCTCGTTGAGCTCGACAATGCCCTGCTCGATCTCTGTGATTTCTGCCTCGCGCTCATTGATGATCGCAGTATTGAATTCAATGTCATTGTCCAGAACGCTCAGCTCAACCTGCCTGTGCTGCAACAATTGTTGCTGCTGTTGCTGTCGGTTGCTGTTATTGTGGTTTCCAAGCAGCGGATTGGACTCTGTGTACTCGTCGTAGTCATCGCCGTACTCGTTCTGCGCCTGCACAGCGTGCTTGGCGCGGTCGACAAACTCGCGAGTGATCTCAGCGGACACCCGTTGGATGCTCTGGAACTGCTCGAGCACCTTTTGAAAATCACCAGTCAGTTTCTGCTGTTCAAGCCTGCGGTCCCGCCGACGCGAAGGGTTGCTGTTCTGGTACTCGGACAAGCTCTTGAGCTCAGAGCTGGTTGTTTTGACGAGATCGCGCGTGGCTTCCATTTTGCTGTGAATGTCTTGGCGCAGCCGGCTGCTGTCTTGCTTTGAGCCGAGTTGTCCGACTAGACGTCGTATGTTGGCCACGTTGGCGTTGACTTGGAATACTTTGCGCGAGAGCTCTTGCACTGTCCGCTTGTACGTGCGCTCTTCGTCGGATTGGGAGCCTGAGAGATTGTTGTTTGCTGTGGATGACGACTGCTGGCTGACGACTGCCGCATACGTGCCGCGCTCGAGGTCATTGAACGACATTGCCCAAGACTTTCAATTAAAAAAAGGAAATGCGTGTGTGAGTGCCTGAGTCTGTGTCTGGGTGTATGGTGCAATATAAAGTACAAAAAAAGTAATAAATCAAATATTTGTGGGGTGGAAAAGAGAAAGTTGAAAGTTGAAAGTCAGAAATTACAAACGGCTTTGTCGCACACGAAACTGAAGACCTGGGCTTAAAAACACGACCCCCTCCCCTTTTATTTTTTATTTTATTTTATTTTTTTGTTCCTCTTTCGCTAACGTTAATTCCAACTATTCCTTTTTTATCGTGCATTTTTAATACTGGTTGCTTTTTCACTCTATTTTCCTTTTTGTTATCCTCATTCACCCACTTACCTTGCCTCGCCTCACGCATTGACATTCAAGATGAGCGGCGAGTCGACAGAACCAGTTGCTGGCGCGCAATCCCTCAATGACGCACGACCGTCCGCAAGCAACACTCTTTCCCCAGATAATGGCACCCCCGCCGACCCAACCAAGCTGACCTCCGACACCCTCCGGGCAGGCGACACCGTCAGCGAGCAGCTTCTATCGCGACTATCAAAGCTCGAAAAGTACGAGCACAAATTGGCGGAGGTGGCCCGAGTGTACCGCAATTTAAATGCCGCGCGCAAGGCCGTTGAAGTAGTTCTCAAAACATACACGCCTGTGCAGAGCATTTCTGACACTGAGGAGCTCGAGGCACATTTGTCCAACTTGAACATGAAGACGCAATATGCTGGCGAGCAGATTGGCGCGCTGACGGATTTGGACAAAACAAACAGGTTGAAACTTCAGGAGCTCGAGGCGCAGTTGGCTGCGCTCAGGGTCGTCGAGCAGGAGAAGCTGGCGCTGCTTAAGGATATGGACAAGATGACCAAGGAGCGCAAGGTTGTTGAGGGCCAGCTGGAGCGCAGCAACCAAAAGCTCAAGCTCGATATTAGCGCCCTTGAAGCGAAGCAGTCCGAGCTTAATGATAAGCTCAAGACTCTGGAACAGGAGAATCAGAAGCTCAAGGAGTCCGCCAGTGAATCTCTGACTGCTGAATCCGACCCTGATGCACTAGCCGACAAGCTATCGGAGCTAATCTCGACCAAAGACGATGCGTGGTCCGCTCAGAGCCAGGCTTTGGCCGGCCTGCGCCAATTGCTGGTCAAAAAGTGCGGGGCTCCGCAGGGTTTTGTTAATGCCAGCGAGCTGGAGCACGCCAACGAGTCCCACGCGCAGGAGGCGGCGCAGTTGAAGGACATTATGCGCAAGGAACTGGTCGTCAGTGAAGAGCGATTCAAGGCGACGACTGCAGAGCGGGACCTCGAAGTGACCGCGCTTAAGGAGCAGCTGCAGAAACGCGATGATGAAGTTGCACAGCGCGATGCGGAGATTGAGCAGCTACAGTCTGCTGCGCCAAATGTTCAGCCGGCCAGTGAGCCTGCACCCTCCGATGCCATGACAGCTGAGCGAGTTGGCGACATTATTGCCGCGGCTATTTCTCACAGACTTGTCCCTGAGGCCGTTCCCGAGCAGCCACAGTTGCAGACGCAGCCGCAGAACGACGGTGGGAGCAACAAGAAAAAGGGAAAGAAGAAGAGGAGAGGCACAGCCAGCGGCGGAGTGCCCAACCACGAAACTTCTCCTGCGGCGCCAGCACCCACCCAACTTGCAGCAGTCACCGAGACACAGACCGCAGCAGAGGTTGCAGCGTCCAGGACTGAGATCGACAGGCTTATTGCCCTTGTCGAGACAATTGCAGCATCTTCGGGCCAGGTCGCTATTAGCAATGTTGGCAATGTTGGCAATGTCGGCAATGATAGCGCCAATGGCATCAGCGAGTCAACATTAACCGCTGACAAGGAGCTTGCTGAGCATGTTAAACAGGCAGAGCAGCTGCGCAGCACCATAAACAATCTGCAGGCACAGGTGGCTGAGCTCACAAAGGCAGCGGGGGTTTCTCAGGATGAAAACTCAAAGATAGTCGACCAGCTGAGCGCTAAGATCTCTCAGCTGGAGCAGGATCTGCAGGAGGCCGAGGCCGCCCGAGACAAGCTCAAGTACGAACTAGACGCCAAGGCCAGCGAGATGGAGGCTGCAACCAGCGCTCTTGAGAACAAGCTGGCAGAGTCCCTACAGAGCGCCGCAGCAGAGGCCAAGGCACAGACCGATAAGCACGCCAGCGCCGTGGAGGCAGTCACTGAGGAGCTCGCCAGTGCAAAGGCCCAGGCGGACAAGCTGCCGGCGCTGCGCGACCAGGTTTCCAAGAGTCAATCCACAGTGCAGCGCCTGGAGGGCGAGCTGCGCGCGTGCCAGGACAGGCTGAGCCAGGTTGAATCGGAGCTGGCCGCTGCACACAAGGAGTGCGCGTTGTTGAAAAAGTCTGGTGGCGATGCTGAAAGGGAGCGCGCGCGGTTGGCGTCGACTTTGGCTAAGGTGCAGGCAGCCAATGCGCGGCTGGAGGCGCTGCAGAAGGAGCTGCAGACGCACTTGGATGACGAGCGCAAGCGTGCCCAGGGAGCTCAGGGCGCACTTGAGGCGCTGGACTCGGAGAATGTGCGTGCATTGAGGAGCATTGAGACGCAGACCAAGGCGACAGCTGAGGCCGAGCGCCAGCTGGCAGAAGTGCAGTCTACTGTGGCGGGGCTTGAGGAGCATGTGCGTGCGGTAGACGCCGACTTGGCCAACAGCCGCGAGCAGTTTGCTGAGAAGAGCCGGCTGCTGGCGCAGACCACTGCGCAGCTGCAGGAGATGCAGTATGCGCTTGAGAAGGAGCGCCGGACGGCCAAGCTTTCCGCAGAGGATGCGGCCAAGGAGCTGGCCGGCGTGCGCGATCAGCTGGCTGAGATTAAGCGCGTGGCCAGAGACCAGCGCAGCAGCGACCAGGCGGAGATGGAGAAGCTGAGGAAGCAGCTTGGCGACGTTGATCAGCGCGCTAGCCAGGCGAGCTTGGTCGAGCGGCTGGAGGCGCAGCAGGCGGAGAAGGAGGCTGCGCTGGAGACACTGCGCAGCAACCTGCGCCGCACCGAGGAGAACCAGACCGCGCTGCAAGTCGAAGTGGACCGCTTGCGCGACGTTGAGCGCGACTTTAAGGCCGTCAAGGAGCAGCTTGACCGGGTCACTGAGGAGCGCAAGATGTCCGAGCAACGGTGGAAGCGGGTGCATCGCGACTTGAAGGAGGAAGTGCGCAGGCTGTATCGCGAGCGCCAGAACTCGCAGTCTGCCCCGAATGCCTCGCCGGCGTTGCCGCTGCCTTCGACATCGCCACCCCGCCAGGCAGCACAGCAGCAGCAGCAGAATCAGACAGCGACCTCTGGAAGCAATTCTGCCGAGGCATCATTGCCGCCAAGCAGGTCCAACTCACTGACGCTAGCATCGGTGTCGTCGCTGCTTCGCGCAGCCACAGGCAATGCAGCCGCCTCTACAAGCAGCGGCTTGTTGGCAACGGGCTCTGGGCGCTGGGCGCCAGCACAGACGTCCTCCAGCTCGTCGCTGTTGGGTCGACCGCCCAACCGCGCGTCTCGCCAATCCAGCGGCCAAACCGTGCTCGATGCCAAGCTGCCCGAAGAGACCCGGGCCGATCTCAGCACTGAATCGGCAGACAGCCGGGTGCAGGACAAGGCCGCCGCTGGCAGCCATACCCGCTCTAGCAGCAGCGCCGGCAGCCTGTCGGACATGCTGAATAGCGATGACCAGCGCTCGGAAAATGTCAACGTCGAGTATCTGCGCAACGTTCTGTTCCGATTCTTCAACGACAAGGAGCGCCGACCGCAGCTGGTCCCTGTCCTGTCGATGCTGCTCAACTGCAAGCTCGACGACATCAAGCATATTCAGACGATGATCCTGTAGATTAAATTTTTCGGTAGATTTTGTCGATGTGGATCAGCAATTTAAAAATCGGCAAATGACGTTTTCATTCTCTCATTTTTTCCTTATTTGCAGGAACATGAAACAGCATGCCACAATTCAATTTTCTTTGCCCTGTGAAATTTTCAAGCATTATTTTTATGGTTCTGCATTAAATTCAAACACGTACGCATACACATGCCATTACCAATTCGGACGGCGGTCTCAAAAGTAGAAACCACCCAGTGTCGGCTGGTCCGCGAGATGGACAATGGCAGCTTAGTTACCCTGGACCTGTACGAAGAGACGCCCGCTGGCTTGGCCAGTGATTTGAATAATGATGGCCGTGAGGGAGATCAACTGGGCGCCCAGCTGCTGCGCGCGTTAAGATGCAAGCAGTTTCTGTCAAACCATCACTACGACATATACCTGCCGCCGGGCAACAAAGACGACGAAAGCCAAACAGAGGCCACAGATGCAGTCGGACGGGTGGTATCAAACTCGGTGGGCACAGTGTACACCATAATGGAGCGTGTCTCCGCAAATGCTGGCCAAGCCAAGACTGGGTGGCGCGAGGTGTGCTCGGTCATCTACGATGTGAACATAATGGGTAAAAGGGGGCCACGCAAAATGACAGCGGTCATTCGCGCTGTCGACGATAGTGGGACGCCCGCAGTTGATCCTGCCGATAAGGCCAAGCGCTCGCTGGCCGATCGGTATCGGGAAGACAAAACAGACGAGCACATTGTGACGCTGTGGAACAAGATGCCAGAGTGGTGCGACGAGAGCAGAGCGTATGTGCTGGACTTTGGTGGCAGAGTCCGTCTGCCATCAGTCAAAAATTTCCAGCTGATGCATCCGGACGATGAATATTACACGGTGCTGCAGTTTGGAAGGGTCGGGCCGGACTCGTTTACGCTTGATATGCGCTTTCCAATGACCCCGCTCATGGCCCTGGGAATTGCGGTGTCCTCGGTGGACCGAAAGCTGGCTTGCAGTTGACAAAAAAAGATTTTTTTGGCTCGGCCAAGTGCTGCCTCAGCATTTGACAAATACTGTGAGCTTGTGTGCTGTTTTAAAGCTTGTCCATTTTTCCAAAGTTGTCTTTGCTAGCATGCACACATTTCTCGTGTCATAATAAATGCGCAGCACTTCCAGAATTGTATAAAACGGCAGCAATTCGGGCCATGCTCCTTTTAATCCTTTTTTTTTACAAAATTTCCTTTGTACCTCGAATACCCACATTCTTAACCAAGTAATGTGGGACAATACTGGAGGTGCGTCTGTTTGGACTCCCGTGAGACTAGCCACCTTCGGGGCAAACTCGGCGAGTTCATATTCGACATTGAATTAGAATACCCGGACGTGCTGTCGTTTGTGACTTACAGAGCCCAATCTGCTCCCATTCCTGCCAGACCTACTCCTGTATATTTGACCAATGAGCTATCTGTAATTGAAAATCTGCCTCGTCATATTGACAAAATTTACTTTTATATTGCTGGGGACAAAGTGAAATCAGAAAATATTACCAGCTTATTTGCTCTTTCAATTTCATGTTATCGCTTCCTGGAGATTGGGAAGGACAATACCCCGCGTTGCTTGAGCAAAATCGCCAAGAACTCATCGTGGGCGGGCAAGCGCATCATCTGCATCGACGACTATCCCGAAGGCTTTTTTACCGCGGAGCTCGCCGAATTCACAGGATCGAGGGAAAATCTTTTGTATTCCCGTGCCGCAGAATTTAAGAGATCAGTTACTGGGCCTATTGTGATTTCAGGTTTCGAATCGAACATAATCGGAAACTTGCAACCTGAGGTGGGTAAATCGTCAGACGCGTATTCTAAGGCTATCATGCGTAACCTCAACACCAACGAGTATGTGTTCACCAGGCCCTTCTGCGCGAGAGGCGGATGCATGTATATCAGAAGCCCGCTTATTTCGCGCATCAGCTGGTCATCTAATCCCTCGATTTTGCTGCGCTCCGACGGCACTATCCACTACGGTGCGTGGCCCGGCTACTGCCTCGACATAGTCAGTGTCGACGACATTGATGACGATAGTGATGTCACCTGGAAGGATATCACCGAGTCCGAGCTCACTCGCATCTCAAAGATTTACGGCGACAGCCATTGAAATCGTGAGTTCCAATTTGTGTTTTCTCTCCTTTTCAATAATAAATATTTTTGAAATACTCCTTGGCAAGGAATTAGAGGCACCCTTGGTGTTGTTTAATAATTTAATTTTGACTTTAAAGCTTGGATTTTGGCAGCGTAGTCGTGTCGACGTGCAAAATGCAAGGCCCGTTACCAATAACGTTCACACCCAGATTCTCAGCCAGCTCGCTCAAATTGATAGGCTCGCTGCCCGGCTGGAACCACATACGCTTGACGCCCAAGCCGGCGGCCTCCTCGATGACACTCTCAGACACCGCTGGCGGTGTAATGACCGAGACACCCACGTTCTCCAGGCCGCCCAAGTCAGAACTAGCAGCCGACAATGCGGCCAGTGAAGGCTCGCACTTGATTCCCTCGATCTCGCTGGCCTTAGGGTTGATCGGAGTCACGGATAATCCGTTGTTGATATACCACCGCAGCACCTTGTTGCCGAACTTTGTGCGGTCGGCAGAAGCGCCAACAACTGCAAACGCCCTGGACGAAGAAAAGAACGCGTTGCTCATGAAGGTTGTATTGATATTTAATACCAAAGTAAAAATAACGATGATGGTTGTCAAAAAATATAGAAGAGAAAAGAAATGATTTTGAGTGGTGATTGAACGTATCATGTGAGCATGTGAATATATATGATTGAATGGCTCGAGTGATAATTAAATCAGGTTAAGTTTTAATTTTTTTGTTTTGTTTGGTTTGACAGTTCACAAATCAACAACATCGAGCAAACAAACAAACAAACGCACGGCATTGATTTGCTTGTCTAATGCCCTATGCTATTTTTTCGGGCTCTGTTCCTCATTCTCTAAAAGTATTAAAATTCTACACTCCCCTCTTCCCCCTAATTAACAAAGAAACCTCGACGGCAATTGCAGATGGTCTTTCCCACGTTTATGCGACAGAACACCGGTACGGGCGCAGCGACAGCAGCAGCACCGACAACGGCATGGCTGGCAAATGCAAACAGCAGCATTAACGCGATAAGCTCCAAGAACATTGATCCAGTACTCGAGTACCTGCTTTCCAAGCAAGACGAGGCAGTTTCAGGCAGCCAGATCATCGACACAGCCAAGGTGTTTAAGGCACTGGCTGACATGAACCGCAGTCCAGAGACCCGGCAGATTCTCACCAGCACGTCTTTGGCACAAGTAAGCTGCGCAATCCTGAAGCGCACCGAGGGCGATTTGATTAAGAGAGGTTCTGCCGCCGATAGCGAGCGGGCTGAGCGCGTGTTCCTGCTGGTCCAGGTGCTGCGCTGTATCTGCAACTTGAGCGCTGACAATAATGCTGGGCGGGCGGATATTTTGAAGCACGGCGGGATAGAGTCCTTGGCCAACGTGCTGATGTCCGTTGACGAGATCTGGAAGCAGCCGCTGCCTGTTGGCCAAGCAGCATTCGGGGCTGTTCTCAATGTGTCTTTGGACAACGAACCCTGCACCTCTGCACTGATCGCCGCGGGCGCCCTTCAGCCGCACCTCAAGGCCCTGTCCCCGGAATCCGCAGTATCGTCAGACTCTTACCAGGTGTGGTCGCTTGTGAGTATGAGTCTGGACAACATGTGCGAGAACGCCAGTGCTGTGCCTCAGTTTGAGAAGCACGCTGATTTCGCACAAACCATTCTGCGGTCGCTCGCACGTCTGTCCCGCTTGCTCTTAGACAGCGGTGCTGACGAAATGGACAGCATGCGGCGTGCGATGAAGGGCGCGCAGAGGACGCTTTTGTGGATTTTATGCGAGGCTTTGGAGAAGAGCCCGGCTCTGCCCAAGCAGCTGTGCCAGCCCGAGTCTGTGCTGGCATTCTTTGATATTCTTGAGTTCTACCTTGTCAATGGCGCAGCGGCGGCTGAGGCCTCGGACACTGACTCAGAGGAAGAAGGGTGCGATGAGGGTTGCAGCAGTGCTGTTGCGCCGGTTTTCCCGCCAAACAAGCCTATGCCGCAGGTTTCCAACCGGTATGCTGATGCGGTAACCCAGGTGATTGTCGCTATTTCGGGTGACGACGATGCGCTTGCACTGCTGTTTGACAGCCAGAGTCTGATGAACCGCCTGCTGAGCATCCTCAGCACTGATCGCGGCTCGGCACAGGATACGCGCAGCCAGAGACTCGACGGCATGGCGGCCGCTGCCTCTTTGTGCTTGGGAAACCTGGCGCGCACGGATGAGCACTGCACGAGGTTGGTTGCTGAGCACCCAGCATTGGTGCGCACGCTCATTCATGAGTGGTTTGCCCCTCGGACCACTAATGTCCGCACCAGGCATGCGGCCAGCGGCGTTCTGAAAAACCTGTGCTTGCCATTGGTTAATAAGCAGCATATGGTGGATTTTGGCGTTGTTCCTGTGGCGTTTGCTAATATTGACACGATGGTTATACCGATCCAGGCGAACTCTGTCAGCATCCTCAGACACTTGCTTAATGGGCCTCCGGCGGCCAGCATAATCCTGAATATGTTTGAGCCTGTGGCCAATGGTAAGGGCGCCATGGTGATTGCTTTGGCTGATCTGCTCAAGGTCGTCAAGCAGACTGATATCGACGCCATTCGTTGCGAGGGCACGCGCCTGGTATCTGCGATTGCAAAAAAGATTTACCTTGGCGTCAACTCTAGCGACGAGGCAGCGCGGCAGATGCTGGGTCGGGCTCAGGAGATACTGCAGGCCGAGTCCTACGATCTGGTCACACCTCTGGTTAAACTGGTGATGCTGGATGGCCAACGCCATCCACTTTTGCAGCAGGAGAGCCTTGTGGCATTGACTGTTTTGGCATCGACTTCGCGCGACAAATCTCGCCATGTTCGGGATATTGTGCGCATGCTATCGTCGGCCATCTCTCTTCCTATGGCCACGCCAGCAAAGTCGGCTGATGAAGAGGAGGAGGAGGAAGAAGAGGAGGAGGAGGATGTTGGAGCAAAGAAGAAGCAGCTGCCTCTGAGATCGTTCTCTGAGATCCTCATGTCTATTGTCAAGCAGGAGGGTGTTGTGTGGCCGCAGGCCATGATGCAGGCCAAAAGCCTGCTGAAGAGCCTGCAGTGCCAGCTCGAAGACACAATGGCGTCTGACAGCAGCGACACTGGACTTGATGCCGACGGCCTTTATGTTCTCCGAACCGAGCTTCTGCCCCTTGCCAACTAAGATTACTTTTGTCTTTTAATATTAAATATTAAATATTGAATATTGAATATCAGCGAGATTAAAACAAATATATATATGGTAAATAAGCATCAAATATTTATTTACTTTAACGCAAATCGATACTCGGCTTGGGCTTGAATTTTTTGGACGAACGCTCGCTGGCGCGGAAGGCGAACTGGTCTCCGTAAATGAGACACTGGGCGCCCGAAGAGAATTCAAGACTGAAAACGCAGCGAGCCTTGGGCACAACAGCCAGGGTGTCCTCCTGGGTGATGATCTTGAACACGTTTTTTGTCTCCTGCGCGACAATACCAGAAATACCGATAAAGTTCGGACACTTTGCGCGCACGACTGATACCCTAGCGCCATGCATATCGGCCTTGATCAATCTGCCCAACATCTGTTGCTGATTTTTATAGTCTCCGGAAAGCAACATCTGGGCAGCCGTTTTCTGCTGCTTACCAGCCAACAGAGTATCCACATAAGTGTTCCACATAAGGTTGAGTGGGAGAAACAAATCATATCGGCGTGCTTCTTTTGGAATTTCATATATATTTAGTGCGCGTTTTTCTTTCGCCGTGATGGTTTTGCGACGCGTATTGCGGATTATCTGGGCTTCGCCTATGCGCCCTCCGGTTGTTCCCATGGTGCCCTTCGATTTGTCCTTGTATGGATTGGTGAGGAGTAGTATGCGACCTTCGACGCGGTCTTTGAAGGCTGCTTGGGCACGGATATCGCTTATTCCAGTGTCTATTGTGCGTTCGATGAACCCTTGGATAAACTTTTTGGTCGTTGGGTCGACCGGAACGTCGGTGGGCGCTTTGCTCCGGGACTTTGCTGCGTCAGTGAGAGGCGAGTAAAAGCCTATTTGTGTTGGTTTATTGTTCATAATTAAAAAGTATTTAAAGTGTTGTTTGTGTTAATCAAAAAATAAAATAAAAAATTCGGTGATTTAAATGCTTGGTTTTCGCACAAGATTTGTATTTCAGAGCTATTGGGATCATTACACGTGTTCTAAATTAATTGTATTTTTTTGGTAATGAGCTGATCCCACAAGTACATTGCAGCAATAGCCTTCATGTCTCTTGTCTCTCTAGCCAACTCACTCATCCGAACGAGCCTCACACTAATAAACTCACCATCATTGTTCAGCCCTCCCAGTCTACCACTCAGCGCACTCAGCTCATTTTCCGACACATACTTTTCGCACGCAAACAGTCTAATAGTTTCGTCACAGGCGCCAGGGCTTGGATAAAGGCCACCATGGGCAGGTGTAAGTTCAATCAGATCCTCAGGTTTAATAATCAGGCCGGTCTCCTCCTCGATCTCCCTCGCTGCGGTTCCTGAAAATGCACCATTGCCATCAAGCATTCCGGCGGGTAACTCGGCCAAATGAAAACTGGGCACGGCTATACGCGGCTGCACAGTCAACACCACATAAGCGTCATCGGCTCTGTTGGTGGTGCATAGCATGAGGAGTACGGCGACGGATCCGCCGCGGAGAAAAACAATACCGGGGATTTGTTTATTTTCGGGAATTTTTTGCGCATCGGTGGTGAACTTTAGAAAGCCTATTTTGCCTGATTTGAATTGGTCGACGCTTTGGATGATGATTTTGGTGATAAGGATCTGTGAGCCATCTTGGGGATTGGTGTGGGAGGCGTCGAGTGTGTGTAGCCAGTCGGCGAAGGGGGGAAAGCTTTGGATGGATTCGAGTGGTATTTGGGCGGCTATATCGGTTGGGTAGAGTATTTGAATTTGCGCTCGGCTGTTTTGCAGGGTCACTGTTGTCGTTGTGGCCACGTTGTTGTTAAAGGAGGACATGGCGGAGAGATGACGTTTCAAGTGTGCGATGCTAATGTTGCTATTTATTCTGGCCGTGGCCGTGGATGTCGCTGTCACTGTGGCTGTGGCTGTGGCTGTGCGTCGTAATGATGATAACAGGTGTCGACAGAACATTCAAGCTAATATGTTGATAGAATATTCTAAATAAATTATTGAAAATAAAAGAGAGAGAGAGAGAGAGAGAGAGAAGGTCAGCTTCATATGTATGTCTAAATATTCACTGCCATTCCCTCACCCCCTAAACCCAATAAGTATTTTTATTCTTTAATTGCCACTCCACACACAATAGGCGTCAGCTTCGACAACACGCCCTCCATCTGCCTCACAGTCTTATACTCGACCTTCTTCCAGCCCTCTATACCCTCAATAATCTTTGCGGTGTCGCGATTCAAATGACAATTCCCGGTAAACAGCGACCACACCGGAGTAACTACGCTCTGCACCATCTTCCACAATCTCAAATCCAACGACCCACGCTCATATCCGGGGCAGCTATGGTCGGCCTCATCTGTGTGACGCACATGCTCGATGAATACGAATTTACCGCCGGGGGCTAAAAGATTGAAAATAGTCTGTACGTTATCCTCGATGCTGTTGACGGAGCAGAGCACCATTGAGCTGGCAATAAAGTCGTAGGGAGCGTTATTGAGCACGGCTTCGGGAATAGACAGGCTGTTGTCCAATGTGCCATTGACAATAGTGAGCACCGGGAGCTTGGAATTTCCAGCGGCAGCGTTGAATTCCTCGGCCTGCGGGCACGTGTGCGGATCATACCGGACAGCGAAACCAGCAGCCTGCGAGTTATGGGCGAGTTTGTTGTGGAAGAAAGCATTGGGCTCAACAGCAATGAACCGCGAGACCGCCCGGGACCCAGGCACTCTTCCGTTAGGAATCAGATCCATGGATTCGCCAAAGCCGGGACCAATCTCAAGTACGCTACCGTGGATTTGCTCCCACAGGGATGTTCTGTAAGGCTGCAGTCTTTGAACATTTGATCCGCTGGCGTGTGTCCAGAGCTGGTTGAAGGTCCAGTCTTGCGCGTACTTGATGTGCTGGTCGGCGACATCTTTGTACTCGCGGTAAAATCCGATACACCAGCATATGATGACTACCAGGCTGCCGATTAGTACGCGCTTCCAGGGGTAGGGCTCGGCAGGGACTTGTCTTGCGGCTCTCTGCGGTTGCTCGCCACTGGCACCAGTGGGAGTTTTGGGCTCTGCCTTTGAAGAGCTCATTTTTGTTTCGAATTGATAAAAGAAAAAAGAATAAAAGCAAACTGAAGAAAAAAGATTTAAAAAAACTGAATGTTAACGCTTTGTGTTTTTATTTTATTTTATTTGATCACTCGATATAGTAGTGGGCTGTCAGTCAGTCACAGTAATGATAGTAGAGAGATTACGGCGTTATTTTAAGGAAAATTAAGGAAAACAACAAATAAATTAAGAAAAAAAGCTTGCTTGGACACTGAAGCCAAATCAATATTACTATTATTATTATTATTATTAGACTTGGCTCCGGCTCGGGTCACGATCCATGTATGCCGATCCGTACTGGTACATAGCGGGACTGGCCGCACGGCCGACGCCCTCAGGCACCTTCTCGGCAGACCCAGCAGGGCTCTGGTGAACCTGCTCAGCGGCAGCCGAATAATACGACGCGCCGCCCACAACGCTTGCCGCATGCACATTGTGTGCAGCTGTAGGCACGGGTGAGAGATCCTGGCCCTCAATATCAAACGAGTACGCCGAGAAAATCGGCAGCCCCAGTCGACTCTGCACGCGCGCAATCATCGCCACGGCCATCATGGCGACAAACAAAGTGAAAAAGGTCAGCCACGAGAGCGCCGTCGAAGCCTTGACTCGGTGGCAAAGCTGCTTGGTCAAGCAAGATTTCACGCCGGTTTTTGTGGCCAGAGCGATTCCCGAGATAAAGTAGAAGAGCGTCAAAGTTGCGAGGATGCTTAGCTCGATGCCTGTGCGGTTGAGCAGCCGCTGGAGCTGCATGGAGCGGGTGAGGAGGAGGGGGAGGGTTATGAGCGAGACTATGGCGACAAACATTGTCCAGCCGCAGGCCCCGCGGACGGACGATTTATAGAAGTAGCTTTTGTTGATTTCGGACAGTGCTGTGGCGTCGGCGATTAGAACGGCGAGAACGAGTGTGGTTGCCAGGCAAATGGACACTTTGCGCAGCAGCCCGAGTTGATACCAGTTGCCCATGCTGTGGAAAACTATGCGAATATTAGCGCAGACTAGAGGGCTGGAATTTGGTGTGGGTGAGGAGAGGGGATTAAATAAAGTACAATAATAAAATAAATAAATAAAATAAAGTAAAAACTAGCAAAGGCAAAAGAAAGAGTGCGAATTAAACTGGCTGGCTGGGTTGGGTTGGGCTGGGCCGGGTTGGATTGGGTTGGGTTGGGTTGGGTTGGGTGTTTTCTTTGGTGTTGCACGCTTTCATCATCGCCGTCGCCGTCACTTGTGCTGCTCGCCAAGACGCGTGATGGGGGAATAGAAATAGTATTTTCTTTTCTTTTATCCGCCAGGGGCGAGCGGCAGCGCAACAAGCGACTGTTAAGGAAGGCAAAACAGATTTGCATTTTCTCATAGCTTTCACTTTACCAAAGAGAAAAGCCCCAAAAATGGAATCGGTACTTGTGAATAGTACATGCAACATTGCGGCAAGCGATCAACAGCTAACACATTTTCCATTTTTTACAGAAACCATCCCGTCTGAGCACAAGTGCCCACAGCCATTCCATGGGTGATGAGGAGTGGTGAGTGAGAATTGATGGGTGAGGGCATACGATCAAACAACAATTGCTAGCTATTTTGACCAGCAAAAGTAAATAGTGCCCCCCTCTTCCAAACTTTTGAAGGACAGCCTAGCACTCCAAAGCAAAATCCGCCTTTGCCTTTTCTTGGGATTACTACAAGACCTGAAAAAGGCCACAATCGCCAACTGACCTTGTTCCCCTTTATGCACACCAACAGCAGCAGCAGCAGCAGCAGCAGCAGTATTGGTAGTAACAACATCGCGTCACGTCACGGTCACGGTCACGGTCACGCTCCATAGTAGCGAAATTGGAGCGCGTGTCCTCTGTTGTATTGAAAGTATTTGCTAAATTACAATTTTGTATTCCGTTCAAAAAGAAAAGAAACGGGAGCACGGTTGGAATAGTGCGATGAAATTTAAAATACCAAAAAAAACAGAAGACCGATTTTCTTATAAACCACAATATTTACACCTCTTCGCGTGGCACAGGCATGCTGACGTCAGGGTGAGAGTCGTAATATCTGATGTTGCCACCCTGCACTGCCGCCGGGTAAGGCTCAGATGCAGTCTGTGGGGGCGCAGCAGCAACCGCCGGGTACTCATCCTGGATCTCATACGACAAAGCCGCCTTAATATCGCCTCCGCTCTTGCGCACCTTAAGCAGCATCAAAGTAAGCACGACCGAAAGCACCAAGAGCACAAAGAACGACAACCAGGGGAATGCCGTAGCAGCCTTGAACTTTGAGCACACTGAGATTCCAAAGCACCCGCCGCTGCCCGCATAGTTGGCCATGACAATGCCAGAGATGAAGAGGAACAGACACAGGGTGCCGACGATGATCAGCTCGTAGAGGATGCGGTTGAAGAGGTGCACGAATTTAATGTTTTTGCGAGTAAGCACGTTGCCAAATGCCAGTATGGGCAGGATGAGTAGGGAGATTATGGTGACAAACATTGTCCACCCAGCGGCGCCCACGGGCCCGGAGCTGAGGCCAAAGTTGTTCAGCGCGGCCAGGGCGACGGCGTCAACGATGAACTCGATGACTGCGAGCACAATGGCGGCAATGTACAGCGAGAACCGCGCGAGATTTAAAAGTGCGATGCCGACCATGGTGTATGGAAAATCGCTTTCTTAACTAGGCAATGGTACCGAAAATAAAATAAAAAGGATAGAGTCGATTAATATAAGGAGTAAAAAGAGACGCAGTAGCAAGAACGCACGTAAAATAATTAAAAACAAAAGAAAGAAAGAGAGAAAAACTCAAGAAATGGTGTCCCACCCACACGGCTATTTAAGCAATATGTACTCTCACTCGGCTGGGGATGGCAAAAAAGGGAAATTACAATAGACACTTTGCTCCCAACTTTAATAAAAAATCGTAGCCTTTTCATTGTTTGTCCTCCCCTCTTTCGTCTCGGCTGCACATATATGCACACAAGTGACGTACATGGAATGGAAGAGCGAAGGGGAAAAACTGGGGCAGGGGAGAGGACAGACACCAAAGAAAGTCCAAAGTAGACAAAGCATTATGTCGTGTTCTGGCCAGCCAGCAAGCCAGCCAGTCAGCCAGTCAGGCGGCGCAATGGATAGGGACGCGAAAAGTACATTTTTTATTTTCCGGATTGCGCTCCTTCTGTGGTGGAAGCCGTCGTCTTGCATGGGGGATTGCTGCACCAAGACAAGATCTCAAACTGGTTTCATGTCCGCATCAGAAGGGGGTGCAGAAAAACACGTAGAACAGGAAGACACATCCTGCTAGCAATAACGAGATCTTCCGTGAGCAACAAAAAAATCAACGCTCAAAAACCACTTTGTTACATCAATTGTGTGGTTGAAACAACATAAAATATCTCGAATCGCTTGGCTTGGCTTGGCTTGGCTTGGCTTGGCTTGGCTTGGCTTGGCTTGGCTTGAGTCTGCTGATAACACCATCACCTTTATTGCTACGTCCCGCGTGATAATTGCCCTCGTATGCACACAAACACATGAATAATGCAGGCAGGGGTGGGCTGGCTGCCAGGGTCCGTTACACAGAGAATAATCACCATTTTTCCTTTTCAGCTGTCTGCTTTTTGCTTCGGCTAATGCAGGTTATACAATCCTTCATTCGAAGAAAATGAACTCGTATTTCTATTTACCCTATTTATACCATTATTTCGAAGGGTTTTTTGAATCGATTGTTCCTCAGACCATCCACGTCCCTTGAACCCCTTCCCGTTTTGCTTTATGTCGCTGACACCAGAGGTTATTTTTAGATATAGTCCCGCAACAAACACGGCAAATATAAACAAATCCAAGTTCTTTATTGTTCCAGACGCTTCTTGTTTTCAAACAACAATATTGCATTTGCTTTACCTATTCACCCACATGTGCCGAGGAAATCCAGACTAGCCAGCCAATATTAAAATCAGTTGTTTTCGGGAAAACAACAACAAATCACTTTTTGTTTTTACAAGGTGTTTTTCATTCCAGATATGTGACATTGTGGTCGACATCACTTTCTTTATGACAAACTTTTTATCGTTTAATTCGCGCGTATTTATCTGGAAATCGCTCAACATTTTCAATATTCAATTTCTGCAACAAAAAACCTTGTTTTGGTCCAGTTGATGCTGAATAAACTAGCCAAAATAAAATTCAACCATCATGCAGGAAATCAACGTTCGGAAGCAATCACACATACATACATATTTTATTTGCAAAGGCGCAAATGTCTGAAGGGAAGCGAAGAAATCAAGCGTACGACTACTATATATATAAAAAAGACAATACTTTAGTTTGTAATTATTTGATTTTGATATCAAACGGTTAATTTAATTTAATCTAGTCGGATCAAATCTTATCAAATCGCATTAAATGGAATAAGATCATGGCAATATCGTATATTCCTGTTGTTGTTTACCTTTAGATCCGATCAATGGTGGTTCCTTTCGGATCTTTTTCCTTTTCCTTTTCCTTTTATTTATAATTATAATTATATTCTTTTATTATGCCTGCCAACACCACCCAGCTATCAAAATTGTCGCCTAGCATCAGACTCGCGCCAGCAACAGAAAAGGATGTCAGGCTAATTCTGTGGTTCATCAAGCAACTCGCGCTCTACGAAAAGGCGCCGGAACAAGTCGAAGCGACAGAATCCCTACTGAGAAAGAATCTATTCGGAGCACGCCCCTACGCCGAAGTAATCATCGCATACGTTTCAATTATAAAATCCAATGATCCCACCGCCATGGATGTTGAGGAGAAGCCAGCTGGGTTTGCGCTGTTCTTCCATAACTTTTCAACATGGGTTGGAAGACCCGGGTTGTATCTCGAGGATCTGTTTGTGTGCTCGGAGTATCGCGGCTTGGGCATTGGTAAGATGCTTTTGGTCCAATTGGCGAAAATCGCCAAGGAGAGAGAGTGCGGTCGCTTGGAGTGGGTTGTTATTGATTGGAATGAGCCGGCGATCCAGTTTTACTTGTCGCTGGGCGCCAAGCAGATGAAAGAGTGGATCATCAACAGGGTGTCGGGAAAAGCGCTAGAGGATATGTCCAATATGTAAATGTCGTGCACTGTTCAACTGTGCAGAGGGGGGGTTTTGCAGCCTGTTTGGGCCCTTATTTGGCCAGCAGGCTGGCGGTCGCAGTGACAATGTATAGGCCGTTGACTATTGATCCGCAGGTGAGCTGCAATGCAAGAAGGAGCAGAGCGGTGCCAAGCATCGATTAGAATGAGTTGGAATAAAATAAATTGATGTTTATTTGTTGGCTTTGCAAAATAAAAGTGAATGCCGTAGTTTGAAAAAAAGAGAAAGGAAATGTGTGTGTATGTATGTGTTTTGCTTTGCTTTGCTGTGTTGAGTTGTGTTGTGTTGAGAGTGTGTGAGTGAGCGAGTGAGCGACAGCGTTTTTTGTTGGCAAAAGATGTGATTAATTTATAGCCAAACTGGCCCAGACCAGACGCCTCCCCAGAACAAATATCAGTCGCACACATGGCCTCCAGAGAGTGCAGAAAAAAGGCCAATGACATGCACGTGCGCTCGCACCTGTATATTCTGCCTACGCCCTCTATCCGTGTAAAATTCCAATGCACAATGGCCCACACTGTATATATAGCCCTCAAAGAGAACTTGGATCAGTGATCCCAATCAGTCAGTCAGTTGCATCAATCACAACACGTGGCGGCCACGGTTTGGATTCCAGTACTTGTCGAGTATCGGGTACAGGTGCACGTTGAGTTTGGGCGTAATGACCAGCAATGTATTTGTCGGGATGACCATCCAGTCCGACCGCTCGTACGTCAACGGCTCCGAGGCAACAACCACGACGTCCTCACGCTTATTCGCCTTGATCATGCGGTACTGTCCAGAATCTGCGTCGCTCTTAAACTCCGAACCGGACGAGTAAAACAACGACGCGCCCTCATTCTCGCTGCTAGTAATATACCGCGTGCAGACAACGGTTTGGCCATCGGTGACGGCAAAATTCATAACGGACATTTCCTTCACCCCGGCGTCGTCCAGCCATTCATTGAGCTGTGCGATGGTCTGCAGCATGGCTTGCTTCAGCTCCTTATGCGAAAACTCGGCGCGGTTCAAGGGGTCCTCGAGCATATTGAGGAACAGGGCAAAGGCGTTTTCTGAGTCTGTCGTGCCCTGGATCGACAGGTATATGTCTTCGCGCAAAGAGTTCTGCAGCCGCCGTTTGATCAAGTCGAAGCCGGCAATGTTGCCGTTGTGCATCCACATTAGGTTGCCGAACTGCCACGGGTGGCAGTTAGACTCGGAGGTGGCTGTTTCGCCGGTGGTCGCCCGGACGTGCGCAAACACCAGAGCGCTCTTGATCTTCTCGGCCAGCCGCTGGAGGTTGAGGTTGCTCCATGCGGGAAGCGTTGATGTGAATATGCAGCCCTTTGTGCGCGGCTCGTCGTACCATCCGATGCCGAACCCGTCGCCGTTCATCGGCCGCCGCATGTCGATACGCAGCTTGCAGTTGAACGACTGCATTATGATCGAGTGCGCTGGCCGGGTTAGCAAATCCGCCAGCAGAATTGGCGAGTTGCTCTTGTATAATAAAAACCGGCACATTTTTTAAAATTGTAATTAGTGAGAGAAGCTGTAATGTAGAAGTAATTGAGTTGAACTGAACTAGGTTTTTTGTGAGTCAGAAGAGCAAAAAAAGAAAGAAAAAGACAGGGCGTGCAAAGAAAGGCAAAAAAAAATTAAATAGTGCAGATGATTTTCTTTGGAAGTGAGTACTGTTCTCAAAAAAATACCCTTGCTGCCATCGCCCAGCCCTTTATATTCCTTTTTCAGCCAACAGGATACCAGCGTGTAAGTGTGCGCGATTTATTTTTCTTTCGTTATGAACAGCGTCGGAGAAAAAATTTTACTTGCATTGTGGTATGCGAGATCGATAACATTTTGTCATCTAATTTAGCAGTAGTGCTTGTTTTCTTTCATTCTTTAGTGAGCCACATTTTAAATGCCTTCCCCTCTATTACTTGTTTATTTTGTTTTGTGTGCAAAAATGGTGAGCGATTGCGATATCGGGATACTAAATGGCGAATTTCTTAGTTTTTTCTTGTTTGGACTGAATTATTATTTCGTTCTTGATATTTGTGGAGGAAAATACACACATATACCCCCATTCAACTCGCTCGCTCGCCCAATGTCTTTACTTTTTTGAGTTGCTTTTTCTGCGTATAGTAATACCAGCGATCTACCTTGATATCTGAATGTAAACTTTGATTAGTAGAGTGACATCATTCCCTGATAAATCATATCTTATGTTGTCCTATAAAAAGTACAAGTAGAACGAGGCATTGACGGGTATTTGTATCATTTCACTTTACAGTTCATGTCTCAACAAATTTTGTCATTTAACAAAAGGGAAAAACAATGAATTTTAAAGTAAGAATTTATATATATAAAAAAGTTTTTGTCAAGACACTGTCTTGGATAGCATGGTGCATGCGTCAATAGCGCGTCTGGCCCATGTTTCAGCCATTGTCAAGCCCTGCTTCTCAAGCAGCTGCATATGTGACAACAGCTGCTCCTCATCATCCCTGACCAGCACAAGGTCAAACACCAGCGGCCTAGTGGGCACCGAAAAGGCACATATCCGCTCATTAAGCAAACTAACAAGTCTCCCTTCAAAAAGCGGGGAGGACTTTAAAGCAATTCCAATGGCAAACACAATGTCGCTGCGCTGGTGGTAGTGGCCAATGAACATGGGGATTTCGTGGATACTCTCGACCTGGGTGATCTTGATGTTGATTGGGCTGAAATGATAGTTGTCTGTTAGCTCATAGCGCAGGTCGTTGACTAGTGGCTCGACAAGACTCCAGTTTTCAGCCGAGTATACTATGCCGATACGTGGAGTGTTGGCCCACCGGGGTCGCTCGACTTCTCGCTTGATAATTGCCACTTTGTCGCGCTTCTCCTTGTGTGCGGCAGTGGGTGTCGGCAACGTATAAAACTCGTTTGTCATTATTTGGAGTTTTAACTGTGATTTTTAACTGAGCGTGGGTAGTAAGCGTGGGAAAGATAAGCGCCAAAAAAACCCTATCGTGTCAAAAAATCAGCTTTGTGTTAAATATATGAAATTAATAAATTGGTGTGTGTGAAAAAGGGGGGATTGGTATATGGAGCGCGAGTATGTTGTAAATATATATATTATATATATATAAGCCTGGCGTGTGGTGGTATTGTACAAATTGGAGGGAAAAATATTTCGTTATGAAAAAAACTAGAAAATGGCAAAAATAAAAATGGGTGACTGAATTTGTCTGTTATTAAATAGAAAAGCAAAGATACAGAGAACAAAAAATGAAATAACAGCTTTTACACAAACCAGATAATAAAAAGATGTCAGAGTGAAACATCACATGTGCGTCAGCGCGCTCAAGCAAGCAATAATAAGAAAAGTAAATAGAGTGTGTGCTCAACTGAGTACAATTTTTTATGCGTACGAGCGCATGTTTGTGCGCGTGTTTGTGCGGAGGAAGAGGCGTGGGGAACAAAATAAAAATAAAAAACAATTGTTTTAATTTTTTTAGTGTGGCAAACTTGACACCAACTTTCTTTTCCTTTCTTTTAAAATGTGTTTTTCTCTTATTGTTATTGCAAACCAGACACTATTCCAAACAAGCAAAAAAGGGCGCATGATTATTTTGTAAAGAAAAATTAGAGCAAATAGGACCAACCAGTCTTTCGTCTCGATAAATGTGGAAGAAGAGGTTATTAGGAAATGAATGCATCACCATACAATCGCGTGAGGCGGGTGTGATGATCTACATGTCTACTTTTTTTGCAAAGTAGGGAGTGGCACTGCGGATGCGAACAAAAAAGAGAAAACAGAAAATAAGACCAGGGAACGGGAATAGTGTATACGATTTTTGGAAATAGAGAAATTCACTATACTGTAAACAAAAAACACACCCACGAGGCTGGAGCTGCACGAACGATATGCCAGGATAAAAATATAAAAGAGATCGGATATTTTCTTTTAAACAATTACAGAATTAAAGGCGGGTATCGGTGGCGACTTGCGACACGACAAAACCCCCCGTGTGAGTGGTAGTCCGACAAAAAAACATTTCGAAGGAAAAAATAGGCCGCGGATTTATTGGAAATCGTCTCATTGAAAAATTAGTGTAAAAATATATATAAATGCAAATGCAGCAAATCTTTTTTCTACCCGATTTATTGGGGAGGAGCGAAATGCAAAAAATAAAACAAAAGTGATGCAGGGTATATCATCCCGTTCCTGCATTTATTTGGCGGGTTTAATTAATTAACAATTTTTTATTAGAATATCTGTTTCGGAGTATGGTGTGGCAGCAGCTTCCCGAAATACAGGTACGCGAAAAGGCCTGACATAGAGAAGAGGCATGAGCAGGATTGGTCCGAATATGAAAATATTATAAAAAAGTAATTAGAAACACGGGTGGAGGATTTATTCCTACCTCTGTTTTTGGCCGAGAAAATTTTGGAATGTGAAAAGAAAGAAAATACAAAAAATAATAGTAGAAATGTTTCTCGGGCTTGTTGACGCTCTAAATAAAGTAAGAAGAGAAGCAAAGAGGAAGAGCGAGCGAGCAAGAGCAGGAACTTGGTGTCCTTTATATATACCCAGATCATCTGTGAAAGAAAATGACAGACGGAGAGCAATATGCGGCTGCACATTATCTTTTATTTTACTCTATCAACACCTAGCCATTTCTCTGGTGCTATGCACACATACGAGTAAATAATAGCAGGGTGACAAGTCACCACCCCACCCCCTCACTTGCTTTCTCTATTTTAGGAAATACGTACCCGTTTTGAAAATAAACACAGTAAAATCATGAATTCAAATGCAGAGGGTACGGGTGCGAGTAACACGTACATGTACAAGTCATATTAGCAGCTATTTTGTTGTTGTTTTAAATTGGGGCAAGTAAACAAGGCCTGGCGTATGTCATTTACTTGTTCATTGTTAGGATATCATTTGACGAATCACAAAACAGCATTTGAAAGTAAAAACCACATGCTTTTCTTTTGTCCTCTTTTCTTTTTTCATTGTCACCATAGATGTCAACCTGTGAATAATGCGTATGTCTGCATTGATTGTGCTCTTTGGTAAAGGTACTCTCATATAAACTAAAAAGGCGCAGCAGCAGACGCAGATGCAGACGCAGACGCAGACCCGGCATGGCATGGCATGGCATGGCGTAGCAGGACAGGACGGGACGGGACGGGGCAGGGAATGTCGGGACAGCTGAACATTGTAGAGAATAGTAGAGCTGGCCAGTTCCAAATCGGTAATGTTTATAAAATCGAGATTATATTGTATACAGGCAGATGAAGAACAAAAAACAAACAATCATGTCTGATTGTGATGCCAGGATAAAAAAGAAAAAGGGCAAGCACCAATAAAAAGCACACTTTTTCATCGCGATTCATCTAACCAGAAACCCTTTATAATGTTCAACTGTGTTTCTGCGTTATTATTTTTTTAAAAAAATTTTACAGCAATATATGCATATAGGCTTTAAAGGATTTCGGAGATCAGATTAGATGCACTATTATTAATCAAGATACACAGCAACATAACTCCAAAAACCCAGTAGAGCTCGTGGGATTTAATCATTCGACAGCAGCAACAGCACAAAATAAACCGCTGCCTTGTTCACGCTTAATGTCAGCCTATTCAAATCTTGAGCAGTGCCATCTCAACCGCAGCCGATCCCCAGTCACCACCATGGTTATGACCCTTATCTTCGCCGCGGCCAATTCCAGCTCTCTGCATTGCCTGCTCGTCAGTCAAGCAAGTCAGAACGCCAAACACCGTCGGCACACCAGTATCCAGACCCACACGCATGATGCCATGACTAACGGCATCAGCAATGTACTCGAAATGCATGGTGCTTCCCTTGATCAGTACACCAATGCAAATGGCAGCGTCAAAGGGGCCTTGCTTGCCGCTGCCTTTTGACGATGAGTGCTGGCCAGAGCCGCTACCGGTGGTGGTTGTCGAGAGGAGATCTTCAACAATGTTGGCGACGAGGTTGGTAGACTGCTGCTGTGACTGGCGGATAAGCTTTTGGGCTGCGCCCGGTAGCTCGTAGGCGCCGGGGACGTCGCGGACGGTGATGTTGGAGGTTTGGACTCCGTACTTTTGCAGCGAAGATATGGCGCCCTGTACTAGGGGGTCGACTATTTCATGATTCCAGCGCGTGTGGACAATGAGTATCTTGAGCGATGAGCCGTCGAGCTTGTGGGGGGCTTCCTTGACACCCTTGTGAAAATCGTCGCCGCCCATGGTTATGTTTGATGAATAAAAATGTATTAAAGAGTAGTTAAAATGTTTATTTTGCAGAGAAGATAAAAAGCAGCTAAAGATAAGAGAAAAGAACGGGGACGGAGAAAGCAATGTTCGAAAAATAAAGCTGGACCATGGAACTGTGGTTGATATTCATTTTGTCCACGCGACTACCAATTGATACTGCCAACAACAAAGTTGTAGCAAAAAAACACGCTATATTTGAAATTTATACGCTTTGCCTTGCGCGCCCTCATCCTCCTTTTAGTCGTCACCTTTTATTTGCTCATTGCCGTCTGATTACAAATGCGGGGGGAATTGTCGTTGACAAATTAAAATGGGAAAAAATGTACAAATTTGTAAATTTGATCAGCAGCGAAAATCACCTATTATTATCCTTTCACCTAAACATTTGTTGCGCTGGGGGTCTGCGCCGAACGCTGTTACTCAGGACCAGCATGTTGGACGAAGACACCGCCGAAGATTGTGCTGGCTGGTCATATCGATGTTGTGGCGTATGCGTTGCGGATGACATAGGGTCAGCCCGGCTACCACTGTTGCCACTACGGCTTTGGCTCTGGCTTCGGCTGCGACTGCGACTGCGGCTGCGGTTCCGATTCCGATTCCGATTCCGATTCTGATTCCGACGACCACCGCCACCAGTTGTTGGAGACTCGCTGACAGAGCTCTGGTTGACGTACTGCTGGTGCACGCGGCTGTGGCGATAGGCTCCAAAGGCAAAGTTGGAGACAAACAGAGTGCCAAAAAACATTAGCAGAAAGAACATCATAGTCTTCAGAGACAGAGGCTCGATGAACCCATTGACAATACCGGCCAGTGTCTCTGCAGACACTTTGGCCCTGCCAACCTTTGACGGGTCCTGGTTCATGCATGTGTCCCACATATTGCACGCTTTCTCCATGGCAGGGACGCGCATTTCGGGCGCACACTTGTTTTCCAAGTACTGCTTCGAGCAGGCAACAATCTCCTGCATGACAACGGCCGAATACTCTTGTACCTTGGCGTTGACGTCTCGCTGGATGGTCATGAGCACGTTGATGATGATGGTGAGCACGGTACCGACCATGAAGACATTGAAGCCCAGCTGCAGGTACCCGGAGATAACGTATGGAATGTCACGGTGCATCTGCAGCCGCTCCACCATCGTTGGCTCGTCAACGCGTGTGCCCATTAGTGCCAGAACGCGGTCGACGCCGCGCGTGGCTGCCCCATTGCTTTCTCTCCGCGACACCTGCGCCCGCCGTTGCTGCCTGCCCGACACACCATCCCGATGCTCCGGTGTCCGCTGCGCAGTCGAGTGGTCGCTGGCCGCTGCCGCCACTGGTTCCTCGTCTGTAGTCCACGAGCCGTCGTCTGCCGCTGGCCCGCGCTGGCCGCGAACATTGCTGGTGTGCCGAGTGCCCTGGCCAAGCCCCAGCAGCGCGGTGATGCTAGATCTTAGGCTGTTGTTGTGTCGGCGGCGCGAGTAGATTCTGCGCACGGCGTTGGGCGATATCGGCCGCTGCTCTGAGTCGACAACCATAGGCTCGGTGGCTTGAGGCTGGGACATGGCCAATGCGTCGTTGGCTAGCGATGGCGGAGGCGGCATGCTAAATGTGAACGGCGTGTTTCCCAGCGCCATGCTGCCAGTGCCAATAACGGGCCCGTCTGTTTGGCTGCTATTGCTATCTGAAAAGGTCGGATGCGTGATGAGGCGCCTTTTCCGTGTTGAGGAGCCGTCTGACGGATCAGCCGCCGGTGTGTTAGTTTTGGCAGTTGTCGGCGAGGTCAGCCAGGCGCTGTCGCGATCGTCAAAGTCAATGTCCATGGGGCCCGCCCTGGAGCGGGGCTCGGCCTTGCGCGGGCGGCTAAACACAACGTCTGTGGATTTGAAATTAAAGTTCATAAATGTATATAAATTAGCTCAGACCCAATTTCATATGAAGCCCTTGGTAGGTTTTTTTGTTTACAGTAAATGGAAATGAAATAAAATATACGGGCAAGAACAAGAAATGAAATAATGGAAAAAAAGTGGAAAAAAAGATGATTCGATGCAGAGATGGATGAGGGCCAGACAAACAATTTTCTTACAAAAAAATTAACGGACCGTGCAATATCTGAATCAAATTTGTTAGCTATTGTTTGGGCACTTACTCATTTTCCGACTAAATTGGCGGGGACTGGCACTGGCCGGGTACATGGATGCTGGGCGGTGAAAGTAGTCTGGCGCCGGGTAATTCTCGTCGACGTCATCAGCAGGGCTCACAGCAATGTCTGTGCGTGATGCAATTGGTGTGTACGAAGAGAGCAATGAGGCAACAGACGCGATACCAAGAAGCGATGGCCAGCCGCTGCTATTGCCGCTGCGACTAAAATGGCTGTTGTTCTCGTCGGCATTGATTATGGTGGTGTTTTCAGCTGGCTCTATGATGAGCACGCTGCTGGAGCCGCTGGCAAGGGTTGGCTCTGCCATGGCCCTTTGGCTGCAGTGTCTTTTGAGTGGGCGGCGACAGTCACAGCCGCTGTCGCTATCCGATATATACATCATTTGGTATTTTTTGATATACAGCTATACAATACTTTTGTAGGATTTTTAGCAAATAAATAAATAAATAAAAATATAGAATAAATAAAGGAGAGATGTCAGTACCAGGCCGTGTAATGCGATATTCCGCGCTGCACGGCGCAGCAGTTTATATTTTACTTTTTCGCACTTATCCATATCGGCGGATAAAATATTACCATGGTTAATGCAGCAATGCAAGCAGGGATTGTAATTCAATGTTGCATCTCGTTCACCTTTTTCATTAATTACTTGGGGAAAAGTTAGTCGGGTGCGTAGTCACACGGTCTGCCTCGCGCATGCCCGGTGAGTAAAAAGCAGGCAAATAAATGAAAATAAAAAGTCACAATACGACCCATCACAACATGGCATCACATCATGGCATCTGCCTTGCTTGGGCAACATGTCTATGTCTGGCTGGCTGCGGAAAGAGAATGCAAGAATTGTTTATTCCAAAAAAGTGAATGCAAGGGGTTTACAAATACTAGTCAGCTATACTTTAATTGCTTCTGGAATCATGTGTCGCGTGCCAGCGCGCGAGCTCCACAGTACAAGGTGTGCTCATAAATGTAGACATATTTACAGTGTATATTATTTTCTCTGGTCATATTTTGTCCAGCGCCATCGTGTTCAATTGATATAATTTCATTTAATGTTCGTTCAATCAAATGGCCGTCACCAGCCGCGATGCTCAAAGTAGAACATCTCCATGGCGCGATGTGCAAGATAGTGCCCAAACATGTACTCGCCACCACCAATGTCGCCCTCGTCGGCGTCAGCCCGCGAAGACGCCAGCTGGAGAGGTGCCACCGATGCGATGTTGTCCTGTGCTGCCACGTTCCATTGTGGGCTTGCAATGCGTCCAGCCAGCTCCTTGTGCGAGTCGCCAATAAGCAGGCCGTCGACCAGCGGCACACAGTTCTCCTGCGACCACTGCAGCAGGTAGCTGCGCACGCGGTCGATCTGGCCGGCATCAAACCACACGCTGTCGCGTGTGAGCAGACCCACAATAACCACGACATGCTTGTCCTTGCCAATGCGCCGGACAACAGCCGGCAGGTCAAACGCTGTGGGCACGTCGGTGACGCGAATGTCGCGGCTGTCAATGCTGTACGTGCTGACCAGCGTCGCGTACAGCTTGTCCATCGCCTGTGTAACCAGCGCCGGGTTCTCGCGCACGTAGATCAAGCCCGGCGACGGGTGCAGGCCGCGTAGCTTGCGCGGCACTACACCCCACGCACGCCGCGCACTATTGTCGCCGCTGACGCCGGTGAGCGGCGGCGAGAGGAATGCCACTGCGTCGGTACTGTTGCCTGATGTGCATGCCCGTCGCCGCTGCGCCACGGGTGCTGCTGCCGCTGCCGCGTCGTTGTTGTTTTCGCAGCATGCATTAGCGTTTGTTGTGGTCGATGCTACTGTTGCTGCATCGATGCTCGCGTCCGCCAGCCGCATGCGCGAGCGGAAGCTGTTGACCGCCTTCATTGAGTGTCGACCGCCCGGTTTATGCTGCGAAAGTGTGGAGAAGCGAGAAAATAAATAACAAAATAATAGAAAACAGGAAACTCGAGTGATGATTTACAAGAAGAAAAAGAAAGTGTTTCTGAAAGTAACAGAGGCAGCCAAGAAAGCGAATAAAGAACAAGGTAAATCCAAGCGGATTACTCGTTTGATCGACAGTGCAGTAGGTTTTGTTTTTGTTATTTGATATTTGATGTGGAGAAAGTCGATAAGCAGAAGAAAAAATATATTGTGGATAATAGAAAAGCGTCGAAAAAGACAATTGCTTATTTGATATTTGATAACTGAACGTCCATCCGGCATTCCTTTTTATCTGTGCTGCTTCGCCATATGCCGCCCCTACCTGTCGACACCATTACACAGAAGGGGAAAAAACAAAGAGGGCAGAGTCACGCCACCAACAAACAAAGACGAGTAACGGCGTTGGTTATTTTTCTTTCTCGTTATTCAGTCTTGTGCCTTATTTACCTTTTTATTATTGATCTTTCAACCTGCATTGGGCTGGTCAAAGAAGAACAATCGCTTTGGCTATCTTTGTGCGGACCGAAGATCCGGCAAGTGAGGAATAAAACGAAGAAAAAAAGAAAAAGGCGGTCAATTATTGTTTTTGTCCTTTTTGGATATTTTGGAAACGGAGGATCATTAATGAGAACCATCGGAGTGACATAATTGACATAATTAACTCGCGAGCGCCTGACGCGTGTAGCACTAAATAAGTCGACAGTTTACGTTTTGAGGAGTGTTGATATTCGTTTACTATTTCAAACGAACCCGTATTTTATCGGCCGCCATTGGCATTGTCATTCCCGTTGCCATTGCCAATAACACTGCTGCTGCTGCCAGCGCACAGCGCGCCAATGATAAGCACTGTTGCCATCCGACTTGTCCTCACATGCACTAATCTAGTGTCGGTTGGGCCAAAAAGGCAATATAAAACAATAATTGTGATGTTGATATCAATGGCTAACGATGAGGGTGATGGTGATCTGTTGTTATGCTTTGCTTTTGCACCAATGCCAGCGTCTGGCAGTCCTATCATTTGATTCCTGCCATTTAATTTAGTGTCAACATCAAAGTCGTTGTCCTGTTCGTATCGGTGCGGGCTGTACAGCATCAATATTTTATTTTGTTATTCTTCGTTTGCTGGAATACAACAATATACAAAAACAAGGACCGACATCAGGGATGTCCTTTCTTCCCACACATCCCCACTTCCCTTCCACCAATCATCGGCTGTGCACCCCTTTCATTTCTTAATTGGCAACAAAATAAAAGCGCACACCCTCTTTTTTATTTACACCTTTTATAGATTTTATCCTCGTATTCTTTTCTCTTCTCTTTCGCTGCCGCCGCCGCATTATTTACTTTATTATTTTTATTCTATATACCATTGCATTTACCTTATATATTCCTCAATTCATATTACTCTCACCAACGCACTCGCAAAAATATAAAAAAATGGGCAACGCCATGGGAAAACAGCAGTCGGAGCAGGGACTCGGGCTTCACAAGTTTCGGCTACTGCGAGTCATTGGCCGTGGGTCTTTCGGAAAAGTACGCATAGTTGAGCACCGGGAAACGGGCAAGGCTTACGCCCTCAAATACATCAACAAGGCAACCTGCATCAATATGAAGTCTCACCATAACACAATCCGCGAGCGCGACATGCTTGAGGAAATAGACCACCCGTTTATAGTCAACCTGCGCTTCTCGTTCCAGGACGAGTTCACCATGTATGTGGTCATGGACCTGATGATTGGCGGCGACCTGCGGTTCCATATGCTGCGCCGCCGCTTTGTCGAGGGCGTTGTCAAGTTCTGGATGGCTGAGCTGGTCTGTGCCATTAACCACCTGCATCGGAATCACCACATTGTGCATCGCGATATCAAGCCGGACAACATTCTGATTGATGACCGCGGCCACGCAGCCCTGACTGACTTTAACATTGCCACCCGAATAAAGGGCACGGTGCCGCACTACTCGGTTGCCGGCACCGCCAACTACATGGCTCCTGAGGTCGTCGGGGGCACAGGGTACACATACTCGGTTGACTGGTGGTCGCTCGGCGTTGTCATGTACGAGTGCATCTACGGAAAGCGGCCATTCCGCCACAAGAAGAGCAACGAGGAGCTGAAGCTCGCCCTGCTGTACGAGGAGATCCAGTTCCCCATTGTCGCCGACGTGCAGATCAGCTACGATTGCATTTCGGCTATGCGTGGCTTCTTGAACAAGGAACCGAACGAGCGCCTTGGCTGCGGGCCTGGTGGCTTTGAGGCGATCAAGAACCACCCGTTTTTCTCGTCCATCAACTGGACGCTGCTCGAGGCCAAGCAGCTCGACCCGCCCTTTGCGCCGAGTAACAGCCAGTCCAACTTTGACATCTCGATCGATCTCGAGGAGATGCTGTTGGAGCCCGAGCCGCTCGATCCGCGAAAGCGCAGCGCCATGAAGAAGCACAAGACCCCACCGGAACACAGCACTCCCGAGTACTTTGACATTGAGGAAAACTTTTCGGCATTTGACTATATTGAGTACGATCGATTCAAGAGCTACATTGTCGCGCACGGCTCGATTGACACTTTTGCCGTCGATGCCGCTCGCGCGATGGCCTCGGTCAACCAGCGCACCAGCGCGTCAACAGAGAACGGCTCTGCTCCGCCGCCGCTCTCACAGCTCAAACTGAATGGCCGCTCAATAATAAATCTTGACCCGAGGGCCGCGACACCGACGCCCACGGCCTCGATAAGCGGAACGCGCACTCGCAGCCGCAACTCTACTGTCACACAGATGGCTCCGCCCAATCACTCGCGTTGTGCCAGCAGGGATGTGAACAACGCGCAGCAGCCACAGCTCTCGCCGAGCGCCATGCAGTCGCGGTACACCACACAGAGCAACTCCAGCACTAGCATTCTGACAACCATAACATCGCTGCCAACTGCGAACCAACAGACTACACACTCGCCCACGTCGGCAGCGCTGCTGACCGCGATGACCACGACCAATGCACCGGGCACTCTAGAGCCCCCAAGCTCTGTGCCCATTGACATCCTGACGTGGAATCAGCTGCTGCCAGAGCAGCGGTTATTGGCCCATCGCTACTGCGTGAAGATGGCCCACGACCACCGACGCCTGGTCACCATATCTGAGCGCAAGGCCCGAGGAATCGCCGGGTCCCAGTTGACCATGTCTCCCATGCTGCGCACGGCTGTAAATACAACCGTGCCTGGCCACCGCTACACTCCTTCGGGATCCGTGCTGCTGTCGCAGAACGCGTCAAAATCGCGTGTGCCGATGTTTTCACAGAGCATCCAGCCCACAGTCAACGAAACAGAATACTCTTGCAGAAGCGAAGTTGTTGCGGACACGCCGACTATCTCGGACACGCCGAATGTTTTGAACAGAGCGGCTGTCCCAGACAAAGTAGTTGTCACAGACACCATGGCCGCTGCAGATACAGTCTCCCTTGCAGAACCGAGTGTGCGCACTATCGCCAAGGCAGCAGAGACCAGCGGCGTTCTGCTGACGTCCAACGAGAAGCGCAAGAGCCTGATGAAGCGCCAGCACAGTGTTGACAACCTGTCTTTGGCCAAATCCGGGCTGCCGCGGAAAAACGGCGGCAAAGCAGGGCCGCAGCGCATAATAATTAAGTACGCACAGCAGGGCCAGCAGCAGCAGTACCAGGAGCTCGATATGTGCTTCTCTAGTTCGTCGATCACTTCCATGCAGTTTCCGCCGTTACCCGAGATGATGAAAACTAGCAACTCTACTATTAATTGCTCTACTAGCCATGCTGCATATGCCAGCCCTGTAGACCAGAGCGAGCTTTATCTCTATCAGCCCTTGCCGCCGCCACCATTGATGTCGCCGCCACCGATGCCCGCCATGCCGCTTCCCGACACGCCACTGACCTCTTCAGCCTTGGTGTTGCCCATGGTGTCGATGTTGTCGGATAGCTCTTACAAACTTCACATGCCCGCACACATGCTTGACATCCGAACAGCACCAGCAACAGCACCAATTTCATCATCATCCTCATCTTCGCCCTACAACCTCATATAACCAGTTTTGTTAATGCGCATAGTCATTACTTTTTAAAAAATGACAAAAATTTTACTACTTTATTTTTATTTGTGCCGTGGAAGGATATCACATGGGAACTAATATACAATATTGATATTTTGCAACGAAAATAAGCACTAAAATTATTATACGTAAAAATTTAGATTGCCAGTTGAGCGCCAGACTCTAAATTTTATTTCTCGCCGCTTATTATCAACAAAAATATTGCAGCCAGTTAACTATCTAACTTTAAAAGTTCTATTGTTGTCGTCAATTTAACTAAAGACGACATTACTGCCGCTGTTGGCACGCGCATTATACTTTATGTTCTTCAAATGCCGGCCTATGGTAGCAAATTCATTAATGGCCAGCGCCCTGCGAACGTGCATTCTGAATGTGGCCGCCGAGTAGCTTGAGCGCAAGTGCAGCAGCGAGGGTACGCGTGCAATAAGTGACAGCATGTGCGCAAGAACAGCATACCGCCCAGAAATGTCGACAGATTCCGTCTGCGGATGGAACACCAGCACCATATGCTCGACAGTCGTGCTGCAAATGGGATGGCTTTGACACAGAATATCCCGCATGCTGGCATTGTTGTCAACACTCATTGTGTCGATGACACACCGGAAGTGAACAAGCCGCGGGAGGCCACTCATAATTGACATTGCCTGCGTGTAGCCCAGCTTCAAATCAAGGTCCAGCGTGTACAGCAGTTTAGACTCAATTGAGGTCATCGAGGTGCGCCAGTCGCTGCTTGGTAAACATATTGACATGTCTGTGAGCGGCGTTTGCGACGAGAACAGCCGATCAAAGTAGTTTCCGGCCAGTAGCTGCTGCTGTTGCTGTTGGTCCTGCCCCATTTCAAAGTTGGCCCAGAGCTTTTTGATGCTCATAAAACGGTGGATCTCAGCAGACACAAACAACAAGGGTTGCGTGGAGATGCGCAGGTTCTCGACTGGCGACTGTAGCAGTGCGCGGAATATGCCCGAAATGTTGTAGTAGTAATTGTATATGGTGACCAGACGCAATTTGGGGAATCTCACAAGGTTGTGCTCGTGGCTGTTGTACCAGTTGCTGCTGGCATCCTGCGAGATGCGCGGTACGGAGAAGTACAGGCCCAAGCTGCGCAGCTCGGGAAACACGGCTGGCGACTGTGGGCCGCTAATGCCGATGGTTTTGAAGAAGTGTCGGGGCTGAATGTGGTGCAGCGATAGCTTTTGCAGGTGCTCGGCTGATAATTTTGCCAAGAGAAAATGGTGGGTAAAATGAACCGGGCAGATTGAGAGCACAGTCAGTGGGGGGAGCACCGGCGGAATGGTGAAGCTAGAAAATTGAGAGGATATTTCTAATTTCTTTAGCTGCGCAATGTTGTCAAATATCGCGCCTTGCAAGGGGAGCTGCCCCGGATAAACGAATTTTGACCTGGATCCTAGCATCACCGAGTCGATTCTAGGCGCTGCAACAAAGAGCCACTCTATCATCGGCGCTATTGCATTCAGGCTATGGTACAGTGGCCGGCGTATACTATCTTCATTGGCCGGGCCTGGAACATACATCGTGTCGGTCACAATGTGCAGTGCAGTGACCAGCGGCCACTCATACTCTGCAAACGCAATGCAGTTCAAGCAGTGCACAATGTCCATTGCTGTGACATTGTTGCCAAGATAGAGATAAAATGTTGTCGTCTTGTTGCCCGTGCGCGGGATCAAATACGCGTTCGAGTGATAAATGGACCGAGTCGATGGCGTGCAGACGTAGCCGAAAGGGCCCATGGTAGTGCAGGCATCCTGTTCAAACGCAGACTTAAAATACTCACCGCGCCGGCCATGATCAGGCGGCTGGAAAACCTCGATGGACATGCACTTGGCCAAAAAGTGATGGTATGCAACACCACGCCAGGTTTTGCAGACAGCAGCCAATGGGTGCAGTCCGCGCATGTAGTTGGTCTCAAACGCGCTGGTCATCATTTCCCACCCTTCTTTGTAGTAGGTCAAAAATATTTGCCTCAGGACATCGACGTGGCACAGAGCCTGGTGCATCGTGTTATTTCAAGAATATAACGATGTCAAAAAAAGTACACTGCGTTGAAAATACTAAAAGATGCAAAAAAATTTAAATAACAAAGGTCGGCGTTTCATTTAAAATATTAAGCATGTGCGCACACCTTTATACGCAACGGTGACTGTAGCTGCCATTACCATTAAAACATTTGCGACACAAGCAAAGCGCATCAGCGATGATTGTTGATATGAATGTATGAGTATACAAAAGCGAGTGTTTATTTTTCAATCATTACTCATATTTATGATTTATTGATTTATAAATTAGGCAGAACAGTCCAAATACGAGCGCACACATTTATTTTATACCTTAAGTTATACCTCGCCAATTGTCCAAACGCCAACACATATACTACAGAGACAAAACCTTGTTCTAATTGCAGCCTTTAATATGCAGACCGGTCCGGACCGGACCGGTCCGGCTCGGCAGCAGCTCGATTGGTAGCTCTCACATTTGCCGCGATTCGGCTTGTCTAGCGGTCCCGAAAAATATAAATTGACCGCATATTAAGCCTTGCGCGCCTCGCCATACACATCGCCTAGTCTTTTTTGTCCACTAATCTTTTTTTGTTGTATTTGTAATTTCTCACCAGTACTTTTATTTTATTTTTACTTGTTCCCTGCCTGTTTGCGCAAAATGTCGTTCACAATATATTGGGAAAAACTTGACAAAAAGGTCGCTCAGAGTGTGCAGGCACAACTGAATTCGTTTTTCACCAATTTGGAGCAGCGGCCCATATTTCTCGGCGAAATCAGCGTCGAGGGGCTGGACTTTGGCAGCGTCCCGCCGCAGCTTGAGATACTCGACCTGACAGAACCATTCCCCGAGTTTTACCTGGCAACGGAGGACGACGCAAGCAACACGAACAACACGAACGCAAACACAAACGCAAACACAGGCGTGTACACGGTACCCACGCCAGCCAGACCCACCGTTCCAACCAACATCAGCACATATCCCGGAGTGGCTGGCAATGATCTGCGACGGAGCTCGGAGGACGCTTATCAGGAGATCGACGATGACCTGGAGTCCGTGCTAAGCCAGCTCCCGGGCCGGCCACTGTCACAGGCAACTGTGCGCAGTTATTTCGGGCCCCGGATGGATCTGCTTATGGGATCCGGCGCTCAAACGCCGTCGCCGCGGATATGGAACTCGGCCGGTGCGCTCTACCAACCACAGCAGCTCGCAGGGCCACGGCCATCGCAGATGCAGACGCAAATGCAGACGGTGATGCAGCAATCCCAATTCGGCAACAGCAATAGCAGCGATATTTTCCGCATAATGCCCGGCGAAGTGGTAGTGGAGCGCAGCGAGGATGACATGCAGCTGACGGCCAAGGTCGAGTACTGCGGCGACATGTCGGTTGTTTTGCGGACCGAGTTGCAGCTCAACTACCCGGCCACGCAGTTTGCCAGCTTGCCTGTGACGTTGCATATCACAAAGATCGAGTTTTCAGCCATTGCGGTGGTTGCATACCTGAAGGACCGGATAAACTTTTGCTTTTTGGAGCCGGAGCTGCCGCGCACCAGCCTCTTGGACAGTTTCTCAATCCGCACCGAGATTGGCGACGCCCACCACCATGTGCTGAAGAACGTCGAAAAGCTCGAGCAGTTTATCACCGAGCAGCTGCGCAAGGCCATCGACGATGACTTTGTATTCCCAGCGTACCACTCGTTTGAGATTTAGCAAAATAAGTGCCCTATTTTTCGGGTGGGTGGCCCGGGCGCTCTCATTATGTACTATTAAACCCCATGTTCAACGATGGCGACACATTCGCAACAACAAATAAAATATACTCTCAAAAAATAGTTGTTTTCTTTTCCATAAAGCGTGTCGCCAGGCAATGGTTGCTCGAGCCGTAGTGGTCGCAGAGTAGCGGCCGAATCCGTTCAATGTATTCATTTGTCTCGGGCGCCCCGAGTGCCTTGCTTATATGGCGCTCATACTCGTCCTTGTTTTTGGGAGCGACACTTGCAAACATAAAGTTTGGACAAATAATAGCCGTCATTATAGCCATCTTGGCCAAACTCTTCATGCTGATCGTGCCAACTGCACCAACGCGCCAGAACCTAAAGTTGGTGTTTAAAGGGCCAAAAGTCTCGCTCATAAATTGGTACACTTTGGATTCTGGCATGAAACTAAATGTGCTCTCAAAGTCCAGAGGCTTGCAGTGCAGGTCGGTTAGATGCGACATTGCGCCAATAACAGAGAGCATTTCAAAGTAGCCCAGCTCACAGGTGCCCATGTCCAGCACTTGCAGGTTGTGGCCAAGTTTGCCAAACGATATGCCGCGCACGAGTTTTGACGGGGCGATAGATGCCTCGTCATGTCTGACCATTCGGGAGATATCCAGTATGCGCGCGCAGGCTGACATGTTGGTGAGCAATTGAAGCAACTTGTCCGACTGTGTGCTGGTCCCAGAGTGGAACCCGGTGGCGCCCAGTGCCACGCATCTGAGCGAGCTGTACTTTTGTCTGACAAGCGCGCCGCTAGCGCATAGGGTGTCCAGAGTGCGAGGGTTTATTGTCAGTCGTAGTTGCCTCAGTGCGCTGCGGTCTCCCCTGAAGAGCATGTCATTGCACAGCGTGTATTCACCATCAATCAGTATGGTCTGCAGGTTTGGGAATATGGCAGTGGCTCTGTCAATAGGCGTGCGAGTCGAAAAGTCACCATCTGTTTTTGAAAACACCAGGCGCAGGTAGCTAATATTCCTAAATATTACTGGTTCTGCATTACTGCCGAGAATCAGTGTGTCGAGGTCATGCACTTGCAGCGAGCAAGCAGTCAGGCTGAACAGTGTGCCGGATTGGACTTGTGCGAGCCGAACAAATGCCATGTGGTTGGAATCCCAGTCAAATCGCAGATGCGTCAGTTTATCACAATGCAATTGCTTAAAGCTCGAGTATTCAATTCCAAGATCAGCGGAATACAAGACTCGCCGTTTGTCTCGGCATAGGTGAGCGAGTAGCTGACCAGCAAACACACCGAGTATGCCATTGATCGCACTGGTTTTGTTAAAGACCACCTTGGCGCCGCCTGCATGTGGTGCCATTTTGCTCAATTGTCGAACAAACGCATCCACGTTTTCTTTTGCCCGGCTGCTGCTGCTGTTCTCAGATATTGTTGAATGATTGCAGTCAATATGAAGCGTTAAGCTGCGACAGCTTGGGAACACCCACTCGGCAAATGGGTGCTGGCAAAGCGCACTCAGGGCAAACCCGCTTAAAATTTGGCTGATATCGACATTTACTTTGACTCGCAAGACGTGCTGACGCTCAAGGGTTTCAGGACAACGCGTACTTATTTTTACTAAGCGGTTGCATTGTTTAAAGCATACGCTGTTGATGTGGTGGGTTTGTAGGTCAATTTTAAGCGTGCTATACATGTCTCTGAGAACTGCTGCGCGCCAGCTTTGGCACACCGCAAGAAACGGCAGTTGTTGTGAGCCAAGTTCAGCAACAATCTGTGTATGATGCAAAGAGTAGTATGCGCGACTGCTCTCCTTGTAAAAATGCGCAATGTTGTGTATTACCACTGACGGCAAATGTTGGAAATTCATTTTATTCATGAAAACAAGTAATTGTATTATTATATTTATATACAAGATAAAGCAAATAACAAAAATAATTATAAAAACGAAGAAAAGTGCGACAAAAATAAAATGACCCACGTATAAAAAATGGCAGCACCTTTGAATTAAAGAACAGAAAACTAAAAAGATAGAAAACAGCCTTTATAATTATTATAAGGGGTGGTCTCCATTTTAACAGTTGCCATTAAGGAATAAAAGCATAAAGTAACATTTTAAATCAAATAAACTGATGATTAGATTTAAAAAAACAAAGTTAAAGAAAATCCGGTCTGACTAAATATGTTCATAATAGCCCCTATGGCGGAAAAGGCACTCGATTTGGTCGGAATATTAGGGAAAGGGCTCCAACGTCCCAATATCCGAAATGTTCTAAAAATGGATTATCATGGCCCATATGCATAGTCCTCACAATATCGAATCTGGGACACACTAATTTAAAGTAAATTGCAGCCATGACTCCATAAAATCCCATTGGTTCTGGGGGTTACGTTAGCTATTTTAGTTTTTGTAGTTCCTGCATGTGGTTGGAGTCAGACTTCAGCCCGAACTGAGCTTCGCCCAGGTGGTAGACATCTTCGCACATATTTACGTTATTCTTATAAGGGGGTTGATAAAGCAACTTGAAAAATAAACTGCAGCCATGACAACCTGCTTTAAGTAAGGCATACTTTCACCAATGAGTAACATACCTGAGATTTAAAAATGCCGACCTTGTGAATGCAACGCAACTGTCAAAGAGTCTACAGCCTCGGCTTGTGGAACATCAGGGTATATGTGCGCCGATCCCAAACGGCAGCCAAGCGTGGTCAGCAGAGAAATTTTTTGAAGCACAAGCACAATGACCGAAAATTCCAACTCACTATCGATTATGTTCAGAGACTGAATGTTGTCAAATGTCGTGGTGGCTTTCAGCTGCTCGATCAGCGATTGAGGAAGAAACGTGGGACACATAGGAAGTACCTGCAGTGACGGCGCCGAAGCGGTGATTGCTTTGAACGAACTCTGTATTTGTGCTTCAGGCAACATAATAAAGTGGGATTGGCCGAACTGGTAACCATCATAAAATATGATGGTGTATAGATTTGGGTGGCTACTCGGCGAAAAGATGCCAGGTAGGTGCAGAAAATGAGTCAACCATGAGTTAACCAAAATTCGCAGCCTCTCCAAGGTACAGTTGTTGCCCCTTAAAAATGGCACTTTGCCAAAGTGCTGTATCTCCTGAATATTAAAATATTTAAGGCTGGGAAGCGGGACAAACTCATCACTGAATGAAAGATGCTTGGTTGTCAGAAAAGAATAATTGGTATCATATAGCAACAGATGAAACACTTCCAGACAATCATATGCAAGTTCGCGCCCTTGGCTGTCCATAAAAAGACTTGCCAATGGAGATTCAATAAATATTTTCAGGTTAAGCGACACTAACATGCTCGAATTGTGGCGAGCGTGGACAATAAAATAGTCGATGGACTTTTTCGTTAGAATTTGCAGGCTCGTAATTCAAGAGATTGTGGCAAGTGAAGGAGCGATTATACCATAGCAATACGTGGCACTTACGGTTTTGACGCCCCGAATAATAGCCGAAACCCAGCTACCAAAATACTATTTTATCCTTGGACTACTGGGGTCTGGTCTTATATGAAATTTTAAAGCGACGCTTTTTATAGCAGGGGCCATGCGTTCGATACGCTTTCCAAACTCGCGCCCATGTTCCTCAACAGAAGGCACATCAGTTAGGTCCATATATGCTCTGTCTTTGATTTCGATTCGAAGTAGGCATGCTGACGGAAGTACAGTATCGTGATACTGGGTGCAAAGCAAAAACTCCAGAGCGCGGCCGTTAAATAAGTCATACCAATCGACGATAGTTAACGCCACTATTTTTTACTAAATCAATGGCTGGACGTATGAGTTTCGGGAAAATATATGGCCACGATACCAGATTGGGTTCAAGCTTCTTGTTGAACCAAGCAAAATCCAGGTATATTTCGTTGGAAAACGAACACCTAGTTATGTCTCGCCAGCGCTGACAGCAGTTATAGAGAGGTACAAAACGGTTGTAAAGGCAAACATTATCTATAAAGCTATCATCATAGTCCCGCTGCAGGCAGCCAAAAATGGACTGTATAATATCGTAGGGCAATGTTTGGAATAGAGAAAGGCAAGTCATTTTGGTGATTGGAATTATAACCTATAAATATAATGAAAACTACCGATGCGAGTGAAGAAGATAAAGAAAAAGAGAATGAAAAATAATGCAAATGTTTCAATTATTGCAGCATTCGAAACGAAAAAATTTTGGGGTTCATATTTTGAAATTGGCATTGTTCTGAGCCAAAGATTTTGCTGCTACTGCGCATTTCACTGGTGTAAATGTATTTTAGAATTTCCACAGTTATAGCGAAAGTCCAGATTTTTAAGCAGGGGATTTCCAAAACCCGCTTCTTGCGCAAAAAGGCATATTCAGAGTCGACTGAACCCGAATGAGTCTATAGTGACGCCCAAGCCCAAGCCCAAGCGTATGCGCAAGAATCCATCTGCCCCTGCTTCTTCTCTTCAAAAGCAGCGAGCTGGATAATATCGTCAAGCATAGTGGGCTATTGCCACTAGCTTCTAAACACCTTTCAGGTTGCTATGCAGTCTGTGGGGAGGATGTCGATTTGCAGGATACTTGTAGCCTCATTCTTTTATTTGTATTAGCAATTGTGATTAATATAAACGAGTTTGTCGTGGTTATTAACACATAGGCTCGTCTCACATGCTACAAGCATACAAACAAACACCCCCATTGGCCAAAAGGGCGCGTATAGTCAACTCTGTGCTACTATAAAAGGCAGAAGAGGGGAGTAGTGTTCAATAGGGTTCCCTAATTTTTTAGTTTTGAACAAATTCGCTTTTGGACTTGCTTATTCTCATAACCACTACAAAGTTGATACATGTTCGCTTCGCTCACTCACTCAATCAATGCACAGCAAAGCCTGTTAGCACACATTACCAGGGAGGTGTGTGGAAACATGTTGAATTAAATATTTCAGCCCTCAGGCTACCGTTTCCGAGCCGCTGTCCTGGGCATCCCAGCTGTCAACCTCGTCCTTCTGGCGTACGCTCGACTCCATTAGCTCAGTGATCCATGCCTGCGTGCTGGCAATCGCCTTGCGGTGACGGTCAGCCAGCTTCTCATGAGCAGCAGAAAGCCTCTGGTGCTTTTTCTCCAAATCAGCGTGCTCCAGCAACAGCTCCTCGAACGTTTCGCGCGCGGCCTCGGCCTCAATCATCAGCTCCTCAGCAAGCTTGGCGTTCTTCTCCTCGAGCAATGCATTGTCCGACTGTGCACTCGCGAGCGCATGCTCTGCAGTTTGGCGTGCGGTGGTTTGCTCGTCCAGCTGCTGGCCGAGATCCAGCGCGTGCGTGGCATGCGCCGTGGTGGCGGAATCGAGATCTGCAGCGAGCTGGGCCGCTTGCGTTTGCAGTTTCTGGTACTCAACGGTCAGGTCCGCGAGGGCCTGCGTTTGGCGGTCCAGATCGGACTGCACGGCGGCGATGCTGGTATCGCGTTCCGAAATTGTTGCCTGAAGGTCGGTGACGTGGGCATCGAGTGTGGCTTTCTCAGCCAAATGGGCGGCCACAGCAGCAGCCAGTTCAGTGTCCAACTGGTCGCGGGCCTTCCGCGTGTCGGCCAGCTCCTTCTTGGTCTTCTCAAGGTCCTTCGCCGTGCGCTCGATGGTTTTGCGGCTCTCCTTCTGCGAGGCGGCCAGCTTGTCGTGTTTGGCTTGGATAGTGTCGCGCACCTGGCCGACGTGCGCCAGGTCAGAGTCGAGCTCGCTGATGCGCTGCCGATTGGCGCTGATCTCCGCCTGCGCGGCGCCGAGTTGCTGCTCCAACTCGGCAGCCGAGCCGCTGAGCTTCTGGTGCGCTGCGTCGCGCTGCGAAATGTCGGCGTTGAGCTGTGCAACAGCATCGCAATGCGCGGCGTTCTGCTCGTCGGCCGCTGCGCGCAAGGCCGCCACAGACTCCGCATGCGCCTCCTGCTCCTGCTCCAGCCGCTCCTGCGTCTGCTGCAGCAGTGCCTGCGCGTCGGACAGCGCAGCTGTGAGGTCTTGGGCCTGGGCCTCAAGCGCCCGCTTATCCGCATCGAGCGCAGCCGCCTGGGCCTCGCCGGCTTCGGCGCGCAGCACACAGGCCGCGAGCTCTGCGCTCTTAGCGGACATCTGCTCGCCAAGGGCCACCATCTCCGCTGAGGCAGTGTCGGCGGCGCGCTGGGCCTCGCGTGCCAGACGCTCAGTCTCATCCGAGTGTGCACGCGAAGCATCCTCGGCGGCTGCACGCAGCGCCGCAATGTCCGCGTCGCGCTGGCCAAGGCTTTGCTCGAGCTGTGCGCGCTGCTGGGCAGCCAACTCCAAGCCGGCGTCTCGTTCGGCGAGCTGCGCCTGGTTGGTCTCATTGACCTCGCGCAGGTCTCGCTCGGTGGCCGCCACAGACACCTCAGCCAGGACGAGCCGTTCCTGGCAGCCCTGCAGCTCGTCATGCGTGCGCTGGTTCTCAGCCTGCAGGTGCTCGCGCTGCCGGTTGATCTGCTGCTTCAGCTGCTCGAGCTCCTTGGCCAGCACATCGGCCTCCTCCTCCCTAGAAGAGGGTGTGGTTGGTGAGCCGGCTTCTGACTGCGGCGCCGTGCGCTCGTTGTCAAGTCCGCTGCCGCTGCCGTTGCCGTTGGCGCTGCTGTCGTCGTTGTCGTTGATGAAGTTGGCTGCTGTGGGCGACAGCAGAGTCGGCGAGTCGCCACCAATACTGCCGACGCCTGTGGCTGCTGCGCGCTTGGCCTGGAAGCTTTTGAGCTTCTTCTTGGCCGCAAGAATTTTCTTTTGCTTTTCGCTGGGGTCGAGCGATGACATGGCGACGATATGCGGAGAGGGTGAGTGAGCGAGCAATGGAGTGAGTGAGTGGGTGGGGGTGGGTGGGTGAGCAAGTAAGTGGGTGAGCGAGTAATTGAGTGAGTGAGTAATTGAGTGCGCGAGAAATGGAAGCAGAAATGGACAGCGGATTATGTGGAAAGTTATTTTTGGTGGTGCGCTGCAATTGCAATTGCAAAAAGAAGAGATAATTATAAAAAGAGAAATGGTACGGACCGTTCCTATTTGCGATGGCACACGCTGCATTTTTTTGTGCTGGCGCAGATCCACGTCACTTATCAAGCAGCCTTTCGAGCCTCGCCCTCAGTGTGTACTGCGCATACTGCGCCGGCGCGCCGCCCAGCACGTGGATTGATCCGGCCATCAGGCAGAGCGTGCCTGTCGTTGGCTCCATGGGTTGGCCGGCTGTGATCAGGACTTTGGTTCCGATAGGCAGCTCGGCGCTGAGCTGCGGGATCGGCTGCATTTCAATGGCCGAAACGCAGCTCTTGCCATCAGTCAGCGTCAGCTTGAGCATCCCGCGCGGAATCCTCGGCTCGCGCTCGGCATCACCCGAGAGGCCCTGCGCCTGCACCGCGCTCATCTGTGTGGCCGAAGCCGAAACTGTGGCTGCGCTTTCGTCGTCGTCGGTAGCGGGCGCCATGTAGCTTGGGCGGATGCCGCGCAGCTCAAAGTCCTCCTTCTCCTTGACCGCCTCCCACAACGCGTGCTTACTGACGCCGACGTCTATAATCTCCTGGATCTGCAGGAATGTACCCGGCGCCGACGCTGGCAGCCGAGCGACACCAGCCGCTTGGTCGGATGGCACCAGCGATGGGAAGCACGAGATGCCGATCTCCGAGTGCAGCAGCTGCTCGAGCACCAGCCGGATTTGCGCCTCGATGTGCAGCGGCACCGTGTTGGCGCGGCTCTTGACGTCGCTGGTCTGCTGCAGCTCCAGCTCCACGTGCTGTGCACATTGGTCCAGCCACGGTGCGCGCAGCGACGCGCCATACTTGAGCTTTATTCCGTTGGTGACGGCGGCGCGGTCAATCATGTCGGTGCGATTCTGCTGTGTTGAATACTTTCCCAGTCGCAGTTTTAAAAAGTTATGTATTGGAGAATAATCGCAGACAAAACAAAAGGCAGGGCCATGTCTTGCATGCTTGGATAGCTCTCTGCGCAGCATAGTGCGCCTGCTTTTTATGGGTGCGCGCAGTGACTGGTGCACGGAAATACATTATTTGTCGGGCTGCGACAGTGTCTCCAAGTTGCAATAACTCGGGCCAAGCATATTCTTGGCGCCATGTTGGCAGCTCGAACGCCCAACAGGATTCGTCTCAGTCCGCCTGCTGCTAAGCCGACTCGTTATCGTTATCGTTGTTGCTGTCAGCAGCTTTATTTTCCTTCTTCTTATTGCGCCTTTCGCGGGCTTTCATGCGCGCCTCGCGTGCCTGTTCCTTCAGCTGCTCAGGCTTGCCGACGTTCTCATACTCGTAGGGGCAGTGTCTGCAGGTGTTTCCGCAGCAATAACCGCGGTCCCTGTGCGACAACTCAGTGAACGCAGTGTACCCGGTCGCCGGATCAATGTAGGATCTGTCGCCGTTCTTAAGCGCCTTTTCATGCACACTTTTCCATGGAACGTGCGCGTCTTCCAGATCTGCCACCTTTATGCCCATTGTTCTGCGAGTATTCTGCGATGTTTTTAATGAAGACAAGCGGCCGATTTTTAAAAGTCTAAAGCCAATGGGCATGCGCATAAATAATTTTGTTACAAGAAAATAATAATAATAAAGACTAATATGAAGATAAAAATTCGTTTATCGAGCAGTCATTAACTTTTCCATTCAAAACACGAAAAAAAAATAGCGACTGGTTACCGACCTACTGGTGCTTACCACTATGGGCGTTACAAGTTATCCTCAGCATATTTTTTTAAGGTTCCGTGTTGTTACCAGAGGAAGAGAACGCAGCAAGAGACATTTTTAAAAACTCCGCTTCTGACATCCCCACCGCCCTGGCCGCCGATGCTGCTGCAGCCAGCGAAAGGCGCACAGATTCGGCGACCATCATCTGCGCCTGCTGCCCAGCCACGTTCTGCACGGCCAGCGGCACAGCAGGCTGATCAGGGAGAACTGGTAGAATATCCATCGTTTTAGTCTCAATGTCCATGTCCTGAACATCCGAGTTGTCTATATTGTCGTCAGGCTGGTTCTCTTGGTCGTACTGGCCCCAGTAATCATCATCGCTGCCACCTTTGCCTCCGTCTTCGCCATTGCAGTCACCTTTTACAGCCTTTGTCGCGGGTTTATCAGGTTGCGGAAAGCGACTCCAGTAGTCACCATCGCCATCATCGTCTGAGCCGTCCTGCCCAATATCATCAATGCCATCAAACTCATCTGCCAACGCCTCCTCTGCAGTCGCAATTGCAAATGTGATCCGCGTGGTTTTCAACACACGACTATGCAAATCGTCCAAGCTCACCACTTCGAGCGCCTTGGTGTTGAAGTACACCCATCTGCTACTATCCGAGTCCCACACCAAATCAACGACCAATATCTGTCCATCAATGCTGCCAAAGGGTGCGTACGCATGAACTGTGTGGCTGTCAGTAAACTCATACATGATATTGCGCGCGCAAAGAATCTCCGCCTGGTCCTCAGTCAATTCCAATGAAAAATGTGCATGTCGAATATACTCGCCAATGTCGTCCGGCTGCCATTGCAACGCATTGTCAATTTGGGAAAATAAAGAAAAAGTAGATGCCTCGCTGTTGTTGAATGTGCCGCCACTGGGTCCAAGAAAATCCCATCGCTGTTGTATCAGTATGCTGGAGTGCCGAATAAGCTCGTCGATCTGAGTTGTTGTACGCAAGTGTAGCACGAGTGTGGCCACATGTACAACGCTTAGTGAGTGATTCTCCTGAGAAATTAGTTTCATTTAGTAAATTAAATGTAAGAATAATTAATATATAATTAATACATATATATTACAAAAATTGTACAATCCATTATTTTCAAGTTGCTTTATTAAGCTCCTTATGAGGATAACGTAAGTATGGGCGAGGCAATCTACCACCTGGGTGAACCTCAGCCATGACTGAAGTCTGACTCCAACCACATGCAAGAACTACAAAACCTAAAATAACCAACATAACCCCCCGAAACCAATGAGACTATATTGTGTTGGGTTCAACCCTCTATCCTTGCTGAGCTCTGCCTTTTTCATCTTGCTGTGGCATGATTTTCCGAACTCCACAGTCTGTCCCTGTATGATCTGTGCCCACCTGGGTGTCCTGCTCACATGCTCAAATGGTAGCTGCTCCATCCTCATTCATTGTTAACATGTTAACGAGTGAATTGTATAACTAGACTAAATTTATATTCTGTCCAAAAAAAGAGAAGCTTGAACTAGTAAATGTAGTTGTTTTGCCCATTTTATGACTGCAGGTCTTAGTGCTCACAAAGAAAAGGGCAACTAATGGGCATTAGGCTACAAAAGAAATGTGTACCCAACAGTTCGGATGGTTACAAGCGCAGCCTCCAAGGTATATCTGTCCAGCTCTGCAGCATTGACAGAGCTGATCTCTTGATTCAGATTAAATGCAAGCAGCAAAAGTCGGTAAAAGAATTATATAGGAAATGTATAAGAAAGCGCGATAGCTCAGGAAAAGCTTGGATTTCGGGGCGGTTAGTTGCTCCAGGCAGGGATCCATAGTGAGGCCCGTGGCTGGTGCCAATTCCAAATGCTAGACGCGTCGCAAGGCGTTGATAGCGCGAGGACGAAGCTCCGAGGCATTAGGAGCGAGGCGCAAGTCTATAAAATAGAATGAAGCAGAGATAGCAGATTTTTGCGGCGCGAAATTTTGAGTTTTGGGCGGGGGAGCAAAAAGCGCAGAGCGCTTTTCGCAAATAGATAATAAATAGGGATTCAGCCCTAGTTTGTTGTTTAAAAACAATTTATTGAATTAATCCCCGAAAAGTAAACTAAACTATAAAAGTAAAACTATGGCGGAGCTTGAGAGCAGATGCTATTGAGCGACCATGGGTGATGAGGCGCCCTGTAAAAAGCGTGGCAGTGACTGGCAGTATTGGATATTAGGCGGTCCTATAACAAAAAGAAATTAGCTGAGAAACATAGTTGTAAATTGAGCGTGTGTAGTCATCTGGTGGCGATTTCTTGTGATGGGTGTCGAAAAGAGAAAACAAAGAAAATGAAAAACCGATGCCACGAGAAGGAGCGGCGCGCACGAGTTTATTTAAGCAGGTGGCTGAACGGCAGGCAAAAAAGATGCTAAAATATTTTGGCACTGCAAGCGCTTTTTTTGATCCGCCTTTTTATTACACCATGCACCCGCTATTATTTGGTTGGGGAGATGAGCAAAAAAGGAAATTGCGTGCGTGTGGATATCGGAAGGCCAAATCAAGCAGCATGTTTTTTGTATGTCCGCTCAATTTTAACGTGTGTAGTGCAAGCGAACAAATAAGAAATATAAAAATATATTTCAGTGGCCATTCATACTCACCGTCACAGCACAATTCAAAAAGCGTTGAGCGTGAGAGAGAAAACAATAATCGAGATGAATAAAGACATGCACCACCGATCTCACGTGCATTCAATTACATAAAAAGCACTTTAAATATCCGAGTCCGCACATTTCATTCTCCAATTTAAAGCGGAGTAGTGCGGGACGCAGCTATCTGTCCCTCATTTTCCGCTGTTTAAAAGTGGGAGTAATCCGACATTATATCTGAAAATGGTCAAAGTCACTGAGAGCACGCGCAGATACCATGTTTTATCGCTGCCTTTAATAGCAGAGCGGAAACAAATAGCGGGAAATGAAAGTGGAATAATTGTAGTAGGAAAAAGAAGCAAATTGTTAACTTTCTGGCTGGTAATGGGCTGCAAGCTGAGGATAGTAGTGTTATAGTAAGAGGGGGGAGATAAGGGTTTAGGGTTGGGTAATTTAGATTCAACTCGGGGGTTTGGGGGTTGAGATTTGTTGGGTGGAGAAAAGGAAGAAAAAGGTGAGGGTGAAAATGAAGATGACAGCAGGACAAAGAAAAGGGCAAATGCATATCAGCAACTGGGTCCATATGAACCTAACATCACCGCATCCCGTCTCGATCTGCGAAGTTAAGCAGGTTACAGCTCAGTTAGTACTATGGTGGGGGACCACATGGGAATACTGAGTGTCCCAGTTATTTTTTATTTTTTATTTGAAAAATATAATTTGGGGGAATTCGAGTAGATCCGAGTAGATCCGAGTAGATTCGAGTAGATGATTGGGAAAATATTTTAAATTTTGCTAGGGTATTAGTATATATTAGTGTATTAGTGTATAGTGATATATAAAAATGAATAGATGAATATATGAACAAATGAATAAATGAATAGATGAATATATGAATATATGAACAAATGAATAATGAATATATGAATATATAACAAATGAATAAATGAATAGATAATATATGAATAGATGAATAGATAATATATGAATAGATGAATAGATGAACAAATGAAGATATAAACACATAAACAAACTCACAAATGAAGATATAAACACATAAACACATAAACACATAAACAAATGAACAAATGAACACACAAACTCACAAACACACAAACTCATAAACTCAAGCTCGCGGGGGTTCTTATTTCCACTCAATCGGAAATGCACAGGGCCGAATGGTTCTTTATTCGGATCGGCGCACCCCAGCCAGGAACCCCAGCCAGGAAACACACTAGGAAACACAAGGAACCCAGCAGAAACACACTAGAAACACACAGAACACAAGAACCAGCAAACACACTAGGAAACACTAAAACACAAGAACCCAGGCAGGAAACACACTAGGAAACACACTAGGAAACACACCGGGTGCTCATTGGGCGAGCAGACTCTACCCCGTCACATGGTGCGGTGGTTGTGTTGTTTTTGTGGGCTATACAAACAAAACATACAGGGCATTGAGCTCAGCACAGTTTCGACTCATGTGAAGGTGCGAGGGTCATACGACCACGAGCACAGGCAGTCCGTGTGTAGGGGTACAACCAGCACGGCAGGCGACTTCATTCTTGATCCTTGGTCTGACTCGTCAGAGCAAGGATAAGGAAAGGTGTGATGGCAAAAACTGCATTTTAAGCAGTGCTGCTTCTGCTCTACACTCGGCCAATAACAAGGCGGGGGTGGCAGATTCGGCGCTGGCAGGTTCGGCTGGGAGGCGAGCGGGTTCTGCCCGCTCATTGCCCAGAAGGGGCGGTGGGGTTGAGTGGGGATCGTTTCGATTCGCAGTCAAGGCCACGGCCTGCAAACACTTCAGTTTCGGTTTAGTGTGTATCGATACCCATGTGGGTAGACATATATATAGCAATCCAGCTGACGGGCGCTAGTCCTTTAAGGCGGGCTGCTGATGACGAGGCCTAGGCTTTGCAGTCGGCAGACCATCTTACAAAGCACGCTTTTGCCGGAGGCAGCGCAGCGGGTCGGCCTCTAAGCAATGATGAGGAGCTACTGACGCGATGTGCGCTGGGTTTGGCACTAGTCGACGGTGAACAGTTTTTAAAGCTGACAACATGGATCGTCTGCCGAGGAGGCGGCGCGGCAAACGAGAGGGAAACCATCTCTAGTAGGCGCGGGCCATGCCTTTGCAGACCGGGGCGGCAGCGGGCGCTGGAGTAGAATCCAGGGCGCGGAGGCTCCCCACGTTAAAACATCCTCTTGGGTGTGCGATAGAAACGGCGGCCTGGCGGGAGCGTAGGGCGTCAAAGCCCCAGGCCCCTCCAGGCGTTGTGATTTCAAACCCCTAGTAGATACCTGGTTGATCCTGCCAGTAGTCATATGCTTGTGTCAAAGATTAAGCCATGCATGTCTAAGTATAAGCAAGTCTATACAGTGAAACTGCGAATGGCTCATTATATCAGTTATAATTTATTTGACTGTACCCGCTTTACTACTTGGATATCCGTGGTAATTCTAGAGCTAATACATGCGCGACAGGCCCGACTTTTCGGAAGGGCTGCATTTATTAGATATAAGGCCGGCTTGCCCTCTTCGGGGGGCAACATTGGTGAATCATAATAACTTTGCGAATCGTTGGCCGTACGGCTACGATGGGTCATTCAAATTTCTGCCCTATCAGCTTTCGATGGTACGGTAGTGGCCTACCATGGCTTTAACGGGTAACGGGGAATCAGGGTTTGATTCCGGAGAGGGAGCCTGAGAAACGGCTACCACTTCTAAGGAAGGCAGCAGGCGCGCAAATTACCCAATGCTAACGCAGCGAGGTAGTGACAATAAATAACAATCTAGGGCCCTTGTGGTCTTGGAATTGCAATGAGTACAACGTAAACACCTTAACGAGTAACAATTGGAGGGCAAGTCTGGTGCCAGCAGCCGCGGTAATTCCAGCTCCAATAGTGTATATTAAAGTTGCTGCAGTTAAAACGCTCGTAGTCGGAGTTTGGGGCAGTTGGGCCTGGGCTGCCGGCGCTGCTTTCGGGCGGCGCCCGGCATGCCTTTTATTGGCCTGCTCCCCAGTTTATTCTGGAGTAGGTGGCTGGACTCGTCTGGCCATCCGTCTCCAGACTTTTACCTTGAGAAAATTAGAGTGTTCAAAGCAGGCAACCGCTTGAATATGTTAGCATGGAATAATGGAATAGGACTCTGGTCTTGTTTTGTTGGCTTTACGAGGCCGGGGTAATGATTAATAGGAACAGTTGGGGGCATTTGAATTGGGCGGTTAGAGGTGAAATTCTTGGATCCGCCCAAGTCAGACTAGTGCGAAAGCATTTGCCCAGCATGTGTCCATTGATCAAGAACGAAAGTTAGGGGATCGAAGACGATTAGATACCGTCGTAGTCTTAACCATAAACGATGCCGACTGGGGATGGGGCCTGGCTTGCGGGCCGGCTCTGGACTCAATGAGAAATCAAAGTGTTTGGGTTCCGGGGGGAGTATGGTCGCAAGGCTGAAAC